CAGGATTGTAAGACAACGGGAAAGCGAAGATAAAAAAAAAAAAAAAAAAAAAAAAAAAAAAAAAAAAAGGAAAAGAAAAGAATGGGAGAAGTAAATAAAAAAGAAAGAAAAGAAAAGAAGAAAAGCAAAGGGCCGCAAATGGAAGAAGGAAATGGTAAAGACCAAAGGGATGAAAGAAGTCAAGGAAAGACATACCGTTGGCAGAAACGTCAGGGTATCCACGGGTAGTACGAGAATTATTGTAGCGGTCCGCGCCATACGGAGGATTGTGGTTGGCAAAATACGCTCCGACGGCAGCGGCCTGGTATGATGGCAAGGGAAAGACATTTGAAAATCCACCGCCAGAGTAAATGACTTGTTCGGCGGCGCTCTCGGGCTGGAAAACGCTGGCGCCGGGGTTGACCTGCGTAGCGCCCACAGAGGTAACGTAGGGGCAGGTGCCAGGGAAAGAAGGGTTAAAAAGGCCGCTGGAGCCGTCATTGTATTCGCCCGTCGTGGGATCGATGCACTGGCCCCCGTTTCCAGCAACGCCGTAGTCACCAGATGAATAGAGGATGGTGACGCCCTGAAGACCCAATTTGAGGTATTCGTTGCACTGGCGCTGCTCGTAAAAGGGCGTGAGGTCGGCTTCGTTGTAGCCATACGAAGTGGAAATGACCTTTGTCGCGGAGAAGCCACCGCAGTTCTCGGGTCCCTTGTATCCTCCTGGGTAGGGGTCAGGGTATGCAGCATCCTGAGTGTAGTCGTCGCCGCCTTCGTAGGTGCAGTAGGAGCCGTCAATGGCGTCGAGGAAGTTGTTGAACGAACCAGACTCGACCGGGTCGCCGACTTGGTAGAGGGTCACTTTCTGCGGGTAGACAAGACTCATGGCGTATTCGAGATCCAGGTCAGATTCGCCATTGTACTCGAAGCTCTGGTTGGTAGTTTGTGCGTATCCACCGTCAATAGAGTTGAGTATTGGAGACTGTCCAACGAGCGGCTTGGAAAAGTTGCGGAAGAAGAGGTCCAAGTCTCCCTGGAGGTACGCTTGGGGAGAATACTCGACGATACCATAGCTGTTCTTGGGGTTCGCGAAGAGGTTGGGAGGAAACAAGTACAGCGCGCGCAGGCAGTCGGGGGTAATGTACTTGTCACAGTTGGAAAGCTCTTCGAGAATGCCAAAGATGTCAATGCTCGCACCGAGCTTTGGAAGAGAGCCCGATCCGGGTTTGGAAATCGACTTTGCCGTGCCGGGAACAACATTCTTGCCTTCGGCAGACTTTTGGCGCTTCTGCAGCTCGTTTTCATCGCGCCGACGGAGCTTGGCATCGAAGTGAACGGTAGGCGAAACAAAGTCAATGTGCTTGCGGAGATGGCTTGGAAGGCTGTACTCCTCGCAAGCAACGTGAGGCTGGCCAGTGGCATGCTCGTAGACGTAGTATTCCGTCTTGAACAATTTCTCGGCCTCTGCAACCGAAGCGTCGAAATGAATCCAGTTCAGACCCTGAGAAAGCCGGATACGGTCCGAGGGAATTCCTGAATCTGAAAGCCAATCCTTGACAGAATTGACAGTCTCTTCAGATGGAGCAAACATTTCGGCAACCTCCTTTGCAGTCCAGTGTTTTCCAAACTTATCAGACTCGGGATGTGAGACTTCCATCAAAAAGTCATCACCCTTGTCCAGGTTCCTTTGCGCAAGTGCAATGCGCACAGGCAGGATTGCATCGCTGCGGAGCTTGACACTGCGGCTCCAGTCCGCAGGAACTGCGTCTCTCTTCTCGTGAATGACATGATTCGAGGCAGGAGACGCCAGCGCTAGAGCTCCAAAGCTCAGTGAAAGAAAAGAAGAGAGACGCATGGCTGCAATGAAGGACCAATGTGCAGGATTGCAGCAATGACGCTGGGGAAGCTGGCGGAATGGCGATCATGTTGTCTCCTTATATTCCTCTATTGATTCTTATCGTGGACGCGACTTTTTCTCCTTTCCGTTCATGGCAGGATGAAGTTGATAGCACGAGCTCACGCGGGCGATGTCGCATGTCCTGTATCTTGCATGCCCTGCTGTGACAAGGATTGGCCGTTGTCAAAAGAGGCTTGGGGCCCGGCTCAAGCGGCGAGCTACAGGACGGATAGGAGCTATAGGGTACAGGGAATAGAAAGGAAGTATTTGAGTGGATCCCGGAGAGAAAGACATGGACAGCAAAGTTCAGATGTCAAAATTGTTCCAATAGGGTAAGACATCCGTGCAAACAACTACCGTAAGAGGAGCAGCCATGAATTCGGACTGTGCCAGTAGGTCTTTCATCTGCCACCACAGGAATCGGAGAGACCATTGACAGAGACTTTGGCCAGAGGGGCCAACCAGTGGCGGTGTGGGTGCCATTGCGGTCTCTGGATACCTCCAGGTTGTCGGATTCCAACCGACTAACTAGGAGTGTTCAATTGACGGCCCTGCGTGTTCTGTTCTTCGTGCAATACGTAGTAATGTCCTTTCGAGCTTCCCAGAAGGGATCATATCCCTGAATACCCTTGAGACGACGAACCTGCTTAGTCTGGCTTAGCATCCGTAAGAGGCACGAGGATTCAGACCCTGTCGATTCAACCCGAACCTTAACAGAACTAATTATATTTCGCCGCGAGGTCGCAGACTGGCCCTAGGCCACGCACAAGGAACAGCACATGTCCGTGCTTATCACACCTCCCAAGCGTAGATATGACAAGCACCTTCTAAATCAGCATAGCGCCGGGGCATTTGCTCGTTTCATTTCATCATGATGTCGCTCCGCCCCGCATTCTCGCAGAACAATACCGGTGAAATCAAGCATCATTGCTTGGCGCTCACGCATCTTCTATGAGATAAAGTGCATTATTTGTTGAAGTGTATCCAAAGGGGTGCCTTTCGACTTCGGTTAGAAAAACAAGGCGTTTGTGGTCTTGCGAATGAGCTGGGCTATGTGTACAGAGTACCCTTTCAGCCATTCAGATAGGCGAACATCCGCACCATCATTGGCCAACCTAACCAACATGCAATTAGCACTCTGATCCAATCAATGATCGCAGTGACTTCTAGTAAACAGGAACAGGAAACCCGTCCGAAGTTTCCAATATCAAGCATGACTGAAAGAGCGTAGGGATAGCCTTGTCAATCAGAAGCATGGCTTACTCACTTTGGATTGCATGTTTATCGCTTTATCCAGCGACACACCCTGGCTCATTTGTTCATGGGTCAAGTGTATGATGTGATTTACTGCCGACAAGGCTCCATGATGATTGCACTGCTCGCATTGCTCCATTCCCCACTCAGTTCGCTAGAATCGGACCGCCGAGCATAATAATGATCATATTCCATCCAACTCATTACATGCCGCTGAGATCCTCTTCTACCCCGCCGCGATTGCGGACCGAATGAAAGGTCCAAATTTGGATGCATGACTGCATCTTCTCCCGAAGTTGATGAAACCTTCGGGACGTTCTTGGCGGAGTCTAGGGCCATGCCGCAAGCCTTTCCATTTTCTCCAACCGCGGCCAGCCGTGAAGAAGTTTCGGGTATATGAGAGCATCGAAAGGCATCATCTGACGATGTGTATCGCATTTCTTTATTCATGCCCGACTTGGATTGTCGCACGGCTGCCCTTTCTGGCCTCCCAAGAATCTGCGGCTCCCCGTCCCCACCTAGTCGTACACAAGCTGATCCGTTTGGACCTTCTATTTTGGACGTCTGAAAGCCATTATTGCTTCGATTGCTGCAGAAGAAATCTAATGCTTGTCAGAGTCAGATTCCCTGCCGCCCCTGTTTCGGAAGGCTGTGTCAACTAAGTAAACTGGGAATACCCTTACCATCTTGGTTCGTGAGGAGTTCTCCAGCGCGATTAGCGTCGATGCCTTCATGTCGGGGATCGCTTTCAAGTGCCTGGAAACTGGTACGACTTCGACGCTCGTTTCTCCGTCGTCGACATAACCATAGCAAAGCAAGTAAAATTACCGCGAATGCTGCACCGCTAACAGAGCCTACCACCACAGGAACTTTGGAGGGACTGGCACTTGATCCGTTCGATGCATGAGGCAAACTCGATACGGATGGTGCAGCTGACGATGGTGATCCAGTGACAATGACAACTGTTGTAGTGGTGCTTCTCGGGAAATGGCTTTCCGAAGATGATTGTGTCACTGTCTGTTGTGAGGATGGTCTAGACGTAACAAAGGCAGGAAGTGCTGTAGATGCAGATCTGCTTGTCTTTGTAAGTGTGGGAGGCGGCAGAGACAATAATGACGATGTGCTTTCTATTTTGCTTGATTGAGCTGGCTTCTCCCGGCTTGTGGTGCTTGTACTCGTTGCACTCTGTTCAGTCGTCAAAGTATTTGTTGTCGTCGTAGTCGTCAGTATAGTAGTTGTCGTTGTCGTTGTACTTGTGCTGGTTGCCCTTCCAGGGTTCAAATCACTCGCTCTTGGAGTAGACTCCGTGCTTGACACTGGTCCAAAATCCGGACATGCCGGTAACGCACATGGATCTGTCGAGCAACAGCCTCGAAACCCGTTCGAGGCACAAATATAATATTGCCTTGGAATATCGCACGATTGCCGCGGAAAGTTGACAATCATCATGCTTTTGACATGTTATTATATCAAATCATCACCAGCAAAAAATGCTGTCCGCCCGCCTTGAGCTTCAAGGAACCAGCCTGAAGTCAAAGGTGTGAGGCGCCACATCCCAGAGTCGTCATCTGGGACAATTCTACGGGGACCCATTGCTATAAACCTCTCTGGATCTTTCTTTAAAAACATTTTATCTTGGGGTGGAATGCAAGCGGCGATGGGATTATTCTTGGCGGGTGATGTAGGGCGTCAAATGCCAAAACGTTGTTTTGTAGCAAGGCGTCTCGCTGTTCTGATTGGCATATCTGGTGTGTGGTAGAAGTACTGTACAGTTATACCAAGCTTGATGAAACCTCCAGTTGTTACAGCGCCTTCTCGCCAGGGGCAACCCTTGGCGGCTCGCCATGCGATCTTATATCGCGACTGCTAATCTTTACTTTTTTTGCATGAAATGGCGTCAAATTTTTAAAATTTAATGGAACATGTTTCATTCACGGCAGCAGCAGCAGGAAAATGGCATTGGCCGTTGACAGCGATAACGAGACGCTATGTATTGACTCAGCATGTCGCTGCCTCTGTTATGCGTCAACCATCCAAAGCGAACGAGCACACACTCAAATGACAAGCTGCATATGCACTAACACCCTGATAGATTTCAGGAAACAATACAAACACATCGCGTCCTCAACGTTCTCCATTGGTCGCGGATTTATATCTCGCCTTGGCGCAGGCGCAAATCTCTTCTACAAGAACTCGTCCTTTCCTAAAGTTCAGCCCAATGCTAAGACTACCGTTTCCCAAGACATGTCGATGAAAAGAATGGGAATAAATATTCCCTGATCCCAATCATGGCACCGCAAAGTTGTCCTCAGTCATGCCACTATTGACTCCTTCCTGCAAGCCCCAAGCGCACCTTAACCCCGTTCGCCGGCGAAATGGTCAAACTGAGAAACTTCTCAATGGGGGTCGAAGAATCGACAGGCTCAATCTTATCGAAACGTTGAAGAATCCGGACGACAACATAGGATGCTAAGGTGAGAGCGAATTGTTCTGTTCATGTTTTGTTAGCTACTATCTTCGTGCTCCACAATCAAACCAATGATGATAACCAAAATTGTGCGAGAGGGCGTTAAAAAAGGTGCCAAAAGAATGCAAAGACATCAATTTAGAGGTCGGGCGAGGGGGAAACGTACGTCCGAGACAGATTCTTGGTCCTCCATTAAAGGGCAAAAAGGACCAGTCCAACTTCCGACCTTGCCATCGCTCGGGGCGGAACTCGGCCGCATCATCACCCCATATATCTGTACGACGGTGCATCGCATATACCGAGTACGCAACGACCTGACCCTTTCGCACGGCTACGGGCTTGGTTCCATCTGCCCCTCCGCCGACGGGGAGAACAGTGTCCGCGGTCGCGCGGCGGTGATTTGCCGGTATGACGGGATAAAGACGTAAGGCCTCATATAAGACGTGCTGCAGATATGTGCAAGACTTGAGACGGTGGAAGGTGAGAAGTTCCTTGTCGGCGGAGCTGCCTGCGCCAAAATCCCGAATGATCTCCTTTCTCAGGCGCGCCCAGACATGTGGATGCCGGGACAAAAGTAGAAAGGTCCAACTGAGCAGGGATGCGGTGGTATCTCGCCCGGCAAGAAGGATTTGGAGAAGATGCTCGCGCAACTCTTTCCGGTTCTGTGTTTCCTCCGCCAAAGCTTCGAGAAGCACATACTTTTCATATGTTTCTCCACTGTTAGATTTTTCCGGCTTCTTTTCTTTGTGTTGACGAAAATTCTCTTCGATAAAGTAATCTGCAAAGCGATGGCAGAATTGGCATGCCCTGCGGTATTTGGTGCTAAAGAGATGAATGAGCCAATAAAACTGCTGAAATCGGAAACTCCAGGAGATGTAGTCTTGGGCAGTAGTGAATGCTTCACCAAAACTGTAATTTTCGCCAGACTTGCCCGCTGCCATGAGTGTGGCGCGGGTCTGGACTGTCTGAGCATCACCGGTAGTAGCGGGTGCCATGGCAGTCAATTGCGAGTCGACACTTGTACCGAAGAGAAATTCTGTTGCGTTGTCCATGGTCAGCCTGAAGAAGAGCGGTTGCAGATCAATCTCGTCGCACCATCCGCTCGTGGGATCTGCCGGGATAGCCTTTAATAAGTTTTGCATGTGTCTCTCCGTGGCTTCAAGGTTGCTGATATGCTCTCGCATGAATTGTGGCCGCATGATGGCGCGGGCATGACTCCAAGTTGGCCCGTCGGACGTAAAGATTCCATTCCCAATCAAATATCTTATCGGACGGTGGCGCTTTTCACCAATTTCAAAATCCTTGAACTTAACCCCGAGGATGGTTTGAATGTTTTGCGGATCCGATGTGTTGATCACTTGGTCCCCGAAAAGAACATTTCCCTTCCAGGTGGCGCCCAATTCGTAATATTGTTTGCAGACCCAGTCGTCCAGAAGGTCGCCCTTGAATGTAATAAGTTTGTATATGGTGTCGATGCCCCAAGGGAGCTTGTCTTTAAATAAAGGTGGATCTTCACAACCATTTTCCCGAGCAAATTTCTTGAAGCGACGATTATCAAGGACACTTCTGAAAGCATAAAAGATGACAAAGGAAACACCAGCGAAGAACAAGTTCCGAATTGTCAGAACGGAATCCATAGCTACGCTGACACAAGATCCTGCACGGACAGGGCGTGCAGTGTGCTGGTCAAGGAATGGTTGGACTGCGGACCACAAACAGGTTGAAAATTGCGATAGAAACAAAACCAAAAATTTTGCCGCCTTAAGATAATAAGAAGAGATCCAGAAGGCTTAAGGATTTCCCATGGAGCAAACGGCAAAAAATGAGCAGTTGGTCTGGACCGCTAAGCACGAAGTAGTCGAGAAGATTTATCATGCAAGTCGACGAGACGAAGAGATCCAAAGGAAAATATTATCTTATATGCTGGAAACACAGCTAAAGCAGACAACGAATGAAGCAAGGTTGAATTGGAGGTTCGACAAGAAACCAGCGGGGGGGGGACTTTTAAGTTTTATCTGACGAGGTCATTGGTTTATCGATCCCGCGCGAGCACTGGAGAACGGATGGGTCCTCATTCCCCGACGCTCGATTTTGTCGCAATCCCTGTGTTTCCCCGCTCTTATCCCGTCCGTCAGCAAGGTTAATGTGCAGGATCCACCGCATCAGCTAGGGCCACTGTTGAGGCTCGGTTTGTACCGATAGTAGAAGCTCGATTTGGTGCATGTTACCTCTCATCTAGTTTTCTTCAGTGTCATGGCGGAGTACTAGTGAAAGACGTAGTTGGGCCCAGGAAAAATCTCGCATTGTGCTCATCAGTGTCGCGATCAATCGGCCGGACGCGTAGGAATGGCATAACGCAATAACCTAATTGGCGGCGAGGCCCCACGTCGAGTGGGACGCACCATGGTGATGGGAGGGCAAATGTGGTCAGCCAGACGCGAAAGCGACATCGCCGGGTCCAAGGACAAACATGCTGCTCGCGAGGTCTTTGCCTAACTTGGTTGGTTGCCGCTATTGAACGTTGGAAGGGTCCACGACGGGCCTCGCTTCTTCGCTATCATCTCAACAATAATGGAGTTAAATTTGTGGTCCTGAGTCATTTAACACGTTGATCTCAGAGGCTCAAGCACTGCAGAACTCTGTCACTGTATCAAGGCTTGTTAGCATCCGCGGAAATCTGAGCCAAATCCTCTCTTCTGGATTGCAGCGGAATATATTAGTTCTTCAATTTGTATGAAGCCGCCGAATACTTCGTATCTCGGAAAGGGCACAACGAGGGGTCCCAGTCGAGAGCATCCAGGGAGATCGTACATAGGCATCCAAGCGACTGCCGATTTTCGGTCTATTCCGTGTATAGTAACGATCTCGCCCTTTCCCAGGGAAGAAGCTTTCTGTGCAGATTCAAGCATTTGCTGCGGCTGCATAAATGGTCTGAGGACTCTTCCCGCCATGGCTGGTTTCTGGGTACTATTACGGCCGTATTAATTAACCTAACGTCTATGATGACCAAAGTAAATGATGACGTGAGAGAATTTGCATGTAGAGCCAATTGTATTGCACGGATTAAAGTCATCTAAACGTGCTTTGCATGTGCCGTACACCCTCTTCCCTCGGAGAAGGATCGGTTCTAATTTTGGCGCGCCCTCTTGATTGCAATTGGATCAATTGGGTGCTGTACTGTTATGTGAAGATGGTGAATGATGTTTCTCAGTCACGAGTAAACCTTTCTGTCTGAGCGCAACTACGAATTGGTTAAATAGGGACCATGCCATGCCCAAAACACCGAGGTCCAGCAACGCAGGCTGGACCTGGGTGTAGTTTCGGGTCAATAGCCAACCCGAAGCTTCCCCTATTTGGTTTTATATCCAGGCATTGCCTAAAATGCACATTTAACGCCGAGGGCATAGGGATAAAAATTTGTACTTTTGTTCGTCTAGTATACAATGGACAAGGATTAAATGAAATCTCAGGGAATATATCTGTACAACTTAGAAAAAAATAAAAAATAAAAAATAAAAAAACATTTTGAGTGCAAAATATACTGGACCATATCTGGCCATTATCCTTGACACTCCCTCCACACTCCGTGCTTCATGCTGTCCGGGGAAATGTTTCTTTATCATCGAGGTCGACGAACAGAGGATCTTGTCGGTGCTTCATTTTGATTCACCTTGGACCCATCGACTTTGAGAATCTCAGGCACCGACAAGACGAGTTAAGACACCTGGTCTGCGATGAGATTCCATATCTTCTGCTTCGTTCCGACGTCGTAGCTTCCCACTTTAGCCCCGAGGCACAGACTGTCAACTAGCCTTTAAACGAGTTTACCGCATTCCTCTCAAGAAGTTATCCTCCTTGATCAGACTACGTCTCTTGGTACGCATAGCCTTGGTCAATTCGTCTCGGCTGAACTTCGCTTCAATGGCACCCTGGGCTGTTCCATCACCGGCAGGCAAATCGATACTCTGCTCCTGCAATGGCACCTTGGGAGCAAGAGACTCGGGGTTGAGAAGGGCCAGCTTGCGGAGACGTTTGGCCGCAAGTCGACGCTGCTTTCGAGATTTTGCTACCGACGTGTTAGTAGTTGCTTCAAGGAAACTCGAGGAATAGGGAAGATAATCGAAATGAGAAAAATTAGATAAGACCACATACAGTATAAATCTCCCACCTCAGCCTCCTTCTCATTAGCCGCTTCTTTTTCAGCCAAACACTTCCACAACCAAGCCGGGTACTCTGAATCCTCTTTGGCAATGGGATCCGGCTGGTTTTTGAGAAAAGCTAGACCCTTAAGAGGGGTGCCTGCGGGGACCGACGATACCGGGATAGCAGGTGCTGAAGACTTCGCAGGAGTTCCCTTGATACCCTGTGCGGCAGGCGATGGCGTCAATGGCGTGGAAAACGGTTGAGCAGCAGACGTGGATGTAGCAGAAGAAGGACCGGCTCCATCAGGACCCTGGCGGCCCTTAGCTTGGGTTGCGGCGGCGGGCGAGATGGCCTCGGCGGCATGAGTAAAGGATGTAGAAAAACCTCGTCGCAGTGAATTCAGGCGCGAGACATCGCTTTGAAGGGACAGAGATGGAATCCTCGAGGATTCGGCGACAGAAATAGCAGTTCGGATAGAAGAAGGCCGCGAAATCGCCGCCGCAGCGCGAAGACAACGGTGGCAGATCATTTCGAGGAGCGGCGAAAAATACAGTCGGAAGTTAGATATTCATGCAACAAGGCCGCGATCAGCCTGATTAGGGGAATTGGGGTCCTCGAATGCCCTAAAGAGTATGCTTTCCAATAATGCTTCTTGAATATTCCGGACCGGCTTTGGTGTTGTCTACCGATACGGAGTTTTGGTATTTATTCGCTTAGTCAGCGGTCGTTGAAAGGGAACTGCCACAGCATACGGAGTACGCCCTTGAAGAACCCAGGGTGATGCAGTTCCGGACCTCGGGACTCAGTGGAGGAGCTTTCGCTCACCCAGCTATTTTTCCAGTGCATTGAAAGTTGGAGAATGGTATGTAGAAAAAAAAAATGAATGTATTGTATGGGTATTGTTAAGATAAACCCTGACAAAAATAGATATCCAAAGATTCCAGGAACACCCCCACAACGCCAGCAACACTATGATAGAGCAAGAGAGAAAGTCTCGAAAGAGCAACGCGCCACAGATATGCTGGACAGACCAAATAAATGCTGTGTCCATTGCTGACACCATGACCGTCCTTTTCGGTCCATTCCTCTACAATGAAACCTTAGATGACGTAAGACCCCAACTTACCAACCATCATCATCATCCCAAACATTAATTCCCTCGTGAACTCGTCGACGTCGTAAAATGGACCAAAAATATAAATCAAACAAGAAGGAAGAAAGAAAAAAATGGGAAGTATCGACGGGATAAGTGTCCCTGACAATATGCATAATGTGAAATGTCGTTGCTTTTAGGCACGCACAGACGCCGAGGCCGCGCCCCAACGAAGCTTCCGAAGCCCACCTTTCATTGCCTCTTGTCCACAGCTTGATCCTTCACTGGTACCGAGGACGCCCATTTCAGCTTTGCCGGCTTCCTTGCCCATAGCATAACCAGCCGAAAAACTAATGGCACTGACCAAGACGACAACACCAGCAGAGACAATCCAAGTCAACAGAGTCGGAGAAATGTTTTCATCGGGACTACGGCGGACCTTCTTTGCTACACGCCGCTCCTTTCCGCTGCTGGATCGTCGCTTTCCCTTGTCGGCGGTGACGCTCGCGGCAGCGCTGGTGCTGCGCGACGAGGCGCCAGATGTCCGTCGGGCAGGCTTAGGGGACTCTTGAACCTGCTTGACACTGTCTTCTTCGCCCATAAGGTCCGATTCGGGAACCATCCTCAGGGTGGCGGGTTCAACCCGACCCGATGCGCCCACAGCGGTCGCACTGGGCTGATTATGTTTGGGTAAGCCGCGGGCAGCAGCGGCGCAAGAGAGTAAGGTGGAGAGGCTAGCACGCAGCGCCGCATCGTTTTCAGCCTGATAGGAGGGAGATATGACGTTGAAAGGAGCGTGCTGTCGTCGACGCTGACCTGGATAGGAGTGTCTCTGGAGCGGACTTCGAGAAGCGGGACGCGGGGCAGGAAAGTATGATCCGGGGATCTCGTGCCGGGGGCGGTCAGATTGAGATTGTGGTGGGTGGGAGAAAGCGTTTGGTTGAGGTGTGAAGACCATTTCCTCCTCACGAACGCCAAGAGCGGTGCCCTCCTCATCAGCATCATCCCCATCGAAAGTAGTTTCATCCAAGAGAGGCTCTGCGAACGGCCTGTTAGATCCCTGATTACGCATTGTTTGAGGAGGCGCAAGCTCTTCGTTTGACGATGTCATGACAGGGTCGACGTCGCTTTCGCTCTCGTCATATTCCTCTTGGCTGCTTCCTGCGCTGGCCGGACGAGGAACCAAGGAAGCTTCAATCAAACTACCGGGAGGACCTCTGCGGCGTCGGCGGGATCCGGACTCATGTTGCACGCGAAGACCAGTCGTCACGACTTCATCTGCAATCGAAGAGAGCGAGGAGGAGGACGGCTGAGAAGATATCTCAACCCAGGAGTCTGACATGGCGAATCATCAATATGGGAGTCTGGCAGCCAGCAATAGGGCCGAGGCTTGGGAATATAAAGACTTACCGTCTGATCGCTGCCTGCTAGACTCGGATCTTAACTGGCTGACTGAGCGAGGCGAGTCCTGAGCAGGTCTCCGATGTCCATCCTGGGCTTGCCCAAGAAGTTCAAGGTGCGAAGGATGCATCTATTCAAGTGTTTCTCTTGATGCTTTCAAGTAAGCTGAATTATCGTAAAGAGAGCAAGTTCCTTAAGGATTGCTGAAGGGCCCTGTACGTCAAATGAAAAGTTGTGAAGCAGGAAAGTAACACAGCGTGAACAATGTGACACTTCCAAATGCCTAGCCAGGAAAAGAGGGTGGCTGAAGGGTCGGCCAGGTCTTTGTCTGAGGGTCGTGGAGAGGCGGCACTAGTGAGGGGAGGGGTCACAGTTGGACCCCTTTGATGCAGTCAATACACCACCTGCGGGAGGGGCAGAGTGTTGTCTGAACAAGCAGGGGAGGGGGTGATCTTGCTGAAGCGGAGATGAGGTCAGATGTCAGTCAGCCGAGTTCAGCGGAATCCCTGCCTCAGGAAGCAAATCAAGCTGCTTCCTGGAACGAGGTTTCAGCTTCAGTCGGATGATTTATGATACGAATGGATGAAGATGATAACAGAAACAATGATCAGATTCCCGACAGGAGATTCCTGGTTTTGTAACTGCTCCTAGTTGCCTCTGCGATAAAGAGAATAGAGGGCAGAGCAAGGGGAGTTGGGTCAGATAAGAGCGAACAGCCGAGGATCTGGGGACGATGAGGGGTCTCCGGTGAAAGGAGATACCCCGCTTACAGGTACCCACTACCCGTCTCACATATCGTGAGTCCGCCAAATTTGAGCGGTGAAGCCTTAAATGCTCGTGGTTGCTTGTACCCCATGTCAAGTCGCCAGATCACGACAGGGACGAAGAGCGCTTTGAATGATGACGAGGCGATGGGGAAGGGTAACTTAAGCTTTGTTAGCCAGGGTGCCTTTGATAGCTCTCGGAAACGCGACCGACTTCTCATTGCAGAACTAGGTAGGTAGGTAGGGTTGGTATGCCGGTCTGCTCTTTAAAATTAGGTGGATTTGCCAAACATGAAATAATATTGTACCTTTCGATTTCCATTGTCCTTTACCCACCTTCTGCACTGTCAATGTAGCTATGGTATGTTCTCTGAGTTCAAAAATAGCTTGTCACCTGTCATGCCGCTACTATATCGCCCTTTGGACGTCTACCACCCCAATGCCTGAGTCAACATACCACCACCTGATGCCCGCTTTCCCCCCAATGGGCCAGCTCCACAGTCAGCTGCGGGCAAACTGATCGACCCAAATACAGTGCAGGGCGTGTTCCATAATAATATCTCTATCCGTGAACAGCATATCATTCGCTTGTGCACTTAGCTGTTGACATTTTTGTAAAGGGCGGCGCAATCAATGATTACGATGATCATGAACAGAATCATGTTTTTCTGTCCCTGGGCGAGTGTTCTTATCCGTTTACTATTCTTATAGCCATAATCCTGATCAGTATTTAAATTGATGGAGCTTGATGACAAAAACATCCTGGATACACCGTAAATACCTTTTGGCAGCTACATACTTAACTACACAACATGACCCATTAACGGTCGAAAAATCCTGCTTGACTCGGACACACGGGACCCATGCCGCAGTATGTTTCAGGCTCTAGAAGATCCACAATCTGAAGAGGATGTAAATTAATTCGCTGCGTACCTTAAATACCTAGATATTGCATCAAGTACGCTTGGCCCGATATCGGGGAAGAGCAACCTCAGACCGAAATTCATCACGAGCCGATATCGGTCTTCACACAAAGAGCAAGAGCAAGTGGAAGACAAGTAAGCAATTTAATCTCATTCAGCGTTGTACCCGCATAATGCAGAAACCTCAGAAAGTAATTAAAACAAACCACAAACTTTTGGGCAAAAGGAAACAAAAAAAATTAAATGGCAACAAGCCATGCAAAACCAGAGGTGACGATTAATCCCAGTGACGTAGTGTAGCCCAATGGTCCGTACACCTAGAACCTCTAGACCCAAAAGACCCTTACCTTAGTTCGACACAAAAAAATGAAAAATCAACGGGAAGAAGCAGTTTAGAAAGTGACCTTCCGGCCCTGGAAGTCACCGAAACCGCCACGGTTTGTCGTACCGCCACGGCCTCCGCGAGGACCGCCGCGGCCACCACGTCCACCACGAGCACCACCACGGGGGCCACCACGACCGCCACCGCGGCCACCGCGGCCACCAGCATCACCACCAGAGCGGGCCGAGGCGAAGTCGCAGCGGATGGGGCGACCGCAGATCTCAAAGCCACGCATGTTATTGAACGCCTCCTTGGCCTCCTCGACGGAAGAAAACTGGACGTAACCAAATCCCTTGAGGTTACCGGATTCACTGCCGACAGGATTAGCTAAGGCAATTGATTGAAAAGTATGAATGGGCTTCTTACGGATCAGTAGGCAGACGGACAGCGGTGACAGTACCGTAGTAGCCGAACTGCTCGCCGATGATGTTCTCGTTTGCCTCGAAGGAGATGTTACCGACGAAGAGGGTGTCGCTTTCAGAGCTGACCTGGTCGCCAAACTGTTGGGCCCGCGAGCTTGCGCGGTTTCTAGCACCGTCATCGGAGCGGGGCGTGGAAAAGTCGACATTGGCCTCACGACCGTCAATCAGAGCACCCTTCTTGGCCTCGAGGGCGGCGGCAGCGTCCTCAGGCTTGGAGAACTCAACGTAGCCGAAACTGGATCGTGTTAGAAAACATCTTCAAAAGCTATTTGCAAGCACTTACCCCTTCGAGCGACCAGAATCTCTATCAGTGACAATACGAGAACCGACAACCTCGCCAAATTCCTCGAACTCCCGTCCAAGCCACTCGTCGTCAATATTCCAGCTCAAGTTGCCAACAAAGAGTGTAGTTGTGCCTTGAGCGGCGGCCTTAGGCTTCGACTCGGAGACCTCAGTCTTCGACTTCTTAGCAGCAGTGTCGTCCTCGGCTTCCGCCTTGCGCTTCTTGGGGCTGGACTCCGCCTCGCTCTCATCAGAAGACTCCTCGCTGCTGCTACCAGAGCCGGACTCAGAATCAGAGTCAGAAGACTCATCAGAAGAAGCCTACAAACGGGACCATTAACTTAAGAAAAGGATATTAGATCGAAGTTATGTCAAAATTTACCTTCTTCTCAGTCTTCTTCTCGGCAGCCTTGGCTGGCTTCTCTTCGGCGGAGCTCTCCTCAGAGTCGCTGTCGCTGTCGTCGCTGTCGCTCTCAGATTCAGACGAGGCTGCCTTCTTGGCGGCAGGCTTGGGGGCGGCCTTAGCCGGCTGCTTCTCTTCCTCGCTCTCGCTTTCGCTAGAGCTCTCACTGTCAGAAGAAGCATCCTTCATTTCGACATCCTTCTTCTCGGCCGCCTTCTTGGCGGGGGCAGGCTTCTCATGCTCGGAGTCGGAAGAATCCGATTCAGAAGAGGATCCAGACTCGGATTCGGACTCGGATGAAGAATCCTTCTTAACAGACTTCTTTCCGTTCACCTTAGCCTTGGGCTTCTTAGTCTCGACCTCAGACTCGCTGCTGGAAGAGCTAGAGCTCTCCTCGCTCTCGCTTTCGCTGCTCGACTCAGGAGTGGGCTCCTTAACCTTCTTGTCCTTTTTACTCTTCTTGGACTCGGTCGAAGCGGCAGCCTTCTTGGCAGCCTCCTTACCCTTGGCCTTGGGAGCCTGAGAAGGCTTGGAGATACCACCAGACTTGACGGCAGAGAGAGACTTGTCGGCGCTCTTGACCTTCTTCTCGGTCTTCAATTCCTTGGATTTGGCCATTATGAATTAAGTTTTTCGATCAAGATCTGAGTTCAGTTAGCAACACGGAAGCGACCAGAGGCAAATTTTGCAAGAAAGAAAAGTTCTTCCGATGACCAATCAATTTGGTCAATGGAGATGATCCCAGCCACGATAATGAATATCGCTCACAAACTTCGTAATGAAGTCGTAAGGATGTGAGAAGCAACACACAAAAGGTTATGTTGCTCAGTCTCACTACGTGCGGCAAGCCCTCAGAAGTTCACAAGCCCACAGAAGTTAAATGCCCCCGGATGCCCACAGCCCACAAGAAGACCCACGATTCAAAAGCGAACAAGCCACTCTCAAATGGTACCTCAAAGTAGTATGCGAACGGTCAAAAGAGCCCACTGTAGCCACTGCCCACAGGTCCAAAACAATTCTGCAGCTGTTGCGAAAAACAACTGGTGAATGCCCACGGAGATATTATTGTAGCTTGGCAAAGAGAGAACACTCTCTTGGAATAAGAATATCCGACTCACCCACAAAAGTCAATAGATTTCACGATGGTTCCTAGAAGAGAATATCGCGATGGGGAAAGGAAAAAGTAGAAACGGCGGAAAAAGTTTCTTAAGGGACTGAGAGCTTTCTCACCGCGCACGGGTTTACTTCTTACACCATGCCTAATATAGTCTAGTCTGGGGTGAAAATCACATCTCTTGTTCACCGAGGCGACACGGGTGGAGCAAGCGAAGAGTGCAGGACACAAACACTTCTAGTACTTGCGAGGTTGCTGGTAATTTCAATCTTTAAGCGAACGGGAAAGGATGAACCGAGACAAGGCTACACCCAAGATGGTATGGGCAGAGAACATAGGATCGAACGAAGATGTTTCTGTGAGCTTACCAAATCTGTCAAGTTTACGGCGATTACCGAATACATCCCTGAACACTTGTCAATGTCTACTTTGTTTGGGGGGGCTTTCGAGGGGAGCTCAAAGGAATACTAGAATCGACACCTTTTTCTTTGTGACCAACGCGGCCAATTTGTTCCCCTTGTCTGAATCATGTCAATATAAGCAGGGGAGATTGCCCACCAAAGGCTTGAGATTTTGCCAAACATCTCGTACTCCTATCTATGGCAATTTTGCCCCTCATTCACTAAAGCCTCGATATGCCGCCGAAAACTCCAGCTTCAACTCATCGACCGCGACGAAGAAACAAGATCTCCACTGGTCTACCTTCCACTCCAGGTCATGGAACCTCGATTTTCGATCCTTTAACACAATCTCAGCGTCCTGCATTTCCTCTAGCGGCATTCCTTTGGCCCGCAAGAGGAACGACATCGCAATGGGTTCTGCTACCTGTCCTGCTCATGGTCGTAGGCCTCTTTCGATGGGCGATAGGTTTATGGGGCTATTCCGGTACGGAAAAAACATAAATTGTTTAGCGAAGGACGAAATTTTTTTTTTATAAATTGCTAATGTGTTCTTTGAACAGGATTCAATTCTCCTCCTATGCATGGCGACTTTGAAGCGCAAAGGCATTGGATGGAGATCACGAATCATCTGCCTGTTTCCAAATGGTACTTTTATGACCTGCAATGGTGGGGCCTCGACTACCCACCGCTGACGGCATACCATAGCTGGCTGTTGGGAAAAATGTATGGACGAAGATTCTTCTACTCTTTCACAAATATATTTCTCTAATCATCCGCAGTGGTTCAAAAGTCAACCCCGCTTGGTTCGCCCTAGACACTTCGCGGCGCATGGATGACCCAATGCTAAAAATATATATGCGAGCGACGGTCATTATCTCAGAATATCTCATCTATATTCCAGCGATTATAGTATTCTTCCGCCACTTCCGCCGCAGAGAAGCCGTCGATACGTGGGAGTCCTCAATTGCTCTGCTCGCCTTTCTCATGCAACCGGCAACGATTCTCACTGATCACGGGCATTTCCAATACAACACTGTCATGCTTGGTTTCTTTCTAGCGGCTTTGTCGAACATTTTGGCGGGAAGATTGTTGTGGAGTTGTATCTTCTTTGTTGCCGCGCTGGGCTTCAAACAAATGGCTCTCTACTACGCACCGCCAATTTTCGCGTATCTTTTGGGGGTCAGCGTCATTCCAAGACTGCATCTGTCACGCTTTCTTGGTATTGCCATTATTACAATCCTCTCCTTTGTTCTTTTGTTGGCACCCTTTATCATAGGGGTGGCCTATGATGTGCACCGGCAGATTCCGATGGACGAGACCGAACCCCCTCTCCTTTCCATAATCCCTTTCCGTTTGGATCGACAGGCATTCTACTATCCATTCGTTCTCCAACTTGGGCAGATGGTCCACCGCGTTTTTCCATTTGCTAGGGGTATTTTCGAAGACAAGGTTGCGAATATCTGGTGCGCGCTTCACACATTCCACAAGCTGCACAAATACCCCCAGATCTGGCTGCAGCGTATATCTCTCCTTGCCACATTGGCGGCCATTGCGCCTTCTTGTTTGGTTATTTTTCTAAAACCTCGACGCGACTTATTACCTTTGACGCTGGCGAGCTCTGCGTGGGGCTTTTTCCTATGTTCTTTCCAGGTGCACGAGAAGAGTGTCTTGTTACCACTCTTGCCGATGACTCTTCTTCTGGGTTCTGACAGTGGCCTTGGACCGAGCAAGCGCTCTTGGATAGGCTTTGCAAATATACTTGGCGCATGGACTCTGTTCCCACTGCTCAAGAGAGACGAGCTGCGATTTCCCTACTTCATTTTCACTCTTCTCTGGGCATATCTACTTGACATTCCGCCTGCCTCTCTAGGCGTTTACACGTCCTACCATTCCCAGCCTGAGACCGCAGTCGGATTGCCAACCAAGTTCTTGCACATTTCCTTCTACTGCACCATGGTAGTGTGGCATTTCTTTGAATTCTATGTGGCGCCGCCACAAAGGAAGCCTGATCTTTGGGTGGTAGCCAACGCAGGCATCGGCGCCGCCGGTTTTGGTATTTGCTATCTCTGGTGCACGTGGCACTTGCTCTTACAAAGCAAGCTTTTCTCGGATGCTTCGCCCCAACCAGCTGCGGTAACACCACTGAAGCAACGCTTGCGGTCAAATGGCAGAGCAAAGCAACTTTGATGCCGTTGTTGTCACATACAGTCTAATAGAGCCGTGGGTACAACACCCCATTATTTCCATTACCTTTGTTGGCGTTTCCATTGGTCAATTGAGAGAAGAGATGATTTTCTAAAGCTACAGAAACCTGTATAGTACAGCCTTTTCGTTTTATTAGAGTAGAAAGTATGAAACATGTTATTCTATGAACCAAATCCGTCAATGCTCTTGCGCCGATTCCATGCTGCCGGTATGTATAAACTTCCCCTCCCTATAGTATAGTACGGGTATTGTACAGCGCTCGCTGCGCGTCAATCATTTGCTTAAGGGAGCTTGAACCCGTAGCCAGCCATGCAGCTCCTGTACTTGTCGACGAGGCTCTGGCAATCTTTTTCGGCGTTATCGCTCTTGGAGAAGAGCATGCACTCGTCTCGGGAAGCCTTTTCGTCCTTGCAGACACAGCAGGGCTATTGATAACTCATCAGCAAAAACAAAGATCGAAATCCGGTTCGTAGCGGGATAGGACGCACCTTGACCTTTGGAGCTTCCTCGGCGGTCAGCTTGACATCGTTGCCCAAGTTTACTGCTGTGGCGCAATATCAGTAATGATCCAAAGTGCGAATAGGGTTCAATTGGACGGCTTACGAGCAGGCGCAGGAGCAGACATATTCGCTTGAACAGACAATTGTTTTCCGAAAAATCAAGAGAAAATATCAATCAATGAAATGACAAAAACAGCAGATGAAGGAGAAGCATTCGGATTGAAACTCGGAATCGCAAATGTCGCAATAACCCGTCTAGAAATTACTAATAATCTGATTTGTCGGTCTCGGGAATCGGGATTAGATACTCCGCGCGATAGAGACCAAGATGGTTGATTTGATGTAGGTCTGAGGTCAAGTGCCCTCCATGCAACATCAATGGTATTTCTAGGGTACCGTATCCACACAAAAGCCGCCAGGGCCGCCCGAGCCCCACGATGCCCCACTAGACGCTAAGGGTTCAAGTTATTGGTCTCGATCTGCCTCGAGCAAAACAGTTTTGGTATTCCCCCCTCCAAACAAGCAAATCGCCAATCTCTCCCAAAGAAGCATTGACTTTGGTCTCTTTGCTATACGCTCACGTTCTACATTCTTCTCTGCGCGCATCATACACAATGACCGTTACTAAGGTCTTCTCCCTCGAGGGCAAGGGCCTCAAGCTTGACACTGCCGCCGATATTGAGCCCCACATTGTTCCTCTCCGCGACAATGACAGTGTCGAGGAAGTCCGCTTTGGCGGCAACACGTTTGGAACGGAGGCAAGCAAAGCGCTAGCTGAGGTTCTCGCAACGAAAAAGTCTCTTCAGGTGTGTGCTCCTTCTCAGACGAGCTCCCATTTTGCCTCTTTCGCCGAAATCCATTGAACGTGTTTTTCAAAACTTTCGCGTCTCTTCTTTTCAGCCCATCGCATGACTAACACCTCTGCTATAAATCACAGATTGCAAACTTTGCTGATATCTTCACCTCCCGGTTGCTCTCTGAGATTCCTCCAGCGCTCGACGCTCTCCTACAAACGCTTCTTGCGCTTCCTCGCCTCCATACCGTCGACCTCTCTGACAATGCCTTTGGACTCAATACTCAAGCGCCTCTTGTCGCTTTCCTTTCCGCACATGTTCCCTTGCGGCATCTGATTCTCAACAACAATGGTCTTGGCCCTCACGCTGGTGTCCTCGTCGCCGACGCTCTGACCGAACTCTCGAAGAAGAAGGAGGCCGCTCGGAAGGAGGGCAAGGAAGTTGCCGAGCTTGAGACTGTCATCTGCGGGCGTAACCGTCTCGAGAACGGCTCGATGAGCGCATGGGCCCAGGCTTACTCTGCTCACCGCGGCATAAAGCTTGTGAAGATGGTCCAGAACGGTATCCGACAAGAGGGTATTTCGCACCTGCTGCGCGAAGGTCTCCGCCACGCTGCCGGCCTGCGCGTGCTTGATCTCCAGGACAACACGTTCACTATCATGGGTGCCAAGGCGCTGGCCGAGGTTGTTGGCGGCTGGACCGCTCTGGAGGAGCTGGGTGTTGGCGACTCGCTTCTCGGTGCCCGGGGCGGTGTGGTGCTCGCTGAGGCTCTGGCAAAGGGAACCAACGACAAGCTCGAGACTCTGCGCCTGCAGTACAACGAGATTGACATCAAGGGTGTGACTGCATTCAAAGACGCCGCGAAGGCTGCTCTGCCTGCCTTGAGACGTATCGAGCTTAACGGCAACAAGTTCAGCGAGGAGGATCAGACTGTCGACCAGCTCCGCGACTTACTCATGGAGCGTCGCGAAGAGGCTGGTGTTGAGGAGGACGACGAAGACAAGTGGGGTATTGACGAACTGAGCGATCTGGAAGAGGAAAGCGAAGAAGAAGAGGAAGAAGAGTCTGAGGAGGAAGAGGAGGAAGAGGAAGAGGAAGAAGAAACCGACGCCAAGGCGGAGAAGACGCTCAAGGAAGCCGACGAGGCAGAAGCCGAAAACGTTGCAGAGCAAAAAGACAAGAAGGTTGATGATCTCGCCGACTTGCTCAACAAGGCCGAGTTGAAATAGAGCTTCTAATTCTCACTATCGGTATGATACAGTGATAAGTGGGCGCTGCCGAGTAGACGCTATACACGCGCCTCTCTCCCTCTCAGCACTCTGGATGAAGCATTATGGCCGTTCCTCCTAATAGAGTCCGTCGACGGTGACTCGTCTCTGCAGACTGTACTCAGAGTGAAGGTTCTCAAGAGAGCTCTGGTATCATTCATGTCCAACCGATAGCTTTTCTTCCCATCTGTCCCAGTTGGTTAACTCGCCATATGTACACTGTTCGTCTTTTGCTATATCGTTCATGAGGCGACTCATCTTTTTTCTCCCTTCCCCTTTCTCCTCTTTTTTCTTTCTTCCCTATCATATTCTCTCACCAATCGGGGTCTCGCCCATCCTGTTACATTCCCGTTTCTTCATACTTTTCTCCAATCTCACAGGTTCCTTCTCCAGCCCCTATTCACCTTTCGAATATTAGTTTTTTATTCTGATTTCTGGTTGGTTTTGTTCTCATTTTATTTTTGTTAAAAAAATCTTGTTGGCGTTCAGCGGTATTTATCACAGCCTTACAAATCCTAGAACCCAATCCAATTCCAGAAAGATCTCTTTTCCCCTCTCACACACTTTCTTTCTCGCGTCGACCCCTCCAATGGCCATCACATGCATTTTACAAGGTGTTTTTCAAAGCCGTTTTAGAAATCTTCAATTTTATTTAAAAAAAAAAATGAAATGATATATATAACCTACGTAAAAGAGACTGGATTTAAACTACATTAAGGTACTATTGCCGGGATACTAAATCTACTGGTCCTATCTCGACATCGACATGTCCCCATCCCTCTCAGCCTCTCTCCTTCCTCGTCTTTGCCGCGTCATTATCATCGTTGTCACTGCTTGGGGATTGTGGCTGGGTCTGGGACTGGAACTGAAATTGGTCCTTGATCCCAGCAGCATTAACAGACTGCTTATCAACGTCCAACGTACCCTTAGTTTCAGATGACAAGACAAGTCTCTTCGGCGCGACGCACAAACTGACCAACGTCCCGACGCTCACCACGTATGTATACAGGATCCACAAAGACACCTAGGATGGAAATGCTTCCGAACCAGTCGAGTGGAAATGATTAGAGATTGTTGGAAGAGCTGGCGAAACGGTGTCTATAGTATTGTCAATATATATATATATATATCTATTTCAGATTTTCTGCAAGGACGAAATAGAAATGCTTTTACTTAACAAAATCCATAGCAGCCAAGAACAGGCTCAGCTGACACATGTGAAAGCTAGAACTTAGCATGATCAAATATGCCATAGATCAGGATATTGGTCTCTGCTTTGTTTCTCGAACATACAAATAATGCAGCAATCATGACTAATATTTGTGAGCGTAGCATATGCAGAACCTCCCTGAGTTGGCAAGCACCATCGCTCAATGGCACAGCACAAGATTCCTTGCTGTCGAGATGCAAATGCTCTGCAGTCATAATGAGAACCTGTTTGCTAACATTCTAATTGACAACATTTTTGGATTTTTCACTGGTTGGCATATTAGACATGGTGTTTGTTTTCACTGTTATCATGCTAAGATCCACCTTTCCCCTGTAGTATCTGATAAAACACACAAGTTCACAACCTGACAGATGCCTGAATTGTGCAAAGGTATTTTCTTCAAAAATGAGCAAAATTCAGTTGAGCATTTTCACGGCAGGATCGAGGTGCAATTGCATGAAGAAATAGAAGTAGCGGCTTTGGCTTCGGCTTTGACAGCATCATATATCTGAGAGACCGAGAGATTGATAAAACAGTCAATAAAAGTGCTGTTAAGAATCCTATATTTCCTAGTCTCCTAGAGCTGGCTTAATCATCGCATGTCCTGTTCTCAATTAGATTAGTCTATAGCAGATCAAATATCATTCATTCTCAAAGTATTCCCAAAGTCGATTTTCTTGGAGTTCAGTTCAGCTTTAAGGATTCTCTTTGCTGGTCATTTGTTGGAAGAGAGAACGCCGTTACAGTTATCAGATGAAGTGGGAGGTGGGTTAGCTAGGCGTTCCACTTATTTGATACCCGCGTCTTAACTGTACTTAGGCGAGCTTTGCGATTGATTTAGCGCCTGGGCGCCTGGACTGGCGGTGGAGTCTCCTGATGTCTCAAGGCCCCTAGCTCCCGTTTCGTGAAAAAGTCACAAAATTGTCTGGGCCAGATTGCTTTAAAGAAGAGCGGAACTTCAGTTGGGAAAATTGCATCCCATGATGATTGCAGTGATAACTAAGTCCTTTAAAGTATTATCTTTTTTTTTTTTTTTTTTCCCAAATGCTTTGTAATATGGTGCAATATCTATTCTTGATACCAATATTCTCCGAATACAATTTTACTGTATAGGATCATGTTAATGCACAAGCAGTTGATTTACCAAAGGCGTTTCTCTGGTAGAAAAACCAGTCCATGATTCAGGAAGAAGACAGATGATATGGCATACGGCGGTGGAAAATATCCGACATGTTTTCCTAATATTCCTATGTTCAAATGGTAACCAAAGGGAGAGAGAGAATCATTGTTGAGTTAGAAACAGTCACTTCGTAACATGTTTACTACGTAGAAGAATTTCATTTTCATTTTAGCCAGTACAACATCTAATGAATGTACATGGAAAGTGTCAAGATAATATTCTGGCAATGTAAGAAACGTGCAGGATGGCTTATCACATGTAAAAATTATCTATTTTCAGACTAGCGGATTGGTCGCTCTCACCTTCATGTTTCGGATCATCAATACACCGAATGTCTATCTTCTAACTGATAAGACAGCGCCGACGATAGCCGACTTGTCCACCCCAGTTGGGTATTCATTGACGAGGGAATCCTGGTGACTACTAATTTCAACTATCGAGTTGCTCCTGAAGCTAAGAAGAAACTTGCATTTAGGCTGATTTGAAGGTGCCGAGAGCCGGGCTCATTGTTTATTGATTTTTGAAAGAATAGAATTTGCCAATTTGGCAGCGTTCCAGATATGTGAAAAGGTTGCATCAATTAGTTGAAGAAAAAGATGTAGCTGCTCATACTCGTAGATGACACCTGAGTCGGGATGTTGCAAGAGTTGCCGACAGCCGCGAAAGACTTGTACTTTAGAAATTATTACCAAGCGTCGTATATCCCTCGATACAGTTGGGCTTCCTCGCAATGGCCAAAGGTCAATCCCGCGTGGGGGTCTAATCAGTATAATTGATGTGCGATTCGGTTATTTGCTTGGTTGTCAAAAGAACGCTACACTGATAGTTAGCCTTAGCTGCAACTATCAAGGACCGATAGCTCTCTCGCCCGTGTCTTCTCGACACTCTGGGCGGTGACAAGAACGACGACTGCTCTTTATCGTTTCGATCGTTTTGGTTCCAGTCTCATTGGCAACGCACGAGTGAACGCCAGTTTTCTACTTAGCTCGCCTACAAAGTATACAGAAGGAACGCTGCGTTTGATTTCTTAAGTCAATGTTGACCTAATAGGTGTAGAAATCTTAGATGGTATTAGCGGATAGCAGGCCAGCGCTACGTCGACAAACCACCTGGTTGAGTGGCGCTTAAACAAGGGCGTTACAACACGCGGCCATTCAAGGATCGACATCCTCGTAGAGTCGAATAGGATTGAAAAGTCAGCGAACTTATCATGCCTGTTCGGTTGACTAGTACAGAGTATAGGCTTCATTGCCCTCCTGTGGAAATTTTCCGCGGGATAGGATTGCAGGCATACCTCGAGCCGATCAGAGAATAACCCAGCGAGCTAGCACCATCGGCTGAATCTCGTCCTCGCCTGCAGACTCAGCTGCGCTCTGGCCATCACTCTCAAGCATGGCCGCTAGATACATCCACCGAACCCCACCTAGTTGCCCTTAAATATCCTCTGTGGCGTCGACTCGGCCCTGCTGCATTTCTGTGACGGGTCTCGTGCCAAATAAACGGACCGCAAAATCGCCCTTGTGGACAAAATTTGCACGAACTCAAAGAACTATACTGTCATTGTTCTCTGTGATTCGAAACTCAAAAGTCAGACAAGAAACTTGTGCGGGGATCAACAGCCATGCTTATGGTTGTTTATCCAGCTTGGTAGAGGTGGTTTCGAGTAGCTAATAGCCCTTTTCCCGGGTACCAGTGTCTTAACAAACTTGGCTTTTTCGCCGTTCAGGGTTAGTCTGAGAAAGTAATGGCACTTTAGGTTTGCAGAGTCGAATATTTGCGGTTCAAGCTCTGGTCATTATCAACTTGCGCATATCGCATCTATGCCATTGCTTCAATTGCTGTTTGGCTTGATCAGTCATGCATCTCGAAAAGCGAATGGGCAAGAAAAAAAAGTCTCGTATAGTTACCATTATATTGAATACGATATATCTCACAGATGGTGCAGCAACAATGTGACACCCTGTTGTTGGTGGTGGTTGGAGTCACTCGTACTGGTTGATTGGAGTTGTTTCGGACCGTTTTTAACCGAGAGCGAGACTAAAAGCGGAAAAAGGAGTTTCTGACACCAACGTGACGTGTTTCCCAATGGACTTGCCGGTCCCGCCAACCGTGCGGTCAGGACGTTTTTCGAATCAGTTAGTCTTCCCGTTGTTGCCTCCAAAGAGAGGGAAAGGCAGGGCGAGATATGATCAAACTAGCATGGTTACCCCCCTCCAAGCGTCTCTTGCAGGGCGCAGTAGGGCGGGCTGCAAACTTCTTGACTTGCAGAGGGGGAAATTTACTAATGAACAGGATTCACCTCAGTGTGACTCGGCCATTTATATGCTAAACACGTCGCTCGTTCTCTCAAAGCTGTTTATGGATATATAGTCGACCTGTGAAATTTGCTATTCAGCCTGATTGAATATTGAACAGATAACAGTGCCGCTAACGCCAGTGACAACTCGGACATTGACGACATAGTCGACTGCTGGCCAGTCTGTCTCTCATGGAACACATTTCTACCAACTCAATTGACTAGGCCACATTTCATTCCCCTCTGCGGCAAACATTATGGCGACGACACGGACGAGCCATGAAACGAGCGCCTCGAGATCCTCGAGCTCATCGAATTCGTCGAGTGACTCGAAAGAGTGGGAACAGGGTCATGACTCCTCCGACTCAGAGGCATCCCATGCAGACATTGCAACTCCGGCGATCGAGACTATACCAGAGATCAATAGCGAGCCAAAGGGAAAGGAAGAACTGGACCTTTCGCTGCAACAGTCGCAACGGGGATCTTTGACTCGCACCTTATCTCGTATGTAAACTCTTGTTCCGGCGGATTTGGAAAGAATATGTTCATGGAACGAACTAACGTCGATTTTCCAGGGACCATGTCCAGAGTCCGTACCAATGCCTCAAGAACGATACCTCCCGTGTCAGAAGAGGACGATATTATTGCACAAAGAGCAAATGGAAGGACTGTTGTAGGATTTGAGCTCGAAGATCCTGGGTATCCCGGCAATTGGTCCAATGTAGGCGATCTTTTCCGTTGGATATATTTGATGTCTAAATTTTAGCCGTTCTATCGAAACACTAACATTATGAAACAGAAATGGAAGCTAGCCATTGCCCTGGGTGGTATTTTAATGACTCTCAACAGTACTCTGGGTTCGGCCATGCCTTCCGGAGCTATGAAGTGGATTGCTTCAGACTTTCATGTCACTAATGCCCAGCAAAAGGTTCTACCCATCTCCACATATCTGCTGGGTTATGTTGTTGGACCTCCGTTTTTAGCTCCTTTTTCTGAGTTCTTCGGCCGACAGCGTGTGCTACTGGTCACTTTTCTTTGGTTTACAGCGTTCACATTGGGAACTGCTTTGGCGCCCAATTGGCCTGCATTTCTCGTTTTTCGATTCCTGTCCGGTCTAGGAGCCTCGGCCCCCTTGACGCTAGCCGGAGGAGTCTATGCCGATTGTTTTCCAAATCCAGTGTCCAGAGGACGTGTTATGGCCTATTTCTCTGCTGGAACCGCTGCAGGCCCCATGGTTTCTCCAATCATTGCTGGATTTTTAGGCACCGTTTCATGGAGATGGGCTTTCTGGGTGGAGCTCATGTTTGCCGGATTAACTTTGCCTTTGGTCTTGTTTCTTCCAGAAACGTTCCCGCCGGTCATTCTACGGAGACGAGCAGCAAAAATGCGAAAGGAGCAGCACACCGATGCGATTGTTGCCCCTATGGAGCTAGAGGATAAAAGTCTGGAGAAAACGCTCTTTGTGAATATCTTGCGATCTATTCAAATGTTCTTCACTGAACCGATTGTCTTGTTGGTTTGTCTATACCTTGCCTACACATATGCACTGCTTTATCTCTTCTTCGAGTCATTTCCGATCATCTATCAAGGTATGGCGCTCTCTCACTGGCACTCAACCACGCGAATCTAATGGTGGCAGGTATTTATGGCATGAAGCCTGGTATTGCCGGTCTTGCCTACCTCCCGAGTAAGTTAATTTTTCGCTTCGCCATTGTTTCTGAGTACCCGAGCTGACGTTTTGGTAGTTTTAATCGGAGCCTGCTTTGCCATTTTTATTGTCTATTACTGGGACGGTCATGTCGAGAAGAGGCGAAAGCTTCATCCCGATCAGGAGGTTTCTATTGAATATCGACGTCTTCCCCTTGGTTGCCTTGGTGGCCCTTGCTTGGTCATTTCCATGTTCTGGATTGTGAGTAGCTCTTATTTCATCTCGTCACTGATCGGCCTTAATTCTAATGCGATCCAGGGCTGGGCATCCAAGAAGTCCGTTCATTGGATGGCACCCATTGTTGGTGGCTTTCCTTTCGGAGTCGGTCTCACGACCATTTTTATCTCTCAACTTAATTACCTGGGTGATACCTATGAGATTTTTAATGCTTCAGCTTTAGCCGCTTCGAACTGGTCTCGATCGCTTTGTGGCGCGCTTCTCCCCCTCGCTGCTGCACCCATGTACGGCACCTTGGGTGTTGACTGGGCAAGTAGCCTTCTGGGGTTTTCGGGCATTGCTCTTTCCGCTATTCCATTTATTTTCATGAAAATCGGCCCAAGAGTGCGTGCTCAGAGCCCTTTCTGTCAGTATTTGGCGGAAAAGAGGGCGGCAGAACAGCGCAAGGAAAAGATTCGAATCGAGAATGCCAAGCATGAAATTGCCCTCGATAACAACCTCTCCTAGGATGTCGTTTCGAGAGCGCCCGATCCTTGTATCATTTGACAGCTTCATGGACTATTCTGATAATTCGACGACATTTGCATTCATAGCGACGGCGTTATCATGGTTTCATTATGTTCAGACGGGCAACAGAATATTTCTCGGTCTGGCCTGCATCGGGACGGCGCAGGGGCAAGTAAAAAGGTCGATTCATTTCAAAACTCGGTCTACACAATCTAGATTTTCATTATTTAATGCTCCTTTACAAATTAATAATAATCATATCCCTGAGTGTTCTACTATCTTAGGATCGCCCATACCTTTGTGGCCTTCTCATCTAGTAAGCCAGTAAAACAATGCGGTAGACTCTTACGGTGCCGCTTCGTGCTTCTATCTTATCTTATCTCTTATATCAATCGCATCAGATCGACCTTGTCGCCAGTGCTCAGCCTGGGCGTCCCCTCGACCTCCCTGCTCTCGAAAGAATACCTATTCGCGCAACGTCATTTCTTTGTTTGACTTTTGATATTTGGGAAGGGTGGGTATGCTGCATAGTCTATGCGGATTCCTTTAACGCCATATTCTGATTACGATCAAGCGAGTTAGCTTAAACGCGCATGTGGACACCTAGCTATTCATGACGCCTCATCGCGCTGGCGAAGAACCTACAGCTAACGCTATCACTTTCATGACGAATTGCTCCATGGCGTTACCTGTAGCTTGATCGAATAGTTTAACAAAGTAGTCAAGCAGACGGATACATCATGCCGGGCGCCGACAGTGCCTCTATATTCTCCGCCGCTACCACAGCACCTACAGTTGCCGAGACAATCTTTCCCAAGGGACCAAGCTTCACGTTGGACAATTTTTCCAGCCAAGATTTCATTGTCAAAGAGTTCATCGAATCGCTTTCTGACAGTGCAGTGCCAACGAACCGGCGATCTGGGGCGTCGTCTCAAGCATTCGATCCTAAGCCTTTTATTCGGACATTCGAGTATGCCCTTTCCCGTCTTGGATCGTTATCGGAAGAGCTGGAGGGCCATGAGAATGAGCTCTCAGCGGCAGTACGCCGGGCCGAATTACAGCATAATCAGAACGTCGCCTCATTAGGGAAGAAGCTCGACCAGACCATTGCATCCTTTCACCGACTTGATACTTCGTTAAACGGCAGCGCAGGCGACATTGGGCAGACAGAAGCTGGAGGAAATGTCGCTATGCGAATTGGTGAGAGGTTGGAAGAGTTAGATAGGCAACGGCAAAGAGCACAGGATGCGCGGTTTTTGATACTGTGCTGGCTAGAAATTAGCGAACGCGGAGAGCTGGCCTCTCTGGAAGACGTTCGGAGACAAGGCGGTAGCGAAGGGAAGCTTCGATGCGCACATATTGCCAGGCAATTGCTACGAATAAGCCAGAGACTTGATCCATCAAGCTGGGGACATTCGAATGGGACCAGCCGAGCGGTCAATGGCGATGCTGGGCCCTCAGGCCGATATAATACAAAGGAGCTTATCGAGAAGTTCCTTGAAACATTGGAGAAGGATTTACTCAAGCAGTTTGATGACTTTTACAGGAAGCAGAGCCTTGAAGGGATGCGGGTATGTTTGGATCATCATTGTAATATGGGGCTTGATGCTTACCACGTCAAGGAATGCGCGATTGCGTTGCGGGATTTCAACGGCGGTGCCAGTGTGGTTGGACTGTTTGTCAACCAACATCAATTCTTCATCGACCGAAGTCAACTGATCAGCGAGGAAGTCAGCTCAGATGCTGAGATGTAAGAGCCCATTAAGGAAGATACTGTTTGAGCATTTTGGTGACCAATTTGATAGCTTGGAACGGTTGGCGGATCCAGATGCGGAACCACCAGGAGTCGAGCCGAGCCTGCAGTCGCTTGTCGATGAAGTGAGAATCGTGGTTCAGGAGGAATCTTTTATTATTAAACGAGCTTTCCCTTATTATGAGCTCGTGCTCTCCAAGTTTCTTCAAAGAGTGTTTGAGCAATCGGTGGGTATTTACAAACGCAGGGGTATCCTTCTCCGCTAATTTCTTTCTGCTTTTAGATCCAACAACGTCTTGAGTTGGTACTTCAAAAAGCGAATTCCATTTCATCCATGGCATATTTGCGATCTCTTCAAGCTTCAAGGAGCTACATTCATTCCCTTGTAGATGATCTCAAGGCTCACGGCCTTACCGAGCACCCTGAATCCATATCCTCCCAAACAAGCACCGTTCTAGACCAACAATTTGACGACCTCTTTGTTCCCTATTTTGTTGGATCATCCTACATTGAACGAGAAAAAAAGAGTCTTGAAGAGCTGTATTCCTCGTTGCTTTTCAAATTTACTACATATCATGTATGTCCTTCTCTACACTTACTCGGTACACAGTAATTTTAACGTATACTCCAGGCCCGCCGACGCAGAGTGCCTACTACGTTCATGGCCTCTCTGGCGAAATCTGGCAGTGAACTTCTTGCAACAGCGCGTGACGCTTACATTGACCGCCTAGACTCGTCAGACCTCTCTCCGGCACAAAAAGCCATGCTCCTACGAGTTGCGGGTTTAAAGGAGGGAGATGCGAATCAAAACAAGACCGACATCGAGGTCTCTGAACAGGACGGCATTCTCAGTATTCCCAACGCCAAGCGAATGCTCAGGTGGCTCGCAGAAGCTGTTGGCCGGAGTCTCGAACTTGGCGGAGGCAGCGACACTCCAAAGGATGTAGCTGCCCTGCTCAACCTACTTTTAGCCAACATGGGCGAACTCTACATTGAGACCGCATTGGATGCGTAAGCCTTTTCCCCCTTCTTTTCTTCTCCGAGCTGTAAGCTAACGAATAATTCGGGCAACAGGGCAAATGACTTTGCTGCTTCACAAGAAAACATCAAATCTGAACCTGACCTTTCTTATCTCCCCGATCTTCGCAATACCATTAGTGTTATGCATCTTATGATTACATGCATCAATACTGTGCTTGTGCCTCTGGCAGGTTCCAAGCTTGTCGTACGCCGCGACATGGAACGCACCGCAACGCTCGCAATTAACCACATGGAAGAAAAAGTCAGCACGGTCATGCAGCGGACTATCGATGTCATTTTGGCATGGGTCACCAAGTTGCTTGCCAATCAGAAAAAGATCGATTTCAGACCAAAAGACTCTGACGGCAGCAGTGGAAGGTATACAGAACTGTTGCAGACGCCGGTACGTTCCTTCCCTTCCTCCTCCTCTACCCCTTTTGTCATCCTTTTTCCGTCTCATTTACCACTTTTTCTCGTTGTGATGTGTACCGTTTCTCCTGATTCCATGGTGCTTGCTTCTCTTCTTCATCCCATCTAATTCCAAGCCTCTCCAGCCATGCCTGTCCATATATACATTTGTTTCCCGCGCCCGAGACCTCGCCTCTCGGGCGTTTGACGGGAAAAATCTCGAATCATTCACTTCGGAGCTCGCCATTGGTCTTCGGAATCTACTGCTCGACCACTTTAAGCGCTTCCAAGTAAATGCCGCGGGAGGCTTAATGGTCACCAAAGACGCAACCAAATACGCCGAATTACTCCGCTCGTTCCCCTTACCGTCCTATTTTGCGCCTGCGATTGATGTTCTTCCAGAAATCGGCAATTTGTTCGTCATTGGACCAGAAGCCTTGCGCGAGCATCTTCGCGGCGCCATTCCTGCCACTGGCACGGGTCCTAGTACCAGCAGTGCCGGCGCGGACGCTGGTGCTGGAGCTACCGGTAGTGTAACGCAAGGCGCATCTGCAGGATCGGCTGGGCCAGGCGGAGCGGGACGTACCTCTGCGCTTGTCACGGCGCTGGATAGGAATGATTTGCGTCTGTACATCCAGCGGAGAGAGGACGCAGGGAGCTTGGCCGTGCAGTCTATTCTGCAGGCTTTGTAATCTGGCGATGAAGTATGTCTGAAGGGTGAGAGTAAATGGGAATGAGGTCGTGATATTGGTCGCGCGACATTATAGTAGGTGGTCATTACCATTGTATAATTACAATTGTAGCTAGGTATAATTGTAATCTAATTATCGTATCTGTTACATTACAATTACCCGTTACAATATAATCAGACTTCTGATATTGGCCTTTTCCCTGTACATCAAGCCATGTCATACCATGGCCGGTTACTACTTCATCCTTCTTTCCTCGTGTCCATTGTATCCGAGACTTTTATGTATCAAGCACAGTGCACGACTCCGTTATCATGCGTATGGCACTCTTTCGCCGCACTCTGAGTCGTCGTCGCTGTCTTTGCCTCTTTTGTCTCTTTTGTCACTGTTGAGCTTGTCATCGTCGTCATCGTTGCCGTCGCCTCTACCGCTGTCGTCTTTTCTACCACCGTCGTTTTCTCTGCCGTCACACTCCCTGTAGATGCCGCTGCCGTCGTCGTCGTCGCAGCCGCATGCCCAGCATGTCCATGATCCCCCTCACCTCCATCCACTTCCCCAACCCCTGAACATCCCTCCCGCGGCAGGGCTACATCCCACGCAAACACATCGAGCGCAAAATATCTGAGCGTCGCACTATTCCGCACCGCCAGCTGCGGCTTCGTCTGTGCCAGCTCAAGCACCTCTTCATACGTATCCGCATAGTGATCTACTACATTTTCGCTGATGCGCGGCATGTGGTAGATTCGATGGAGCAGGTCAGACGCAAAATACGCAGTATTAGGTGCCTGGGACACGGTGTAGCCGTTGCCACATATCCCCGTGAGGGGTCTCCGCGAGGTGTATGATAGTGGACAGATGACGGTTTCGTCGGTGGCGTTGGAGCCGCGCCAGTGGCCGGCCCAGGTGGTTTCTGATGTTGTTGTTAGTTTGCTTCGGTCTCCTCTTTTTGTATGTGTGTGTGTATGTGTGTGTGTTTGGATTATATTGGTTTGTTGTTTGGCTTTTTCATCCCCAGAATTTGTTCTTGGAAACTTATTTTTGGGGGGGCTGGTTGGGGTTGGAAGGTGAATAGGGGAACAAAATCGGTCTCGGTTTCAAACGCCCATACTTGGGATACTTGGGATACAGGATATGGCTGTGGGATGACCAACTAAACAAAAGGGACAAAAGGGACGGGACAGAAAAACAAGGGAAAGGACATAAAAGGCAAAAAGAGACAAAAGTAACAAAAAAGAAGGGAGGGAAAAAAAGAACAGGAGAAAAAAAGGGGAAAAGGAGAAAGAAAATACCATGAGCTTTACAATTCCCATCAATGTCATCGCACCGAAACCATATGCCGCCCTTATCCGCATTGACTACGCGGTCGAACCACCCCGCCGGCTCCGCGGTCGATGCGTTGCCGAAATACTTGGTGTAGAATCGCGAACTGGCGCCGTGGCGGAGAATATGGTCCCGCGCGTGGCCCGCGAGAACCATGGCCTCGTCGAGCGCGAACTCGAGCTGGCGTCGCTCAGTCGCGTTGCAGGATGCGTGGATGGGATAGCGGGTCACGGCGCCGAGGTTCCATGACCACGGGATCTGGACCTGGACCTGGTCGTGTTGAGGTGACGATGAAGAGAAGCCGAGTCCGGCGACGACGGCGCCGGGAATGTCGGCGCTGGGGAGGAGACCTGCGGCGCCAGAGCCGGGTGCAGATGCAGGTGCAGGTGCCGCATGTCCGAGAGTAGCGGCGAGTAGGATCACCGCAAGACTGCCGCTGCTTGGAAAGGAGGGTAGGGTTGTTGGGAGTAGCATTTTGAGTCTTTGACAGGAGACGCAAGATAAAGGTAAAGGCTGGATGGAAAGAAAACAGTAGTAGTAGAGAGGGGGAATATAATTGCTGGACTGGTTTGATCTGTTGATGAAGAACTAGAAAAAAAGGGGGGAGATCCAAAAGATATATATATTATTTGAAAGAGGTGCAGATAGAAAGATCAATGATGAAGACTATAGAATGAGACACACAGACGGACAAGTCATTTTGCGAAAGAGAAGTGGCGTAAATTGGTTCTAGCGCAGAAATGCCATCTAGATGCAGGCATTCGAAGCTTCATCGGAAGGGAAACCAAAGTAAAACGCGCAATAAAGCAATGATGCAGGAAAGTCAAAAGCATCAACAAACTAGAACTGTTTGCCGTTCCATCAAGGTCCTCAAGAAAGTGGAAACAGAAGCAAAGTAAAAGCAAAGTCATTTCCGTGGAAAGTCCTTGGCAAGGCAGAAATCAGAAAGCAAAGTATTCCTTCGGGAAGTTAGTCAACGGTAAAGAGAAAGATTCAAGGTCCAAAGTTAGGGATGGGTTGGTGGTAGGTGAGCTGATTCGATGGTGAGCAGGGACGAGTTTGACAGGGCAACCATGGTCAGATCCAGACCGCCATGCCGCAGCGCCAAGAAACAATACCTCGAAATCATGCGTGTAAGTCGAATCGATTAAATAACAAGCTGTCAAAAGAAAAAAGAAGGAATAAAATGAGGAATAACGCAACAATTATCGTTACGCCATGCGGGACGAACGTCTGTGGTGGTTGGAGCGTTTGGAGAGGTCGGCCGTCGGCCGTCGGCCATCGTCCACATCGCCAAGCGGAGCGGACTTTGTGCCAAGAAGAAACACCTCCAAGACTCAACGACCAATGCTCAACATCATGAGGGGGAAAAAAGCCTTCACTTTCGAGACAAAAGTGTCTGAATTAGATTATTCAAGGAAAAAACGAGTGAAGTGATTGACAGCAGGTTTGGTAGCAATGAGGCGTGCTGAACCTGGCCAGCCAAGACGTGGCGGCGGAGGGCCAAGAGAAAAAAGGACCGAAGGATGGAAATGGTATATCGCCAGGTTGAGGGCTTGGCAACCGGCCTTTTTATAAGTCAGTTGATTTCCACTTCCCCATCAAGGGACTCATGTTTAATGTCATTTCTATGGTGTGCATACTTTCGAGAAAGAATTTTGTTGTCGTGGAGATTACTTTCTTAGTGGAGAGTGGGGATGAGTCTCGAACAGTGTCGTTTTACGAGACAGAGAAGCATTGGAGGATCACGATTGGAAGTCGACGCACGTGGCGCCCACATGTATTTCATGATGCACGGAATATACTCGATAGAATGTCGAACGCCAGCTGAGGGCGCAGGCAAATGCATCAATGGTGGTGATAGATAGTTGTGACTCCGCTATTATTCATCGCCTAAAAACTTCTTTCTTACCTTCGCGGCGGAGCGAACTTGCTTTCCTCTTGGCAGCGGGTCAATCGTGCCAAGCCATGATCAGATCCTGTATCGAGCCATGGCTTGAGAAAAAACTGCATTTTGAAAGTAAACAGCAAAAAATTTCAAAGTCCATAGGAAGCAAAAGGTCTAGCTAGAAAATGTTTGCATCTTGGCAGTAACCACCAAGGTGCTCTGATTGTGATGATGAAGTCTTAAATTTGTCAATTGTAGCATTTAAACATGCATGAGGGACATTGTCCGGGTGGTTAGAGAATAGTTTACCAGTCAGATATGTTCTTCGCGACGACAGTGGTGCTGTCTGTGCTTGCAGCGCACTCCGTGCAGGCGCAGACCTTCACCTTGACAGGTTGTCACATACACGGCGATGTAGAGTGAGTACTGTTGCGATTGAACGTAAACCCGCAGGAGAACGGTGACTGAATGGAGTATCAGATACTGCTTTCTTCCCAATGGCTCAGAGGTGCCATGGAAGACATATGAGCCACGTACCGCAGCAACGCCGACACCATCAACGACAATAGCAAGCGCAAGTGCAATAGCCACAAGCACTACAGCCACCACAGCATCGGCAAGCAAGACAGTACCAGCTTCAGTGACTGGCTGTCACTCTCATGGAAATAGCCAGTGCGTAAAATCTCCCATCTGATCCGTATTTACTGCTGATTGTTGTGGTGGTCCTGGTAGATTTTGTATGGCAGGCGAAACAGAGTACCTTGTCCTAAACTCGCCCACTGGAACAGGAAACCCTCCATCGCAGTACTCTGGCTGCCATGCCCATGGTTCGGAGGCGTGAGTGTCTAACGCTTCAGAGTCGTCTTTGAGCGTCCAGCGGAGAGATCTAAAACACGTCTGACTTTTTTGTGACCAGATTCTGTATGACGGAAAGTGGTGAAGAGGTCCAGATAGAAGCCGCAATGGACGAGGAAGAGTCTCATGAAACACATGACCACTCCGAAGAGAGTGGATCTTCTCCATCAGGCAATGGCAAGGGCAATGGAAAGAAGAACTGTCATTTTCATGCTGGAGTCGAGTAAGTTGGCAATGAAATACATTCCCGTACCAACCAAACAAACCCCAAAGAAAACATTACCACGACAGACCCTCGAAGAAGGAGCGTCTATGCCGTAGCTCTTTTTGACTGACGATATAAGACATTGTATTGAAGAAGGAGAATCGGAGCATAGCAGTGACACCAAATCTTGCGACCGCATCGACAGGAATTACAATATTCCGCTCCGTATCGGACTGCTTTTCGTGATCCTGGCGACAAGCGCAATAGGTATGCCTATAGAAGACCCTTTAGGGACCGATGAGCTGACTTTGACTTAGCTGTCTTCTCTCCTATCCTCCTTGCCCAATTCACGCAAGTAACGCTAAACAGCTTAGCTTTTACGGCCCTAAAGCAATTCGGAACCGGCGTAATAATTGCAACTGCATTCGTTCACGTTAGTCAAGAACAGTCAAACAGAAATAGAAATTTCAGGCTGACAGGATTAGTTACTTACACATGCACAACTAATGTTCGCCAACGAGTGCCTGGGAACCTTGACGTATGAGGCAACAACTACCGCCATTGCAATGGCCGGAGCATTCCTCGCATTTCTGTTTGAATACATTGGCGGCCGGCTTGTCATGTCTCGATCTTCTCGCAAGTCTTCCCCCGGCACGGATCATGGTTCAGATATTGAACAAGTGACTCCGAAAGAAGATCAAAGGAAACATGGTTTGACTGCCTTGGGGCACGGCCATGGACTGGCAAAGTCGGATGATCACTTCAAGGTTGGCGTGATGGAAGCCGGCATCATTTTTCACTCGATTCGTAAGAGGGCCTTCCTTCGAGGCAATCGGATATGCTGCTGACAAACTATGTAGTAATTGGTGTCACACTAGTCGTAGCTGGCGACTCGTTTTTCATAACCCTATTCATTGTCATCCTTTTCCATCAGATGTTCGAAGGGATTGCCCTTGGTACTCGAATCGCTGCTTTATCATCGCACATGATAACAAAATTTGGAATGGCGAGTGCCTTTGCAATCATCACACCAATTGGAATGGCCATTGGGACTGGTGTGTTGAAGCAATTTAACGGCAACTCAGCCTCGACCATAGTCGCGATAGGCACCTTGGATGCCCTAAGTGCAGGAATCCTGCTTTGGGTGGGGCTGGTTGAAATGTGGAGTCATGATTGGCTCCATGGCGATCTAGCAAAAGCCGGTGTTGTAAAGACTATCGTTGCTTTGTCTTTTCTGTTATTTGGAATGATCCTCATGAGCGTGCTTGGAAAATGGGCGTAAATGCGATCATCGTATATGATATAGATGCGTTATGTCAGTGGGAATTTAGGGCGTATCAGAAAGAGGTGATAATCTTCTTATTTCTTTCACTGCGGCGTCACTTCAGCCATTTCTGGGTAAGGCAACGCGTCTCACGAGAAGTTTCTGCACCGTGGGGTCCAAAATCTGTTCCTGGTTAGTTTGGAGAAAAGTTTAATTTAGCTGAGGTGAGATCTTTAGCATAAGAATGAGAGTAATGAAAATCTCCATGATCTCATTTGGTAACTGTCCATTCGTAATATGCTGTCAACTATGGTTGGTCGAATTTTCAGGTTATGCGCCTCGCAATAGCCCCAATGTAAATGACAGGAAGAACTCGGCTACATGTCTGAAAACCAAGACACTTGTCCTCAGAAACTTGGAACCTTGACCGGTGACAGAAATTTTAGAAATCTTATCTCATATATTGCATAACAAAGGGGTCGTGCGTAGATAGAGACGCCACCGACAACAACAGGAATGACAAATAGAAGCATGAGCAACGTGACGATAAAAGCAAAAGGGACCGGGCTTGTTAAATTCAGGATATGATTGGGTCACATAAAAATATTCCAAATCAACAGCAGATGATGACAATTAACAATGCGGGTCTCAGAGTCGGGATAGAGTGTCGTCGGTCAGCCGCATGTGCACCCGATCCGCCCTTGGCGGGAAACGCGTCTCCGGAAGATTCCAAATACCGATAGGCGCTAGGATCACCAATTGATCCGCCCACTTCGCCTCGGTTCCCACCCCCCCTTATGTGCTCATCTCCACCCGGCCCCCCCAAACCTCCCATTCACATTCATCCACCACCAACATGCTTGAGTCCGATCCATACATTATCGGCACCATCAAATAGGAGTCACGCACAGCAATTCAATTCTTGTGCTGGGCCCAACAAAAGTCTTCCTGCTATTTTGGTACGTTGGATTTCATGAATCATACGATGCTTTGCGTTCAGGGCCGGTGCCCACATGGTTCCATGCTGCTATCATATGAAATTAAACTCGTTCGTCTCTGCGATGAGGTCTGCTTACTTGTTGTCGCTCCCTCTTTCGTTTTGGGAATTGTTCCTTTTTTCCCCTCTCGCTTTGGCCCCTTGTTTGATTTAAATAACTTGACCGCTTCCTTTTTGTTCTGGTTATGTTGATGTACATGTATAATTTGGCCTCCGTTTATGGAAGTACTGCTTCGTTATACCTGTTCTACCTGCTCATCACGCGCCCGAAATGACGTCTGCTGTAACTGATCGCCCTTCAGTGCTCCCACTCAGAGCTTTGCTCTCACCTTTAGAGAGCCCTGGCAGTCGTCGGCTCTCTTTGTCTTCGTCCATTAGTAGCAGCGGTTGGTCGTTTCTCGGTAGAGCAGACGACAATCGCGCCGGAATGTCGACGTTGTCCCCTCCCGAAGGGTCGGGAGGCGGTAATACGAGTGGCTATGGTGAGTTCCTTCTTTGTTATACTGAAAGCTGTGAAACTTTATCCCCGCATTTACCCCTTACGTATTGCATGTGCAAAACACGTTTTGCAGGAGCTCCTTACAGTAATCAATGCCCTTTGTCTTGCTCTAACAACGTAACCATCCGTCATGTTATGCTGAGAGATCTGGATCTTTTCCTTGGCTCACCGTTCTCTTGCCGTCGGCACTCTCACACGCATTTGGTTTTCTCCTTGCTCGCTGCTATACATTTTTACGATGCTGTTTGCCATCAAATTCGGGCATCTCTCTTCGAAAAATGAATGCTGATGAGTATCTGGTGCTTCATTAGGCAGTGGAGAATCAAATAGCTCGAGAAGTCCGCTTAGTCACTTGAGCTTGTCACTATTCAAGAGCTTTTCAGATAGGAAAGCCACACGAGGTATGTCGGTTGTCTTCGCGAAGCGTTCGGCTTTTTGCGGCAACAATTGTTCTGCACGGCCATCTTCTGTACAGGGAATGATACCTGACTCTTTGCAGATGGACAGGCTCCCAAGAAAAGAGGACCAAAACCAGACAGCAAACCTGCTCAGACTCGCCGACAGGAGCTGAACAGGCAAGCGCAGAGGTATGATTTCGGGAGGATCTACATTTGTTTCTACCTTGTTATCGGATTTTATGCTTACTCGTATTTCCAGGACGCACCGCGAGAGAAAGGAGCAATACATCAAAGCACTAGAACAAGAAGTGCTGCGATTAAAGGAAACCGCAAGCACTGCCGTCCGTGAGAGGGATGCGATCGCTGAAGAGCTTCGCAAGCTGAAGGCGCTGCTGAAGCTGCATGGAATCACCTATGATGAAGGCGATTCGCACCTGCGCAACGACGACACATTTAGCGGCAGCGCTTCAGGAAGTTATGCCGGAGGCATCTCTGGTACATCACCATCCACTGGTGGACATGCTTTCTCTTCGCCGCCTACCAACCCGAGTGTGTCGCCTTCCGGTGCCCATAATTTGCAGGCGACTCCACAATCGCAGCAAGTGCAAGGAGCCCAACCACAGCTCCCTCAAGGCCCAGATTTGGATCAGCTTGGAATAGATTTCGTTTTAACGTACGAGCGAACACCATATCTCTCGCCTCCACCGCAGTAGTCTTGTGTAGTAAGCTCTGGTGCACATTTGCTGTTTATGTTTCGCCTCTAGGCTGTTTAGCATTTGTCATGTATATCTGTGTATATCAAGTTCTGACATGTGGGCTTCTTACAGTCTTGAACATCCATGCATGGATCACATTCAATTCCTCTTGGTGAGAGCGGAAGGGTCGGAGGAAGACGTGGCTGGCCATGTCGTCATGGCTAGCTGTCCCCCTCATGATCATATCAAGAATCACCCAGATGTCCCTTACACGAAACCTCCTGAGTTGCGCAAGGCCGACCTGCGAAGCCTTTTGGATGCCAGTATGAGGGTTCAGTGGGATGGCGAGATCCCACCGGTCAATGCATGGGCGATGATATTCAATCACCCGAGAAATAGCGAGTTCACTCTTGAGGATATCGAGTCGATGAAGAATAATCTCAAGGGAAAGGTTCGATGTTATGGGTACGTTTACTTCTTCGGACATTGCCTCCTCCTCTTTGCTTTTTTATTTCTGGTGTTCTTCTGCAATCGTGTCTTCCTTTTTCAGGACTTTTGCAATCCTGTGGTCACATCTCATCAACAAATCCTTTTGTGATATTTCTATTCTGGATTTGCTCCTTGCCCACGCTGACAATCTCTATACACTACAGGTTCGGTGCTGTTTTGGAAGATTTTGAGGTCCGGGACGCTATCAGCAACGTCCTCGCCAGCAAAGTGTATTGATTGATTTCGCTTAAAAGCGTGTAAGGGGAGCGCGGTGTATGTAATATTTGTCCGATAGCAGATGTGTATCTGCAGGCGCAAAAGGGTATAATTGGACATTCGTTCATCCCAGTGATAAAACCCTGAGACTTCTCGTAACGGGCTTTATAGTTCCAAATAAATTCCTAGTGCAAGCTTAGCTGATTGATTCTGTGGCAGAATTATCTGCAGCTTCTCAAATCATCACTCGCCTAGATCCAGCCCCAAGTAGGCCAAGACTAAATCCTATAATGCGTGATACTCATTGGGAAACCGAACTCGCGGGATTCTCGGTATTTTACCTCGGAGATAAGCGAGTGTTTAGCGCGCGGCCGGCAGGTAGCCGATCGAACAAGGGAACGAGCGAGGAACGAGGGAACCCTGCCGGGCCCTGACGATCCGAAGGGTCATGAAGTCATGAGTCGGTGGGGAGGCTATCGAGGAAACGACACCCACGACATGCGTGCTAACGTGGCCGTTATTTCATTTCCAAATAGTCTCTAAACTGGAAACTTGAGGTTCGAGCTCTAATTCACAGTCATTTTTTTTTGTTAATACGACGGAATGTGAAAACTAAGAAGAGCGAGAATAACTACTTTTTACCACGGATAGACATCCAATATCAATGTTCTGTTACCTGTTCCTTGTCGGGCATTGCATTTCCTAGCCCTTTACTCTTTTCACAACCACAACAAATTCCGAGACTGAATCTCTCAAACCCAGCCTGAACCCGCAGGTTTTGCACCTCTAAACTCACCTGTGCTTGTTTACTTTTCCCCACTTTCATCTTCCCCTCACAAACCCTACTACAAGGCAACTATGCGAGATTCTCCCCCGCAAATCAGCGACGTCCTCACTTCGCTGCGTCGTTCTTCTTCTCCTCGTGCCTCTAGGATCATATATACCATCTATACCACACTTCGCGGAACTGTCATCCTTACTCCGTGGATCATTTATCTCGGCGCCACAAATATTCTCCTGTCTTTACTACTCCCCTTTTCATTTCTTTTCCCCACAGCCGTCTACGATATTTCTTCTCTTCTCGCGTGGTCCGTATGGGCAGGTATCCAAGCAATCTTCACAAAGATCAATGGTGCAGAAATTACCTTTTCATACTCATACAAAAATACAAGCCCAGCAGCGGGAACGGCAGCGGCAGCATCAGCTGATACAGGAAATCGCAAAATTCACAAGGTTCATGGAATTGGCAAATCCAGTGGAATCGACATTTCCCCGTCCATTGACACGGAAACCACTACCTCTCGAAAGCAGAACGGCGCACCTACAGCATTAAATAATGCCTTTATCCAAGAAGACGTGGGAAAACAAAGAGACGGCGCAATAGCCGCTAACAAGATCTCTACCAATAACATCAATGATATCCTACCACAGCACGAATCAGCCATTGTGATTGCCAACCACGTGTCCTGGACAGACTTTTACATGATCCAAGCGCTGGCGTCGCAGGCCGGCATGCTCAGTCGATGTCGATGGTTTGCGAAGAAGCAGTTACGCTGGGTCCCGTTTCTGGGATGGGGACTCTGGGCCATGCGCATGCCGCTGGTGAGTAGGAAGTGGATGGTCGATCGGCGGGAAATGGAGCGTGTGTTTGCCGGAGTGGCCGAACATAAATGGCCTCTTTGTATGTCACTTTTCTTCCATTCCATTCAGATTTATTTTGTCAATGTTTGCGTTGTTGTTCATTTTCCTTCCCTTTTTCTTCCCTTTTTTTTTTTAAAAAAATTTTTTTTTCGTTATCTTTTTCCTTTCTCTTCATTTTTTTATTTTATTTCTTTTTTTTTTTAATTCTCCATTTAGATTTCCCTTTCTCATTCCCTTAGTCTTTTATCATAGCTCATTTTCCTTTCGGCCCCTTTGACATTTTAATTCATTGGGATCTGTATAAGTCTAATGAGATATGTGTAAATCTAATATGTATATTAACTGACGAGATAGGGCTCATCTCCTTTTCCGAATCCACGCGATACACACCCGCCAAATACGCCGCCACGGCCGAGTGGTGTCGCTCCCACCACCGTCCGGTCCCGCAGCATACATTGTACCCGCGCACAAAGGGCTTTGTGGCTACTGTCCAGCAGCTGCGGCGGAGCGCACCCCATGTCAAGGCCGTGTATGATTTGACTCTTGCTTATGCTTCCCTGTCTTCTTCCTCCTCTCCTTCTGAGTCTCTTTCTGAGTCTCCTTCGTCAACCCCATCTGCGTCCCCTTATTCATCTTCATCTTCATCTACCGCAGATCCACATTCCTCCTCATCCTCTCCTGGCCCTTCTTCTTCAACCCCCTCAACCTCGTCTTCCTCTTCATCTTCCTCTCCCTCTTCCGTTTCTACTTTCCCGTCACGATCAGCAGATACAGCAGATACAGCAGGCGAAGGAGGCGGCGATGGAGGAACAAAACCATCAGTCGCCCCAGTCACACCAATCACACCAGTCGCAGCAGCACCAGCACCATCATTCGCATCGGAGGTACCGGCAGCAGCACGCGAAGCAGGCGGCAAAGCTCGCTCCGGTAGTGGTGGTAGTGATGCCCCTCTATCGTCGCCACCACAACCACCACCACCAACAACAAAAACAACAACAACAAAAACACCCCACTTCATGAACGCACCAAGCATCTACCAGACTCTCTTCCACCCACACTTACGCCACACATGGCGCTTCCACATACACGTCGAGCGGCACGAGCTGGCCGCGCTGCCGGACACGGACGCCGGGCTGGCAGAATGGTTAGAAGGGCAGTGGATACGCAAGGGCCAGAAACTGGAGGAATTAAGACGGGGGTTGGAGAGAGGTGAGAAGTGGGGTGAGAGGTGGGGAAGGGAATTGTAGCTTGGTTGGGTAGTCTGGCTCTTTTCTTTTCTGTTCTTTTTTTTTCACATTTACTTTCTTTTTTCTTTTTTCTTTTTCTTTTTCTTTTTTTTGGGCCCTCTTGGCATGATAGGCCTTGACACGTTAAGCGCACACAAAGACGTAGTATACGATGGACGTGGAGAGACAGATATACATATACATATACATGCTTTCTTCATTCACCAGTCACCATTCACCGTTCATCAGAATCAAGGGGAGATAAAAAGAAAGGAAGAAAGATTCCATCTACGTTCGTGATATTCGGGCAACATCGGAGTAAATGATGTGTTAAATCGCATCATATCTTTCCCAGAGACAAAAAGTCCAAGTGAAAACCGATAAATGACAAAATGACAAAATGACAATACGACAAAACAAGTGATAAATGATAAATGATAAATTGATGATATTCTCCCTACCAAGTAGTCCATAATTCATAATCCACAACCATAACCCTAATGCCTCATCCATCTCACACATTCAACGGTCAACTGCCGTCAATACTTTTATCTACCTACCACTGCGCAATCCGGTAGCCCTCGATAAACTTAAACCTAATATAATAGATGGACTTCAAGGTTACTAAGTAAAACACACCCCGCTAATACAAATGAAGAAGGAGAAAGAAAGAAGAGGTAGAAGAAGAGGAAGAAGGATGTGCCATCTACCAGCACCTATCAATAACAAGTAACAAGGTAAAAGGGTAACGACATGAGGTAAAATAGAAAAAAGAAGAAAAGGAAAAAGAAAAAGAAACAAGGACCTCCCATCTACCAAGGTGTACAAACAGCCCCGTCAAGACGACAACGGGGAAATGACTCCGTCGACCTACGAAAGAAATGAAATAAAAATAGAGGAGCAAATAAAGAAGAATAGAGTGAGAGTTAAAGATGGGATGAGGGATAAATAAGATAGTAGAGGGACGGGGAAAAAATACACCATCTACTTCGCCTTTGGCGTGGGCGACATAGAGGGCATTGAGCTCTGTCCTTGACTCGGTCGGGGTGTTGCCAAGGCTGCCAATGTCGGTGTGGATTCTTCTTCCAATTCTTGAAAAGCATAGTCCTTTTCGTCAATGCCAGAATCAGTAGAATTTTCACGTCCCAGTCCTACTGCGCCACTGGCACGGGCGGCACCTTTAGCACTACCACCAGCATTGCTTCCGTCGTGGTCATCAGCATCAATGTCGACGGCAATCTCGTCTCCCTTTACTTGTTTGCCACCAAGTGTCTTTGAAAAGACTTCAGGGGGTGTGAGCGTTGTGCGCGGGACTGGCGGAGTGACTGGTGCACTCGCGGTACAGATGGGTGGTTCGCGATCCAAAGAGAGCCGCGGCGAGGTAGGGGTAACGTCGTCATCACGGCCTTGGTCTTCAGACTCGGAAACCGCATTCTCCTCGCTCTCCTGGCTACTTGTTCGCATCATTTCAATACCAAGCCTCGAGCCGCGGTGGACGCGCGGTACCGGACTTCGGGGCGGCGCAACGAGCAGAGGGTTTCGGTGTAGTCGAGCAGGACTTCGTGGACGGCCCGGACTCCGTCCTAGTTCCTCGTCTTCATCATCGCCAGACTCGGCACTCTCGTGGCGGTACCGCTCCAATGACGTGCGCTTGGCCTTGATAAGTTCCATCGACTTGGGACTCTTTAGTAATCTGGTTGACATTGCTGGCGGCGCGGAATTGGCATGAATCAGATGTGGCGTCAGCTTAGGCGATAATTTGCTTGGCTCTGGTGGAATTCCTTCCTCTGCAGAAATTATTCCAAGCCCTTTGCCCGCCCAGTCGTCTCCTTGCTGTCTGCTAATAACCACTGGAATGTCCTCGGCCAGCGCAGATTCGTTATCGCCAAAGAAACTTGAGCTGATGGAATCGTCCCGACTTGACGCGTGGTAGCTGGCTTCTGGAAGTTGAGCAAATCCCGACGAGTTGGAACTCGGGCTGTCTTCATCGCGTCGCGATTCTTGGCGTAAGTTTGATGGGGGGAATGACGGCGTAGGTATGTGTGGCATGAGCCCTGGTTGAGGCGGCTTCCACTGGCACAGTCGCGACATGACCTCGGTCAGCTTGGAAATGGTCGGGGGTTTCTCAATTAAAGCATCAAAAGAATGAGGAGCTTGCAGATCCTTGAGATAGCCAGTGACTGCCACAATTGGAGTCTGCGAATTGACATTTTTGGTGTCACGGATCATCCGTGCGACGTCCGCACCATTGATGTGGGGTAGCTTTGATTCCATCATAATCACATCAAACTTGACTTCACCCATGGCGTACCGCATAGCCTCAGAACCGTTTGGAACTGCTATTGTTCGACATCGAAGCTTTTCCAACAACCTCTCCATGACCATTCTGGAAACAGGGTGATCTTCACAGATGAGCACGTCCAGCGGCCTGAAGACCGGGCCGTCCACGAGTAGTGAGGCGTGAGACAATTTCCGTGAACTCTGTCTCCTCCTCTGCACTCGCAAAAACGCCCTTGTCCTTGGGTCTTCATTGTCAGATGATGACGGCGATGCCTCAATTACTTGACTGCGACGCTTATGATGGAAAAGAGGAGTCTCTCTAGTCACACGATCGCTATCTTGCGAACCAACCGTCTGGCTCCTTGCACGAGGTGGCACGCTGCCTGATTGACGATGGGGATGAGGATGAGGCATGATGAGACTCTTTTCGGGTGATGCGACTTGGAGTGGAGGCTGATTCTTGGTTGTCTTGATGGGAGAAGATGCAGTCGAAGCGGTCTTGAAGCTCGTTGACAGCCTTGGCAAATCAAAAAAGCTCGGCTGAAGACCTGCATTTGGCTGACTCGTCGACATAATAGAAGAAGAACTAGACGTCTTCCTTCGCTCATGATGTTGTCCCGTCGAAAAGGAAACCAAAAGTGGAGATGAAGGCTGGGAGGCCCGGCTGGGTGAAGAATTTGCCTGGCTCGCATTGGAAGGCGAGGCAGGCCTGGCACCTTTACTGGACGACAGTGTCCGCTTGAGTGGCATTGGAAGCATTGGGCTTCCGTCAAGGGATGGTGCGTTGCTGCTGCTCGAAGCGGCAGCAGAAGCTGGAGTTTGGACTGAGCCCTGAGATTGGCTCGAAGGTGGCGGCGGCGGTGGCGGCACCGCTGCATTGGGTAACTGAGTTGCCTTGTTCAAGGCGTCGGCTCGCAACTTCTGAATAACATCCCTATTCGCCTTTTCCAATACAGGGAGATTCTTGAATGCGAAATTGCCAAAATCATCCGTCGCCACAGGCTCACTCAGGCGCCGGCTCCGGCCATCCCGTACATGCGGCGGGATGTGAAGTGGCATCATGCCCCGTTTGATAGAATTCACTTGATTGCGCACCTTTGATAATGCATCGTGTGGTCTCTCCTGGTAGTCGCCACCAGGTGTCGCGGCGGCAGGAGAAGCCTGGTCTTCAAACTCTTCGGCAAAAGTTTGCAGGATCGCACCACGAGGGTCAAAATATTCCGTATCCTCTGGATGCCCCGGAGCTGGTACAAATTGAGCCTCGTCCTCCAAAAGCGTGTCCCAAGTGACGCCTTCAAACCACGGGTGCCTTTGAACCTCTTCGCCACCATTGGCATACTTTTCCTCGAGATTCGATCCCAGACGAGTCTTTGGATCACTACACATTAGCCGTTCCATCAAATCCCGGGCTTCTGGCGAGACTGGTGCTTCTTCTTCTGTCGGCCAATCAATCCTTCTTGCCAAGATATTATCAAACACCTTGTCTGGAGTATCAGCGTGAAAAGGAGGGTATCCGAACAAAAACTCAAACAGAATACATCCAAGAGACCACCAATCGCTCATTTCATCTTGGCCAACGCCACTGATTGTTTCAGGTGCCAAATAGTCAGGTGTACCAACAAACCTTCGATCCTTGTCTCCAGGGTCAAAGAGAGCCATGGGCGGTGGAGCAATCATGGTAGACTGAGGCGGGGTGTGCATATGGCTCAAGCTGGAATGGCTAAGTGTTGGGTGAAGGGCATAGGGATCGCCACCAGATTCCTCATTCTCACTCTGCGTCTCCTCTTCAATCGGGGTTCGCCATCGGGGCATCGACTGGGGGTAATCGAGTGGTTCGCTGAGGGAAAAGTTGCGAAACATGGAGTGGAGAGCTTCGCTTCCCCCACTATCGCTCCGATGGCCAGATGTCCGCCGTGAATTCTCGCGGCCAAATGAGCTTTCCCGACCCAATGTGCTTTCACGGCTCAAGCTAAAGTAAGAAGGTTGACTGAGACCTGGGTCAGGAGTCAGGTGCGGTGTCGAACCGGGCGAGTGCCCCCCCTGCAGGTCAAATGAAGCAGATCTTGACGATGCCATGGATGCAGAGCGAATGAACGAGCTTTGCTTGAGCAAATCAGGGCCGGAGTCGTTAGATTTGCTATCCAAGATACGCTTCTGACGACCAATCAAACCCATTCGTGACAGCCCAAAATCTGTCAGCTTTAAATGGCCTTTCTGATCAATAAGAAGATTATCAGGCTTGAGGTCGCGGTGCACAATGCCTCGATTGTGCAAATGTTGAACTCCAAGCACCACCTCGGCCAAATACTTTTTCGCCCAGTCCTCGGGCAAACCGCCGAGGACCTTGATCAACGACGCACAGTCACCACCGTTCAAGTATTCCATGACCAGGTACAAGTAATCCTTGCTTGAAAAAGTCCAGTATAGCTTGGCCACGAAGTCACTCTCACCCTGCCACATCAAAATGGCTCGTTCAGCTTTGACATTGGTCACCTGATTCTTGGCTACCATGTCAGCCTTCTTCAAGACCTTCATGGCGTAGTAATCTCCCGTGACCTTCTTCTTCACCAAGTACACACTACCAAAGGCGCCTTTACTGATCGGTTTGATTATTTCAAAATCTTTGATAGAGGGAGGTACCGCTGGAGCCTGAGGTTGACTAATTGACGAGAGACGCGGTGAAGGAGGGGGCCGCATCATATCCGACGAAGCTGCAGACGATTGCCTTCGATGATGGTGGAGAGCATGATGTTGCGGTGGTAACGTGAAAGCCGGCGATGAGAATTCTCCGGTCGAGAGCAGCGGTGAAATAATAGGCGATGTAGCAATTTCTTGCGCAGCGCTCAGCCGCGGCTTCGAGATGCGCAGGGGTGACGACGGCACTACGTTCCTGGCAGGAGATGGTTGCCGTCGCGGCGAGTTTTGGCCGGGGAGACTCAAGTTCGAGCGCGAGCGTTCCCGCGAGGCCGACGTTCGACCGAGACTGAAATCCGTAATAGGAGATTCTGTTCTCCGGATGCCCGGAATCACTGAAGATCGCATGCTGGCATCACTGTCATTGGCATCGCTTTCAAAGTTGAGCGAAGCCTGCTGCGACAGCTGGGATGGCGCATTGATATTCACGGCACCCTTGTATGACCGAGGTGTGGCCGCCTCGCGAGGGCTATTCGACCCTGTGGATATGGCAGCTGAGGATTTCCTTCGATCATAGCCGAGTGAGGGGTCAGAGAGGTTTCGCAATGCGCGAGCAAGGGAAGAATGTCCATCAAAGGATCCAGCAAAGATACCCCCAGTCTCTTCATCAGTAAATGCAGAGGCCTGCTCTTGCGTCTCGTCGAGCCCTATCTCTGAACCACGTACAGACTCGTCGTAGCGGTCATCTGGCATTGGCCCATCTTCGTCTGCCTCCACCTCTTCCTCTTCCTCATCCTCGCCATCGTCAGTAGAGTCACTCAGCTGACCAGCCGCAATCCGAGCCGCCTTACGTACAGCGGCGTCGATACAGTCTTGCACGAGTACGGTGAATTCGACGCGAATACGTTCTGAATACTCGAGAATCTTGCGATGGCGCATGACCGCGTCCACTTTGGCGCGCGCGACTACCTCTGTATCAGCGCACAACGCAGCCAGACCCTGCTCCTGCTCAAGCGTATTGGTGCCAGGAGACTGCCATTGCATGACTTGCGAGATGCGACTGTCGGATTGGGGCGATTGCACACGAATCTCTCCAATCTCCAAACCCTTGGAATCCTTGATGGCTGGTGTGTTGATCTCAATGGACGTGTCACAGAGATCCAACAAGAGCTCGACGATGCGGGTTAGAGGCCGTCGGATGGCAAACGACCTTCCCCGAGCATGACCCAAGCCGCTGGTCGAAGATTCTCGGGACCGTGGGCCGGACACGGCAGGCGATGCCGCTCCAGACGACGGGCCCGAAGAGGATGGCGTGGAAGAAGGTCCGATGGGTAAGCCACGGTATTCGGCGGGAACCGTGGCCGTTAGGGGCATCTCTGCTGGTGTCGAACGGTTGCTGTGCACCTCGAGCGCATCGAGCACCTTGACAATGGCATTGCGATGCTCAATCAAGCCCTCTTGGGCCATTTGGACCTCGAGCTCGGCTCGATGCTCCTGAAGACACAGCTCCGAGTGCTTTTCAAACCACCAAGGTGTGATTTGACGCTCGCAAATGCGACACAGAACAGGCAGCGGTGGCGGGAGATTCTCAGGGTCGTCGACGCCCACCTCTGCCAGCTTGGTCAAGTACTGGGCAAGCACTTCTGCGCCAATGCCCAGCGCCTCCACCAACATGGGGGGCAGGTCGATAGTAATCTCTCGTGGTCGAGCTGAAGGCCGAACCATCCACATCGTCTAGTCCAATAGAAACTTTGTTAGATTCCTGGGGAAACTGCCTTTTTGGGGAGTAAATCAGTCAAAGGACAAATATTGTTACTTACATGACTCACTTCACCCGAGGTCCGGTCATAGACAAGAATGCCCTGGGCCTCGAGGCTGATGACCGAGGTCCCCTCAGTTTCGCTGACCTCTTCGGGGCGGAAACCCTCCTCCTCAGCATGGACGGCAGCATCAATGGGGTTAGGCTTCAGTCTTGAATCCGGGCCCATGCGGACGGAGAAGCGAATGATGTGGCTGCGCGAGTCGTCCTTCTTCATAAACTCTGCAGCATCGGCGAATGCATTCTTGTTGTCAAGCAGAACGTCTGAAATAGGTCTTCCTTGCACCGACTCGGGAGCGGTGCCAATGACATCTCTCCACGAGGGAGTAACCCATCGTATGACGCCGTCTAGGTCGACGTCCAGGATGACAACGAGCGTTTGTTCGGCGGCTTCCTTCAAGTCTTCTCGTCCCTCACGAATATCTGCACTCAACGTGCGTTCGACAGTGACTCGGTTCTTGGAGGGATCGCGCGGCCGTCCCTCCTTCAAGGCCACGACGGCCGGGGGCAGGAGGAACTCTTTTTGCTCAGATTCGGCCATTGTCAATATTACAAGGTGTTCGTCGCTGTTGCGGCGGGGGTCTCTGTACTGCCATGCACATCAATCGGTTGATGAGGGTGTGCCTGGGTGGGCAGTCCCCCTCGAAGCGGCTTCCAGTCTGTCCAAGGCAGGGCGATTTGTCTTGTTTCGACGCTGATGGTCCTACTAGGATCGATCCAACGAAGCCATGCTGTTCCCGAATGCAAGTAATGTCACTCGGATTGTGCTTCTCAGCGCATCAAAAAAAAAAAAAAAAAAAAAGGTCGTGTTGATAAGAAAGGGGACAGACGAGCAACGAGAAAGGTCCAGAGGTAATGATTGATAGCCGTCGGAGGTTTCGATAATTGAGACACGGCGGGGAGGGAACACGGACGCGGAACGAGACGAGCTCGGTCAGGATCGGCAGGACGAGCCGAGGGCACAAGAGAAAGGCGGCAAAAGGCACACAACCCCCTGAAGAGACTCGTGTTGGAGAATTGCTCGAGCAACGCGTCGTGAACTGTTTGAAAAGCAGTGCTAAGATTTCAAGAAGATATGAAAGGGCTCGTGGGAAGGGGGATGGATAAGACTGGTATGGAGGGGTTCGTGGTGGTAGGTTAGTCTGCCTCTTAGGTTAAAGTGTATTGAGGATGACGGGGGTCGGGTGCTCGGTGGTGGACGATTGTTGCTGCTACAGCACTACCGCACCTTTGTACCGAAACTCAGAGCTGCGGCTACTGCGAAAGAGCGGGAGATAGCCGAGCCAGCACGTCGTCACCGATGGTTCGATCCAGTATCTCTCTGTTGCTGTTCTGTGAGCTACACCTGTCGCCGGTGTAATAGTAAACATCAGTTTATCAGTTGTATTATTCATGTTATCAACAGCTTTTCATGTGTAGGGTTGCAAAGCCAGTAAGCACAATAATTATTTTAGCGAGGAATAGTAGTAATATCAGTGCAAAACACCAAAGTCAGAAACCTTAGTGCACTGCGCCATGCATGCAAAACCCTTGCCCCGACCCATATCCACACACTCACACTCCACTCATACATCCATCGACACCACACTTGCCCCTCGTTTCATCCTCTCGGGTTGTGGCCCGTTGCCCAAGCGAAAGCACACTATATGCAGGCAGACGCAATCGGAGGACGACGCTCACAACATTTCTACCTGGTGCTCACAAGATACCTACCTTAGTACCTTAGTACCTTAGGTACCTTTGGTAGGAAATGAAGCACATCACCCAGAGCCGTATACCTCCAATAGGCTCCAGTACGGCAGTCTCCCCATTGAGACAAGACATTAGAGGAGGAACATGCCCTTTTTTTCTACAATGTGTGATGGTTGCACGGCTGCTGCAACTTCAGCAGTATTCAATGCTGGATTTGAGTCTGTGTGCGTGTGAACAGATCATAGAAGACTATGGTTTAGAAGATCATTGCTGTTCCCACACGAGATCATATGCCTCCCGAAAGCGAAGCCAAATCAGTTGTCAGATGGGGGAGACAAGATATGGATGTGCGTGCGGGGAGGAGGGTTCCAGCACCGAGCAGGGGACCCTTGCAGGCTCGCACGCCATTCCTACCGGAGTACGTTGCAGCTTTTTATGCATTATTATTATGTATTACAGTACAATTTCAGCACTGTGCACCCAACCACAATATATATAAAAGAAGGGATTTATTGCATTGTTTCCCCTCACTGTTGCAAAGGGAGGACGGACACGGTTATCAGCCACTCAGAGAACGAACGCGGAGACGACCCCGACAGTGTGGGTATTGGTCATCAAGTCCGTTGCGGTCATTGATCTTCCCCCCACCATAGGGAACGCCAACGGTCATCACTACGGTACAGATGAGCATTTATGGGGATAAATAGTATAACTTCTCAAAGGTCTGATTAATAATGTGTGCCGTCTTAGGCAAGTAGTTCTTCCCTTCCTTCCCTCTCAAAAGTGCCTGCTCGTATCGTCCATGATGAAATGTCTAGCCGGGTCATCTGATCTCCATCTTCCCTCCCATCTCTCGTCTAGTAAGCCGGGTCCGGCTATCCACGCTAAATTACGGGCCAGTTTCTCTTTAGACTTTCACGGTTAGCGGAAAAGGTTAACTTGTCCCATGTTTCCACACCACCCCTCTACGGTACTTGCTTCTGATCTATAGCTTTTGAGAGATAGACAGAAAGTGTACAACAACAATTGCCAGATGTGCCGACTACCTGTAATCGCTACCGTTGATCCTTGCAGTCATTTCCCCGGGCCTTAGGCCCCCCCATTCGAGCATGGAAACAACTGTGCGGATACAGGGCATACACTGCACATATATCTGCTGAGTTTTTATATGCATGCCCCACGCTTTTTAGCAACGAAAAGCCACGAAAATGGACGGGGGCTGCCGATATTGCTCCACTTTTCGCATGACTTTGACTGACAGCCACACGCGGCCACCAGTTTATTTTCTTTTTGACTTTGTGCCCGCCCCTTGGTATGTCTCTTCACCTGATCATCGTGATCAAAAAGAGTCATCATGTCCCCTTTAGTATTTGCCAAAACATGCAGGTCATTAAGAGACAAGCTTTGTTCTCCACAATGAATTTCTCTTGGCATCGGCCCATGTATGAATTGGTTGGCATCGGGCCTCGAGCGCGTGACACTCTCCGTGCTTCGGCCGACACTCGTGCCTTCCCGTCCCGGGTGCCTTAATCTGCCTTTCCGTTATCGCCTCCTTATAGCGTGCAGTTAAAGTTGCAGACGATAGAATATTCGTGGCTTTTCATACTGTTGTTTGGGAGGCTTTTGTCACTAGCCTGAAGCTGATGTTAGAATTTTCCCAGTTATAGCTCTCCATTGCCGACTGTATACGGTAATCCCTGAGCTTGCATCCGCAACGTCCGTCCACGTCAAAACCATGATTCTTATTAAGATACGCCCGTTACTATTAAGATAGCGTTTAACATATTAGTAAACAAAAACCCTTCCACGGAATTTTCTACTCAATCCACCCCATCCTAAGATGCTACCTTATACCTTAGTCAATTGATATACATTGTTCACATGTACATTGGCCGAAAAGGTTGCACCAACCCCGCTCTAGAAATTAGATGGCCCCGATCAAGTGGCAAAAGGAAAAGGCATCGGTCGGTTCCTGATATCTTCTCAACATATAATCTTGTTCGAATCATGGACCAGCTTTTTTACTGGTCCTTCTTGGCAGCAGTTGCGGCAGATTGTGTCAAAAACCATTTCGTCGTGCGCTCAACCCCTTCATCAAGGCTGACAATCGGCCGATAGCCGAGTCTTTCCTTGGCCTTTCCGATATTATAGTACCTCGTCATGCACGAGTATCGGACTTGCTGCCTCGTCAAGGTCGGCTTCTTTCCCACCGCCCAGTAAACCCATTCCAGGAGGCTGGCAAGTGCCAATCCCCAATCCTTCTGGATCACGGTAACATTGAGACCAGTGGTATCGCCAGCAATATTCCAGATAGCTCGAGGGAAATCCCAGAAGTAAACAGGCGAGTCGTTGGTAATGAAAAAGGCCTCTCCGTCAACACGCTCGTGGTCTAGCGGAGCGGTAGTGAGGAGGTGCGTATTTAGCAACGCTCGCGCAGCAAGAATATGGGCATGCGCAACGTTGCCCACATATGTAAAATCAAAGAGATTGTTGTTGTCACCCAGCTGAAAGCCCGTCTTCCGCTTTTCATAGACATTGATCATGTTGTTAACGACCTGCACATCCCCTTCGCCGAGGATGCCCGCTGGACGGATTGCGGTGGTGAGCATGTTTCCGTACTTGCGGTTGGCGTTCAGAACAGTCTTCTCTGCCTCAATCTGATACCCAAAACATTAGCAATAGAATACAGAATTCAGTCTTGCTGAAAGGAGGAAAGAGCAAAAGAGAAGAACCAAAGCAACGACAGCACGATCGGTGAGCGTACCTTGGTCTGTGTGTAGTATTCAGATTGCTGCGCTCCTTCAACATACGGCCACCGCTCATCGGCATTTATTAAATCAGTCGCATTATCACTGACAACACTTGCGGAACTGGTATACACGAAGGCCTTGACTCCGCCCGCTTCTCCGGCAGCCTCGATGAGATTCTTTGTTCCCTTGACGTTGACGCTGTACATGAGATCTTTTCGATGTTCAATCAAATTGGGACTCGCCGTGTGTATGATAACGGCAGGCTTCACTTTGTCGAGCACTGAGCGGACCTCTTCAATAGAGGTGATATTGCAGTCATAGTAGGCGACGCCTTCGTGGCGGTTGCGGGTTGTTCGCAAGTCCAGCACTGAGACATTCGCCTCGTACTTTTCCTTGAGCATTGACACAATGTGACTGCCAACAAAGCCACAGCCGCCAACAACGACTGTATTGCCCAGGTTGGGGCGACTTGAAGTGGCCATTATGGGCAAGAGGCGGTTGAGGTTCGGTTTTGCGAACGCACGGTTTCAAAGGGGTGACGAAATACAGCAGGATCGAGACGATTGAAATGCAACCTGCACTGTATGAGACGTGATTACTTGGACGTTATAGATTGGTTCTATGTCAACCAAAAGTGCACTCAAGAAAAGATGGATTCGGGCAAGAAATCGACGGAAGAGGACATTCTGTTGGAGGGAGCTCCCAAGTCTGGAGCAAGTCTCATTGGCTGGCGCCCCTGACCTCAGACGATCAGACCGGAGTCGCTTCGTGCCGATGTCGCTAGCGATCCGAGAGATAAACCTCCCCGCTCGCTCCCACATGACACAATAATCCTTGGCCTGGGGGTGTTCCAATGCGGGCGCCTCGTGGGGGAGGACACAGACCGAGACGCCCTGGCAGCTCGTGGCATATACACATACGCATTGTCATGTGTGCATTGGGTGCAAGAAATTCAATTTATTAACCGTCAACATAGTAGATATCTTTTAGCAGATGTTGACTTTGGGGTAAATAGAAAAGCATACGTTTTTACACGAAAGTACGCGAGGGATGCCTTCTGGTAAATTAAAACAAAAGAAAAAAACCCCTAAGCATAAGAACATTTGCCCATGCATGCCATTTTGCGCCGAAAGTGCAACAGTAAGCAAAACCATTTCTTGGCGGATGACCAGACTCCCGTGGATAAAACATCGGAATGTAAGTGCTGCAATAAATCTTCGGGTAAAGCCAGAGAGAGGCTTAAGAAGATTAATAGGCATTCGATTGACAAAGTGAGGGCATTTAAAAAGCCGTAGCGGGTCCGGTCCATAGATTGCATCAAGGCGAGTGCAATGAGTGTGGAAGATTGTTCTACATAAGATTCGGAGGTAAGCGGTCAATACTGCGGCAACCTCCCGTGCGGAATGGGATTATCTATTCTCTGCTTTCGGGTCAGCAAGTCTTTGGCGTTTAGGTACATCCGGAACACCCATAATTGGGCTAAGACTCACTCCATACTCCTCTGAACTGATCTTCGCAGACGTCTATTGTAATTCTTTTTATCTTCAGCGGAACCCCAGAAGAGCTTGGACGCTTCCGGGTTGACCAGAGTTCGCGGGTCATAGGGAGGCGAATCTTCTTCAATTGCTTCGATGATAGCCTCTATATGAGATTTGACTTCGTCCTGGCGATGTGGAAAATAACAAAGGACGCCGTCCTTGGAAATACGATGATGGAAGAGATGGGTCTCGAAAATCACCCTTGGTTGCTCATCAGGGAAGCGAGGACTGAAATGAGCCTTAATCCTGAAAAGTCCACCATCCAGGTTTGTCATGGGCCGACCAAAGTAAGTCAGCTGCCAAACAAAGGGATTGTTGTCAATCAGCCCAATATCCATGGTGACGGTATCGTTGCGCTTGTAGCTTTCGACAATCTGTTCGTACTGCCGCTGAAGAAGATGCGCAACGCCCAGTTCCTTTTGGACTGCAAGGATTCCTTCAGTAGCCCAGCGATGCGTTTCCTCGTCGAGCGCCGTTCTGATGACTTTTACCCTCCGTTCCAGTTCCGAGTAGAGGAACTTTCCATCCATGCTATTGCCAGTCCCTTCAAAAGGCATTTTAGCAAACTGTTGTCCCTCACTTACTGATATTTTCGCTTTTGCAATAGTCTGAAGATATGAGTCGTAGTACATAATGAACCGTCGCTTGCAGAGGTCTCTAAAAGGCTCGAATGACAGCTGGGCTTCATCTAGAACTTCAATTTCAGAGTCAGGCGACAACTGGACGGGTGGATCAATTGTTCCATCTGGCATAATGCCAAGATATTCCTCAAGTCGCTGAATTACTGAAACACGGAGGGTTTCATGACGAATCTGGTCCAGAGAGCTCATGTCAGCAAACCAGAGAACTGATGAATCGCGCATGGAATGACCTACTTTGGCAATGTAGTCTTTCATGCTCTTTTTGTCGTACTCGCTTTTGGCGTCTTCAAATCCAGGCTCGTTCTCGTATGGATTGGCAGACATTAAGCTCTGGATAGAGATCAAGATGGACTCCAATCCTTGTGCCGAGGACCACTCCTCGCCTCGCTCTCCGCTCCACGTGCTGAGCGCATCACTGCATTAGTCTGACTTCGGTCAAGCAACCTACGGAACAATAGCATACCCTAGGATGGATCTAGATATAGTCATAAGTTATTCATCCATCTATTTGCAAAAAGCATCTCAAACCAAGGTTTTGGGTAGCTTACAAGCAAACCTTTCCCCCCGCATAAATGTTGGGGTTGAAACGGCATCGGCCCCCATTTGTTGTGATGGCCAAAACAAGTGGTGCCTTGCCCGGATACTCTTTTCCTCGCCATCAGAAATACTTTCTCAATGAAATAAAGCTCCTCAGAGTCCAGCTAACCTTTCCCAAATTTTAAAGAGAACTATATGCAGAGTGGTCAGATATTTTGCTCAGTGGACATGGTCAGACAAAACTCACCTCAAAGAAGCCAAATTCGTAAGGCGTTTCAGGTGGCCCAATGATGAGGGCTCTAACGTTCCGCACGTCGACATCCTGGCAAGCTACGGCAATGGCTTGAAAAGGTGCGTTAGATTCAAAGTAGCAATGATTTTGACAATTGGAGGTCTTACAAAGGTCGGAAGTTTTTTGAATCTCACTCAGTTCCTACAAATTAGCGTTTTGATAAGCCGAAAGCTTCTAGTAAATGTGCAGGCAGCGGAAGCAATGACTGACCCGCGTTATGCGGATGATGGATTGATTCGACATTGGACGTCAAGGCGCTTCCTAGAGCAACGTTCAAATGAGACACTTGATGGCCGGGGCAAGGGTCTGCGCTGAAAGCGAGAATGAATGAACCCCTTCAGGGGGGATTTCGATATTATAGAAAGGTTTACGCTCATGCGTTACAGGAGTGAGAAGAAGTCGCAATTAATAAGGCAAAAAAAATTGAAGTTCGTGGCTAAGTTGAAGTTTGGGATCGAGCTGATAAAGGTTGGTTGCACCAAGCCCCTCCACGTCTATCGGGCAGCCGAGGAGGGCTCCAGCAGCCTTATTAGCAAGGTGCTTGTGCAAGGGCAGTGAGCGACTAGGTATTCATTCACTGGCGCCGCTCTCTCTCTCTCTCTCTCTAAGGTAAATAAAAGACGTGAATACAGCATCAAGAGAGGGAAGCAGTGCAGGCCTTCGTTGTCACGGGTAGAGATAATTACTGGGTCAGGGCAGGGCTCGGACATGTATCAGGGAGGTTCTGGACTTTTTTTGGATCGAGCCTACCTGACTGGGGGCCTTGTTGACCCCGCCTCAGCTTGCCCTGCGGCCCCAGCTTTGATGTACCCAAGACTTTAGGAGACTGCGCTGGTAGCGAGTCGTGTCCATTCTCTTTGTGGTTAGCTTCTCACAAATGCCATTGCTTTCCCGGCCCCCAGAGACAGGTGTCACACATAAGGGTTACTCGGGGAACAAGTATCTGATACTTGCTTTGGAGCACAGGGAGAACAGAACAGATCTATCATTCAATTCTGTATCTCTCTTTTCCGGTATGCACAGCTTCAGCCACCTGCACATAGCGGCAGTAGCCTTGCAATTCCCATGGTCTGGTTCCATGTTCTGGGTAGATACAGCCTGTTCCAACCCCTCGGGCGTCTCCACAGACATGGGCGCGTTCAACAATGCTTACTTTGCAGGGACCTCATTCTCATGACGGTGCTAGGAATATAAAAGCCTAGTGCCTCACTTGGCCTCTCGTTGTCGGGGACGGCCTCCCAATCAGAGTGTCTTGAACTGCATCACGTGTGTCTAATACTGTTCTGTTCTTATCAACAACACGTCTTCGATTAAGAGGTGAACTAGGTCGTATTCCAGGGCAAGCGATCAACAAGCTGTCAAAGCAAATAATAGCCAGTAGGAACGGTTGTAATATATCGGCTTTCAGCTACGTGTCCGTGTTTCAATCATCCATGAAAATTCTCTGTATCCTCTGGGAGGATTGATAATGACAGCGCGGGAAGGCCAAGGTTCGACGCCACAGGCGGGCGCCAGGGTCCAAGTCCCACCCGAGCCAATGAGCTTTTTCTGGTCTGTTTCTTAACTGACGGTGCAGAGTTACGGACCCTCATAAAAGCACCAACACATACTATAACTTTGCCTTTGATTTTAGAATCACGATTGAAGGCTATTCTGAGCTTCTCTGGCCCAGCATCGTAGGGTGCACATATCTTACTAGCATTTTTCTCATACAATCAACGCCAGTACAATAGTTGCACGTGACTAGCCACCTAACTCCAACTGCTGGGTTGGGAAGAGGTGGTTCTCAGCACTATTAATAGACCACTTCCGGTGACTACACGTACTAACATGGTACTCTTTTTCGTGTTCGATTAACCCACGTCAAATACGCCATCATCATATCATCTTGCAACGAGAAACCATTGATTCAATAGCTTCTTCTAGTCACCTTTGGTGGCACAGAGTGATGCGGGCTGTGCAAAATCTAAAGCGTGTCTTTGGTCAATTGAGAATCCTTGGCATAGCCATGTCTTGCTGTCCGTAGTTAGCTATAATCTCTTCGCTCACCAACGTTTGAAGTGACAGCCGCCGGTTACATTTAGATTGGGACGAAGGCACAACCTCACTTGGCCGGATTATAATCATACCTTGGTTATTTTATTTCTGGCAATTGAGATTTCGACTCCATGAAAATACCCTTATTTTAGCACACGCGGCCCTGCTTAGAACAAGCGTTTACCCATGGCAACGACTCGTGGCCTTCAGCGAATATTAAGCCTGGATAAGGACACAGGTACAGGAACCCCCAGGACATAACCGAACCCATTCGACGTCGACATTCCACCACCATCACCAACCCCAAGGCCTGACCTTTCTTGTCCTATGTTCCCCCATTTATCGCGTCGCATCACGGTGCATCTTCGTTCGTTACTTTCCGACTTTTGAGTTTGCCTCCCACGTCAGACTCTTCCCTGCTACTGTTGCATTTCTGATTTTTTTTTTTCTTCAGTCTCTCTCTTCTGCCCGATTTTGCCTGCTGGTGCGGAGACCCTTTTCTCCCTGCCGTACAATTCCCTTTCCTCGCTTTCGGTCGTTTCAAATTGGACAGGGATTCTCTCGACCCCAATTCACACTGCGCGATTCGTCGGAGCTAATTTTACGTGTTGAGGGCATCAGAGATTGATCGTGACTTCAGACAGCGACTGAGCAACAATCCTGCTCTTGGTCCTCGCCCGTCAAACACCATCGCGCGTTGACAGTTGCACATCGCTTCTTGTTTGGTCACTCCCCTGGATGGTGAGGTGCCTCACACTCTTTTGATCGGTTGTGGGCGCGACGTGACACCATCAAACCACAACTCCATTTCAACACTCGGCCGCGACAAAATTTCCAAGATTTCACCATTGCAACCGCTCCTTTACCAGCCTGCCTGGGAATATTTCGACCACTTCTGGATATCGCCATTGTCTCTGCCGAAGCCGATCGCGCTGGACGCCCCACGCTCCTTCGATCAACCCATCTCGGCGGTCAGCCCGAGTAAGCCCCCATAGCGCACACAACACTGTCTCGCAAAATCTGAGGGATATCCAGAGAAGAGAGTGCAGACATAGTTGCACGTGGTATAATGTGTCCCCAAGCCAAAGGTGACACGGGCACGGAAGGCGGTTCCAATATCGCGTCAGAGCCGCAGCGCTTAAATCCCCTGGGGAGTTCTGAACACGCCCCTTCTCGCCCACAGATAGAGAGCCTTGGTATCCCAGCAAGTCGTACCTCGAACGATCAATCTGCCAATCTCGGTGGCTCCGCGAGCCTTACCCCCGGCAGTGAACCCGCTCCGCCGTCATCCCCAACTCGCAAAGGACGAGATCGTGCTGGCGATGCTAAAAGGGCAAACGGCCGTAGTCGGTCGCGTGCCAGTGGCAGCCGTGGCCCGCGAGATGCGCATGGTTCTCGAATTTGTCGGAAATGCAATGAACCGTTGACTGGTCAATTCGTTCGCGCACTTGGATCCACGTTTCACCTGGAGTGTTTTAAATGTCGAGTACGTTGTCGTGCCGCCCTCATACCGATGCCTCTTCAAATTTAGAATGACGAGGTGCTAACCTTTTGCTTCCCCGTGCGATAGGACTGTGGCCAGATTGTGGCTTCGAAATTCTTTCCGGTAGACGAAGAGGACGGATCTGGCCAATACCCGCTTTGTGAGACCGACTATTTCCGTCGGCTTGACCTGTTGTGCTTTGAGTGCGGAGGGGCTCTTCGTGGCTCATATATCACGGCGCTGGATCGCAAATACCACATTGATCATTTTACCTGTTCTGTCTGTCCTACCGTATTCGGTGCCCAAGACAGCTATTACGAGCATGAGGGCAAGGTTTACTGCCACTACCACTACTCAACTCGGTTCGCTCAGCGGTGCAATGGATGTCAGACGGCCATCTTGAAACAGTTTGTCGAAATTTTTCGCAACGGTCAAAACCAGCATTGGCATCCAGAATGTTATATGATTCATAAATTCTGGAATGTTCGTCTGTCTCCAGTTGGCGAGAATGTTCAACTTCTTACGCACAGTGTTGATGCTACTAGTGAGGAGCGTGAAAAGGTTCGGCTGGAAGAAGAGCATATGGAAGAAAAGGTCTACAGAATCTGGAGCGTGCTGTCCGCTTTTGAAGAATCGTCGGCTACTTGCATATCGAACATGTTACTGAATGTCAGCAATGGCGCGTATTTTGATGGCGTTTTAGTCGCCAAACAATTCATCTGGCATGTGGACATTCTTTTTGCATCAATCGATAGACTAGAGAAGCTCATGACTTCTCACGGCATGAAGGGTACGTATATCGCACTTTCGGCCGCAGTGCTACCACATTTTCGCCCTTTGTCTCCGCTCGATTAATCTTTGCTTCTCTTTCTTTTGTCTCGAAATGATATGACCAGTTTTCTAACAGTACTTTTAGGTCTCTCATATTCTCGGGAAGCAAAATTGCTGTGCAAAAAGATTGTAGCATTCTTTTCTTTACTCACTAACACCCAACATACCGGTGTGAAGAAGCTCGGAGTCACACAGGAACTCCTCTCTCTCGTCACCGGTCTCGCCCACTACCTCAAGCTTTTGATTCGCATCAGTCTCCAGGGAGCCCTAAAACTTGAGCGAGAGAAGGGCAATCAGGATGGATTATGGCACTTTTTGGAGGAACTGGGAGACTTGGAATCCATGAAAGAAGCAGAAATGTCGCTTGAAGCGGCAGCCGGCGTCCAAGGCCTTGCTGGAAAGGAACCCGATCGGTGTTCTGGCTGCCGAAAGCCGGTTGAAGATGCTTGTGCCCGCCTGGGAGAAGGAAGATGGCACATAAATTGCCTCATGTGCAGCGGCTGCGCGCGGGAATTGGGGAAAAGCCTTGCGGATGCGCGATGGGATCCTCATGAGCGGCGTGTCTTATGCTCTACTTGTGCTGAAACGGTCCCTGGAGTAGACAATGAGTTTCAAGCCGTGTCTCGGCTACAACAGTTTGTGTTTCTACTACGAGTAGCTCTGGCTAGAGTGCTTGTCATGCTCAAATCTATGCACCACACATCTGGTAAGTGATACAATCATGCGCCCTCTGCGCAGGGGTCTAAGTACTGATTGGGAAAATTTTCATCCATCCAGACGATCCTAATCTGACCGACTACGACTCGAATGAAGGTCACCGTGTTTCTCCGACCGGACAGCTCGACCCACCGATGCTCAAATCTAATACGCGGTCAAAATCTTACGGGGCCCCTGTGGAGGAGCAATCAAACTCGTCTTACGCGCAGACCATGAGTGACATCCAACGGTTGCGGTCCACCCGTATGGAGAAACAAGTTTCTTCTTCCATCAGAAAGGCACGCACTTCCAAGATTATCGAAGCACCAGAGAGTCGAAACATTCGACCTGGTTCAGCGGGCGCGGATGGGTCAGACGCGAAGAATCATGGCTATCAAGCCGTCGACGATCGTGAGGCCAATGCAAATAGGACTGCCGAAGTGACGTTTGGAAACCAGGATTCGCTTACCCTTGATGACATTCCGCGAATTGTAGCAGCAGAGCAAGCAAGGGAACAGCGACCGAATGCATATAAACATGCCCGCAACCAACTTATTCAAGCCTCGAGCGTTCAGCAGCCAAAGCTCGTGGGTGGCCACCAACGAGGAGTCTCTGGAGGGAAGGAATTGGAAAAACTGGCAGAAGAGCCCTCGGCCCAAAGAACAAAGCGGTATTTCTCGGAGTTATCCGCTCTGGAATATTTTATTGTCCGACATGTTGCTGTTCTTTCAATGGAGCCGCTTTTGGAGGGCTATTTCAACCTTGAGGAACTTCTTGAATTGATTGAATCACGGAAGCCCACTTTCTGGGGCAAGTTTGGGAAAGCATTCAAGACCGAGCCTCGGCGAGGGGGCAAGAAAAGAGGCGTTTTTGGTGTGAGCCTGGACGCTCTGAATGAGAAGGATGGTGCCGAGTCTACACATGGAGTTGGACCAGGTACTCTCAAAGTACCAGCACTGCTCGACGATGCAGTCACAGCCATGCGGGGAATGGACATGTCAGTAGAGGGTGTGTTTCGAAAGAATGGCAACATTCGTCGCTTGAAAGACCTCGCCGATCAGATTGACAACAAGGGATGTGATGCAGTAGACCTCTCCAAGGAGAGTCCAGTGCAAATCGCTGCCTTGTTGAGGAAATTCCTCCGTGAACTGCCGGAGCCGCTACTGACATTTAAGCTACATCGGTTGTTTGTCACTGCACAACGTACGTATCGCTAGTGAAAATTTTTGAGTGAAAGAATAGTTTGCTAACATTTTATTTAGGGATTGCTGATGAAGAAAAGCGCCGTAGAGTGCTTCATCTCACTTGTTGTCTCCTGCCCAAGAGTCACAGAGACGCAATGGAGATTCTTTTTGCATTTTTAAGCTGGACTGCGTCCTTCTCACACGTCGATGAAGAGTCTGGAAGCAAGATGGACGTACACAATCTGGCTACGGTGGTGACGCCCAACATTCTTTACGCTGACAATAAGGCTATTGGCATGGATGATAGTTTCTTGGCGATCGAAGCTGTTCATTCGTTGATTGAATTTAACGAGTCCATGTGCGAGGTATGTACACCCATTGAACATTACTAATGCTCTTTTTAGGCCTCTTCTCTGACACTCTTACAGGTTCCTGAGGATCTTCAGTCCATTCTCAATGACACTGCTTTGTTTAATGGCAGTGCAGACATTACTACTAAGGAAATCCTAAAGCGGTATGGCGATGTTGGTCGTGCTGGTCGTCAAATCCCTATCGTGGAAGAAGTTACTCCGCCCCGATCAAAGGAGGGCCGAACTGCTGCGCCAACATTTGCCCGTGTCGATACAGATCCCTCGCAGGTGCATGCATGGCAGAAAGAGAGCTCCGTCAGGCACGTAACGGGACCTGGAAACCAGAACTCCATGTATGGGATGTCGGGCAGCAGCCACACCGCTCTTCCGCAGCACTTTCACGACTTTAGCAGCCAGACAGACAGCCCAGGCCGCCCACGCGCAGGTTCAGATAGCAGTACTGGTGGCCATGGAACGCCTAGTAGAATCAGCCAGTACCGCAATTCCGGATGGGGTCGGCCCCCTGCGACAGCGTCGCCTAGCCCTGTTGGCGTCACAGGCGCGGATTAAACCATTTTCACCGCAAGCCTCTCATCGATTCTTTGTGGCTTGTTCCCTTGTTTTTTTTTTCAACCCCTGGTATCTTTCAACTTGTGTTCTAGGGTACATGTTTTATCTTATCACTGGGGGATACAATCATCATCATCAACGCTGTTTTCGCAGCTGTTTTAATACTTGATAGCCTTTCCTTCTCATTTTCATTTTTTTTTTCTCGTGTCTCTTGTTTTCTCTTCTACATTTACCATATTCTTTTTCCCCTTCATGTGTCGCCCGGTGTGGCTAGGCGTTTTATTTTCTCGTCATCAATTCTTAACATTCTTCTTTTTTTCTTTTTCTTCTTTCTCCTCTCATCTCGGCCTTGTAATCAAAGAGAAGAGACGTGTTTTTCCCCTTTTTCCCTTTGCATGCCATAGCCTTTCCTTTTTCTATGGTATCTGATCATCTTATTCGCTTTGAGCCTTTTTTTTTCTTATAATCATCGCCCTGTGAAACATTTTTTATTCTTCTTCATCAGCCGTTTCTTTTCTTTTTCTCTTTTCTTTTTCTCTTTTCTTTTTCTCTTTTCTTTCTTTCTTTTCTTCTTCTTCGTCTTCCCTTTTACTATTTCCTTTTCATTTATTTATTTATCCCTCGCCCCCCTTTCTTAACTTTCTTCCTAAACATGTTTAAAATTCTCCTTCAATTATATTTTCACTACTACATTAAATTCCCAATGTGTTAAATCTCTTTTCTACTTTCCCCCTCCCTCCCCCTCCCTTTTGTCCCCCTTCTCTGTGGGCCCTTGTCTAGAAATCTCCCGGCGAGGAGTATTAGTGAACAACAATTATTATTATTACTATTACTAGTTTTCAGGTCTCATGCCTGTTTCTGAAATATTTTTTCATGGCCCGTCGGTTTGTCCATACTCTTAAGGTTACATTGCCCATTGTCGGTCTGTCCATACTCCTGACCTCCTGACCTCCCGTCCTAAGTCCTATCTACAACTTTTAATTTCACGTCGTCTGCAATAGAATCTCCCCCTTTTTTTCCCCCGCTTTGGTGTTCTGTTTCTTAGGACTGTTCACTTGATCAAAAACGAACCTTCGATTGTGCAGTAAGTTAGTAATGAAATCAAGTGTCCGTGTAACTCTCTAGATAACCGAACTATTCTGCATGCGCTCCTCGGCTTGCTTTTGCTTGTGGGAAAGTGTCGTTCGTTTCATTATTTTCGCCCCTTTTTTTTGGTGGGTGTGGGGAGGGGGGGGGATACAACAATACAACAACACCAAAACACAAAAATCTGTTTTGCACACACCGCTCAGTGTTCAGTCCGTCGACAACGAGTGGAAAAAACCCGACGTCAAAATCTGCGCCAGTTCGTAGTGCGAGATATGAAAAACTGAATTGCAACTGTGATTTCTATTTGGGATATATAGCATACCAATACAGAAACCATGCGTCTGCCTTACGGCGCGCTGATAGAATAGAGATAGCGTAGAATGAATGGGTGGGACCTGGGTGACTGACTAGATGAAACAGTAGAAACGATATTTAAGTGCAAAAAGGCAAAATACGCAGATGGGGTATTTACAATATCGTCGAGGTAGGTATGATAGTGGTAGATACAGATAAGTTGGTTTGAACATGTACGAGAAGAAATGAATAGAAAGGAAAAAAAATAAATAAAAGAATAAAAGAAAAAGTAAAGAAGAGATAACCAAAAAGAAAAAAAAGAAGCGAAAAGAAAGAGAAAACGAAAAATAAAGGCGAAAGACAAAAAGGAAAAAAAAAAAAAGGGAAGACGAAGAGAGGTTCAATACATTTGCACAATGGTTTCGCCCTTTGCGTCGATCCAGACCGGCACGGGCGGTGAGGGTGACGGTAGTGGAGGTTGTTGCGGAGGGGCATTGATAGATGTGGTATCGTCGATCAGGGGCTCTGGCAATCCTGACAATCCTAAGGAACCCGACAATGACAAGTTGTGCAAGTTTGCCAATTTGGCAGACCGGGGAACAATGCGGCGCTGACTGGCGAGATACGCGACGAGGTAGATGTGCGGGATGATTTCGCCCCAGCAGTATATTTTGACAATGTTCTGTTGACTTGCCTGACGATGATGGTGATGGGCGATGGATGCTTGAGATGCTGCGTGCTGCGACGCAGCACCTGGGCCAGCATCAGTATCCGCATCCACATCGACGGTACCCCGCCAGCACCACACGCCCCATCCGGCTCGTCCAGTGCCCACGAGGTCTTCTAGAAATGCCCAAAACGCGTCCTGCACGTCCTGGGACCACGGAGAAGTACATATACGCCAGTATCCGCGCTCGTTGGGCCGGATGCTGCGCGCGACGCGGACGGGTTTGAAGCGTTTGGGCAGGTCGAGTTTATCGACAAGCAGAGCGAGAGAGGGGGTGATGTGTGCGGCTGGAGGCTTGTCGGTGATGGATGTAGGAGGGGGCGGAGGATGGATTTCGCAGGAGGATGTGGAAGGTGGGATGATGCCTGGGGATGATTGGAAGGATTGAAAAGATGCTTGGGAAAGCTGGAAAGCATGAGGATCGGTCGTAAGTGTGGGGTCAGGGGTAGGGGTCTGGAAAGGCGTTACAGTAAATTCGAGATTAGGAGGCGTGGATTGAAGTATGAATGGGCTGGATGGATAGGAAGGAGTTTGACGGTGGGAACTGTGCGGGGGCAGTTGGTGAGGAGTGTGCTGTTGTGATTGTTGGGAGCTAGGAATAGGAGGAGGAGAAGAGGGTAGTGAAAATGGAGCTAGAGATATGGTAGAATTATGTAGATCTCGGGGTCCCACATCGTCACGAGGTTGCTGGAGAGATGGTGCAGAAGATGTTGCTGGTGCCTCTAGCGGAAACGCGTCAGGATGTGAGTGTATTCGTTGAGTGATTGGTTGGGTTGGACTGTCTGGTGGAAGAGAAGAAATTGGGGCTATTTGATCTTGAGGAGAAGGATGTCGAGGAGCAGAGGAGCTGGAAACCTGGGATATATAGGGAACCGAGCCTTGAGAGGACGCAGATACAGGGTATGACTGGAATGATCTGATCTCGTCCCTTGTTCCCGAAGATGTTGAAGATGTACACTCTGGTTGCGACGAATATACTTGTGTATACGAAACTCTAGGGACCTGAGACGAAGGTAATATCGGTCCCTGGGAAGGTCTGAAAGCTTGTGAGGATACTGAAAATTGATCGGCTTGCGAGGTTTGAATTGATTGAGATGCGTTCCGTGTCTGGGAACTCGACATTCCTGGGGAGAATAGTTTGCGCCTTTTATTTGATATTTTCAGAAGCGGTGATTGCGGTAATGAGCCCCATGGAGGAGATGAATCTGTTGTTGTAAGAAAAGGATACGTCGGCACGGGAGACGGTTGAGAGTTTGCGACTACGCTTGGTGGCGTATCCCATGAGTCACGTTGAGGATGTTGATCGTCTGTTAGTAACGAGGATCTTGCGCCCGTCTGAACCTCATTATCTGCATCTAGGAATGCAGAAGGGGTTGTGTACACGGTCGAGTCCTTTTCGACTGGGGCGGTCTGGTCCTTCTGGGGAGTTGCTTGGGCCGTTTGAAGCTGTGCCTGGCGGTGATGTTCCACTTCAAGGAGGATTCGACTATAACCCTCACCGTCAAAAGTTCCATCCTCTTCTGCAGAAGTAGGAGCAGACTGCGTTGATGTAAGTGGCGGGCACTGACCGTCTCGAAAGGATTGTTCTTCAGATGATCTTTGGGCCTGTGAATCTTTGGTCTTGGTTCCAGCCGTGGGAGTGGGACGTTGAGCAACTTGATAGTCGGCAGTAGGATGGTCTTGTATTTCTGTACTTTCGATTCCTTCCTTCGCAGAAGCATATGGATCGACATTTTTGTGACCATTTTGCAATGTGGCCGTCCCTGGATAGCTGAATTTCAGGCTGCCCAAGCTTACGCTTTCCGCCGTTTCGAATTCCAGATAGCTCTTGGCTTGGCTTCTGTATAATGCATCATCTCGCGTGCCGCTGGGCGCCGAGACGTGCACCCATATTTCAGCTTCTTCAGCGCCCATGACGATCTCTTGCTTGAATCATTCCACCTCGATCATCCGTTCCAAGCGCTTCAAGCCTGTTACTGAATAAAATCATAACGAGCTGCGAGCAAGGATAAGGCAGACGGTTTCCGAGTGCAAGGCAAATTTTATTGCTGCAAACTCCACTCCGTGCTTCCAGCAAGCCACATGGGGTTTGCAGATATATGCTAAGTTCCAGAATCCCGTAAAATTGTTGCAAACCAAAAAAGTTGCCTGTAATGATCGAGCACTAGAGGTTGCCTGTTTGGGTTCAGCATGGCGTCAAGAAGCTCGGACAGTTGCCTACTACGAAACACTCGACTGTGGGTTAACTTACCTGATCTCGCTTAGCCATTAGCTTACCCTGGGTCGCCTGTCAACGCTGTGCGGGAGTCACCCGCGTTGGCCGGCGAGCAAGGTTTAGCACACTGCACTAAGCGCTGGTACAAGAGATCACAGCCTCCTGCTCTCCTCCTTCTGTGCGGCAACCCATTTCATGAAGGCCTGAATGCCATGATGGATCTGCGCGCTGAACATCTTTCTGTCAACCATCAAAATGGAATTCTCGATATCGCCCGTTAAAACCGAGGACGTGGATTTGCTCGTACGAAAAGTCGAATTTCCTGCACATCAAGACAATCCGCTCTATCGTATAATGTTCCCGCGCTCAATAGAGCATCAGTGGGAGCAGAGAGAAGACGAAATAAGATGGATGATTGATGGCCTCCTTGAGGCAGTTCATCAAGACGATGAAAGTCTGTACAAAGTGTGCGGAGTAAATGGATTGCCTGTCGGATTGATAGGTTGGACCACTAGTCCAGGCGCTTTTGCAAAGGGGATTAATGGTGGAGATTGCTCTCAGACTAATCTCACAAATAAGTCTGCATCGGAGCAGGGCACGAGGGAGCAAAACCAGAACAGCTGGGTTCCTCCTAATTTGGACGTGCTTTCATGGCTCAGTATCTCGAAAAAGCTCAGAGAAGAGAGGCAAAGAGTTCTTCGGAGTTGCCCCAGCAAGGGAATATGCCGTAAATCTGCAGCCAATTTAAATGATCTTAGGCCTTGCTAACGTCGTTTAGGAATTACTTTTATGGCTGTGGATCCGGATTATCAACGACAAGGGATTGGGTCTATGCTCATGGAAATGTTTTGTCATGATGTTGATAAAAATGTACAAGATGCTCTTGTTTTGTCTTCTCCTGCTGGGGTCTACCTGTACTCCAAGTTCGGTTTCACAGCCGTGGGTGTTGTGGAAACAGACCAAGGAAATTTTACGAGTATGTTAAGGATTTCAGGCTCTGGTCTCGGGGAACCCAGGAAACAATAGCATTTTGTTTGTGATGAGCAACAGCAAGCCAGGCAGCACGGTTATGAAATGCATGTCATAATTATCAAAAGTTTCAAAGAAAGCAAATCATAAATGACAGTGTTGCTAGTATATAGAAAAGAAAACTAAATATAAATGGATTACAAATTAATAGCATGCTCAAAAACCCAAACCCCAACACCCGCTGTACAAACAATCTTAGGAGCATCCATGGTTTCGAAGGCTTTCTCTCAGATGTCAAGCAATAGTCTTTGCAATATAGTATCCTTTTATAGCTATTTTATAGCTTTACTCAATTTACTACTGTTTCTTTCATAACCCATTTGGTGCTCGATGCGTCCCACTTTCCCCTGGACAGAATCAAGTAAAGATAGATTAGATTAGATAGACTTCTTATTCTAACGAACACCAGCCACATACTGCCGAGAAAGCCACACCCACACAATACACGGCGGAATTTGCCATTTGCGCAAAACCACAAGCGACACCAAATTGCTTCCATATCGACTTTCTCCATCGACATCAAACGGGTCAATACTGTACAAGTACAGGACCTCAAAATGGCACCGGCAATCTCGCTGACCGACCTCGTGTCGGCTCTCCCCAACGATGAGTCTTGGGGCCCGCCCGTCTCCGCTGAGACTATGGTTGATGGTGTGCCCTACGCCCCGTACTCCAAAGGCGACAAGCTCGGGCGCATGGCAGATTGGAATACCGAGGGCAAGGACCGCGAGAGAGGAAGAGCTGGCTTCCAGCGTGGCTACAGAGGTGCGTTTATTTCTGTCTCGATACTCTTACGTATCGTATCCAGTTCCAGTTCTGTGTTTTCTTCTCAAGCCGGAGATCATATTTGTCGAGAACCCGTGCATTTGGGCATGGCTATTTCTGTTCGAAAATCCTGCAAGAAATACTAGCTTTGAGGCAACATTTCCATCACATATTACTATAATCGGGAAAGAAACGTGGGCAAACTCAGGATGACCTGATTTGCCTTGGATTTGATTGTTTTATTGATGTTCAACATTTCAAGATAATTCATTTTTCGAATTAAGACTGATAGGTGAACAGATCAGCAGGTCTACGGAGCTGGCAGTGGCAGCCTCTTCGCCGTCCAAGTTGCCGAAGACGAATCATCCTTCTCGGTCGTCGACAACTCTCGTACTTCCACCAAAACTCGTGGTTTTGGTCGTGGTGGTGGCACTGTGTTCCGTGGCCGCGGTCAGCGGGGTGGCGCGGCTGCTCGGGGTCGCGGTGCCTTTCAGCGTGTTGGCGGACGCCAACAGGGCGGTGACCGCTATTCTGACAACCGTGGCGGTCGCGGCGGTCGTGGCCGTCGTTTCGGCTGGAGAGACTACGACAAGCCCCAGCGCACTCGTGACTCTTCTGTCCAGATCAAGCCCGAGTGGCAGATGCTGGAGGAGATTGACTTCAACCGTCTGACCAAGTTGAACCTCGAGACGCCCGATGGCGAGGACCTCGACGGCTACGGATTCCTCTACTATTATGACCGCAACTACGACAAGCAGCCTGGAGCCAAGACTGCTGAGAAGAAGCTCAACATTGTCGACCGCGCCGCTTACAACGTCACAACCTCTAGTGATCCCGTTATCCAGGAGCTGGCCGACCGCAACGAGGCCACCATTTTCGCAACCGACCAGATCCTGTCTATGCTCATGTGCGCTCCCCGGTCCGTCTACTCTTGGGACATGGTCGTCCAGCGCCAGGGTAACAAGATCTTCCTCGACAAGCGCGATGGCTCGAGCCTTGATATGATCAGCGTCAACGAAAACGCTGCTGACGCTCCCCTGGAGACTTCCGAGGGCAACAAGGATTCGCTGAACAACCCCGGTGCTCTCTCGCTCGAGGCCACTTTCATCAATCACAACTTTGCCAACCAGACTGTCATCGAGAACGATGCCCAGAAGGTGCAGATGGCTCATGAAAACCCCTTCTACAGCCCCTCTGAAGAGTCTGAGCCTGCCGCCTCCAAGGCGTACAAGTACCGCCGCTTCGACCTCTCTCTTGAGAAGGACGAAGAGCCCCTCAACCTCATCGTTCGTACCGAGCTTGATGCTGTTATGAAGAACAACATTTCCGGCGAGGACCAGTTCGTCACCATTCACGCTCTCAACGAATTCGATAACAAGGCCCAGGGAAGCTCCGGTGCACTTGACTGGCGCACCAAGCTCGCCTCTCAGCGTGGTGCCGTTGTTGCCACGGAGATGAAGAACAACAGCTGCAAGCTTGCCCGCTGGACTGCCCAGTCAATCCTCGCCAAGGCCGATGTCATGAAGATTGGGTATGCATCCTTCCCTTCTCCTCCGTCTTGACTGAACTGGATAATCTAACACTTGTAATAGTTTCGTCTCTCGTGCCAACCCCCGGTCGAATGATCGTCACGTCATTCTTGGTGTTGTCGGCTACAAGCCTCGCGAGTTTGCCAGCCAGATGAACCTCAACATCTCCAACGGCTGGGGCATTGTCCGCACCATCGCTGACATGTGTCTCAAGATGCCTGAGGGCAAGTATGTGCTTGTCAAAGACCCTAACAAGCCCGTCCTCCGTCTCTACGACGTTCCCTTGAACACCTTCGAGGAGGAGGTTGAGGAGAAGGAGACTGTTGAGGAAGAGGAGGAGGAGGAGGAGTAAATTTATCCTTAATGGTCGATTTATCCGGTTTTCTTTGCATCTTTTGGTAAAAAAAATTTTATGAACTGTCCTGCGGATAGGGAGTAAAAGCTTGTGGACTCTTTTCGTAGAATAGATTGATGATGACAAAATAATCTGGTTCTGTCTGAGCGAGCCAAAATTGGCGGGAAAGGAATCTTATGGGTATTATTACTGCTATAATTTAACTGACCTGATGTATCGATGGCATTAAAGTGTTACTTTCAATTCCACGTGGAAGCATCCGTGATGGATAATCTGTGACGGCATTCTCCGACATTCACACCTGTTTGTCCGGCGGGCGCGTGCCTTTGTGTCGTCGGCACGTCGGGGGTTTGGGGGGGATGCGGCCGACAGGCGGATGTTTTGTCTCTACCCAACTCGGAGCTATACAGACACCAACCAACAATTATCTAATAGTGCATGTCCCTGGAGAGCCAAACGTGGCTGAATTGTTTAGCCAATAGAAGAAGTATCTCCTGGGCATTGTATTATTACTCGAAGAAATAGAGAATCACGTTGCAAGCTTTCGAGAACGCCTCTCGTCAGGAACGCGGGAATCGGCTCCGCCGCCTATTAATTGACGAATATCTGTCGACTTTATATACCTGTCATCTCAGCTCACAAATATTTAAGGAGTTGCAATTTCGTTTCAAAGGGGCATTGCGAAATCACTACTATTTCAAGCACAATATTATTCTATGGACTGCCGCCGAGCTCGTCAACAAGTAGATGTCATATTCATCCAAGTCCTCTTAAGAATAACTTACGCGACTCGAGCGACTGTGAAATAAGCCAGACGCGATACTTCGAATACAGTGGACATAAAACGAAGCAATTTGGCTAGCTGGATAATATTACGCTCAAGCTTGCTACGAGGAGCCCGCTATCCAACATTGAATACTGCAGGTGGCAGTTTTCCCTGAGCAAGTCTCGAGGGCAAATTCTGACAAGAGGGGGAAATAGGAAGACTTAGGGAGCCATATTTGGAAGCACTGGCAACACAAGGGGATACTGCTGGTATTGACGCTTTGTATCCATATTCGGCAGCAGGACTGCTGTGGAGCTGGGCACTCAATCATTGCTTTTGTGTAGAAAGTACATGAAGGATTGCCACTATGGCTCCAGTTGGAGGTGGAAACATTAAGGTTGTTGTGAGGGTGAGACCGTTCAATAACAGAGGTAAGTGAGATATTGCGAAAATCCAGGAATCCAATCAACGAGTTGTGATGCGATATGTTGGGCGTTTGGAACCAATACCTCGCAGCACACACGAGTTGGGTTTAGGAAGAGGCTCCATTCTCGAGGGTTCCTGACAATAAATATAGAGATTGAACGACGCGCAAAATGCATTGTTCACATGAAGGACACCCAGACTGTCCTGACGCCTTCTGGAGAAGTCGAGAATCATGATCGACATCGCGGCGGCAAGCCGGCCAAGGGCCAAGGTGGAGATGGGCACAAGACCTTTGCTTTTGACAAGAGTTATTGGTCATTCAACAAAAAGGACTCCCATTTTGCTGGGCAAGACGATCTCTTCGGAGACCTGGGTCGGCCATTGCTGGACAATGCCTTTCAAGGATACAACAACTGTATTTTTGCGTATGGTCAAACGGGCTCTGGAAAATCGTATTCGATGATGGGTTATGGCGAGGAAGCAGGAGTCATACCCAGAATTTGCCAGGACATGTTTGAGCGAATCGCGGGGTTGCAACAGGAGAACGGAAACCTAAACTGCACCGTCGAAGTCTCATACCTGGAAATCTACAATGAACGTGTCCGCGACCTGCTCAACCCTTCGACGAAGAGCAATCTTAAAGTTCGTGAACACCCGTCAACTGGACCGTACGTGGAGGATCTAGCCAAACTGGTCGTTCGCTCGTTTCAGGAGATTGAGAACCTCATGGATGAGGGTAATAAGGCGCGAACCGTAGCCGCGACGAACATGAACGAAACATCAAGTCGTTCTCATGCCGTCTTTACGCTGACGTTGACTCAGAAGCGTCACGATGTGGAAACAAGCATGGACACCGAAAAGGTTGCCAAAATCAGCCTCGTCGATTTGGCTGGCTCAGAACGAGCAAATTCAACCGGAGCAACTGGAGCACGATTGAAGGAAGGTGCAGAGATTAATCGTTCCTTGTCCACTCTCGGTCGTGTAATAGCGGCTCTAGCGGACGTGTCCGCTGGGAAAAAGAAGAATTTGTCCATGGTTCCATATCGTGACTCGATTCTAACATGGCTGCTCAAGGATTCGCTAGGAGGTAATAGCATGACTGCCATGATTGCTGCCATCTCTCCCGCGGATATCAACTATGAAGAGACCCTTTCGACATTAAGATATGCTGATTCCGCCAAACGTATCAAGAACCATGCAGTCGTTAATGAAGATCCAAACGCGCGGATGATACGCGAACTAAAGGAGGAGCTGGCGCAATTGAGATCGAAATTAACCAGCGGTGGAGGTGGCGGAGGGGGCGTAGCTGTCCCTGCGGACGAGCAGTACGCGCCAGATACGCCTCTTGAGAAGCAGATTGTCTCAATAACCCAATTGGATGGTACGGTCAAGCGGGTATCCAAGGCTGAAATTGCAGAACAGCTCAGTCAATCGGAGAAGCTGTACAAGGACCTTAATCAGACCTGGGAAGAAAAACTCCAGAAAACGGAAAAGATTCACAAAGAGCGAGAAGCTGCTCTTGAGGAACTTGGCATTAGCATTGAAAAAGGGTTTATTGGCCTTTCAACGCCCAAGAAGATGCCACACTTGGTCAATCTCAGCGATGATCCGTTGCTCGCCGAATGTTTGGTATATAATATTAAGCCTGGGACAACAACTGTTGGTAATGTCGAGACCGCTACCACAGCAGAGATACGTTTGAACGGGTCTAAGATCCTACATGAGCACTGCACGTTCAGAAACGTTGACGGGATAGTCACGGTTGTGCCGAACGATAATGCGGCCGTCATGGTGAACGGGTTACGTATTGATCAGCCCAAACGACTGCGAAGCGGCTACCGTGTCATTCTTGGAGACTTTCACATATTCCGCTTCAATCATCCTCAGGAGGCACTTGCAGAGAGAGCAGAACAGACAAGCTTGTTACGACACTCGGTTACGTCAAGTCAGATTGGATCCCCAGGACCTCGTACAAATGGGCATGAGAGGACCATCAGCAGGACAAACTCTGAACTTGAACTCGATAGCAGTGCGCCATCATCGCCTTTGCCTCGGCGATACGGAGAAGATTTCGACTGGTCATACGCGAGAAGGGAGGCTGCGCGAGCAATTCTTGGGCCGGATCAAAAGATATCTGATTTGGCAGACGAGGAATTGGACCATTTATTTGAAGACGTGCAAAAAGCCAGGGCGTTCCGAAGAGGATTCCCAGAGAGTCGCCTAGAGCAGGAAGACGATAACGAGTCAGCGACTTCATATCCCTTCAGAGAAAAGTATGCTTCCACTGGGACAGCGGACAGTTTCTCTGCCGATACGGCTCTGACCTTCCCTTCTACCCCTCGGGAAGGTGAGGCTGATGATAGGCTGCGGGCGGCACACGAGGAGATGCAGAGTCAGCTCGGGAAGCAGAAGCAAGATTTTCAGGATGGGCTAAGGGAGTTGGAGACTACAGACACAAATGCCAGCGATGTTCAGGGCAAGGAGGGGCGCTTGGAAGAGGCTCTAAAGGCCACAAGGGCGGAGATGCAGGCACAGATGGAGCAGCAGAAAGCACAATTCGAGGAACGTTTGCGACAGATGAGCGAGCAGGATCCGAAACAAACAACGAATCGCAATCTGCTGTACCGAGACAAGGAGCTTGCCGTGGCAAAAGACAGCTTCCAGCATTGGAGGCGCCGGAAATATGTACGCATGGCGGAATCCATTCTGCAAAATGCCGCGGTTTTGAAAGAAGCACAGGTAATGAGCCAAGCCATGGACAAGAATGTTGTGTTTCAATTTGCTATTCTTGACGTTGGACACACTTTTGCTTCGTCCTACGACCTAGTGCTCAGTGATATTGCTGGCGAGGATGACGAGGCATTAGACGATGCGGGCAAACCATGCGTTGGGGTTAGAGTCTTGGATTATAAGAATTGTGTCATCCACCATTGGTCTCTAAAAAAGCTGGAAGACCGAGTGCGGTCGATGCGTCAGATGTATCAATATATTGATCGGCCAGAATACCTACAGCATTTCCGGCTAGAGAATCCGTTCTCTGAGGCGTTTTTGCCAAGATACTCTCTTGTGGGCGACACTGATGTTCCTCTCACTGCAGTTTTTGAATTAAAAGTGCAAGACTTTGAGTTGGATATAATATCACCGTACACGTCGAACGTTGTTGGCATTCTCAAGTTCTCGCTGGAGCCATCCTCTGCGGAGGCTCCGTCATCGACGCTGAAGTTCAACGTGGTGATGCATGAGATGACTGGTTTTGCAGAGCGCGAAGGAACGGAGGTACATGCACAACTTTTTGTACCAGGAATATCCGACGAAGGCGGTGCAACCACGACGCAGATGATAGCTGACTTTGATGAAGGTCCTGTGAGGTTTGAGAGTGTTCATAGCATGAGCATACCACTCTCGAGTCCAAGGACGGCTTCGCTGCGGATAGCAATCTTTGCCAAGATTACACCGATGCACCTCGACATGCTGCTAAGTTGGGACGACATGCGCGATTCTGCGCCGCGGAGGAAGCAGAAGAAGAATGCTCGGATTCCAGAGACGGAATTTTATGCCGAGGAGCGGCATGATATCTTTTCAAGGCTGCAAATTTTGGAATTATCTGAGCAAGGTGACTACGTACCAGTCTCCGTATTGCAGAGTAACCCACTCGACGCTGGTGCCTTTCAACTCCACCAGGGTTTGCAACGGCGGATCGTCGTGCAGCTAACGCACAGCTCGGGCGATGCACTGGAGTGGAACAATATTTCACTGTTGCGCGTTGGAAACATTCGCCTCGTTGATCCGCTTGGCAAAGTTCCTGATCTCAGCCCTCCAACACCAGATATTCCTCTCAAAGTGTTTTCCGAGCCCGTTGTTAAGCAAAACGCCAATGGAACGAGCAATGTCACTATTTGCGGACAATGGGACTCCAGTGTTCATGAGTCTCTCCTTCTTGACAGAGTGACAGCCGACAAATACCGCGTACAAATGACGATTCTATGGAATGTCCCGTCAGCCCGACTTACGGAGCCGGTTGAGTTTTCATTAGATGTATCGGTACAGATTCAGCCGCGAGCTGCCCCTCAGCCATCCATATTCATGCAGCTCTGGAGCACTGTGCGGACGGTGCATTGCGTGGTGGGTATGTTCTCACTCGCTATCCGTCCGACGTCTGCGAAACGGGCCGTGGATCTATGGCGGATGAATACACAGCACGACTATGTCAAAGGAGAAGAATTGCTCACTGGCTGGGCCCCAAGAGGCGTGTCTCTTGTCAGAGATTACATCGCTGCACGGAAACGTAGACGAAGAGTTGCCGAGATTGAGACAGCCAGGGGCGTGCTTACGAGTAAAGCTCTGAGCCCTCCTGAACCTCGTTCTTCCTCCAGCGTTCCTCCATCTGATTCAAAGGATGCTCCCGTTCCTGCAGCCGAGAATAACGTACTCTCAGGAGCAGTAGATGGATCGGCAGATGAAAACGAGTCACAACTTGATCAAACACAGGAGCAAGACCAAAGTTTGCAGGACCAGGACCTGGAGCAAACACTTTACTCTCCACACGAAGAAGAGCTTCTCAGAAAATATGTTTGTCTATGGCAAAGCTACCGAGACGACCCTGGCGAAAAGATTCTCTCACAACAAAACACGGAACCACCTCAACAAGGCGCCGCCTTTGCTCTGGGAACCCCGGATGGAGAAAATGCCGCTGGACCCCCAACTCTAGTTGCTGAGGTCCAGCACATTGCCAAAAAGTGAGTTCATCCTTGCATCGTAGATCAGCGACCTTTCCGCCTTTTTTGGGTCTACACATTTCCGAGACTCGCACTGTCTGCAATTTGTTCCCAAACCAGCTGACAACCCTTTCTAAAATAGCCCCTCCGTCCTCAAATCCGGAACCCTATTAACCCCCAACGAGTCCAACACGCACTGGGTCCGGCGACACGTCGAGCTACGCCGACCATACCTGCACGTCCATTCTGTCCCGCCAGATGGCGACGGCGACGAAATTGACGCCATCAACCTGAGCAACGCGCGCGTCGATCACCAGCCGCAAATTGCAAAACTGCTTCGCGGAAGACAGAATGTGTTTGCCATTTACGCTCCGCAGAATACATTCCTCTTTGCGGCCCGCACCGAGCGTCAGAAGATTGAGTGGATTCTGAGAATCGACCAGAGCTATTTTGGTAATGGAAACGGCAGTGGGAGTATGAGTGGTAGTGAGTACGAGGGCGAGCAGTGAACTGAACAGCCACCGGTAGATGACACTGCTTGGAGTGATTTAATACCCTTTTTTCTTCCTATTTACTAGTGGCTTATTTCTGTCATCTTTTCACTTTTATCTTTCATCTATCTTCTATTCCTTCTTCATTTTTTCCTTCTTTCATTCACCTGACATCTTCGTCCCTCTCTCCCCCCTCCAACCCCCTTCTTGTCCCCTTCTTACTCAGAAGAGCAAAGACGGGGGTCGTTGATTTTACACACCCCAGCGCATTTGAGCGTCCCAGCATCTCAGCAACTGCCATCTAAGCATCTCCGCATCATTTGTCATCTTTACTGCATCTTTCTGCATACTATATAAACTGCGCCATCTAGACTCACCCACACACGCCCATACGCCACGAGGCAGATATACACCTATCTTATTCTAGAAACTACTCTAGGTAGCCACAGCGGATATCTACAAACTGAAGAAATAAAAGCACTTGATAAAAAAAAAAGGGCTAAACTTTTCTAAACGCCACTTCCCGTGGTAATCTGAAACTCGCGCAAAACATTCTCTTCTGCGGCGCCACGTCGCGGACATCGTGAATGACCAGCTCGTCGCGCTCGCTCACGGGACTGGCGCCGCCCTCGAGCACCCGGCCCTTGGGCGCGACGAACGCGTGGCCCAGCTGCGCCGAGAGCTCGGCGGCGATTTTGACGTACGCGTCCTGGTTGTCGTCGGATTTGGTCGAGAAGCAGTGCACGTGGATCATGGGCAGTTGTGCTGTCGATGGCGCGGTAGCGGCATCGGCAGCGGCGGCCCCAGAGGTAGCGGCGGCGGCGGCCCCAGAGGTAGAGGACAAAGGAGAGGAAGATGAAGAAGAAGGATCGGGCTCAAATAGGTCCTCGTGGCCGGCGTAGACGCCGATAAAGGCGGGCAGGAAAGAAGTAGCTGTCGCGGGGAGGTTCATGACGTAGTGCTGGAATGTGCGCGGGAGTTTTATCCTCTTGATTTCTTTGGGGGGCTGAGGGACGACAGGACCAGTACCACTGCCTGCATTGGCCTTACTGCCTGCACTGCCTGCACTGCTCGCTGCGCTCGCTGCTTTAAGCTCGCTGCGGCGCGGAGGTTTACTCATAATCACAACATCAGACTGCGGATCCTGCGCCGCCTGGAGAAGCTGTTGCGCCGAGGAGCGAATAAACTCCATGCCGTCGCCGCAGAACGCGCGGACATACGGGGAGACTTTATTCCGGGCAATCGCGTCGGACAAGCTGGCGTAGCTGGCCGGGTTGAGATCGTTGGCCCAGACAAAGACGCCGCGCTTGCCGGCGGGGACAGCAAAGGGGCCGACGCCGGCCATGACGTCGCACACCGCGGAGCCCGGCGCAAAGGACTCGACGAGCCGGCGGTGTTCCGTGTTGAGCCGGCTGTTCCAGTACACGGCGCTGTAGTCGAAGTGGAACGTGCAGTCGCCTTCCTTGACGACCACGTCGAGCGACGGGTCTCCGGCCAGAAGCTCGTACGAGAATGTGCGGTACTCGGACACGGTGCCGACGTCGTCGGTCTTGTTGATGACTGTGCGCACGGACGGGTTCTTGTCCACGAGCACGCTGGCGATGAGGTGCTTGTATGGCAGGTACGCCGGGCGCAGGTTCAGGTGCGCGACGTGCCCGACGATGCTGAAGCCCGTGGGAAGCTCGTCTTGTTCGTCCTCGGGCAGGATCGAGGTCATGATGTCGTCTATGTGCGGTTAGTGTAAGTGGTATGCAGAATGCGTATCCAGTTGTGTATGGAAGGAGGAGGGGAAGAAGGGAGGGGGTAGGGAAGATGAAGGAAAAGAGGTTAAAAGACGTACGATATGTCCAATACTCGTATTCTAGCTCAAGATTGTACGGAATGACACGCACGCTTTCTGCTTGCGCCAGCTCAGTGAGCACGGGGCCCCATGTGGATGCATCTGTCGGTACCATCAGCATATGCCATCCTTCATATATAAAACCAATCAACGAGTCTACAAGGGAGAAACGCCTCCCTCGGCGCTCTAACAAGGATTGCATACCATTATGTCTAACTTCTGGTTCCAAGAGCAAACACTTCTTGCCCTGGGCCGCAATCTCGGGCTCCGGGTCCGGTCTGATAATCGTGATGCGGTCCAGCTGGAGCGCCTCTCTGCTCTTCTCCAGCGCGGACCGGCACTTGGCAATGTTGCGGTTCTCGAGCACCCGTGCGGCAGAAAGGGGGACCGTTTTGCGGAAGAAAGGCCGGTCTAGCACGCGCATAGCGCGGTTGATTGGCGGGCGGAACATTTCCTCTCTGGGTACCTCTCTTGTAGACTTTTCTGCTGTCCCATCAAATGTCTCTGTCGATTTCTTTTGTATCGTCTCGCTTGGCGATGTTGCCGTCTGGCTGTCGGGCTGCTCTGGCTTCTGTTTCTTCTCCGGAGGCGCACTCATGTAGCCCTACATATGTTCGGAGTGTTAGCCATACGCTTTCCCTCCAAGCTTATACAGAAAAGCCCTGTCACGATTTCTTGCTCCAACGGCATTGGGCCCTTTCCAAAGGAAAGTAAGAATTCAAAGACTAGTACGAACCTGTTGCGCATCCATTGGAGGTATCCCGATAGACCCAAATGAAGAATCAATGTCTCAACAAAATTCTAGAAAACACAAGACTCTATCATGTCATATCATGTCTTGTAAATGCAGTCTTCTTTGCTTCTGCCCTGGTGTTGGCGCTGTTTGCTGGGTTCAGCACAGTATATCGGAGGTTTCTACCGCTCCCCGCGATATCAACTTTAGAACACCCTGCGAAATTTTCCAGTCAGCGATATAGACCATTAGCGCGGTTTCCTATACCTAATTCTGCTCGTTGTCCCTCGACGTCGCAGTTACAGACGCGCATACATCAATGCATTTGACACTACAACTCCAAGAATAGTCTTAGATGAGACTCACTGGTTCTTGTCAAAATGATACGAGGGTAGCTAAAAGGAAGCAAAAAACATATAATTCCATGTAGTTTGACATTACAACTCCAAGAACATTCTCAAACAACACTCGCCTTCTTTCTTTATTTTTGCTTTACTTTTCCTTTTATCAAAGATCGCACAAGACAATTAAAATAATAGATGCCTATAAAAAAAAGCATGACTAAATAAATGGGTATAAAACATAGCAGCCGAAACAGAAACAAAAACAAAAGGTTAAAAACAAAGGACAAAAGAACCAAAAAAAAAAAGGAAAAACATACAACAGCGGGGATTCGCTGGTCGTCACCGACCCAACTACTAGTCCGCCGATCTGAGGCTTATGTATGGCAGAGCGGACGGGATGCCCAGTTCTCCTCAGTCTATGGTCGTATGTACTCATTTGTTCTTTACTAGAAACTATATCCCATTCCCCTCGCATAATTCAATCTCATAGTTCCGTGTCATTTTGACATTGCGTCCGGCAGGGACCTTCAGCACGGGGGCACGGGGGCACGGGTAGTCGAAATGTTGAAGAGTCCAACGATTTGACCAGGAAGTCGTGAATCTATTAACAAGAAAGACTGTAGCTAGAAAAAAGGGAATCACAACCTAAACTACTTCTAGAAAAGGTGGATGACGCTGAGATATGGGCCGAGTCGGTGGTCAAAGGGGTGAAAACAATAGCCAATATAGGTAGTTAGTGATTACAAATTCAAATTTGTATTGTCTTATAGAGTGATTAAATTGAAAGAAAGAGGAAAAAAGAATAAGCAGATAAGCCCGTCCCATCCGTCCGTTCGGCCGTCGTTCAAACCATCGTCAATCCATCTAAGGCGTCAAAAGAAAAAAAAAAGAAAAAAAAAAAAAATTCTCTCATCAGAAAAGTCCATCACACTTGCAGTTGACAACACATTGCAGATGCCACCCCTATTCTCAAGTTTCCAGCCCGTTTGGTTGCATTCGCGCAAAGAAACAACCAGACTAGCAGTCTCACAAGTGCAACTGTCACTTCAGTTCCATCCAAATAAACCACGGGAAGAGTTGAGAAAAGGACAAGACAATGAGTTGCATTCTTGACCTCGAGTCTAGGAGACAAAATTGCACTCCATACAATTTGCAATCTTGTGCCAAAGCAAGTCCATAAGCTGTCAAATTCGTGACTCGTGACGGTATGGTGCGGTGAAATAGTATATAAATCACAAGAGGTGAAAACGTGATAGAGGCGTAATACATGGAGTAAAGGGTGAAGGAAATAAAAAAGAGTCTCAAAACCGCAAAGCGCTGGCGTTATGAAGACGAAGAAGAGAAAGTTAGACAAAAGCAACCATACAATAGAACAAAGAGTTGGGGGTTTTGGAGTAAAGATGGAATCAGACGTCAAGGCACGCCTAATGTGAGACAGACGGCGTGGACGCATGGGTATAATGAGTTGTAAAAAAGCATGGGAAAGAAAAGAAGATGGGGGCCTGCAAAAGCCCGTCCCCTGAAAAAAAAAAAAAATAAAATAAAATAAAGAACATTTGAAAAACGCTACTCCTCCTGACAACAGTTTTGCGCTCAGGAAGCGCCAGACTGTGCCTTTCAACCGGGGTTGCACCCAGACGAATGGAAATCTATCCGTCTTCTTCTGCATCCTCGTCTTCTTCCGGCTCCTCACTTTCGCCTCCTCCAGTACCACCAGCGACGAGACTGGCTTCACTGGCTTCATCCGACTTGCTCTTTTTGGCCGGTGTCGTCGAGTGTCCTTCTGATGTGCTTGCTTTTCGCTTGGTGCCCGTTCCTGTGGCGTTGGGAGCAGTCGCGAGCTTGGCTGGTGTATGGCTGATGGCATCTTCCTTTTTGTCACTGCCGGCCTCGCTCAGCGGTGCACCGACGATGCCAGTGCCCTTTACCCGCTCCATCTCCGCTACTTCGTCGGCTGTCAAGAATCGCCCACCGGGTCCACGTGGCCGTCGCATGGCGTGATTATGCCGTGACTCGTGCAGGTAAGGTTTCCGGCCCTTGGACGTTAACCGCAGCGCCTCCTCCAGCCGTTGTCGTGCGACGCGTCGCTTCAATATACGGTGGAATTGTTTGGCGTTGACGTAGAGGGGTGATTCCTCGGCCGCACCGCCAGCAACTTCGGGTGACGCACGATGTTGCGCCATGGCAGGCGGCTGCGACATGGTCGGGGGAACAGAGCCTCGCGGTCCCGCATGGTTCATGATCGGGTGCGAGTTAGCCACCGCTGGGCTAGGTATTTGCTGGCTCGGTCGACGTTGCGCAACCATGGCCGCCTGTCCGGGAACAGCACCGACTTGTGACGGCAGCGAGGGCTGTCCTGACAACTGCCCGGCAACGTGCGGCGGCGTTCGGCGCATGGGCTCCTTCTTGGAGACGCCTGCCATGCGTGGTGAGGCTCGAGGATCCTGCCCGAGACTGGCCGGTAAAGGTCCTTCGGGCATGGGATAGTATGCTTGTCCTGAAGCCGCTGCTGTTGCCATGGCAGCTGCTTGCGTCGGAGAGATGCCATAACCTTGATGCATCGCCGGTGCGGCGACGCCATATGGGCCAGGGTAACCCATTTGCGGATGTCCGGTTTGCGCTGCCGCCGCTTGCTGTTGAAAGGCGTGTCCCTGAGACGGTATTATGGGTGATGCTTGCGTATGTGTCGGATGTGATTGATGCATCTGTGGCGTCTGTGTGGGAGGAGAGGTGATGGAGCCGCCGGGCGCGGTGGTCTGCGTCGCAGGTGTATATCCGCCCTGAAGGCGCGACTGTGGATGATGGCCGTGTGGTGGCGGCTGCTGGTATGGACCGTAATCCATCATCTCGAGGTCTGATTGTCAGACAGAGCGAGATGGCGAGAGGATCGTCGAACGAGCAAGTGTTTCCAGCAACGAATCTTCGTCGCGCGTAGTCGTAGAACTATCGGTGGGAAGGAGGATACGAAAAGAAGCAACTCGATATAAAGTAACGGGTGTGGCGGTGTTGAGTCGCAGTCGTCACTGACCAAGAGGAATTGCGCTCGCCACAATAATGTGCCGGTCGAGAATGGATAGCGAAAAGCTGAACAATTACAAAGTGTCCGAATCCAAGGGCACGGCCACAGTGAAAGCGCGTCGCTCTGTCGTCAAAACAAAGGCAGCGGATGCGGTTGGTCGATTCCGTCGAGAGCGACTCGGGGTTGTAATGGTCGGGACTGGAAAAACTACAATCCTGCAAAGTTGATTAGCTTAGGGACATGTCCGCCCAGCATTGACCTCGCTTTGGCCTTGATCATTGCTCGCCACCGCGCGCGCAACAAAAAAAATAAGCATTCTCTCACAGCCTTACTTTGGCTTTCGTCAAGGGCAGCCCAACTGATCGACGTTGCGCGCGCCGGGGCGAAGCCTTGGCTTCAAAGGATTGGACCAAGAAACCCAAAGAAAAGGGGGCCGGGGCGTACCTGGGATGAATTGGGACAAAATCAAAGGTGAAGCTGTCCGGTTGGAACGTTTGTTGTTTCTCTCGCGCGCGCGCGCCGAGGAGATCTGGTATAGTCTGCGACCCAGCTACTATAGGCGATTGGCGTCACCCGGCAGTGTGGTGATGCGCTGGCAAATGAGGTGGCCACGGCCAGGATCGATGGAGGGGTGGGCGAACGAAAGAGAGAGCGTCGTCGTCAGAGGGAGGGTGGGAGCGGCGTCGGTCGTTCCAAAATAGCCGGTTGATGTCAGCGCAGCAGAAGCTTGTGCTGTGTGTCTGTCTCCCTCGGGGGCAACCCAGATTCTAGAAGAGCGGGATGTCGGGGACGCTAATCGACGACGGCAATGGTCATCAACGCGCTTCAAGGGACAGAAAGAAAGGCGTGCGGGAGCAAGACAGTTCTTCGCGCTTGATCTCAAGCGGGCGAAAATCTACGTTCCCAAGGTCTGCGCACAATGGCAACGATTCGCTGCTGGGGGTGGGAGGCCGACGAAAGAGAAGGTGTCGGTCCGTCAGGGTCCACGGGTGATCGCGTGTGCGTACAATGTGGGGAACCGACGCTTGAGAATGAACTGGGAAAACCGTTGCTCGTTAGCATCGCTCAGGTATACGTCTCAGAGGGCCATGGGCAAAGGCACCATGGACATAAAAGGGCTGGGTGCATTCATAGTTCGGGCAGTACCAAGGAGGGGGCACGGTGTGGAAGTGTGAGAGTGAGTTGGTGGGTGGGTGTATGTTTGGGCGTGGTGTGGTGTGGTGGATGAGGGTTAATGCGGTATGCGCTGGCAGCGACATAGCCCCAAGAAAAGAAGAGCGAGAGAGAGGGAAAAGACATACTTTGAATTGGGTCAGCTCGCCGAGCTGTCGGGACACCCAAAAAGCAATGATGCTTCGCCTTATTGTGCCCGATGACGTGGGCTCGCCTTTCTTCTGGGACAGTACCTGTTTGGGGAGCAAATGGACTGATGGTCCACCCGAGAAAGGAAAATAGGATCCAAGAGCGGTCAATGTCAATGACGATGAGGATGATGATGATGATGATGCGAATCCAACGTAAAGCGTGTCTTTTCAGTCGCTTCGGACGCGTCTCGTTGAGCCTGATGCGAAGTAGCCGATCACGGAAGTTTTTTATGAGCGAAAATGTGACCGGGATCGCCGCAAGCACAGTATGGTTGAACAACCAACCGGTTCTTCCTGGCTCAGAGTCGAAGCGCGACGTCAATTGAGCGGTTCAAACGGAGCGCGTCACGGGTCGGCGCGACGTTACTTCGGTTTCAGGCGGCAGAGGGCAGACGCCTCGCGGTTGCAAAGGGGAAAAGAGAAGAAAAATATTCCGATGGTCAAGGACGCAACACGGTCGCGATGTCACCTGGTCTGGACAGTGCGGTCGGAAGTCCCGTTTTGGCGTCTGTGGGGGGGTGTTTCGTGGTGTATTCGAACCAACGCAATGGGGCGGAGAGTGACCCAAGAAGCGCGGAGTCCGCAGACGATTTCAGTCACGAGCGTTGGGAGAGCTTTTGTGGCTGCCCGTTGAGCTCACGAATGGGAGAAGAGGAAGCAAGAAGTAGGACCTGGGGCTCTGTGTGTGTCTGTGTGTGGGTGGTAGGAAGTGACCGGCAGAAGACCTGATCAATTGGATGACGAGGTTGGGCGGCCAAGCGAGAGACGTGCAGAATCTCACGACTTGGGGGGGGAGGGGGCACAAGTGAGAAAAGGACCAAAGGAAGCCTGACGGCAGACTGGCGGAAGTTGTCGCAACTGTCTTGGTGTCTCTTTCCGCCTTTTCTTTTTTTTCCCCTTCCTTTTTCCTCTTCCTCGTTATCTTTCTCGACTTTTCCTTTGTTTGCAGATACCTTCAATGGCGTTAGAGGCTGTCAGCCTAGCCCAGCCTGGCCAGCCAGCAAGCAGAGGCAGCAAGCAAAAGCAAAGAAAGCACCGAGAAGCAGGCAGCCCTGTCAGTGCACGCGCGTGGGAGCTCTAGAAAACAGAGCGTGGTGTCGAGATGCGCAATCGTCAAGGTCGATGACGATGATTGGTCGTTGAATGTTGACTTGGGAGGCTGGAAAGGAAGGCAGCGAATGAGTTGGACTGATTGGGTGGAATTGGGGGGGGGGCCAAAGGTGAGGAGGGAGGAGGGAAAAAGGGAAAAGAGAGAAGAGATTGGATCAATCAGGATCGGGCACAACCGATGAGAATATGATTATCGCTGTATCGGTTTAGTGTCGGGAGCAGGACCAGATGGGAAAAGCATGGCCGAGAGTCAAAAGAGACGGAGTGAGAGGAGCCAAAGTGGTTGGTCCCACTGTATCTCTAGTTACTCTCTCGTCCCCCTCGCTCGGTAAGGTAGCTAAGCTTAGCTGTCAAAGCAGAAAAAGTCACTCGCCTAGCGTCATCAGCCACGACCGAGGACCAAGGGCGACAGTTGTCAAGACTGGACTACGGAAGTAATGTACCGTAGGTAGTGATGAATGACATGACCTTGGAAATGACGGAAGATGAGGATTCCGTTCATGGGAAGATGATAACAAGTACGACAGCGGCAGGAAGAGCAGTGCAGTACCGACCTAGAAGAGTCAAGAGAGCCGAGAGAGAAAAGTCGAAGAATACCTACCTATAGGCATGCAATGATGATTAAGGACATGCATCCATTCTATCGTCGTAAGTTCCGGAGGGCAGGGGAGAAAAAGAGACCGTGGCCGTGTCTCTCGGGCACAGCAACTCTGGCCGTCATCCGAGGCAGCCTCACTGACTTGATACCCTACCTGTATCGCCCTCTACTACGATATCGATGAAAGCCCCCGGTCATAGAAGCACAGGATGACGAATGAGTTGATGTGACAAGCATCCTTGACCAATTGACCAGCTTTCTTTTTTTTTTTTTTTTTTTTTTCTGAGCCATTAGTTAGGCCGTTATATTGGCTTTGTAGGCTGTCCTTCATCATCATCAACTTCTTCATCAACGGCAATGAGTTGGAGGGGGGTGGTGAAAGAGCATCTGCCATGTTCTATTACCTGCGTAAAAGTCTAAACACTGTGCCCGGGCACAGAACGCCAAGGGTCACGGCGCCAAAAGGAACACGGAAACGCCCTGGAGCCACCACAGTAATCTCAAAGGAAAGCGCATCAGGATTCATCAAGAGAACGGCCCCCAAGTAGTGAAGCATCTCGCCATGTTGAGCAAGGATTAGGCACTATTCGTGGCGCCCCGGTCAAATCGGGGCAGCGGATGCCCTCGTACTGTTCTGTACCTTTTCCCGTCCAGCATGGTCCATTTCTCTTTTGAACCCTTCCCGCGTGGGATGGCTGCCGCCTCAGACTCTTTTAGTTTCACGATCATCTCCTTGCCAATGTCATCATTGCACCCGCCCTGCTATTAATTTAAATTGTTATATGACTCTCTACTCACCGTATAGCCATTGACAGCATGGTCACAAGCAAAAGAGCATTAATACGGTCGGTATATATGCCTCTGTCCCCCTGCTGAGACAAGTCGATCCAGGGGAGCCGAGAGGTCGGGCAGAATACTTAACTAACTTATAGCTAGTATTATTATTATTATTATTATTATTATCATCATCATCAGCCTCGCCGCTGAAAAGGTGGTCATGGTCGCAATGCAAGCACCAGGACAGGGACCAGGGCAAGGACCAGGGTGATATGACTGAAGATGTTGTAAGCATTTCATCTTTCTTCGTCCATACCTCTGTACGTATCACCGTTCCTTTGGGTTGCTGCTGTGTCCCACCCTCCCCGTCAGGGACCAGGGCACGACATTGTCCCGTAAGAGTAAAAGCTCCTAGACATGCAGCAAACATGGACAAGGACAACGACAATGACAACGACAAGACAAGAATGGCATTGTCCATCTTATCCTTTTTACTTCTTCTGTATCACCAATGTCCTCGTACATATGTCAGGAGAAGAAAGCAAGACAATGTAGCTGCACATCATCACCGTTACATGCGAGAAACGTTCCGAGTACAAAAAGTCGGTGAACCGCTGCTGGTCTTGAGCCTTGTACTGCCCGACATCTGCGGGCGCCGGCGGCAACAACGGTCATTGTCGCACTCTGTTGAACTGATCGTACCCAGGCTTCTAATGAGACTCCTGAGGTCAAAGGCCAGGCACAATGGGGCAGAACCCTCATTCCTTTACTATTCCGCATATAATACTCCGTATATACGTGAAGTTACTTAACCGGCTCATGGTACAGTAGCATTGCCGAACGTACAAGGATGACAGAACTGCGGCATGCGGACTAAAGGGATAATGACCAAACAGATATAACTCAGTAAAGAGAGAAAATCAAATAAAAAAAATAAAGGTAAAGTAAAAATAAAACTCGTCCTTGTGTTTAATGATCAGATCTATACAAAGTAATCCGTGCACCAGGTTCTTGCACGTGTTCACAGGAATCCAGCGACAGGGAGCCACGCCGCAAGCCACCAGGTCATTCGCCCCCCGCGTGCAAAATTAAGAAGGCGGAGATCATGACTCTGTAGCGTCACCAATAGAACACGGGCAACCTGTATTACGAGTTGCGGACACGGGTATGTCTGGCATACGACGACCATGTATAGCATCAGCCTCGCATTAGTAGGTAGATCTCATTTCAATGAGCAACACGGGCAGACTGTAATTCCGGATCTGTCCCGCTGAAGAATATCCCATGCCGAGCCGCTTCTGCCACAGCGGCTCGTCATCTCTCTCTCTATCTGGGAAATGCCGTCTGGGGTCCATAGTCTTGACCAAGGACGCGGCACGAAGGCCCTGGGCGGATTGGCAGGAGTACAGAGTATTTTCTTATGACCCTCCTCCACGAGGGCGATCGGCGGTTAATGAGGCATCGCCGCATCAATGCATCATTTAACCTGAAATTAATGTGGAAATTGCATGTCCTGGTGTCCAATATCATGACCACCGTATATACTACCTAAGCAGCAGCAACAACAACAAAACAACCACGACCATACGGAGGTATAATGTGGAAATGAGCTACCTTGTCGTTTCGGGCATGACGAAACTTGGAGCTTGGAGCTTGGAGCTGTTCCTGGTTATATACTCCATCTTCGACCTATCATGGCCTCAGCCTAGCCCTCTGTGTCTCAAAACAATATCAAAACAACCCTGACTCTCTGAGATCCGATGTTCCGCGAACCCTGTCAATTACAATACCTTACCTTACCTTACCTTATATATCTAAGGTAACTTACTAGGTATCTTATGTTATGATTGCACAATCCGAATCCATTATATAGGATAATACAACAATCCTTGTCCACAGACGGAGGTATCCTTACTTTATATATCATATCTCATGTGTGGCACTTATGTGGCTACTCCGTACTGAAATGATCTTCGACACATCCGCCACACATCCGCATATCCGCATATCCGCATATTCGCATGCCTTACTCCGTAGCAGGGTAGCATGTCCGCATTATTAGTAACGCACGTCCTGTAGATCATTCTGCTATACTTACAGAGTATACCCAAGTACTGACCTTGTAAGCCGCTACTAATGGGACGCGTACTCCGTAGCTATCCCGAGGATCCCCAATTAGAGAAGGAGACAAACTCGCTATTCGCACCGTACGCCAATACGCCCCAGACTTTAGTTCCCTCAACATGCTCATTGGCAATACTCTGGTAGTTTTGGAGTTGGGTGCCATTGCCGCCCAACTATTTTACGAGTAGCATATCTCACACCATACGGTATTTTATACGCTTTCTCTTTTCGCTGAAATGGGGGACGGTTCCGTACGTAGCGGGGAGATCTAGTTAAGCGCTCTAGGCTTCTAGTTAATAGCTTAATTGCAGCGATGAGATTAATCGTTTTTTTAATTGATTTCATCGCTGAAATAAATTGATTTATTCATTTCATTTATTAATCCAACCTATTGAATCACTACATATAATACTTTAACAGGGTAATTCAACTACCCATTAATATTAGCTTGGCCTCAATTTCGGGGAAAATCCGAGGAAGAATGGAGAGCTGAGTGCTCAATTGCTTTTATTTGAGGCTGACATGAGGGCGGTGGCAAGGATCCAAGATGAACTGCAAAGATTTACATGGTGGTAAAAGTAATGCGGGATAACAGAATATATCATTGGGTGAAACACTTGAAAAGAAAAAGGGAAAAAGTAATAATAAATAGAAAAGATAAAATGGTAGAGAACAACGAGATAATATAAAGGGTGACCTAAACTAAACAGTAGAATATGCTAGACTCGGAACAGTTATTCCTACAATCATCCGGCGCCTTATTACCTGAACCTAGAACCTAAAACCTAGAACCCAGAACCCAAACCTAGAATGTCAAACCTAAAACATAGAACCTAAAACCATACATTTTCTGTGCGCCAAGCAGTAGTATAACCTGCATGAAACCCGAACCCGAACAATAACTTCCCTTGCAAACCCCGTTCGAGATAAAGAAATAAGTAGCTAAAAATGCGTGTATACACTCTCCTCCTTCTCCCCGCCCCCACCAGCACCACATGTGACCAAGACTCCACACAGGATGCCAGCTTTTCACAAAAGCCAACGCAGCCAACTGAAGGAACCTAGAAAGAGACAAAAGATAACAGTGGCCTAATTCGCCTAATTCCTATGCCGTGCGGATATCACCGCCATTAGACTCTCTTCCGAAGAGTCCGTTTGGCGGTACCGGTTCCAGAGACCTCGGGTTTTGTTCCGGTGGCGGTAGCGGGGACCTTTCTGATTGATCCCGTTGCAGAAGCGGAAGAGGCTTTGGGAACTGGAGGTTTCTTCGTGACCGGTGGCTTCTTGGTCTTGTTTACAACCGTGCTTGTCGTAGAAGTCGAGGTCTCGCTGCTGTTGCTGGGCCGACCGCGACCTGCCCGGGATGGTGGGGCTGCTGGTGGAGCTGGAGTTCGTCTTCCTCGCCCGGGACCTGTTGTTGTCGAGACTGACGCCGCCGAAGCAGCAGGCGTGACTTTTCGTCCAGCTGTACGAGACGTCGTCGTCGTAGTGCGGGTTTTGTCAGCTTTGGCAGCCGTAGAAGATGGTGCAGGAGCAGTCGTCTTCATGGACGATGTTGGCCGGGCGAATTGAGGCTTGGGAGGAGGCGCCGTTTGTCGAACGGGCGACTTGGGGAGGGTCCTTGAGTTTGCTGAACGTGGTGACAATACTTGAGAAGACTGCAATTGTGTCCTAGAAATGGCGCGGTTGTTTGGAGCCGTAGCCGGTCCAGGAGTAGTGCCGGTCTTGGCACGTTTCTTGGGAATGTTCAAGTCATTTCCGGCATCTTCATTCTCTTTGCCTTGAACTTCAACGAGATGCGCACTTATCATGATAATGTTAGCGAGATTAAATATGAATGATGCGATTGAAAAGCAAATGTACCTGGAGCGCTTGGTGCCTCTTGAACGAGGGGTGGGAATCTGTCTAATAGTCCCCTTTTTCGGCGATTCCACGCGAGCTTTGGGTTCAGATGTCTGAGGGTTAGGTAATTGACCGGCAGAGCTGGAGGATTCTGCCTTGGCAGGCTTGGTGGTAATTGAAGTGGAAGGCTCTGAAGCGGGTATGGCGATGGCATCCTTTTTCTCGTCGGCTGGTCGCTTGGAATGCTTCTCTAGTAATTCTCCCATGGTGATCTTACGAAGAGCAGTGGGAATTCGATTGACGCGAATCTCAACGCGGGTTTTGAGGCCTTGCGCTTGAAGAGCGTATTGGGCACGAAGCTTTCTCGCGCGTTCTGTGACTGAGAGTATACTGTCAATAACGCGTCGCAGTTTCGTCTATGCCAAGATTATGCACATACTCTCTAGTTGAAGGTTGTTGATAAGCACCTGCTTCTGCGCTCGAGTGATTCCCTTTCTTGGCCTTGAGTCGTTTTCATTTACCGTCCGTGACGGGGTTGCAGGTTCGATTGAAGTCATGATGTTTTGATCCGCGCGGGACAGGCGGACAACAATGATTCGCGCGTTTTATGTCGAAGAATAATGTCTGATGTGGGTAGAGAAAACTGCCTTGGTTGTGCGAGCTGAAGTAAAATCCGTAGTGTGAGAACAAAACTATCCCTGGGTGGGCGACAGTTGAGGATTGAAAGAGCAGCGAAAGTGTCGAGGTTGGTTGGAGAGCAAGAGTGTAAACAATGGGGGCTGGAGGCTCAAAGTCTTGGCAGGCACGTCAGCGTCTTGGGTCTTTGTCGGTTCGCCGGAGAGCTTCCCTAAGCAATCCGGGTGATAGCTACAACCACCAGTACAGCAACACTTACGGCATCGACTCTACGCCGTTTCTTTCACTCTTTCGCCGACCTTGTCATCATTTCCTTTTATTTCAGCCTTTTTTAATCTATTAACAGAAGACTGAGGTGCCAGATAGGCCCAAAATACCGTCAATATGGTCCTCGAAGCGACGATGATCATGTACGTGCATCTGCCACCATTTCGTCATTCGGATATGAGAAGCTTACTATGACATGAAACAGCGTCGACAACAGCGAGAGCAGCCGCAATGGAGATTATGTGTACGTTATCTGCTTCATTTTTATCACTGAATCCGTTGAAAATTTCGTTGCTAACGTTGGAATGCGCAGTCCTTCACGATACGACGCTCAATCGGATGCTGTCAACCTGATCTTCTCCGCTAAGACACAAGCCAACCCCGAGTCATCAGTCGGCCTTATGAGCATGGGTGGAAAGGGACCCGAAGTGCTGGTCACTTTGACGACAGATTTCGGAAAGATCCTGGACGGCCTGCACCGGACCAAGATAAAGGGAACATCACACCTGGCGACAGGCATTCAGGTGGCCGGTGTATGTAATTTTTGCATTTTCCTCTACAGAGAAAATGGCTAAGATCGTTGCGCGCTAACTCTCTATATTGGCATTCAGCTCGCTCTCAAGCACAGACAGAACAAATCCCAACGCCAAAGGATAATCGTTTTCACATGCTCGCCTATCGAGGAGGATGAGAAAACCTTGGTCAAGCTCGCCAAGAAAATGAAGAAGAACAATATTTCAATCGACTTTATTGCTTTTGGAGAACTCGACGATGAGATTACCAAGAAGCTTGAGGCCTTCAACGAGAACGTCAAGGGTGGAGACGGTTCGCATCTGGCCATCATCCCGCCTGGCCCCAACCTGCTTAGCGACTCAATAGTGACGACGCCCATCCTTGGGGGAGATGGTATGGGTGGTGCCGGAATGGGCGGCGCTGAAGGAGGCGAAGGCGGCGCCAGCCAATTCGAGTTTGGTGTTGACCCGTCTATGGATCCCGAGCTGGCTTTGGCTCTCCGGATGAGTTTCGAGGAAGAGAAGGCGCGGCAAGAGAAGGAGAAGCGGGAGCAGGAAGAGAAGGAAGGAAAGCAGAACCTGGAAGGCATACCGGAAGAGTCGCAGCCTCTTTTAAACAATCAGGGGGAATCTAGTGGAAGCGGTCAAGGGGACAAGCAGGATAAGGATGGCGATGGCGGAGACAAGATGGACACGGCATAAACACTTTACTTTCAACCTAGATGGACATGTAATTTCTATTCTCTTCTGCAGCATAGCTGGCGTATCTATGTACTCAAATGCCAGAATCAATTGAATTTTGATACTCTGAATGTATAAATCTAATGATGGGGTATTGAAGAGCATCTCTAGATGCAAGATTACCACACTCAATCATATGTAAATGCATCCAAACCCGCTAAAACGCCTCTCCATGTCTAACGCCAAGAATATGCAATTCCGCTTTGCCTCCTTCCATACCAAATTGACTTAGCACCACTTTATTGCCGGGGCTTGATGTAACTTGCCAAATGCCTGTCAAACGCGTCACACCGTATCGGCATTTCAATCTGATAGAAGGGGTTCTTCATGACATAGTCCGAATAGAGCTCGTACACTTTCCGAATAATACCATCGATATTCGGCTGGTGCGGTTCTGTAAATAGGAGAAACTTGGTGCCGGTCAAGGTCTGGAAGCATTGCAGCCTAAAGCTTTCACTCTCAAGGACTTCGATTCCTGTCGGCGGCTGTCCAGGGGTTCGAGGTAGTGGACAGAGGTTCTTTGTGATGGCATGCACTCTGCAAGGATGGTCAGCAAAACCAGATACTAACACGGCACGACGTTGTGTAGTTGAGTCCCTTCAATGGCGTTACATACCCATGAAACGTGCCAGCAAGGACCAGATAGTCGTTAACGCTGAGCTTGTTCAAGCCCTCGTGGAATTCGCGGTGGTAAATGAGACCACCGGCCTTGTTAATGACGATCAGTGCAAAGACGACCCTACACGTTTATTAGCATCCCAGAGCACAGAATTTCCAGAGTGTCACAGATAGCTTACATGACTTTCCACTACTGCACGACTCTCAGTATTCCAGACGTTCGTTGGCGCAAGGGCGGGTTCAACACATGAAGCTGGGAGGGTAGTCTGTATAGGAGCAACAGTAGACGATTGTTGTTGACTCTCTTTCCTTTTGCAGATACAAAACGATGTTGCAGTCTTTAATACGGAATCGTAACAGATTTGACCTCAAAAGATCCAGGACAACGTCGCCAGTTAATACTCCACTATCATCTGGTATCAACCTCCGCAACGTCGGCTGCACCAACGTATCGCGGCCGCAACGGAGCTTCAAGCGGCAAGTTCCGCCCTGCCATCCTTCCTTTCCATCCCACTTCACTCTCCCGAATCATATCGACCATCAACTCTCCACATTCGATCCAGGACATAGATTACGGCGTCTATTGTCCTAAGCCTCAACGTATACTTCTCGCTCGTCGGACACTCATCGTCTACAAACGCGCCTTGAAGCCGCCCAAATAGCCAATCTCAGTAGGCATCGGCAAAAAGAATCGCAACCTGATTCGCGGCACGGATTTATCTTGGGAATAACAATTGTTTTACACGACTCCACGAGCATATCAAACCGTCGCATTCAGTTATATCTACTACCCCGACGCGCCCAAATCCAAAATGTCTATGCACGCGCCCACGTCTCGCACGCGCGAGAATCCCCCGGGAGACGAAGAAGCCACTGCAGAACTCAGACTGGGAGAATTCCAGAATGTGCCTACCCTGACGCTGTCGGAAGCCAGACTTCTTATCAATGCAGTCATGGATCATCGAAAGGCACAGCGCAAAGTGGAAGAGACGGAGTGAGTCCTTTCTCTTTCCCCTCCTTATCCTGCTTTGGAAAGCCACCAAACAACTACGAGAATCGGCCGAACCATGAAAGATAAATACTTCGTTCTCATATACGCCCAAGAGAGCAGTCAAACACACCAGACTATGACCGCAAGAAAAGAGGACTTAAAAGCTGACGGTACTTCTTCGCGAATAGAATGCTCATCAAAACCCAAGATTACCTCGACGTCTTTGCGCGGTTCAAGCAAAAAGAAAACATTGAAGCCGTGGAACGTATGCTCGCGACACATGTCGAGCTCGAGTCTTTTGAGAGATCACAACTCGGTACGTTCTTGCGCTCCTGCTCCCATTTCATATTACTAGTTCCATACATCCCCTGCACGTTTGATTGTCCGGACGAACTTCCATTGAAAACACAAGTACGTGCAAGATATCAAACTAACATTGATGCCATTCCCCCTCTAGGCTCACTATGCTGCGACACTGCCGAAGAAGCCAAGACCCTGATCCCCAGTATCGCGAACAAGATTAGCGATGCGGACCTGCAGGAGCTGTTGGACGAAATTACGAAACTGAGGAATTATACTGAGTGAAATCCACTCTAGTGATTCCTTTGTTTTCTTTGCTTCTCTTTCATTTTCCCTTTACCTTTTCTCTTATTACATTCAAGACGGCCTCAAAAAAGAAGTACGCTGCAAAATCATTTCGGTCATAAGCAGGCGAATGGCGTCCCTTTTTTTAGCCCTTTTTTCGTTTTGGCAATTTCTTCATCCAACACGGCGCGTATTTTTCCAACTTCCTTCTATTCACTTCATTTATGCAGCCGGGGCATATTTGGAGTCCTCTTTCTCCTTTCATCCCCACTTTTCTGTTGGCTTGTTGGCTGTTCACAAGAGCACAAGATCAAAAACGGCATGGCTTTTGCAAGAAAACTTAAAATTGGCGGATTGCAGATTCTGCTCCCATCATATGCAATATTACCAATTAAGGACGGGGGTCATAAGCTATTATAGAATATATCAATAAATACAATTTCTTATCTTTATCTTGGATTAGCATGGAGCATGTAATGCCTTACTGGATCTCAGAAGCAATTGACGTCAGGGACGTCCTCCGTATTGCCACATATTTGTTGAACGTTGACCAGACAAGCCGTTAAAGGGCTGTGAACAGTACGCATGTACACTGTAACGTCAGTATTCGACTGCGTTGTCCAGAAACCGGTTCTTGTTTTCTTACTCCCCTTATATCAAGTATCGAATAAGAAAGATGCACATCTCAATTGGAATGGCTGAGTGAATTCCATGGCGGTCCAAGACAATTCACTTAGGCAGGTTTGGTGCATCTTACATGGTTCAACGCATTTATAGAAGGCACAGTATCTGATCCTTAGATATCACTTTAGATAGAACTAGATAAGATCTCCCAACAAAAGAAAACAAAACAAAGGGGTCTCAGATCCCATAAATTCTTCTCCGTCCATTTCCAGCTCCGCGCATTAAACGAGAAATGAAAGGGGGCAAAAGTAACAAAAGAAAGAAGGGAAAAGAAAGTAATAAAAAGAAGATTGATAGGTGAAGTCAAGAGGCCTTCCGATGATATGCTCAAGATAGCAAAATGGTCGAGTGAGCTTTTCCTCTCCTTTTTGGGAACCAAGAAATTGGCAGGACAAACGGAGATATGATCATAGGAAAAAAGTCCGAGTGATGTATACTGCATTGCAAACAAGAGCCACCCCCAACACTTAGTCTCGAAAAAGTAATTTGAAGGTAAAGCAGTGAAAAGCAAGCGTGCAATTAATAATTCAGATCGCCAGCGCCGCCTCCGTCGACGGCATCCAAGTCTTCGTAGCTCTTCAGGCTCCGGCCTTGGACCGCTTCGCGAGGTCCGACAGCGGCTGCACCGCCATCTCCCCACTTTCCAGGCCCAGCCGGTCGAGCTCCAGCACCACCACGAGGTGGGCTAAGTCTGCCTGCAGCATTCCACCTTGCATCGCGTGGATTTTGTCGTCGATCATACGGGCCCGAACGAGCACCATAGCGACCGCCGCCGCCTGCTCCTCCTCTACGCATTGGCCCAGGAAGATGACGGTCATCACCTCCTCCCATGTCTGGAGGTAATCCATTCCAGCCGCCAGGGGCTTGCACGGGGTGGTGTGCCATGAATGGAGGGAACCCCGACGGGACGCTGCCGGCCATTCCAAACCCGAAGTTCATCGGCATGTTTGCAAGGCTGAATCCGCGCGGGGTGCCTGCCGGCATATGGCCCCCACCAGCGGGAAAGTGGCCATTACTGCTGGCATCTGGTCGGCCCGGTCCGATGCGCGCAGGATCAAGACAGTAGGCGTTTACGAGTGTGAGCTTAGGAGCCATGTTAGCGCAATCATCAAAAGGGGGGAATGGAGAAGATATGCTACGTACATCCTTGGTCAGATTCTCAAACCAGTCAGCGTGACGCTTTTCAACGTGTTTCCTCCAAAAGTAGTCGGCCTTGAAAAGCTTGGTACATTCAGGAATCTTGCACCTGAACTTGGCTTCGTCCTCCTGCTTCACGTATTTGTTCATTTCTTCTTGGGCAGCATCTTCAACGGGTTTCCCTCCAATCTTCTTGAGGTCGACATTCTCTGGTTCGACGATCTGGAGGATTTTGTCTTCAAAGGTCTTCACCCAATTGAAGGCCCTCTGCAGTTGCTGTTCGCTTTTCGAGCCCGGTTTGAAAAACTTCTTTTCTTCGGTCACAATTTCACCATTCTCGCCTTCCGTAATGGAATCTTTTCGGCTGAAGGGGAACGGCAATCCATATGCACTAGCCTTGGCAGCTTCTTTGGCCGCACTGCTAAGGCTGGCTCTCGGCCGACGAAGATGACCACCAGGGCATTTCCGCGTAAGCTCATGCACTGAGTCGCTTTCAAACACACAGAAGAAACAAAAGTTGAAGACACGTCGGAGATACTCGACAAGAAGATCAAGCTTCTTCTTTTTCAGCAGTGTATCCTCATCGTCTATATCTTCATCATATGTTCCCTCTTCTTCTGACTCAGCCTCCACCGCTTCCCCTTCCTCATCTTCGCCATCTGCATCAAGATCAATTTCCTTCTTGGTCTTGCTCACCTTGGGCAAGCTAGTCTCCGGTGCTTTGATCAGTCCGCGATCTTTGAGTTCTTGGACTTTGTCCTCAATTTTAGCCAGAGCACTGACTTCCGACTCGAATTCTTCATCAAACTTCGACGCCAATCGGGAAGCTAACTCTAAGTCTCTGTCGATTCGTTCCGGTGCCGAAAAGAGATCCCAAAGCGCCTTTTTCCGTGGTACGTTTGGAGGCACGTGAACTCCAACATGGCAAGTGAAGTCGCCTCTGACTTCGTCATGAATAGTCTTTCCATTGATGGCTTCCAGAGCCTTCTCTGCCGGATTGACGTTCACGTCAGCAGCTCCTTCCTCACGCGTGTTGCTCTCAGCAGCTTCTTCCATTTCTTCATCGCGGCCATCTCCTCGCTCCAAGCCCACATTCTGCTCCGACGATGGATGGAGCATCACCCAGCCAATTCTGTGGCATTTTTTCAGTGGATTGGGATCACTCAAGCTCAGCCATCTAAATCCGCCATCTTGCTCGCCTAGGTGTTCTTTACAGAATTCTTCAATCTTCTCCCGACTCACAGTCGGTGCGATTGTCTTGATTAACAACGCTGGCTGGAAAGCGGATTCGTCCCTGACGTCACCGCCCTTGACCGGTAAGAGGTCTCCCACCTGCAAAACCTCAGCAACAGCAGTGGTTTCTCCTTCCTCCTTTTCCACAATACCACCCTGCCCGTTGCTTTCACTCTTGTAGATTCCCTCGAGAGTAAATTCGTCAAAAATACCCGAATCCAGGTCCTGCTCCCATTGCGAGTAGTTCCCACGTCGAAAATCCGTGAGGCGACGACGAAAAGGATCCCTGACTTCTGGAAGATAACGCTCCTTGAACCATTCCTCTCCTTTGTGATGCTGAACAAAACTTCGCGACAGCTTCACTTGGAGCTCCTCTTTGTAAGCATCGTAGGCAGCTTGTATCAGCCCTTTCTCCTTTTCACGTTCCTCGCGAGATTCACGCTCTCCCTTGACCCGATCGTTCACTCGTCTACCACCAGTCTTTTGTCGCTCTCGATCTTCCTTTATTGATTCATTGACTCGCCACCACTCCGCGAACCAGTTGAATCCGACCTGGAAGTCGAGGGTCAAAGGATTCGGCAATGGATTGACACGGACTGCGGGCTTCCCTGTATCCTGCCCCGGAACATATCGATCAATATGAGCGGGCGGGGGCGATGCCCGTCTCCGGTCATCCCGATCGCGTGTGGGCGTATAATGATCATCTCGGCCGGAACGTGAATCAGGTAAGTATCGATCTATGGCAACTGGAGAACGGGACCGACCTCGGCCTCTGGTACGACGGTCTGAAGGTCCTACACATGCATCCCAATTAGCCCAGCAAGGAACCAGACGACCATGTAGTGAGGTTATTGGAGCGCCGCAGATGTAATAAACGAACAGAAAGGCAAGCCACATTCGACCAAAGATGCATGAAAGACTGTAGTATCGTTCTCGGAGCTTCTGCAAGAATGTCCCAAGTCTCTCTAAGAAAACAAGGCCTTGGAGACACATGGATTTCAAAAAGAAAAAAGGATCGTTTGATCTGTGAGGATCTAAATAGCTGCTTACCAGGAGACCTGCGCCGGTAGGAATCCACCGAAGGCCGATCTAGAGTATCGTCGCGTCCGGTATACCTGGACTCGCTCCTCAGAGGTGATCTTTGGTCTACTGGAGACCTGTTCGGCTGATAGGTGTCCATGCCTGTAGCCGGGTAGGTTGCCCACAACGTCTAGATCCGAGCTCGTAGAGCACGCGTTTGTTTGGGTGTCCGTAGGCAAGTCTTTGGATGACGTAGGGTATACGATTCTGATATCTCTTTAAGAGATTTGAACAAGAGCGAACATCAGGTGATGCCAAGTGAATGCGAACGATGCAACGAGTCAAAATTGCTGTTTGCCGACATGACCGCAGGTTAGAAGGATGATCTCCAAAATATGTGTAGATAAAGTGAACGGTAGCACGATGCAGAGAGATAAAAAATTCAAAAGGACACGAGAAAAAGAGAATGATTGAAAGTGCTTGTCATAAGAGATGAAATTGAGGGAAGCTACGACCGCGGAGGACGAGGGATGAGAACAACGAGATGATAAGGAACGCTTCTATGCGGCCAATGGAGATACAGACAAGCAGGGAGAAGACGAACAAGAGACTCTAGAAGCAATAGGAACAAGTAGTCGACTCACGAGGTCAAAGATGCCTCAGACTTGGGGGCTTATAGACGCCGCCTTAGAGTTGGTGAAAGAGCAAGATCAACGATTGGGAGAGCAATTGCGAGTTGGTCCTCCGCAGGGGGAGCTTTGATTATGTCAGCTGAACTGATTCGCTTGTGAAGAATAGGGTACATTAGAGTACGATGGCGTATTCTCCAGTATTCAAGTGTCGATGATCAATCCCGGGGCGGATGAGAGGGCGGGAAGCCGAGGTTGGAGCAGCCAAAGAAGGAATAGTCTCGGTCGGGGTAGCTGTCTTCCATTTCGGGTAAAGACTTGTCAAGCTTGGGACCCCTCCCTTTGCTCAGTTGTAGGATGAGCTCATGTCGCCGCCTGGGCCGTCTGGGCCGTGCTATTACTATTGTAATGAACTATCCCGCGCTCACGGGGCTTGAATATCCGCTTTTTACCTGCCATTATCAACCATAAGACACCCAAGTAAAGTTCTAACTTGGATTTGATCTTCTCCGCTACCAGAAGCTTTACATTTTTTAATATCCTCCCACTCAAACACCCAATTCACATCGCTTTCGTAAGGGCAAAACGCCCAAACAAATATAATATGACGTCTTATATTCCATCAATTACCCTACCCGCCCAGGTGTTTGCTCAGCCTGCGGTATCTATTTTGCTGCCCATTGCGCTTGGTACTGGCGTTGGCTTTTCTGTGAAGCGTAGGTTTATTCTTGCTTGTCTACTTTTGTTTACCGATCCGCTGATTGAAATTTGCCCTTAAAGCCAAGGAGACACAGGAAACTTACCTTGCATTGAAGCAGCCACCGTATCGGCCTCCTCCAAAAATATTTCCGCCAGTTTGGACTGTCCTGTATGGACTGATGGGCTTTTCCGCGTACCGTGCCTGGACCACGGGCATGGCATCTTTGGATCCGCAGAAGGTCCTCCTGACCAAGGTACTGCGCCTTGCTATCCCACCGCCGTTGGGGCCATGTACTAACGAACTTTCCTTCTTTCAATGCAGCAAGGAGCAACACTTTACACGATTCAGCTTGCTTTGAATCTTGTCTGGATGCCACTCTTCTATGAGCTGAAAAGACCAATTGAGGCGACTGTTGATATCGTCGCTTTAACTGGCGTGACGGGCTACTTGACCTATATTTGGGGTCAGGTTGATGAGGTCGCCGGATGGGCCTTGACACCATACCTGGCGTGGCTAGGATTTGCCACCTACTTGAGTGTGAGTTACACTTGGAAATTTATTTCTTGAAACTTGCTGTAGTGCTAAAATATATCTTGTTCTATAGGCTGGCACTGGGTATTTGAATGGCTGGACTTTCGCTGATAAGGAGCGCAATGTTCCTCCATCCACGAAGAGCGAACACACCAAGTATGTTGATGAAGAGCCTGAGAAAAAGTAGAAGTGTCTACGCAATGTGAACTTACGGGTGGGAAGGCGCAACTAATCGGGTGGTTTTATTCGATTCAATATCTACGGGTTTCCAGTATGTTGTCTTTCGCACTTACAAGTTTTGTAACACGCGTCTCGATAATTGTGAGGTTTTCGCAAATACTGTATGTTGAGCTGTTTCATCCGCGCGAGGATTTTATAATGACCCAGGTGCTATGAATAGCCTGTCTGAGCAATGCCAAGTATTCATCGTAAGCTAAGGTTGGTCTTTGAAGACTTTGGCGCCAGATGCCTTGAGTAAAAATGCCTTTCTCTAAATGACGAATATGAGGTTGGCATCACAGATGGGACAATGCTGAAACTTTGAGCTAAATATGGGCAACATATAGGGGGAAAGTAAATTGTCCACTGTATATTAAGTTTCAATGTGACTTGGCAACAATATGGAAGCTCTCAGTCAATCCGGAGGGAGGCAGCTTCCTTGCCGTTGGCCGCCTGTAGAAACTGAAAGATTAAAATGCTTTTCAAGGCCCGCCACCCTTGGATCCCTGCAACGGATAGCTTCAGATTGTTTTCCTTCCTCATAACTACCAAAATATAACGCAAGTTGGACAACAGGGCCATTCGGCCTTATCAACCGTTGTTTTCGGGTATTAACGGCGGCTTTGTAGGGTTTGGTCTACTTGGTTATCAAGGCGGGAATTGCTCCTGGGTAGAAGTTCTGGAACTCATTCTGAACCAATTTCAAGGGTCATCACGCGTGTCAAAAAGTCACAGAGCATATAGCTGAAGTAAACGGATGAGGGGAGTTGCATCCTCGCCAACTTACTAGTTATACCTTAGGTACCTAAGGTACCTAGCCAAGACGTTTGAAGCTTCCGAGAATTCACACCTCGACAGAGTGTGCTTTGCGCTCCAAGGCAAATTGAGGGTACAATAATTACTTTTGTTGAATGGTTTTTAACAACAGCCCTTGGTGGTCTAGTTGGTTATGGCCCCCGGCTGTAATCGAAGTCTCTTGGACTCGAGCAAACTCGAGTATCCAATGACACCTGCTTACCGGGTGGTCGCGTGTTCGACTCACGCCCGAGGGATCAATTTTTTTTTCTCCCCCAGAAATGCCCGTCGGCGGTACGACGATGAAAGGGAAATATTTCTTTGCTTTTTATTTTATTTATTTTTGTCTTTTTCGAAATCTGGTAGAACACAGTATCTTCATATTAAATATCCAGAGATTTGCGATTCATTGCGAAAAATAAGTTATTATGGTCAAAACATTTTGTTCCATTATTTTTCGAAATCGAAAATAAGTTTTCTTTGCGGTCACGAAGTCAAAGGATTGATTCAATAATGATTTCGTTTTGATCAAATTATTTTCTTGACCAAGCCAACCAAAGAATGCAAAATATTAAGATATATATTAATAAATACCTTTCCTAGCGGCAACAATCTTGATTAACAGCAAAGACAAGAATCCCAACTCCACACCCGTGCAGGGATGTCGCATAAGGCCGAGGCGGCTGGAGTGGAAATGCTGTGGCGCACGGCATCGCGAAGCGCCGAAATTCCGACTTCGGGAACAATGACGGCGTCAAGGAGGCTCGGAGGTCAGCCCTCAACAATAATTTGGGACCTCGGCGTTCTTCCTGCTCTGAACATGACCGCCATATCTAACTTTGCTTCAAAAATAGCCAGCGATAATTTTATTTCCTATACCTTTTGACAATAAAGTGTAATATAAATGCATTAGCAATCAGCGAAGCTGCTTTCTACACTAATCGTTAGCTTTAAACTGAGTATACAATAATCCAAAAGCCTTGCATGGTCTTAGCAACCATGGCGAGCAAAGCTCCAGACCTACCTAGGGTATCATTGATCTATGATCTAATCTTGATGATTCTGAATACCCTGGTGGAGCTCTTTTTTAGAGCAATAGAGGTTCGCGGAAGATGGAAAATACCACGCAAAGGCGGTGTCATACTGGTCGCAGCGCCGCATGCAAATCAGGTATGTCAGCAGCTCATTGCAGCCCTGTTGTATCACCCAGTCAAATGTCTTTTCCCTGGAGCATCTTCTTGTATCAAATTCCTTGCTAATCATACCTAAAAAGTTCGTTGATTCTGTGGTCCTAATGCAGATCATGCGAAACATGAACCGGCAGGTCTCTTGGCTGATGGCCGAGAAATCATTCGAACGGAAGTTTGTTGGCGAAATTGCCAGAAAACTTGGCACTGTTCCTGTTGCCAGGACCATGGATAGAGCTAAGCCTGGAAAGGGCTCTGTTTACCTGCCTGATCCGATTGAGAATCCTTTGCTTTTACGCGGCATTGGAACTGATTTTACCGGACCAGATTTTGCCGTTGGGTCAACGATTTACTTACCAGCTATCAATGGACAATCTGAGCGGCTAGATATTGCAGACATCCGGGGTCCTGAAGAGGTTATTCTGAAGAAAGCACCGAGCTCCGCAGATGCCCTTTACCAGCTCACGGGAGAGCATAATGTTTTTGGGCTTGAATCGAACGTTGATTGCAAAAAGGGATATCCTAGCTTTGCAGGTTCCAGATACAAGGTTGCACCCCATATGGATCAAAGTCATGTTTACCAGGCTGTCTTCGATAGACTAAACCAGGGCGGCTGCGTTGGCATTTTCCCTGAGGGTGGTAGTCATGATCGGCCAGACCTTCTGCCACTGAAAGGTGTGCTTAAAGTATCTTAATATTTCACGAGAATCACTTGTTTGCTAATTCTACTCTAGCGGGTATAGCTATAATGGCACTCGGTGCAAGAGCCAATAATGCCGATGTCCAAGTGATTCCTGTTGGGCTCAATTACTTTCGCGCGCATAAATTTCGATCTAGAGCTGTCATAGAATTTGGTGACCCGGTCGAAATCCCAGAAAAGCTTGTTGAGATGTACAGGAAGGGAAGGCGACGCGAGGCTATAGGGGAGGTGTTAAATGATGTTTACAAATCACTCATCTCTGTCACGTTGAATTGTGCTGACTATGAAACATTGATGGTATGTTGGCGGTGGATTACCATAATGGAAAACTGCTAAAGCTTAACTGTGTAGGTCATCCAGTCTGCGAGACGTTTATACGCTGCAAGAAATCCGAAAATCTCGCTGTCTCAGGTTATCGAAATCAATAGGAGGTTGCTCAAGGGCTACAATGAACACCAAGGCGACCCAAGGATAATGAGACTTTTCACTGCCATTGATCAGTACAATCGACGGCTACGGCAATTGGGAATTCGCGATCATCAAGTCGAAACTGCTCGGCTTTCTGCATCCAGAGTTCTTTCCACTCTTCTCTATCGCTTTGGACTCCTCGTCGTTTTGAGCGTAGGGACATTACCTGGACTCGTTCTCTTTGCACCCGTTTTTGTTGCCTCGAAGATCATCTCAGACAAGAAATCCAAAGAGGCGCTCGCCGCGTCAAGTGTCAAGCTACGAGGACGCGATGTTATGGCCACTTGGAAGCTTCTCGTTGCACTTGCTTTTGCGCCTCTTCTATATACAGTCTATTCATTGCTTCTTGCCTACTGGACTTCTCGAAATCGCATCCAGGGCTATATCCCCGATGATGTGCCAATTTGGCGAATTATTTTTCTCGGATTCATTATTTTCCCAGCAATCAGCTTTGCTGCTTTACGCATCGGAGAAGTTGGCATGGACATTCTCAAATCCATGCGGCCATTGATTCTGTGTCTAGTTCCGACATCGGCCAGTACATTGGGAGAGCTCCAGGAACAAAGGGAACATTTGTCAAAGGAGGTCACAGATCTAATCAATACTTTTGGTCCCAGCATGTTCCCTGACTGTATGGCGACCCAGGCCAAGATTGCACAGCAACTGAAATCTCAGATCGCTAGCATGGCTCTAGACCCAGATGACTCCTTTGATCATTTTTGGATTCATCATTGAACTTAGGCATGTCATTGCCTGAGCAGTCTCTCCATTAACGGGGAGACTCACTCTACGATTATCGCATTCTGCGCATATTCCTGCTCTCTAGCTCTGCATTGAGAAATTTAACGCATCTGCCAATGTCAAGCATTGCAAAGGTGTCTAAGTAGAAAGGGACCTTCATGAGATATTCAAATGCAAAGACCCCGCAAAGCTTTGCCATAATAATGATATGAATGTTCAGACATTATTTCCACCGCTAGCGGATATAGAAACCATTTATCCTTCGAGAAGATTTGAGCGCCATCTCAAATTGCTTTTTAAAATGCTTGAACGGGCGTAGAGCACTACGACGGAGACAAAACGCATACGGTGTACGTGAAGGAAAACAAAACTTGACGGGATGGTCCCATGCAATGTGTTGGTGTCCTGGTGTGTACCAAGGTACTTTACTTTGTACCTCGTACTCGACAATCTTGTGATGCTGGAAAACCCAACTTGTTCCGCTTACATTGTGGTAGCGCTGATTGGTTGGTCGGTTGTGTGGAAGGGTACTTTGGCCGAGGGCCCGGCAACGAACTGAGGAAAGCTTAGCGGCATTATCTCACGACTTTGAAGCATCCCGATTCCTTCAACCCCATCCCTCTCATTCTCCAATCCACAATTCGGCATTCTCTTGTGTTGCCGACCACACGTCATTCCCTTCTTTCCTATTCAATTTAATATACTATCATCTTGATTGGAAAGCTTTGGTTGCCTTCGGAGGCTGTGGTCAAGATGAGCTCCATGGGAATGCGGAGCTTTGCCTCGTCAAAGGTTCGTAGCATCGCCTCCGACATTGAGCAGAGAAACAATTTCCGCAATTGAAGCTGAATATACTGGGGAATATGTTGCTGATTGATGTTGCTGTACAGCTGTCGAGAGGCATTAGAACGCCTGCTCGATACTTCTCGTCCACGCGACCGGCCGGTACGTGATTTACGGATTTCCTCGCACTGTCCTGTGTCAATGTCGAAATATTTCTGATCAATTGGAATGTTAGCTCGCATCATTGCGAATCAGCCGCTGCGCGCCAAGGAAGCCTCTCCTTTCGTGAGCAACAAGTATCCTGTTGTTGTACGTTTCCCCCGCATGAAAAAGGGTGCTTTGAGGCTGTTCTGATTGTTTCCCTAGGATCACGAGTACGATGCTATCGTTGTTGGTGCCGGTGGAGCAGGTCTCCGTGCGGCTTTCGGTCTGGCCGAGGCTGGCTTCAACACTGCCTGTATATCAAAGCTTTTCCCCACCCGTAGCCACACTGTCGCTGCTCAAGGTGGTATCAACGCTGCGCTCGGAAAGTACGTTAGGTCAGACACACGGTAGAAGAGATTCTGGATGCTAAATCTTCGCCACAGCATGCACGAGGATGACTGGCGGTGGCACATGTACGACACCGTCAAGGGTTCGGACTGGCTCGGTGACCAGGACGCCATCCACTACATGACTCGTGAGGCCCCGGCCAGTATCATTGAGCTTGAGAACTACGGATGCCCTTTCTCCAGAACGGAAGATGGCAAGATGTATGAAATATTTCCTGTTCGGACACAATCTGGATTCAGTTCTATTGACATTGTTCTAGTTACCAGCGTGCTTTTGGTGGACAGTCCAAGGAGTACGGCAAGGGAGGCCAGGCCTACCGGTGCTGCGCTGCCGCTGACCGTACCGGTCACGCTCTGCTCCACACTCTCTACGGCCAGTCCCTGAGACACAATACTAACTATTTCATCGAGTACTTCGCTATGGATCTGCTCATGGAGGACGGTGAGTGCAAGGGTGTCATTGCCTACAACCAGGAGGATGGCACTCTTCACCGTTTCCGTGCCCACCACACTGTTCTCGCCACTGGTGGTTACGGCCGTGCCTATTTCAGCTGTACCTCTGCTCACACTTGCACTGGTGACGGTATGGCTATGGTTGCTCGTGCTGGTCTTCCCAACCAGGACTTGGAGTTCGTCCAGTTCCACCCTACTGGTATCTACGGTGCTGGATGCTTGATCACTGAAGGCTCTCGAGGTGAGGGTGGCTACTTGCTCAACTCTGAGGGTGAGCGTTTCATGGAGAGATATGCCCCGACTGCCAAGGATCTTGCCTCTCGTGACGTCGTCTCTCGATCCATGACCCTTGAAATCCGCGAGGGCCGTGGTGTCGGCCCTGACAAGGACCACATCTACCTCCAGCTCAGCCACTTGCCCCCTGAGATTCTCCACGAGCGTCTGCCCGGTATCTCTGAGACCGCCTCCATTTTCGCCGGTGTCGATGTCCGCAAGCAGCCTATCCCTGTCTTGCCCACTGTCCACTACAACATGGGCGGTATCCCGACCAAATACACCGGTGAAGTCCTCACCATTGACGAGCAGGGCAACGACAAGGTTGTCCCTGGTCTCTTCGCTTGCGGTGAGGCCGCCTGTGTCTCTGTCCACGGTGCTAACCGTCTCGGTGCAAACTCTCTGCTCGACCTTGTCGTCTTCGGCCGTGCCGTTTCCCACACCATCCGTGACAACTTCACTCCTAACACGCCTCACAAGGAGACGAGCGCCGACCTTGGTGCCGAGTCCATTGCCACCCTCGACAAGGTCCGTACCGCCGAGGGGCCCAAGAGCACTGCCGATGTCCGCCTCGCCATGCAGAAGACTATGCAAACGGATGTCAGCGTCTTCAGAACGCAGGAGAGTTTGGATGAGGGTGTCTCGAAGATTCACGAGGTTGATGCCATGTTCAAGGATGTTGGCACCAAGGACCGCAGCATGATCTGGAACTCTGACCTTGTTGAGACTCTTGAGCTCCGTAACCTCTTGACTTGCGCGTAAGTGACTTATTTCTCCACATTTGGAGAATTACCAGAGCTTACTGAACTTTTTTCGAACAGTGTCCAAACCGCCGAGGCCGCTGCTAACCGCAAGGAGTCTCGTGGTGCCCACGCCCGCGAGGACTACCCCGACCGTGACGACGAGAACTGGATGAAGCACACTCTTACCTTCCAGAAGAAACCTCACGGCAAGACTGACTTGACCTACCGTAACGTCGTTGGCCACTCGCTCGACGAGAGCGAGTGCAAGTCTGTCCCTCCATTCAAGAGGTATGTTTCTGCACTTTCCACTTCATCAACGCGAAAATACTGACTCAAATTCCGCAGAACTTACTAAACGCATTTTCTCCGACAACCGAATAGACTCTCCTACACTTGAGAGTTCTAGTATATTTACCCCACGATTGTTGGCATGTAACTTCTTCATGTATTCGACCTAAATGCGAATGCCACTGGCAGCCATACACGCGTCAGGCATTACAGTAGGCTTTTTTCTTTTTGAGCCTCTTACTTTTTTTTTTTCCCTTTACTCTATAATTTCCCCTGCGTTTTTGTAACTTTTTGCGCCGTGTATGGAGTCAGCATCCCTTGTAAATGGAATGAATCTGTCAAAAAGAAGAAAGAACAAAAGCAAAAAAACTAGCATTGTGTGTGTCCGTTCGTTTCAATGCTTAAATGTGAGAAGATGTCCACAAAAACCGTAAAAGTTGTGTCCTAGTACTACCGGAATTTGTCTCGACAACGTCGAGTTCTTTTGGTCCTTTTCCCAGTCTGCCCCCTCGCTCTCCCATGCAGCGCCACTTATCCTTTTGCTAGTAAAATTCATTATTGGCGCTTCCCTGGCTCACACAGCGAGTATATAACCCAATTCCTGCCCTCCCCCACAACCCCGATTCCCTCTGCATAGCTTGATACTAAATTGTGAGGATGGAGTGGAGACTCCGTACCGCAGGCTGGCTTGTTATAGCATTGTTTCTCATGTGCAGCAGATTGTTCTTTGTTTCTTTCCGGAAGGTAGCTTTGGGTTGATATGTCCTGGCCCTTAGCTAGCAGAGATGTCTACTGTATTTATAAATCCAGGCTCTGCACCCTTTTAGCTTGGGATAAGAAAGTCCAAGTACCGGAATTGTCCGGGTTGGAGAGATGATGACAGTGGGACAGCCCAAATTTATTGCATCATGTAACACTAAAAAACGTGTAATTTGCACCATATATCATTGAATGGAAACGCTACCTGCTACCTTATAGATGTAAGAAAAGAAAAAAAAGGGTTCCCCATGCAAAAGTAAAATACAATCCGCCGTGCCCGAATACTAGCCGGCATGCCCAACCAAATGTGAGACAAACTCTCGAAACATGGGAAAATCTCGTCTAGTTGTACTGCATGTACGCAGCTGTCGAGTTGAATTTCAAGTTGCCCTTGATGACCTTGTCAACTGCAGCCAAGAAGTCCTTCTCCGTGGCAATCTTTCTCCGTGCGCGAATGGCGAACATGCCTGCTTCCGTGGAGACACTGCGAAGCTCTGCACCCGTGGCGTTGGGGCAAAGACGGGAGATGAGTTCCCATCGAATGTCACGCTCCACAGACATACTCTTGGCGTGGATGCGGAGAATGTTGGCTCGGCCCTCCATGTCGGGGAGGGAGAACTCAATCTTTCGATCAATACGGCCTGGACGCATAAGGGCAGGGTCCAGAGTCGAAGGCCGGTTAGTAGCGAACATGACCTTGATGTTTCCTCGCGAATCGAAACCGTCAAGCTGAGTGATAAGCTCCAACATGGTTCGCTGTACTTCATTGTCACCACCAGCACCGTCATCAAAACGGGCACCACCAATGGCATCGATTTCATCGAAGAAAATGATGCAAGCCTTTTTTGTTCTTGCCATTTCAAAAAGCTCTCGGACCATTCTTGCACCCTCGCCGACGTACTTTTGCACAAGCTCACTACCAATCACACGAATGAAGGTCGCGTCTGTTCGGTTGGCGACGGCTCTGGCGCAGAGAGTCTTTCCAGTTCCAGGAGGTCCGTAGAGCAGAGCTCCCTTCGGCGGGTCGATACCCAGGTTCACAAATCGTTCGGGGGAGAGCAACGGCATTTCCACAACTTCTCTGAGCTTCTCAATCTGGTCTTTGCATCCACCAACATCTCCGTATGTGACGTCTGGCTTATCCTCGACAGTCATCATTGTAACGCTGGGATCGATCTTGGGAGGAAGAGGAAGAAGAATCTGATACTTGTTGCGGTCCACACTAGCGGAGCGTCAGTAAAATAAAAGCGAAACCCAAAACGCAACGATCCTTCAGCAACATACCCGACACGCATGCCCTCCTCGATATCTGTTGGCGCAACTCGCTCGCCGAGGTTCACGACGAACTTCGCTATTTGCTTCACGTTGATGACATATTTGGACTTTTCCGCATCCTTCTCATCTTGGATAATCTTTGTACATCTTGCAACCTGAAGCGGCTGCTCTTCCTGCATACGTTGTCGATCGGCAGCAACATCCCAAAGGTGTGGCGGGGCGAGACCGGTGTCCGATTCCTGGTGCGATATTTAGTAAAAGGCGACATGATTGACAACTTGGACTAGCTACCTTAACACCTATATTCCATCCATTACAATTAGCAAATCTTCTATCATTTTTCGACTGGATGGAAAAAAGACATACCAATCTTCTCATTCACGCTAGTTTGTTTGTCCTTGATTTGCTTCTCAAGCCTCTTCAACGCATTAGCGTACGGCGCGGCACCGTAGGTTTTCAGCACCTGGATGTCGCTTTTGGGTGCGTTAGTTAATCCGTCCGTGAAAGCGCAGCGTGTCCATATTTGGTTCCATCTACAGAAGCTTTTGTAGTGGTTAAACATACTCATCTGATAGAGGAGTGATCTTCTTCTCAGGCTCCTCCTCGTCGGCGTAGTTCTTCTGGTACTTCTCCCAGTTTGCACCTGTGGCGCTAGGCATGGTGCGCTATGTGATGTGTTTGGATTGAGTTTCGAATTGCAGATAGAGTTTTTAAGCTTTTCTCTTTCCGAGATGGATACAACGATGACAGAAATGGTGAGAATGACCGATGCGTTGTAATTGGAGGTTGTAAGCTAGCTGGAGGTTGAGAACGAGGTAAGTTGGGTATGATGATAGTGATGCTTACCAAAGAGAGTCGTGCCGGGTAAGCGTCGGTTCAAGGAAGTTCACCGAAGCATGTTTCCCGAAATGGTGTTAGCGCGTTATCAACTCTTCAGTAATTCCCATTCCGTCGCGTCCTGTCGACAGAGTGGAATAGGTCGTGGTTATCTGTTGTTACCTTTTGTGCTTCGAATTTAAGAGTGTCTTCACCGAACATGGCCTCAGTGCAAGCGCCCTCATCAAACGCCGGCAACAATGCCTTCAGAGTTCGTGAATCTCAGTTTTTGTGGGCTTGTGACAGTACTAAGCATACTGCAGGATAAGGCGAAGCCTCAGGCGGTGCGGACCGCCAACATCGTGGCTGCAAGAGGTAAGGAAACTCTATTCATATTGACTTTATGAAACTTTGCTGAGTTTTAAATAGCTGTCGCGGATGCCATCAGAACGGTGAGCTGGACAACCGGAAATTCGCGGCACTTATACTAAAGCAACGTACAGTCCCTTGGACCTCGAGGAATGGACAAGATGGTGAGTAATAGTTCCTCACGCTCTCTTAAAAGAAGAAATACTGAAACTTTACAGATTCAAACTGGCAAAGGCGAGACTCTCATCGTACGCAAGCTCCAAAATTATACTCTTTTCGGCGAACCGACCCCCGCTAATGAAGATAGACCAACGATGGTAACACAATGCTGAAAGACATGAGTGTCATGCACCCGGCTGCAAAGATGCTCGTCGATCTCTCTGCTGCTCAGGATGTTGAGGCTGGTGATGGAACAACCTCCGTTGTCGTCATTGCAGGAAGTCTACTTGGAGCGGCGGAGAGACTGCTCGGAAAAGGCAAGCGACCCGGAAAGACGATTATACATCATTACATGCATTCTAATACTGTGAAAAGGAATTCACCCGACCGTCATCTCGGAATCTTTCCAGCGTGCTGCCGCCGCTGCTGTTCAGACTCTCCACGACATGTCACAGCCTATCTCTCTGACGGACCGCGCTACCCTTCTCCAAGCCGCTTCTACGTCTCTTTCGTCGAAGATTGTCTCTCAATATTCCAACCTCCTCGGCCCGATGGCCGTCGACTCCGTTCTTAAGGTGATCGATCCTAAGACTGCTGACAATGTCGACCTCCGTAACATCCGGATAGTGAAGAAAGTTGGCGGCACTATTGACGAAAGCGAGATGGTGGATGGCCTTGTCCTTACACAGCCCGTGATTAAGAGCGCCAACGGACCTACAAGAATGGAGAAGGCCCGGATAGGATTGATCCAGTTCCAGCTAAGCCCGCCGAAGCCTGATGTATGTCGCGCAAACGACTGAGCGTTGAAGAAAGGGCTGACATTTGTGCTATAGATGGAAAACCAGGTCGTTGTCAACGACTACAGGCAGATGGATAAGATTTTGAAGGAGGAGCGAACGTATCTTTTGAACATGGTCAAGAAGATCAAGAAGGCCAAATGCAACGTTCTCTTCATTCAGAAGTCTATTCTCCGGGACGCTGTTAACGACTTGAGTTTGCACTTCCTCGCCAAATTGAACATCCTCGCAATCAAGGACATTGAGAGAGACGAGGTTGAGTTCATTTGCAAGGTGAGCCACGCAAGAAAAGAACCGTATGAGTTAGTATTAATTTGAATATAGAGTACCGGCTGCAAGCCTATTGCCGACATTGACTCCTTCACGGAAGACAAGCTCGGCTCAGCGGAGCTCGTCGAGGAGGTCCAATCCTCAGGCGCCCGCACAGTCAAGGTTACTGGCGTTAAGAGTGCTACCCAGACCGTCTCCATTGTCTGCAGAGGAGCAAACTCTCTGATCTTGGATGAGGCTGAGCGTAGTTTGCACGATGCGCTCTGCGTCATTCGCTGTTTGGTAAAGAAGAAGTAAGCTGTACCAAGCTTCTATTTTATGAGCTATGGCTAACGTGTACACTTGCTAGGGCTTTGATTGCTGGTGGTGGAGCTCCCGAAATTGAGGTCGCTCAAGCTCTTGCAAAACAGGCTCGTTCCCTGACTGGAACCGAGGCCATCTGCTGGAAGGCATTTGCCGATGCGATGGAAGTCATCCCTACCACTCTCGCTGAGAACGCGGGCCTCAACTCGATCAAGGTCGTCACAGACCTGAGACACAGACATGCCATCGGTGAAAAGAATGCTGGTGTTAGCATCCGAAGTGGCGGCGTCAAGAACAACATTACTGAAGAGAAGGTTTTGCAGCCTTTGCTTGTCAGCACGAGTGCTATTGAGCTGGCTGCGGAGACCGTGAAGATGATTCTGAGAATTGATGACATTGCCCTTGCGCGATAAATCTAAAAAGAAGTTCTTTGATTTATTTGTATGATACTTGAGCCTCATTAGACATTTCATCAACGGGAACACATCATTCATATTTTTGCTCAAATAAGACCGGATTTGCCATTGCGTTGGAACACTGTGCATTTCGTTACTGTACACCAGATGTTCTATGAATTGATATATATATATATGCTTTAAACGACTTTACTCTATTTCACTGCCTTTGTTCATTTCACGTTGCCCCAGAGATAATAAGCTTAAACGTGACTTGGCGCCGTCATTTAAAGTCGATGACGCGCCTGACTCGCAAACGACGCGTCTACCGAGCCCGGCCTCCGCCATAACGTCCTACCGCATTGTGTCCACCAACGTATGGCCATGATTTTTCAAGCAAACAATAGCTGTTCCAACCCTATCAGAATGTCCAAAAGAAGGACCCTGGATAGTTTCTTCCAGCCGCTGCGAAAGAAGCAGCAACTATCTCCCGAAAATGGGACGGCACAGCGCAATGGCATTCTCAATAACCACCGTGTTTCAGGATTAAGCCAAGACAGCATTCGGCCAGAGGAAGCAAAAATTCTCGAGGACGGATCTGAGGGCGTCGGTTTACAAGATGCCCGGGAATTATCATCTCACACTACTTATCCTTTCCCAATACCGTATCTCCCCTCCAACATCCAGTCCATGTTAGGGTTTGCGCCGGCCGCAGAACCAAGCGTGATCAAAGATCAGCCTGATTTGGATTTACTTTATTTTCAGCCGTATATTCCAAAGGAGATAGCGAGAGACTTGTTTGAGTTTCTCCGCCAGGAATTGTTCTTTTATAGAGTAAAGTATATGATTAAAAGAGGAGGCGTGGAGACGTTGATCAATACCCCAAGATTGTAAGTGTAACCACATCACGATGGAGGTCGCTGGTTGGCCTTTTATCTGCTATCATTTGAATTGTATCATACATGCTTCGATTGCTTGTTTCATCGTGGGATTATAAGTTCAACTTGTCTGTTGACTTGCGTTGCGTTTAAGGGTTTCCCTTTATACAATTGCTTGTTATTCCGTTGTGCTACGTATTTCATCCTGCACTGATTTAATTATTTGCATCCATGATTCGAGCATTCGAGCAGGATTGATTTTCAAATGCCTTTTTTTGTTGGTTTTATATTCCATGTTCATTTTCCCTATTCAGGGTTTCGTATAGCAACCCGCAACGTTTGTGTACATGCGCTGCCTCTTATCATCTTGCTCTTTGTAAATATGCTCATGCTTCAGCGTAACATTCATACTGACTTTTAGCATTAGTACCACGGTTTTTGGCGTAGACGAAACCTCCCGCTTTACCGCAGACGGATCGCTGGTCGATTCGTCCACAGGAAGACCCGTGCCTAAAGATCGATATAGATGCAAACCACGACCAATCCCACAATGTCTTAACGAGCTTCGAAAGGTACGGCTCCAATTTGACTTCCTCCTGCCCAAACAATCGCTGTTGGTGTTACTTTTCTTGCCCTTTCTCTTTTCCTTTCCATACTGCAGACTTTGAAAAGCCAATGTCACTCACACCTATACCCCGCATAGCTCACAGAAGGAAGTACAAATACTACTTATAATTTCTGTCTTGTCAATTATTACGCCAGCGGATCGGACAGTATATCCTATCACAGCGACGATGAGCGCTTCCTTGGTTCAAATCCAAGTATCGCTTCCTTTTCACTGGGCGCGAAGCGTGACTTTTTAATGAAACATAAACCTCCTACTGAGAGACCCGGAGCGCCAGGAATGTCCACAGCAACATCGACGTTGTCGTCAGAAACCGCAGGTCAACCTCTCAAATTTCCACTCGCATCAGGGGATATGATTCTTATGCGTGGCCCAACGCAAGCGACTTGGCTGCATAGCATTCCGAAGCGTAAAGGCAGAGAAAGTGACCGCGGAAGGATCAACATCACGTTTCGAAAGGCAATGGTACGCGGCGGCACGGAGAATTATTACACGTATAATGTCGGGATGAGTGCAAATGCAGATGAAAATGGAGGCCGGACAGGGGAGAAAGGGGAGGTGTATCGTTGGGATGGAAGGAGGGAGGAGATGGTGCAGTGGCTTCCTCCTGAGATTAAATCAGAGAATTAGTGATAGGTCACGGAAAGGAAGTAAAAGTAGGAGCTATTCTGACGTTTGCACCGAGCACTATATGCTTGAGCAGCAAGATCCCTGTATCATTGCAGCTATGTACGTCCCATGAATTGAAAAGGATGGAATGAATTATACAGCCTTCGCAAGTGTAGGTCTATACCTGGGAGAAACACAATCACAAGATGTCTAATGTGACGTCAGAGAAGATACATAGCTGAAGCCTTTCAATCGCTGTAAAGTTCAACCACGTGGGCGGGCAAAAGGATAGCAAGACCAAAGCTTCAGTCATAGGTCGAGATGGGTATGATTAACGTCATTGCGGGTGTTTGGCCATCTAAGGACTCTGGAAGATAAGGCATATTGATATTCTCTAATGGCATTCTTCGGAGAACGTGAGCACGGTAGTCGGAAGCCAGCATTTAGCTCATTATTGAAAGTTCGCAAACTCATTCATTTCACTTTGCCGGGTGCAGTAGATCGGAAGTAATTTGCACAAACTCCATGAACAGCATTTATTCCATATCCCTAGAATTTTATACTGCTGTTGCAACGCTCGGCGAGCACGAGAGCCTCATCGTGTTACACTCGTATCCCTGCCTAATGTTTTGATCTCCATCACCCAAGCGCGAGAAACACAACATCTACTTCAGAGGAATGAAACGAGAAGAGTGGGTGGCACCAATACCGGGCCGACCGTGCTTGACGGGCTTGCTGCGGGGTCGTTAGACGCTGGTATTCCACAAGAAAATTTCGTAGTTGGAGTGAAACGTACTATGAGATGGAGAACTCTCCCAGGTAGTGGCCAACCATCTCAGGCTTGATCTCAACCTGGTTGAACTCCTTGCCGGAGTAGACACCGACGACGCTGCCGATCATCTCGGGGACGACGATCATGTCACGGAGGTGAGTCTTGACGAGGTCAGGCTTCTCGTTGGGTCTAGCCTCCTGCTTGGCCTTGCGGAGCTTCTTGATCAGGCCCATGGGCTTGCGCTTAAGACCACGGTTGAACCGACGGCGAGCACGGGCGTGGACGACATCCCGGAGCTGTTCAGAAGAGAGGTCGAGCAGCCTGAATCGCATTCCATCAGCATCCTGTTTCCTCCAAATGGCTAATATATCCAAACTCCAGACGGTGATATAGGCGAACATACTGGTCAAGGTCGACACCACGGTAGGAAAACTTCCGGAACTGTCTCTTTCTCTTGAGCTCTGGATATCGAAAGTCGGGTCAGCGTTTATTCGTATATAGCGGTTTCGATTTCGTCGTGGTAAAATTGCCCGTCCAAAAAGATTCCATCCTTTTATCCAAACTCATGTCGCCCAAAGGTATTTCCGGGTATCCATATAGCGCGTGTAAAATAGGGAAGTTGAACATACCAGCAGCCTCCTCAGCGTTCTAGACAAAATTGACCGGTTAGCGATGCGTACTGATATATCGAATGACGGCTTGCGGAAACCATCATTTGAAAGTAAAACTCACGTATTCAACGTCAGCCATGATTGCGATTATCTCTTCGAAGCTGGATTGACTCTCTTCGAAAAGCCCGTATGGGTCGCTGGGTGTTGGAAAGGCGTCGTCGTTAATCGTTCGTCGAGCGTAGGCAATCCTCACACACACTCTCGAAGTTGCGTTGAGCCGGGAGCTAAGCGAGTCTTGGCGTCCAGCAGTCCAGAGCCGAGAGACGGTAGGGTAAGGGCTTGCCCAGCTCGCCAACCTTGGCGCCTCATGCTTAGATACTACGATGGATACGAACAAGGCGTTATCAATGGCGAACGTACGTTCGATGACGTTTTGAATTATCCGTATTGTAGCTTTGGGCTGTGTGAAAATTCCTGGTGGCTGTTCATAGAAATTCTATGAGCATCTCTTGATATGGTTGTGGATGGCGACGAATGCCTCAGTAATTGGCGCTACAATATTCTCTCCCGATCAATTCAATCAACTACGCTGCTCCAGTATACACTTGGAATTTATCAGAAAGCGGCTTTAGCTGCGAAAACTATTCACAGCAAAAGAAAGCAATTCAGGGATTAACGGAATTCGGAATGATAAAAGTGCATAAATGATATATCATCCAGCGAATCATTGATGCAATTTTGGCCACAAAATCACGAAACAAGCGCACAGCATAGCACACAAGTAAAAGCCAGTGATGAAAAAGGGTATCATCCTCAAAGGACTTTCCATTTTGTCGCAGCGCTACATAATGCCTATATTTTGCATAACAGTAGTCTGCATGGCCACAGAACTTGGAGAACGCGCTTAGTCGAAGAGACCGAAGCCCATGTCCTCGTCAGACTCCTCCTTCTCCTCCTCCTTCTTCTCCTCGGCCTTCTCCTCAGCAGGAGCGGCGGCACCGCCGGCAGCGGGGGCGGCAGCAGCACCAGCGCCACCAGAGGGAACGCTGGCGAGCTTCTCGGTACCCTGGGAGATCAACTGTTTGGTGCATTAGCGAAGATGTATTTCTCGAGTTTCGACAGTAAAATCGTACCTCGGCGATGTCCTTGCCTTCGAGCTCAGCAACGAGCTTGTCAAGGCGGTCGTTGTCGGCCTCGATACCAACAGACTCAAGGACGGCCTTGACGTCGGCGGCAGAGGGGTTGGTGTTACCACCAACACCGAGGAGAAGGTAAGCGGCAAGGTGCTTCATTTTTATGGAGTCTGTAGGAGTCGTTGCCGTCAGCGCATCTGTTCCAAGGATCCATCGTCACGCACGAGCACGGCGGAGCATTTCAAATTTGTCCGCCGTAGAACTCGCGGGAGTGAAGAGAAAAGGTATCGCATACTCTTAGTTGATCGTTCAACGAACAAGAGAATCAATCGATTTAACCGCGAGTTGAGCGGAGACTGAAACGTCAAGTTCTGTGGGTTGAGGTTTGAAGAGTCGGAAAGGTTGGAGGAACCGCACGCGAAATTCAATTCAACTCGGCTCGGGCTCTGGGACTTTGCCTTGCAACGGCAAAGTCTGAGTGCGCTGCTCTAACCGCTTCGGGCCAAGTGATGCTAGGGCTCGCTTATGTCTCGTCCTTGCCGGGTAACACCTCTACTCTTCGGACTTAGCCACTGCCTGACATTTCTTTGTCCAATTATTGGTTCGGGCCCGCTTTTGGGCTTAGTTCTCGGATCCCAATCTGTAACTTGACGTCCACTTCTTCTATCATCGTCGACGGACCCTTCCCTTCCCCGCAATTCACTGACACTGGATCTTTCGCTTTCGAGTTCTCGCCCAACTCGTTCTTCTATAAAGTGCCGGTGGTGCGCGCGTAACTCTCTCGTTCTTCCATCTTCCACCGAAACCGAAGGTTGCGTTTTCTACAACACAACTGTACCCGGCGTTATGCTTAATTCCCAACAAACCCCTCGACAGCGGTGATATTCGTGCTCGAAACTTCTATCGAGAGGAGGAATACTCCCTTAAGATGAGTGTATGAACCTTCTCCTCTCGTAAAAGATTTTCTAGGATCAAACTTATCTTTTGTGCAGTTCCTCAACTCTGTCCTCTCCTCTATCGGTGGCGGGACACCACACATCCCGACACCACCGCGCCCTGCTCCAGCAGCCACGGCTCCTAGATCCACTCAACTACCATCAAGGAATGCGAGGAATGCCGCAATATCTGTGACATCCAACGAGACAAGGCCACAAGCGAATTCAGGGCAAAAACGAAAGGCAGAGGAAGAGATTCAACGCAATACGAGCAAGGCACCAAAGAATGACTCTGCGCGCCCGGCTCCGCCACCGAACCGGTTTCAATCTTCAAAGCCGATTGCACGACCTAATGGTACACTATCGAACACGCCCACATCGACAGCCGCTGCAAGAACCTCATCAGCGACCGCAACAAAAACCGCTCAACCTCCTCCAGCAGCTGCCGCATCATCCGCGGCAAAAGCGCCCCCGAAGAAGGGGTCCTATGCAGAAATTTTAGCCCGTGCCCAAGCAGCACAGAGCTCATCCAAACAGGTCGGAGTCATCAAGCACAAGCCTGTGGAGAAACTTACTCGGAAGGAGCGACTAGCTCAGCAGGCAGAGGCAGCGGCTAAAGCGAAGCAAGGAGCCTCTGGTAAAGCCCGTCCTGACGCCAAGGATAGGGCAGGAAAAGGCGCAGCTGTGACCAGTGGGAAGGGATCCGACTCAGAGATTACCAAGAAGAAGCAGCCTGTTGATGTCGGTTACAAGGGAACGATGCGGCCCAAATCCGAGGAACCCGTTTACAAGGGCACCATGAACCGAGCACGAGAAGCGCCTGCTCCAAAGGCCAATACCCCACGACCTTCTTCGAGACATGCCACTTCAGAACTCGCAAAAGCTGGAATGCCCCTTCGTCCTCCTTCCCGTTACACTTACGCAACGTACTCGGATGAGGAGGAATCAGAAGGGTCGTCTGATATGGAAGCTGCTGCGTATGAACTCGAAGAAGAAGAGCAACTAAGTTTACGCACGGCCCGCAGGGAGGATGAAGAGGCACTGAACGAAGAGAATGAGCTCAAGCGTGTCAAGGAGGAAAAGAAAAGGCGGCTGGCCCAAATGGCTGCCAAACGGAGATAAGGCCCTGCAATTGCCTCGATTCTACCCTCTTTCAACACTAGCCGTTTGACGCCCTTTCATTTGACCACCTTCCAAGTTCAATTGAATAATTCAAGACTAAATCACACTTACGTCCTAATATCTAACACCACACTCGTCCTCTCGAAACACTGCATGGCGGAAGACGAAGCATTTTCGGCGCTATCCCCTTTTATTCTCTTCTGTTTCTGTTTGCTTTTCTCCTCGCCATCCGTTCTGCATCGCTATTTGCTTTTTTTAAACACCTTCGATGAACGAATGAGCGCCAGTGTTTTTTCTTTCTCGTTACATATTATCAAGCGGAGCAAGGAGAAGGGGCGTTTTCTGAGATTATTATTCTTATCACCTGTTTATCGTGTTCAGTGGTTCTTTCCATTTGTTCATTCAATCATCAACTGCGCCTTCCATTCCTGGAATCATGCTTATTATTAACTCTGCAAACCATGCACATTCTCCCATAACGCGTTTGAACTCAAGTCCCTTCATGTTTAGTGAACCCAACAATACATTTCTGAGTTTGGGAACAAGCCGCGCATTTATTACAGACTTTTCATCGTCTGCGATACCTACCGCGTATTTGGGTAGCAGTTGTTCAACAGCATGAAATTAGTTAGGATTAGTACCAGACTGTGTTCGAGTTTGGATTAATATTTAACATTCTCATCATTATCATTATCACTTAATTTATCATCTTCATTATTTATCAATTTTACCATTATCATTATCATTGTCATCGTCACTGTCATCATCCCTTAATCTATTCTTATCAATAAATTGGTCATTGTTCTAAGTTTTTTATCCTTTTTTTTATCTCACCAGTATAACAATTAGGGCGATCGTCTCTCTCCCTCTTCATCTTTGAATAGGACATGGAAGGAAAAGCTTACTATCAAGGAACACTGTAAAGTCCACTCCGTTTCGACATTATAACGTTCCAGGAGATTCGGGCGCAGTTTGTAGCCTACCAATTGTTGCCGGACGCCCAAATGACCACTAACGGTATTGAGCAAGTACATTTTATCTAAACGATACTATAGACGCCGTATATTTTATTTCCTAACATAAGCGTGCCCGTAAAGAAGGTCTTGTTGCCATTTTAAATCGAATGCAAATGATTCGTTACTTTGCTATCGTTATCACATCAAGAGAGGCATTCTGACCTCTTAATTTTATTTTACAGCCGGCTTTCCTCCCTTTCACCAATCAGGTTCTGGAAAGCAACGGTGACTTGCTCCGTTAAATCACTCGCCTGGAGACTGCGGCCGTGCTTCTTATACGCCAACCGCGAGCACTCGCGAGTAATGCTAGACGCACCAAACGCGACGAGAGCCAACAATTCGGACTCGTCCATATCGTTTTCGTGGTCCCAGATACGGTCCAGATAGGCTTTTCGGTATGCAAGGAGTGTACCCAGAGAACCGGTCAGCGTGTCACCTTGGCCACCAGAGCGCTTGTATCCGCCTTCAATGTCGGAGACGAGCGTGCGTTCGCCATTGGAAATGTAGTCCACTGCGCCCTTTTGGATGATGGTCACTCCACCAAAAGCCTTGGCCAGAGTAGCGCATAACTTCGTCGGATCGCCATTGGTGTCGACACCTTTTGCCTTGGCGAGACGGCCGAATTCGACAACGTTGGGAGTAAGAATGCATTGCTTGTAGCCCTCAACAAGCTCAGGTCTGGTTTGTGCCAGATACAGTCCGTCAGCGTCAAGGACAAATGGCAAGTTTTGCTTCCGTGCCTCTGTGAGGACCCTCGCGCAAGTGTCGAGCATGAGTTCGTCTCGACCTAGACCAGGTCCAACAACGAGGACATGAAGACGCGAGAGCATCCCGATGACGGACTCAGCGACAGTGTCGGCATTCTCGTTTGCTCGGAGATTCTTGGATTGTCTCATGTAAGGGTGTACCATGAGGTTTGGGGAATACGTTTTGATGACCTGTGAAGGAGAAGAAAAAATGAGTATAACAGTGAGGGTATGGAATTACCCATTGCTTAGAAAGACTTACTTGACCCGCTTGAGGTTCACAGATAACATGGCTCTATTCGCTGATGGTTAATTTCTGACATTTTATTGATTTGCAGCAAGATAAGTGCAATAATTTCCAAAGGGAAGCTGGGCCATACCATATCACAGCCCAGCCGTGCCGAAGCCATCGCAGAGAAGTATGGTGCGCCAGTATAACTGCACAATGGGTGTTAGTCACGAGTAATCCAATCTACACGACCCTCATCTAGTCTCGCAGCTTGCCAGACAATAACGGGGAATTTACTTACTCTTCACTGCCGCCAATGACAGCTACTCGTCCCAATTGACCTTTATTCGAGAATATTTGTTAGATCTCATGAGATCCATGCCTGCAAAGGCAACTCTCAGGACTGAAGGACCAGATCACTCTTACCTTTATGAAACTTCTCAAGCATAGGAGGTACCATCTTGTGGACCTTTGTGAGTAGGTCCTTGGTAGTTTGGGAGACCATTTTCGACTTTAGTTGGTCTGATGCTTAAATTAAAGTGTTCGTGGAAAGTATATCGCAAATTATAGATCAGACAGTTTCCGACTGCCTTTTTCAAATTATGTCTGTGTAAGAATCAATGATGCTAAAATCTGTCCGAACGAATGTTGTAAAATCGAAGTTCAATCTAAGCTTATTAGTAGCAAGGTCCCTGGTCTAACACCAACATTACGTGCATCTGTTGTCAGCGTTGTGCTGTGTACATAGTAAACGAAACTTGGGGTGGCATGATGTCACCTCGATTCGGCAATGCTTCTTTCGGCCTCGATCAACGCTCGGACCACGTCGAAACTCCGTCTACAGAATAAGCTGTCTTTCCTGGGCTGAGGAGTCTATTATAGAATATAATAATTGTAGTGAGATTGAATGGTAATGTAACGTATTTTTATATAGACTGCTAAAGCAAGTTTGAAAAATGCAGACCAGACAACTTTGGTCAATTTGCAAGTCGTAGATAGAGTGACCCAATTCTCCTCACTGTTTGAATATATTATTATATAGATAAATCCCTAAATTAAAGAAGAACTTCTATGCTCGTAAATCACATGGACCAATTGCTTGTAAAAAGTCGTAAATGAAGAAAAATGAGAAATATGCGCCTTCATATGCCAACCAATGAGAGAAATATGCAATGATGCGGAAGATAATTTACAGGGAAACGGTTACGCCTACGGTGGCGTCGCGATATCCAGCAACGGCATTGGATTCTCTGTACGAAGCCATTCGCCGTTAAAAGCATTGATCAACCAGTTGTTGAGTTCTGATTCATTTCATCATAGTCAGCGTCCGTTAAAATTTGGTACGACAGCCAGGTCGTTCATAGTCTGAGGCTCAACCGCCAGCACATTCAGATAAAACTTACTATCGAAGACGATCCGGTACGCATTATGGAAAGAGATGCCATGGTCAGAATCAGGGAAGACGTGAACGTCATAATTTTCAATTCCAGCCAAGTCGAGCTGATCGAGCAAGGTGAGCGAATTTTGCATGTGCACGTTGTCATCGGCGACACCGTGCATGAGCAAGAACCTGACATTTTGACCGAGAGCGGTGACATTGCTGATGGAGGCATTGGCATAGCCATCAGCATTCTCTTGCGGTGTACTCATGTAGCGCTCGGTGTAAACAGAGTCTGCGCGACATGTTAATCTTCTGTTGAGCAGCATTGAGAGAATTTGACCCACCATAAAATCTCCAGTCCGTTACAGGAGCAACAGCCATACCATATTTGAAGGTCTGCCCAGCGTCCTGTTCAAGTGTCTTCAACGTCATGAACCCTCCGTAGCTCCAGCCCCAAATCGCCATTCGACTTTCATCAACATAGTCCTTGGCTGCCCAAATCTTTGCAGTCTCAATCTGGTCATGAGACTCATAATGTCCAAGGTTGTCGCGCACTATGCACCGGGCTTTCCGCCCAATGAAGCCAGTACCACGCCCATCAACCGTTACGACGATATAATTCAATTTTGAAGCCAAGTATGACTGGAAGTCAACGACAAACTTTTTGTCAACCATCTGCGAACCTGGTCCCCCGTACAGATAGAAAAGAACCGGATATTTCTTATTCTTGTCAAAGTGGGGAGGCCGACGCTCAACCACATTGAGTTCAGTACCATCGATTTTGACCGTCTGATAGACCTTGGGAGGCAGTTCATGTTCCCTTGCCAGTTGGGCGAGTGCCTTGTTTTCTTCAATAATATCTTCATACTTCTCGCTGTTACTAGGCGTGTTGATGACTTTCTGCCACGGAACGTTCGGTCCTTGGTAGGTCAATAGCGCAAACTTTGCTCCAGTCGAAAAGGATACGCTGTAATAGCCTTCTTTCGACGTATCCGTCATAGATTGCAGATCAGTACCGTCGAGCTTCACGCTGTACACGTGTCTCTGGGTGGGGCCTTCTTTCGTAGCCACAAAATACACACGATTGTTGATGAGGTCCACAGCGGATGGAGCCTGTACAACCTCCCAGCCACCGGAGGTGAGCAAGGTAGGCTTCGGATTGTCCATAGGTGAAAAATATGCGAGATGATCATAATTGTCATGAATGACGGTATCGATGTACCCATCATACGGACGACCTTGAGCGTTGCTTGCTGGAATGTATCGTGTTTCTTGGGAGACTTCAAACCAGCCGCCATCTAGAGCAGAGACATCTTGCGTCCGAACAACTTTGCCTGACCGGGACTTGACATCGATCAAAACCACAGCTAGTATATCGCTCACTCTGTTCGTTTCCCTGATCAGGACTTGTCCTGAAGAGCCTGCCCAGACGACCTCAGTGATAAGGCGATCTGAGTCAGGAAAGTCATCGTCAATTCTGACAGAAAACACCTCCTTCTTTTTGATATCATAGAATTGCAGATCAACAATGGGGTTCGGTGCTCCGGCCTTTGGATATTTAATCTCTCGCACCTCGGGGTAGCTCTCCTGTCCTTCTTCGGGCCTTTTCCCACTCGGCCTCGAGACAAAATACTGAATGGGGTATTCAGGAACGGTGGACTCGTTTGTCCGAAGAAAAGCCAAATACTGCCCATCTTCGGCCCACCACGTAGCGCTGTTTCCGCTGAAGACCTCCTCCTCGTACACCCAATCGGGAACTCCGTAAAAGAGTTCAGGTCCGCCATCACTGGTTATTTGTTCAACTTTGTCAGAAGAAAGCTCGCGGATGAACATGTTGTTTTCTCTTGTGAAGACGATTGCATCTGATTGCGGAGACCAAGATGCCAACTGAACTCTACCTTCAGGATTTCCTGGATCAAGGGCTTGCCCGGTTTGAGATTGAACGTCGAAGATCCAATACCGACCAGTGAAAGAATGACGCCAATTATGCTCTTGGTGAGAAACAACCAACACTTTCCGAAGATCATTGCTTGGCCAGACATTGCTCGGTTGCACGAGTCTGTTCCCAACCTTGAAATCGGGCTTTTCCATTAAGGTTGTGAACGCCGTCGAGGACGAATCTTTTTTCCGGTTGCGTATATCTTTCACAACCAGATATGGCTGACCATTCCCGCCATCTCTTTCGAGAAGCAAGCCATCTTCGCCGTTTGCGCCTTTGATCCAGGATATGCCGTGGGCTTTGGGCCGCCACTGTCCCGTGAGGACTTGATCGAGTGTCACTTTATGTGCGGATCCTCGAGAAGAAGTCGCTGTCGGATCATGCGGAAAGCTCGAAGCATGTCGATAAGAGCCTCTAGCGATAAGAACTATTAGAGCGAGGGCCCAGCTGCCAATGAACGCTGCTGTTAATATCCATATGATTCGTTTGAGTTTCTTTTCAACCGGTCTGGTACGCTGAGGCAAATCAAGTCCCTCTTCAAGGCTAGCAGAATCGAGCTTATCATCCTGAAAGTGCTGACCTGACTCGAGACCTTCATGGTATGAGCTCCGCGACCCGTTTCTGCCGCGCCCATTTATGTGTTCTAATATCAAGGATGTCGTTGAGGCCGATGTCACAGAATCACAGGACGGCCGACCTCCGAGATCACCTGCAGTCAACGGCTGCTTTTCTTCTTCATCATGTGTACGTTCTCCGGACATCTCGGAAGATTGTATGGCGCCGAGGGACGAGCGGGTTGATACTTTAGCTGTGGTAACCACGAAAAAGTAGAGACCGCATGTGACTAGAAAGAATGAAATTGCAGTCAAAGAGAGCTATAAACCGTCAAGACATTTCACAGTCACCAGAATGTGCCAGATGATTATATGGAGGAGGAAAGAACGAGAGGAGGCAGGCCGGGGCGCTCCAAAGGGCACGAGCTTGTTGATGGTCCGCCAGCCAGCTACGGTCGTTGCGTTGCCTATCGAGAGATATCATCGCTAAATTGAGTCTAGTGCGTCCTGATAGGGGTCCTAGATTCGGCGCTCCAGCAATTTAGATTCCTTTGTCTTAACACCTTATTGATGCCTCGTTTTAGTCAAGCCCCAATTCTTCCATTGGCTTGCGTTCACGATGATCCGGGGCTTCTTGACACAATTGCCTGGGGAATGAATAAGTTTACAATGATTAGATTATTTTGCAGTGTTTCTTTAATAAGAGTTACGGAAGCGGTCTCCACCTCAAGACCGCTCGATCCTGTTGTGGAATTTAGCTCCAAAGTTAGAGCAATGTGTTTTGCGGGGACGACTTAGATCTCACTCCGTAAAAGAAACCTATAGTAATGCCTGGTTGCATAAGCCAATCATAGGCAGGTTGCTGGCTCACAGGTGGACAGGTCACTGCATCAACCTAACATATTTCAAATAGGAACTACTTGCCCTGTCAAGGCGAGAACCATTGATTTCCAGTAAATTATTGAGTGTGACTAGAAAAGCGCCCCTTGGGTTAAAGTTGTTGTATTGGCAAGCCGATGTGAAAATATCTGATTGTATAAGGGCTATCGAACAAAGGTTGCCGGACATGCTATTAATTACACAGAAGCCGAAGTAGTTAGTTTTGCTTTTATGGATGATGGTCGAAGATCTATTGTGTCGATTGCCGGGAAACATCCCAGTCATCAATTTGAAGCGTGAGCTGTCCGCCAGTTTGATACTCAATGTGGGCTGCAGAGCCGTCTCTCGGCCGCCAGATTTAATGCAAGACTCCAATGCCCGGAAACAAAGGAAAAGAAAACAAAATATTACAAAGTCCTGCGAGGGTTGTCAGCCAAATCACCATAGTTCCGTTTCTACAGAAAAAATGAAGTATATACCCTAAGAAGTCCTGTACATGCTATTAGCAAAGGAGACACCGAGAAACTCATGGATACTGGAACACCTACTTCTTTGATACTTCCGATAGCGTACATACTGCCAACGTCACTTCTCGTACCAATGAGTTTAATGCGAATATGCGTCCCTTTCTCAATCACTTGGTCTCCGTTGTCGGTAAATTGAGGCGGTGTGGCGTTAGCATCGTACTTGATCTCAGAGGGGATCAACTATAGTAATATTAGCTTCCACGGTGCTCAGTTAAAGCCTCGAGCTATAAGGCGCTATACATGGGTAGACACGAAAACAGGTAGAGGCCCAACGTCAGCAAAAAAGCCCATCTTGTTAACCGAATTAACAACGGCGTCAACCTAGACGAAGCGGAAAAGTTATCTCAGCTTCAGAGTTCCAGCCAGAATAAATATTGGGCTTCCATACTGTCTCTCCTTTGAACGGTCTCCACACAACCGCTCTATATCGGACGGTGTATTCGGCGACACCGCTTCCAGGGATGACACGACCATCCGAGATATCGTAAGTGTCCATAACGCAAATAATGAAGTATTGACCGGTACATGTGCCCTCGACATCCTCCAGAAGGCGGTTTGTCAAGTATTCTTTGACGCGGGGCCCGAAGAACGACGGATGGAGGGTGATGACCCGCTCCAATTCGTAGAGGAAGAACATGGCGATTCCGTTATATATTATTTCGTTAACGAAACTGTATTCTTTTGATTTGCTGATTTCGCAACCAGGCCGCAGGAGAGATCGCGAGGGCAGAAGCAGGTGTAGCGGTCTACGTGCGAATTGCGCCTAAGAGCCGGAATCGTCGCAGTCCATCCGTAGCAACGAGTATGACTGCTTATCTACAGGGAAACAGTCCGAATGAATGCGCAGGTGAGCGCGGGCGGCTCACAATAAGTTGAAAAGCGGCCGACGGCACTGCTAACTATTCCTGAGATGAGACCCATCCCATATCTAGGGCGCCAGTAGAGCACTGGATCACATACCAGTCAACCTAGGAAAAACGAATGACGATGGCAAGCACTGTCGTCCACCCTCTGCTCGCTCTGCGCCTCTATGTCAGAGAGCGTAGAGGAATAATCGAATTGGAGGACGACGTTCTGGCCGCGCTAAGGGCTTGATGGAGCTGAGAATGTTTGCTGTCCAAGGGAACTTTTCCCCATGACGATGTTGGTGCTGCGATATTCGCCTTGAGCGCGTATAACGGAGAGCCCCGAAGTACCGAAGGCACGGGCCTCTCGCAGGACTCTTACCAAATGCGAATTCAGTACGGAGTAAGTTACCTTACTTTCTCCAGCTGCCGACCTTACGAAGCCCAAATACCTCACAGGATATATAATTCAACACGTTTTGAAGTGATGGAACGAGGAATGAAAAGTAAAATAAAAATAAAAATGGAAAAATTAGATGTTGCATTTAATTTAATGACTCTACTATTCTTGCCCTGAAGTGTAGTGTGCTAGTGCCCATCGAGTGATCCAATCGCACATCATCGAGTACTGTCCTCGGCAGGCATGGAAGGTAAGGTAAATCCGTCATTGGGCTGGTAGTTCAGGTGCTCGAACCACATCATTCTTTCCCCAGTTCCCGCTCCCGCTTCTGCTGCTGCGTATATCCCTTATCCATTTGATACGTCCGAACACGCACTAGATATTCTTTTTCGCTTTGATAAAGATACAGTCTTGAGAGTGAGCCTCATTTTTGAGGCATCTTCCGCGGTTCTGCACAGTTTATGGCGATTTGATCTTGGTCGCCTATCAAGGTATCATGTCGCTCAATCTGGAGAAGCAGCTTCTATTCGTACGCGATTCTTCTGACATTTCAATTGCACTGATATGCTCGACTAACCACCGAACCCGCAGTATGGGTCTTACCATCATCATCCAGTAAGAATTACGGGGGTAAATCCCTGGCACTATGTCGGCTTATGCTCAGTCTCGAACCTCAGGTCAACGTCGGTATTCATATAACATGCGTGCCGCTGATTTTGATGACGGCCTTTCTCTTTGTGAGTGTATCCCCATACGAATCTAAATATCCATCCTTTCTAATGCACATACCCAGGGCACGAATACCCCATCTTTGCCTCTACCAGACTGGCTCGTCATTGACAGCCTTCCACCAAATTTAGGCGTTATATCCTCCATAGTATATGCTGCTCTTTATATATTAATGGAACCAGTTGCCGGAGGCCTTGCAGCACCACTCCTGGTTGGTGGTGCTGCATATATGAACAAGCTCACATCAACGTACGGCATGACTGCCAACTACTGGGCTCTGGGAGTCCACATTGTTGCATGGATCGCTCAGTTCATTGGGCATGGCGCTTTCGAAGGAAGGGCGCCAGCTTTATTGGATAATTTGGTCCAAGCGTTGTTCTTGGCACCCTTTTTTGTGTGGCTCGAGGTTCTCTTCTTCCTTGGATATCGACCGGAGCTTAAAGGGAGACTGGACAAGGCTGTCGAGCAGGAAATCACCAAATTCAACAAAGAGAAGGGAGCGAAGGCCAATGGCACCAATCCCGAGTATTGAAGAAAGCGAGGTCATAATTGGTGCCGTCATGACTTAACATGATCCTCAAGAGGGCGAGTATGTAGAGAATTATAATGTTGTAAGTGGATCGATGCAAATAGTAAATAATTGTTGAGGGAAATGCATTGCGGCTTGATCAATAGTACTTGTAGGGGTAGAAGGAAGCGTGGGTTTATGCAGAGGATCAAGATTAGTCGCAAGCGATGCGATATCGAAGAGTTGTTCCTGTTCTCTATCGTCTATATATAATGATATTTTGAGATCTCCATCTTTCGTCGTCGGTGAGCTTTTCCGAGTTCCCTCGCCTTTCCCACAGCTCAGAGAAAGTTGGTGTCGAGAATGTCTTGGCAGTGGGTGGTTCCCACCAATCAACGTGGCCCACCCGTTAGCCGGTTCCCTCACTCCCCTTCTTTCTCTCGACGTCTTCTCCTCGCCGTCCTTGCACATCTCCATCCGCCATCACAATCTCCCCTCAATCCCCGTCAATTGCATCTGCAATTCCGACGGACATCTCTTAATCGTCCTCCGAATCTTTTCGAAGATGTTCAGGAACGCCATTCGCCAGTCCAGCCGGACCGTCGGCGCCATCTCTGCGACCGGCAGAATCGCTGCGGTACGTCCATCAAATCTTCATCCTCTGCGGGCTTTAATAGCCGCCAGAAGGCCCAAAAATCATCATCGCGTGTCTCAATTGGCTCAATTAAGCTTTTTTAAAGCTTGACCGACATCAAAGAGGTGTTTTTGGGACCTGATGGATGATGTGGGAGCTGGTTCTGCAGCTTTGCCTGTCCTAACCGAAGCGCTGACATTTCTGCTCTCTTTAGGCCCGGCCCGCCGTCCCAGCTGTCTTCAACGGCGCCACCAAGCAGGTCCGAACCTACGCCGCTGATGCCAAGGCTTCTCCCACCGAGGTCTCTTCGATCCTCGAGCAGAGAATCCGCGGTGTCCAGGAGGAGGCTGGTCTTGCTGAGACCGGCCGTGTCCTTTCGGTCGGGTAAGTACACTTTTGGTCGTCAATGGCGTTCAATCACCACTGCAAATTGCAATTGAAGGTGTCATAGAACCGTAAACGAACAATGAGCTAATGGTATTTCAATCTAGTGATGGTATCGCCCGTGTTCACGGCATGAACAATGTCCAGGCTGAGGAGCTTGTCGAGTAAGTTGAGGGATTTTCCCAATACCTTCAACCGGATACTGATGACTATCAAAGGTTCGCCTCTGGTGTCAAGGGCATGTGCATGAACTTGGAAGCCGGCCAGGTCGGTGTTGTGTTGTTCGGTTCCGACCGTCTTGTCCGTGAGGGCGAGACTGTCAAGCGTACCGGAGAGATCGTAAGTCTTGACCTCGGCTTGTTTGAGAAATTGGTCCGTGTCTCTAATTAATATTCTAGGTTGACGTCCCCGTCGGCGAGGCCATGCTTGGCCGTGTTGTTGACGCTCTTGGTAACCCCATTGATGGCAAGGGTCCCATCAACACCACTGAGAAGCGCCGTGCTCAGCTCAAGGCTCCCGGCATTCTTCCCCGTCGCTCTGTCAACCAGCCCGTGCAGACTGGTCTCAAGGCCGTCGACGCCATGGTTCCCATTGGCCGTGGTCAGCGTGAGTTGATCATTGGTGACCGTCAAACTGGAAAGACTGCCGTCGCTCTCGACGCTATGCTCAACCAGAAGCGCTGGAACAACACCAACGACGAGTCGCAGAAGCTCTACTGTGTCTACGTCGCCGTCGGTCAGAAGCGTTCCACCGTCGCTCAGCTCGTCAAGTCCCTTGAGGAGAACGATGCGATGAAGTACTCCATCATCGTTGCTGCCACTGCCTCCGAGGCTGCTCCTCTTCAGTACCTTGCTCCTTTCACTGGCTGCTCCATTGGTGAGTGGTTCCGTGACAACGGCAAGCACGCCGTCGTTGTCTATGACGACCTTTCCAAGCAGGCTGTTGCCTACCGTCAGATGTCCCTGCTGCTCCGTCGTCCCCCCGGTCGTGAGGCCTATCCCGGAGAGTAAGTAAGCTCGATTGTTGAATGCATGATGTCTTTGCTGATCGTTTCTCAGCGTCTTCTACCTCCACTCTCGTCTCCTTGAGCGTGCTGCCAAGCTCAGCGAGAAGCACGGTGGCGGTTCCTTGACTGCTCTTCCCATCATTGAGACCCAGGGTGGTGACGTGTCTGCCTACATTCCCACCAACGTCATCTCCATTACCGACGGTCAGATCTTCTTGGAGGCTGAGCTGTTCTACAAGGGTATCCGCCCCGCCATTAACGTCGGTCTTTCCGTCTCTCGTGTCGGTTCCGCTGCCCAGCTCAAGGCTATGAAGCAAGTCGCTGGTAGCTTGAAGCTTTTCTTGGCCCAGTACCGTGAGGTCGCTGCCTTCGCCCAGTTCGGTTCCGACTTGGATGCTGCTACTAAGCAGACTCTTAGCCGTGGTGAGCGTCTCACTGAGCTGCTCAAGCAGAAGCAGTACACTCCCATGGCCGTCAACGAGATGGTTCCCCTCATCTACGCTGGTATCAACGGATTTTTGGACAGCGTCCCGGTCAACAAGATCCTTCAGTGGGAGCAAGACTTCCTTGCTCACCTGAAGAGCAACGAGTCTGACCTTCTCTCCCAGATCGAGAAGGAGGGCCAGCTCAGCAAGGAGGTTGAGGGCAAGCTGAAGGATGTTGTCGATTCTTTCACCAAGAGCTTCCTTTCTTAAATTTGACGACGTGTCGATGGGCAGCGTCGACTGTCGAAGGCGCGGCGTAGACTAATATGGTTGATGCTAGCTGTACAATAAGCATGCTCATTTCTTTGCGAGTTCTACCATTGTAACATCTCTTCTTTCTCCGCTCGTGTATTTGTTTTGTGCCTCATTGTATCCCATGGGAGCAAAGATCTTTGTGCATATTTGCTGCATCAGAGAACGTAAAGGCTCACGACAGGCGTCGAGATTAGGAAGGATGAGATGATGATTGGAGGCCCAAAGGACGAGCTATGAAACGGTTGTACTTAAATAAAGTTGTTTTCTTTCTTGATTCCAGAATTTTGGGCAACCAAGGACATTCCGTGACGGTGGTATACTGACAATAGTTTACGAGTACGTCGTAGATTTTGTAATGTGATCCGTGTATTTGCCGCGTGCAAGCCAATGCGCATGAATGCCTTTTTAGCACCTCTTATTGGAGATTGATCAAGTTTCAATGCTACAATTACGGTAGACTAGAATTTTTGCATTTCTCGTGGATTTGCCACTCATAGATATCCAGCGCCATTGAGGCAAGAGGGCCTCTTTAGTCACACGACTAGGATCGTCTTGGAAGTCAGTCGTCTGATGCAAGTTTCAACAGATCTTAATCTATAGGGACTGTCTTTTGAGTATGATTTTGAGTATTGTTGGCAGCATGTCATTCTCCATGAACTGACTTTAGTAACATCTTTACTAAGGCACACTCTGCATCACCAAAATCAAACGTTTACGCTCAGCACCATATGAAAATTGATGTAGAATATAGGTAGGTAGGTACCTGAGGTATTCGATAATCAATCAAGCCTGGATTCGGCCGGTTCCAGCATCACTTTCGGTGCGGATTCGTTGTGTCACCTCTATGCCAGACCAGCGAACCCCCCTCTCGTTCGCCCTGAACGAGGGTGATCAGACCCTTTGTGTTGAAAAATTCCCAAGGATAATTGTGTAGCTTTATTGATAATTCGAAAGACATTTCCCGTTGAATTCCTTTTCAGTTTCGCTGAATTTGGCGCAGACTCCAGTCAAATATCGACGTTAGAATTTAAGCCACAGTAGTACTCCGTCATGTCCAACTGGGGTTCTAGCCGAGGGAACCGCCTAGCCGCTCCGAGCGCACCTGATGGTGGTGCCTCCGCGCTCTCGTCTGCAAGTCTTGCTTAACTCCTCTAAACCCCGAGGACTGCAGCGGACTCTATTACTTGCGAACGCCTCAAATTTTGAAAATTGCCCGTCGGAGGTAACTCTATCCTTCGTCTTTTCCGCCACCTTATCAGGTCTAGTCTCGACAGAGGTACGTTTGTGGACGGCTTGTTCAACCTTCTCCCCCTCCGCGGTTGCTTCGCACTATGACACACGCTGATGTCTGCGGCGCAGATTCCTTTGAGGCCTTTTCGAGCGTTTGAATGCGCCGTTCAACCTAGACCAATTGGCCGCACGCTTTCCTCACGATTTTCCATTACTTTCGCAGTCTGGGCCAAACGCTTGTTGCCCACAGGTTCTGCAGCACTGGGGCGCAGAACTGTACGAGTTCGATCACATCAAATTTCCATTTCGAATTCGCCACGTGGGGGACGTAAAGATTCCTGACCGCTTCCTTCCATAGAGGTACATCGCCACTTCTTCCTTGCATTTTGCGATAAGACAGTGTGGAGTTGGGATACCGCTAGGCTTTCGAAGAGGAGTAGCGCGTCCCGTAGATCTGATCGATCCTGGACGAGCTTCTGGTGAAACTTTGATTCGACCAACCCAAATAACGGAGTATCTGAGCTCTGTTCTCTTCTCTACTGGGAACGCTTGGACAAATACAAAGGCGACCCAGGGAGCCAGTTGTGTGGCGAGCCACCATTGGAACCAGGGAATGTTGTCACCCCGGTGCAAGGCTGTCCTTTGATTGATCGCACCATTTACCCCACCCCAGCTTCGAAGAGAGCCAATCCAAATCCTTTGACAGACGCAAAGGAAGATACCTGCACTGAACAGCCTTTGGAGCTTATTGGGAAGTTCCTAAAGGATCCGGCACCATAAGCGCAGAATTGCACCATATTGGGTTGCTTTATATCGACGCCTGGTCCCGCCGATCGCGCCCCCAGCTTGAGCACCCGCTAAATCCTTTATTTCTCCGACTTTCACTGCACTCGTTATGCCTCCCACGCCTCCCTCGACCACGCCGTCAAGTGGAGGGAGCCACTCCCCTGACGTTCACTACCGGGTTGTACGAAAGAGGAATCGAGTGCCTCTTTCCTGCGGGCCTTGCAGACATCGAAAGTATATGCTCTCCCGTTGCTATCGCGTCTAGAACGCAACAATGACTTTGCTGCTGTTTGAAATCAGCTAATAATCTGTCTAGGCTCAAGTGCAACCGGGCACATCCTTGCGAGAATTGTGTAAAGAGGGGCGACGCGGAATCATGTAGTTATGCCGCTGCGGGGGCTAGGAAGCGAAATCAGTCAAGTCATGACTATGCTAACTCTCCAGACGAGATGCAAAATCGTATTGACCGTTTAGAAGGCCTAGTTCTTTCACTGATGACCAACGGCAGTCAATCTGCAGGTCCGGCAGCAGCCACTGCAGCAATATCAACCCACGCGAGTACGACGTCACCTGAACAATCACAAGGCAATGACGAAGAGGATATGGATCATGGTGAAAATGAAGAGGAAGAGAGTGAGACCGATCAGGTTGCTCGTTCATTTGGAATATTAAAGGTGGAAAACAACAAATCCACATATTTCAGTGATGAGCACTGGGCTTCACTTCTCATCGATGTACGCGTTGGCCTCCATTTACTCAGCGAAACATCAAAAGCATGACTCATTAACGTTATTTGTTTTGCACAGATTGCTGAGGTGAAGAACTTTTTTTCCAATCATAAAAGGCAAATTGCCGAGCAAAGTGACCGACTGCACCAATCCAAGGTGTCGAGCGATATGAATCCTTATCCTTTTGTCTTCGGTGCGACAAGGCCGCCAAACCGAGCAGAAATACTTGCTGCGATTCCAAAAAAGCCGATGGTAGATAAATTGGTGGAGAGGTACTTTACCTCATACGATCCAGCTCTTCGTAAGAATCTTTCTCTCTTGCTCCTTGACTCCTGTCAAACTAACCTTTAGCAAGATATCATACATGCGCCGCTCTTTCGAAAGCAGGTGAGTCGGGTGGCCCTGGACTGGGACCGTTTGGGAACAGTACGAGATATGAGCAATCACTGACTCTTCCATAAGCTTGAACAATACTGGTCTGACCTTCGACAAGCGAACGATATATGGATTGGATTGCTTTACGCTATAATGCGCCTGGCGATGCAGTCATATACTCGGATTGGCGACGAGCCACAAGAATTTCGGTTCCGGAGCGTAGAGCTTGCGAACCTTTACCGGACCCTGACGTGTCAGTGCTTGGTGCTTTCGGATTTTACTATGCCCGTGAACTACACCTTGGAGACAATGATTCTCTACATCCAGGGAGAGTTCACCAGAAGCCGGGAAGCGGAAGTAGGCGTTTGGGCAATGGTGGGTATGATTGTACGACTGGCAATGCGTCAAGGCTACCACCGCGATCCCTCGCATTATCCCAATGTGACACCTTTTCAAGTGGAGATGAGGCGTCGCGTTTGGACATATATTCGAATGATGGATATTTTGTTCTCTTTTCAGATGAGTCTACCAAACATGATCCGGAAAGAGGACAGTGATACGCAGCTGCCGCAAAATTATTACGATGACGACTTCGACGAGGATACCAAGGTGCTGCCGCCGCCAAGACCGGGATCTGAGTCGACACCGGTGGCATATATGATTAGCAAAGCTCGGCTTTCCTTTGCTTTTGGCAAAATTGTTGGCCACCTACATACACGGTCCCTTTGCTCGTACGATGAGGTGATGCGGCTTGACAATGAGCTGCGCGCGGCGTACGCGATGATTCCACCTCATCTTCAGCTTCGACCGATGACTGAAATGGGTCGTGATCCACCTAGTGTCATAATGCAGCGATTTAGCCTGGACTTCCTGTACAATAAAGGCCAGTGTGTGCTTCACAGGAAATTCCTCGCTCGGGCTCGAGAAAATCCTCGATACGCGCATTCGCGTCGCACGTGCGTCGATTCAGCCATGGAATTGTTGCATCACCAGACTGTGCTACATACCGAGTCTCGACCACAGGGCCGGCTACGAGGCGTGGAATGGTTCGCGTCGTCTCTCACAGCACATGATTTTATCATGGCAGCAATGATCGTCTGCTTGGATCTGTACCATGGCACCGAGGTCAAGAGCCCTAATGGCACCTCCGCTGACTTCTACACGTGGGGGCTTGAACGGCGACCGGATATGATTCAGGCGCTTGAAACTTCTAAGGCTATTTGGGATGGTCTCAAAGAACGTTCTGTCGAGGCGTACAAGGCCTCAGGGTTATTGTCGGTTATGATTGATAAACTTCGCCAAGACCGAGCTGGTGTACCTCCAACTCCGCCCTCGCAACCATCACCGGCCATGCGAGGAAGCACGTATCCAGGCGGTGGCAGCTTCCCTGTCACAGATGGAACTTTTGCATATTCTCGGGAAGACCCCAAACCTGAACATTCCGCTGCCATGACCTTGGGCATGCTGAGCGCGGGTGGGATGACTCCGAACTCTGGAGCCATATTTGACCGTGCTTATTATCCTCCAACACTGGGCGATGTAAATATTACGGATGCTACCCCAACGACCAACCCAGTTGGCAATGCAAATTCGAGCCTGACAGATTTGGCGCCTCAAATGTCACTAGACCCACCAGTAACTAGCTCAAGCAGCAGCGCACCAACAAGTGGATTGGATACATCGACGGGAGTAGCAGCGAGCGCACCAAGTCCATTCTCCCTCTTCGGTAGCGGCATAGCACCGACAGCAGCAATGGATTTCTCCGCACCGAATCTTGACTGGGTAAGTATCCACTGTCTGCGTGTTCGTTCATCTAGCATATTGCCCAACGGAGTCGCTTTTGTAAAAGTAACAAGCCCGTGCTTTTGAACTATGCTGACAATTATATTTCAGGATGCTTGGGATTCATACATACAAAACAACAGCCTCGATCCGAACATGAACCCCTTTTGGTCAGGGAACAATTTTGACATGACGTTATCTGTATCTTCAGCTGACATGGGGTTTGACCCGTTGCGGTCGCCTTCCACAACGCATCAACCATCACTTTCTCAACCGGAGCCGCAAACTCACCATCCAGCCGCCTCACAAGCTGGAGGTTCAAATTTAAGCTTCACTTCTGCCCCCGCTGGCACGGGAACCGGGTTCTCGGGAATGAATCCTTCGTCCGGAGCGAGCTAGCGTTGAAGATGATTGTGCAATTCGCGTTGACTGGAATGCAAAGCGAAACCCACAGATTTGATGTACCTCTTTTTCAGTTCAAGTCGACTTTTGAGATACCAGATACCATGTCACGATAACATTTCGGATCTACTAATGGAAGGGACATGGATGAAATGCAAATAGGATACGGCGCCATGGGAATACGATACGATAGCACTTTTCTTTTACTTTGATCTATGTTGGCTTACTCGCTTGAATGGTATAGCTTAAAATTTTGTTCTTGCCAATGATGAATCCCTTTGTTTATACTTCGACCCTTCTGCAGCAAGTTTAATAATATTTCAATTCAACGTGGAAGAAACCCTTTTTTCCCCTTCCTTCTCAACAAGGCGCATGCGCCACTGGATTTTGGTTCTTGATATCTCCATTGTCGTTTCATGCTCAGCTATGGGGTTACAGCCATACTTCTTTTGTTCTTTTCCCTGATGACTTTTCCTTTGCTAAATGGGGTTTCGAGGTCGAAAAGAGGACATTGGCACACAGAGATGCATGGATTTATGAATATGACATGCGAATTATTGACGTCACATTTTTGCTTATTACATATCTTATCGTTGCTATATATACTGTATTTGAATTGGGGGGTTTTAAGAGGTTGTAGAGGGTATTCTTGATATCATCATGGTCTACAGTCGTACAGTATCTACAATCGTTCAGTGGAGGGTTTTGATCGACCGAGGCGAACCGATCGTCTTCTCGGTTGATCCCCCGCTTAAGTCCGATTAGACCCTGGACGAAATAGCATGAACCCTTGACTGTCCACTGCCCCACAGGATGCCCTGCAGAGTGTGGTAGCTTGCAATACTTGCCGTAATGCATGTTGGTTCAGTCTCCCTGCATTCGAAGAATTCATCAGTAGTAGATACCTAGATAAATGTCGTGCTTTTTGAGATTAGTGAATCGATGGTGTTTGGGCAGAGGGTGCGCGTTCGCCGGGTAAGGAAGGAGCAAAACAAACAGGGACGAGAACCCCCCAGGGTGACAGTGCACTCTAGGTAGGTCGTAATCATCTGGCCCCTCTCTCTCTTGAAACACCGGCCACGCCACTGATTTATTGGCTTGCTTCAACTTCCGTCTCAAAGTGATCCTTGACCGGAGTGTTTATTTTCCAGAGTCGAAAGGCTTCCATCATTTTCCGTTCAAGTTTAACAAGTTGTGACCATCCCTCGTCATCGCTTGAGTCTCAAAACAAACGACGTGCCGAACAACAAGATTTGACCTTCACTAAAGAGCACCAAGCGGCGGGAGTTTTGACAGGCTTGCTGCTTGCTCTTGTGTTTCACCATCTACGTAAGCTCCTAATCCTCGTTCCTTAGGTTTATCATCTTGGGCCTATCCATTGGCTTCCGAGGTACACTTTCAACCCGTGGCATCGGAGACTTGGGCGTGGATTCAGAAAGGCTGACACTACGCAATCATAGACAGTGTCAGATTGGCTGAGAACTATTCGACGCCATCGCCATCATGTCGCTCAAGGCCGCGTATCAGAGCTTCCTGGCAGACCCAGCGGCTGCTGGGTTGTCTGAGAAGGCCGCAATTAACTATATCCCAACCTTGACTACCATCAACGAGCCGTCTTCTATTCTGAAACATTTATCTTCGCAGCAGAAGCTGCTCAGGAAGAAGAATGAGAAGGTTGTAAACGCAATTGAGAGCCAAGATGCCCTCTGCCTCGACGTCGAGACCACCCTCGAGTTTATTAAAGGCGGAGGAGCATACTTGCCCGGCCTGGATGACAATTTCCTTGCCGATAGAACCGTTACAATCCCCATTGTGAGCAGTCCAATTTCCTATTTCTTGACCATGTACAGACTAAATTGACATTGCCCATAGATTCATATTGTCCTTTTTGATCCACAAGGGAAAATTTCTCAGATTCGCCTTCACTGGGATCAAGGCGCGCTGCTCAAATCTGTAGATGTCATTGGCTCTCGTGGCCGGAACTGGCCTCTCCATGACGGTCTGGAACAGCTTCGCTTGATAAACAGCAGCACCAAATCTGTTGGGAATGAACACTCTTTGGCACATAATGCTTTCAAGACTGACCCAGCAAGCGCGATGGCTAATGGCCGTCCTCAATCACCAAGCAAGATCACTGCGACCAAAGACCCTCACGCCAGTCTTTCCCTGTTTGAGCCAGTCGACGACCCCGAGCCTACTCCATCTCGTCCTGCTCCCGTTCTCCCGAGAGCTTCGGCGAAGCCACCACCGCGAGAGTATCACGATTTGTTCGCTGAGCAGGAGGTAGTTTACTCGCCCAGCCCCTCAGTGAACTCGCCCGAACGCCGACCTGGAAGCTCCATCGCACCAAAAGGAGGCAACACTGGCAAAAACTTTCAGCCTTCTCGACTGTTTGATGCCGAACTTTCACCAGCAGAGAAATCTGTCAAAGCGTCCGAGCGATTATACCGGCCGAATCCCAAGCGGTACGAGCACTTTACCTTTGGCGATGGAGAGGACGAGCATGCAGAGCCCTCCAAACAAGCACCAGTGCGCTCAAAGTCCGACAAGCACGGCTCGCAGTGGGACTTTGAAGATTTTGATACTCCGGAAAAGGTGCGCACCAAGGTCCGCGCTCATGAGGTTCGTCACTTTGGCTGGAGTGAGGAGGATGGCGATTATGTTGTCACCCCAGTGAAAGACGGCACCAAGGCGGCCAAGCCCAGACGTGACGCAGAGAAGCATTTTGAGTTTCAAGACGACGGTACCCCTCAGGGTGCAAAACGCCCGACGGGACCGCCGAGGGGTGCCAGCCATAATGCCGGACTTGGATTGTACAAGAATAATTTGTTCGGGGACGAGGACCATCCGCCGCAGGAAGCCGCCCACCCAGATAAACCCCTGGGAAATGTAACAAACATCAATCGTAACAAAATCTTCGACCCGCACTTTAGTCTTGCCGATTTCTCACCTGCCGCGGGTGATAAGGCTGACGCGGAAACGAAGCCCGTGCCTGAGGATCGGAAGAAGGCGGTCAAGATGATGATGTCAAACTGGGACTCGTATGATCGTTCACCCGATCTCGGGGCGGAGAAGACGAAGCCCGCTCCCGAGGATCATAAAAAAGCCGTCAAGATGATGACTGCCAACTGGGGTTTGTACGACCAGTCTCCAGATGCGATGGGCGCACAAAAGGAAAATGTCACCCATCGCGGGATCAAGACTGGAGGAGACGGAATGGGTGGACGCAAAGGAACCCGTAGCTGGGCATTTGGAGAAGAGAGCGATTCTGAAAAAGTATCGGGACCAGTGCCTACAACTCGACGGTTCCCTGGCGCGACGAAGCAACAAGCCGACAAGAATTTCTGGGATTTTTAAATGGTGAAGTGATGTACGGTCAACATCGGAAGGTCAAGGCAGATTAAGCATGCGACGTCCTGTGCATGAAGATTAGACACTGTCTTAATGATAGTCCTGAAACTGCAGGATTTTCTGCCAAGATTGAAGAATTTTTCTGAATGATGGCCACACAATCTTGTTCCCTTTTCCTTCTTCCCGTCAAGCTGTCGGAATTGTTGCAACCGAAAATTGGCATGGAGTCTTGGGATCGGCACATGCATTTACACGATTAATGTGATACTCTGAAATTTCCTCTTGTGCCTGATGCGCTCTTGTCTCTCTTTATTTTCCGTTTTATATTATCTATTCTTCTTTCCACCTTGTTTTATTGAATGGACATGCCTCGAATGACATGTGATTTAGCTTAGAAAACTACATCATCGATGCTCTGCTCTAACAAGACAATTATTCCACTTGACTCATACGCAAATTGATCATTCATGTCTTCTCTTATCATAAAGCTCTTTTCCTATTCTGCGAAGTAGAAGTATTTGAGCATCTCGTCTAGACCCCTCGGACTTGTACGTATCATTGAAGAAAGTGGGCCTATGGGTTACTTCCAGCGGATGAAACATGCTCCTTTACGCATTTTCTTTTCCTTTTTTTTTTTTTTTTTTTTTTTTTTTTTTTTTTTTTTTTTTTTTTTTTTTTTTTTTCTCATTTTATTTTGATTATTGCTCTGCTTCTTAAACGTGTCTCGTAAAATTTTTTTTTCCCAAAGGTTCAGGATATAATGCAATGCCTCTCGACAGCCGTGTCAGATGGGACTCCTCCACCACAAAAAGAGGGTAATTGACAATTGTAGAAAGGCGGATCAGATCATACGTCGTGTCTGTGTCATGCCGTGTCGCTCACTCTTCCTGTGCCCTACGTACGGTAGGTAGGCGGAGTACAGAGTATGAGTTAAGTTAACTTACTGTTTTGTAGCTTTGTTATTATCATTGTACACCGTAACCGTAGTACAGCACTGCAGCAGTGACACACCGACTTTTTAGCGGCCCGGCGACCAGCACTCAGGTCACTGCGACCCATGGTCCCACGGTCCACCCAGATGGGCTTTCTGTACGTTAAGTGACTTGGTATAATACTGTCGTACGCAGTTCGGGAGCCCTTACGCCGGACCTGATTTCTCTAATGGGGCAGAAGTCCGTGCCCTCCCAGAAGGAGATGCAATGCAGTGTAATGCGGATCCGCACTGCTGGGAATTGCTTCGTACATGGACATGGACATGGACATTTATTTTATTTTTTTATTTTTTTATTCTTTTTAGGAGAGAAAAAAAAAGGATGGGGAAAATGCGGAGGTGGTGCGTTTAATTTTTCCGTGTGATCATCCATGGTAAATTTGATGTTACGGAGTTCGTTACTGTCAATGTCATGGAGCAAATTGCGTATTGTGGCCGGAGTTATACGTACAGTAGCACGTAGTAGGGTTTGTTGATTTTTCGACGTGGAAGGGGGCGAGGGCGGGGGAAAGAGGGATGATCGACTGCTCGACTGATCGACACTGTGGAATCGTGGATCGTTTGTAGGCCAAGGTGCCTCGCTGTAGCGGGAGACAGACCGTGTTGCCACCGGGCAGTTGACCCGTGCTGTACTCTGTAGTGTACTTCGGGGTACTGCTATTATAATTAAGTTGGACCTGAGCGAGTAAAGACGTCCACTACAGTATTTACACTGTATACTGGGTAACTTACCTAAGGTAGATAATTTAAGCCCTGAAACCCTGAAGGGGAGACGTTACAGATCACCAGCTTCTTAAGGTAATGAACCGCAAATACTGATAAGTTGGCTATGACTATCCAACTGACCTCGAGATATCTCGAAAGACTTCCGGCCTTGCGGGATATGCTCTAGACGGCCTCCTGAATAAGGTAGACATGTTTATACGACGTGACGACCACCATTCATAAGGTCAATATGAAATACCAAGACAAGACGAAAATGCTAGGTCTCAAGGGCGGGAAAGAAATAAATAAAATAATACGAAAATAAAAAGAAAATAAAAATTAGAATAAAAATTAGAATAAGAATAAAAATAAAGGATTTAAACTACTCCCTCATTCTTGGAAACATGACGACGAGGCAGGAATTGTAGGAAGTAAAGATGAATAACTAGTACGATTCTACGAATATATATTCATTGAAATTTTCGAGGCCCTAGCAGCCTAGCTACATCTACAAGTAAGAAAGGTAAGCTACAAAATATATTACTTGAATCCGCGAGCCGCGAGCCTCACTAGGAGAGGACTTAATCACGGAGTAATACTCCACTCGCCCCAATAAGTGTCACTAATATTCATCTGCCCGAGGTTGTTGGACTGGAAATTGTCCATGGTGACTTGCTCCCCTCCCACAGTCCAGTTCGAAATGTGAAGGTCCATGACTACACCAGGAGCAGCTGGAATCTCACTCTGACCGATATCTAGGCTGTTGTTCAGCAAACCGTCTGGGAAGGCCACATTCTCGACGATGAAATCCCGGTAGCTTTGTAAAGGCGTGATTCGGATCAGCAAAGGACAGAGCCCTTCACAGACCACATTCGAGACTTTCAGACTGATGGCCTGATTTGGGTCTGGGGTTAATCCATCTGCATAGAATGGGGATGCGCCAATGATGGCCGGGGGCACGATCATATAGGGACCGAGATAGCGTGTGTGAATCACGTTGAGTGTATCGATGACTATCCCGCTAATATTTCGAGTGCTCCAGCCCATCTGGATAATGGGGTCATTCAGGCACTTCCAGATAGTGGTGTTGATGACCGAAGCGCCACTATGGTATACCTTGAGGGCGTCGTCATTGACGTGCCAAAAGACGTTTCGAACAGTGCTATTCGGGTAGAGCTCTGGACCATCAGTCTGACCGAAGAACGCTCCAACTTGCTTATAGTCAATGATCTCGCTGCTGATGGCGGCGTCTTCCGGGAGGAAATCCATAGTATTGAATGGCGGCGCAGTGATGGTTGGCCCATGGCAGAACCACTTCTGGCCAGCTTGAATATCGTTGTGCCACCACATCCGGAGGCTTGTCGCATCGCTCTTTATGCAGTCGTAGTTCTCGTCCACATTGGCTTGAGAGACGTAGTTCTCACCAGACAAAATACCGTGTCCAGTGGCGTAGAAGTAAGAGGCATGGGTGGTATACTCAATCGCACCTTTGACATACGCCCCTGGGGCGAGGTATACCCAGTAGGTTTTCGGATCCAGGACCATATGGTTTGAACCTAGCTTGCCCGACTGTCCAGCGGTGTTTTGGTTCATATAGTATACCCCAGGAGGGAAATAGAGAATGGGCTTCGAGCCCCAGTCTCCATTGTTTATCGGGCCAGGCTTCATAACATGAGTATCTGGCCCGTGCATAGGAGGAATCACGTCCTGCGGGAGAGATGGACTCGCAAAAACCACGAGGGCGTTTAGAGGTTCAGTACCGACCTCGTCGCCTCCGGAAAACACGTAGCCGGTCCCGTTGGCACGGAAGGTGTAGAGGTCATTCTGGAACTCGACAGAGAACCTGCGCCCATTCGGGTCCGATGGAACCCTAACAATGAACTAAAGGGGGTTCATGGCGGTTGAATTGAACCGGTGGCTGCACTGGCTTGTGGAGTCGCGTGGCTCTTATCTCCCCCGGAACAATCCTCGGAAGGTTTGTTATACTACGAGTAGTTATGGTCGACTAACTTGCTTAGTTGAGGCACAGCTTATCTATGGGACGGCCACTCAAGCCCTGATCCGGACCCTGAGCTTAAACTCAGGTACAGTACGGAGAGCTGTCGACTTCACCATGTTTGGCTGGGCCAATGGCGTCAGCAGCGACGTCGCAGTCGTCTCTCTCTCGTCATCGTGGCCAGATAGCCTCTGATATCCAGGGCACCACCAGCAATGCTGCACGAACTGACGAGGAACAGGCAAAGGACTCTGATACGTTCCAAGCGTTGGGAATATGATGGAAACCCCTCTGAGCGCCTCGCACAGTCTGTAAAACACTCAAGGCTTCCTTCAGACGAGGCAGCTGGCCTTGGAGGAACAACAATGAAGAGGCTGGTCGACTTATTGGCTGTCCGCTGCGTATTGCACAAGTTCGAAGGAACCAGGGCCATGGTCTGGCTCAAAACGGACAAGCCCGTTTGAAGGCCTTTGACACTGGGTTTTTGAAGCGGCAACGTGTTTGCGCTCTTTGCCGGGGAAGATGATAAAGAGGAGTTGGATCCAGCTGAGACTAACGATGAACTTTTGTATCTTCTCCTTCTTCACCCAATCTCTGACCTCAACCGGGGAGGCGACGAGCTTCACAAACTCGGAAACCTACAAAAGAGCAACTCGGATGGCACTACATATCCTTTCAGGTTCCTACCCGAAGCCTCTATGCTTTGATCAAACATCACAGTCCCCAGGATGCATCAATCTTCCTTACTGCCTTACGCTGTGAAGCCTCAGAGAAACTCTGGATGATACTCTAGTATGATTACACTAAGATCTCGGTAATATTTATATTACCACGAAGCAGAGACCCGCGGTGAAATCGATGCAACGCCAGATCTTCAGCGCACAAATAACATTAAGCCTCAGATCTGATCTTAGACAAGCAGTCATCTATTCGTAAATGGCGGGCTTGGGAGGACTATAGGTATTCGTCCTAACTCTGCCGAAGCTCATGCCTCTGGAGTAAGGGACGTGTTTGATGCTGTAGAGGTCGCCATGGGGTTGTCATCCTTACATGTCTATGGGTATCATGATACTTCAAAGGGCCTTCAACTCCCTAGTAGCCACCTTGATTTATATGACCATGAATATCATGAGGCTGTCTGTCTTGAACCAGCCCGGGTGCTTCAGAGGATGGGTACAAGTTCTGATATTTCTGCCCAGGACCTGCCGGACGAGTAGAATTATCTTAGTAGAATAGATCAAAAAGAGCTGATTGAATAATAGAGAGCTATATAGGCCTTTTAGCTGTATTCTTTATTGGGCTTGAGCCTGTGATAAAGTGTTTTCATTCGAGATCAAGTGGATGGGATCAAAGTAGAGTTATAGCTAATGTTAAATTTAACTACGTGCATTGCTGGTAGACACCAAGATTCTGTTTGAACAAACTCCTAATATTGTAAGATGATGGATTAACAGTATTTTCTCTGTACGTGCGTCTATGATTATCTTCATAGGCATATAGCATGGCAGTAAGCTAACAGCTGGCAACTTAGAAGGGGATTCTTTACCAGCATAGGTACTGAATATTTCTTCAGGATATAGATCAACTATAAACCTTTACAAGGAAAAGAGTGCAGATAAGAACCATCTCCTTTACAGCCTTTCCCGCTCTCCGCCCTTAATGTTGGGTTATTACCTCGATTCCTCCAATGCTGAAGCCAGAGCTGACGGTTAACGAGGTAGCTTACGTACTGGTACCGCTGTACTGTACTGGGTGATCCACCCGTCATCGCGACCGATACGCTTAAACGCCTTAGAGCGATACCCGTCCCGTCCGTCAGATTTAGTCTTCGTTTAGCAGGGTCTTACCGCTCTTTTCTTGGCTGTACCTCGGTACGTGCACTCGCTGGCGCGTCCTTCGCCTCTACGAGCCCTCGGAGGACGACAGAGGAAGCGAGGAGCTGGAGCAGGATCTGCCTGGCCCAATACAAAGCACTGTACGCAATGTACAAGTCGTGGTTTTTGTCTGAAAGCCATCTATCATGGCTGAAGTTTTCAATATTACTTGAATAGTGATGTAAGACAATCACTGAGACTTTTTTTTATTTTTTTGATAAGGGAACATTGAGACTCGAGTTCGCATGGTGTCTCGAGCACAGCTGAGTTGGAAGTGGAAAGAGCAATAATGATACACGAGTAGTCCTCATCGGGAAAAGAAAGATTAGTTCTTCTGGGTAGGCTGAACACTACTACGAGCGTAGAGGATAGTGCTGTACGACACAGTATGTTATACACTAGCGCTACTGCGAGCGGGGGCTGGCACGGGCGTAACGCCTTAGACTTTCTGTTGTTGAACAAGAGTCGAGACAGGCGAGCAATGGTGAGATGCGTATGGATTTTAGTTTACTAGTACCTGTATACGGGACAAAAGTAGCAATAGAATAGTATTGGATAAGCTAAGCTACAAGTACGATGCGATCAACTCCTCCTGTTTTTATCACATCGCGTGTCGGTTGTATCGGGTAAAAAGGGGATAATCCCAACGTGTTTTTCCAGTTGGAATGAAAATATTATACCGGAAGATGCTGCTCATTGCCATGTACGGAATATTATAATAAAGCGAGAGATGGCAATAAAACGGAGACAGAACGAGAGATGAGATGAATTAGGATATGGAATACTCCGTCCGTGTGGGGACATGTGTGGGGTCACCATGGGGTTTTTTATTTTTGATATATTGTGCAGCACAAACTTTCATAAGGTATTTCAGAGTCTACCTTGTATATTTATACCTTGACGAGCAAAAACTTCCTCGGTCTCGCTCCGCCTTTTCATGGCCTGCATCCTGTGGCCCATTGAACATGGATACAGGCCATGTTTTGGAGGCGGTAAGGAACAAGACCTGTGCGTACAGGATACCCTCGAGGGTCTGGGCGGGAGGTGACACGGATGAACTCGCGACTATGACTAGAAAGGGTTGAGGCGCATGAAAAGCGTGGCAGGCACGACATGACGCGACCTCGTCCCCTCGAGCCGGCCCTTAGTCGCAAATCTTTGTCTTGTATTTCTGACTCGCCTTTTTCGCGTCGGTTTCTCCACGACTCAAATCGAATCGGGAAAGAACCAAACTTGTTTGTTTGTGCCCACCTTTTCTTCTCCTTCTGTCCCCCCTTCCTCTTCTCCACTTCTCCACTGTACTTATTGTACTAAAGTTCAGTAACTCCATATTGGTCATTCGCTCACTTAGTCGCTCAATTATTCGCTCATTCATTTGATTGCCACTTCTCAGTCTCTTCGGTTTGGGCAAGGTGTTCAACATGGCAATTGGTCCTTTTTCTGCATTTGGTCTGCCCCTTTTCACATTCGTCTCTTTGCTACGGTAGTAACCATCTTTTGTCTACCTAGATGCTGTTTGATTTGTGCTACGTTCAACTTGTTTGGGTATCATGTACTGTATTGGTATTCTACCTCGAGCACGCGCCAACTGAAGCGTATCATCGACCCTTGTCAACAACCCCGGTTGACATGTCCTTTTTCGGGGACTTTCTCTCTGAACAGAAAGGAAACTGCGCCTCACGACATGGGTACGCGCTCGCTGGCGTTGCCATCCTTGTCATTCTAATATGCCACCCTCGTACGAGAGATCTTGACGGTGGTGGAATGGTACAGTAGAGAGGCCCAGTCGGACGGACAGCCCTGGCCATAAACCATCTAAACTCCCGGAGGTACGCGGTGCTATACCACACTCGATTCTTGCTTTCCCCCACCCCCAAATGATCCATGACACGGCCGTTGTGGCTTTTGCCGGTCGTTGAGAGCGACGAGGGAAAAAGGGAAAATGGGAATCGACTATTTCTTGTAGGGGTCCAGGCCAAGACAATTTGTCTACTTGATTCCCCCCCTTCCTTTGATGCTGTACCCGCAGTAAGCCAGGGCCCCGTAAATTTATTATTACAATTATTTTTATCATCGTTTGACGACACGCCAATGATGGTGACGACCGAACATTCGCTGCGTCGTTGCCGTCGTTGTTGATGACTTTTGTTGTAAACTCCTTGTCGACCTTTTCTTTCTATTCTCTACCTACTCACCTAGATCGTCATTTGAAGATTTACCACTCGAGACGGTTGTTGTAATGACGCCTGCCCGTCATCGTTCTCGTCCGCCGGAGCAGACCGCACTTCCTTCCCTGTCAGGTTTTCTTCGCTACCTGCCAGGGTAGCTCCAGGGCAGCTCGCACCACCCCAAGAGCTTCCGAGCAACGGTTCTGGGGTGAAAGGACCATTGCGGGGCAGTCCCCCAGCTTCAACCCAGAGCTCCCCTTTGACTGCAGGCGGGACTCAGCGGTCAGTAGACCAGGCAGGAAAGGGACGAAAAGGAGAAGGAGAAAAAAAAAAAAAATTAAGGTGAGAAAAAACCAATACGTGATCATGGCAGAGAATGGGATGTCGCTTCACCACTGCCCATTCACTTCACCTCTCCTTCACTGTTTCCAACCCCTTTCTCAAGTTTTCCCTCACTGGATCTCACTGTTCCCAAAATTGAAGTAATGTTTGACTGCGTTCTGCATGCCATTGATGTTTTATTTTGACATGCTAGAGTGCAAATTGCTCAATCGCTTGAATTATCTTTAGCTTGCTCTTGTTTGAGTGGTATTGCTTGCTCATGCGTGAAAACAGTCTCGCCATGGCGCGCCCTTCTTTGGATATTCGGAGGAAAACAATGGACCGCAATGTGGACCTGGTGTCTGCTCAGCGGACCTTGGGCCATCGCCGCACTCAGAGTCAACGAGACGGGTTTCACCCTCCTTTCCACTTCACCACCGCCTTCTACGTTCAACAACACCAACCACAACAACGATCATCGTGCTCCACGGAGAAATCACGCACGATGAAGACTCCCAGATCATCGACGACAGATTCGAGTATGAGCTCACGGTCCCCGCCCGCTCGACCGCATTTCATAAAACGCATATTTCATCGAAGCTCTGGCAACGAAGCCGGCTTCGCTGCCAAACCTGTTGAGGCCGAGATGTCAAGCTCACTCGACCTTCAGAGGCCCTTTGCCAGCCATCAGAGAAAATCCTCCGTCTTGTTGGATCCTTCACCCCACACACGTCCATTGCTGAGCAAGCCGCGGGCAAGAGAGGAAGCAGCCGGATTTACCTCCGCTAAGATCAAATCCCCAACTCCTCAAGTGTCCCCTCAGACTTCCTCATTTCCATTCGCTGCTCGGTCAACCCCTCCCTCAACCAAAGAGACTACCGAAGAGGTCGTTGCTTCTTGTGGACAGTCAACAACGACTGCAAACACTCTTGTTCCTCCTTCCGCTCCCCAATCCCCCGAGCTACAACGCGAGTTTAATACCCTGTCGATCGAAGCTTCAAAACGTCGAGGCGAGATCGCGATGGCTGCTGCCGCGTCTTATGAATATGTTGAGCCGTGGAAGGACTACCTTCATTTTTATGCTGCGGTACGTAGAGAAAGTCTCATGACGCAAGATCCCTTTCCCTTCCCGCAAAGAAGATTGCCCATGGCGAACAGCCGGCCGCAGCTCGCCTCATCTGAAGCGCAGCTGAAGACTAACACAAGAACTTAGGGAGCCTACAACCTCTCAAACCCGCCGTCGCCTCCTCGCAAGCACAAGAGTTTCCCTTACCTCCCTGCACCCATTCCGCCTACTGAAGCCGAGCGTTGGGAGCAAGTGAAAGGTCTTCATCTGAGAGAGTTCAAAGAGGACATCATGGAACCGCTTAGCAGTGTCGTCAGATGGACCATGAAGAAGCTAGGCACACAAAACGCGGTCATCAGCCTCTTTAATAAGAAGTACGAGGTGATCAAATATCAAGACGGCTATGTCTTCCCCAAGAATATTCTTCGCGAAGAAAGTTTGGCCGCACATGTTATGGTGAGCGATCAGCTTGTGGTCATACAGGACACAAACAAGGTAAGACTGGTCAGGTCAAACAGCATTGATCCTTTTTCTAATACTCTGGCTAACGATCTCAACCTTAGGATTGGCGTTTCCGAGGTCATCCGCTTGTTGTTGGTGAACCTTTTATCCGATACTTTGTTGGAGCTCCAATCATCTCGTCTTCGGACGTCATTATTGGAGTTCTCTATATGTTCAGCGAGCACGCCCGTTCCGATTTGCCTCGCTCCTTCCGTCAGAATTTTACTGAATGTGTTGAGTGCATTGGGAGGGAACTAGAGCATTGGCTGCAAGACCTCCCAGACATTGAACAGGGCATGAACGAAGACGGTCCCCCATCGCTCCAACGACTACTGGCGCCGCTGCCAGCTCCTCCCGCAGAAGCCCCGAAACTTGCCGGCGAGGTTTGGTCCCTTGAGGAAATGCTCAAGATGACTCCGGAGGAACTTGGGGCTGAAGCTAGCACGACCGATGCAGCCGGGTATGGGGACCTCGATTCTATTATTTCCCTTAGCATGCAAGACGAGAACCTCCATGAAGACAACAATGATGGAGTCGATGAGGAAGTTGCTGGTAATGAAGACGTGGACATACCAGCTCGCCCGCCCACCTCCAGCTCGATTTATTCGGTTCCTGGACTTCACCCGCTGGAGATCAAAGCTCAAAGACCGTCGGCCGCGCGATCGGAAACAGAAAGGACCTCAGGCTACAATTCTTTTGCAGGTGCAGACCCTGCCGAGCAGCCAATTAGCAGTGATCTGATCCACATGCCACGTCCCGTCAGCCCCATTTACGAAAAGAGCGACGAACCGATTTTGTATCCGGCATACAATGCGCAGCCCAGGCTTGAAGAAGAGCCGGGAGCGTACCCGGAAATTCCCATCCTTGAAGGGACACTCATGGCCGGTGCTGTTGATGAGGCCAATTTTGCTCTCAACCTGATTGCAAATAGACTGGGGTTTGACTGTATTTATTTCGCTCACGTTACCGCCTCGGAGGACCCCGAGCGCCCCATCCCCGTCCATGTGCGAGCAAATGTAATCGCAAGTTATCGCATGAGCAAGCCGTTTCCTATCTTAAACGGCATGGCTCACTTGAGAGCTTTACGTGATCAAGTTGGGTCTGTTCATATTCTTGACGAACATGAAATCAACCGCGAAGCGATGCCATGGCGAGTCGGAATTATGGTTCCAATCCTCTGGGATGATAGACACATTGGGATGACCAATGAGGAGATGGGAAGCGTACTCAGTGCTGGGGAGATTCCAGGACTCCAAAGCTCGGTTGACAGTGTTCAGGCGCGTGCATTGAAAGGCATCGTGCTCGTTGGGCTCCGATATCAATTTCCTCCCCATCGCCAGTTCAAATGGTCTTCGGTGGTGAACCTCTCTCTTGCTGGCCAACGCTTCTCCGATCTATTCTTCCGGCAGGCCTATCCCGACTATAGGGTTTCGCATCAGGAGATGTGGAATATTGCCTCCGATGGGACGGATTGCGACATGGAGGATGGCAGACCGGACTTTGCGCTGATCTCTGGGACAATGGGCAAAGCCAATACTACCCACAGCAAAGTCCACGACAATTGGCGTGCTCAGGAGCTCTTGTCCGCGAATGGCTCTGACCCCGAAAATCTCGACAACATCATTGCAGAATTAGAGCGTCAATGGTACGTTTCGGATGAAGGTCTCCAACATTAGAAGACTGCAAGGCCCATAAGCCTCACGGCGGATTCAATATAATCTGATAATTACGACATTCGAAGAAGTTTTTAAAAAAGATACGATACCCCCGATTTGATAAAAGTTTCTCAGCGAGATTACGGTTACGTTTGTTTTAATTCGTTTCGAAAACCTGATGTCAGACACAGGCACGGTCTGATATGGAGTTACCTGGTGTACGCGCGTGTATTGGGCGGCATATTGAGCGTTGTGTGGACTCCAGTTCCTATTTGATTTGCAAACACTTCGTGTCTCGCGTTGCAATTTACACGACATTAGTTCTGCCATTTGCATGCATGACTGGTTATGTTACTATTGGTATTACTTGAACGACAACGACTGGATTCAGATAATCCGGTGTCGATGCACATGCTGTGACCAGGATATTCTATCTGTCATCAGATGTTTCGACCTTCAGTTCTGGATACTCATCCGGATGATTATGGAGTAGCTCACCATGGATAGCTCTCCCATTGCAACGACGAACAAGGTGGATAACGGTACGAATTTACGAGAGCACGGAATAGGATAACAACGAGATACGAATGCCAACTGCTCATCAGCTGAGGCTTTTCCCTTCTCGAGGCTTTCTCCTTTGCATCTCGTCTGAATTTTCTATTTTTCTCATTTTCCTAAGGCGGTGTTTCTTTTACGGACGGAAAAGCTTACAAAAAACCCTCCTTTTCTTTAATCTACGGGCCTGGCGTTTGTTTTTCCAGCTACCCGCGACTTTTAAGTCCTGGCTGTAGCTCTTAGTCTTTACCTCGTTTCTCTCGATTGCCTAGTACCTCACTGCTGTTGTTTTCCCCGTCTTAGTAGTTGTGGCTCTGTGTTTTTAGTCTCCCTGGTGGACAGACGTACACTTGTGCTGCGACGAATGATGGAAAAAGGCATGAATGGGAGGGAACGCGTCGAGGTCGAGAGATTTGCATTTCTTCCTTTCCCACTTTCCACATAGTACTATCTTGCCGTAGGTAGTTTAATTTATCGGACAATGGGGTTTGCTAATTATTTACTTTATTCTGAATTTTGTCTTTGTCCTGAATCACTCAAAATGCTCTACTGTAGTGTCGTAGTGGCCGTTACAGTGAAAGTCCAGTTATTTTTTGGCCGAAGTATACTAAGCTAAGTTACCCGAAACCAACCCCAGCCATTGGATTTTCGGTTCGGTTCTCCTTAAAGAGGCTGGGGCTCGGCAACTTCCCCCGGATTCCAAGTGACAAGCGGCTAGAGGTTGGGAACGAACGCGGCGAACTAATGGCGTCAGACCGAGGAACACTGCCTTTATCGATAACCAAGGTAGCCGTGTCTGTTAAGGACTTGGGACAGAGCATCTGGTAGTCCAGCTTCTCCCAGACTCATTCCCGATAGTTGCATTCTTCCTTACTCTTTTATTCTCTCTTGCTAATAGATGCACTGATTCTACTTCTGCAGCGTCGTTTTATTCGGAGAAGTGATGAGCTAGAATTTCTACCAAGGCGAACTTGATCGTTACCCAGCCACCGCTTCACCCCCACGTTATCGCGGCGGTGTCTATTGGGCAAAACCTGCCAATTACACACTGTTAACTCCCGCCCAACAAATTCCGGAACTTGGAATTTGACTCCGACAGGGGAAATTGAACCGTCTTCTTTGCGACGAACGCGTTTGTGAAATCGGGAGATATCTTGATTGAGTTTACATTGATTAACGCTGGATTAGAAGCCCTATGAGCCACGACTGCACGGCAAACATCAAAGATATTGGAATGCTGGCGGTAAGTTAAAGGGCTTTAGGTCCCTGCGAGGTTATCATATTACAAAAAATTGAGAATATTGAAAAGTTGAGCTCAAGGGAGCTGAGAAGGTTGGGTATATATCGTATATAGAGGACGAAACCACAAGAGGAGGATCCGAGAGTTTCGTGGTTGAGGTGCTGTGAAGGAGGAAAAGGAAGTGCAAATATACTGGCCCGACCAGACGCAGGAGGGTTCGAAATGTACAGAAACCAAGGAAATGACTTCGGAGCCAATAGAGGACAGGGACGGGCTGCACAAGCACAGGGAGCAGGACAGCGACAAGAGGGCTGGGGAAGAGGGAGAGTTGGATACTCTAAAGTTCCTTTAAAGGGACTCTTCGCTGATGGGGTTTGGTACTGCAATTGCGAACCACGTTTACCGGCATCGCATTTCCAAACGAAGAATGGTGGCAAGAATCACGGCCGGTGGTTTTACACCTGTCAAAAGCCACAGCATCAACGTTGCAAGTTTTTTCTATGGGAAGACGAAGCAAAACCGCGAGAGGCAGCTGCTGTTCTGAACAATTCGCGCTCAGAGCCCGAACCTGTGTCCGGCTTACATGCGCAAGCTAAAAACGAAGCTCCTCGCACCCCAAACCAACAATATGGTCATAATAATACAATTACACCTCCGCGAACGGGAAGAGCTGCGCTACGTTCTCCGTCTAACACGGCTTCTCCATCTCCTTCCAGGGCGGCGAGAGGGCCATCAAACACCGCAGCTGATGAAGAGCCATTCGAGTGGCCACTGACGGGAGAGGAAGAGGTGGCGCTTACCCAAGAAGTGGACTCAGCTTTTGAACATGGGGCCAAAAGGTCTGATATGGCATCAAATAAAGATTCCGCCCGCAAAATCCCACCTGATCCATTCCCAGAGACGCCGAAAAAGGGAAATGGTGCGGGTTCGGAGACATTAACCACACCCGGGAAACGGCGGCGGTCTCTGTTTGAAGAAGATGGAGCCATCGGATTACCAACCCCAGTCACAGAACGTAAAATTGACAACCCATTCCTGACTCCTTCAACTGACAAGACTCGTCGGAAACTCTTTACTAGTGGTTCTGAAGCCGTGATAGCTTCTCCAAATATCAAGACGGAGTTTCCATCATCTCCGTCTGCTACACCAAGTCCTTCACGCTTTCGAGATGTTGGCGGCACGGAGGAAAAGCAGTCAGAATTGATCAAGGAGGTTTTTGGCCTTCTTGAAGAGCACGACGTGCGCTTGAATCAAGCTACAAAAGATGCGTTAGGGCTTTCTTTGGGTAAACACGCTGTTCGGATGCAAGGTATTGCAAAAGGGTAAGTTTCTGCAGCGATGAGCTTTTGCATGGAATGTTTACATTGCTGATGGGGGATAGACGAGACATTTCCCGAGCAGTGATCAAAGAGCGAGATGCCAAGATTGCCATGTTGCAGCATCGCATTGAGACGCTCGAAGCAGATCGAGAAACGGACAAGGCCATGATCTATTACTTGAAGCAGAAACAGCACGAGAAAGATTGAAAGTGGTTCGTCCTCTTCGTGCGACAGGAAACCTCAGATACGAAATGATCGCGAAGATGTATCCATATTGGATGGCATCCCCTTTTGACGCTGCCCTGGCTATCAAAAGAGGGTTTTCCATGTGGAACAGATTACGCTTATGGCACTTTTGCGTACGGATTACTCGTGGACGATTCTCGATCACGTTGGACAATATACATCGCCTACTCACTCTAAGCTACAAGGTTCGGAACGAAAGGGTCGAAGCCTTATAGGGCGCACTCAGATTGGGCCGTCACGGACGTCGGTGATTTATACAGACAATGCTGAGTAAAAGGAGTCATGACTCTGCGTTCGCGGGACCCCTGGTCAAGGCTGTGCATCCATGACAACGCGTGGGCCTTGATCGGCCTTCGGAAAGAAAGCTCCTCGGAGGTCGGCATGGTCAAGGGTTTGCCACAAGAGATGAGGTGCTTGAGTATTACATTGGTCTGATCCACATCTTCAGGGACGATGATGGGCTTTCTGATACAAATTATATTACGAAAATTAACGCTTGGATGATTCAAACGTGAAGAAGAGAGACATCATGGGCGCAGTTTGGCTTCTCGGCATTTCTGGGCGCTTAAAGGCGGTCGGGAAAAGGGACCTGGCCGCTAAGTTACGTCTAAGCCCCACCAGCTTAGTTTACCTCATGAATACCTAGACCCGCTACCAGTTTTGATGAAAAATAAAGTTGCGTAAAAGTAACTCAGTTTTGTTTCTGAGGCTACCGAGAGCGGTCGGAATTCGCCCCATCGAAACCGGTCGTCAGCTTGCATTTGATGAGTCTTGGGCCTAACAAAACTCAAACGGATGCAAATAGTAATTCTTACTACTATCCGTAGAGACGCCCTCTCCATCCCTGCTACTTCTTGTCCTTATATGGTCCCATCTTGCTGTTTTTCTTGTGTCCTGTTAGAGGCCCTATTTTTGACTGTAAAATTAGTCTGAAACCCTCAGCCAGTGAAGCAGGATTTTCTGGAGGAGCACGCGTACAAGTTTACGTCCTTGTTTAGACCGTCTCGGGACCCTACGTCACCCCAGGCTCGTCCCCACCACCGTCGTTCTCTCCACGATCTTGACTGTGCCGCCATACCGTCGATCACGACGTGAGGGAGAAAGAAAAATATCAACGCAGAGAGAACAATGGCCGACCAGGCCAAATCAAATCCTCCTGCTGTCGTATTGAACGGCATGACTCAAATGGAAGCGCCTGGCAGCGGCGTCGCCGTTGAGAAGCCTTCGCAAGAGGATCCGACGGTCCCGCAGGAAGCAGCTCCGAGACCCTCAACAGATTCAGCTCCCGCACCGGGCCAGATACTGACCGGCAAACAAGAACACTGTGAGCTGCGATTGTCATCAGACATTGTTCTTCATTCAGTTTAGAAACTGTAAGCTGACCGTATCATTCCATAGACCTCAAGCGTGAGCTTCTTTCGCAGCAAGTGCGTTTTGAAATTTCCGAACTTTCTTCGCCTACTGCCCTGCAGCGTTTCGGCGCCCCATTTCGGTCAGAATTTGGTGAAGTAGCTCCGATAGATTCAGACCTGCCGATATTGCGATACATTTTTGTGCATCATGTGCGAAACTTTCCATTTCTAGACCAGGCGCGGGAAACGGAATTTTGGCAAAATAAGTTACAAGTGGTATGTCAAAGTCCTCTACGCTGAATTCCTTTAGGTTACTGTGCTAATAACTTCTGGTTGCACTAGTTTCTAGAGTCGTTTGCCAACAAGCATGTCTCTTCGTCGGAAGATCGGCTGGAAATGACCAAGCGTCGGAAGCTTGCGATCAAGGCGCAGAAGCTGGTCGAGCTCATGATGGTTTCCGGTATACCTACAGCGTCTGGATATGAAGAGCGGATCCGATTTTCCGAGATTGAAGTGGTTGATCGCGGTGCGCAAGAGCAGGGGCTTGTGTTGAACATGCCCAATGGCCATGAGATTAATGGGTGGAATGTGAACATTGCTGGTGTGCGCACGACATCTGTGAAGCGCACTGTTCGATACCATCAGCATGCTGTAAGTTGAAGCGAGACAAAAAAGAGGCTGAAACCCGGCAAGAATTGGAAACTAATTCAATGAATTCGCTCGTCTAGGAATTCCTCATCAGCGTCAAGCAAGGAAAAGGCCCCGAGATATTTATCGGTCGACGATACGGCGAGTTTGCACGCCTGCATAAACGTCTTCGCGTTGAGCTCCCCGGAAAGGTCTTGCCACCGCTGCCTCGAAAGAATAAGAATTCGACGACATCAAACTTCCTTGGCGTCAATGGCGACGACGCGTCGTCCGTGTCGTCCGTGTCGACACAAGATAATACTCCATCTGATGAGGGCAGCGGTTTGAGGAGCTTTGTTGGGTTAGGTCATCGACGGGGTGGGTCCCTCAACAGTGTCAAGTCCCCACGAACCTCAGTTGAGAGTGTGCGAGACTCTGTGGTACTCTATCGGGAGGACCAGCGTGTTTCGCTTCGCGCGTTCTTGAGGACCTTATTGCAAAACCAAATGATTTCAGAGACAAAGGCCATGAGCGATTTCTTGACCGGCCGTCCCATTCAACTCAATGAGGAAGAAAAGGCAGACATTCAGCGACGAACCGAAATGGACGAGCGACGTGTCGAGGAGCAACGAAAATTCTATGAGATTGCACGGCAAAGGGCGAAAGAACTTGATGTGTATATGGAACGGTTCCGACGGGATATCGTTGAGAGCAGTATGTCAATTCATGCTTGACCTGATAGAGCCCTTCATTTTACGCTGACCATTTTCGGACAGACGGCTTGACCAAGCTCTTTAGAGAAATTCGGGTCAAACATAGCATCGACGAGCTCAGCGTCGAATACAAGAAATTTGCTGAATGGCTCCGTATAGAGTAGGGTTTGAAGCTCATATCTTCAAGGGTCATATTTGCTAATATCTCGTGCAGAGTTGCTGCCACGATATACCACCTTTTCCTGGCGGAAGACAATTCGCCAGAGATGTTTGCACAGGCAAAGAGAATACACTCCCTCATTCCCTACACGCTCCTGAAGAATGTTATCCGCATTGCAAATCCAGCAGCAGTCATGTCTGGTGTCTTAGACCTGTTCCTGGCTCAACCCTTTGGATCTCGCTCGCTGTTGCAACGCATCTTTTCAATGGCGCTCAATGACGGCATCAGATCATTCCAGAAAGCTATTGATTCAATAGCTCTCAAGATTGATGATCCGGTCTTGTGTGAGAAATTGAAAAAGTTTTGTGACTCCGATGAAGAAACAAAGGACATCATCCGAGCAGAGGCTGCTAGTGAAGACATTGACCTCTTGGTGGCCATTCTGCGAACGGATCTTCTTTCGCCGCCTTTGACGCCTGACCAGATTGGAAAGGTATTCAATGCATATGTCGCATGGAACAATGCCGTGGAAAACGTATGACGGAATACTCTAGATCTTTCTTTTTGAATTACGTGCAGCTGACATTTTGTTTTTCTTTTCATAGGTTGATGAGGAAATGAAACAAGGAGCACAGCTCTTTGCATCCTTGAAGCAGCTACTCAAGCTCTACACTCGTCAGAGGGACAAGATGATGATGTTAAGCATCATTGAAGAGGTTTGTCACCAATGTCTCTGGCCTTTTTGCTATACCTAGCGTTTACTAATCGACCGCCACAGCCTGTTACACTACAGCTTTTCCGGGACTTGTTCACCATCTTCTATGAACCGCTTGTTCGGGTGTACAAGTCAGCCAATGTGTACAATAGTGTGACCGACTTTGCCGCCTTTTTCGAAGACATGATCCATGTCGTTGAGCGCGCACAGCGACAGGACGTCGCCGCTGACCCCAACCAGACTGTCCAATCATTCATCGACCTCTGCGCTCGCCACCAAGACAACTTTTACAAGTTTGTTCACGAGGTGCATCTCCACGACAACGGCCTGTTTGAGCAACTCATGGGCTGGCTAGAGGGCATTCTTGAATTCCTCCGAAACGGGCCCAAGGGCGGCAAGCTCGATATGAATGCCTTGTTCCAGGGCGCAAAGGACGTTGGACAAATTGACAAGCAAGTGGCGCTCAAGGAAATTGACGCCTTGATCCACTGGCAAGAAGAGCGGAAAAAGTGGCATTACGACAAGACCAGGCAGAAGATGGCTGCCGATGGAAACGCTGCCACCGTAGCAGATGCCCCAGGCGCGAATACCTTTAAGAGTTCAGACTTTGGCCTCAATGAGGTGAGCACCCCTTCCCCTCTCTTCCCTTTTAATCTTTCTAATCTTTCTCTCCTTCTTCTCCTGTGGATTGACTTTTAGCTAACATAATTCGACTGTAGATGGACCTCCAAGATCTCAACATCGAAGATGACGACGAGGCAAGCGAGTCTGAAGACGAAGACGAGAACCTCGACCCCTTTGCGGCAGAGCGTAAACGTCGCGCCAAGCGGCAGGACCGCTTACGGCGCACGGCCGGCGAACCTATCAAGCCGCCCGTCAGCGAGCTTCTCAAGCTCCAGCCTGGCTTCCTCGCCATGCTGAGAATGGTCTTGGCCGATTAGTTCTTGCATCTGGATGTCCATTGTATGGTTTGATCCAGGAGTGCATTGCAACTTTTCATTAAACTTGGCCCTTGCTCTATTTGTACTCTTTTCCTACTTCTTTCTTTCCAAGGCTGGTCCTTGTATTCTGTCCTTTTTCACCGCTTCCACCCTTTTTTTTTTTTTGTAGTTTTGCTCTCCTCTGCTCTGCTCTGATACCTCCTGTGTCCCTGTCTCCTAATCTGTTTTTTAACACTTATCACTTTTTACATTTTCACATGCAGCTTACGCCTTGATTGTTCGTCTTCGATGCGTTTACGGGGGTTTCGTGAGCAGGTGTGAGCCGATTCTTCGTTGATTCATTGATTGATACGTGTATTGTTCTTCTGTTCATATACAATACGATATATCAGCGCATATATATAATACATTATCCGTGCATGACAATCACAATTACAATTGGATATGGGAACACAGTACATGTGCTTGACAGCGAAGGAGGGGATCATGAAAAGAAAATAATTTGCTTTGCTTCCCAAAGGGAGAAAAAAAAAAGAGTTCAATGGCATTACACGTACGGGTATCAATAAAAAGTTATTTCACACTTCATCGCGCTCTATCTCAAGCCTCAAGCCTCAATTGCACCCGCACCGCCACCGGCGCCGCCGCCTCCTCCAAAATCCTCATACCAGTAATCATCATCCAGGCCTTCGCGGCTCGGGACTTGCGGGAGGAGGAGAACGCCTGACGCGTAATCATCTGCTGTCCCTGCACGTGGGTTTATCCCGCCTGCGCCTGCACCTCTAGTCTTGACTTCTCTGCTGCCTCCTACTCCTACTCCTTCTCCTCTTGCTCCTCCTCCTCCTCCTCCACCACCACCAACCGCCCCCCCAACTCCGCCACCACCGCCATCATGACCATGCCCGTGCCCATATTCATCAACATCATCATAATCACGGTTTAACGCAAAGGTAGATCCAAAATGGGACGTGGACGGGGACAGAGAATGCGCATCATACCGGACATTAAGTAGTCGTATCTTCAATCCATACGAAGCAATCAGCTCGATAAGACGATGCGTGTGGGCCGTGAGGGGCGGGTGGCCGAGGAGCATGAGCAAGGAGTCGAACCACTCGGCCGCGAGGTCGGACGAAGGGGTGGAGAGGTTGAGCAGGACGGTTTCTGGAGCGGGTGCGGGTCCGCTAGAACTTGCAATGGCTGTGCCTCCTCTTGTTCCGGGTGCTTTTCCACCACCACCACCACCACCACCACCACCACCACCAGCAGTAACGGCAGCTCCAGCAGACATGCCCGTGTGACGGCCTTGGACGGCGGGTTGGCTTGGATGATGTTTATGCTTAGAATGGTGGGAGGAAGAGGCGGTAGAGGGATGTGGGAAATGAGATTTTGACGATGCTGATGCTGGTGGGTTGGATGATGTGCGCGTGAGGATGGCGATGCGGTAGAGTTCTGACGATGTAGCAGCAGCCGCAGCCGCAGCCGCAGCTGCTGATGAGGATGATGGGGAGAGTAATAGGGATGATGAGGACGATTTGGAAGTTGCATGGTTTGGATTGAAAGATGATGTAGGGAAAGAGGAGGAAGTATGTTGTGGTTTTACCGCGGTGTTTGTAGCCGGGTCGGCGTGGATAGTGGACGAACTGCTCGTTGTAGCAGTTGTCAATGGCCGCTTTTGCGGGGACGAGTCGTTTGGATCGAAATTCGACACGACGGAGGACACAATGGATAGGTCGACTATATTTCGTCATCGGTAAGTAATGCGTTACTTTTCCTTCTGGAGAAATGGAGAGAGTGACCCAGGGGCCGGATGGGGGAGGAGGAGGAGAGAGGAAGAACTCACTCTTTTCAGAAAGCATCTCTAGACTCGGATCCAGCGTCGACTTTTCGTTAAAGGTCGCATAGTGGAGATATCGTCGATTATGCGACAGTCGGACGAAGCGCCACGATGCAGGCAAGAGGTCTTGCGGCTTTACAGGCCCATTCGAGGGGTTGGGGTCTGGTGCGCCAGGAAACCAGGCGCCCTGGAGTAAACATCTGATTCGTTGTTCCTTGACAAAATGTAGAGCTTCGTAGTCGAGCTCGTCACGAACTTGCCTAGATGCGAAAATGATTTAATTTTTCGCAGCAACAAGATAGTCTCGAACAGGGGGACAGTTTACCTCAAGTGCTTGCCCCAGACGTCTTCATAAGCCATTTCCAGCAGCTCCATTTGAATCTCTCTCAATTTTGCACAGTCAAATGCTGCGAATTCCTCTCGCACCTCGTCGAGATCAGCTGTCCGTGCAGCCTGGCCGACGACCTGGTCAACAAGGATGCGCACTAGATCCACTATTTTCTCAAAGTCCACCTGTTCGGCTCCAGTGGTTTTCCATAGGCGGAAAAAGGCTTCCAGAGCGCTATTGTGCAGTCTAGGCCACTGAAGAAGCAGTGGCCGGAAGAGTTTCTCAAAAGACGTTCGCGACTCAAAAGCAATGTAGCCCTTGGCGTCTTCAATCTCTGACTTGTCAATCTCAAAATGCTCGTACAGAATCAAAGTAACGGCAATGCTCGCTCGGGCAACAGGACATCGCTGATCCTGGGGCAACGCCAACTCTTCCAAAAGTAACTGCTCGTGGCAAAAGTTTTAGCACACGCTACTCTCACTTTTGATTCTAAAAAGAAAATCACTGCAACTCACCTTTTGAAGTTCTTCTTGGCGCTTGTTCGCATAATCTGCCAGATCCAACATTCCGAGGACGCCTACTTCGGCAAATTCTATCGCCGGAGCTTCAGACTCGAAACCGAGTCGACGCCATTTTTCTGGATGGCTCTTTCGGCTTCTCTTTGTGTCGCCGTCGTCTGAGGCGGTTCCAGGAGGGGTCGGGTTGCTGGCTAGATACACTCCCTTCAGTGCCTTCCTATGTTCCGAACTTGCTGGGTCGACCATGACATTCCGCCATTTCCGCAAAAGCACTTTGGTCAACGCCTGGAATTCCAGCAGCGGATGAGCCAGTTCCTGTAATGCACTGCTTTGCATCAATAGATACACTGCTTTAAACGCGCCTGATTCTTGTAGCCGCTTGACGAATCCCTGCCAATCCCCTTCCGGGTCTGTGCTGATCGCATCCCGCATCAACGAATTGATCAATTGTAGCGAGTTTGCGCACAGCGCGTGGTCGGCCGAGGATAATTTGCCGACCAAGGTCTCAAGGAATTTGGGGTGACGGCTGATGACAGGTTTAAGTGCTCTAAATCCAAACGAATATGCTTGCGAAGACCGACCCGCGGCGAATGAATGTGAAACGATGGCGACAAGAATCGACATTGCGCCCCGAAGTATATTGACGAGAGGGTGCGTTACGATCAGCTCGACGACCTGTGGCAAAAGCAGTCCTTATTAGCGCACTGTTCCATATGATAATATATTCTCGGCATTGACTGTTATACCCTCTCAACCAAATCCTCTGCCACAGCTTCCCAGCCGCGATCGACGTCCAAAAGCCTCGAAAACGCCGTAAGCCCATACGCCAGAGTATTTCCCGTCGCATTCATAATCAAATGTCGTAGTCTCACGAGACCGCCGGATGCGACGAACACCTCTGCAAAGGATGGATCTCCTATACTTGATTGGAGCTTGAATGCAGCCATCTTGCGCACGGAATCCTCGTCGCTATCGAGGCCGAGAACGAGCTCGGTGAGGTCGAACAGATCGCCTTCCACCCCGTCTGAAAGGCCAGCCATCTTGTTTTATTCAAAAAAATTCCCAAAGATAGTTTGAGGACGGCGTTAAGCTGGGCTCCCCGTGAATCTCCCAATCTCGGGAGCTACTGCATGAAATCGGTGCGGAAGCTCTCCTGAATTCGATTCTTGGCCAATATTCCGCTTCCAAGGCGTTGCAATCGTGATTTTCAGAGCCACCTTTGTCCGTATTTTCGTGAGCTCGTAACAGTCGCGTCCTCTTAGCTGGGGTTGAAAGTCTCCTTCGTCAATAAAATTGTAATCCAATATTGTTGTTGTTGTTGTTGCCGTCCGAACTATCAACTGTCGTTGGCTCAACCATGTCCGTCGGCCTATGCCGATTTTGGTAAAAACAGGGGTCCATCACACGTCGTTATCGCGTCTTGTCGGCTATCCCTCTTACCTCGTCTCTCCGCGGCAGGAGATTTAGCTAGGTACTAGACTTTGAATCGCTCTACAATGATATCACAGGCATGGTCATCCACATGCCACTCATATGTGGGCTATGGAATAATTGCTACAAATTATTCGTTCAGCAAGGTGTCAGTTATAGAATACAAATGTTGCCTCAACCCAATTCACCAGGTCAGCTGGAGATTGTCATGAGCCAGAACTCTAGATCCAGACAGTCGGGGGAATGCAAAAGCCACCAGCATCATTGTCCTGATTTCCTCACACATACTGATTGGCTGGCACTTCTAAAGATGGAACGATAAAAAATTTGCAAATTTAGAGTTTTCAGAGCCACAAGTTGGCAATTGTATGGAAGGCTATGACAAGTACAATGTGCTTGTGCATAAATGTGTCGTTCGGTAAGTACAGTCAACATATATTCAGTTAGATAAGGTAGCTGCCTCTATATAAGGCGTCAACGCCGCTCCACCAATGGGTTTTTACCTCGATGTGGAATCCGTTGAGGTTCCTCCTCCAGAAGCCAATTCTTCATAATCACAGAATTTAATTCGTCATCCGATCTATACGTAGTCCCATCCCGGAGGCCCTGAAGCATATAAAGCATTTTCGGCCCAACAATGCTGGCCACACTGTGGAAGATCTGATCAGCCCACTTATCAAACAGCCAATGTTGGTCTTGGAAGACAGGTATGCTCCAGTGGGCGATGATGATGAGAGCTAGGGGATGGCGTGCCATGATGAGATCGAGGAATCTGTCTGAGAGAATCAACGGCCAAGTAAATAGGATCGAAAAGTTTGGTTCGAGTGGCGTGCTTGCAAAAAAAGAATAAAGTTGCACCAGCGCCGCACGGGAGATTCTCTTTTCTTCAGCTGAAAAGCTTGCCGTGTCAATAGCGGCTGCTAAATGTGAGAGACGACAAAGGATATCAGTATTGTGCGAATGAGCAGGAGTAGAAGAAGAAGAAGAGTTATCTGGTTTATCTTTTAGCCAGGCGGTGACTGCCGGGTCCGTTACATATGGACACGATGCCGGTTGAAGATGGTAGTAACCGCGCAGTGCGACCAGCAAGTCCCGTAAGCTGTCAATGGTTTCAGAGGGTCTTTCACCTCCAAGTGCAAAGGGCGTTGTGAGGCAGAGGAGTATTTGGAAGAACGTAAATGTTAACGTCGCCGTGGCATTGTGCTTGTTGATCCGGATTACGGACGAGCGAAACTTGGCCAATCCAGCTGCATTGCTCAACCGCGCTAGCTTGACATATCGCGGCGCATCCTCTGGATATAGATATGCGCAATGAAACGATGAGAGGGCGTCTACGGAGTCCATAAGGAACGGGTGGGCCTGGGCCTCTCCAAGGACCATTCTCGTCCAGAGCCCTTCCCGACAGGGAGATGTTAGGGCAAACAATGTGTCTGCCGTGGCACTTAGATAATGACGTGTGCACTTGGATATGTGGACGGATAGTTCAAGCTCCGCACGGAGGCGCGGCTGTGCACGCGCTGCTTTGGACACTTCCAGAAACACCCGTAGTTGGGCATGAGGCGGCACGTCGAGCGCGTTAGAACGAGACAAAGCCACAGCCCTCGCCTGCTCATAATTTGAATCCTCGGGAGCAAATTCCCAAGTACAGGAAACCCTGTTGCGTGTGCAAGCCACGCATTTGGGTTTCCGTTCATCGCACTTCTTCCGCCGTTGGCGGCAAGTCAGACATCCCGTACGCGTCCTAAGCCGCCGAGGCTTCAGCTGGGGAGGATTTGGCATATTGAATCAATGGAATCGATAATCTTTGATGAGACATATAGACAAAGCAGTCATGTCAAGAAGTGAGCTGTTCAGTTCCAATTTAATACGGCCGATGGGCGCGATATTAAATAGGAGGGGCATTCTTCTCATCTCCAATAAATAAAATGAAATGGTCAGATCGACGAGCTGAAGGAGGTTCAGCTCCGCCATTGCAAGGCTGAGTGGGAAAGCTGTTGTCCAATATAAAGGGAGAACTAGTAGTTAGAACCCTGTAATAGATGGAGTTGAGCCCCACATGGGGGCGCAATGACTTTTCCCGCTCAGCCCTGTCGGTCCGGTATAATAAGTTCCCGGCTGACCAACAAATGCCTTGAAAAGAGCCTCAAAATGCAGGACACCTCACTGACGATTCAATTTCTAAAGATTGTGTATGGCGAGTTATCGGCCCAAGTTGTTTGACTCACGATCAGTAGGAGCAAAGGGACACCTTACCGGCATACAGAGGCTATATATCAACCCGATTCATCCATAAATAGACCAGCAATGCCATGCTAACTTCATAAGCAAGACGGGAGCCCCAGAGTAGCGTTTATTTTCCTAAAACAACAACTTCCAGTAATTCAGTTACAGTATTTTAGAGGAACAGGATATCCAACTCAATCTCTCGCTGTCAAGCAGCAAGTTATATTTACTATATTATGACTGTGAATATACACTCCTGCTGATCCAAAAAGGGGGGGGAATACGGATATACTCACACATTCCCCGAATTCCCCGGAAAACAGAAGACGTGAGCAAGGACCAAAAGCTTGTCTACCATGGATACAGGGATAGATAAATCTTATTTCCCCAGGTATTCCTCTTATCCCCAGGGACCAGGGTCCCCCCCCACAGACGGACCCCTTGCTTCCAGATCCCTTTTTCCCACAGTCCCACCCCCGCATGTCTCACAAATTCACACAATACGTTGTGGGCGGGCTGCGCCCTTCAATGCACGTACAAAAAGAAAAAAGAAAAGAAAAGAAGAAAAAATATTCCCGGTCTCTTATCAGGGTTTGCCAAGGATTGTGAACTTGTTGCGTACCTGAAGGTTTCAATTGAACCTCCCACAATTTTCTCCACACGGGCCCCATGGCCCCCATGGGGATGAAAGATAAGAAAACAATGACAGCTACAGAACAGCGAGCACACGAGCACAATGTAAATTTTAGCGAGAAAAGGGGGGAAATAATAATGCTTTTACATCACGGTGTAATGAAGAGGTTCAGAATTGATAAGGTTTTAAATTTTTTTCTTTGCTAAGGTATTCGTGTTCTTCTTCTACGACGTTCTATCATTAAGTTCGTGTGCGTGCGTTGCGGCAATGAATAGGTACAACGAAAAGTGGACTGGTATGTTGTATGCGTGGTAAACTTGGGAGCCCCCCAGATCGTAGAACACCAATCAGTATCTTTTCTACATTGGATACTGCGAGCAGAAAACCTTTTGCTCCTCCTTTTCGTAGGATGGCCTCTTCTATAATCTCTTACCGCGCACCACGGTCACCTCATTAGATTACTTAGGTTCTGTATATGTGGTGCGCGAGTAAACCGATCAAGGAAAAATGCGATCAGAGAGGCGGACCGTAAATACAAGACGTAACGATGAAAACGATGACGAAAAGCCAGGGCAAGGCTGTTACTTAGCCAAAGGTCAAAAAGCCCAATGGACAAAGGAAAGTATTGGGCCCAGCAACCCCGGCACCGGGCTTCTCGTTTCGGTACGGTGCGTAATGTAGAAGGTGAATAGGGAAAGGCAAGAGCAAAAGCAACAAAGGAAAAAGGAAAGAAAACTGTCCGCAAAGCTCAGAAATCCTTCCTTCCCAGGATATGCCTCCCAAATACAGAGGAAACGGAAAATTAATGAGGATGGGAATGATGGCACGTGAGAAGAAAAAAAAAGCAATGACTCAGGAAACGAGAAACAGAAAAAGAAAAATGACCATCCTGGTAAGCGCTCGCAATGCAAAGTGACCCAAAGGAAGCGGGTGCACAGACAATGAGAAATCTTTGGTATGAGGGAATTAGAAGAACGTCAAAGACATTTTGCCACAGAGGAAACGCCGTGGGTTCTAGTAAACGCCGCTGCCGCCATAAAGATGCGATGGTAAGTAGTCACCCTCTGGGGAGAGAAATGCAAAGGGAAAAAAGAGAAAAGGAGAAAAAAAGGTCAAAGGAAATTATGTTATGAGTGCTTCCGGAATTTGCACCTTTCCAATTAGTTCGTAGAGCGAGCTCTGGTTAGGTGAATGCTGATTGCCGAAGACGACAAAAGAAGCAAAAATAATTCTCGCAACCGCGAGGACTTCATGCAAAAAAAGCAGTTTTTGGTTTATCGTCGCCAGCCAACGTTCCAGATAACGTGGGCTATGTCCTTTGCGGTATTGACGGTATCGACGACTCTGCCGAAGAGGCCGGCGGCCACAACATCATCTTCGTCCTCCTCATAAGGCATAAACATGCCAGAAGGAGTGCGCCGAAGACCGCTTGGAGTACTCGTACCTTCCGATTCAGTTGACGAAAAGTGGATATGAGATGACGCGTCGTAGCTGCTGTTCTCGCGATGGGAGACTCTGGACGGCTCCCAATCCAAATCCACATCTTCATCTTCCTCGTCAAGCAAAAAGTTGCTCGATGGCCGGGAAGGTCTGAGAGTCTCTTGTGACGGCGAAGGGGACAGTTTCGTTCCCCAGAACCCACCCACTTGTTGCTTTGGAGTTTCGTCCTCGGGGGTATCCTTGTATTTGAGCGTCGTAGAGGGCAACTTTGCAATCGTCTTGTTTTCTCCATTGGTGCTGTTGCGGGAACTGTTGCGCCTCGGCGGTTTGGGTCTGCGAGGGGTCTTCTTCATCATCACGAGTCCGTCGTCGGATGAGTCATCGTCGTCGTCTTCATCCATTGCACTGTAGTCATCCTCCTCTTCTGTATCCTCGGCGCTGTCGACGGCAATGCATTGCTCAACCTTTTCAGCAAATCTGATGTGTCGCCGCTCGCCGCTGCTGGGTGACGGGATCCCAGATGATGAAACTGACTCCAAAGCACTTGAATTGCCACGACTCATGGGAGGAGACATGACACAGGAGGTAATATAGTCGGAAGCAGCACGGCCGACAGGGGGGCGGTTTCCATCTCCATTTCTGGCACTCTGTTGAGCCTGAACTGCCGCAGCGGCTTGCTTCAGCAAGGACGCCGCGGAGATGGACCGCTGCAGCATGACTTCCGACATGCTTCGCTTCTTCAAAATGGGTTTCTTGTTGAGAAAAGAGTTGCTCTTCGAGAGACGACTTTGCGGTTCCGACACTGAGGGCGAGAAACTCTTATTGGAGCCTGGTTGCAAGGGGCCATAGAGCCAAGTCACATCACAATCCTTGAGCCTGCAGAGGAACAATTAGCAAGACAAACAACGGGGGGAAAAGCGGAGTTTAATTTACCAGTTTAATGTTTCTGGCGAGACGGTTCGTAGATGATACTTTGACTTGGCCCATGTCCGCCAAGACGCATTCTCCAGTCGCGAGCTCTGACCGTATAATTTTCTTTTCGATACAATATGTTTCCATGATGACCAGATATCCTCCTCCTTCCAATCGTGCGACAGGTAATCCACATGTCGAGAAGGTTCTGATCGGATGGCCGTGTCATCCTCGGCAGCAAGCGCAGGCGGTTCTGGTGATGATCGTCGAGGGCTGTTACTTCGCACAGAGGAGTCATCTTTCGGATTCTGTTCTGTATTTGCCGGCTCTGATTCATCATTCTGCGGCTCAAGGCTCGATGACGTATCCAAATCCTCAATCTGCTCGTAATAGCCGACATCGTCATACGACGGAAACACTACGGGATCATCTTCGAGTGAAAATTTGGATTCTGACGAGAGGCTGCTCACTGATGTCGAGTCGAGAGAAGAGGGATTGGAAAAATTGGTGTGAGAGAAGTGCGGTGGTGATGAGGGTGCGGAGGAGGTGGTCGAGACGGAAAAGTTGTGATCTCGGTCATGACGGCCGTATGACGATTTAGATTTGGAGTAAGATGATTGCGGGTTGTCAAAAAACGAGGACTGCGATGGCGCCGAACGACGAAGATGGCTTGTGGAGAAGTAATCACCATCCCGTCCAGCGGGCACCGAGAGTACCTCGGTCATGATGAGAGAGTATTGGAATTAATATGAACGAAGCCCTCAATCAAGGCTTGGGCTGAGGCGTGAGAGACCAAGAGAGAAAATAGGTGTCAAGCAGCCTAAGCGGAGAGCGGAGGAGGATGAATAATTTGAGTGGATATTGGTTGTCGTCGTCGAATGGACCCTGAATTAAATCAATCACCTCCACCTACATGAAAGAAACAAAAAAGATGGAGGAGAATTGAGTTGGGGAATGATAAAATGGGGATCTCCAGACCGGCGTCTGCAAATCTCCAGGCGAAGAGGTTTAGGCGAGACTCTGTGGCGAATGTGTCTCTTTCGCGTGGGGTGTCCCCAGTCAAAGGCTGGCCGTTTCCGCCCGTACGTAGTGCGCGCCCGGATAGATAGCAATCCCCACCCAAGGAACGTCAGAACGACCCAGATGGCGAAATGACCCAAAAAGCTCCCCAATTGTTCCAAGGACAAAACAAGCAGATTGTGAGATTCCGGGGGTGGCGGCCAAGATATTGTGGATCGATGTGATTGTTTGTTCCACGAGGGAGGAAGTCGCCGAGGATTGCAGGTAGGTGATTCTAGGGAAGGCTCGAATGGGCGATTGGCGCTTGGCTTATCAGAGACCTCAGACACTCCAAATTGCCGCGCGACACAGCGGGGTGAATGGAATGGGCAGTAGTCAGGAGAAGAGAGAAGAGGGAGCGAGAGGAATTGAGGCTTCACGATTGAAGACTGAATTGTGAGATGGTCGAGAAAGAGAGAGGTGAGAGTGTTAAAGGGAATCAGAATGACCCCAAAGGTGACGGAGCAGGTGAGGAGGGGGAAAGCGTAGTGGTCATGCAAGTCAAGAGAGTAGGAGGGATAAGGGAAAAAGGAACCGGGTCGATCAATACATAAAAACATATCACCATCATGGATGATCGCAAGCATGGAGAGGATGGGATGGATGGATGTGGATAGTGCCCTTTAGACTCCACCCTTTCCGATCCGCTCAAGTACCCGATAAGTACTGGCAAAGTCCAGCGCTATCAACCCCAAGGCAACGCAAAGGCAAAATGGATCAATCGTAGTGAGGCATGTTACGCGGTCGGATGAACCACACCAGCCTCTATTCCTCTTTGACACATCTGAGAATACCGTGCGCATCCTCCCATCGATCGCTTGCGGTAAGTTGCCTTGGCAGCTACGAACAATTGAGAGTCCCTCGATGGACGAGTCAATTTCAAGGAACGATAATACCAATGGGAAAATGATCTCGAAAAAGTTACCTGGATACATAACGCACACCCACATTCTTATTTTGTCCAAAGCAGGATCAAGAGAGGGGTCCCGTCGTTGCTTTGGAATCCCCTGGAGAGCTCACCGTCGCACGCCCTGTCTTCTCTAGCGGCAGCCTCAGTCTCCGCATCTTTCAATTTCCCCCCCTCAAGCCAGGCATCGATTTGATCTTTGCCTCAGTCGGACTGGGAGTGGACTCTTAGATTCGCTTGTCCATCCATTTAAACACATGCTCGATAACGGGTAGCAGGGATGAGAAGTATACAATCTCCTTCTCTGGCTCTTACTCCTCTGTCTGCTCCTTGAAAGGATGGATGCTAATGGCGTGGGTAGTGCACGGTGCTTTCAAAGGCGATGGAAACGGAATCGCGCTCTAGACGCCACCAGGACGCCCAAGCTCCAATTGTTTGTGCGCGTGTGAGTGAGGTCTGGAATGTGTATAATACAGTATCCACACTGCATCTGCATGCCCCGTGGTCGCGGTGCAAAGACGCTGCCTCTCTTTCCCCCACTTGGAGCGGGTCAAGTTCGGACTACGTGCGTGTTGTGTGTGTGTGGGGGGGGAGAGGGGGAAAGGAGGAGGATATTGTTTTAACGGTGCAACGGGGGGCGCCATCGGATGGCATAGCGGTCGTCTCTTGACCTGATCGCCGTCGTGGATAGGCTCGGAGAACAGCCAGTGAGGATCCACTCAATTGGTCGCTTTCCTAAGCTACATTGTTACGCCTTGTTGGTCTACGAATTGGGCTGCACTGCTCGACCAAACACAACTTGGCGATCTCTTAACACGAATTGCCCTTCTACTGACCTGGGTACTAGACGAGCAGATTAATCGTCAATTCCATCCCATGGTAATACATAAGGACAAGCAAAAAAGTTCCTTTCTTCCCGTGCAATAACTCTGGGTGTCGACTACCACCTTGGTGGGAGTTTGAGTTCGAGCTGACATGAGGGTAGCGATAACGAGAGTACGGGGAAGCTACAGAGACAAGAGGTAGATTTGGCTCGAGTTCAAACGACATTGGCGATAAAACCTGGGGAGACAAGAGACCTCGTGCTCCAGTGTCGGGAGCGTACTGGCCACACCTAGCCTAAGGCACTGCTATCGTGTCCTTAACAGGACCCTCCCCCGGTCGCTTTCCCGGCTCTACTACGTATTCGGAATACGGCGACGAAAATCTCTCTCTTTCGAGTCCCAAGGTACTCGGTAAGTAGCCAATCTACAGCCGCGCCACCACAAAGACGTATGATGACATCTCGGGGATACTGTGAGAGTACTTCTCTTAGCCTGAATAGCACGCAGCCCAAAATTTCCCCGTTTGAGCTTTCGAAGTCCGACCGGGTGACACCAAATTGCTCTCGGTCTACGGAGCCAATCATACCGTGATTGGGATATCATTTCTTCCTTTTTATCCGTTAAACGCGTGATCATTAAGAGCTCTTCGCCGGGCCTTTGCTTTTTGCAAGGCAAAGGCGAGCAAGAAAGATTTGTTGTATTTTATTGGCCATTCCTCCAGCGGGTTTTTTGAGAAACCAAATGTGAGCTTGAAGGACCCAATCTCTAAGCGGGATACTTGAACATCAGTTTGTTTCCTTGGAAAAATACTTTTTTTTTGTGGAATGGTTTATCCTAGGGCCAACTACAAGGCGACCAACAAGGCGACAAACAGATGCTCCTCCTCTGCTCTCCCCCACGTTTCTTTCCCACTCCCGTTTTCCCCATCGGTGGGCTCGGCGTTAATCCCTACCGCTGTGGGTCTTTCTCATTGGCGAACAATGCAACGAGTGTCTGTCAGAGCAAGTCGGTCCGGACTCGCCGCATGCTCTCTCGTCTATTTCCCTCCCCTCACGCCATGTTCCAGCAAGCAGGACTGGGGTTTTCCTTGCGGGCTTTGAGTGTGGCTAGAATCACTCACCCATGTCGCTGATGTGTTGTTTATCCCTCTTGCAAAGACGCGAAGAGATCCGCCTATCCTCCTGCGTCTAGAAGCCGGATAAAACGTTTTATGCAAGTCACACACCTCTTTTCAAATGGTTAATCGCCAATGGTCCTGTCACCTGCCAATTGGAACAGTTACCAAGGTCTCTGTAAGTTAACTGTATACCCAAGATGACTAAGGTAATTTCAGACATTTTCTCCGTCGCTCATTCTCGGGAATTGACGGGACTGACCAAAATTCTCACTTACCTAACGTGCTACGAGAGCCCGAGGCAATAATTCCCCCATGAAGTTGTCGGCCCGTAGTCCGCGAAGTGTCATTACTAGACCCTTTTGATGGCGACACTCTGCAGTTATTCATAGCAGGGACTTTCCCCATTGAGAGCGGTCGACGTTGCTGCGTTCGGTGTGTAATGTCATTGGTGTCGGACTTGGGATGAGCTAACAAGTCCCTCCACCTCGCCTCGGGGCGTGCGGTAGCGCAGACCTAGTGGCTGACGTACTGACCAAGTATCTCACTGTAACTGCCCTCCCCTTTCCCATTGTCTCTTTGCGCAGAGAACCCTAACCGTGAAGGAAGATCATAACGAGTAATCATCCACCAGTAGGATTGTTTGCGTTATCCATCTTGCAATTCTGCCCGCTAAGTAGCCTTTTGATCCCTTTTGACGGGAGAGCAAGACGACTATTATTGAACGCTTATCTATTGACGCCATTAGGTCCCGTTCCAACCTGGATCCATCGATCTGATGTTCAAATCCAGTCGAAACCCCGTATTATCATCAAAACTGGCGTCCTCTTTCGATTGCTATGATTGGAACAGATGACGTTTATGCTCTTCTCCCTCTCTTGGGTTCTTGGTTCCGAGCATTGAATGGTTACAATAGCGACGATGATAACGTGATGGTGGCTGATTTTCTCTTTCAAAGACTTACAATACGACTTTCTGAATGCAACTTCCTGAAGAGGGGACAATTCCACACTACGGCAATGGATGAGCCGAAAAGATGCCTGATTTTCTCAGGCCATTATATTTCATCTGTTATGACGGTGTGAAAGATGGGCAATGTTTTTTATTTTATTTTTGAAGTGGGAGAGTCACTGGCTGTTTGAATTTAGCGGCGGGATTCTGCTCAGGGAAGTTCCCTGCTGAGCTCGCTCCGCTTTCCCCCCTTGTTGTTATTGGTATTTCTTTGCCCCCATCCGCCAGGCCACTCTTGCTCGTTCGTCTGCCTCTATCACCGGTGTCGAAACGGGCACAGGGAAGACCCTCGATGATATTCTGCAAGCCATCGCGACCCGATGGTAGAAGATCTCCTTTGCCTCAGTCGACCGTCGTTTCTTCTGTTTAGGCTAACAGGTCCCTTTCGGAGTATACGTAGTCGTCCATCCACCCTCTTGAAGGCGTGATGCGATGACTGGCTGCCGAATTGATCAGCAGCCCTGCGCCAATACGGCTCTACTGCAAGCCATGCATTGTTTTTCTAGGCGACGTGTGGCAGCAACTATTCTTCTTGAATGATGAAAGATATTTGTCCAACATTCTCGGTCAAAAGGCAATTCGATATAGCCAGAGATAGTTATAATTTGCTCCCCGGCATCATGGATAGAGTTTCGGCATCAGCCACCCGATCAAAAGGGCATTGAAGAAGCGGTGACCCGAAACATTGCCCCCCGTATCATCCTGTGCTGGGCCATGGCAAGTCCCCTCAGGAAGCTTATCCATTGTGTAACTTTGCATCATTGTCATGCAATTCTGTTTTGTATGTTTGCGAGAAAAGAAGAGCGTCAATTGAGGGTGTCAATTGAAAGGCGTTCAGTCTTCGGGCGCTTTGTCGGAGTGTTAAATGTCGATCGCAATCACATCAAGCTTCCCCAACAGTCGATCATAGAACCACGGACCACGAGTGGTTCATTGCCACACACGCGCGTGCATCGTGAGGTCGCGACAGGGGACTTTCGGTTGACTTTTCAATGTTCGTTTCGACTTTCCGGGGATCAGCATTTAGAGCCGATTGATTGCCTCTCTACCAGCGCAAGTTGAACGATGGAGAATTACCTTTGTACCGGACTACAGTAGGTGATCTTCATAGTTCCGTGCTGTTCTTGCACTCGCCAGCAGCAATGTCTCGGAATGCTGTAGTTTTGAACATTAAAAGTACCAGTATTGTATCATCAAAAGCACTGTATCACAGGACGAATATTAGTTCCGAGACTCGCAGGCCCCAGTCCAAATAGTACAGACAAACAGGTCCTACAATACAATGGCATAACGACACAGTATTTAAACCAATATAAATATCCAAAATGCCGTCATCGGCACTCTGCAGCTCTTTTCTCGTCATTGTCTCGGGACATTTAGCTTGGCTATCACCATGCAAGTCATTTTACTGTCACTGTCACTCTCCCTCCCCATCGTTTCCCCCTTGCTGGAGAAGGACCCAAGCTACTGTAAAATGACATTTCCTTTCGTCACTCACGTCCAGCCTGAGCACCGGAATAGTAGGGTTCAGGGAAAATCATTTCACTGCATGACTCGAGCATTGACAAGGTAAAAGGGTAATTGTGGAGAACCGTCGCGTCCCTGTATGAAATTGGGAATATGTTCCTCGTCCCCCCGCCCCCGGGGCCCCACTCTTTCCCCACTCCCACTTGCGGAACCTAGGTACATAGTCTCCCTGTCAAAAGGCCAGCCTCCTTACCTTCCTACCTAACCTAAGGTAACGATATTTACTGCTCGTAATGCTCTGTATCTTTTTTTTATTGTTATTCATGCGATCCGTGTTATCCATAAAGTGGAGAACGCAGTAACGCACTCGGGTAGAAAATCGACGGTAGGCGCCCAGTGCGCATCGCAGGCTAAGCCAGCACAGTTTAAACGCCATGGACCGCTGGGTGTTGCCGTCAGGGTCGCAGGGTCGTCTTACGTGTCTCGCAATGATCGTTCTCGATTCAGTTTAAGTTCTCTCTGTATTGCCCTAGCGTTAGGGTTTCTTATGCCCTGTACTCTAACTTGCATAACTTGCATAAATTTCATTAGTATTCCCATCCTTCTCTCGTCCCTTCTCATTCTCAATCATGTCCTTATACATCTTCTCTCTATATTACCTGCTGAAATCTACACAGATAGAGTACTTACACAGCTACATAACAATTTTATTTTGCTGTCCTGTTCTCTACCTCTACATTTGAGGTGCATGTCCATCATCCTCTTGTCATCTATCATCTATCATCCATCCTCTGGCATCTGTCCATCGTCAGTCGTCCGTCCGTATTCTACAATGCCCAGTATACAGCATACAGCACACAGCACAAAACATACAAGCATACCGTCTTTTGCATAACTTATTCATTATTAGTACACATCTACTTATACAGAGTAACAGAATACTCTATACTACCTGAGGTATGTTATGTCTGCACAACTATAAGTCTATACAATATACACTTTTTATACAGATCCTTGATCCTTTGATTCCTGAGGTACAGACTAAGAGTATGTTGAACTCGGAGCTTCATGTAACCAGTAACCAGTAACCAGGTAGCCAGGTCACCAGGTAACCATTTATATCATAAGTCTATAATGTTTGGATAGGTATAATATTACATATGGATATGGCCATATGTTACTACATAGTGCACTGACCTCAAGTTTTGACTTTTATTCTCTTTTGGCTGCTTTCGTCTGCGCCTCTTCGGCTTTTCGACGCTCTGACACTGACTCTAGCTCTTTGACTCTGCATCTTTGACTTTGATCTGCAAGTTGTATCGCTGAAACTGCAACCACTTACTAGAGTTGTAAGTTGTACCACTGCTCCCATACGTAGTCCGCCGGTGCCAGTGCCTGTGTCTGTGCCGGTGCCAGTGCCACTGTAGCGGTGAGCAGGCACTAACCTCTCCCGTATATATCCATCTACATCTGTACGTTTGTCTAGGTATGTTTACGTCTATATGCGTCCCTACGTCTCTGTCTCTACATATTATCCCACCAAATATCTACCTTACATCACCGCATTACTTGACCTTCTATACTCCGATTCCCGATTCCTGATTCCTGATTCCTGTAGATCCGCCATTTTCGGGGATCGGGTATACCCAATACCCTGTAACCTACAACCTATACGGCATACCCTACGACCTATGACCTACAACCTCCATGCAATCTACTATGTAAAATCTACAATCTACAGTTTACAATCTACAGTTTACGATATACAATTTACGGTTTAGGATTTACAAGAATATGTTTGTAGAAGAGCCCGAGGACCGAGGGTAAGCAATGTTAGCAATGTTAGCAATTGTAGCATTTAGCTACCTGCCTAAGCTTAGATACTATACCGTATACCCGATACCTGGATACTATTTATCATTTCTGGTCAGTAGTCATGACTCAGTGGTCATTAGTCGCCTGGTGACATGATGACTGCCGACGTGACTAATTGACAATTTGGCAATTTGACAAGTTGATGATTGAAGCGACCTTAACTTACAACAACAACAACAACTATAAGAAGGCAGCGGAAGAGCTTTACTACGTTAATGTTTATGCGGAATAGCAGAGGTCTATACGATCTGGCTCATCTTATATGAGTCCATGACACGCTTCTGGAAAAAATGTAAATTGTAATCATACAGTGCGCAGCAAGGAATACTAAATAAGACAAGTAAAAATAAATAAACGCAAAAACACAAAAACAAATACAAAAAAGATATCAAAAGAAAAGAATGTCACAAGGGAACAAAAACAAAAACAAGAAACAGAAAAAAACAAAACAAAAAAACAAAGGAAAAAAAGTGAACAACGCACAACAGCGGGGATTCGCTGGTCGTCACCGACCCAACTACTAGTCCGCCGATCTGAGGCTTATGTATGGCAGAGCGGACGGGATGCCCAGTTCTCCTCAGTCTATGGTCGTACGTGCTAGGAATGCAAAAGATTGGGAATATATACCTTTGACTTTGGAGCTGTTTGGGCTTTTACACTCAATACGAAAATTGGAATGAACATGCCCTAATGCTAATGATACGAATGCCCTTTTACGGACAGATGGATTAAACCCAGCAATTTCTTCAGCATTAAACCATGCATAGGCTGTCAATGTCTATCCTACAGAATAAAAGTAACATGTGAATTCACTAAAAGTAGGTCTAATAGTCATGCATCAATTCGCATCGTAATACCCCAGTAATCATATCTACTGATCCAATAACCACGCTATACATCCTCGTCGCTCTCGTCTCCTAATAGCTCACCCTCATCCGTATCCACCACCGCATAATCATGTCTACCCCTTGCAAACGAGCTTCTTGTCGTGTAAGTGCGCTGGCCGCCAGACCGACCAAACCTGCCTGCGACACTTCTCCATAGAGACGCAGCGAGGAGTGGAATGGCAGCAAGGACGGCGACGAATCCTGAGAGTGCCGCAACTGGATATGTGACCCAGGGACTGTTGGTGTCGAAGCTGGGACCGGATTCGCCCAGACGAATGCGCCCAAACTTACCGTCCCAGTTACGCCAGACCCAGTAGCCGATACCTGTGGCGACGGCAAATGGGACAGTGATGGCGAAAAACAGTCCCACGCCGGAAATTCCCTTGCGCTTCTTCTTGAAGTCTTCTTCGCGGCCAGGGCAAGGGTGGACTTGGCCTGTAAGTTCGAGCTCGCGACCGCCCTGGCAAGTGGAGAGCGGAATACGACGGTAGCCAGTGGGCTCGTAGAATTCGACTGCCTCAGGATTGGCAGCGCAGTATTGGGAGTGGTCGGGTTCAGGAAGGCCTTTGATGAGTCGGCACGCACCATCGTTTTCGAGCTCATAGTTGTAGTCACTGCAAAACATTTAGTATTGCTGGCTTGGAACGTAGAAACGGTGAAAAACACTCCACAAGAGGAGCGTGCATAATGTCAAAAGAAGAACATACCATTCAAAGTCTTGCCGGGTGCAGGTGCAATTTCGTGAAATTTCATGAAGATGCTGGATCTTCTTGCCGTTGAAACACACTGCATCCGGCTTCTTGCGGTGGTATCGTGCCACATGGCCAAAGAGACAATTATCTTCCTGAAGAGGGTGCTTGGGTTCCCAAAGGTAGTAGTCAGACTTGGGATCCTCAGGGTCATCCTCGTTCAGGAAACACTGGGTATCAGAAAGTCCAGTAAAGTCAAGGTTCACGGTTGCAAACTTGTCACTTCCACTAGATGTCTCCTTGCCCCAGAGGAGGAAATTGCGAGAGTTGTCGCTTGGAACAGTCGAGATATCCTCAACCAACATCTTTCCTTCGGTAAATTTGTATTCACGCCAATTCTTGCCTTCATCAAGCGTGTAGAAGACAACGTCAGTCGGAGTACTCTCAGAGACAATCACAATGATAGATCCCTGGTCACCATATTCCCACATGTACGTTCCCTTTTTAGCAGCTGACCAGGTGATTCCGCCGTCACTAGTGATAAAAGTGTCACCGTCCTTGTACCGGCCAAGGTACTCGCCGACGTTTCCAACTGCCATCATAAGGCCAACCGCTGATGGCGACGAAAAGGTGTCTCGTGGGTCCTTGCGCTCAGTGTAGCCATGCAGATGCAGCGAACATTTCTGGATATCTCCCTTGCAGTCATACGAGGTGCCATCGGCATCCTTGGCTGGTGGGTCAATGAAGCTCCACTCAGCCCCGTCATTGTGCGTGATCATGCTCTTGAGCTTCTTTGCCTCACCAGTAGTAGCCCCCTCGGCGTTATCGACAATGTTCACAATAGCAACACCGTCAAGGCCCTGCATCTTTTCAAAGTCGACATAGCCATGGCGGTTTCGATTGACTGCGCTCAGACTTAGGACATACGAGGTGCCGTTGGAGTTGCTCTTGATGATCGAACCGTACTCGTGGTCCTCCAGCGTATTGACAGTCACATGGAGAAACACAGAATGAGTAGAGCTGTCCAGCACAGTATATGCTTGCTGATGTGGCACCCGGAAATTGGGGGGGAATAGAGCATCGGCAAAAGTCTTTCCGTCCACGCTGGCATCGACCTTGAGCGTTTTCTGATCCTCATCTTTTGCTGCCACAATGATAAATTCGGACATGGTAGCGAAATCAACAATGTCATCAAAGTAAATCTTGCTATCCTGAAACCAGTTCTCGCTGGCAATCAACTGCAATGGCTTGTCCGGATTTTCATCCTTGAATTGTTCACAATAGACAAGCTCTTCGCTGCCAGCACGGTCATCATCGGCAACGAACTGGCATTTGCGAACGTAGCGGAGAAGTGAATGCCACTCATCGCCGAGCGAAGTCGAATAGTACGCCACAGCGTGACAGTCAGTTCCAAATCCATCGCAGCCTTTCGATCCCGTCCATATCAGCCAGTCTTTCTTCTGTGGATGGAAACCAATAATTTGCAAACGATGCGTATTTGGTGGAACTGGTGCCTCAAATTCGTGGATTGTGTAGCCACGGTCAGTAGAGTAAAAGACCTTCTTGGTGCCGGTAATGAAGAAGACATAGTCGTTAAAATAACGATGAGGGTAGATGGCCAGGATACTTTCGCCCTTTAGTATCTCTTCCCAGGTCTTCCCATGATCATGCGTAATGAAAACATCTTGTTGGTCAGTGCGCAGGATGATGGTCTCATCCTCGCCATGGCTCGTCTCCGTCCGCTCGAGGTAATAGTATTCCCTGTAGCTATTCGAATCAAACGTTGTAGGTTCATGGGAAACCTCGCCACTCGCTGGCACCTTGACCGTGTCTCTGCAAGGTCTATCAACAGGCTTTTCCTTGTCGACAGAACCTTCCATCCGTATGTCGCAGTGGTCACCGGGAATCAATCTCCAACCCGAGCTTCCCTTGAACGTATCGTCCGCACTCTTACATTCTCCCTCCGGAACGGACAGCCTCGCAACAGGTAAACACTCGGTACGGTCCCCAGATCGCACAAAGTTATAGTCACATTCGAAATCTTCTTCAGTGCATTTGCATACTTCATACTGCCGCACGGGATCTTTGAACTCCTCATCGATGAAGCAATCTGCATCAGGCTTACGCCTCAGGTAATATTCCTTGTGGCCCATGAGGCAGTCGGGTTTGCCCTCCTCATCGAGTCGGGCATACCACTTCTCAAAATCCTTCTCGCCACATTTGCGCTCATGCAGTCCCTCAAAATCGAGAGAAATGATTTCATGTTCAACCTTTGAACCGGTTCCTTTGTCGGCGATCAGGACAAATTTCAAGCTGGTCGAATCTGGTGTGGTTGAGAGTTGCATTGCTCGGACCTTTTCATCAAGATCAAGGGATTCCCAATCCTTTCCGTGATTGATTGAATACTTGACCTTGCTTGTCGACTCGGTATCTTTGATGGCCACCAAGACAGAGCCTTGATCGCCAAATTCATATATATGTGGCTCATCCAAGGCCTTTCGCCAAGTCAGCCCGGCATCGTCCGACACATAGAGGTCTCCATGTTTATATGGTTTGAGGAATTCTCCAGTGTTGCCAACTCCCATGACGAGCCCAGGGGCTGGACTAGAAAAGATGCGCCCGGAATTGCGCATTTCCGTGACAGAGTGTAGATGAAGATTATCTTTGCCGACTTTGAGATTTTGAAACGTCCGACCATCATCAAAGCTAATCCGACTTTGAATCTTCCTGTCTGTGCCAATAATCGTGTCCTCAACTTCTTTCCAATTCTCGACTGTATTGACCAGGACAATTCCGTGAATGCCCTGGACCTTTTCAAAGTCGACCAGGCCGAGAATGTTGCGATTCGTATGCTCGACGTTGCGAGTAAAGTATGTGCCATTGGAGTTGCTGGTGAAAAGAACGCCCATAGGATTCAAAGGTCTGGTGGTCATAACATCCAACTGGATGCTATAGTTGGTTGACTCAAGTATAGTATAGGCATCTTGCTCCAGCTTATGCTCTGCGGGGAATTCGGCGCGATGCCACGTCTTTGCATCGCTTGTGACGTAGAGCGCTAGCTCGTCCGTGTTCTCAGCCTTTGCTGCTGCCACAATAAACTTCTTCACAGCAGCCATATTGATGACACCGGGAACCGTGCGACCACTATCCAAGAGAGGCTCAACTTCTTCAATGAAGTAGTTGTCTGATACGACCAAGCGGAAATCCTTGGGCAATGGAGAATATTTTCCTTCCACAACACAAATGATTCGATCTTCTTCTTCGGCATCTATTCCGGAATCAAAGACATTTGTGGATTGTGCAAAAATGCACATTCGAGTGCTGTCGCGCAGCTTTCGAGTCGTCTCAAAGCCATTAGTTGTATAATAGGTCTACGTATTTCCAATGACAAGCACATTGTTAGCCCGTTTGGGATCAATCTAGGAGAAAAGAATAAGAGCAAGACTTACCGCATCTTTGCATGTCCAACCCTCACAATCGCTTGCATGATACAGCACCCGGCTGCTGTCGGCAGCGTGGAAGCTAACTAACGGCGAGGACAAGCTCGGAGGTGATTCCGTGCTGAATTTCTGCCAAGTCTCACCCTGATCTCTTGTGATCCAGTGATCGGTATCGATGCCAAAGACGTAAGCAATTTTGTTATCGTACGGATGCTTTATTAACTTCCAAGCTCCATTCTCAGGAACGTCTTTGAGGCGGTCCCAGGATGCGCCAGCGTCGCTGGAGCGGAAAACGTTAGATGCTTCGGCATCGTGAATTAAAATCGTGTCTGTATCGTCAAAGTAAAATAATTCAGAAGGCACACCGTCGAGTGTCGTCTTCGAAACAACCGGGTCTACCTTCTTTGCGTCTGCGAACCAAGCTAGGAAGAGACATGCCAATATGGCACACCAGGAGGAGCTCAACCTCGTCATCTCGAAATACTTGAGAAACTGTTGGCCGTCATGGAGAACTGCTGAGCTGGTCCAGTATGCCTTGAGGCACAAGAAGCTCTTGATGATTGCTGGCTTCGTACCTTGTCGTGAATGTTTGGATGCAAATGGTGGCCTAGATGAGTACGGAGTAGGGGACCGGTTGGCCTAATGTCGGTGGTTGGACAAAACACGTTTGCAGCTGACGGGAAGCAAAGTTTCGGGTACATAATTTTACTCATGTAGTTGGTAGTCGGAATAGGTATCAGTACCTTCGGAAGCTCATCCCCGAGACGCCGCGCCACACGTCAAGGCAGGCACCAGGCGCTGTTATTCAGATGGTTACTAAGGTATCTGATCCTCGAAAGCTACTGCCGACAACAACTGACTCTCAGATGCGGACTAATCTGAAGTTAATCAATGACTCCTCACGAAAAGTCCATCAGAGAAGCTGGCAGTTTATCGTCAGCCTGTCAATTTTTACTTTCTGCTCACGACAGGATAGAGCAGAAAACAAGAGCTGACGTGGATGCCACAAATGATCCATGGAGGCCGTGACAATTGGGCAGGACCCAAACAATTTACATGTCAATCTAAATGCGTCTGTAGCTTAATTCCAGGCATTGGAATATGCTCATAGCTGGCACGATTCACAATCATTTGATCATCAAAAGTTCGACACCATGAAAGTCCTCTATAAGTCGTCTAACAAACATCTTCAAAGATGAAAAAGCGAACTGCCAAAAAATGCTCCAAACCTTTTCCCAAGTGATATCTACCCTCGCCATGCAAAGAAACGCCTATGAAAATGCACCCCTCAGACACTCATAAATCGTGAATATAAACGCTGAACTAGGGGCGGAGCGAGCCACGGTAATACCGCAGCCTCTGTACAAGCCCCCAAGTCCCTGTTGGCGCCAGAGAAGCTTTCCGGTGCCCAAAAAGGTTCGCTTTCCATGCGTAGCTAAGCTCACATCTTCGGTCTGCATACGCGATTTAATCGTATCTGCGGGATAAAAGAGAAAATTATAAGAGATGCCGGCCGCGGCGCCAGCAATGAGTTGCTGGTAAATGGGCAGCGAAGCATCTGGATTACCGTGCGCCGATGAATAGGCGCGGAATAGATGAGTAACCCCTTCGTAGGCTCCAAACCATGCGGATGACCCGCCAGTCTCTCGGATAAGTGTGCCTAGCTGACCATGCCAGAATCCGCCAAGTCCCTGATACTTATAAACTGATGCAATGACTGCCAGTGGACCAGGAGCTCTAAGCTTTGCCGCCGAGGGTGTCAAAGGGACTTGCATCTTGCATTTAACGAGCTCAATTGGCGTAAGCAGGATAGAGGTGAAGGCTCCAGATGCGGCTCCGCAGCCGAGAAGAGCAGACATTGGAAGGGGCTGTTCAGCCGGGAAAATTGTTGCTCGTAAAATGTCTTGAGAGAGCCGGTACTACAGATAAGGTTTTAGCTGAAGGTCTCAATCGAGAAATTGATTACTTGAATGCGTACACTGAAAAATAAGCTACTTGTTTCTACAGCAGCGCCAAATAAGGGCGCACTGATGCCTCGGTACAGTCCTCTTACGCCATCGTGCCGAAACGATTGTCGAAAGCAGTCGAGCGGACCATTGTATCGTAATGGCTGGTGGTCAGGCTGCGATTGGAGGCGTACTTTAACGGTATCAAATGGGTACTCGACGAATTTCCCTGCTATGCCCGCAGCCTTCATACGAGCGGGTCGTTAGCATACTTGTGCAGAGAAGAGGTCAAATCGAACAATCACAGGGACAGCAGAAACTCACTGATCCAAAGACAATATCTTTCGCCGCCTCAAGGCTCTGGTTGCTTGATTCTGCTCTTCCAACCATCTTTTCGGCCGAGATAGTATCCTCAATCATCACGGCCATCGGCCGCTCTGCGGCTTCCATCCTCTTGGGTTACTTGCAAAATGAGGGGATTTTTCGTAGAGACGTTGCGAAATTTAAAAAGGCACAAAGAGAAATGGGAAACGACGTAAGACAGAGTGTTATCTCAGACCCATTGCATTCCAACGAGGATCCACTGCGGAGTCGAGCGGTGTGCCCAAAAGAGAGGCGGCCTAAATTGTGGGGTCTTTGTCGTGCTTGGCCGAAGATGTGACACACTTCAGACCTCTCGAAGTCTAATCAGATGGAGACCACAATAATAATTCCCTTGTCTTGCAAGGCAAACGTAGAGTCTTGGGTATGTAAAGTACAAATGTATAAAACAAAATAGATCATGTAGCAAGCCAAAAAGAAAAAGCAAAGCAGTTGGTCTAAAGGCAACAAAAATTTTTGGTCTAGGAGGGGGCCAGATTGTGCAAACGGCAGGGATTCAATTTAGGGCGGAGTGCGATCGGCATGTGCAAAATTATCTTATCCGATGGAAGCCAATCAGATAATCTTTCCGCCATGCCGCTTACGAGAAATTTCAGGCCGCTCAATCTTCTAGTTCCAAGAGAAAGAGCCGGGAAAACAGGGAACAATCACCCCCTCGTACTGAATTATTACTTCATTTTTGAGGGTGATCAAAATGTCTACCGACACTGCAGCGACTGCTACGGCTTCGACGCCGGCTGAGCAGCCTGGAAGTACCGTTGCACCTGGCATGCGCAAGAATGGTACGAAATGCTCTGAAATCGTCCCGCCTTTTGGCATTTCAGTCCAAAAGACTCTGACATGTGGAATACAGGAAAGCAATGGCATCAACCTAAGAGGCCATTTCGCCCCCATGCGGGACTCACGAGCTATGCCAAGCGTGCTGAGGAACGGAAACAACTTGCTGCTATCAAGTCCAAGGAAAAGGAGATGAAGGATGAAAAGGAAGCCGAGCGCAAGGTAGGTCCAATCTAGATATATTGGTTACATCCAGTCGAATTCGACCATTTGGGAAGGCGCAACTCATCGCTAACTGATTTTGCAGCAACGCATCCAGGCCATCAAGGACAGACGGCAAAAGAAGGAGGAGAAGGAGCGATACGAGATGCTGGCCCAGAAGATGCACCATAAACGAGTCGAACGGTTGCGACGCAGGGAAAAGCGAAACAAACTTTTGAACTCATAAAATCATCATCATTCCTCTTGACCTTTTCAAAGGTTCATTAAAGCGGCGTTTTGGGAGTGCTGGCGGCAGAGGTTTAGTTCGCAAGACGGGTCTTTTCAGTTTCTGAAACCAGCATGGAAATATTCATATACCTGGAGCATCAGCACCTTCCTAATTTTCTTCTGCCTCTCTTATACAATGTATACAATGCGGAGGATACAAGTTCCATGAATGTTTAGCCCATAGTGCAATCTGGCATTTATCTACGCTCTGAGAGTTCTGCTCCTACTTCTCTCGCTCACTAAAGAGCTTTGGCATACATCCACACATACTATACAATGCAGATTTTCATTATGAACCAGTCTTGATAGACCTACTGCTTTGAATTTTCAAAATCGTTGCGAATCCTTGTTGCAACCAGCCATCTAAAACCGCTTGTAAATATCGTCTTTTTCCACATCGAGACTGGGGCCCTGACGGGCCTCGGGTAACTAATTCGCGATGACGATATGGGACCTGGGAAGCAGCCCTTCCCGCCTCATTGCATTGTTTACGGCTTCGATGGATAAATATAACGAGCTTGCGTTTCCCTCGAGGACAAAGCTCAGCCGTACTCAGACTTCAGATGGCAACCTGACGCCTTCGAGGTCGGCCACTACGCCGATCACCGGCAAGCGGGCGCATCGACACTACCCTCATCGGCACCATCATCACCATCATCATCATTTCCGCGACAAGTCTGGGCCGCAGTCTGCAACTGCAATTCAACCGTCCTTTACTTTTGGCGAGTATGGACATTCCAAAGGGAGTTGGAGCCTGGGTGGCACGCCCGAGGACAGCGTGCCGGTAAGTCGCAGGGAGAGCTTGACCCCAGGGGTAGAAGGGAAAGTAGCCCGGCGGCCCCCTACCGCGGAGGAGAACGCCCAAGCATATGAAAAGGCAAGATTGCGAAACGAGTGAGTAATCCAAGAATAAGTCCTCGTCCTGTTGGATACTGCCTACGGTGAATTCATGGCTAACTGTCAGCTTTCCAGCGAATTGCGCGCGACTCTCAACAACCTCTCAACGCAGTCTACGATTACTACTCGTCGCCTTGATGAGACCTACTATAGCATTCTTGAGAAAGTGTCCACGCTTCAGTCTAGCATCCACGCGTTGAAGGAGCTGACTGAGCATGTCTCCCGCCTGCGCGACGATTATGAACAGGATACGTCTCAACTGGAGGCGGAGATGAATGCGCAGATCGATGCACTGGACGGTATTGAAGCACAGGCGGATCGTATCAACGCGCTGCAGGGACGTGTCAAAGAAGGACGAGCCAAAGTCGATGCACTGGGGAATCGGCTGGAGGATGTAAGGGCAAAAGTTGAGACCTGGGAGAAACGAGAGGGAGAGTGGCAGTCGAGAACAAGTCGGCGACTCACCATCATATGGGGCACGATTCTTGGGATAATACTTGTCCTTTTGCTCGCCTTTTTCTTCCCGTTCAAGCACATCTTCCGTTCTGGTGGCCCGCCGATCATTCCGAAGCATCCCAATGACACTTGTTCCGGGCCAGACGTTCCAGATGAAAATGCTCTGGGTGCACCACAATCGCAACTCTTCTACGAGACAAATCCTTGGAGCCTGAGCGCGGCAGTCTCTTCGACTAAAAGCGCAAATGCGCGCGCCACAGATGCCAACGCTTGGGAGCAGAGGATATTTCGAGCCTTTGATGAACTATGACATGGAAGATATTATGTTGCCATTGGCTCACGCAAATTACGATAGAAGTCAATTTCTGTTCAAGAATTGACTCTTTATTGAAGCTCTCTGATATGACCTCTGAGAGATTTCTGAGTCTCTTTGGCCATAACCGCTTACTTTCTCGGGCCTTTTGGGCATTACCAAGAAGACTCCCTCGGAAAAACTTGGTGTCAAAGAAATTCGCACAGTACTCCCAAATCAAACACACCTACACCGCCTTCATCCTGGATATATAGCACCGACTCCGCCGTTTCAAGCAAACACCAAGTGTTCAGAAAAAGGTTTCTCGTACGCATAGCGCAGCCGCGCAATTAGGCAGCCAGATCCGCAGGGCCAAAAGACATAGGTAGGAGCTATTGATATCAATGATCAGCGCCAAAAAGAATAAGTCATTGCTCCTTATGCGGTGTACCAACCTCCTCAACAGTTCGGACAACGCAGTCGCCATTCTTGTCATACATGAAAATGGGCATTTTAAGGTCGCAGAATTCGCGGATGCTAGAGTCCTCAGTCAGCGGCTACCATTTCCGTTATGTCTGGACAGATTGTTGGAGCTTTCTGTAATGCCATAGGAGATGCGGTGAAATAAAGGATTAAAGGCGGTAGAGATAGACCAGCGCGAATGTAGACTTACAATTGACGACACATTCCGCATGGCGAAGCTATTTCAATATCAGCCTGCTTTGCATCCAATCATGCTTCATTCAAGATTCTTATTATTGGCCTTACCCGGAGGAGTGATGTTTGTAGAAACGGCGAGCGCCTTGAAAGACCTTTGTCCCTCTGTCTGCATATATCATATCTCATTAGCCGCTTATTCTCTTCGGTTGATTCGTTGTAGATCTCCTCGCGCAGCACTGATTCCCGACAACCCCGGAAACCAAATTATCTAGGGAATGAGTCCTGAAAATCATACCACTGCCTTGGACAACGCCGTCCGCTCGGCGCATAATCCAACTGGATAGCTTGCGTTCTCGACATTTGCTCCGGATATCAACGCTCCGTCATGAGTAAGAAGACATGCGCCGACTTGGAATTTCGAGTACGGGCCTAGATCAAACACCAATTTCTTAGCATATTATTTTTTTCCCCTTTCTAAAAGAAATCATTTCGCCAATTCCCCACTGGATAATTTATCAGAGGGATTGTTGGATTTTTCTTCTTCTTTTCGCAATCATAAAACCTCCTCCCCAATCAATACAACCGTGATGGAGATGCTGAAAGCTAGCTAAACATTGAAATAAACTCACAGTAAGCCCTTCCTTTAGCACTCGCGCATTCATCCCGCAAATTTTGCAAAACTGAAGGCTCAATGTCCCATTTCGAAGCAAGTGAATGCGTCTCGGTGTTGATAATCTGTGTCATATTGAAAGGAAAGAAAGGGAAAGGAGGAAAGGAAGGAGGGAAGGAGGGGCATGCGGGACATTGCGGCGCGTCGGATTTAAAGGGCCAGCTGCAGCTAGATTACGTCCATATTAGGGAAGGATGAGATCTGATAAGATCTTATGACTAGCTTTCTGGTTTAACTTAGCTTCGGAAAGCCTGGCGAGGGGCCGACAGGCGTAAGAGATAAGGAACGTAAATGCATGAAATAGAGAATGTTGAAATTACTGAGACCGGCCAATGGAAATTATATGGATCTATATCTAGCGTGATTCACATGGTAGAAGGATATGAAATCATCTTTATTTCTTGAGAGATTGAATTTTTAATATCATAATTTTTTTCCCTGCAAGTTATATGGGAAAAAGCGTGAGATACAATTTTCATGTGAAAGGTACAGCACGCATATGTTTATCCTAGTGCAAGTCCATCAATGATGTCTGTCTCTTGCAAATTTCACAACATTCAGGATCAGAATTAAACATTCGAGCCTACTCCTAGATGGAACTGCATTTCTTGAAGATAGCTAATAATTATCCAAAGTATTCCATTGAAATAGCGGGATCACTGACGGAAAAATATTCCTCCGGCACGGGCAATGACAGCACCATACTCTAGGCCAATTCTCGCGGCGCGATAAGCAGCGGTATCATTTGTCTATCATTGACGTTGTGTCAATCCGCCTCCGAGGAGATACAGCTCCGCATTGGACAGCGAAACGTGACAAGTCATTGGAAGCTTTTTCTTTTCTCTCGTTATAGTCGCCGACTCATCATGTTCTTAATTTCTCTTTCCTACTCCAATACGTTCAGCTTCCTTTTTGACTGGCCTTTCCATTAATTCTTGGTATTTGTTTCTGCCTCTTTCGTTTCGCGAGCATAGAGAGCTACACCTTCCGCTGCACTCCAAAAATGGACTCAGAGTATTTTTCGCCTTATCGATCAGACGGGAAGCTTGTGTGTAGCCGTGGCCAAATTGTTAATCATTTAAAGCATTTTATTCATTAACACGGGTGAAACTAGTACGGCTTCGTCTGCGTCGTGACTGGCGCGACTCGGCCAGTGGGTAAAGCTATTGCTCTAGAATTAGCCGGTTAGTATTTCCATCCCAATGTACGCGAATACGCCAAATATAAGACATGTCTATCTGATGGTCATGCTAATTATTACACGTTGTAGCTCACGGGGCGGCTTGTGTCTACGGTGCGAAACACTCTCTACAAACCGCCGATTTGACTTCTTATGGACTGCATAACTTACTTACACCTAACTCCAGCATGTTCGGTTGCACCGAGCGAGAATTATCTCGAGCTTGCGGAAGAGGTCAACGCAGCTTACCCGAACACGAAAGTTATTGGATACCCGTATAATATCTCGAATGAGGAGGACACACTTGGGCTAATTGACGATGTGTTGAACACCTGGGGAAGGTGAGGTCACGACTCCGTTTGAAATCCGCGCAGGGCCATGGAGACGTTTGGGCAGAAAGAGGTTTTCCTTTCCTTACCGATTCAGCCGCTGATCGTACACACCTAGGCTTGACGTTTGGGTCTGTAGCTCGGGGCTTCTTGGTCCGCCCTCGATTGTGGAAACAACCCCCGACGACCTTCGAAAGTGCATCGAAGCGAATTCGATGGCGCCCTTCTATGCGCTCAAATATGCTCCGCCGGCAATGAGTAAGACGACACCAAAGGGAAATTATCCTAATGCTGCGCCCAAAGATCAGAGCTATGGTAGTATTATCGTGGTGAGCTCTGTGGCGAGCACCTATGGAGGTAAAAGTCCCTCGATTTGGTAAACCTGGACCATATTTTCTGACCGCCTGTTTTTCTGAGCAGGTTGCTGGGGACCATGCTTCACCATGAGCTCGCATGCGGCCTTGGGTGTTGTCAGAGCTGGCGTTGCAACATTGAAAGGTATGGTCCGCAACTGATTGGGCACTTTATGGGGCTCCCTGACAAGATTGACAGGAACCGGAATTCGGATCAATTGCATATCTCCGGGCCAGATTGATGTAGGTGTGGACCTGAAGGATGTAAGTATATCCTCTTTGTAAATGAAAATTTTCTCTTCAAAACTGACCAAAAAGTTTGACGCTCGGGGACTTCACTCTCAACTCCCTCCGGCCGCGTTGCAGTCGAACGAAGTAAGTTTTCGGGAGACAGCATACGCCCTTTCTTCTAGAACAATTTGAGCTGAGATTGCTAGCAGGCCCAAAAACAGCACATTGGCCTCGAACGTGCTGGCTTGCCGATGGAGGTGGCCCGGGTAGCGGGATTCCTTGCTAGTGGCTTCAGTAGCTATATCACTGGAGCCAATTTGGTTGTCGACGGTGGAGCATCGTAAGTATTTGCTGTTGGGATTCCGTGCTGAGCAATTCTTGACACTGATGGATTAACGCGTAGGACAATGTGCCCATTAACTGTACCCATTTGAAATGACGTGATAATTTGCTCGTCGAGAAGCTCCATTATAGATTCGTAGACTTAGCTCGAGATCCTTGAGATCCTTCCAAATTTTTTTTTTGAACTTGTCAGAGACGCGAAGACAAACAAGCAATTATTCCAGACCAATCAGAGCCCAACAATGTCTGTCTGCTAATAATGCCTCCTTCGTGCGGCGAAGAAGGACGGCTTAATGGATCCTGTGACACATTATAAGCAATCTGGGCCATTCAATCGGAAACGCTGCAAATGGCGGTTATCATCTTTGCCGCTAGCGACAAGGATGAGGCCAGTAAGCCAGACTGGCGTGAGCCTGCCACTACGGCACTTCCAGCTCCGGTCTTTGGAACAAAGAAATGATCAAGCGAAATCTGCCAACAGTGGTCAATCTGGCATTCTGGAGTCAATTGCCATTTCCAACACGTAGAACAGTCATGCAGTATGCTCTTCATGCTTTCTCCGCGTTGGCGAAATTGCCAGGCTGATGCTGCCATTGGAGCAAGCATTGGACCTAGAAAGCTTAGATCTGAGCGAAGGAGAAAGTGTCCATGCCGCCGTTTGATCTTACAATGCTATTTCGTCCTAGAGGGTGTTTTGGAATTAACCTGACCCTGTCAGCAACTTCTTTTCGAAGTAGCGAGGTGGTTTAGACACAAACTATCCCGCGAGGGTAGGGAAGAGCTTTGGAGGGTCTTTCTTTTTTCGAAAACTGCTTGTTAAACTAATAATTATGGCCTTCAGGCGATGGGCTTCTCAATCCAAGTTGTACCGCTGCACGATATTGATAGCGACATTTGAAAGAGGACTGATTTTACCTTAGTATCTCACAAAACCAGACTGACCTGCCGTTGTCGCTCACATTACACAGCGTAATTGCTGTCGCCCACGCTGTCGTAGCTGCGGGGCCCGTGCAGCAGGGCCATGGGTTCGAACGGTGCTGCCTGCTTGCGCGTGGTTATGCCGCCACTCTAACCATTCTCCACAGCCATTTGAAAAAAACCGATTTTGATTGATCGTGCTGTATCACTGATGAACTTGTTCTATTCCATTTGCTGCGCCGCGATTAAACGCTGAAAATCCAGAACAGGTGGTCCTTCGGTCATCGCCGTCAGGTCCGTATGGACGGTCGGCGAGCTTCAGGTAATATCATCCGTATGGCGGCCCATAATGATCTGATCGCATCTGACCCCCGGCTTAGTTGTCGCTTCTAACTTTTAGATGGTGCCTTGGCGACAAACGAAATGCTCCAGGGTCCAGGGGTCCTAAAGCTAACGGGAGGAACGTGCTCAAAGTTTTCACGTCTCGAAAATTTTTTATTTCGCCGAAACAACAAAGAGAATTCGGCAAAGTTAGCTCAAGCTCCCTCCTGCCAAATCTTCTTGGCTGAATCTAAAGGCGACTCTAATAGATTGCAACAAGCGCGATCGCAGTGAAAGCCTAGAAAACGTTAACGTCAATGAGGGCTCAGGCTGGGGGATGTCCGCCAAGTCAATGTGAATGACAGCTCATCACACGTACCATATATGAGGCTATACTGCGAGTGCTTTATTGACCAGGATGAAGGGAGAATACGTCTAACACCGTTCTCCCACAGAGGATTACTGGGTTCACATCTCCGAGTTGGTGGCTGGTCGTCTATCTTGAAGTCAGGGGAGGCTCCCGCTATTACAGGGTTCAATGCTAGTTGGCAATGTTGACATCAGTACTTTGTAGACGCGATCAATTTCAACCATCATGGCAAACAAGAAGGTAATATGAGACAGGCGAGTCTCTCTGGAATTAACATTTATTGAGCTTGGATCATAGCATGACATGCCCGACGACTTGTTGTGCTCTAGTCCCAATCCAAAGCTCAGGTCGCGTGGGCCGCCCGACGGGACGGAATGGACACGCTCTTCAATCATCATGTGCGTGTGTGTCTCTGTCTCACGAGAAAAGCGCCCTGAATGTCTCGGTTCAGGCAAGTCTGAGTCGATTTCCACCTCGTCACTTCCCTAAACAGCCACAAATGACCCTGGCCCAGGAGAAAAGATCCTGCTCCCAAGTCTGGTTGTGTCCCAATTTGAATTGTTCTAAGTAACTTTTGATTTTTCCTAATGCGGGTCGTCTTGGATAGAGTAGTATTCTCTCGGGACGTAACTGTTCTCCACGAGCCCAATGATCTCGGAACCATGGTTCCTTCTCGAGCTACCGAGGGGCCTTCCCAACCACTGCCGTAGTAAGCTTCGGATGGCGGGGGCAGCACGGAGCTTATGGACGGACCCAACCGTGGTCCATCAGAGGTTATTGGGCGATAGCCTGGTTCTCCTTTTGGCTGTGTGAAGCCTTGAAAGCACTCAGCCGTCCAACCCTCTTACACCGACTCTTCCTCCATACATGGGGACAAAAAGGCTGTTTGGATTACCCCTGTCTCTTTACTCTCCTGGCTCAACAGCAGAGGGTGTCGAGATACCAGGAAAAGGGCGATGCTTCTTGGGAAGGACCTGTAGACGGGGGATAGAGATTCCCGAGTTCAAAGGTCGTATGCGCCCCCAACTATTTGATCTACAAATACGAAAAAGCAGCCGCACAAGGTCACCAACATGAAGATTCAAGATTACTCTATAGAGCACAGGGCAGAGGGAATGATGGTGAGTGCCTGGGAAGTGTGCGCAGGAGCGCCTGTGCTTCCTAGTGGCTTCGTTCTAGAACCAGAGACAAAGTGCAGTCGCCCACCCGCGAAACTCTCAATCGACTCGTTTTGGTGGCGGCTTTGCCCACCTTTCCTTATTGCTCATCTTACCATCCCGTACGTTGTTGGTCCTTGATAGAGCCCATGCCCATGCCCCTGACCATTTAATTCCCAGCAGAGAGGTTGAGAGGGGCCACTCTCATGCTCGGCGCATGCAGGTTTGGGGGGCAAAGGTCGCTTCTTTTAACTAGCTGGCCAAATGTGATGGAGCAGCGGACTACGGCACACTTACTCTTGGTCGTCTCTGCTCTGTCCCCCGTGTGTTAATCGCCCATCGTCATGAAAAAAGTTACTTATTCGCCCTGGCCTGCCCCCTCCCGCTCGCTGCTGCCGATCCTGACGTTGACCAGGTGCAGCTTCCCGTTGAAATGCTCCCCACTGCCCACCTCCTTCTGTCTTTTCACGTCCTAGATTCTCTTTGATCATTTCTGTGCCACATAATTTCCCAGCAAAATCCTTGAATGGTTTTTCTTCTTCTCTATTCATATTCGATACGGCTGTTTTGATTGATTCGATTGATTTATCCCATTATCTCGCCCCTCTCTGCTCGGGCGAATCACCTTTCATTCGCCAATTCGCCCGGTCGGCCGTTGGTCCCCTCAGCGGGTCCTCCTCACCAATACGAATACTAAATAAGTCGCGTCGAAAGAAGCTCTGACCAGTTCAACGCGGGACGAAAGACGAAAAAGGAACAAAACGGTCGAGATCATGGGGGACTTGCATCTTCCGCAAGATGAGTTTGAGAACCTCCCTCCGGCCATTCGACGCAAGGTACGTTGAGCATTTCCCTTCGGTACCTTGCATTTTATGAGACGAAACGTCGATTGGTATCTTTGCTTTTCAAATTGTGTTCATCGTTACCTATGTTTTGTACAATTTGTCCTCTTCATTTTCAATCGATTGGTGGGGGATTACGTCTATTCGGTTTCGCCGCCGTCCCCCCTTAGTTTCCAGTCGAGGGGCCGTCGGTCGATCGGCACCCTCATAACTGGCGGTCAAAAAGAAATGAGTTCATTATGCTGTGGCAAGTGTCCCGGTCTCCTGCAGGGACAGCACACAACTGCCGACGTTAGAGTGCTATCTCGGTATTTTTATTTGCTGTCGGATCCCATTCGAGCTCTCATTTTGCTTAGCGTAATTGAGATTTTCTCAACGACAGATATATCTGAATGCTGACCCTGAAGGTCAAACTCTTCAGTATTTTTCTTCTTTGGAGCGCCTGAGATTGGCTCAGAATTCTGCCGCTGTTTCTCGACAAGGCCATAGTGCCGGCATGCTAGAAGCTAGACCTTATCATCCTCTAAGAAAACACTGGGTTCCTCCAACACCTATCGACCGTGAAGGACGGCCGGTGGGGAAAGCGAACGATAAGAAAGCACGCAGACGCTTGCAAAGGCCCATACCTCTCCAGCTTCAAAACCTTATCACCCTTGAGGAAGCCAAGTGGTTCATTTCTCTTCCCGAGGCCGTCCGGAGAAAGCATTTCACGAGGGAAGAGCAAATTTTGTTGGCCGGTTGTTGTGACAGCTGGATCCTGGACAGTGCCGACCAAGCACTCTGCAAGGCTAATCGCCCATCCACATCGACTGGGACTTCATCAGAGCTATCGTCTTCAGCTCGATCATCGACTGAGTTCTCAGACTCGTCGGAGCCTCCAAACTTTCTCTTTACTGATCCGGATCCCGACGAGACCATGAGCCAATACTCGCCAGACGAAGCAGCAGACCAGGTCCTGGACGACTATCATGCAGCTCAAATGGATTTTTCAACTACAGCAAAATCTCGTTCTCGACGACCGTCATTCCGAAGAACAATTGCCTTGGGGTCCCGGCCTACTCTACGAACATCCTTTTCATCTACCCGCGCTCCGTCTTCACCCGTTTCCCCCCGATCTTCTGTCGCCCCGGATTTTAAAAGCCACAAGTCGCGCTCGTCGTACGCGCCCAAGAGTATCCGTCCTGCACCCGTCATTGTTGAGCCCGAGGCCAAATATTATCAAGATCCCGATGCTCGACTGAAGCTGCGAGTGTACCTTGGCTCGCCACAAAAGTTTGACGAGGCGCTTGAGTTTGGATTTCCTACTACGGACCGGGCATCCAATGGCCCCCAGCAAATACGGACCGAGACTCGACCCGCCAAGATTCATCCAGAGACATTCCTTGCAGAAAAGGACACGTCCTTTCTGGACGATCCCGACGAAGATGCTAAAGCCGATGATGATGATGATGATGACGACGACGACGACGCCGACGCCGAGGACGATGATGACGATGGTCCTTCTGAAGATGACAATGACGTTCCGGCAACACCATGCGATACCGATGGCAGGTTCCGTTCAGTTTATCCACTTCCTTCGATCAAATCTACGTCGACCGATTCTCGACCGTCGCGTTCGACGGTTGGCCGGAACCAAATCGATCCACTTGCGCCGACTCTGGTCGGTCACCGTGAGATGACTCTGCGGATGACATTGACTCGGCCTGACCTCCGTGCTGACGAGAGCCTGTTGTATGGCTGGCAAGACAAGGTTAATGATGACCCGCTTGCTCTTGAAGAATTGCCGCCCATGACGGACGACACTGAGGGCACATCTGGACCCTTTGGCCCCGATGGTCGCGGTTCCTCCAAGGACGGCAGTGTCGTTCGCAAAATTTGGAGCAAAGTGCGATCAAAGAAATGAATTGCATGATTTTCCTCGCTCCATCTGTTTTCTATTTCTTCCATTCGCTTCGATCCACCTCTTAAATTCTCTCCATATTTGCTTTTTCTTAACTCTCTTGCTGCGCTTCAGCGTCTTATCTTTTGAGCGCCAACTTTGTACGACCTTGTAGGCACGGAACAGCCACCACTAGGAACCATATCTTTTACTCATACATGTCTGGGGGATTATTGACGGAGTTTGCACATACTTTTCATGTCATTACGACTTAGACCTTTCTGGCTTTCGCTTGCACACATTATCGCATATCTTTTGCAACACATGCTTCTACAGAACAAACCTTTTGACGATGATTCTTACATAGACTGAACTCTATTTGACGCCTCGATACGTGCACAGCATTCTAAGCTTCTATCTTGCATCCATTTCTGTTGTGTTCGTTGCCTTGTAACATTTGCTAACAACTCTAGTTTGTTAAGTAATTATCATTTTCCATGACGTTCATTAATTATTTCTATTGGGCAGTCAGTAGGTTTCCCGTATCTATCTAGGTTTACTGATTGATAAACGACCCGCCATCTCGAGTGGCGTGTGGCTCGCCATACAGGGTTGATGATAATGTGGCAATAAGTCGGTGTAGAAAATTTTGCGTACCTGTAGGTAGGAGTACCAATAGTAGTCTCACATTAATTATTTATCACGGGTATTACCTCAAGGCCCCCGGCCCTGGAGGCCTAGCCGTCTTGCGAGCCGTTCGAACGAGGGGGAAGGGGACGAGGAGACGGGTACCTGGAACTAGACCGTTTCTGGACATGCGTTTTGTGGTTCAGGGGTAAAATCGACCAGGGTGAAGACGAGCAGCGTCAGGGTCTGGCTCGCCTGAGGTGTCTGCCTAGGTGCTCCGAGGGCTCCGATAATCATTTCAACACCCTGAACACTGGAAATTATTCAATGTGGATATCATTACTTTGTACAAAGTACCTTCCGTACAGAGTGTACTGTGCTAACACTTTTATTCAGAGAGTTGATCCTCGAGGGACCCTCGCATGATCGTGGGTGGGGCCGGCCTTGGAGAGCATCAAGCTCCCCCCACCGAGCACCCCCTTCTCCTTGCGTCGCAGGTGTCGGTTAGTAGATTGGGGGGTCGTGCAAAGACACGCGACAAGCCACTGATGATTGTCTTACCTGTCACTCGATCCCGCTCGGCAGGTCGGCCTTTGACGTGATGGCATGGCCACCACTTCTTTGCTGTAATTTACTGCGAAGGTACAATTCACTATGGCATGGATACTTGACTACTGAAGCACAGGCACAGTGGAGGAGTCTATTGGCGGACCACGTCTTGACAGAGGCTGGATAGCAGGGGCTTGAATCGAATGTTTCTGTCCAACGCAGCGTTTGCGCCCGTGCAACGACAGGCTGAAGGATAGTTTCTAGACAGCTCTCGGTCGGGTGCGACGCGTCGATAAATACGCCCCTCAAACAAGCGCCCGTTGATAATGGTGGATGATGATGGTGGATGATGATGGTGGATGATGATGGTGGATGATGATGGTGGATGATGATGATGATGATGCCATGATTTACATCTCCATTGATCTCACGGTGGGCAAAATTAACAAATGTGGGTGGAGTAGAGGAGTCTGCGGATCCAAGTCACGTGTAAGGGATACCGGTAGGATTGCGCCACTGTTGGTGGTTTGCCTAATCGTATCGTTACTGCAAAACATGAGAGCCAAAGGCAAATGGCCGTTGTTATTCGAGACGAGGCGGCAACAAAAATCAACAATGGTAAAATACAGTACAGAGCTCTGGTATGATCGTGGACTGCAGCTGCAGACTGGTGTGAGAAGGACGCCATTTCACTGGTGGACGGGCGGCGATTAGGGGGCACCGTGTTGGAGAAGTTGGCGCATCTCGTTCGCGCCAAACGACGCCAGTTGCAGCGTTCCCGCTTGGGTTTCCCCTGCTAAGACCAAGCAAAGACGGATGGCGTAGCTAATTGTACAGAGTACTCTTCGCACCGTGAGCATCTTGAGACGACGGCTCTGGTAGACTAGAGTCTCCACGGACCACCCTGAACCACCACCACCACAGCTCGTCGTCTCTAAGCTCAATCTCTTGGCGTTTCCCGTCACCTCTCTCCTCTTTTCCGTTTTTCTCCCCCTCATCATGTTATCACTGTGACCTCTTTTTTTCTTGTGTCTGTCTGTCTGTCTGTGTGTGTTGTGTTTTTTCTGTCCCGACAGCTTCACTCTTTCTGCTGCCGTCACAGTCTAACCGCCAGCTTACTCTCCTTTTACCAGCGCCTTGTCGCTCGTGAATTCTGTGAACCCCCATTGATCTGTATTCGTTACAGTTCGTCCATTCATTCGTTTCAACTTCGAATTCCTTGCGTTTCGAGTTTTACGCGCTCGTGGATCATTCCCCACCTGTATCACGTCGAGTCCGTTCTCGCCCAACTCTATACCCTATTGATAGGACTCGTGCCATTTGTCAATCTCTTCCGCCTATCAATATTTTGAGGTTTTGTTTTCACCCAGAGCAAATCTCCGCGGTCCCACTCGACGTCCCATACGTTAGTCGTCTTCGAGCAAAAGAACCAAACGCAGAAGCTGTTGTCGATATTCAATACCTGGCAGAATATTAGCAGAGAGGGCTAGTCCTGCTCTGTGCTTTTCTTGTCAAATCACATTCATTATCTACTCCGAGATACCTTTGACGGTGTTTCGTTTGACTGGACGTAGGGGTCGCGTCATTGACGTTGATCCAATCCGCTACCGTTCATCACCCACATTCTCTTGAACACTGAACAGCCGAGTGCTTTCAGCTGTCAAACCACACATCCCGAGAACCCTCGTCATTGACCGACGCGGTTGTTATAATCTGCAGCACTTGTTCGCGCCGGACGCGGGTCAAGTCAGCTCGACGTCATTCCTTTAGTCGAGCCATACCGAAATTTAGAAAGCTCTGAAAAGCAAGATCAACCCAAGAAATCCAGAAGACAAAATGCTTGGATTCCACCGAAGAGCCCGCTCGCTCATCTCCGTGCAGCAGCTGGGCAAGCACGAAAAGGTCAACATGGCCGTATACGAGGTGCACGATGATGAAGCCGATCATCAAGCCGCTAGAAAGTCATCGTGGACCGCTCGAAAGCAACTGATTGTCATTTACATTTTGTTCTTGGCCGAAGCGTGAGTACCCATCCATCAAGATTATCTGTTGTGTTATCCCAATGAACCTACCATGAACATAGTTCCTGACCTGCTCCAGAATCATGGCGTCCTCTCTTCAACCCCAGCTCAAGATGCTCGTTGGCAAGGACGACTTTTGCAGCACCCTCTCGGCTTCTTATATCCGCAGTATTCTCGACTGCGCCTACGCCTTTGGCGGTATCGGAGGACTATTCTGGGGCTGGCTCTCTGATCGCATTGGTCGACGTCCCATTGCCTTGATTGGTATCTTGGGCATGTCCGGCTGCTGCATGTCAATGGGCTTTGCTACCAACCTCCCCGTGTGCGCATTGCTGCGCTTCTTTGGCGGTTTGCTCAGTTCCTCCAACGCCGTGACTACGCTCGCCATGATTGGCGATGTCAGCAACACTCGTTCTGAGCGTGTCAAGAACGTTGCCCGTCTCCCATTCATTGCTGCTTGCGGATCCGTGGGACCTCTTGTGCAAGGTCTCGTCCGCAGCAGCGTCAAGTCTGTTGGTGAGATTTGGCAAAAGTTTCCACTCCTCAGCAGCGAGATTGCCTGCGGCGGCTTGGTCCTTCTCATTGGCATCGGTGCCGTGTGCTTGCTGGACGAGGTAGGTTATATCCTTTTTTTTTTCTTTTCTAATTATTGGCTCGATCCATACTAACTTGACCAGACTCTCCCTAGCATTGCCAGCCCCGGCGAGCCGCTGACACTGAGCACCGACTCCATTGACTGCGAAAAGGCCGCCTTTCTCAACCAGGACACTATCCCCGATGACGCCTCGCAATGCCAAATCCAAGTCATTGACGCGGACCGCCCAGACCCCATTTCCCTTTGCCAGATCATCAAAGCGCCCTCTCTCCTGGTGCTCCTGTCTTCCTTTTCCTTGCTCTCGCTACACTCCTCCACCTTTGACACGCTTCTCCCGCACCTAGGCCACAGCAGCATCCACTCAGGCGGAATGGGCATTCCGTGCTCCGCGCTCGGTCTGATTGTGCTGTGCCTCAAGCTCGTCGCTGGATCTATCGTTCTCGCCATCATTCCCAAGATTGTCGAGCGCGTGTCCTTGCTCAGGCCGTACCGCGCGTTCAGCGTGACCTTCCCCATCATCTACCTCGCCACTCCGCTGGTCGCACAGATTAGCTACACCTGCTTTGGCGACTGGCTCGCCGTGGTGTCTACTCTGTCGATCCTGCTCAAGAACATTTTTGCCGGGTCCGCACAGGTCCTGGTCGCGCTGCTGATGCTGAGCATCGTCCCGGACGCGTACAGCACCGGCACCATTCTCGGACTGATGCAGTCGGCCAGCCTGTTCAAGGCCTTTGCCGTTGCCGTGTCCGGAATGAGCTTCTACTACTCTGGAGAAGTCGGCATTGCCACGACAAACTATGTGCTCTGGGCGTGCCTGGTCGCGATCGGCATTGCCGGCGCGGCTCTCGCTTGGTTTGTCCGCGAGAGACCCAGCCTCGCCAAGGACTACAGACCAGAGGTGCTCAAGTGGGAGACTTGCTTTGACGCAGAGGGCGACGGACTCGTCTGATCGCCATTCGTCTATCGTCCATGTTTCCATTCCTCTCAGTCTTTGCCAGTCTATTTTTACTTTCTTTTCTCGTGACATATATTCTTGCTTGTCTTTTGCATTTGTCCCTTGACCATATTTTCGTCGTTGATCTTGTCCCTTGACCGCATTTTAATTGTTCATCATGTCCCTTCATCCAACCATTGTCGGACAATCGGTCAATATGCTACACAGTCTCCTATCTTTCTGATTAGGCACTTGCACTTTGGCTTATCCGTTATTTCTGTCTCACTCTAGCCAACTTACTACCTTACTTCAATAGTACATTTAATATACTTGTATGCCAAAACCGTCCATCTCTTCGTCTCTTCTCTTACATTCAGTTATCTTATTTTTAATCGTGACATGATATCACCCGTGAGTCGTGAATATGACCTTGCGCTAAGCATGACCCTCCTCTCAGTCTTTACATGAACTTGACCTGTGTGCTAGAAAAGAAAACACAATCTGTACTCCGTATAAAGGTACTTTGTGGTAAAGAAGTGCGGATGGCCACATTATTTGTTGAAGTATCTACTTGATCCGAAATGTCCGTATTGGAAGTTGACTACGAAGTACTTGGACAACGAAGTACAGTCTTAGTGTTTCGTTCGTGGGGGGGGGGGGGGGGGGGGGGGTTTGTTTCTGTACCTGGTCGGGTATAACTATATGTCAATGAAGTCTAGTTCATACTGCCAGAAGGATCCTCGAGGAGTCCACAAGACTACAACACAATTCCATCACTGTCATAGTAGCATGAAATATGATCGGTTGAGCCATAAGCGCCCTCCATAATAATAAGGGGGTGGAAACAATTTAGATATTCGAGTTTTGGTTATACATTAGCTAAAGCCATAACCATAAAGCGTAAAGCGTAAACCATAAACCATAAACCATAAACCATAACCGCATACCATAACCGTACCGTAAAACCTTCAACTGTAAACCATAAATAAAGCGTAAACCATAACCATAAAGCGTAAACAGTAAACCGTAAGCGCTAGTCCACTAGAAATGGTAAATGCCTTGAGCTACCCTTTGCCTTTTCCTCCACAGTATTCCTCCACAGCACTCCTCCACAGCACTCCTCCGCAGCACTCCTCCACAGTACTCCTCCACAGTACTCCGTACTCCGTACTTTGTACTCGGCTTGCATTTTGCAGCTTGCATGCAGAGAACAGCCAAACCAGGCCCACCGCAGTAGGCGACCTTTTGAGTTCATTGTCCGACTTTCTCCTTCTGCATCTCCGTCTTTTGTCTTTTGTCTTTTGTCTTTTCAAAATCCAGAAACTAGAATTCAGAAACCAGAAACCAGAAACCAGAAACCAGAAACCAACTTGTTTCCTGTCTTTATCTTTGTCTTCCATTCGCCTCTCCTTCTGCATCTCCCTTTTTCTAGAATCTAGAATCTGGGAACTAGAAACCAGGAACCAGAATCAAGAAACCAACTTGATTCCCCTCTTCGTCTTCATCCTCATCGTTGGCATTGAACCACGGTTCAACTTCCACCAATTGAGCTTTTCCCAGTCAGTCCGCTGCATACTGTAGACTGTAGACTGTGCACTGAAGACTGTACAAAGTACAACAGTCCACTGTAGACTGTAAACAGTACAATTGTTCATGCGTATCACCAGTTTCTGTACAAACGTACAGTATACTTTGCACTGTTTGCAGTAGAATGGGACAAATGAATCGATGACCATACTGGTTGCATAGCTTTCTTAAAGCCTTTGTGTTCCAGTACACTGTACGGAGTATCATCTTCATTCGTTTCTCGGCTTGATCAAGGCTTGCTGCTCAACTTCTCAAGTCTCCGTTGAATGATTCAATCTCAATTCTCAATTTTCAAACGGAATATGGTCTTGACCACAGTCTTTTCTCCAAAGTTCATACTGTACAACTGTACAAATGTATATGGACCTTTGTGTAGAAAGGTGCTTTGTGGCAGAGAATCAGGACTCAGAATTCAAGACTGATGACCACGTTTGTCGCGTAGCTTTCTTAAAACCTTCGTGTTCCAGTACTGTATCATCTCCATTTGTTTGTTGGCTTGATCAAGGCTCAACCTCTCAACTTCTCAAGTCTCCGTTCAATGTTCAGTTCTCAATTCTCAAATGGCTGTAGTTTTATAGACTAGAGTGCTTGCTTATAGCCCGACAGCTCCAGTCTTTCTCATGAGGAATCTTAATTCTCGAATCCTAAATCTCGAATCTTAAATCTCGAATCGCGAATCGCAAATCGTCGATTTTCAACAAGCAAGGGGCCCGCCGCCCGTAGGGTTTGGTGCTGGAATTCTCTTCTTTGTGTTTAAGTATTTACTCGATCCCGTGTATGAAGTCGAGTGACGGGAAGTGTTCTATCGTTTACCAAACAACAAGGTCTGGTCTGTACTGTCACCTGTAACCCACTTGCACGGCCTGCCAGCCAAGACACAGCGGCACAGCGGCACAGCGGCACAGCGGCACAGCCAACCGCAAAGTCCGAATATGATATCACTGCACAGTGCACTCAACCACGTGCATAGTCAAGAGTCAAGACGTTTGGAATTGATATCAACATGAGAGGACTCGAGCCTGCGGAGTCCGGACCTGCGGTTGGACCGTTGGAGCACAGCCAGATTCCCCAGAGTCCAGACTGATAGGCGACCTTTTGAGTTCGAGTTTGAAACTTTATATGTTACTTTGAAGGTGACTCGCTTTTGAGTCTTTTATATTTATATCTTGATGCTTGATGCCTCTTGCGTTTCCAGTTTTGGCATTGTTTTTATTTAGGCTTTCATTTCTTCCTTCTGCTTCTTCATCAAAGCATTAGTTGATCCAGGTATCCAGGCCCATCAGGTCACAGATTGAGCCTTGGAAGTTTTTGTCTGAATCAGTAGAGTCCAGACCGTAGAGTCCAGAACATAAAGTTGTAGACAAGACAAGTGTTTCTGGATGGTTTGAGTGTTGTACCAGCCAAGCAGATATCTCAGCTTTCCTGTCTTCTCGGGTTGAAATCGTTCAATGTTGAAACTGTATACTTCAAGTTAACTCCTTTTCGAGTCTTTCCGATTTCGTTATTAATTTATTGTTTTTGTTTATGCTGCCACTCCTTCTGCTTCTTCGTCATTTCATTGTCGGAATCGACCCAGACCCCATCAGATCATAATTGAGCTTTGGGAGTTTTTTTCCCGAATCGGTAGACCGTAGAGGATAGAGGCCAGAACATAAACTTGTAGACAAGTGTTTCTGAGAGATTTTGGTATTGTGCCATTTCAGCAGATAATCTCAGCCTTCCGGTCACTCGCAATTGCAATTATTTTGTGTTGCTTGCTTCTCTTCCAGATCGCCATTAGATCTGTTTCGGATCTCTGGTATGTCTCTCTCATGTTTACAACTTGACATGTTGACATGTTGACATGTTGACATCTTGATACCGTGATAGTTTGGCATCTTGAACTGCTGAAATGCTGACACCTAGGAACCTTTGCACCGTGAGCGGCGAGCCCGTGAGATGCTGATACGGTCTATGCGTAGAAAACCGAGGTCCGACTCAGGAGTGGTCACAGACTCACATCATTTCCAACTGTCATAGACGCTGACACTGGGTCAACTCAAAGTCCTATAATGTTGCATTGGTGAACAACGCCCGTATTGTGGACTTAAACGATTGCCTGTCAGCCTGTCGGCAAGCCAGTTCCGCGATGACATTGCAACGGCGATGGAAACGGCCGCGAGACGACGCCAATAGGCGACCTTTTGAGTTCGACATCTGCTGTCTGGTCTAGCTTATAATCTGTCTTGGGAAGCTAGACGTATAGTTCCAATAGCAAGAGCGTTAGGTAAAGGATTTGTTGATGAAAGTATTTGTTGATACTCGTTAATCGTGAGATTTGAGAATTGAAGCTTGGCTCCGTGGCTGCTCGTGAGATGACGAAATAAGCAAAAGATACGATGCGAAAAGCAGCAAGCCAAAGCGGATAGTCCGCAGCAGCAGCAATATTCTTGCAAGACAGATGCTTCGTCCTCGGCATCAACTTCAAGTTCGAGTTCGAGTTCGAGTTCAACTCCAACCCCAACTCCAACTCCAGAAGCGGCTTGAGAATCGGCTTGAGAGCCAGCTTCAGATGTGACTTCACCTTCAAACCCCATCAGTAAATAAGGACCAAATCCTGGCCACAGTCAGGCGCAGTAAGGAACACCCACAGGACCGACCGGCTGGCGACCTTTTGAGTTCAAAACGTATAGTTCAAAGTTCAAACATGTAAACTGTTCTAATAAACTGTAAGTCTGTATACGGTATACCGTTTAGACTGTTAGTTTGCAAGTAAGATATAATATCTACTAGACAATCGTGAGCTTGTGACTTGTTAGACACTCAAGCAAGCGGCACGCCAAGCCAGGACATTGACCGCCCGAACAGTATCTCTGCAAGGCTGCAGGGCTTAGCTTCAACTTCAGTTGTTCTGTAGCGGCGGAAACAACCATCGGGTGACTGCTAACAACTCGACCAGAGACTGCCGATCAGCGATCAATGGTCAGGTCCACACAACAGAGTTGCTGCTTGGGACAAAGATCTCCGCTGCAAATAGACAGAACAAGAAAACGCTACTTTCCACCTGAGCACAGGTGTCCCGCGTTCTTGCGGGCGCGGGGGCTTGGGACCTCAAGATATGTTTCCATGTAAGCCTAGAGACCCAGACGGTCATACCTTGTCAACGTCGCCAGTCGCACATATCTGCGAATAATAGCCAGCTTGTCCATCCGGTCATCAGTCCATGTCCAGAAACACCGAGCACAACCCGTCGGTCGTGGAGGAATAAGCCTGGCGTGGTCCGCGGATTCGAGCGCGGCAGAGCAGTAAAATGCTGAATAATTTGGCAATTTGGTTTCGCCAGTTAAGCTTGGAGTTTTAATGATCGGAGGCCCGCAAATCGTGACGAGAACGTTGAACATAAAAGATTGAATGGAGTGGTTTGAACTGAAACATTCCAGCTTGAAGATTTCATCGGCGGTTAAATTCCAAACAGCAGCAGCAGCAACAGTGCCAGACTGTGGTAATGCTGAATGCTGTTTTTGAATTCTGTAGTGGTTGGCATGTAACCAGATGCCAAATATTTGACCAGTTAGTGTTCTAGTATTTCTAGTTCCGAAGTTCTGAAATATTGTAATTTGAAGTTCAAGAAAGAACCAATTGAGTTGTTTTGATCTTTCGAATTGAGGTTGCAAGCCTCTCGAGAGTCATTGTTAAAACAGCAGCGGCAGCACAGCGGCAATAGGGTGGTCCTGTTATAAGAAGTTCTTGAACTCTCTCTGGCTCTGCTGTTTTCATGGAGCTAGATGCCCATTAATTTTGCAAGTTAAAGTTCTAAATCTTGTGGTTCCGAGATTTTAAAATTTTGAAGTTAAAAAGCCATGAAGTTGTGAAACCTTTAAAGGGAACAAGTGAAATGTTTTTGGTTCTTCGAATTGAGGTTGCAAGCCTCCCGAGAGTTGTCGTTCAGACAGCAGCGGCAGCACCAAGCCATACTGGTGGCCATACTATAGGCTGTTTTGGATTCGAGGGTTGGAGCTCTAAAGTTTTGTAAATGTAACCAGAACCTAAAAAGAACGAATGGATTTTAGGTCTTCAAATCAAGATTGCAATAGTCTCGGAGTTGATGTTGAATAGCAACAGCAACAGCATCACCACCAGGAACACTCTGTAGTCGTGCTATAAACGTTTCTTGAGTTGTGGTGGTCGTCGCGGGACTAAATGTCGAACAATTTGGTCAACTGATCTTCTTGATGTTGTAAGTTCATTGACGACAAGGCTCCTAAAAAAGAATGAATGGAGGCTGGAGCTGTTCTAATATTTTCAATCAAAGTTGTCTCGTCGTTTCGAAGTTTGACTGTTCAACGTTCAAGTGGTGTCTAATTTGATGTTACTTTGAACTTGCTTCTTTATTTTTGCTGCAACTCTGCGAGTTTCTAGCTGTATGATGCACAGCACACAAACGCAATGGTTGTGTTTCTCGGCAACCGCCTAACATGTACTAGTATCAGTGTAAGCGCTTCCGTCATTATTTTAACATTATAGCAATCCAAGCACTGAGGCGTGTTGAACTTGGAGGCTCGAGCCTGCCGAAAAGCGTCTGCCGCGAGGATGAAATCTTGAGCAATGAGTGCACAACTCAAGAGGGACTTCATTCTCCGATTATATTCTTGTTGAAATTTTTTCACTGTTTCAAACAATCCACTTCCATGTGGTAGCAGTGGGCCTGGAATGTCCATGGAGAGATATCAACCATGATATTCTGTTCCGTTTCTTCTCCTGTCCTTGTTGTACACTAACAGCTCGTCTGACTTGATTGACAGATCCCACACTTTCCAAACACATTTGCGGGCGTTAGATTTGCTGAAATGACGGCGGAGAAGTCTTGCTGAATATCTTGGCCTTGGCGCAAGCGAAGAAGTTGCTTGCGGGGCATACCGCAGCATTAGGCTCTATGCTTCATGCGTAAATGTTAAAAAAACATGGTCGATCCATCGAATAACAGTTGAGTGTTAATCTAATGATAAACCATTCTCTCTCGTATACTAGAAATACTTTACAACCGTAAATTGAGTTGAAAGTGGGGCGCTGGAGCCAATTGTTTGGCAGAGCAATGAGTCTGAGGCTCTGACGGTTGATTAGACAATGAAGGGCCTGAGGTTATGCCTTGATTTCCCGCTGTGGGTAGTGCAAATATCGTGGATATCTCCGGTTGTTGAAATGATTCTGATATATATTGCTGCTGGCGTATTTGCGTCTTCTCTGAGCAAGAAACACAGTCAAAGTCTCTAGTCCCCAAAGGAGCAGGGCTCGAATCGCTGAACCTGTACTATCCCTCCACCAGGGCCGCAAATGCATTGTCCAGAATTCAGGCATCTACTTTACTTCACCGGTTGACTCAGAGACTCAGAGTAGCGTAGCGCACGCAGCAAGCAGCAGGCAGAAGCCTAGCAGCAGCAGCTTCCGGGTAGTGAAGAATGTTCTAGCACTTCGACGGGTAGGGTATGCTTTAGTTGCCTTAAAGTGGGCGTTGATGCACCGCTACACTTTAAACAAACTGCCAAAACGAGGCCAATGGTACTGCAACGTAAGCGGGTGTCTTTCGAGCTCCGTGACTCTGACGGTAATTCAGCGCCATTGCAGAGCCCGAGCTGCTTGAATCCCAGAAACCAATCGCGCATTGCCATGGCTCGTGTTCAGGATGCAGCCCAAGGCTAAAGCGGTCTGAACGCCGCCAACGAACCCAATTGGTTCAACATGATTTCATCCAGCTCATGAACATAGAATATTGTGTAGGCATGTCCAGGATCCTGAGAAACTCAAGCCAGCGCGCCTCCAGTGGCAAAGGGCTACGCCAGCAGCGGTTCTTCCAAATATTTCAAAAAGGCAAACCAGCAAATGCTGCTCGGATTCTCCAACAGAGGATGATCTGGATTCTGGGGCGTGGGATGGCTCCAACATTTGGGAAGAAAGCAATTCGATCGAGGTAGACTACTCCGCTATATTGCAAACTTGTAAAACCTCCAATGAAATAGTAGCGTCCACGCCCTCCTTCGCTTTCTTCAGCATTGCTATGTATCCCGTAGACCGAGGTTGTTCTGGGAGGCGGAATGAAGTATTGACAGCATAAGACAAGTGCGTAGATCTCCGAGTGCCCTGATCTTTAATTCTCGAAAGAAATTCGACGTAAATGACAGATATGAGACCAAGTAAGGCGTCGGGGTTTACCAGTTTCGAAAAGACCGCCGTTGGAAAACTGAGATGTTGGCTATACTGGTACGTTATTGCATATTTCAGGAACCGGAAAACGTTGGGCCTCTTGTTGGCTTTTTGGAGTTCGGATGGACTTGTGAGTGGCCCGTTGAGATTTGTAGTAAAACCTTCGATATTGAGAAACGGTTGCCGCGAGAACATGCTCAAACCGATGAGCTTGGAGCAGTCCAGTCTAGACATGAAAATTCTGTCCCAAAATTCTGTCCCAGAAACCTAAAGGCGATAAAATATGATTTATCGTGCATAAGAGATTCCGTTATGAGGGGTAAAGGTCAATCAAATTTGCCGTTTTTTGAATTTTTTTATTGTTCTGTGCCGTCGTTTTCTTCCTCAACTTCGACTCATGGTGTGAAAGTTCTGATTTTCCGATAGAGGGTTTCATATATTTAGCAACGTCGCATACAGCTTTCTTTGAGATGGACCAGGTTAAGTCCGACCGTACGGGAGCTGAGTTCCAATTCTACGCCATTGATGTTCAAATGGCATGTTCAATGTGGCATGTTCAATGATAATATAAAGCGCAAGTTGCAACCACTTGGGATAGAACCATCGTCCTATAATGGTTCGGAATGTTGATACTTCATATTCAAAACCCAAGGCGCGCTGCCGCGGTACCACTTCCATTCTGCCGCCCGCGGCATTGGGAGAGCCAGAGATCAGGCGCCTGAAATGCATTGGGATAAATAGACCAGTTGCAGAGATAATGCTGCAGGAGTATCAGCAGAAAGTCGGCCTTGATGAGATATTCCAGAGATCATCCAGCGACAAGCGTTCCGGTAGGAGTTGCTTTTAACTGATCGTAGAACGACTTATTCTCCAATAAATACAATGTTTGAAAACGTGTTCTAAATGTGTATTTCCTTTCACCCGGTGACCTTGAATTTTATTCTTGCCGACATGCAAAGAGGAAAGAATCGAAAGATTATACAGCTTATATAGCTGAGCGAATATTTTTCATCCTCTGAGACTGAAGTCTGAGAGACACTGCAAAATTGCAAACTTTTTAGGAAGCCAGGGACATGTCGCAGCCCAGCTCCAGCTACTCTTGCAGCTTGCTCTTGATTGATAGCCATTGTCATAATTGGTAGACCGTTGGTAACAAAGTATTAAGGTTTGAGAAAGTCCATCCACAAGATGGACAAACCTTCGACGGTATCTATGTATGTCGGCCTTGGCTGGGAAGGTATCAGAACCAAGGTACGAGGATATTGAATTGGGTGGAAATTTTGTTTGATGTTTGAATGTATTAAAAATTTTGTTCGAAAAAGACAAAGATTAGATTGCAAGGTAGGGAATGGTTGTTTGTAAACGATTGTTCAGAGAATGTTAAAATTGTAACGAGTTAAAATGGAGAAGGGAGAAGGGAAAGAACTGAAGCGGAAATGGGCGGATACTTATAGACAGGTTCGCGGAGGGTAACGCTGCTGTCTGCTCTGCCAAGAACTTGACATTAACGCTGAATTCCGTCACTGAGGAGACCAATTCAGAGAATAACGCGTACCAATAGGAAGAGTGACGAGCCCAGTTTGTTTGGTGGTGGCAAAATCAAGATTCACACAAAAGCGTCACAAAACCACGCCATTGAAGTAGGAACATCTTCTGTTTCGGTTAGGTTATGAGTCACTATTGCAATTGAATTTAGAAAGTAATAGAGTAAAACGTATGTATAAACTTCACAGTGTAGTCAGTGTATGACCATGCAGGGTGGATAGAGTCGTGTGCAGATTTGTGCAGCCAGCGTCATTGGAATCCACAAGATACATTGTGTAGTGTATTGGAAGACAAATAACAAGCCAGTATATTGATACCTAGTTGCTGTACAACACCTTCAAAAAGACTCTTGGAGCCGTGGCCTTGCGAGGTCTGGTACCAGGAACCCTAAAGCCTGGTTTTCGTTCAATTCGTGCCCCATACATGGCTCTTGTTGCGCTGACCATCATTGAATAACCTTGACATGTCGATTCACAGTGGCGTTTACCAAGCTGTCAGGGTAGAGCCTTACTCTTAAGGCCTTGAGGGGTTGAATCACGGATTTTTCCGAGCGAAAAGCTCAATGATGCCCACCAGTGGCAGAATGACCCAACAAAGAGCTTTATCTGGTCGATATCCCAAGAAATATCCAGAAAAATCAAGACTTAGAGACATCTAGGACTGCTCTTGCGACACCCCGCCCAGCCACATCCAGCTCCACCTCTTGCGCGGAGCCTCCCATCTTGGCCAACACGTTCTTGAACTCCTCCACACCACCGCCAACACCGAAGTACATTCTCTTTGCCGCAACATAAGCTCTCGGCCGTTGCGATTGTGAGAGAATGTCAAGAAGAACTTTAGTGAAAGGGACAAGGCTCTCGGGAGAATAGATAGTCTCGCTTGCCAGAACCAAAACTCGACCAAGATTGCCTTCCGGTGATACTAGATTGAGGAACTCGTTGCCCCAGCTGCCAGAGATAGTCCGTATTGATATGTCCTTTTCCTTGAGATCATCGAAAAAAGCTGTGATCATTTCAGGCGATATGTCAAGCTCGTCCTCTGGCTTAGACGCATCAAGACGTTCTGTGACAACTGCCCATGACAAAAGCAGGTTCGGAATTGTCACTAATCGTAGCACTTCCGCATTGTAATCTGCAAGTGTAAAACGCGTGTTGGCACGGCTTTTGCTTAATGCCATCTGGAAAAGTGCAAGCGAAGGTAAAGCAGTGCCGCAGCCCAACTAAAGTAGACTTAGTATTTGATAAAAACAGAGTGGAAAGTTCAAATCAAAATGATTGCACTGTCGAAGCAATCACGGGTTGGGTTGTATGGTAGGGTTAACATACCTCAATGCAATGCAGTTCCTCAGTTCCGACCCCACCTTCCTCTCCTTCGTACTCGTCTCGAAGAATTTTTGCTAGGTCTTCGGAGCACTCCCAACTTTTATAGCCGCCTTCGTACACGTTCTTTTTGATATCATCATTACCAAGTCCGGTCAAATCGGCCCCTTGGCCGTGGGAATCCTCAGCAATAAGTTGGACACGGACATCAAAAAGCTCCCTTCGAGGAAGTTTAATGGTGCGACCGGCAGCTGTCCGAAGCTCTAATACGCTGTATAATATTCTATCAGGCAATGATTGGTACTTTTGATAGCCGTTAGTCAGGGAAACAAGAGAAGTAAAAGATCATTAGGCTTTGGGGTAACGCTGTATGCACTGAAATAAGAAGAAAAAAATAGGCAGGCAGAATGAGAAAAAAGATTGTTCATGACTCGAATGTATCACAGAAAACAGAAGGGTATTAGATAGAGTTGCTCAATCCAGCATGCACGATACAGGCGTTCATATTTGGATTGGAATAAAAGGGCTGAACGCGCCGAGACAAGCCACCCTCACCACTTCCACGAACTGTGGAAAGAGAAATAAGAAATTAAAGCAAAAACAAGTACAACAATGAATAATTGTTTAAAGCCGCAATCCATGCTCCAAGTAGAAGGGAAATTGGATTCAACATCAAATAGAATTTAAGACTGTAAGGCGATCACAAGAAACGCTTTTGCAGTGGCGTTAGTACTTACCAGCTCTTCAAGATTCAGCAAATTTGGCTCTAAAGGAACGGCCATTGCTGCATTCCCAAGTGCATTTTCTTGCCTATTTCCATTTGCGTTCTCTGTCGGAAACACCTGGGCAATTTCAGGGCTAACAACCTGCTCGATTTCGTTGTCGAGCTCCTGCTCAATATCATCTCCGGCGAATGAGAAACTAAAAGCCATAGTGATCTTCGAGATTTAATTGAACACAAGCGCAGCTCATTGTCAAAATCTTTTGGAAAGTTGCTGGCGTGTTCAGACTTTTGAGGCCTAGAATTCTTTTGACGGGCGCACTGATTGGCCGAAAAACGCGATTGAGATGCGATGGTGAGGAAGCGAGCGAGTAGCGCAACTCGGAGCTATAATGAAACAGGCTGAACGACGCAACAATCGCGCAACCACATTCAATCTCACAGAAACAATATTATGATGAAGTCTCGGTGTTGAATTGAGGTTGGGATTTGGATTTGATTCGAAAGGATTGAACTTGATCAAAACCAGTTATAATGCATTACTAGTTCTTTCTGATGCAAACTACTGTATAACTATAGACGATTCTCTTCCAGTGTAACCGTATAAGAAAAAGCCCCTCTAATCTCTAGATAACGCCGTAAAATATGGTATAATTATTTCCAACTTGTAAATCTTCATCGTTTAAGCGTGACCGTTGACGCCGTTGACCTTGGCGCCGCTGACAGCCTTCTCCAGCGCTTGGAGAGCATCAGCCGTGAGGTCTTCGGCATCTTCGATACCGCAGCTGAGACGGACAAGGTCGTCAAAGACACCAGCAGCCTCACGCTGTTCCTTGGGAATACCAGCGTGAGTCATGCTGCTAGGGACTTCGCACAAACTCTCGACACCACCCAAACTCTCGGCCAAGGTGAAGATCTTGGTGTGTTGGCAGAATCGCTCGGCGGCCTCTTTTCCACCCTTGATACGGAAGCTCAGCATACCGCCGCCCATACCCTTGCGGTGCTGCTTGATGGCGATGGCGCGTTGCCGGTGGGAGTTTAGACCGGGATAGTTGACGGCAATGACGTTGGGCGAAGCCTCAAGTGCCTGAGCGACGGAAGTGGCATTGGTGGTGGCCTCGCGGGCACGGAGATGGAGAGTCTTGAGACCACGGTGGGCAAGCCAAGAGTCAAAGGCTGAAGGAACGGCTCCAATCGCGTTCTGGAGGAAGGTCAAGCGCTCCTTGAGCGCATCGGAATTGAAAGCAGCAACACCCATAAGGACGTCCTGAAACTGGTTAGTCACACTGTCGATACATGATGTACTGAAGTGATAAAGGGAACTTACAGAGTGGCCATTGATGTACTTGGTCACTGAGTGCACAACGATATCGGCACCATGGTCCAGAGGGTTCTGGACGTAGGGGCTCAGGAAAGTGTTGTCAACAACAACGAGAATGCCATGCTTGTGGGCCGCAGTCGCAATAGCTCGAATGTCCACCAAGCTCAGAGTCGGGTTGCTCGGGCTCTCAATCCAGATCAGCTTTGTCTCTGGGCGGATGAGCTCTTCAATGTCGAGCTCGATGCTGGGCGTAAACGTCACATGGACGCCGTGGGCGGCAGCAACCTTGGTGAAGTATCGGTGGGTACCGCCGTAAACATCGGAGACGGAAACGACGTGGGAGCCGGCAGCCAGGGACTGCAGGACGATGGCGGTGGTGGCGGAGCCCGAAGAGAAAGCAAGCGCATAGCGGGCGTGCTCAAGCGCAGCAACAGCGTTCTCAAAGTTGTCTCTGATACGCAGATCCCGTCAGTAACACCGTGACACAAGAAGGGTATGATCCTTCAATAACGCTCACCTGTTTGGATTGGAGCTTCTAGTATACTCATAAGCGCCCACCGGCTGTCCAACAGCCGTCTGTGCGAAGGTCGTTGAGAGAGAGATCTGGGATATGATTAGAGAGACTGGCCACACCCACAGATATTAGATCTTCAAGGGTAAAGAAGTAAAACATACAGCTTCAATCACAGCTCCAGTGTGGGGGTCATGCGGGGCACCAGCATGAACGGCAAGGGTACCGAATCGATGAACGGGCGAAGGGGCCCGGGGAGGGGTCTGAACAGGATGCTCGTGCTGGGTCATGTTGGACAAATGGACGCTCGTCGCGACAATTTACGTTGATTAATTGAAGTGTATAAATATCGACCCTGCAAAGCACGGGACCGTAACGTTCTGATTTTGTGGAGGATTTGCTGGCTAATGTACGGATTCGCTTCAGCGGGACGATCCCTGGGGAAGCTTTGGATGGAATGACGGGAGCACGCAATCGATGGCTTTTCTGGCCTAATTGACGTTTGTGTAGGAAAAGAGTTTAAAGATCATGCCAGGAATCTATTGAAATTTTTTCTCCTTCTTTCTCTTTCATCCTTTTGTACCAAATAATCATGCTACGATCAGACGGTTGACATTGGTCATCAGCTAGCCATGTTTTTGCGGGAATGTTCCATTTACATTACTTGATATTTCCGAGATTTTTCACCTTGTTGGCTGACAAATGGACCAAATGTCCGCGAGTAGCCGCACAGAGGGGCGAAACGTCAAATGTCAGCCAATTATCCGAAACCTGACAGAGTTTTGCAATTTTTTCACCTGTTTGAGAATAATGATTCTTTTATACTTTGCTCGAGAGCTTCATCAAATATTCCTCCAACCGATTAACACACTATTATATCGATATATACCAATTCTTTTGCTAACTCGATATTGCAAGGGCAGGAAGATGTATCATCACGTGACTAGACTGTTCAGGCAGATGTCAACTGTAAGGGATACTGAAACGGATGGTCCCTCTATATAGGAATATGCTGTTTCATGTTACAATTCCAGTCGCAAAAAGGCTACGAGACAATTAGGATTAAATCAGACAGCGCCGATGCTTGGTCGCTTCTAACACGACAAGTGAATCCAACTCGCTTTGCGCAAGTTTGACCTCACCAGCAGGGTTGATTCCTGCTCGGGCCATCCGTCCCCGGGGCTCATCCCCATTGTGGAAAGCAGTGCACATCAGCTTAATATTAATGCAGTACAAATGTCTTGTGCCTTGCTGCAGCTGCGCTTGTTCGTGGATACTTCAATTCTTCAGCGACTGCAAAACAAAAGCATGTCTCGAATCTTCAGATTGCCATGACGATTGAGCCCCAGTGTCCCCAGCATTAGAATATTCGTAGATCCCTTGAATGTTGTTGTAATGATTTCTTCGCGCAGTCAAGCAACGTGGTGTGATCATAGCACATCTCGATTTGGGTCTCGGTCACTTTCTCTTTCGCCATTTGATGAAGCGAAATAGGGCGTGCTCGAATCCATCTCGTTTGCTCTCGGACCACATTGAAGGCTGACCTGCCCCCACCCACGGTAACCTTAACTGTGTCATTGAGCGAAATGACCGTGTGGAACTCACAAATCAGCTAAGACGGTGCCCCTGAAAGCACTCGGCGCTTCTTATTCGACGTTCCCTGGTTCTCTCCTCAATTAGCACAGTCCAGGCAAGTCCGGAGGGAGGCTAAGGAAGGATTCAGATTGACATTTAACCCAAGCGGGAGTCGGGGAGAAGGGTTTCCGACCCAGAAGGCTCACTAGTTCTTTGAGACCGAGCAGCAAATAATTCGCGCCACAAACTGGAGGGCTCTTCTCGTATAGAAAGCAATTGAGAATGGGAAAGCTCCACTCACGCCCATGCCGAACGTCCCGCCCACATCGCCAGCTTCCCCAAAGCGCCACTTTCACCACTCAGCTACTGCGGTCACGGCTAGAAGGTGGAAAGAGCAAGTAAAAGGGTGGCAAAAAAAAGTTGAAGAAAGGATGAACTCGATCTAACGCAGCCCGCGCGGGCATATTCCTGGGAACAGCCGCCAGGATCTGACACCCCCCCGAAAGTTGAAAGACATCACTGGTCCGTAACAAACAAACGAACCAACGGCTAGAAGCCATTTCCAGTCAGCTCCAGGTTTTCACACCAAATATAGGCCCCCCTAAGATGGAAACTAACCGTAATGGCACTCTCTCTGCGCTTTTGCCTCATACCGCGTTAGAGTATTTTGGGCCGAGAAAGGGTCCAAATCTCTTGGGCCCCAGGGGTAAGTTTGAGTGGAGATGCCGAGGGAATGAACGACTCACGAGAGTTGGGACTCCCCTTCTTTAACCCTCGTGTCCTCCACCTCTTCCCCCCTACTCTCTCGTTCCTTCCTCTTTCTCTCAATTCTTCTTTCGTCTCCTCTGTCGTCATCTGCATTCTTCGCTGAAAGGCGTTCAGATCTTCTTTCCTCTTCTGTATACACGCCTTCGGCAGTCTTTCGTTCAACGTCATCACAAACTCTTTTCGTGTCTGTCGCTTCTAGAAAAAGGACCATTCTTCCATTTGAACGCGTCTCTTCTCTTTATCTAAAGAAACTCTGAACACTTTGTGACAAAAAATCAATTTAATCCAACAACCTACCAAAATGCGTTTCTCCGTCGCTGTCATCCTTTCTGCCCTCGCGGCCGCTGTTGCTGCGCAGAGCAATGACAACCCGTTCAAGTACCCTACCGGTGGCTGGGGCTTCAAAGCTGGCTCTTCTACTGAGATTGACTGGGACCCCACTACTTCTGGCACTGTTACTATCCTCCTCCGTGAAGGCGCCAATTCTAACCTGAGCCCTGGCACTGCTATTGCTAGTATGTTTTTCAACCACTCTCTTGTTCCCTCTATCCTACGACCAGACGGCGTTCGCCGTGGCTCGTTGTTTTATAGCAAAGGCGGATAAACACAAGACTAACGCTCCTCCTTTCTTACTATAGAGAGCATTCCCAATAATGGCAAGTTCACCTGGGCCGTCCCCGCGGATACTGTCCGTGGCGCCAACTACGCTCTCGAGATCGTCGACGACCAGGACTCGAGCAAGACCAACTACTCTCCTCAATTTGTCATTGATTCCACTGTCATCGCTTCTTCTTCTTCTTCCTCGAGCGCGTCTGCTTCGTCCACTTCGGCTTCCGCTAGCTCTTCATCGGCGTCCGCCGCTTCTTCTTCTTCGTCTGCCTCTTCTTCGGCCTCCTCGTCGTCTGCTAGCTCATCAAGCACTTCGTCTGCTTCTTCGTCCAAGTCCTCCCACGCTAGCTCTACCTTGAGCAGCGCCACCAAGTCCAGCGCCACCGCTGCTCAGACTTCTTCTCACACTGCCGCTCCTACCAACGGTGCTATTGCTCGCCAGGCTTCTATTGCCGCCCCCGTGGCTGCTGTCCTGCTCGCTGCCGTTGCTTTGTAATTGAGCAGTCCTTGAGAGGAGGAAAGCCGGGTATTGGGCATTATCAGCATTGAAAGACGTGTCAAATTCTTGGTCGGGATTCGGGAAATGGGGAGTCCGTGAAGAAATTTCGAAAACCTGCTGAAGCCATTCCGGTGTTTTCATTTTCTTTGCGCGGTATTATACTGTACGGGTACGACTCAAGCGTCTTCTTTTTTTTGTTCTTTTAGGTGGAAAAACCACGACATGCTTGGTTCCTATCCAAGTCTATGTTCTTTTTTTTTGGGAGAACGAAGGCCTTCCCGGGTTCCTTCTCCTTGTTTATACACTTTATTATTCTTTTTTGTCTTTTTATTACGCAGCGTAATGCATTGTAATGGATATCAGTAACTTTTCTCTACCCAAAAAGATGACTGCATTGCATTGTGATGGGTTGTACAGTACTGCTAAAAAGCTCTGGAATATGCGCCTTGCAATACAGCCAATACCCTGTACCGTCTTGTAGACATGGAAATACACGTGTACATGGGCCTGATATGTCACGGGCATTGAAGATATTATAATTTACAATATGCTATGATACAATATAGTATAGCGCTTCCCTATGACGAAAGTACAGCCCTAAGGGTAACCTGATATTTGACATGATAGAAGCGGAGCAATGAGCAAGACAGTAGACTGTAGAGTGTAGGATAAAACGGTATATAACCTTTTCCCATCTTCGTCAATGTCCTGCGACCTTTTAGTCCTGCGGCTTTTAAGTACTCTTTAGTAATGCACTATGCTGTATGGAAGTTCTGAAACACTAAAACGTGAAATATCTGATCTCCCTTGCCCCTTGCCAAAAGGATGCTACCGCGAAAAGACTTCCCCCTTACAAACGCCAAACTGGTAGGCTCCGACAAGAAAGCTGTCATGGAAACCGCAGCACAAAAGGGGCATAGGCAGATGCCTATCCAGCTTCCGCCTCGTGACGCCCACGGTGTGCGTTGACACCCATGCTGTGCGGTATCTCGGGGTTGTTAAGAAAAAAAGTGTGAGAAAAAAAGATATAGGGCATGATGCGTTTTCCGGGGAGGAAGTGACATTGGATGGGTTAGGAATCATGGATTGTGACCTGGAGCAACAGAAGGGCCGGGACCAGGACCGGGATCAGGACCAGGACCAGGACCAGGATTAGGACTAGGACCGGGCAAAGGTACAGGAATGGTAAGGAAGCCGCGCTCGCCGAGAAATTTGATTGCTTGGACGACGTGCATATCTTCTTCTTCTTGTTGGCGGTCGAGGAGCTGTAGATTAAGGGGAAGATGGAAAGTCAGTATAGAACCTTGACATTGCAGAGAATTCAAGGAAGAGGAAGAGGGAAATGACGAGAAAATGAAAAGAGGGACAAAAGAGCAGAACAAAAGAACATCAAGCGAAGGGGGCGTAAGAAACAGGGTAGAAGAGATCTCAAAGAGAGGCCAAGAAAGGGAAAGGGAAAAGGAAAGGGGGAGGAGGGGGGGAAAAACCAAGGGAAAAAGAGGGGGAGAGGTTCCGAAACGTACCCGTTGATGCAGCGTCTTCCTGCCGCCCGACTTTTCCTGCAATTGCGCTTGTCTCCGCGCGGCTTTATCCGCAGCTACCTGGGCGGCGCCGGGGGCATGTTCATGCTTAAACGCGCATTTGTTCCCGCGTTTACATCCGCCTGAGCGGGAGAAATACTTGCATACTTGTTCGCGCTTTTCGCGTTTGGGCGGGGGTACGCGTTCGGGACCACCAGTGCGACGGGTAGATGTTTCCTCTGGTGCGGAGGCATCAGAGTCGGAAGCAGCATCTTCATCCTCGTCTGATGAAGATCCGCTGGAGGAAGTCTCGTCTTCGTCTGGCGAAGGTTCCGTGGAAGAGGAGGAGATGGAGAGGTCGCTGATATCTGAAGATGCGTCGGAGACGTTGCCGTCGTCATTGTCGACATTGTGACTGGTTTCGGCGGGCTTAGATTGACTTTCTAGCCGTGGCTCGGAGATATGGGGAGATTCGGGTATCGGGATCGGTTCTGGGGCAGGTGGTTGAAGGGGTGTATTTCCGTCGGTAGTGCCAGAGGTGGGGATGGTAGCAGCACTGTCGGGTATGGTCCAGCCGGCAGACGGATCTGCAGGGTTGCCAATGAGTTTGGCTTCCAGATTATCGAGAAGAGGATTCGCCTCCGAGTCCTGTTCGTCTTTTCTGAGCTTCTTTCTTCGTCGTTTTTCAGCCTTGACTCGCGCCTTTGCAGCGGCTTGCTCTGGTGGTATCTCCTTTTCTTTACGCTGCTTGTTGCGCGCTTGTAGTGCTTCTTTGCGCTTTTGTTTGGCTTCTTCGAGAATTCGCTGCTGCTGGGATTTCTTCTCCTCGACGCGCTTCTGGGTGGGGTATCGTTTTCGTCGTTCCTCGATCCATGCTGCTAGGTCGGTGGGATTGTTGAGAGTAGAAGTTTGGCCGCGGTAGGTGAATTGGAGTCTGCGTAATAAGCTGTGGTTAGTTCCTTTACATCATTCATAGCTGGAAGGGAAAGGGTGTATTACTTCTCGGCTGGCACAGCAGCCCCGGAAAATGCAGCCTCTTCATCAACGTCTTCTTCGCTCTCCTCGTGCTCTTCTCCTCGCGGAGTCAAGCCAAGTAAATTAAATTTCCGCCTCTTGTGGCTCTGCTTGTTATCTGAAGCTTCCGGCGCCGGCGGTTTAAGCGGCAGAGGGGCGCCAAAACTGGGCACAGCTGGTGGTGCTTTTGGCTTTGGCACTGCGCTTCCATGAGAACGTTTCCCACCTCTGGGAGCGTGGTCGTTGCCGGGGGTTCGAAAAGCATTGTACGGAGCGTTGGCCGGGTAGTTTTGGTCGTAGCCCATATGCATAGGCGTATAAGCCGGGACAGACTGCGTAGCTGCTGGCCATGATGGCGGTGTGTATATATTTGTATTGTTGTGTAATGGCTGAGAGCTTGCACCGTAGGGTAGAGGCACGTTGCTGTATCCGGGGACCCCATTTTGCGCACTGACGGTCTGCGACGCATACTGCTGAGGAAAATTTGTCGGAGGATATGGACCGGTTGGAGTCGCTTGTGGGGATGTAGCAGGCGGAAAACCAGTATGCGGATAGCGTGTATGTGGATATGTCGGAGGTTGTGCGTTCAATGTAGACGGAGCTGCATATCCAGAAGATCTCTGTGCGGTGAACGCACCACCACGACCTCCATAGCTTGTGCCTCTTGAGAACCCATGCCCATCGCCTCTACCCCGACCTCGATTGCCTCTTGCGCCTTGTCCACCACGGTTCCCAAAATTATTTCGCCGCTGGGTGTTATTGTTTTGGTCTGGGCCGGCAGCTTTCGGAGGTGGGGGCGGAGGAGGAGGAAAAGTAAAATTGTTGGAGCTCATGTCCTTAGCATGGCTAGAGGAAGACGACAATATATTTGAGCTGATCTGCGTAGCGGTTCAAGTGCTTCGCCAGGAATTCATATAAAGTGAAGGCAATAACGCTGTGTACTTTAGCAATGTTTGCGACTTGGAAATCTTAGAGCGAATCTGATTCTGGGGTGCATCTTCGGCTGAACATTTCTCCGACCCCGGATCATCTTTTTCTACCGGGGTGCTCCCAAGGCCAATACATGATTGAGACTGAAACTATATCTAAAAGAGAGAAATCCAAAAATTTGCGGCCTTATTCGGGACTTTTCATTTGCCCAATGTCTCTATGAGATGAAAAGCGACGATTCATGACGAGAAGATTCTGTTACGCTGACTCGATGAACTCCGCCTGAGCTTGCCCTAACCTCCGACTCTCCCGCCATCTCACAAAATGTTTATTCTTGTATGTCCAGTGGAATTGTTTGACTTCTTGTTGATTACAGACTGCTAATGTGCTATAGACTACAATATCTGACTTGGTGAAGATTTCGCCGGCAGACTTCTCCAAGCCCAGCATCCAGGCAATAGAAGACAATATCAATGCCAAATATGCCAACAAGGTAAGTCAAGTTTCCAACCGTTTAGCTATCTGCATGTTCGAAATGATTCTTACGCAGACACATATAGGTCATCCAAAAAGTTGGTCTATGTATATCTTTGTACGACATTCTGTCAGCGTCTGAAGGAAATATCGGGCACATGACCGGCATCGTCAACGTCAATGGTTAGTCTAGCAGGCTTCAGAATTCTTAAACTCTTATGTTTTTCAAGTTTTCCTTGATGTTCTCGTCTTTTGTCTTCCAATGTATATCCCTATTGTGTACACATTTGTTTATTCGTCTATCATGCTGCTTCGAGCTTTTGCCTTGTCCAGAAAGCTAACTCATCCAGTCGAATTCCGCATGATTGTATTCCGGCCATTCAAAGGCGAAATCCTAAACGGGAAGATTAGCAGCTCATCACCGGCTGGCATTAGGAGTAGGTCACCCATGTTTGGCTCTTCCCGGTCGTTTCCAGCTGTCTTATTTGTACTGAGGTCTTCATGGCCAACGGCAACTGGCAGCTCCTGAGCCCTTTTCTCCATTCAGAAGTCATGCGTCCATAAGACCCTCCTGCTAACCAGACGCAGTACGACTAGATTTCTTCGACGACATTTTCGTCCCGCCACATCTCTTATTCGACGGATCAGTATTGTATGTCCTGTCCTAAGTTTCCCCTATATTCTTCAAGAAACCCCTCCACTTGAAGCGATTACCTTCTTTACCGACAAGCCTCCTGGTTGTGCATCTTCCTCCATACGGCTGCATATAGCTAACCACGCCTTACTTTGGCCAAACAACAGTGACCACCGGGAAGCGGTATTCATCTGGCGCACCGAAGACGGCGCCGAGCTCTTCTTCGACAAGAATGAGACCGTGCGATTCCGAGTGGAGGCCGAGTTCTGGAACGATCAATCTCCCGTGGGGCCGGGATCATTAGAAGCTCAGGCTAACGGGGGTGAGAATGGTCACGGGTCAAGGAAAAGCCCGTATGTGATTGAGGTATGTCGATGAAATCATCTTTACTTCCTGGTTTTTAATGAATTTTCTTGTTCCCCGATCCTTATTTTGTATGGGTCGGGGATTTAATGAAAGTAAGATTATTATCGGATGTTAGACCGGAGATTGATTGTTGTCTAGGCATCAATGTCCCAAGGTGGTTTGGGGCCGACGTTATGGTGGTAAATACGACAAAAAGAACAAGGATATTTTTGCATCATTTCAAAAGGACATAGAGGATAACTATGATTATACTACGGAGTTACTGTTCACGAATCAATTTTTTTTACCGGGTCATCATTTGAACGTGGCTTGCTTTCATTTCAAACTCAAACTTGCATCACTCAAGAGATCATCAACTCTACTGATAAAATTAAAACTTTTCATTAGACTTGTCCGGGTACTGCTCTCAGGCGTACACGCGGCGCCTGCATCCTATGCGATATCCATTAGGCTATAAAATGCACAGCAGCAGCTGCTGCTGCTGGAAGGGCCCCTTCATCCACTAGTCATAAAGCATGGCTAATCTGAAAAATCGCTGCAATGAATTGATAATTCTTCGTCAAGGAATTTTCGTATTCTCGGGTGCGCCCACTAAAGTAAACGCGCAATCGTGGCTCGTATTCAACCGTCAGTCTCTAGGGAATTAAAAAAAAGCATACAGAGAAAGAAACTAATAGGGCTGAGCTGTATGCACGTGGTTTGGGGTCCATGAGCATTGTCAGCTGCAGCAAAGAAGAGAATTGCAAACTGGGGATCCAACTTCAGTCAACACACCAAAGACCATTCTAGTTGAGGTAAGTCAGAGCGGCGACAGCACAAGCCACCAGAGCCAAGGGGCTGGCGTAGCCAACAACGGTCGCACCATTGGTCTGGTTCGGCTTCGAGGAGCTCGACGTCTGAGTACCGCTTGAGCCAGTACCCGAGCTAGCAGCACCAGACGAGGAGCTGGTCTCGGTTGTGGTGGTGGATGCAGTCGAGGTCTTGCTCGTGGTGAGAGTGGCGCTCGAGAGGGTCGTGTTTCTCGGAATAGAGGACACGCCGGTGCCGCTCGGGTTCGCAATGCCAGAGGTGGCATTCTGAACCGCAGAGCCATACGAGGCAAGAATCGAATGAACAATGGAGTAGACGGACGAGGTTGACGCGGCAGGAGCGGTGGTGCTCAGAGAAGCGGCCGACGTGACGGATGCAACCAACGAGGTGGCAGATTCGACCTCGGAGCTCAGCGAAGCGGCAACGGAGCTGAGACCAGCAGACGTCGAGCCGGGCTTTGCAGTGGTAGGGTCAGAGGAAGCAGTTGTGGTGGTAGAGGCCGCCGCAGCCTTAGGCGCACCACCAGCAAGACTGAACTCGCCCGAGTAATTGTCCTCTGAGCCCTGCTTGATCTCCAAGGCATAGTCATCACCGTTGATCAAGGTGGTCGATGGGGTCCAAACGAAAACGCCACCAGACGCACCATCTACAATGTCGCGTTAGCAAGTTTGGTTCTTCCCAGTCGCGCCAGCGAGAGTCCACAGAAGCGTGTCTGAAGCTTACCAGTAATAGTCTCAACGGTGTCAAGATTAGAAGGATCGCCCTTCCTCAAGATGATAGTCACGGGCTATTTGCATCAATCAGCGGTTGTGGTCGTCGACCTTGATGCCTAAGATATTGCTTACCTGGCTCAGATCGCCGCCATCCCACGCGAGGGTAGTGGGGGTACCGGCCACAACCAAAGACGGGTTGAAGGTAAACTTGAGGTTACTCTGAGCGAGAGCCACGCCGACGAGGACGGTAGAGACCGCGAGGAGAGACTTGAGGTAATGCATTTTCAGAAGAAGGATGCTTGAGAATGTATGCTAGAACGTGTGCCGAAGTTGATAACTCTAGGTCAAGACTGTCAGACGAGTGGAGAAAACGTGGAGAGAGGAATGCGAGATATTAAAGATGGCAGCCAAGGGAGAAAATGGGGGTGGCGGGAAGTGGAGGACCAGATCTTACACTGTAGTTCAAAAAGGATGCCGAGTAGAATACAGTATTAAGTTGAGGGGGCTGTAACGCTGCAAGGACTGGTAACACAAAAATGCGATGATGGAAGAAGATGAAGAAAAAGAGAAGAATGGGAAATGAAGGGGATGGGAAGGGGAGTTATGTAGGCATTCGGAGGCGACGAGAATCAACACGCTAGCGAAATCTCAAAACATATGAGTCGGCAGGTGCACACCTCACACAAGCAACAAAACAATGAGATGGCAGCGGTTTAGGAAGCCGCCATTGGAACCATGGGAAAGAGCGGACGCTTTGGCAGGAGCCGCACCTCCGTCATTCCTTCCCCAGCCTTGGACAAACCCATGATTTCTACGAGGGAGTGTAGAATACAGCACAAGATTTTCATCAAGATGATGTTGATAATGATAATGACGATGAACAAATGGTCTTTGCGCGCGCAATGGAATCATCAGGTTGATAGGGCACGCACGATGGACAGGGGACGTTTGGAGCCAAAGCAAGTCTAGTGCCAGCTGGCTAGTCGCGACGGCCAAAAGCTAAATCTTGGTAGCGTTCGGGTGCCTACCGAGCTTCATCGCACCTCTATCCTGTACGGATTGTTATGCTTTTCTCTCACTGCCTTTAAGTAACCCATCTTATTGCTTTCAAGCTTGATCAGGTTGCAGTATAATTGAACGGGAGCCCATTGGATAATGTTATAAGCAGTTGGTGGCTGTTTTAATGGGGGAAAAACGAAATTGCTCATGTTTTAGAATCTGGGTTCTGGGGCGGTCAAGCCCTTTCCTGCTGTGGCCAAGAACTAATCTGCCTTAACGTAATTTCGTGGCGCATCGGCAATGACCACAGTAAAGGGCCTTCCCTTTCAATAGTTGCCCTCATGGAAATTGATGAATAAAACCCTTTACTACAAGTATTGAGGATGCGCGTGGTTAAATCGACTACCATGGCCACGACTGGGGCCATTTGTCCAAACTATATGATATGGCCTGGCCCCGTCGCTTGTTTAGATCTACCTACAGTATGATCCGTCGCTTTGATCCTTGCCAGACCCAGGTGGACCTTGTCGTCATATTTGATGGAAATTTTCACCAACCTAACGACGCAAAAAGCATGACAGAAAACCATTATACTCGGTAATAGAACCTCTCTTCGCCTTTTGCCACAATGCTGCGCCACTGTCCAATATTTCAGGTTCCGTAGACCCAGAAAGGGCCGTTCGAGACAGCGTATGCCAAGCCCTACCGACATGATCCCCTTGACTGACAGGAAATTACCCTCATTTCCAGCGAACCAATAGCCTTTCTGGAATATCTTGGATATACCTAGGTCATGTGGTACAGCAATAATGTAGGATCTGGTAGGTAAGGTATAAAACTATACCATATTGTGCTCAATGGTACCTGCGTGGACCAACAAGCAAGGGGGACGACATGACGTTTGAGACAGTTCAGGAACAGGCAATGCCAAGCGAACCATGCACGGACCATGCACTCGGTTAATCTTCCACATGAGGTCATGCAGCTGTAAGAGTAAGTTAACCAAGTTACTGTGTTTGATGTCTTAGTCCATCTTTTTCGCGTCAAGTCTCGTGATTTTCACTCTTCATCATGTCTTTGGATGAGCAAAATGATTGCGTCTTTTATTCAGCATCGGCTGGCGATGCTGGGATTGGGCTTTTCGCTGCCGAGCCCATCTCCCCGGGCCAAGAGGTCCTGTCGATCCGGAGACCCTTGATCGAAGTTGTCGAGACGAGCAGGCTCAAGGATACTTGCTCTAATTGCTTTGCATGGGTACCCAAGTCTCCCATCAACTCCAGAGGAAGCCGACTAGAAGGCGTAAAGCTCAAGCAATGTACTGGATGTCGAACAGTGGCATACTGTGGCAAGGTAAGTGCTTATGATGTTTGCTCATGTGTCGCCCGTTCATGCAAATAAATATTTTGAGCGTTTTGGCTTTTGCGTCTAGCACAATCCTGAGAGCGCGTTTCTGGAATCAAGAGGATTTTTTTTTTTTTTGTTGAATATGTTTGCAATGATTCTCTTTGATCGTTGGATTATTGTCTTCTTCCGTTTTCTCGCCCTATCTGCTTGAGATTTAGTTTCATGATCATAAGAGAAGTAAATGAAACCCTGACAATTTCGATACAGGCATGCCAGACAGAATCCTGGAAGACCCGCCACAAGTATGAGTGCAAGCTATTTGCAAAAGTATTCCCTAACATTTTCCCAACCGCTCTCCGAGCTGTTTTGCAGCTTCTCCTTCTTCGGGAAAAAGGTGCATGGTCAGAAACCGAGTGGCAGTCCGTTCTAAGGCTCCAGGACCATGTTGATGACTTTCGGCGAGCTGGAAAGTCATGGCAGAGTATCGCACTCATGTCGAAAGGCGCACATGTCTACTCTGGTACAAGTCTCCGTGAAGATCATGTTCAGGCGCTCTTGGGACGAGTATGATATATTCCCCATAGATCATGTCAACCAAAGATGCTGATATACGATATCCAGGTTTTGACCAACTCTCTGACCCTTGTCACGCCAACTTATGATCCCGTTGGAATTTGTTTGGATCCCTTGGCAGCTTCGTCGAACCACTCGTGTGAATACAACACCGTCGTCACTTTTGACGGCCCGCAGGTGTCGATGCGGTCTCTCCGAGACATTCCCAAAGATGAAGAGATAACAATATCTTATATTGACTGTACCAATTCGATATCCATTCGTCAGTCAGAGCTCTCCAAACGCTATTTCTTCACCTGCAATTGTCCCAAATGTACCAGTGGCCCGACTCAAAGGGAAGATGTGTTCCTCAACACAGAAATCAGCCGGTCAGAAGCTGAGGCTGCTGAAGCTGAAGGTTTCTCCCTCTTGGAGGATGCAAATCAATCTGCTGATCATCTGACTGCATTTAACAAGCTCGAGTACGCAATGCAGTTTATGCGGAAGCGTTCCCATTTATGGTCATTTGATAGACAGCCCTGGCCATCGATGCGTCAGCGGATGAGCGTCAGCTGTATCTCCCTTGGGAAATGGGACTTGGCCCTCGGCCATTCCCTGAGGACATACTTTGACGTTGATCCCATTCTATTCCCTCCACCTTTTCATCCGGTGCGCTTGGTCCATAAGTGGACCTTGACAATGCTTGTCTTGCATATTTCTCAGTTGTCTGCCGAAAAGGACCCTTCGGTTGAGAGGCTCCAGGATTTGGATCTCAATTACGGAAAGATTATATGGGGATTGATGATTGAAGTGGAGAATAATGTCGACCTCAGTCATGGACCAAAGAGTACATTTGCCGGTATTGTGAAGGAGAAATTCGAAGAGATCCGGACAGACATGACAAGAAAGGATAACGCTAAGCTTCACTTCAGCCGGGATGACCTTGATGCAGAATGGAAGAAGCTGAGAGAGGTGGCCAGTCAATTGGGGACCTAGCGCCTTCACGGCTTATTATCTCCATGGCGTTGCGTTGAGCTGCCATCTGGAATTCAAAACCTTGTGGCCTCAATTATACGGCTCGAGCAGCACTGGCCTGGGAGGTTGGCATCCGCTGAGACCCCTTCTCTTGTTGGGCCTTTTTTTTTGGCGATGCTTTTTACCTTGACCTTCACTGCACTATCCAATCAGACTAGTCGGTGATGATGTCGTCCTGAAAGGCTAGCTGCTACAGTCACATTTGCACCTTTTTTGCCGCTTTCGACACATAATTATTCGTCCAGGCGTCCCAAACGGTGCGTTTTTGATTCCGCCATGTTCTCTGGGCGGAAGTTTGCATCACACAGACCACCCCAGGACGACTATTTAATCCCCCTTCCTCGCCCCCCTCGGACTCGGTTCATCTTCTCTACTTTCGTCTCATCCGCGCTCAATCTTTTGCTTTGAGCCAACTGCATTTGCATCTCTTTCTCTTCCCCAAATTCTTCTCAATTTCTCGTTGCACTTAGTCAATCAAAATGCCTGTCCAAAGCAAACTCTGCTCAGGACCCGCCGGCAACGGTGCCCCTGTTGCTACTACTGGCAACGGCCTTGCCTTCTTTTTACCGCTAGCGAAGAAGGAGACTAAGGAGAGGTAAGTCTCGCACTCCCGTCTTCTTCCCTGACCTCTACTCGTTGTCCAAACTTTTACATTCCATCTTACTCGGCGGACTTGCTGATAGTCACAGCATGCCTGATGAGGTGACCATGAATCAGATGATTACGGCCATGGTCTATGAATTTGAACGCCTTAATCTTCCCATCCCCACTGGCCTCATCTCTGGAATTTCCCACCAGAATCGCACAAAAGCTGCTATTGAGCATAACCTCAGGCCCTTTAGACGCGCTGCGGACAACCTCAAAAAGATTCTGGCTCAAAACCCTGATGCCTTCCCGGCCAAAATTACTCAACGTAAGCGCAAAGCGCCCGTTGAGAAGCCTGCCGAAGCGGTTACCAATGAGCAAGTAGCCAAGGCTGAGGAGCAAGTTGACGCTGAGGACGAGCTTGACACCGAGGATGAGATCCCGTTCCAGGCGCCGGTGGCCAAGATGATGAGGACTGCCGAGGGCAAGAAGGCTGTTTACTCTCACCCTCAAGCGGAGTAAGCAACCGTCCTACAGTAAGTCCTCCTCATCCTCTCGCCGTCTCACTTTCTTATGCTAACCTCTACATTTGCAGGCTTCATTTTCAGCCTCTCGCTTCCCTCTCGCGTCTGCAATTTGTCGTTTGAGGATTCCTGGGATTGGACTGAACATCTGGAGCACTGCCTTTTTTTACGAGATCTGATCAGGTGATTTGACTTTTAAGCTCGAGATTTTTTTCCTTTGTTATTGAAACTTGCGTTGATTGTATTTAAGCCTATTGTCAAGGCCGGATTGTTAAATGGGAACTCTCTACTCTTTCTAACTTGTCTCCGTAACCTTCTTTACTCTTGACTTGTTTACTCTACGTAGCACTCGCCCTGGCATGACTTGATATCCTCAAGCCTTAATACCTCTTGACCTTTAGATTGTATACTTGAGCTGTGTGCTATATATCCTCGTTTATGTGCCCAAGGAACCAACAACATATGAAGGACATCTACGTCTACGTCTCAACACCACACTCGCACACTCGCATCCTCATCCTCGTGCTCGTAGTCCGTGGATTGTAGAGGCGAGGCGTGGACCGTGGTATACAGCTCAAGCTCACGTCTCGCCAAACAAACAACATTCACCACAGCCCACAGCCCACGGCCCTCCCCATTCCCCATTTCGCGTTCCCTTTTTCTTGGGGTTCAGTGTTCAGTGTTTATGATTCATGGCTTTTCGGCTTTCGGGCTTTCGGGCTGCCGGCTTCGGGCTGCCGATTACCTGCCACCAGCTGTCGGCTGTCGACTGTCCAACTTCTTTCTCATGAATCATGATATACTAGTTAATACGGCTCGCTGAGTCGTTGGTATTCACGTTGACGGTTGAATCAACCACCGCCGCACCGCCGCACCGGTCCACCGAGTACGGACATTCAACCAAACTGGGAAGTCTGGGGACCTGGGAACCTAGGAGTCTGGGAGTCTGGGAGTCTGGGTCTCTGGGACACCTTCCTGTAGCTCGGAGTCGGTAGCTCCCCAAAGTTCAAACGAAATACAAACACAAGGAGTCGTGAATAGATGGTTATACCATCCAATGGCTAGAAGAATAGATAACCAGATGCGTTAAGTCATGTATATCCCATTGACCAAGGTAGATAAAATAAATAAGCCGATTGCCAAAAAAACGATGATAAACCTACAAAAATAAATGATAAAAAATACAAAAAATTAAATAAATAAAATAAAAATTAATAATAATAAATAACAACGCCAAGCCCATCTAATTTATGACAATGTATGCAAATCCACAGGACAATATCCTCTCAGCGCTTTAATTCCCTCTGTGAGTCTGGCCATGGGCAGACTTGTCGTCCGCTCGTCGTTCTGCTTGAATCTGAATACGTTTTTGCCTGCCGCTTCCCCTGCTCCCGAGGCCTCGTGACGCTGGGACTCGGACTCGAGCTCGGACTCGGAGGGAGACAAGTAAGATGTATATGCTGTTTGGAGTGCGTGGCACCATTCGTAGAGAACTTTGTCTTGCTCGTCGGGAGAAGAGATGCTCGGGACGAGGATTGCGGGTTCGGTGTCGTCGACGGCCTCGGCGGTCTCAGCCGTCTCTGAGAGCTCGGTGAGACGAGGTTGAGCTTCGACCAGCGCTTCGACGACGTCATTGACGAATGTGGAAATACGACCGCGTAGACGCTCGCGACCGTCGTCGGGGCGGGTATGAGCGGCGTCGAAGATGGGAAGGAGACGGTTGAGAATGGACAAGGTTTCTGGTGAGAGCGACGGGTCCTCGGTATCTGAAGACGAGGAAGAAGAAGAGTAGGAGGAGGAAGACTCGGAGGAGGAGGAGAATGATGACTCAGAGAATGAGGAATCTGAAGAATCCGAAGCATCTGAAGAGGGCGAAGAAGAAGATGACGAGAAAGAGGATGAAGTAGACGAAGAAAAGAAAGGAGAGGATGCCAGAACGCCAGATCCTCTTGACAGGCTGGAGAGGAAATACACAATCTTTTCAGCAACTTTGGTGTCTTTTTCAGCGGACAAGGCGTCGAGGAGGAAAGAGAGCAGCTGCACTGTAGGGTTCGAAGAAGTCGACGTGTACGACGAGTATGAGGAGCCCGACGAAGATGTAGAAGATGACTCGTGGGACACATTTCCAAAATGGTTTACAAGCGCGGTGAGACCAGCAGGATTATTTTGCACTGCAGACCCAAGAACAAGGGCGGCATTGGCGCGGATGTTTGCGTCTGGGCTGCTCTGCATGAGTGTGAGAAGAGAAAACACAGTGTCTTGAGACGAAAGGAGTCGGTGGCCCCAGTATATCGAGTGCGCTAGTTCCTCGAGTTGATCGAGTGCTGACATGATGTTTTCTCCTTCGGGGATTAGGTGGTCATCGCTATAAGCAGACGAAGAAGATGACGGGGAAGAGGATGAGGAAGAGAGAGGAAGAGAAGACTCTACCGTCTTGGTCTCGCCAAGGACGGTTTCCACAGCGACATTGAAGATGTCGTGTTCCTCTGATTCCGGAGGGGCTGGCTTGATCTTGCCGTCGTTAGAGTATGACGGGGGTTTCTTTCCAGACTTTTCAAGCATGGATTTGTGCTGCTCGTCCTTGTGCACTTGGCCAAGAACAGGCTGGATTTGTTCGGCTCCAGAACCGATTCCGGATTCGTAATCATCGTCCTCGTTTGCAATGACTGCGACGGCGCGGTTGTTTGTGCTTTCGTCCAACGTCATTCGAACGACCCCGTCTTGGTCACTTGAAGGATCAGCATCCATGTCGGTATTGATGCGTCCTTCCTTTTTTCCCGTCTCTAGATTCATCCGCAGATGTATTCCTGCTGGGATATGTTGATCGTCGTGTATGGTCTGAAAGTCTTCTGTCGGTTGGAAGACGCGAGGGTAGCATGTTGGTACAGCCCCTTCAGGTGAGGGATGACATATTATGTCATTGTCTGAGGCTTTTCCGCTGTGTACAGATGGTTCTTGGCTCGATGCATTGGAGAATGAGGCAAACAGCAGAAGGGAGAGAATGGATAGAGATGATGAGAGACGCATTTTCGTCCTTTTATAACGAAACAAGAAAATTTAAAAAGACAAAAGAAGGAAATAAAGAAAGAAAAGAAAGAAAAATAACAAGCAGTAATTATTTCCAGACTTCTGAACAAGGGTTAAAATCCGAAAATGATATAGTCCAGGACACGACGAGAACAGAAGAACAAGGGACTGAGCAGTGAAAATGTGTCAAATGCTTATTTTGAGAGAATCACAAATTTCAACATAAAATAAAGATAAATTCAAAAAAAGATAGATCCAGACTTTCATAGGAAGGAGATGTAAAAGGCAGACAACTCCAGTTTAGATTTGAATGTTGAGAAAAGTGTCAAGAATAAAAGCAACGCTGTCCACTTCTTTGAGCAACGCTGGGTTTCGATCCGAAGTTCTACCGAGGATTGCAGTTAATTTGATGACTAAGCAATCCATGCTCGTCGTCTCCACTGTCACTTGTGTGATTGACGGCAACCAACTCCACTAGAGCGACTACTTATCCGTTACCCCAGAATCTGTTGAATCTGTGGGGACTCACTGGCAATTGTTTATCAAACTCCCACAATTATACTTCTCTAGACTCCCACGTATATCATCTTCAAGATAAATGAAATATGCGAGGACTACGTATCAATCATAGCCGTCTTGCCGCACAGTCATCACGAAGACTACCCTGCCAACTCCAGCAACGCTACGCCAGCTCGGCATCGCACGGACATGGAGAGCACGGCGAACACGGCCATGGACACCCAGCGCCTGTCAATGAGCCTTTAGGTGTACGTTTCTTTACAATATGTATTCACTTTGCTTGAATTCCTATTTGCTCAAATATGACGTAATGTTTTGGGTTGCTTCGATAGCTTGGTGTGTTGAGTGGTGTGAATAACCTCAAACTCCTAATTCCCCGCACTCGCCATCATATGCTCTCTGATTTCTTGTTCAATTTAAATCTATCGGAAATATCAATTATCAGTCAAACAAGTCAGCTCATATCTCACAAAAGCAAGCTAACATATTACGAAATAACAGAAATCATTCTACTTTACCATCGCCGCCGTTCCGTTAAGTTACCTTCTATACGTATTATCCAGGGGCGCCCAGGAGGACGGCAAGACTGGCCAACAAACAAAGCCACTATTTACGCGCGTCATCGACTCGTACTCGGACTACAAGGAACGTTGGGTCACGCGGAATACTTTGCATACGAATATGATGGAGCAAGCGGCGTTTGACCGGAACTTGTTCCAGAGCGCGCCAAAGAGCAAGGCAGTGGACTTGCGATTTCCCGAGTACGTCCATGCCTTTTCTTTACCCTTTATCTCGAATTAATCCGTGCAACTTTTCAACTTGCTCTATTTTATATTGCTCTTAAATTATTTTCCCCGAACCTCAATTCGTTTTTGGGCGATTAGAGATGCACCACCTGCGTCATACATCCCAAACCATGATCCCCAAAATTAACAACTTCTGCTTTGGTCTAGAGTATTTAATACCGGATCCCCATACAATGTCCCTGCCGGGAACGGCGGCGGTAACATTGACGAATTAATCGCGCATTACGAAAAGAAGAATTATGAAGATAATGAACGGAAACTGCGGGCTCTGCAGGAAGGGAAAGTTGTGCCGCGCAATTGAGACACGGGCGTATTATTTTACCACTTAGTCCTTGATTTTCTGTTTAGCTTTCTCCGGTTTTGAACTATATTATGATGGAGCCTCTGCATTCTGCGACTTGGTTTAATTAGACTAGCACTTTGTATCTATTCGCCGACCTGATTTTCACAAGATAGGTATAAACAATATCATCTCGCATTTTAACCAAATCCTTGAGCAAACAACCAAGTAAGAAAATGCTCCTCTGCAAGAACACATCTGATCAATGCACGAGTATATCTAGATTGATTGTATTATGTAGTAGACTGGGTATTTACTGCAGAATAAATGTATGACTGCAGAACATGATATGATACTGCGACTCTGCGCGATAGTGCCTAGATAGTTATCGAATGAGGTGTACTTTATACTACTGTTATAGTGCCCCTGAAATACCATGAAGACCGTGAGACCGTGAATCCACTGTGTTTCTTATTCCTCCCATGTTACCCCGCTTTTATTCCTTCTCAAAATAGTAATAATAGTAATGCACGCTCAAGAAACCAGCTGCTCAAGGGGTGACCAAAACAGTGTGTGTCACGGAGGGGGGATAAAAAGTAGAGAAGAGTACAATTAAGACTATTATCTTCAAGAAGAGGAATATCTTCAAGAAGAGGAAGGGGCGGGAGTTGGAGCAGGAGCAGGAGCAGGGGCAGAAACAGGTACAGGTACAGGAGTAGCGCTATTTGATGCGGACGTGACGGCTCCAACTTGATCTTGTTGTTGCTGTTGCTGTTGCTGTTGTTGCAAAACCTGGGGACGCCATCTGGCAAGTAATTTTGCAGCAGAGGAGCGCGCGTCTTCGTCTGATTGCATTGAAGGATATACGTTAGCTTTGAACATGTACCCGGGTGAGTGGAACAAATGACGGCATAAAAGGAAGAAGAAGAAGAACAATGGGGAGATGGTTAAGAAATGAAAGCTGGGCGACAAATCTCGGAAAGGACTTACAATTTCTCCATAAATCTTCTAGTGCATCTATGCAAATATCGCGAACAGGTGGGCGTAATAAGATGAGATAGCTGCAGATGATCAATGATCCTGTTAGTAAACCTGCCATGGTGGAAAGAAAAGTAGGAGAGAGAAAAAAAAAGGAGAAACGAACTGCAAGGAATTGACTGCCAGTGAAACACGTTCTGGATCGCCGGCCAACTTCTTTACCCTCTCCAAGACTGCTTCGCTCACGGCGGGCATTTCGGAAAGTAGCCGGATAAGCATCTTGTCTTTTGCGTCAAGATAGGGCAGGATTCCGTCTATAATCTTCAAGGCCCACTTCTCATATGTAGGCTGCGGGTCGTTTCCATTCTCTTTCTGGACACGCTCGTTGTACCACTCTTCGTTGAGCCAGGCAATTGCGATATCCATGCGTCGACGGAAATCTTCGATGAAATACAGATATAATGCATCGCGAATGGAATCGCTCAGGCTAATGTCCGTCGATTTCGTCATGGAAGTGGATGGTCCATCTTCAGTCTTGATGTTGGCTTCCGGGTCGTAGTCATCGAGTCCAGTGGATGCCCGTGTGGCCAAACGAATAATGACTGTGAGCCATGCTTCGCGATCGTAACTGCTTGCCGCTAGCCGGTTGATGCCTGTTTTGGTCTTTTTGCTGACTGCTGATCCAGACTCATCAAGCATATTCATCATGCTAAAGACTCGCGCGACAGTGCCTCTGCCAATATTTGCGGTTTCGTCTTGACTCATTGGCGGAGGCGGGGGCAGCTCAAATTGCCCAAGCGCGACGTCTGGTGGCGCGTACGTGTCTTCAGGTTCTTCAACGTCATTGTCGAGCTTGTTCATAATCTGTTCAGGATCTTCGGTAGGTTCGAAATCCGGCTCATATGCCTCGTCATCTTCATCGACTGGTGCCGCTCTTGGTGCCGCTCGTTGTTGCTGTTTTACATAGGTGTCGTATCGTGCTCGAAGACCCTGTCCACAGGTTAGAGCAGGTATAGTTTATTTGAATGGCGCTGTTAAACTCACATTGATTGCTGGGTCTAGGACTTTCTGGTCTAGACGATATAGGACTGGAAGTGCAATCTTGATAACAAGGTCGATCGGGAGCTGCGACACGTCAAATGACCTGAATGCTTCGTCTCTTGTCAAAGTGAAGAGCTGAGCATAACTTGCAGGCCCTGGCGGTAATGGTGGAACCGTAATTGTTGGGGTAGGTGTATCAGGAACACCCGCTCCAAGGCGCAAACGCTTGGCTTGATCCAGCCCATCGGTAGGTTCAATCGGGGGTCCGCGCTTCCGATTGGCATCATCGAAGAACTCGAGTCGCGACTGCGCCATTCGCTCCATGTATTGATGTATCTTTCCGGCCAATGGTCCATTGGGATTCCTATAGAGCCTGTCAATATGACTCCCACGTAGTCCCGAGAGGAAAACTTCCCCACACACCTCTTATTGATATTCAGCAGCAGTGCCCTTGTTGTCCGCTCCATCGATTTTACAATAACCTTGACCTTTGACGTCAACGGCATAGAGGCTTGCTTGAGCGGGTTGAAGTTCAGTATGGTAGATATGATCTTGTTCGAGATGGAGGGACGAGAACGGATGAGACCGCCGAGACAGTTGAGAGTGGCGTTGACCAATATCGCATCACTGCAGCCGCCAAGTGTTAGTATTTAGATATCAAGATTCATCCTTCGTCGAAGCTTTTACGTACAGCGGGTTTTCATGGAACACATTTAGCATTCTATCCAGCAGCCCGAATGTTTCGGCCTCGAGGTTCGTCGTCGGGATCAGCGGATGATTTCGAGGAACAAGTGTTAAAGAGGTCTCAGATTGCTCAGCACGCTGTTCATCCTGTCAGTTTTATGGACATTGACATGTATACAGACATGAGGATTTTCGCACCCTTGGATCGGCCGGCGCACCCGGCGTTTGGACCTGAACAACACGCTGGACAAACTTGATGCAGCACACCCGGACGCCTGCAGGAGCCGTATCCCACCTTCGTAGAATGTTTGACTTGATAGCAGCCATCTTCTCCCATGTTGGCGCATCATCAGGATTCGCAATTCTAAAAACAGATCTCTACATCAGACGCTGGTCCAAACTGACAAAACCCTGAGTGTGCCAGAAAGCAAAAAAAAACCATACTCTCCTTATAAACAAACTCGTGCTTCGATATTGTTCGGAAATGCAGCTCACCTTCTGCATTCCGTCTACGATGGGAAGAAAAATGCAGAGGTAATCAAGGGAAAGGGTCGAACTATGACAAGAACACCTACATGTGTCTAAAAACCAAAGGGTATATGCTGGCTGAGGCTTGGACCATGCTCTTGATCACGGAAGCATCCTCGCTGGGCAATTCCAATATCTCCTTTATCGTCTGCAAGACTAATAGACATAACTGCTGTTTCTGCTCCAAAGAAAGGCCCGGTGAAGCAAAGGTTTCGGCGAGGAAATCTGCACCCCAGCGACGGAGCTCGACACGGGCATGAGCACCAACAATGGGGAGGATACCCTGAACGATCTGCGAATAAAAGGCAGAATCGCCGAGAACCAGCTTGCGAGCTGCATCGAGCTGCGCCAGCTGGTCCGCTACTGATGCCAGCGGCTGGCTCATGTTGATGTACAGTCGTGTCTGTTAAGGATGCGGGGACCGGATGTATTAGGTAAATGAACTCGATATCAAATATTCGTAGAGTGTCTCTCTCTGCAGAAGTATCAAGTTGCAAATCTGATAACCCGGCTGTCAGTTCCCTCTACTCTGCTGCAGCTGAATAGTTATTGATTGTTGTCGGCGTAAAGCGCATCGAATCTAAGCATCGTAAATCTATTGCATCGACTGTAATTCGTATGGATGACGGTAATTTGATGGCTTCAATATCGAAATGCAGTGGAGGGTATCTCTAGATATAACGAGGTGATTTTGACGTGGTTAATGGACGAAGAGAAAGTTGGTAAAACGCGTTGTCAGTTCAAACAACTACACGCTGGAAGTGGTGCAGCCCAAAGAAGCTTGTCGCTGTCTCTCCACAAGCGAAAGTCTTCGCCAAGCCCCGACTGGCCGATGGTGATTTGAGTCCCCTCGGTCCGCCTCTCTATCAACTCCTAGTAATTAATCACCTTCATTCACCATCCTATTGCTTGGTTGCACTTAGCTCTCTTGCGTATACTCACAATGCCTATGTACGTCCTTGGTTCGATTGATTGTCCGTTTCTCTCCCAATTTTCAATGGGACCCCCTCACAATGTCTGGTCGTCGCATGATATTCTTTTCCGACTTGGCCGCATTTTCCAACGATCATGAAACTTTCTGCTAATGCCTGCACCTTTACTACAGTATTCCCCGATCCTCCTACTACGATAGGCACTATCGCCAGGCCCCGGCGCTGGTTCGCGCTCGGAAGCCGTTTCTGATCAAGAACATTCTGACTGGTGGCGCCATATTCGCATTCGTTGCTGGTGTTTGTACGTCCGCCACAGCGCAGTCTCCTCTACTTCATGCCTGGCAGATTTCCTCATATGTGCCATTCAATGGCAGGAAAAGATTTATATAGCATTTCTATGAGGATACACCGTCTCATGTTAGACTCATGCTAATACGATTGTTTAAAAGACGCATTCACGATCCGCGCTGTCGCGCAAGACGAGTTCGAAGATGTAAAGGTCCCTGATGCGCCTTTGCAGCCGGCGCACGCCCCGAATGCCACACCCGTGCGATCGGCTGGTACGATTGGCAGCGCACCTCTAGCCAAATAATTTGTGGCGGTATGGGGCAGCTTCTCGTGATAGGAATCGGCGGAACCCTCTAGAATTGGTTTTACAACCGGTACATTATATAATAGGGGAAAGACGAGCGTTAGCGGAAAGACACGCGGAGACAAGCAAGCATTGGGAAGGCGTTTTCTTGATTTAAAGGGAAGGATAGTATTGAATCTCACAACTTATCTCTGAACTCTCTTATCATCCAGCAGAATTGTGAAGAAGCGGCCAAAGAGTTTTTACGCATACTTGTAGGTTGAAAACGTAGAATTATGGAAGTTTTTAAAGATATTTGAAGATACAAAGTTTTGCAAAATATGTACTCTATTTGTAGAATAATCATAGTGACAATCCGATACGCTTCTTTGCTTCAAGTTGTTTGCTCTTGGATCCAGCCACTGTAGCAGACTTTCTCGCCAAATGTAAACTTAAAGTGTAATGGCAGTAACCAAGATGGCAAAACAACACTATTCAAAACGCTCAGACTTTTCCAATTGGTTGCAGGACGGGACAGGAGCAGAGCTCGGTGTGCATTTGGTGCAAATTAAAAGATGCAACTAGTAAACGCAGAAAATAAAATAAAAATGGCGATATCGAACGAGACAACAGCAATAGCAGTTTCAGGACGCGAATGCAAAGATGCGATATAATGCAACTATGCTCAGCTTTCAGCGATCAATGCATTCGCTAGATCTTAAAAGGAGCTGCGCAGCTAGAAATTGGATGCCGCTGTCGCCTTGACGGGGAAAAGTAAAGCGGGGTGGAAAGATGAGAAACACTAAAAGCATTCAACACCGCCTGATCCGTCTAACGCGTGTAAATGATTGGGATATCGAACATAAGGAAAATCTTGAAAAGGAGATAGATAAGGAAATGTTGGTGAGAACGTAAGCCTGCTCAGGTAGCGGCCATTTGCCGAGTAAGATTTTACATCCTCTTCATTTCAAAGTTCTCGGTCTGAGCCCGTCTAGGAGGCTGCACCCAAGAGTGCTGAGGGCCAGGGGCTTCTGATTCATGCACGGCCTGGGGACTCACAACACCGCTTCTCGGGTCAACACGGCTAGGTTCTCCGACCCCCTGCTCGAGATCAGGCTGGGCGCCCTGGGCACGTTCGCGGGAGTGGCCGAAGAACCGGTTGCGGTGGGTGGACTGATTGCTGCGGTTCCGGATAAGAGAGTCCATCGATGCACGTGCCTTGTTCGAGGAGGTGCGGGAGGTAGTGCGTGCGACTCCTTCCTCGGGAATAGTCTGTTCATGCGACATTCTCGAGCGAGAAGGCGAAGAACGGTAGTACTCGGGGATTCGGACGCGGGGAGTGTCCTCGTGGACGTCTGACATGGCATCCGCAGCGGCCATGGACTTCATTCCAAGAGAGAAATCCACTCGCTTGCTCATTGCCGACGCAGACTCGCCCCGAGCACGCGAGCTAGAGGGGCCCCGTCGCAGAATCGAAGGGTGTGAGTGCAGAGACTGGTTGTCATCGGCGGTGGGAGATTGAGGCCCGTCGGGGCCACCGGCAGCGGCACCAGCAGGCGCAAGCGGAGGAGCCATAACGTTTTGCAGATAGATCGGGTGGCCTTCGCGCTGTCCGGGCCAGCGCATGCGGGGACCCTCAATGCCACACTCTTGCATGGAGACCATGAGCGCGCAAATAAACTTGTTGCGACGCATGAGACGCAGACCTTCATTCTGCCAGTTGGACTTGTAGAAGAAGATGACGTTGAGAGTGATGGAGTGGCATTCGTATACTTCCCGAAGTTCAGTCAAAATGTTGCGCTGGAACTCACGCTTTTCCAATGCGACAAACTCGACGAGGCGGTTGCGGAGCTCTTCGATCTGATCCAAGGTGGTACCAAACTTGATCGTCACAGGGACAGCCTCTGCCAGGCCGCCGGAGCGGCGCTGGTTGAGGATGAACAAGGTGTTGAGATAGCTGTTGGGTGCTTGGACAATGTGGCCCTCCATCTTCTTGAATTCGGTATAGAGCAGAGCAATCTCCTTCACAAAATAGTCGTCTCCGCGGCCAGAGGCGCCTGTGTTGCCGTAGACGGAAACGCGGTCGCCGACATCAAAGGGGTGCTTGACGAAAACGAAGATGACCGAGGCCAGGAACTCTTGGGCGGTACCGGAGAAAAGCCAGGACAGAGCAAGGACGCTAGATCCAAGCGAAGTGAGAACGCCAGAGGCAGCCGTCGAGATGAGCGAAATGAGGACCAAAACGGTAATCAACAGAACGACGAAGAAGAGAACATCGTCCAATTTCCCAATGACCGAATCCAGGTCCTTGAGGGAGGCAGTAATGGACTTTCTTTCGCGGCCAATTTCGACGCAGACGGCTTCGAGTTCTTCCATGGAGATATCGCCGTTAAGATCCTTGTCGAACATGGTGAATGCTGCTTCGGCTTCGTCCTCGTTATCAAAAGCAAACTTGAGATCTTCAGCAGAGACAACTTCACAGTCCTCCTTGGCGAATGTGCGGTAGAGCCGACGCGCGAGAACCTGGCTACCTTTGGTATTGCCCAAGAGCGTGAGGACAACCTGATGGGGGTGAGTGCTCTTGTTCAGCGTTTTACCGGTAAAGTCACCGGCGACTTTGCCGGCAACGTCGCCAATCCTGTTCAATGCATCCTTGGTGTTCTTCTGCGCCTGGTTCAACATGGCCATTGGCGTTCGCGCGCCCGACGTCAGTCCAGATCCCTTGGCCTTCTCTTCAAATTCCGAGTCGTCCATGGCAATCTTTTCCTTGGAAAAGGCATACAGCTTAACCAAGCTTCCGATTTGGAATTTGTTCAGCTCAATGCGATCAGCATAGGTTCGCAAGTGGAAGCTAATGGCAATAAGTTGAATGATGACCTTCTCAATCAGGTTGAGGACGGTGCCCACAAAGATTGAGATGATAATCTTGTTAACGACCTTTTGCCAAGTTTGAGCAGTTATGCCAACCTTAGGACGCTGGTGATGTTTCATGATGGGCAAGAAGGAGATCATGATACCGAGCCACCATAAGAACAAGGTTGCCGGAATCTCGAGTTGCCTTCCCATGTCCCTCCATTTCTTGGCGCTGTTGGTGAACAAACTGGCAACCATACCGATGGGATAAGGCAAGCATTTTGCGACAATCTAGATGCAATTAGTCAGCCAAATTCGATGATTTTCTTTTTTCCGGCCAAAGATGAGGCTACTTACTCTTCCGGCCCAGAGAGTAAGCCAGACAATCAGGAGCCAAACGCAAAACCAGTCCATCTTGACGCCGCCAATGTAGGCATTGTGGAACAGAAGAGAACCAAGCAAGAGGGGGATCAGAATGGCGATGGCGACCGGTAGAATGTAGGTCAGATATCTGAAGATGATGTTTGAGTTGTGAATCTTGATGCACATCTTGGCAAAGTTCGTAGTAGGATTGGCCGGTGGATGGTACACAGCCGCTATCTCGTGGACAGGAACAGTGTTGACGTCGAATTCATCCACCTGGGAGTTTCTAGATTTGGAGCGGTTCAAAGACCGGGACCGCTCGAGATCTTCGTCAGCACGGATAGCATCTTGTTCTGCTCTGAGCACTTCCAAATCATCGTCGAGGCGATGGCTGTCCGCGCGCGATTGTCCCGTGTTTGAAACTATTGGGTGCAAGTGGTCGTTTTGGTCATGGTATTCATGATGTTCATATTGATCATCGATGTCGGCATGCTCATTGTGAATGGAGCCATCACCGACAAAAGTGTGTTCCTCATCAGATGACCCTGAGCGGGGCTCTGGCATCTCGTAGGTCTGTTCGGGCCGGTCACGGTCGTGGTCGTAAATCGGTGAAGACATTTTGACGTCCGGCCGGTCAGTGTCGCGGCTGCCTTGAGGTGGTTTAATTATTCGAGTTATTGCCGCAAAACTCGATCAACGAGATTGATAGGGCGTTCCTGGGAATTACACCCTATGATGATTGAAATACAAAGGAAAGAGAAAACAGGAAACAAGAAAAAGAGGTGAGTGAACGAAGGGCAGTAAAGACAGTCTCTCCCTGGTTATTCTGGGGAGGAAAAAGAAAAATGGTTCAGGAATTGAGAAAAAAAGATCCTAAGGAGAGGGAAGAGCAGGAGCCACAAGTAGGTAGATAGGTCCCACGGATCAGAGTCCCTCACCCTCTCGGTGTCTCCCTGAGATTTAGTGCTTGGGTTGAAGATCTCTGGGTCCTGGGCTTAGGACGCGTATCACTTCTCTTTAGATCGAGCGGGTACGGTGGTTCGGTCCCTTGTGGGAACCGCACGTCCAGCGAAGAGCTCGGTCGTTTAATTATGGCGTCTGCACTTAAAAAGATTGGCCGAAATGATCACACATGTTAGTTCTTGGCATGCTCGAATCGAAGGGAGTCGGCGTGTGTCATCGGTCGCAACAACGGGGGCAATTCTGCAAGCCACCGGAAGCCGGCGTTGCTTGAGCGAATAGCCCTAGTCAGGGCTGCTTTTCTGACCGAGAGTTATTAGAATCCGAGAATAGAATACTCTGGTACTGACACGGCTGACCTTTGACGACCCATGGATGAGGGAAGATCCTTTTTGACCACTCAACCGTCGGTTACACGGGGGTCCGGTACAGTAACTGAATAAAGTACAGTTCGCTCCGTAACTACTCCGTACATTTATCTGTAATCGGGCAAAGCAATTGGCTCGTTCGCTGCAGTAATATTGCCCACCCTGACCCACACCCCCATCGCGACGTCACTTTCCTCATTTCTCCCCCCAAACTGCCTCCCTTTCTTTGTGTGCATCATTCTACAGTAGTCCTCTGTAGATCGCCAATGGATCTGTAGAGAAGCGTATGGGCTGCTTGCATCTTCACGCCAAACATGACCAACGACGCAACGTAGAGGCTCAACTGCGTCAATTTTCGGTGGGGGTCCATTGAGGGGTTGACCTCATAGTTCCCTTTGCCCTTTCATGCCTCCCACCGCTTTCAATTAAGTTATTGACACCGATTCAGATCCATTCAGCAAGGATGTCTTGGACTTTTTAACATCAAATACCTCTATACCAAGTATATCTAATCCCATATCTCATATCTCCCTCCTTACACTTCAAATCATGACAGACATGGTCGATGGGGATGCTCGTTTCCAATGTCCAAAAATAAAAATTCAATTTAGACCGAGTAGTAATCTGACAATTTTTTTTTTTTTTTTTTTTCCCAGTTATAATAATAATGACAGGACCCTTTATTCGCAATTCACCGGCTTAGCCAGGACAGTTTGGAAGAGGCCGCGTGCTCGCCGAGGAGGAAGATAAGACGTCACCCCAAGTTGATGGTGAGAATTTCCGCGCCAAGCTTAACCCAATGTAGCAGGGTGGCTGATAGTTCGGCATTTACCGGACGACATTCTTCTTTGATGCAGGGGAAAACGCCACTCCCCTTGTGCCCCCACCCAATTTTCGCTCTTTCAGCCTATCACCCACACGTGCTGCCACGACCTGCACTTGAGACCCTCTACACAACTATTACTAAGGTACTTTATATCGTAGATACTGTATTACTGTAACTTGTATACTCAAGGTTCAACATCAAACTCTATGCTGTCGTGCTGTGCCAGGCTCTGAGACCTGCAATACTTTTCCCGGTGTTAAACTGATGCGTGGGGGCTGGAGACACAGCGTCAAAAGCCTCTCACCCTGCCACGACATCTTGCGGCGGGACCCTGAGAAGGCTCTCTCAAATTCGATTACTCTTTTTACTCTTCCTTATCAAACCTTACCCTATGGTGGGTCCCTTTGTTCCATTTCTGTCACGTCAATCACAATAACATTACAAACATATACCTTAGGTAGTTTTGTGCATGCTAAGATCAGACGCTTTATACATGATCAATCTGCTATGACAAGATGCTATTATTTATTCGGCCAAACCGACAAGCAGCCTTGAAGCGTACGTACAGGGGCAGCATCGTAATTCTCATGACAACCTGCATTAATTACCATCCCGGTCATCTGCAGAGAATACAAAGCCTAGGATGATGATGTTTCTCATGTTCTATCGACCCAGTTTGGCTTGTCGATAGCTGAAATAATAAAATGTCTTGCACTAAACGCCACCAGGCCATACGGTCATGCTAATTATTAAGAGGATCATAGCAAATCCGCCAACATACTCGCATTGCAAAAGACAAGCTTCGTGATTCCCTTCAACACGAAGAGATTATATGCCGCTCTAGTTGATAACAAGGTGCTATTGAACCGTGAAGGATCTAAGGTTCAGGATTTTCCAATTGTTTCTCATCATGTTTACCGGTGTGTACTTATACGTGAAAGGGTAATGGATGCATGTTTATTACTACGGTAAGCTATCTGGTTAAGGTTGAACGGTAGGGCCGCCGTTGCATGGCTTTGAGAAGATCCTTTGGTTCATTCCAGAGATGCCAGAACTCAGTTCAGTATCCACGCTGAGACGAAGCATGGGAAAGCCAGTGGAGAAACCCCTGTGGCGTGCAGTAGTGTCAGTTGTCCCGCGATCTGGTGTCGATTCGGCGTTTCGTCCGCGCTTCCGAGGATCGAATGCCGGGGTTTCAGCAAAAAAAGGGGCTTTTCAGGGATGCGCCTGCTCGGTGGCTGACCCTACTCCCTCACCACCAAAGATCGCCAAATGGGTGACTATGTGTTGGAATCAAAAAGGGACCATCAAAGCTCTCTGCGATGTTTCATAGTAGACCAGGAAAGTATACCGAGCACGTACCATTTGTTGATTGGCAGCTATCGAAAAAAAGATTTTCCATGCAGCCCTTCAATCCCTGCTGTGCTGAAAATGAATATGCGGCGCGAATCAGCCAATTTGATCGAGGTCTTGGGCAAAGAATGATCTACATTAATGGACCGTGTACGCGCCTAATCGCCATTTGTTTCCCAGTGATATTCTCGTACGAGTAAATGCTCCATTGCAATGTGGAACCTCGGGAGTGCCTAGAACACGCTCATCGGCTCGCAAACGCGACATCTTTGCTCAAATTACTGTTCAGAGGCCCTTGCCTGGTGGCTAGCTTGCACTATTACAACTGATACTTGCCTGCTTGAAAGCCCCAAAAAATGACTTACGTGGGCTATAGCTGTTGTAGATAATAGGACCCCAATTTCAAGCTGGATCCGCCCGTGGACACGGGATTGGGGAACGCAGAGACACAAAACAATAAACCGCTCCTGAACAGGAAAATATATGATATGCTTCGCGAAGCAGTCAAGTGAAGGACGGAGGTACAGGTCAGCTTTAAACATTAAAATGGCTGGAAAATTAGAAAGGAAGCCAAACAAGCTGTTTGACCTAGGTAGGTTCGTTTGCCGTGAGTATGCACCTACTCGCTTCACGGATATCCCACCTACTGGGAGAACATGAGACTTCTTCCGAGTCTTCACGATCGCGTTCACCGCACCTGCCATAGATGCTGTGTGTAGGATTGTGGGCATTGTTCGCCAAATTGCCTAGGGTTCAATGACAAACTTGTGCTTCATTGATCCTCGGAACTCATCACTATTCACTCCCGTTCCTTCCCTCATCTAAAGTGAAGTGTAAGCGATCTAGAAGCAAGTGAAGCCCACCAAACGCCCATAGATGAAATAAAACACAGAAGAAACTCCACCAAAGCATCCATGCCACCAAGCAAGCAACATCAATTGAGACTGTTGAAATGGCAGCTGTGGCGCCGGAATTCGCGTTTCTGTCAATTTACCAATTCAGCCCAATAGCGGTAGGGGTTTCCCGCCTGCAAATGAACGCCCAAAATGCTAATATTACTGATTAGGCAGAAGAATTGAAGAGAAGCTTTGAGTAAAGAGACAAATTCCAAATTAGTTGTTGACCATTGCAACTAACGACTTCAGATCTACCGCATTGGGCAAAAGAGCCATATGTGAATACGACCGTAACAAAGACGTCCGTATAAATATCCTAAACAGGTTGCAAAAGGCAGGAACTATTACTAAAAGATTCCCAGCTCTTTTATATCAGGTTTCTAGATGCATCCGAACCACAGGCAGAGGAGATATTTTACTCGTTCATAGACGTCTTCAATAGATATATCCAAGCTGAGCTTGGGAACGAGGAAAGCCAGGTAAGGCACCTGTCTGCAAGGATATTATGAGCTTTAGTGACGCTCCGCGTCTGCAGGAGAGCACAAAAGTTAGGCGGCTGGAGGCTACGCTCCCTGAAAGATACGACGTCAGCGACGAGGATGCCGAAGAGCAGGAGGATGCCTCGGGTCAACACGAAGAGTCGTCCGTAGAAGCTTCAGAGGCGGGCGGCGATGCCTTTGTGCTTTCCTGGAAACCGCAAGACTTAAAACTTCCTTTGGTGCAGGTGTTCAGTGACGAAGTCTTGAGCAACATCGGGACCTTAACTAGTTGTGCGCTGTCCGTGGAACCAGGAAAATCGGTAATCGCTATTTCAAGTTCTAGTGAGCATGGACTGCAAATGGCTGAGTCTAGGTTAGACAAACTCTGGCATGACTCTGTAGGTGTTTCACGAGAAATCATAGGAGAAAGCAAAAAGAAAGCTCACAATTATAGTGCACACGTCCTCTCGCAATACACCTTATAAATTGCGAAGGTGAGGCAGACCATATGTCACAGTTCTTCCCTCTCAAGAAGCTCGAGAAGAGACTTACCAAAACCACCCTGGTTGGCCATGTGCCTCATCTTCACAAGAACTTGCCCAATCTACTCGTCTTGCGGATGCTTAAGCTCGACAAATCAAGCCAGCAGTATCTTGTAACTAAATATAAAAATCAGCCAGTTCTGCCGGAGGGGAAAAGGACGACAATGCCGCGCGTTTGGGGCGGATTCGTCTTCAAACCAGCTGGAAGCAGTATACCTTATAGACTTCATCCGCCACCACTATCGCGTCCTCAATCACCGCAGAAGGTCCCTCAAACTCCTATTGCCACTGAACCTGGCCACGGACGCGGCATGACGGCAGAGAAAGCCGCCCAGGTGCAACAGTGGGTTCAGCAGGGTGCTGATGCTCTTGAAGACCCGTTTACTGCGGATCTTCCAAGTCCCAATATAGAGGAGAGTTTGGAGAAGGCCAAGAAATCGGAAAGCGAGGAGCAATCGCAGACTCTTCTGAAAACTGATTTACATGCAAATTCAGCCGTCCCAAGCCAGACTTCACCGCTCGAGCAAACTGTGGAAGATCCTCGTCTTGACGAGATTATACCCCCAACCAAGCCAGTTGCATCCTCTCATCCAAACGTACCTCGTAAGCGGTATGGAAAGATTAGAATCCCCAAGGGAATGAGATCAACGATTCCTGAGCCCGAGCAAGACCCAGAACCATTGCCGTCTTTGGGGGATGAATTGGCTGCAGAAGCTCTACCGTCAGATTCGAGTGCAGTTCAGGACCGAGCAGATAGTACCGCAGATGTATCACTGGCACGCCGCCCAGCATCATCTCGGCAGGCATCCTCAAATTCCTCGCGGCGATCAACGCCGTTTCAGGAGGTTCGCGCCTTTCATCCGCCATCTGAACCGATAACGAATGGTCCACTTGTCCGGACCATTTCGTCGGCGGCACAGGAAATTCCATCTAGCGAACCGCATCTGAAACCCTCTGCGACGACGTCTGAGAGAGCATCCGCACAAGCATCCATTTCCGGTAGCCTAGTTGATCTGCTTGAGTTTCGTGATGCATCGAGCCGCGAAGACACTGGATCACAGACTGAGCAGCCATTGTTACTAGACCTCGCAGACGATGGAAGAGGTTCGAATGGTGGCATCGCGAAAGGATTGCTCGCTGGTAGTTTGCTTCCTTCTCTGAATACAGCGCCATTGATTCCAAGGGTTGCGTCGAGATGTGAAAGTCGCGCATCTAGGTCGTCCAAGCTCAGCTCAGAGCAAAATATTTTGGGGGAGCGATTGCAAGAAACAAGTGAGGTAGAATCGCGGACTTTTAGAAAGACTATGGAACAACAAAAAGCCCCCGAGGATGAAGATTTTACCAACTTGGAGAAAAACATTGCGCAAGCTCAAACAGACGGCATGAAGCTATTGGAATATGCACAAACGTACAGCGGAGAGATCAAACTTCAGGTTGACATTGGGAGGATCCTAGTGGATGGGGTTCAGAAAAAGTTTCGAAAGATGCCATTCGTGGATGAAGAGTTTGAGGAAATTTTCGCAGGCGTTCAGGGTCAAAATGGGCCACTGCCTACGGCATCATTTGTGAAGATGTAAGCAACTGCCATGAAAGCAGGCTGGTGCCACTGCTAACACGATTACAACGTACAGGCTTACTACATCCTTTATTGACGCAGAGTTCATTACAGACTTGAAGTCTGCTGGTGGTCAGCGTCTTTTTCAAGATACACCCCATGAATATAGGATCACATATGAGTTCAATTGTCTGATGAGAGATAATACATCCATGTAAGTAAAATCGAGGAATATGGCTTTGCCAATCGGTTGAGAGTTCAGTTTTCTAACATACCGCCTAGTATGATTGAGGTGGATGAGGATCTGGAATTCGAGGTATTTAGCTGAGAGACCTCACGTTGTCCCTTCATTCAGTTGCTAAATATAATACAGGTTAAAAAGCATCCCACTACCCTCGGAACCATATACACTCATTTTCCGAAACGGTAGGCTGTCAACTTTGTATTGCATGTGTTCTCAACACCACTAATGTTTCGTAGAAGTTGGGACACGCGACTGGCATTGACAGGAACGGACTTTGTCACGGACGCCGAAGTTTCAGAGGGTCCGATCAAATCTATTGTCAAGAATATCAATATTCCGTAAGTTCGCCCCAGCAGTACTTTTCCCTCTAGTGGCGAATGTGAGTAATTGACTATGCCCCCAGCCCTGGACGAACATGTCTCGACCTCGTGACGCAAATCAATGGCAAGGCACTGCGCATTCAGAGTGTCATGCTCCGGCGGCAAGCGAATTATGCTTCTCGACAATTTCCTCATGTTATGCTCAATGTGACAGAGGTCCAAGATCTCTGTATCCAGGTCAATAAAGACGACAAGGACATGGTCCGGGCATGCGCGATGCCTCAAGAGCAAATGGTCAATGATGACCGCCTCTGGTACGAGGTTGCAGTTACAAGTAGCCGCGCAGACGAAGTCTTTCGAGAAAATCTCAACATCCCGCCGGGGGATATGGTTAAATGGTCCCCGTCTGAGTTTGTGGACAAGGACATATTCGACTCTCTCATTCGCGTCGCCAGTGATGTAGTCCAGCGGATCGATTCGGTTGGTCTCAATCAGCCAGGCGTCCTAGCTTCTGGTCCCAATCGCAGCGACGAGAGCGCAGGGCCCCCGCCGACTCTGCATCTTCCTGTCGCCCCGCCGATGGCATCAGTAGCGACTATTGGTCCTAATGGTGAAATCCGTGCTGGTAGAGATTTCTGGTAGGATATTCTTTACGGAAGTACGAACAATATATGCATTCTAGGCGCTGAAAAAAAAAAGTTGTTCAAAAATGCATTTGGTCTGGATTACTGCTTCCCCCCTCCCTAAACTGCTTTATTTCTTCCGTGCATTTCGAGCATTTCTAGCAGCGTGGTTACGACTGATGACCCTCTTCAAGAATTACCCCGTAAACTAGGTACCTTGGGCAGCTTCAAATAATATTTACGTAGAACAAGCAGACATCCCTGTTACAGTACTTCTTTTGATGAGAATGATGAAGTGATTGGGTGGGTGGTTTGGGACCGGCGACGCAGAGCAGGCCATTTCTACACGGTCGTTTCGGGCATTCTTACAAGTGTGAGATATCATGGCTGTCATAATACCGCAGCATCCATCTCTCGTTATTCCCATACAGAGGTTTATAGCTCATGGACGTCGCTGACTGCCAGGATCCGTATTTAAGAAACGGGTACTATCTCTTGAAAGTCTAGAATCTCTAGATACATTAGATAGAGTAGCTTCATTTCTTAAGCTCTATTTTCTAAATGTTTCTCCCGCCTCCATATTCGTGTTTTTAGCTCTGTTTTTCGTCGCGCTTTCTATTCTGCGCATTGGTCTTCTCTTTCCTTTTTCTCTCTCCTTTCCTTTTCTTCCCCCTCTCCTTTTCTTCCCCGTTTCCGTTTCCGCTTCCCTGTCTCCTGTTCCCCGTTTCCGCTTCCTGCGGGAGGATACGTAACAAGATATGTGACAAGATATGTAACAAGATACTTGCCGCAGCTGACTATCACATCGCTGATGCGGAAGTTGTTGAAAATGAGGTCCTTTTATTGACTAAAAAGGCTGCGATGATGAAAATAAAGTAAAAAAAAAAAAAAAAAAACAGACTACCTCCACACGCGAAGCGGCAGAAACAGAGATTCGTGAGACTGACTAAACTAGGTAGCTCAGAAAGCTATAAAGTCCCATGAGGACCATGAAATCCATGAAATCCATCACTCCCGTATTTGCATTGCCCCCGCGACCTTGGTCCGCATCCCCGCGCGTGTTTATGCAATTAAAAAAAATGAGTTTGTCATGTCATGGCGCCTTTCCAGTTTCCAATTTCCAAGTCGACACAGTGTCATTCAAGAATTTGTCCAGGAGGTTGCAACTTCACCAGCAAAAGCAACGATGGCTTGTTGCACCTGTGCCAGGCATGCGTAGCTCAGAAGTTTCAAGAAAATGCGCTTTCCTGAAAAAGAAAAGCAGAAGTGGCGCAGCGCCCAAGTCATACAACTTAGGAATTCCCAACACTGGCTCGTTCGGGGTTTCCATATGCCTAGATCCACAATGATTCTGCGATGTAGCCATTCATGCGGCCAGTCCTATCTCAACAGACAGTGTGATTGCAATGCCTCCAGATGGAATTTGCAATACCAAGGGAGACAACCACGTAGGCAGTAGAGGTTAATAATAATGACGGCAGGTCCATTGTCGGCATTCCCAAAGCGTTACTTTCACACAATTACTAAATATGTAGAATTGTCTTCTCCGATTTTCTAAAAAGCATGCTTTTTTTCCCTTCATCTGATTTTCACTTCTTTCATTTCTAGAAAGAAAATATTAGCAATTTAGTATTACTTAAAGGAGAAATAAATAGTCGCAAAGAATATAACATACCTGTGTTTAGATTGCACTCATGATTGTCTACCTAATTTTGAGAATGTCCATCCACATGAGGGAAAAATACGTATGTGAGCTTTACAAAAGCCTTTATGGTTTAGAATAGTATGACGGCAATTTCCAGAGAGATCCAGCTCTCTGACCTACACAGTGGTGACTTGTGAAACCAGCTCCTGAATTTGGCGCCTAGATTGCACTGATGGAAAATGTCCACCCACACGAGGAGCAAATCCTCATGTGGGTTTTGCAATATGATTTTGTCATTCGCAGTGGCATGACTGCAACTGCCAGAGAGTCCAGCTCTCTGGCCTAGGCAATGGTGATTTGTGGCATCAGCTCTTACACCATTTGCAAATGGTGTACCAAAAAGCGATGAGGATTGAGCAGACGAGGAAGATCGGTCCGACGACCAACTTTGTTCGCTCTGAAAAACCGGAGCCGATAATCGTCCAGGACCCGGCCACGGCAGGGACACAGGCCAGAATTTTCGCACGCGCGTCACCGCTGCTGAAACGCCGGACTCGACTAAATCTTAATTAATTGAACTGAAAAGGATGCGAGGTTGAAAAACTTATGACCCAGAAACTTTGCCGGCGGACAAATTGCTCTGAGATCTTCGTGAAGAAGATCCCCCGGCTCTGGCCGAGCACGGTCTGCCAGTCGCTCGTGGTCATTCTCAGGAAGCAGTCCCCGTCTAGACACATGCTCCTCGCGATCCTGAGCCCTTCGACCCGGGGAATCCCCATCCTCTGCACGAGGACATACGTGATGAAGGCTCTGACTTGCTCCTCGGTTCTCGTGCGCGTCGGGTATGCGGGCGGGGGAAGGTGGCCTTGCGTGCGTGCGCGCTGCGCCTGTGCATCCATGGCAACGAGCAGTCAAGCAGTCTAGTCGTTGTCGGCGCCTTCATGAAAGGAGGAGGCTTCAGCAGGAGCCCGCTGCAGCTGCAGACTCAGTGATAGCCGGAAGACGAGCTCTAGTGGAGGGACCAGCAGAGAAAAGAGCAGCGGCACGCTGCCAAGTCAATCGTGGCCAGTAATGCTGATGCTTCATAGAGGAGAAAGGGCTCAGCCGACCCTTCGCTGGTCGACATTTTGCCCCTTCTCCTCGTCCTTCTTTGAGCCATTCTACTAGACAAAGATTAGAAGACGATAATAGAACTCCTATAGATTGATATAATTACCTTGCAATGGCAATCGAATTACTCAGATAATGAATAAAAATGGATTCCATGCACTAAGCCAGAAAGAGCGCACATTCTTTCCTTTTCAGCAAGAAGGGAAGGGAAATATAGTTGAGATATGTATGTTTGATAGTAGTCGCTGACATATTCAGAAGATAGAACAAAGACGAAACGGTATATTCAAGTTCTATATATTTGGTGTTCTATTTCTAAGTTGTTATGATTCTATAATATCCGACTTCTATCTGTCAGGGAATGACATTAGCAAATTATAACCGTTTTCTGCGAAGGGGTGGAGCGCCATTCTTATAGCCAGGCGGGACGGCCAGCGCGGAAGGGAATGGAAGGCAGTCACTTACCTAGGTGTGTATGAATAGCCACAATCACCCGGCGGACAGTTAATGTACTAATGAATCCACATATTAAATTATCTCTTGTCGTTGCAATTAATGTTGGTAATGGTGGTATTTACGGTGTTGTTGAGGTGGGGTCAGGGAATCAGTCTGGGGGAATTTAAGCAGCTGACGTCGTCCAGCTGTTTGGGTGAACGGACCTCTCGGGAGGCCACCCGAACATCCTTTCTTAAATCCCCACCAACTTCTCGCAGCCATCCTACGTCTGTTGATTGCCAGATATATTCTCAAAACCATTACAGAACTTACCCCAAGCGACGTCAGAGTCTGACGCACAGATATTTACATTCCATTGATTTTAGACATCCAAGGAAAGAGTGACAGCTGACGACTGGCAATATGACAAGGCAGCAGCATTGATTAAAGTAATTTCACTACCTTAGTTTGCTTTTCTAGACAACCATGGGTATACGCGGCCTCCAAAATAAATTTAATCTTAGGACAGACTTGTGATCAGCGTGGCTGCATACCAAGAGTGCCGGTAGCAGCATAAGCAGTTGCCGGGATATCAACAACCCACAGCGACATCGGAGGGATGTGGCGCACATAGCGTGGCCTTGGACATCAACCCATTTTCGACATTTAATGCCTGTGATTGTTGCCTGAATACTTGAATTGGTGGCTTCAGAATCACATACGCGTCTTCATGCTGTCTGGTAGCCTAGGGCATCTTTGTATGGTGTGAGAATTTGTTTGCGAGAGGCTTCACTGGCGCTGCGATTGACGCTTTGATGCTTGCTTTGTGTGCCGTGTATATAATTGATCAGATAGAAAATGATGGGATATATAGTTCCATGAGTCCTGCAAATCCGGAAAGAGGCCCTACTGAATCAGACTGCAACTGCACATTGCAAATACCATTACTTATACTTCATTGCGCGCCTTGGAATCCAAGTGCAGCGAAATATCTTCTATCCGGTCCACTCATATACTTCCTACAACTGCCAGGCAGTCCAACGTCTTTCCAGAATTGCAAAGCTCAGCTCGTTTCTTTGTTCGATAACCATATTCCGGGTGAAAAATAAAAGAAACCCCCGAAATTCGATTGTGACTTCATCTAGACTTTGGTCCCCCGGATTCCTCTATTCGAACAATGTCATCCGTTTCAGGCAACTCAGATTCCAAAGAGTCTAAGCCCGCCTCCTCGCTGGGAAAGCTCAAATCAATCTTCTCCTCGTCAGGCTCAACGTCTTTGTCTTCGGGCACATAATCCCTGGCCGGCAGCGAAGAAGAGTACTTCAAGCAGCAGCGCAAAGAAGCTGAGCGCCAAAAGCGCAAAGCAGATTATGACCGGCTTGGGTTGGCAGAACGGACAAAAGGCGTCGGCGGAGGCACCGCGGGTGGGTCCCCGGTGGTGGTGGATTTGGTGGTGTGGGAATGAGAATGGGCTGAATACTCGAGAATTGATTTGATACATTGTTAGGAGGGGCGAGAAACTCGGCTCTGTGATCATAATTTCCTTTTGGCGGACCATCTTTTCCGTCTAAGGGTTTTGCGAACATGCGAAACCTGCATTGGCGCGTGGTTGTTGGACTGGGATCTGTAAAGGATGGGATGATGGCAGTAGGCTTAGGTTGTCCAAGCTCTCTAAGGGAGAATAATAAAAAAAACTTTGCGATCACCTCTTGCCATTTTGATTGTCATTTGGCTTGCCCTGAAGAGAGATGTTTTGCGGCGGCTTCAGTGGCTTGACTGGGAGTCTCAGCGGCATGAATTTGTCCAGCAGAAAAGACTGAACCAAACCAAAAGCTGAGCTGGATATCCAGTAAATCAACAAGGCACTGGGCATCTGGAGTGTGGCTGGACCAACAGCCAGGGCCATTAGCTTAAGCGTATTCGTGAGCCATCTTTGGCGCTTTGTCCTCTCCACCCCTCTGGCGCCTCCTCTGCTAGCAGAGGAAATATTGGCGAACATGACACCAGAAAGCATAAAAGGGAGGACGAGCATCGGGTCAGACGCAATAAGGTCTGGAAACCAGAGCGCGCCTTCATATGACATAGACGTCTCCAATGGAATATTCGCATGGCTCGTTGCTAGAGCGTCAAGCACGTCTGAACGACCCGCATCGATGCTTTTGAGAGCTTCGGACGCCATCAAAAATGGCTTCGACAGCAATCCTAGCAATCCTTCGTGCGTTCCACACATCTTCCGCAATGTTTCGATCACGAGAAGGAAGACCGGGAGCTGAAGAATGGGCGCAAAGCTTGCATACCATCTGCATCCCCACCGCTTGTAGATCCCGCCACGAACCACGTACTGCAGGCTTTTCATGACCTCTTGGGAGCGGGGGTGGCCGACTGGATCTGGCAATTTCGCCACTTTCATTGCCAGAATTGATAATTCCCGATCTGGCGTATTTAACCCTTTTACTCCACGACGTACTATTTGGCGTTGCCAGGCATTCACTAAAGGTTGAAGTTCCAGTCGTTTTTGGGCAGATTTTCGGCCCCAAATGGAAAGCGGTAGCACAACTGCAGCTCGAATTGCAAGTGCTGTGAGTGGTATTGCAGCTACCCAAGGAAGGCCGGTAGCGGTGTGTATAGTCTCGAGTATTAGGTGGGTTTGTGCAATGGCTGGCTCAATGAATTGCTTCGGTCGTGAAGAGTGAAACGACCGACATGATGGTCGCAAGGGCGTAGAATATGATATTCGCTGGAGTCGGAACGACTTCGATGATATGCCTCGAAGAGTTGACATGATGAACGCTCAATTGGCATGCCAAAGCGGACTGTTATGCCTCTACAAGGTGGTTGTCAAAGATATAGCAGGGCCAGCCAACTGCCAATGATGAGTGTAGCCGACCGCGCTTGTCGCATATCGGTAATTTAGCGCGCTAAGCTCCACGAAGGGTAGAAAAAGCTCACCAGAAGCGAAAACACAACTTCTTTTTCTTTTTCTTCTCTTTAAGCATCGTCCTTGCCAATGCTGCGTTTCTTTGCTACAAACAGATATCAGTCCTTCTAGGATTGCTATCCGGGATCTGCCTCGTTCTGGACAGTTTCTCGCTTTTGCAAATGAGAAATTCGGAGTAATCTTCATCTCTTTATAGCCCGCCTTGTCTTGCCAAGCTCCCTCGGGAGTTTGGTGTTGCAAGGGTGGCTACTGCCCGTGAGGGTCTGGCATGATTTCATGTCTGCAATTGGCATCAGAAACTCAGGGCTGGCTTCTGTACCCTTGTCTACTCCTGCGGGAGGAAGAAGGGTCGGATGGTCAGGTTTCCCTATGGGAGAGCCGTTGCGAAGATTGTGTGTGTCCCGTAGTCTCTGGTTTGGCGGTTTCCCGTTATTCCAGTAGATGGGGTACGACACTTTAGTGCAATACGCGGCGTACTCGATCTCCGTCTTCCTTTTTTTGGTTGGTGGGGAGAGGTATCATTCGATTCCGATTACTCTGGCGAGGACGATGCTTCATTTCTTCTTTCTTCCTCGGTATGTCACTCTTCCTCTCTTTCTGTACGGGTTATGTAGAATACTCGACTTTACAAGGATACTGCTAACAGTTATATCGTGGATCTTGACTAGGACCTGCTTTCCCTTGCCCATTCCACGCAATTCGGCGAATGATTGCATCTCCACAATTATAGGTTCGAGCCGACGGACTATGTGATTTTGCCACGCCTTTCATATATGCTTCCCCGTGGACTCTTGTGCTTCTTCTGTAGGCAAGATCCTCTTGACTGCTAGCAATCATCGATACTAAGGTGATGTGCGGAGACAAAACCGCATCGTAGTCATTCATTCTCTGCCCTTTTTTGAAACTCATGCGAATTCATTCAATTATCGTGCCCCCACTGGCAAGCGTAGAACCCCGCCATTCGATCAATGTCCTGTTCTTTGATAGCTGTAAGAATGCTATTCTCGAAGCAGAGCTTGAGTTTGCCTCTCTCTGAGATGGTAATTTGAGACTGGACATCCTTTAACGGGTGCTAAGTCCTAATCAGTCACTACAGAGAAGCATCGGAAGTTTCTACGGCACGGACGCCCGCAAATGGGCGAAGTGATCCGAATCCCCTCTAAATCATCACTGCAATTCAACTGAAATAGTGAAGCATTGTGTCTGGTCCGGTTAAAGAGGTGCTTTTCACTGATCGGCATGAGAGAGTACCTGGACTAACCTTCTACCGGCCAAAGTTTAGTGGGCGCGGAGGGTTCTTCGGGCCGAGGTCTAGCGAACTGCGGGGAGAAGAGACGCATACAGTTCCAGTATTTACCCCAGAGTTAAACCCCCCCACCTCAAGGGCAAACAGCCTCGCATTCGGCTTCATTGCAACCGTCTCGAAGGCGATGAGCTGCTTTAGACCCGTCCAGGTTCGCTCTTTGCAACGAACCTGGCCATCAATTTGTTCAAGTCATCATCGCTCAATTCGACAATGCCGGTCAATGCTTCTCCTGCGCCATTACTCCTCAACCGCGGCTTCAGCACCGCAGGAAGAGCGTGCGTATGAGCTTCGGGAACGAACAGACTCCAAATTCGGCACAAAAAGAGATCATGTGGATCTCAGTCCGACCGCGCGCTTTGAAACCGTTTCCGTCAAGATCTACCCAGCTCGAGCCCCCGATCAAAAGGAACCAGAACCACACGTCCAACCTTCACCCCGCGACGGAGAAAGACCACCTATCCAGAAGCTATACGTGGAAAATATAGATGCCAAATTTCTTAATAGCATCAATAAAGAACGCTCTGGAAGGGTTATTCGCCAGAAAATAGCGCCTTCAAGCAACAAGGAGGAACCGTCCATTGAGGCGGTTCAAGAGTACAGATTCCGGCGTGAGTCGTCTTGGCTAGAAGTAGTACTTCGTCTACGAGGAGAACTCCTTCTCATTCGCTTTGAACCTCTCTTTTTGCGTGACGCATGCAATTGCAAAGAATGCATTGATTCTTCTACCCGTCAAAAGAACTTTCAAACCGCAGATATCCCGGCGAACATTACCATCCGAAAACTCAGCTTTACCCACGGCGGCAGACTGCGAATCCACTGGATCAATGACATTTCTGGATTCTCCGAAGCGCATACTTCATACTTCACACCGCAAGACCTGGCCACCTATGCGGACAAGCAGTCTCGAGCTCTCCGAGCGCGCTACAACGACTTGCCTCGAACGTGCTGGAACAAAGCATTAGTCTCGTCCAAAATTGACAACCTCTGGCTGGACTACAGCGACTACCTCAACTCTGACGAGTCGCTCTATGCTGCACTCAAGAATTTGCACGAATACGGACTCGTATTTTTAAACAATGTCCCTTCGACCGAAAACACTGTCGAGCACATTGGTCAGCGCATCGGACCGCTCCGAGACTCGTTTTACGGACGAACCTGGGACGTTCGGTCCGTGCCCGACGCCAAAAACGTTGCATACACGCACCAGTTTCTCGGACTACACATGGATCTGCTCTACATGGCGCAACCGCCGCAGCTGCAAATCCTGCACAGCCTGCGTAGTTCAAGCACAGGAGGTTCTTCCATATTCAGCGACGCATTTCGCGCTGCACAGCATCTTCGCGAAACAAATCCACGGCAATTCAACGCCCTTCTCAAGTTTCCAGTGACATATCACTACCGCAACGCAGGAGAGCATTACCATTTCACTCGCCCGACAATTGAACTGGAACCTCAACATTTATATACTCCGGCCAACGAAAGGGAATGTCAAGTCATTGCCAAAGTCAAGTCATCTGCCGAGGGAGAAGCCTTGGACTCGTCATCTTCTTTGCCGCTATCCCCACAAGTCTCCGCCTCTTCGTCCGAAGCCGTCGAAATATCCGACGATCCAGAAGCTCTAGAAGCACTCGAAGCAGCGAAAGCCCTTTCTTCGTTTTCTTCCCCTACCTCTTCCTCTTCCTCCTCCCAAACCACATCCACCCACCCTCCGATAGCACACATCAACTACTCCCCTCCCTTCCAAGCGCCCTTTGAAATCAACATTGGCCCTAAACTCCGCGCCTACCACGACGCCATCTCCGCCTTTTCATCCATCCTCGAACACCCCGACAACTTGTTCGAGCTGCGTCTCGAGCAAGGCCAGGCCGTCATTTTCAATAACCGCCGCGTCCTCCACGGCCGGCGCGAATTCGATGCCCATTCTGGAGAACGCTGGCTGAAAGGTGCTTATGTCGATGTCGACCCCTTCATGTCGCGCTATAGAGTTTTGCGAGAACGCTATGAGCCGTGGAAAGTAGTATAATAATACCTTTGTATAGATGATTGTAGAATATTTTATTTTTACTTTTATTTACTTTTATTTTCTCTTATTTCTTTTATTCCTTTTTTAATTTTTTGTGGCATAGTATTAAATTTTTGCATAGTATTCAGCGCTAGCGTATTCCATTGAACAATTTTTTTCCCTTTCCTGGCATTTTTTATATTTATGTTTTATTTTTCTCTTCTTTTATCTTATCTTCTTTATTTTTTTTTAGCTTATCCAGTTCCGGTCTGATTTTTTGGAAGTTAGGTCCAGTTTGTATATCTGGCATATATCTGGCAGGTCGATTGGAACAGTTGTGAAAGAGTCATTCCGATCAATAACAATAAGAAGAAGAGAGAGTTGTGATGAATCGTCTGATCAATAGAATATGATAAAAGTTGACATACATGAAGAGAGTTCGCTGCATCGCTTTATGCGTTATCCGAAGGGGGTGCCAAAAGAGGAATTTTCAGATAAAAGCACATTTGAAAACTTATAAAGGAAAAAAAAGGGGGGATAGGGCATGATTTTTTCAGTCTGAACAACGGACTTAAAGGGAGGAGAGAAGATAAGTAATGATCCTCCGACATAAGTGCTGACAGGCTGACAGGCTGACAGTCTTTGGGACAACAAGAAAAGAAGAAAACCGGACAATTGCCGCCGTTGCTACTGCTGCCTTCACACAAGGAGGGGTTCAATTGTTTACAAAAGGTATAAGGAAAACGGACACCACCGGGTCATGCCAAATTAGTATTCACCCTCCTCGTCAACCAAAGTGTCGCCAGCAACCTCCTCATAGTCCTTTTCAAGGGCAGCCAAGTCCTCACGGGCCTCGGAGAACTCGCCTTCCTCCATACCTTCGCCGACGTACCAGTGAACAAAGGCACGCTTCGAGTACATGAGGTCGAACTTGTGGTCGAGTCGGCTCCAGGCCTCGGCAATGGCGGTGGTGTTGGACAGCATGCTGACGCAGCGGTCGACGGGAGCGAGCTCGCTGTCGGGCACGCTGACGGGTTTCTGGAAGTTGATGCCGAGCTTGAATCCGGTCGGGCACCAGTCGACCAGGTTGAAAGAGGTCTTGGCCTTGAGCGCTGCAATGGCAGCATTGCAATCGCGGGGGACAACGTCACCACGGTAGAGCAGGGCCACGGCCATGAAGCTACCCTTGGTGGGATCGCAAACAACCATCTGGTTATTCGGCTCGAAGCCTACAAGTTACGGGTTAGAAACCAATTCGGGGCAGATTGACCAAAGATTTGGCAGAACGTACACTGGAACGTGAGATCGTTGACCTTGAAGCTCTCGTGAGAGCTCTTGGACTTGGAGACGACGGGGGCGTAGCTGACGAGCGGGTAGTGGATACGGGGGAAGGGAACCAGGTTGGTCTGGAACTCGTTGAGGTCGACGTTGAGCGCACCGTCAAAGCGCAAGCTGGTAGTGATTGAGCTGACGACCTGCGCAATCAAGCGGTTAAGGTGTTCATAGCCGGGACGGGGAATGTCGAGGTTGCGGCGGCAAATGTCGTAGACCGCCTCGTTGTCAACCAAGAAGGTGCAGTCCGAGTGAGTGATGGTGCTGTGGGTGGAAAGGACAGCATTGTACGGCTCAACGACGGCAGTGGAGACGCGAGGAGCGGGGTAAACAGCGAATTCGAGCTTCGACTTCTTGGAGAATTCGGTGGCAAGGCGCTCGAGCAAAAGGGCACCAAAACCGGATCCGGTACCACCGCCAAAGGAGTGGAAAACGAGGAAACCCTGGAGGGAAGAGCAGTTGTCTGAAGCCGGTCAGCGACTTACAAACCAACCCGCGCTTGTCTGCATTGTTTGTACGTACCGGCGACGCGACGAATGCGATCCATGACATCGTCCACGAGCTCTTTTCCGACGGTGTAGTGACCACGGGCATCTGCAATCACCGGTCAGCGCTTGTTGTCTTTGCAAAGATTTCACCTTTCGCTTGCTTACAGTTGTTAGCAGCATCCTCCTTGCCGCTAATCAGCAGCTCGGGGTGGAAGAGCTGGCGGTAGTCACCAGTGCGGACCTCATCAATGGGCTATTAATATTGTCGTCATCAGCGTCGCGATTCTTCACCATACGCTCTTTGGTTCATATTGTACTAACCGAAGGGTCGAGGTCGACAAAGATGGAGCGCGGGACAAACTTTCCGCTGCTGGTTTCGGTGAAGAAGGTATCATAAGAGCCGGTGTCCAGGTCCTTGGCCTCAGGGTTCGGGCGACCGTCCTGGTTGAGGCCATGCTCCAAACAGTAGCTGTTGCAACATCATTAATAGGGACTCGATGGTACACGCTCGCAATGAATGGTGCTTACAGCTCCCAAGCGCTGTTACCCAGCTGGGTACCGGCCTGACCGATATGAAGATGGCAAACCTAGATAGAAAGCGATTAGACTTGGTGGTTCGTTGCTATCGCATTTTGTGGTGAAGAAAACGCGTCTGAAGCCTCACGCGTCGCACAGTGCGGGGGCTTTAGGCATCAAGATTTAAAAAGTAAACACGTACCTCGCCTCTCATGATGACAGCGAACGGGGTTCCTCAATGAAAGACTTGAGTGCTGAGAGATGCGAAGCAGGAGATGAGCACCCAAATGTTCCGAGGGAAGCAAATGAGTTCGCGAACGAGAGATGAGGCTTGTGTAGGGTGGAGACGGGGGAAGAAAGTAGAGAAGGGGAATCGGTGGGGTTTGATGGGTTTCAGGGGAAAGCAACACATGAACCACCAACCACAGTCTCTCGCTTGTTTATCTGCTCCGTTGTTGTTTATCCTCTTTCGTCTTCGCTTCTCCCGCTCACCGCCATCTCCAAACGTCAAATCACACCGCCACCGCCTTTCAGCGCATTCGATTTACCAGCCAGATCTCTATCAAAAGCGACAACTTTCTCTGGGTTGAACAGAAATATATCATCGCCCATTGCAAAGAAATACTCCGTGATATCGTCTTTGTATCTTTACGTGAACCACGGAAGCATATACCCGCACAAGCAATCCGTTCTGATGTTATGCCCAAAGATCATATGAAAATATGCATTATACCATTTTGTTTTGGTCATAACCTCATCAGTTACCAAAATATTCATTTTTGTCCACTATTGCCACCGTGTCAAGGGGAAAAAATAAATTATGTTCCCAAGAAAGCATACTGATATCCTTTTCAAAGTATAATGCCATCTAAATAGGATCGTACAATGCGAGAATGTAAACCGGCCTGGTCAAGCCCTGCAATACCTACCGCGGGCTCCTTCCCTTTTTATTCGACTTTTTTGACTTATCTCCGTGCGCCGCTGCGTCCAGGCCAGCAAGCTCTGTGGCCCGTAGAGCATTCAGCTGGACATCCACAGAGGAGCTCTCATTGCTTGCCTTGCCCGCGCTTGCCGGATCAGCTTGTCCGATCACCGGTATCTCGGTGGCAAGCCACTGTTGGAAACGCTTGGCGACAAAAGCTCCATCTGCAGAAAACCAAGTGTTGAAAGGCGCTGAGGTCTCGACCCTTTTCCACTCGCTTCCCGCCTTTGACGACGCCTTTGGGGGCTTATATTGGACCGCCAGATCGTACACTGGTGTATGCTTCTTAACATGAGATTGTAGTTTGACCTTGTTCTGTCAGCATTTCGCTCTCAAATGAGCAGTAAGCAAAGCAGTTCGGCCCTACCTGTGTCCCTCTCCACTCGCCCACATAGACTGTGCCGCGTTCCACTGCCCAGATCCAGTATGTAAAGACAGAATTCAATATAAAATACAATATCACCGCCCATAACGTGTATCCCTTTGTCTTCTCGAACCCGAGCGTGTAATCAAAGTAGAATGTTCCGCCGGCAATCGCAACAGCTGAGTACCCCAAAGCTAATCGTACATCGCTCAGATAATGTGACTGTTTGAATTTCAGGGAATTGAGGTAGTTTGGGAGCGCATCGTCAGTGGTATTCTTGAGGTCTGTAACGATTCTGTGAGCGTCATTCATATAAATGCGGCGCAGCTTGCAACGTACCACTCAAAGAATACACTGCAATTTTTGAACCAGCGCCGGACGCCATTGATGGTATATTCTGCCCTGATATTCAAAGCAATCGAGAGGTCTAGTAATCGTAAATATATTCCGAACTGGCGCAAATTCGTCTCAAAGTGTGATTACTGTTGTCGTTGTTATAGCTTCGTAAAGTTGCCAGCGTTGCAGCCTAGCAGAAAGGTGTCCGCAACCGCCCGCCAGACACGCCGGGTAACTCTCTCGCTCAGCTCCACATCGGAGCTTGATTGAAGAAGGCCCGAAGCTCACCACCCACCAGGCCACCAAGAGCACTGGGACGAGGGAGTTTCGTACGTCAAGCTCCTGCTTTGTGCCTTCAGCTTCAAATAATAAACCCCGCTGTCATGGCTCAAGCCCTGACGCAGACAATCTACAGGGATCCAGCCCTGTTGTACGTTTCCATTGACTCTAGACTACGAGAATCTTTAAACTAATGCACTCCTTTGCAGCTACTGGATCCTCTTCCCAATTACCGTGGTTATGGTAACGCATCTACCTCCCTACACAGCTCAGATATCACCTGGTCTTACCAAAGCTCTAACCCTCAAACCATTTGTATAGATCTTGACCGGTATTCTACGCCACTACGGTACTGTTTTGCTCCAGGCAGCTCCCAAAAAAGAAGACATTAAGGGCCGCCGGGAAACGCGGTCCTTGCTACGGGGCATCACACTTCGCAACAATGCGCCTGTACTCTCTCGATCCTCATTCCAGGCTCGCAAGAACTACATTATCCCCGCATACCAATCGGGCCAGTTCCTCAAGGACCCCGACGCCAAGGGCCAACCGCCGCCAAACCCAATGACGGATCCCGCAGGCATGGAGCAAATGATGGGCATGATGAAGGGAAACATGGCGACCATGATCCCGCAGACGTTGATCATGAGTTGGATCAATTCATTTTTCTCAGGATTCATCATCAGTATGTTTTTACTCAACCCATCTATGCGACATGATATTTCTAGCCTCCACACAACTCGTGGCGCGCTTTTTGAAGTGTCTTGAACGATGAATGGCATTAACATGATTATCTAGTGAAACTCCCTTTTCCTTTGACTATTAGATTCAAATCAATGCTGCAGTCCGGAGTGGCAACTCGCGATCTCGACGTCCGTTGGGTATCTAGTTTGTCGTGGTATTTCCTCAACCTGTTTGGGTTGCAGTCTATTTTTACATTTATTCTTGGAAATGACAACGGTGAGTCCCTTAACTATCCCCTCCGGCGCCCAACTCCCTCCCTCCCTCCCTATTTCTATCCAAATTTCACTTACATCCCTTTAAAATTATATCAATACACTTAAGATCCTTCCCGCTGACAATATTCTGTCCATCCTGCAGCTGCAAACCAAATGGCAGCGCAAATGGCGCAAATGAACCCTGGCGCCGGCGCCGGCGGCTTGTTCGCGCCAGGCCAGGACCCCGATAAAATGTTCCAGAACGAAGCCGAGAATCTGGAAGTCTTGGAGCATTGGACCGTGCTTGATGGAGTCGAAGAGCGTCTCTTGGATGATTTGGACATTGTGTAAACTACGCTCAAGCTATGAAAAAATGGTATGGGACAGGCGGAATAAAGCTTTTTTTTTTTCTTGGCACTGTATTATGCATAGACGGTTTATATTACACATGTGCAGAAAACGAAAAATTAGATTTTATCAGGTTTTATCCAATCTAGCAAGTCTAGCAAAGTTCCGAGTCTAGTAATAATGCAATCCATCACAACGCCTTGAGTCACTGCCTCGAGCTAGCCAGCCAAGCCACCGAACCCAGTAGGCATCTGCATGCTTGAGAAGAAGGTAGCAATAACACAGCATCGATCTGGGAACGGATATGATAAGATGTAGTCGTGGCCGTGCAAGCAAGCAGTAATATGCAATAGCTCTTGCGAACAAAAATTTTCGCGTGTAGGAAAATTCTACGGAACCAGTCCATAGACGGAGCCCATACCACAGACGTCCACCGTAAAATTCCGTCCGCTCGTCAGTCTTCAGTTTTCGATTGGCGGTATGAACCCCTTCCCTGAGTTTTTCGAGAATGTTGCGCCCCGACGGCTGTTGTTTTGACAGACGAGGCATAGAATACAGGTGGAGACGATGAAGATAAAGTGACGGTTTCAAAGAGGGTGGCGAAAGCTTGATGCGAGATGGCCTAGGTGGTGACGAAGGTGTAAAAGGATCGAGATATTGAGTAGACGATGACAGCATCGCAGGCCGCTAGAACGGCTTTGAAAGAGAGAGGACCATGAATGTGGCCCGACTTGGCAGGTCCCCAGTAGAACATGTGAGACCGACGAGTGAGAATCAATCGGAGGAGGTTTTGTAAAGTAGGCGGCGAGAGTTGTAGAGAATATTGGGTAGGAGATGGGTGCAGCTATGTTATAATGGCGAAGAGACGGAGTGGAACAAAAGTGTTATCAGGGGTGAGTTGCTATGGAACAAGAGCAAATGTGTAGAGTACAACAGTAAGGGTATTAGAAACAGACATGAGCATGGAGGGTAATGTCAATGTAGACGGATGTGAGGACATCGATTATCATTAAAGAGGGGAGAAAAAAGAAGACCGTCCACCGCCAAATGGCCCTCCTGAACGCCGTATTATGCAAAAACTTGAAATTCCTAGATGGGGCTTGAATGCCGCAGAGATTCCGCAGGCAGTCTGAAGCCGAATTTCCTCGACGCAAGCCGTAGAAATTTGCCCCGCTGGTCGTAGAGTTCATGGCCGAGAAGATCGATGGCATCAGTCGCTCACTGCATAGAATCTCCATCGCGTGGCAAGCTCAGTGATGGCCGTCGTTGGGCTTCAGAGAAAGATTGCGAATGAAACCAATCTGCTGAAACACGGTCTCGCTCTCCTTGAGGACTTGCTCCATGGCCACGTCATTGCGGTTGGCTTGTTCTTTGAGCTCACGCAGAAAAAGTTCGTTGGTCTCGCCGTATTCTTGGGCCTTTTTCATAATCTTCGGCCGCTCGTTGATCAACCCAGTCGATACCTTGCGCTGCTCCGCGACAACACGCTCAAGACGATCCATCTTCGCTCGGGCTCGTTTTGCCTCATGGTCAATACGAGCAGCATCCCACCTGAGTTTTTCAATCTTTGCTTCGAAATCGCCCTCCAAATGCTTCCAGCTGGTAGCGAGAACATTATATTGGCTTTCTGCGAAACGTGCCTTCTCTTGCTCTTGTTGCACCGCCCTTTTAGAGGATGAAATCGCATCATCTCGCTCGGTCGTCATGATACCCGCGGCGTGCTCCGCCTTCAGGCGACGAGCCTTCTCGACGGTAAGATCGGCCTTTAATTCTTCGATTTTGCGATCTTTTCTCGAAATGGAGATCCGATGTCGTTCCTCTAGAGCCTTCATAGTGTTTACACTCTCTTGCAATTGATCGGCGCGCATCCGTACAGCTTCGCCCCGGCGCTGTTCCTCCTCGCGGCGTGATGTCTCCAAATTCAATTCTCGTTTGAGACGATCATTATCGGCCATAAGCTTTTCAATCACTCTGCCTGACTTGCCGGCTGTTGCACGTCCAGAGGCAACGGCTGATGGTGACGTATCTCCGAAGACTGGACCATCTTCTGAGACGGTCGGCAGATGAGAGGAGCCACTGGTACTCGAAGAATCCGAATAGTATCGAAGAGTTGGGGCCGAAAGACTTGAGACCAAGGGCACTCTGCCATTGGCATCCGCTCCATTTTGCATTTCATCTACTGGATCGACTTGTGTAGAAAAATTCCCATCGCTCGTACTCGAGACGAGCGGTGAAGCGTCATGGTCGGAAAGTCCGTTTATATGCGTCATACCGGTAGAGTGAACTAGGTCGCTATCTCCAGTCGTGGCTTTGGGACGGCGTCCTGAGAGAAAGTTAGAGAGCCGCATATTTTCAGCGAGGCAGGTAATGGATGGACCGGGTGATTATATTTGATAAAATTTTGTGTTTTGCCAATGAGATTGACGAAGAGGAATTGCGCTTGGGGAGCAATGTAGAGGCATTAGGGCTGGGATAGAAAAGACGAGGTCGAAGAAAAAGTGGAGTGAGCGCAGGAACAAGCTTGGACAGTGTTTGTGTGGAAAGTGCCAGGGTTTAACATGAAACCAGGCCCGTTTGGAAGAGGAGCAGGCATTAAGACATAGGACGATCGCATTGCTGACCTCAGCACTTTGAGATTCATGCTGGCTTGTTTGATCAAGACTGGTTGTTGTCCTGTGTATGCACTACGTACAATATGATTGCGGCCAATGTTGCCTCACTGTGATCGATGGACTGAGCCGTTCAACTGAAAGGCCATCACTCTGATTGAGCCTTTCTCCAAAAATGCGTCGATATATGGAGTATCCTGTTCTGTATATCAAGGATACGAAGTCTGTGATGTTGAGAAGTTGGTGTTGCATGCGCGGAGGACGGAGGAAATATCAATCTGTCCGGACTCAATTTTTTGCTGTTGTACCAAATACTTCGCTCCGATCACTTATTTCCACGCTCCATAGGAGTGAATTTACTGGGCGCTTGCCCAAAACATTAGCTCCTAAACACCCTTTCAATGACAAACACTCTTGAACGTACTTGCCATTTACATGGCTTTAGATGTTAATAATTTGTAGTACATTGAACAAGCTCAAACTAAGATATTCTTATGATACAGGATACCAGCTGTGGCAATATATTCCAGTTGGGAGGGCAACGCTCGCGTTCCTGGCACGAGGCATTTCGCGTCCACAGACCCAATCCCCTGCCCGCGGCTACGCAAAGCACTCCAACGGTCGCTTGCAGTTACCCCTTGTACCAACGGGAGTCAACGCCTCGTGGTGGCTGACGCCGAGCTTTTGTGGCGGACGGGATTTGGCGGCATTACAGGGGCAGATATATTGTGTATTTCGGAAGTAAAGTCCTTCAAAATAGATATTAACCATGCAATGTTTAAATACTCTATTTTCCAGTTCCTGTTCACCCTTTGTAACTCCGTCCTAGCTTAGCATATCACTACTTAAAATTACCGCCATAGAGAAGGAAAAAGCGAAATGTTGGCCCTTGCAATCGTGCCGCCTGCGACAATGTCCCAGAATCACTTGGTGCGCTTCTGGCCGCCTGAGGCTTTCCATGCCGTGCCTCGTCTGCTGCTTCTGGTTCTCGGCTTGCCCTTTTTCTTGCCAGAACCGCCTAGCTTGAGTCCCTGCTTGCCCGACTTGTTGCTGGCCCGGTATCCTTCGAAGACGAAAGACTCCGGTGGGCGAGGAACAACAGGTCTCTGCTTCGCATTGCCCGAATCGCCATTCTTCATCTTGGCAGCACCGGCACGGCCCAGCAATTTTCCAGCGCGACCTTGAAGGGACTTTTGTTCTGGCGTCAGTTTAGGATTGTAAATTGCTTTCGAGTTGACCTTTGCGGAAGAGTTTTTCGCTGTGGCCTTCTTCTTCATTGCCTTGGCACGGACAACGCGCAGCTTTCGAGGAAGCAGAGGAGGAAATTTCTTGTCGTTGAAGAGTAGCGCAGCTTCAACGGCATTGGCGTCCTGTACCATAAGAGTAATTAGAATTCAATTGCCCAAATTTGACATGAGAGAATGAACTTACGTTGAACTGTACGTATGCGAAACCCTTTCCAACTCGAGTCTTTGGGTCTCGGACTACTCTCACACTTTCAACAGTACCGGCCTTGCCAAATTCCCGCCACAGTCCCTCCTCCACATCAGAAGGCTGCTTTTTCTTCTTCTGAGGCTTCTTCTTGCCGTTCTCGACCTCGGCATCATCTATAAAGCTCTCGTCATCGACGAATCCAAGGTTTCCCACAAAGACACATCGTTTATGATCCGACTTGGCTGGGTGTGAGACGCTATCGACTCGCAAGTGACGATCCAGCACGATGGTGCCGTTGAGGCGTTTGGTTGCCTCGCGCGCCGCAACAGCCGTCGAATAAACAGCATATGCATTGCAGCTCTTGGTGGTTGCCTCCATCACGTCTTTTCGAGCAAATGCGGCCTTCTTAGGAATGCCAACTTCCGAGAACGCTACTGAGCGGAAGCGCAATGCTTCAACTTTGTGCGGTTGATCTGACGCGGGCAGAGACGAAATGAAAGATGCAAGATGATTGAGAAGTGTCTTCTTGTCCGACTTGGACTCAACGGCTGAAACAGCAACGTTTCCCAAAAAGACTGTCCGACTGGCCCTTTCAAGCTCTCCCTCGTCTTTGGAAGAAACCAAACTTTCATGCTGAGGAATCTCATCGTCCCCATCTTCCTCTGCTTCTGAACCACTCGATCCATCTGAATCCTCTTCATCCGACAGCCCATCTGCATCTTTTTTCTCATCCTCCTCCTCGGACTCGTTTTCTTCGGAGCCGTCACCCGCTTCCGTGTCTCTTCTCTGGCGCTTGCTCGCCTTTTCGGCCTGCTTCTTTTCTTTCTTTGCGGTCTTTTCTTCCTTGTCTGCAAGCCGACGCATATAGAGGTCTTCAAGAGCCTCTTCGGCATCGGCGCGCTTTCGCTTCCGTCCTTCTTGGTTCTTCTGTCCATTGATCTCTACTTTGGTAGGTTTAACATTCGAGTCTTCTTCTTTTTCTTCCTCATCATCGTCATCAGTCTGAGATGAAATTTCGGAACCATCGTCTTCGCTCGGCAACTCAGAGAGCTCCTCGTCGGCATCCGGGAGATCTTCGTCGTCCTGTTCGACAGCTGCTTCGGCTTCTTGATAACGAGAGAGAGGCGGAGGCCTCACAGCACCGGCCTATGAGAATTATCAGCATGCCTCCTGACGGTGAAAACTGAGTTACTCACACTTGAGGCGAACAATGATGCCAAAGATGGATCAATGGCTTTTTCATTGCTCAGGAAAGCCGGGGGGGCTGAAGGCTTGGAGTCGCCCGAGGCTCGAGAAGTTTTTCTCTCTTTTGATTTTGCCATCTTCCCAGCAAGCCTGAAAAGCGAGGGGGAAAAGTCCGATTCGATACTTGTTTGTGGTGAAGAAATTATCGCCTCCTGGGAATTGTTGCCAACTGCAGGAGATTTTCTTGGGTGCAGTCTCATGCGAAACAACAAAATTCCCCCATGTCGGCGATTTTCCGTCGCAAAGACCGAGTGATGCCCTGTAGGGGACTGATGATTGGCTGGAATTGCTCGCGTAGCTCACCATTGCGTATTTGGTCTGTGTAGATGTCCGTGATCGTGACCGAAACAGTCAAGTGAGAGACACTTGGGCCTGTCAAGATACTGAGCAGCAACCAGCATCTGCCCATCGCAGTTCAACTCTCTCCTCTTTACCCTCTCGTCTTATTTTCTTCATCGCTGACCTTTGTCGGGGATCATGTAGATGCCCCTCTGCAGCTCTTCGAAAGGCAGCATCTTGTTCACTTCCCCAGTAACTACAGCTCTCTTTGACTTTCGTGGACTTGCTCTGCTCCCACCCTCTCTCAGTCCTCACATGGGGGAAGTTCCCTCGGTCAATACTTTTAACACGACACGATTCACTCTCCCTTATTCTTTTCATTCCGAACCGTTTGCGGAGAATTGCATGCAGCTCGAGAGCGCGGGAGTGAAATCTCGACCGTTTAGCTCTCGATATTCTCATCTTCTCATAGCGACCGTGATCGAAACAAGTGTGCAAGATTAGCTCCCAGAATGAGTGGGATCGGTCGACGAAGTCGAACGAGATCGAGGCCATCGAGTGGCAGTGGCAGCAGCCCTGCTCCCGCAGAAGGTTCGTTTTACCCATGATTCTGTTCCCACGGGTATTACCTGAACAACCCTTGGTCATCTAGTTGAAGTCGGTGGCTCTCATGAGGGAATCTGGTTCAAACAAGTCATTCTTCATCGTGCCAATCTACAGAATAGAAATGACAATTGCTAAACATTAATCGTGTTTCATAGGGAACGAAACCTTAGAACTGCCTCTCAAAGCTCTTGACACAGCCCAACGCGCTCCAGACGAATCCTCAATCCTCTCCGACGAGGCACCCTCCCCACAAACAGACGTACCAATGGATGAAGCGGGCATCCCAGAACCAGAGCTTCCTGCTGATATAGCTGATGACCTACCGGCTTTCGCGAGAGATGATGATGCCCTCGAACCAACTATTTCGCAGATCGATAACAAAGACGACGATCGGTCCAGTAGCTTGAGCGACCCGGACGAAGCGCCCGAAAACGACGAATTGTTGCAAGACGAGTCGTCCGACGAGAGCGATATCTCAGATGCAAACGACTCCGAAGCTGAGACGGAACGTTTACACAGCTCGCCTTTGAAAGAAAGGACGCCTCACGATGTGGTCTTCGACCCCGATCGATCAATTCCCGCTTCCCCGAGCAAACTAGCTCACGTCATGACGGCAGATGATACCAATGAAGAAATTGAGGCTCCTGCCAAGGTTGAGGATGACAATGTGTCCGTGTCCGCAAAGAGCGTCAATGATCTAGATGATCTCCCTTCTGCCGTGACATCTCTGGCGGACTCAAACATCGCAGCTGGTCGCATGCCTTCGCCGCCTGAGCTAGCAGGCAAGAAGAGAAAACGGCTTAGTCCGCATAGTCGCAGCATCAGCCCAGAACAAGGAAACAGCGCTGAAGCCACGAAAAAGCGATCGATCCAGGAAGAGATTAATGGTAATGGGGTGGTGAAGCACGATAGTGACATTGAAGAAGAAGATGATGAGGAAGAAGAGGAAGAAGCTGTCTTACCTCCCGAGGAAATAAAAAAGGCTGACCACGAAGCGTCTGATGAGGACCTGGACAACATACAAGCAGATCTTGGTGAGCCCAAGGAGTCGGAGGAGTCTGAACAGGAAGAAATACCTGCCGTGGCCAAGGCACCCAAGGGCCGAACCACGAGACGCCGCGCTAAGCAAGCCAAAGAAGATGAGATGGAGGATACTGAAATGGCCGAGGAGGAAGCTGAGGGTCGACTTGTAGCGAACGAAACGGATATGGTAGATGAGAGCGAAGACATTGGTGGCATTGAAGGTGAGACAGATATTACGGCAAGAACTGAGGAAGAGGGTGCGTGAAGAAGCTCCTTCCCATGTCGTTTCATGCTATTGGTGCATAAGAGCTAACGTTTGGAGATTTAGTGATGAAAAAGAAGGCTGCTATGGATGCTCTGGGCGCAATTGAGAAGAACTTTGCGACATTCAGGGACAAGTACGTGATTGAGCCACCTACCCCGCGATCGCTGTGAGCATCTACTAATGTTGCATTACTCATAGGCTTTACGATGAGCGATTGGCTCAGCTAAATAACGAACTTGCGATGCTTTCCGACCCGAACTGCGTCCATCCCGAATACTTAGCTATGATGCGGTGCATCGATGCGCGCCGGGATGAAAAGATACAGCTGGAGCAGACCCTTCTGGCATATAAGCTCAAGGCATTGCAAGTGCGAAGTGTTGCGGAACGGGCCCAGATACATGCGCAGTATTATCAAACGGTTCGGGAGATCCGTGAGCGAACCATGGAGGAGGTCGGTAGGGAATGGTACAAGATCCAAAAAGACCGACGAACTTGGGAGGGAAGCGTGCCTGAATTCTCCTATCAATTCCCGACGCGCCGTTCGCAGCAAGTCACACAACAGACGGCTTACAATCTCGAGGTCTCTGTCATATCTGGCGTGGCCAAATACGTGGGATTCCCTGCTGCGCCGGAGCTCGAAGGGGCTCGACCATCCGAAATCGACGCAGACTTTGAACGTATGGCGGTGAGTCTTCACACCTGATTCGCGCCCAGTATGCCTTCGTTTGCTAAGTGTATTATAGATAAAACCTCAAGCGCGTCGCACAAATGCCCTCCAGAACAATCAGATGCGATCGGCCGCCTCAACGCCTTCGACAACACGGCCCAAGCCTACTGAGGAGCAATTACTCGAGCAGGCCGCCTGGGCAAACCCACATCAACCAGTTCATCAAACGGCGCAACAGCCACCTCGACCCTCGTCGCATCAGCCGCACGCAGGCGGGCCCTTTACTACTCCTGCCGGTCCTCGTCGAAACACTGATGCTCCACCTACCAATGGGTCTGTGTCAACCGTAGGAGCTTCTACTTTACCTGCTTCATCTGCTGCTGGTACACCGATGACGGGAGAACGGCCCAATCATTCGAACCAAGCGAATGGGAGTATGTTTGGCGAGAATATCTCTCCGTTTCCTCGTGCAGGTAACTTTGCTTCTTCGGGCGGTAAAGGCACAGGCAAGCACGGGTCCCCAAGCGCGACTCGCGAGACGGGCGAAGTTCAATATCCCGATTCTACATCGAACCGACCCCCGCATGATCCGCAGTCGGAGTCACGCCGCCGCTCCTCCAATCCTTTTGATGGACCCTTTCCGACTTCTCGTACTGGCAGATTCGGAAGCACTTCTGGGACCCAAGAGACGCCAGCAGTCAAGGACGAGGAAGGTACGGAGCGGAAGCTAATGTCATCGCCTTTGAATCATCACTCCCATGGTCCACCTGGAGGCATCGCCGCCGGCACTGGTGGGCCTCGTTTCGGCAGCCGCTGAGAGTCTAAATTTGAGCATCTTTATGGTCTCTTCATCTTCTCTTCTTTCTTGAGCCGTGGAAAAGAAAAGTATTAAATAAACAACGACGATGACGACGCGAGTGGATTGGGCGTTTTATTTGGCGATGGTCGCTTGGGCAGCTTACATGGACTCGGTCTGGGTTGGACTCTGCGCATTATTTCGATGGTGGATTCGTTATTTGTTACACGTCGAGAGCTTGTACATCATGACATGAATGGGACGATCTGCGGAGAGGCATTGTTATTATCTGAAGTCAGGTCACGGCGTCCAAGTTTGCTTTATTTCCTGCTCCTTGTACTTTGACTCGCTGTGCTTTTTGACCTTACCATATGTCCATTATTCTCTGGTAGGGCATAATTTCAATTCCAATGTAACTATAATCCTGGTAGTCAAAATAGATGCCAATTCCTTGTCGATCTTGACGTTAGTGCACATGGAATTGACATGGATGTGCTCCTTTTCGTGTTTTGGTCTTCTCTCTTGCTGGTGATTAGTGTATTCACATGTCGACCGATGTGAGCCGAGACAGACGGTCCTCTTCTCTCCAGGTTCCTCGGCACCCAGACGCTCATTTTCTCCCATATTACTTTTCGAATGACGTTTGGTTGCCCAGACTTTTCTCTGCTTCTTCATCTCATCTCATTTGCATCCCGACGGAGAATCTCGGGATCTGGATTCTGGCGCTTTGCGGGGTTCTCGGCACTCGATGCTTCTTTCCTGCCCAAGCTACACTTTTTCTTCTCATGACATCTCTTTTCATCCGATTTTAACATATCTGGTTCAACCTCGTCTCCAGGCACCCGCAAAATTAACTGTTGTCTTCTACTTATACTATTGTACATTCAATTCCTTCCTCCCTGTTTACTCCATCGTCGTCGATTTTCCCATTCTACGATATCAGCGGTGCAAGAACACAATTAAGCCGAGGTAAGTAAATCGCATGTCCTGGTTATAGTTTAGCTCGGAAATCGCCCAATTTTCCCCTCGTTTTCCCTCCACTCTCGCTCCTTCCCGCTCCCACGCGACGTGGTAGGGAAACCCATCGCCCGACTACGGTTAACTAACTGCTTATTTCACTCGTTTCCCGGTTGTTCATAGTACTAACCGCACCATAATGCTGTATTAGTTTCCCAGAAGCTTGAGAAGCTCACATCCCGTGATTCCTCGCCGTGCCTGTCCACAGGTTTCTACCACCCCACTCCTCTCTATACCCAGGTCAATTTTCCAAAAGATGGACGGGCTCAAGGTACGCCAGACAGAATGTTAAAAATAATTATAGCAATCGAAAGGTTGGCTTTTTAGGGATGCAGCCGCCTAAGTGGACTGACCTCGCGATTCACACAGGATGCGGTTGATCGGATCATCCTAGATCCCAAATATGCCGACCTCCTCGCTGTCGTCAAAGCTGCGCGCAATGGCGCCGTATATGGCGCCAAAATCCGATTTCCGCATGCTCTTGTGTACGTTATCTTACCCAGCGTTTCAGTCAGATATTGGTCTACTGGTGGTGTCGCTCTCCAAGCTCGGCGCAAACCAATCCGCACCACTCCGAGGCACAACTCCTTAAAGTAACAAGGACATTTACTAACATATCTGGTATCTATGCTGCAGAATGGTTTTCCTCTTCCGATCAGGAACGTACGTCTAGCTCCATTGCCTGCCCTTTGCGCAACCCAAATTCAAACTAAACATACATTCGAAACCTATCCTTGAATAATACTCAGTCCACACAGCTCTCCCCTCCGGACCATTTTACCTCACTGCTCACACTAACGTCTTCCTGTCATCAGCGTCCGTGAACGTCTACGCCTTGTCCTCAAAGCTACGCGCCAACATGCCCGCAACCTGGCCAAATTCGCAGCCATATACAAATTCAGCCTCATCGTGCTGCGACAACTCTCGCTGTTCAACGACCGCACAACGCCCGGCGGCAAGCCCGACGAAGCCCGATACGATACGTTTATTGCTGGGTTAATAGGCGGATACTATGTGTTTGGGCGCGGCATCCAGAGCAGCGTCAACCAGCAGATTGTCATCTACGTGTTTGCGCGAGTCGTCCTGGCGCTGGCGAAATTGGCAGTCATGAAAATGCCTGCATTATCTGGAGGCATGTCTCGCACAACTTCAGCTGGCGGTAGCGCAGGAGGAGCAGGATCAACGGCAAATCCGCTAGATCTCGGCACAGCAATCACAAAGCATTCTTGGCCCGTGTTTGCCAGTCTCAGCTGGGCGTTTGTCATGTATATTTTCAGATGGCATCCTGATGCCGTCCAGCCCAGTTTGAGAAGTAGTATGAAGTACATGTATGTTTCTTCGTTTCCATTTCATTGTTCTCGGTTTTATCCCCCTTTCCCTCTTTTCTTTCCCTTTCCCTTTATTCTTTCCTGTTCTTCCCTTTCCCCCCCTCCCCGCCCAGCCCACTCCGTTCTTCTTGTTTCTGCCGAGAAGAAGAGACTAACAAAATCAAACTAGCTACGTCAATGCCGATTACTGGGATTCGTTCAAGAATTTCCTCATCTATAACAAATAATTTCATTTTTTGGGGTCACGCTTATTTGTTTAGCTATTTACGATGGACGGCACGGCGTTAAATGGGCAAGGTCAGGATATATATTACTGCAGCAGGGATCCTGTTTCGAATTTTGGGGCAATACGAGCGTGTCTTTTTGGAATCTCGGCGCTTTTTACGATTGACTTGTTGCAGACTACGGACCCCCATTTGTACAGTATTGATAAGTTAGGGCGAACTAAGAATGAGTTGCATGCATTACTCCTATCTGCTGTTTGGACACATCATGTCGTTATTGTTTCCCTTCAGCACCGATCACCTTATGAGAAGGCATCATGCCGATAATGAGTTTCATATTTTCCGTTCTTTTTTAAATCTAAAAGAATCAGAAGTCCACGCGAAGGAAATTCTAACTATCGTAAGTAAATCTATCGAATTTGATCGCTTTTTCGTTCCTTCTTGGTATCTACTAGATTGGTATCTTCGATCGTATCCAATCATCTTACAGCCTGTCCTCCCTGTCCGTCTTTATTCCACCACGCCTTGGTGAGCCATTTGCTGCTTTGGCATAGTAGTCGACATCAAGCTGCCACAGGCGGCAAGTCTAATCGTTTTTACTCATCATCCTCGTCCGGCTCGTCCATGCCTGCCCACTCCTTGCGGCAATCGACCGCGGTCTTGCGCACGTCGCGTCTCGGGTCGTCCAGCATGGCGAGCAATCGGTGCATGACTTGCGTCTTGTAGGGAAGCAGAACTTCGTGGCGGATGCGGGTCGGGAAGAGGCCGAGGCATCTTAGGGCCGACTTGCGGACGGTCTGGCGGTATGCGTTAATACCTTGAGCTTCTCTTGCGAATGCGAATCCTTCATCTTCATGGCTTGTGCAGTACTGCGGTTCAGAAAGACTGCCATGTGCTTCCTGGCGACGATGATGACCATGATGGTTGACCGTACCACGGTCAAAATTCAGGTCGTCAAGACGTGCAGAATAGGTTGGCGAAACAGAGGGCAGTAATGGAACAAATAATAACCGATATGCAAAACTTGGTGGAGTCGCTGAAGACGACGACGAAAGCGATGATGACAAAGTACTGATACTTACTGATGGATTAGACGGTTTTACTTCTCCGCACGAAAGGAGCCGCCCGACAAGGCTGGCGATGTGTCCTTCTAGTCCCTTGGCGTTCTGGACTGCAACGACGGTAATCGTATCGAGAGTGGCCGCGCTAACGCTAGGGTCGTCGAGGTCGAGACTGCGCAAGAGCAAGGGAAGAAGAGTCTCCAGCTCGGGCATGATGATTTCGCTGGGTACGTCTTTGAGAAGACCCGCAAGGGCGACGAGATAGTTTGCGCGAGCCGATACTGGGGCGGCTTGGAAGCCAGTAGCGATCCTGGGAGTGCATACGTTAAATACTTTCTGCTTGTGAAGCTTTCTAATAATGGCATGGTTAGCCTCAGAAAGTGCGTGGTCTTGTGAAAGCAGCATGTCGAAGCCGCGGGCGATAATCTGGCCATATTCGGCGTCGGCGAGCTGCGAGACGAGGAGCTCCAGAATGCGCGTAATGGAGGTATCCATGCGGAACACTAGGCCTTTGAGAATCCAGAATGCAACACGGCTGGCGTTTGGTGTTTTGTTTCCCGGCAGTAGTCCAGAGTCGGGACCGTCGATGATGCTCGCAGGGAGGGCGGCGCCAGTGGGGAAGAATTTGTTGGTGAGGACGGCAAGGGTGCGTAGAAGCGCCATGCGCACGCCTGGAAGAGTCTCGTCGAGGGCGAGACGGACAATGTCTTGGAAGTATGATTCAATGCCCCAGGTGATATGGTCCAGCTTCACCTAAACTGGTGTCAGCTCGTGTAGGAGTAAATGGAATTTTGGAGGAGAATTGTACCTTTTTGGTGTTTATCCCTGAGAGCAGGTGAGATGACAAAACAAGAGTTTTTCTCTCATTTTCACTTCTCTGATTCGAGAAGGGCACCGGTGTAAAGGAATCCGGAGTCGTGAAGAGACTCCAGACCTGGTTAAGGACTTCAGCCTGTTTGTTTTCGGGAAGAGCTCGGACGATAAGGTTGCAGAGCCGTCCATGAGCATCGATTACGGCTTCGCTCTGTCTCGCATTTACGGGGCAGCCAGGCTTATTAGCGGTTACGATGTCCCTTGTTTGCTCCTCAATGACCATTCTAAAATAAAGGTCCAATGATAGATCCTGCGAGAGGTCTGGTCGACTAAAAATGTGTCTTAATGTTGACAAGATGGAAAGAGCATATTCGGAAGACGAGCCATTATTAAGAATGTCGCCAAGCTTTGAGAGCAACCTCCGTTGAATGAGGATGAATATCGTCTTCTCTACACTCAGCTCAGCCAAGATCTCCAAACTAGGCACGTAAGTGAGCATTTGACCATGGTCTGCGCTCTGTGGTAGCTGCGCCATGAACTTGGGAATGCTAATCTCAAGAATAGGATCAGATTTGTATTTTGAGATTTGGACAAGCGCCTCAATTGCTTCCTTTTGAAGCCTGTCCTCTCCCGTCGATTCTTCCAGCGCGACATCGTTCAGATACTGGACAACAAGCCCGATCTCGTCACGATCCAGGAAGCCGAAGATGCGGCACATCTGGAGCAAACCCTTCAGCGCAACAATGCGGAATGACACTTCGCCTTTCGAGGTTCCCATTAAAGCCGGGCTAAAGACCTCAAGCATCTTCTCCTTGAAAGGCTGAAGTGGGTTGTAGACTGCAGACCGTGGCTGTTGCGGAGCCCATGTACCCCATACTCTGGTATTGGCTTCTAAAAGTTCCACAAGAACCTCGAGCAATCCTCTCTGCTTGGCGATACTGTCCGCAGTCCTATAGAGCTCATATAGAGGAGGCATCACATCTTTGATGACCATGAGATAAGCATTCTCGCCAGCAGCAGCAATAGTTGCCAAAATTCGACTGGCAGCCTTGGCCTGCTTCTGCTGTGGATCCTGGATGCCTTGGTTGCATTCTTTAGTGATTGGCGCAGTGTATTGACCAAGGTATGACTTTGTTTCTCCAAAGTTTGACTCAAATGAAAGACCAGTGGCGATTGAACGGAGTGCGTTGAGGGCATCATCGGCCAGGTTTTCCTCCTGGACATTGAAGATCTCGTATTTCAGAGAATCCCAGAGAGGAATGGAGTATCTAGAAAGGACCCTAGAGCCGTAGGATAGCGCGCATGCGGATATTGTCTGCATAACATCTTTCTGTTTTCCAGTTTCAGCAAACGACTCAAGGCTGATATTGAAAAGAAGTGCCAACCTTGACATTAGGAGATGTGGAGTCCAACTTATCAATCAAAGCCGGTATGGCAAATGGGGCAAAGTCACCAGTAGCTGCAACGCATGCGCGAAGACGCTCCTTGAGATCTTGTGCAGTAATTTTGTAGGGATCGTTTGGCGGCGGCCTGAAGGTAATTGGGAAATAGCAAAATACGGACTCATAGAGGGGCTTGATATACGTTAGCAAAGTACAATGAACATAGAACAAGGAATGCTTACTTCGGCGAACTGAGTAATTTGCCATTCCACCATGATCACTTTCATAAAGGAAAAGATGATCATGAGATTGCGAGGATCTTTTTCGCCGCTGACGAGGTCTATCACGCCAGGGATGACCTGCTCTTGAATGTCGACGAGTGCTTTACTTTTGTCAGGACGATCATCTTTATATTGAAAACTTGAGACATACAGGTGCGATGAACCGCCAGGAGATAGTCCACCAAAACGTAAACAGCATATCTATCCGATTGGGGCGATCGCTGCAGATCTTCAATTGAATCCAGTAGTCTGCATATATTTAAGCTCTATATTCTTCCTAAACCTCCTTGAGGGTACCTACCTCGACGTGATGCTTTGTACCAGCGCGTCATCTGCTCTGCCCGTCCGTAACAGCTCCTGGAGACCTTCGGCGGCGTATTCAAGCTTAGGCCCATCTTTTATACAGGACAGATACCAGGTTGCAAGTACCTCGGCTTTGCGTAAAGGAGAAGCATGAGTAAGAAGTTTTCTGAGTCTATTCGAATCCATATTGACAGGTTGACATACTCTGTTGCCTACTGAGAAATCTCGAGGGCAATGCGGCTAAAACAGTGGAGAGGTAGGCGATGGCTGAGAAGTGAGGCTTCATTAGTGCAAGACCGTGGTTGAGCGGGGCAACCAATACACACCATTGCTGCGTATTTCGACATTCTCTTCGGTCAGATAAGGTCCCAATTCCTGTACAACGTTGAGAATCCCCGATTCCTTCGTCTCGAGTCCTAAGTCTTAGGTTTAGCCAATCTGTGACTGTCAAGCAAGTATTCTGCACAATTCCTCACGTTTAGCTGTCGACGCAGCTATCTCCCGTGCCTCTGTCTTATCATTCTTACTGTAAGCCAATAAGAATAATTGGACCTCAGACATGATGAGGTGCGAATTGCATGGAGCAGTCTCGTCCACACGCAAACGAATAATTGCAGTCCCATTTCCGCGGCGGGACAATATTCGGTGCCGCCTTTGACGTCAAGGTTTTTCCGGCCGGATCAATTTCTTGTCTTATCTGATTTTTATCGATAACTCTCCGCCGAAATTTTTGGGCGGCATCGGAACTTCACCCTAAAAGTCTTGTCCCCCGCGTGCATCCCCCCCACTTTGATGAATTGATCTGAATCACGTCTTCTGGCAATTACGCTCCATTGGCAAACAGTGTTTGCCTGTGGCAGTATTCCAATAATACATTCTGCGGGGTTTCAATCTTATTTGACCCCGCTCACTTTCCCGCCTAAATTCTAGAGAGTTTCTGACTCGCTTCGCTGGAAATCATTCAAAATGGCGGCCGCAGACGCTCCTGCTGGCTGCAAAGTCGTGCTCGCCAGCACCGTCGCAAAGTCTCTCTCTTCAGAGGTTCAGGAGGGCCTGAATCAAGTAGGAAAGGCTCCTCTGCTTGTGGGATTCCTTGCCAACCACGACCCGGCTGCCCGCATGTACGCAGACTGGACTGGAAAGACATGTAGGGAAAGGTGAGTTCATTGTGGTTGAAGTGTTTAATTGCTTCGGTGTTTTTTTATTTTATTTTATTTTGTTTAATTTATTTCAGTTTTAAAAGCATCTTACTCCAATTTATCGTTCTGAGTCTTTGCCTTATTTTGATCATAATGTCACCTGATCCACAATCGCAACAAATTCCGAGATATTGTTTGTTTTTGGGAATTGAATTTTTCTCCCTTTCTCTTCTGAAACTTCCATATTATCAATCCGTTTAAACATTTTCTATGATATTTGCCTTTGAGCATTGGACGCTTCCGCTAACATGGGCTAGCGGTTTCGAGTTCGACCTCCGTCAGGTGGACAAGGAGGAGCTCGAAGACCAGATCTTGGCGGCCAACCAGGACGACAAGGTTGACGGTATCATCGTCTATTATCCTATTTTTGGCAACCGTCAGGACCAGTATCTCCAGCAGATTGTCGACATCAACAAGGACGTTGAGGGCCTTAGCCACCGATATGTCTTCAACATGTACCAGAACATTCGTTTCCTTGACGAGGCCAAGCTCCAGAAGAGTATCCTTCCCTGTACTCCCCTAGCCATTGTCAAGATTCTTGAGTACCTCCACGTCTACAACCCCGTTCTCCCCTACGGCAACCGTCTCTTTGGCCACAACATCACCGTTGTCAACCGCTCGGAAGTTGTTGGTAGACCGTTGGCTGCTCTGCTGGCCAATGACGGTGCTAATGTCTACTCTGTCGACATTGCCAACATCCAAAATTTCACTCGTGGCTCCGGTATCAAGAAAAAGCGCCATGAGGTCCACGACAAGGACGGCTGGAAGCTTGAGGACTGCGTGCCTTTGAGTGATGTTGTCATTAGTGGTGTGCCCGGCGACAAGTTCAAGTTCCCTACACAACTGCTCAGAGATGGTGCTGTCTGCATCAATTTCTCAAGCGAAAAGGTCAGTACTTATGGTTAAACTTAAATTTCCAATGGCGCTAACGAATGTCTAGAACTTCGGCCCCGAGGTCAAGGAGAAGGCCTCAATCTATGTCCCTGCCATCGGCAAGGTCACCATCTGCGTTCTCCAGAGAAACCTCCTGGTAAGTATCCATGCATAACATAGAAGCAGCCAAAAGCAGCTAACAATCATCGTAGAGATTGATTCAAAACCGGAGAGGGCCTTCTGTTCCATCTGGAACTGCCACGGAGAAGCCCGGAACCCTTGAGGCGCTTACGGAGTCATGATGTAAAAGAAATCCATATGAATTTATTATTAGCTTAGAACGAATATCAAAATCTTTTGAATGAATTCGATTTTTTAAATTTCAAGCAAAAACGGTGGCTAATGCCGTACAATCTTCTTTTCCCTTTACCCCAACGCCTTGCCCAAATGTCACGTCAGATACAGGAGATGAAAGAGTTATGCTTCAGTGCTTCGTCCGCTTCGACGTAGTGTCATCGTCTGACACCAAGTCCTCCTCATCATCATCATCATCATCGTCGGATTCGGCCTCCGCAGCTCTGCTTCTCTTGAGGCCCTTCATCTTTCTCGTCTGCAGCTCGCCGAGATCCTGCTTGCCAAGGTGGATTCTGCCGACCTTGTCGCCAACAATGTCCGTCTCGACATTCTTCTTTGACTTCGGCTGTATCATTGTCAGCAATTGCACTTGCAAAAATACATTACTATGAGGGGATGTAATACCTCAAGACCCTTGGGTTTCCTAAGAGCATCCTTCATCATCGACTCATCGGCCTCCTTGACACGGCCCACCCTGAAGTCCATTCGGGGACCCATCTCCTCAATCTCAACACGCGGCAACTTCTGTCCGCTTCTCTTCGTCCGGATCAGATACACGCGCAAGTGGATCTTTGGTGGGGGCTGTCCATCGACCTCTTCTCCGGCCGAAATGGATACCATATACTGCAATCCCTCGACATCAACGGTCTGGGTCTCTTCGCCGCGGAAGAAATCAGTGAAAACACTCTTCGCAAGTGTATAAGCGTTGGGCGTTGGCGAGTCGAAAGGCGTGCCCGAGAAGACCATCAGAGGCTTGAGGCCGACAGCGCACTTCTTGTTCTTGAATTGAGCCAAGGTGCGGAAGGAGTCGGGCTCCAGATACAACTCCAGCATGTCAAGGACCTTATAGTTGAATAACCGAACGAGGGTCATGCAGTGCGCTCGCTTCTTCGAGTGAGCACCAAAGACCATCAAACTGCAGTCGTTCTTCTCGCTGAAGAACTCGAGAGACGAGACATCCTCAAAAGGGTGGATGGCGTTCTTCTTGGTAAAGCGAACGGACAGAGTGCGCTTGAGCGAGTAGAGGTCGGTCATAGCCAGCTGCACAATTTCGCTGCAAGAAGTTCCACGGAGAAAGAGACATTTCTTCGGATTTTCATGCACCTGGGGCGCCTTCTTTTCGAGCGCACGCTTGGAGCGCGCATTGCGCGGTTGGCTAACAAAAAGGATGTCAATTCCGAGATCTGCCAGTAAAGCTGAAAAATCATGACAGTAACTTACATTTGCCGGAGCATGATGGCGGCAGAACGGTATGTAGAGGTTTCGGTGATGAAATTGCGAGAAATACTCAGCCAGACGAATCCGATGGCTTTTGCCCCAGAAATTGCTGAAACTTTTGTTTTCGCCTGGAAAAATGTCCTGTCTGATCATCTGATTAGATAAAACACCGATAATCAGATGGCGACATCGATCAGCTCGCATGAATGATGGAATCTTTCTCCGGTCTTCGGCCGCAGCGAAATACTTTTGGCAAGAAAGTTTCCAAGAGAATCGTTCCAGCAATTGTGGCCAGCAAGGGATATCTATGTTATCTACGTAGTCAATAGAAATATATTTGATCAGTCAATTAATTCTTTTTTTTTTCTTCTGAGGGAAGCGCATTTTTTGATCCGTAATCAATACCCCCGCGGGGAAGCTTTCTGGCCGCTGCATTAATAAATGTTCCCCACCACCATTTGACACGCCTCCCGCCACTGAAACTCCTACCATCTACAAAAGCAATAAACTTCCTACGAAACACTCCTCTTACACAAACTCTACGAAGTTACGAAAAGTCTCACAACTGATTGTTATCCCATCCTCCGTCACAATGTCGACCGTCACTGAAGTCACCACCATCGATGCCTTCAACCAACACAGGTCTTCGCTGCCGGCGTCGACTCTGTTGGTGCTCAACTTCCATACGCCATGGGCCGCACCTTGCGCGCAGATGGCCACTGTCCTTGCGACCCTAGCCTCCTCGTTCCCCGCCACAAGCCCGCCCACAGTCTCTTTCCTCTCCATCAACGCTGAGGAGCTCCCCGATATCTCAGAGGACTTCGACGTTACCGCTGTTCCTTTCCTCGTCCTCCTTCGCGACGGCAATGTCCTTGAGACTGTGAGCGGCAGCGACGCATCCAAGGTCCGAGATGCAATTGAGCGACACGCCGGAGCTGGCGCAGACGGCGCTGGAAAGACACAGCTGCCTCCTCTCCAGCAGGTGACCCCCCGGGCTGCTGCTGAGCCCGCTCCCACCACCAACGGCGCGACCAAAGATCTCAGCGGCTATGCGCCTACCGCTAACGATCCCGCTACTGCTCCCGCGATGACCGACCCGGCTCAATCCTCGAAGGAAGAGCTCTTTGCGCGTCTCACAGAATTGGTCAAGGCTGCGCCGGTCATGCTCTTTATGAAGGGCTCCCCGAGCGCTCCCCAGTGCGGTTTCTCGCGCCAGCTCGTGGGTCTCTTGCGTGAGAACAGCGTTCGCTATGGCTTTTTCAACATTCTTGCCGATGACGATGTGCGCCAGGGTCTGAAGGAATTCGCTGACTGGCCTACTTTCCCTCAATTGTGGGTAGGCGGCGAACTTGTGGGTGGATTGGACATTGTGAGTGCTGATTTCCCTTCTTAAACTTCCAGCTTTCATCGTCAAATCTAATCAATTCTTTTTCAAAACGATTAGGTCAAGGAGGAGTTTGCCAATGATCCCGATTTCCTCAAGGACTACAGCGTCAAGGCCTCTGCTTGAACGACCGAAATCTTCTATTATTTTTCCCTTCTGTAACCCAACTATATCCATCGACCCGACACACCAGGTCATCCCCGTATGCTTCGCTTCCACGAGCTGAACGGTGAACCTGGAAGTCTTGCAAACTGGCCAGGTCGGACCCAACGACTCTTCATGGTGCACAACCAAGATCATTTTCCTTCAATTTCACATTGTGAGCATTTCTGTATCATGAGTTTGAAAATTCGAGGTGGACGGGCGAGTCGTTTTGTTTAGGGACGATTTCCATTGCTGCGCTGGCTTTATTACGTTTCATGATAATGTTATATAGAATATTAAGCGACGCTATCAGCGTTTCTTAATGCAAGATTAATGTCGTTGTCCGTTCATCATTAGCATCCAGAGAGTATTTCCAATTTCACATTGCGCTTGGATATATTACCATCACAGGTGCGCCAATATCAAGCCCAACCTCCGCACGGCCCTTCCTGCCATTGTATCATGGTCGTCCTTTCTTGCCTGCTCGATTTCTTCTCTCGCATCCTTGACAATAGGTAACAAATCGCCCCACACTTCATCTGTGTACCGGTTCAGCACGCCTTCCCATTCATTCAGCCACTGCTCCCGCTCCGCTGGGGAACGATATGCACTTGTCCAAGGAGAATCCTGCATGCTTCGCCTGCCATCCACTTCGCCAAATTCTGGGACCATATCTACTGGATTCGTCTGCTCCATTACCCGATGTTCCGGCGGCGGTGGAAAGAGTGTGCGTATCCGCTCCACTTCTTCCTTGGGGATATTGTGATGAAATAATTCTTCCACCGAGTATGGATGCTGGTCCTGCGCTAAAGAATCTGCTTCAGCAAAAGACGATGAAGGAACGTCCTCGAGATTGAGATTCGGATCGGCCAGGAGTTTGACTACTTCTGCGCCATCCTGTGGATTGATACCATGCTGCATCTCTTGCGGCGAGGTTGGACGAGATTTCTGCCGGCGCTGATCAATGATGTACTGTTGATGCTGGACGTGCTGATGGTTGATAAGGTGGGCGTTTAGATCGTGGTAATACCATGCAGTTTGGGGATCGTATTGTGGCGGTTGCTCTCTATATACGTGTTTCTCCTGCGGTGGTTGTGTCACGGTTTGTCCGGGGTACGGCAACGCAAAGTGGCTATCTTCTAAAATGGTTCCATGCAATTCGACATCGTTATCCCCATTCCATTTGGAAAAGAATTGCTCAAAATCTTGATGTATTTGGTCATGTGATGAGCTTGGTTGTGACCGGAAAGATTGAAACGCAGGGCCTGAACCCGCATCATGAGAAGCTGATAAACTTGAAGAAGATCCAGTAAGCGGTTGAGACAATGACGAAAAGTGTTCTGACTGAGATGCGGATGAAGATGATGCTTGTTGTCCTTTTGATCCATTGGACAGGGCAGATGCGAATGTAGAAGAAGCTGTACTGGGATGCTGATTCGTAAAAGTATCTCTAGCAAGGCCAGATGCAGAGGATGCTATGCGTGATGAGAGTGAAGAGGAGCTTTCGGGATTTTGTGTTGCTCTAGGGTGGTTGCGTAGTGGTCGTTTAGCCAGCTTTGAGGGGTTAGTATCTTGCTGAAGGTTGGTCGAACGATCCATGTTCCCGAAAAGAGAGTCTTAAATAAATATAACAGCTCCAAGAAAAATAAGGAGAGACAGAAAATTCAACAGAGTCCAAAGGAGATGAAAGAAAATAGGTAATTGATCTGGAAATCGTGCATTGAATTAAATAAAGAAGTGAGTATTTGGAATAAGACGGTCTCGAATAAATTATGGACCATTGGGCAAAAAAAATTACAAAAAAAATTGCCAACATCAACTTCAATTCTTTTGGAAAAATAAAACTAAAACATCAAATTAACTCAAGAAAAATATTGAATTTTTAAACACTGAAAAAGCCAATAAGGTAGAGTATCTATCTCGACATTTCCTGGGTGGTTCATAACCGCGGGGCAGCGGAACCTCCCGAGCCGGCGATACCGAGGTGCGCAGGAGAGAACGGAACGAGGGGGGAGAAGTCAAGGTCCAATCGTCACACTAAGAAACTCGTTCATTAGCTTGTGAAAGTCAAAGCACCTCCCATGACTAAGAAGCTTAAGATGCATAAAATATCCCGAAGATAAAAACTGCGGACGTACTGTAGTTCTCTTTGACCATTTCTCTTTGCGACTGTAGAAGCTGGCACGCTTTCGCTGCTAGTGTCTCGTTGTGGTCAAGGTCCTCGGTCGATGATCGGGTTCAGTAGGGACGAAACGCCTGAGAAGTCACAGACACACAGCAAAATGGGCGAAACCAGTCTGATACGTCATCAGGCGGGAGACCAACGCAAGGTCCGAGAGTTACCGTCAGCCAGAGAGCACAGTACAACATCCCCCGCCTCATAGCTGTTGTCATTCGATAAGGCATCGCCGCGTCCCATCATTATTGCATGAGGATCATCGCTTTCCGGAGGATCTACCTTATCGCGCTGGCCTTCACAATCTGCATCAAGCAACACCTTTAAGCCGATGCTGCTGTGTGGCCTGACTCTGTGGAAGCCTCCTCGTCCTTGGAGAATATAATTCATACTGTATCTCTGTGTAGTGCCTGCAATCTGCTTTTGTTTGGTTTGACATGAATTAAGTTATAATAATGCTGCATTGTTGTAGTTGGTGGGTCAAGATGGCAAGCTCAAAGATGTAGGTCTAGGCAGATAGTTCTTTGATATGCCAATACTGTATGCAATGCAGCCGCCGTCTATAACTGCGGTATATTATCGCCTGATCCTTGACGTGTATGCCTTTGCGGATTGCATCTCATGCAACGGTCCTTTATTGATAGGACATTTCTTTGTTGCTTCTACTTTGCCTATTCAAATCCTGCCATTGTTCTTCCAGAGAAGCAAAGGAAGGACTAGCAGAAGAAGCCCATTCATGGCTTCTTGTGAGCCACGCTTAACCATTGTTTAGCTTGCTTTCTACCCAAAACTAACTTTCGCCCGCAAAAACTGTCTCCCTCTGCTTCTCCCACCCCACCGCCTTGCAAGACCAGGTTCTAGTTCCTCTCACATCACACACACTGGCCCTGCGAAACTCCCACGCACTCCCACCCACATACGTACCTCTCGTCCAACACTCCACCGAAATCTTCTTCGTTTTCTCCCTCATCGTATAGTGACGACGTTCTTTTGCTCAAAATATTTCCCAACAATCGTTGCCGCAAATCCCCAGCTGCGGTCGCTTACCGAAAGAGTCTATCGAACCGACGAACGGGATTCGCGCTTAATCCAAGCACAACGGGACTTGCCTGAACCAGCGGGTTCCCCCATCTCATCCATCAGCTACCCAAACCATACTTCCCCCCCATCGTAAGGCTCGAAGAGCCTCATCTTACCTCAATTTAGCCCGTTCCGACCAAGAATATTTCTTCGACTTGCCTGATCGACCATTCCTCGCTCGCCGGCATCGATTGAATTGATTTTTCCCGCAAACATAGGAGTCACGACCGACCGACCCACGGCGCAGAGGTTGAATATTCTCTCCGTGGGCTACAAAGAAAGATGGTGGACGGAGAAGGCACGCCCACGTGGAAATTCACGCAGTAAGTCCACAAATGCCCTTGTGCACCCTTTTGTGTGAGGAGCTTGAAGCTCTGCTTGCCAGCCGTCATGGAAGACGTGGAGAGAAGGCGGGATGGCGGAGCACGTCCGAGCTATGACGAACTACCTTATGCATATCCACATTATGACGAGTTTCATATCTTGGGCGGCATGGGTGCTAATCATCCTTTGATAGATGCTTCGGAGATAAAGGAGATGTGGAAGACATTACTGAAGGTTCGTAATACCTCATTCTGACAGCTTTCCCATTTTTTCTCTGCTTCCTTTCCTGCTGCTGCTCCCGCCGCCCCACTATGTACTTGGGTGGGATGACCAGCTGACGCCTTCTGTAGCGGATATTATCTCTACAGTCGAATTCGATCACACCGGCAATTATCTAGCAACCGGAGACAAAGGTGGAAGGGTGGTTCTGTTTGAGAGAAATGAAACTGTAAGCTTCATCCATACTTGGCCGCCACCTACAAGCAAGAGATACGTCATGGCTAACTACCAACTTCACAACTAGAAAAAAACCTGTGAATACAAATTTCATACCGAATTTCAATCACACGAACCCGAGTTTGACTATCTGAAGTCGCTCGAGATTGAAGAAAAAATCAACAAAATTAAATGGTGTCGGCGACAAAATGCCTCGCATTTCCTCCTCTCGACCAACGATAAGACCATAAAGCTATGGAAGGTCTTTGAGAAATCTCTTAAGGTTGTGGCCGAGAACAACCTTTCACAGGACCTGACACCTGGTGGCGTCGGCGGTGGTGGTGCCCTCCGACCTCATCCTAATGTCCATTTCCCATCTGCATCGTCATTGAAGCTTCCCCGACTAACGCATCATGACACTGTTGTCGCCGCCGTCCCTCGGCGAACGTACGCCAATGCACATGCCTACCACATCAACAGCATATCCGTCAACAGTGACGGCGAAACGTTTATCAGTAGTGACGACCTCCGGATCAATCTCTGGAACCTCAATATCCAAGATCAGAGCTTCAATATTGTCGACATCAAGCCCGCTAACATGGAGGAACTCACCGAGGTCATTACGGCTGCCGAGTTCCACCCGCTGAGCTGCAACTGGTTCATGTATGCCAGCTCCAAGGGAACCATAAAGCTTGCCGACATGCGGGAGAGCGCTCTCTGCGATAACCACGCCAAGAGTGAGATTCTATTCCCCAGCGTCCTCGCTGAACCCTTTTCACTGATGAAATCTTGTAGTGTTTGAGCAAGAGGAAGATCCCTCAAATCGATCATTCTTCTCGGAAATCATTTCCTCCATTTCTGATGTTCGATTCTCGCACGATGGTCGCTACATTCTCTCCCGTGACTACTTGACTGTCAAGATCTGGGACATCAACATGGAACGGCAACCCGTCAAGACGATCCCCATTCACGAGCACCTCCGGCCCCGGTTATGCGATACGTATGAGAATGATAGTATTTTTGACAAGTTCGAGGTTGTCTTCTCTGGCGACGCTAAGAATGTCATGACCGGTAGCTACAATAATAATTTCATGATTTATCCTACAGACCCGGAGAAGGAGTTGGAGGTGGTCCTGCAGGCAGACAAATCCGCCTTCAAAGCCAAGAAGGTGGGCGTGCCGACGCCGATCAACTCAAGCTCGAGCCCGACAAACAGCAAAAAGGGGGGTTCCCGTGCTGGCAGCCCGGCTGCTGGTGCCGGCGGCCAGGGTGGTCGGATGCGGAAAGAGACGGACGCGGATCAGATCGACTTCAACAAGAAGATTTTACACATGAGCTGGCACCCGTACGAGGACAGCATCGCCATTGCGGCGACGAACAATGTAAGTTTCGTATCCATTTTGTGACACACTCCTGCGGTATCTGTTTGTCTCCTGCTAACCGTTGCTGTTTGTAGCTATTTGTCTTTTCGGCACTGTAGATGGCGGCTCGCCCGAGGCATCATGCCGGTCATGTGGGACGGCGTTGCGCGTTGTCATTTGGTCTCTTAATTGCATTACTGTTATGCCACTTTTCCTTCTGATCATTCACCTGAGCATACACACAACGTCCGATACGGGAGCGAGCACGAAAGCCGGAATGTTGCGGTCTGCCTCCAGAGGCACAAGCTTTGAATCAAAATAATACGAGAGGCAAACAATGGTACCAAGCTCATCGGGCTCATAGATGGACTGCGGCCACCCTGTCTCCGATGCCTGATGGGGTCTTATGGATTGACTTGCCTCGACACGATTGGCCGTATCTCAGACGCGCATCGTTCCGTGTTGTCTCGTTAGAGCAAAGGTCATTTGGGGCAAGTCAGTCCCAGCGCGAAGACGAGTTGCGCACGGAGTGCGCTTTTCAGTTATGAGCGAGGAATAGCGAAGCGGTGCGATGCTTGAGTTTTCTTAGAGGCGTGGGGGGCTCATCTTAAGAATTTTAAGAAATCAAAGTTTGACAAAATGGCAGGACGATTATGAACATCAAATGTAGACTGATATCGTTATGTTGTAAACATGCGCTGGCAATTGTCTGGAATGGGCTCTGAGGCGATGCAATCATGGACTGGACTCAAAGTAGACAAAACCGATATTGCATAACCCAAAGAACGGAACCGTAGACGGCAGGAAGGATATCGAAAAGGGACGAGGGGACGAGGTGAGGCAGGAATTGCGTTGGAAAGTTAATGCTTTGGTTGATGCTTTGGTTTGTGACTACATATGGTCCTGATCCCTGCCGGGTGAGTGAGCAGCCTGCAGCTACGGGCCGTCCGGGCCCTGGACAATGATGTGCCGGTACCGACGATGGAGGGGCAAAACAAGGAGCTTCGGGGGCTAAAAACACTTGAGACATGACTAGAGGGCGCGATCGCCACCCCTGAAATGATGAATTTTCAACATTTTATGACCAATTGAATAGAATAAACTCAATAATTTGTATAGACGGAAAGAGTCTTCTGACATCATTGCCATCATGGTGATGGATATCAGTCATTAGTTAGATGAATATCTTGAAGCTGCAGCGTTAGATCCGTTATGCGTAGAGGCGCCACCTTATCCGGCACAAATAAAGCACAGACTGTCAACTATGGCCTTCCCACTGCCTTTCTTTAACTGACCTCGTCCCGGCTGGCTTTCGGAGGGGTTCCCGTTCTGGAACTGGCCGAGTGCTTAACTGTAAGGATCCCTACTGCTTACCCGACCCGCGTCATAGTGGTCACCCCGTCGATCATCGCTTGCTATGTATAACTAACCCATTACTCACCCTTGCTCGTCTTCATTGACACACACCCACACACACACACGTGCCCATACCGGATTCCTGTTGTCGTTGGTCACCTTGCTTGTCTCGTCTTGTCTCGTGTTTGGGATTTTGCAATGCCGGCTGGTCCCCTTTCCGCACTGACCAATTAGTAAAGGGAAAATCCTTATCCAGGTGAGTAGCCAACTATTACGGTCAAGGTCAAAGCAAGAAGGGGAAAGAGGGTCACACTATGGACTTCCCTTCCTTGCCGGGCAATCTGCCATGCAGTGAAGCTCGTGATTCTCTCTTTTCCCCAGACAATTGCTCCTTCCGTGCCCCGCCAGTCTATTTTGTTCTGCCATCACTCTTTCCTTTCTTCGTTTTCCTTTGCGGGCCCAGGCCGCTCTGGCACTGCGAAGTGCAGCTCTTGTGCATTGCGTTGCTCGTGCGTGCATCCTCTCGCGTGCTTGTTGCCAGAGATCATTGTGTCTACACCATAGACATATTCTAGGCATGGGCCGATAATTGATCATTCCTACCTGCCGTTGGATGGCCTCTTAACCCCACACCTTCCGAGTATTCTACGCTGTTGCCCGTAAACAACCCAGAACATTATATCCACCAAAACGCATCGAGTGGCTTCCGCAGCATATTGCACCACGCGTCGACATCATGGCCAGGAGCCGCCGGGCTAACCTCCTCTCCCCTAGTGCAATGACGACTGCGCAGATCCAGCGCCGCCGAAGTGCCCAGCATGGCCTTCCGTCCGGTGCGGGCTTCGACGGACTTCCGCAGACGCCCAAGGAGATCAATGCGGCACCCTCACTTGAGAATGCGCAGGCGGCAAGACGACAGATTGGCCGACTCAGCATTAGCAATGCCATGAGCTTTGCCAATGCCGTTCTGCACACTACCATTCCCGCATGGTTTAATATTGGTGTTATGGTTGCGTGGATATTTGGAGGATGCTGCTCGAATGTCAGTGGAAATTCCTCTTCTGCTTCATTGAGCCCCATGGCACGCCAATCTTGCATTGAGCTTGGGTCATGTCCGGAGCGTCGCGGACATTCATCTCATAGGAACATTTCGAGCTAATGGAATATACGAGTTAGGTTTTCGCGTTGGAGGCAATTGTGAAGTGAGTTTTTGAAGCATAATATTGAGGGAGCATGTAGCTCCGAGAGGCACAGAAGCTGACTATTAACAGGGAAGAGCCAGACAGCGGTAATTGACCCTCAATGCGATTTTCCGACGCGCATGTACGACAGTGCTTTACTGACGCTTCTGTCGCATTTGTACAGGTCTTCTCATGACCCTTGCCCAATTTATCCTTACTGCTCTGTTTAGTGTCCGCCACCAGTTCACCCTTTCAAATCCACCCTTTTTTCTCAAGTCCAGAGCTGTTCCCCTTCGTCGATGGCTCGTCAGCATCGCTTTGTTCTTCTCAGTCAATGTAATGAACAATTTTGCCTTTGGATATGACATCTCTGTGCCTGTACATATCATTCTTCGAAGCGGTGGCAGCGTCACTACTTTGCTGGCGGGGTGGCTCTGGGGAAAGCGCTTCACAAAGCTCCAAGTGCTCTCTGTCATGATTTTGACTGTGGGAGTCATCATCTCAGCCATGGCCGACGCACAAGCAAAGGTACGATACTATGTGTTTTTCGAAGTGGCGCACTTTTCCTTCGTGTGTCCATATGTTCTAACTTTTCTTTCTAGGGCAAAATAAATTCCGAACACTCAAGCCACGGCCGCTCGTTTGCAACAGGTCTGGTTCTGCTCTTGATCGCCCAGATTCTCAGCGCCATCATGGGTCTTTATACGCAAGCTACCTATGCCAAGTACGGTTCACATTGGCGCGAAAATATGTTTTATAGCCACTTTTTGTCTATTCCCCTCTTCTTCCCTTGGCACGTCTCGCTGCGCGAACAATTCTCCCGTCTATCGTCCTCGCGACCTATCTCTCTTGCATCGTTGTTTCCATCAGCTCTTGTCGAAAAGCAACCTGCGCTTCAAAAGCTACCTTCAGTCCCGCTTCAGCTCGCTCTGCTGGCAGTGAATTCTCTCACGCAATACGCTTGCATCAAGGGGGTGAACTTGCTGGCTGGCCGATCCTCCGCACTAACGGTCACTATTGTGCTTAATATTCGCAAATTGACGAGTTTAATGCTGAGTATCTGGCTCTTTGGAAACAACTTGGCCCCTGGTGTCCTTTTGGGTGCAATCGTTGTGTTTGCTGCTGGCGGATTATATGGTTGGGAGAGCCAGCGCGCCAAATCGAAAGAGGAAAAGGGAGGCAAAGAGGACAGCAAAAAGAAACAATGACTATTTCTCTCTTCTTCAAAATGTTTGGGCCATGGCGTCCAGCCCTATCGGTGCTGCGCCTTCGTCTCTTTATTGGCCTCTCTACGAGCGAATTTGCATACGGTCTCCTCGTACGATGCCATTCTAGACTTCATTTTCAATTCATAAGACTGACAGTCTTGCATAGATCAATAACAATGGCAAAACCATAGATGATTGAAGCTGCATTTCTAATTTTCTCGCTGCATGTTTTTAGTATTTGACGACCATTACTTATGTAAATCCGGAAAGCGCCTTTGAAAACATCCTTTCTCATATTTTAATCCGCATTACCAGATTCCTAGTAGCAAGGGCAAAACTTTTTGGTATCCTCAACCTTCCAATTACCGATCACGCCCCAATTTTCTAAAAAATCTGCATTACCATCATCATTATATCCGACGTAAGATGTCGTTTTTCAGTAACCAAAATCCTCATAAATAATCCTCTCACCCGCCAACCAATTCAACACTGCGCTTTTGAGCCTTGGACCTACGCACATATACCATTCATTTACTTCTTCTTCTTCTTCTCCTCCCTTTTCAGCGTCGGCAGCGCTCAGCTCATCTACGTCTCTTTTCTCAAGTCTTCTCAACTCGACCTTGACGCCGCTCTGCATGACCTGTTGAAGACTCTTTCTGTCTTCCTTGGTCTCGATATCCGTCTCGGCTTTACCTGTCAGAAACAATTGGACGACTCCAGGATGGACAAGCAGTTCTGGATACCGCCGAAATGTGTCTGCCACGAGACCGATATCTTTGATGGAAATAGACCATAGCAGGCGCAGGCGACGGGAGTCAATGAAGGGCAGTTGGCCGAGTAAGGGGGTGATTCCGATGCCGCCGGCGATGAATGGAATAATCGCGTGGGACACGGACTGGGAATGAGAATTGGGAGAATAGGGAGAATCGGGAGAGTGAGGAACTGAATCATAACTAGTTGCAAAGCTAAAGTCTCCGCCAAACCCCTTCAATGGAATCTTGTATTCCGTCTTGGTTCGCTTTGCGCGTGCGGCTTGATCGAAGAGATAGCTTGTCACGCGCCCTACTCTTCTGATGGTCAGCTCGAATTCTGTGTCGTCTTGAGGAAGGACAGGAGGAAGAGGACCGGTGGCGGCGCTTCTGGTGGTTCTGGCGGGTCCGGGTGCCTTTGAGGATTTGTTTCGGCCGAGGCTCGGCGGACTGGAGATGGTAAATGTTCGCATGTAGTCGTCGTTTAAGGACCTGGGGTCGTCGTCGCGCATGTGGCTGTATCCAATGTCGAGGTCGTCCGCGAACGACAGGGCCGCGTATTGGCCTGGTTTCCACGGCGCGTGGACTGCAGAAGGGTCTTGGATTTTGAAGCGGAATCTCGAAATGGTGGGTGTTAGCCGCTCGGAGTTTATGAGCGTTGCGTAGGTGCTGGGTTGTTGTGTAGCGCCTCCTTCTGAGCCTAATTCTGTTCCTGCGGTGTGTTTCTCGGTCGTGGCAAATCGAACATTTGGATTGTATGGAGATGGCTCTCCCACAATACCCCGGAAGGAGAGGCCATTCTGGACGAACCGTGAAGACGTGATTGTTACTTTGACGGCTAGGTTCGATCGAGGCAGTATTGCGGCTGCGTCGTGGCCGATAAGGACCTCGGTTCGTCCAGTCAGATAGATTGCGTCCCCGGTATCAAAATCCGGAATGGCTAGTCCTGCGAGTGGTGTCGTTTGGAGATTTCCTAGCGTCTGGTAGAGTCTGTTCCCAGAGTACTCGGGGTAGACAATGACAGCGCCGGATGGATCGTTGGATAGCACTCGCACAAACCCTGGCGGTCCGCCACGGTGGTTTGTGTCCATGTCATGGCTTCCGTGCGAGGAGGAGATGAAGAATAGATCTGCCTTGGAGAGTAATGAAATTGCCTGTGGTGATAGTTGTGGTGAGTCGGATATCAGCTTTGGAGTTGGTGTAGCTGGTTGAATTTGTTTTTTGTTGAGATATTTTGGACAGTTACCTGAGATGGATTGTCAGTATAGGTTTTCAAGAGCTAATTGAACGGTAGACCTCGTCGTATATAATGCATGCTGGAAGTTTCATGTGTTTTGAGCATTACTGCAAAGGAAAAGAAGAGAACTTACCTAAACTTTCATCTATCCGCACAGCTAATTGCAATTGCCCTATTGCGTTTGTTTCTCTTGCTCCATGCTCCTCAAAGGCTTGAAGTGAGCCGGCAATCATTTTGCCATAGAGTTTCACTCGCATTCGATGCTCAAGATCAATGGCCAGGCCACCAATCATTATTCCATCTTTTCCAGGCTGAACTACTTCCCCATCATCCCGTCCCTTCAAAAGTGATTCAATCACAGGGTCATCTTTCTTATCCACAAGTGTGCTGATTCCAATTATTGAACTTCCAATGGGTCGAGCAAATCCGGCTTCTCCGCCAAGTATAGTCGTCCATGGCCGCTTCTTTGCGTCAAGTGTTCCGAGAGCGACCAATGGAGACCTTTGGGTCATATAGCCTGCTCCGGGGGAGAGAAAAGGTGAGCTGGGGTTGTCTTGATCAGGCACGTGCATGAGCTTGTGCATCTGATTCTCACCCTCATGCCAGGGCATACTTTCAGTCATATAGAATGCCATATTGGTAGGGAATACTGGAACAAAAAGAATTGAGCATCGATATTTCACATTTTCAATGAGTCTCAGAGGAATAGCTGCTCTCTATAAATACTTGATGGAGTTTCAATTCATTCCAAATATCTCAAATAGTCTGTATCGTTATAAGTAACCTATTGTCATCAATTGGAGATAGTAATCATGAGCACCCGTGGTTTGGGAATCTGGAGTTGGAGGGGCGGATATTCCTTCCGCGGGCCATTCTCGGGTGGAATGACTAATCAGATCTCCCAGCGGCTGCCGAAGTAGCTCCTACGCTAATATTTGCAGAAACGATACTTTGATGATTCAGGTACTTCCTTTGTAACGGTTTATGCAGTGGGAGCACAAGTACCGTACTTCCAGAAGAGTCTCAAACCTTGACTTGGCGCCTCACATCAAAATACTGGAACTCGTTTCTGGTATCCAAACATCCACACCTCAGGCATCCTAATAGGCAGGACCTGCGCCGAGTCTATACGAACCCCATTTTCCACTATCGCGTTTCATCCTTTCTTTTCACCATCTGGCGTCTTGGAACCTTTTCATTTTTGCGGTCACACGTTAGCAGACTTCTCGTAGTCCTCGGAAAAGTCGGACAGACCTTCGTTGCCCCCTTCTTTCCACCCTCAGGAAGTGCTTCGTCCTCAGACAGCAACGGTTCGTGAAGATGGCCTCCCTGGGAGAAGATCTCCTCGGCATTGTCAATAAGCTGCAGGACTTGGTCTTTAACACCATTGGCAATGACTCGTTGGACCTTCCGCAAATTGTATGGCCCGCCATCTATTGAGCATTCGCGCTCCACCTTTTCGATGCGGCGAATGACTTGCTAATACATGCAACAGGTCGTAGTGGGATCACAATCATCGGGAAAGTCGTCGGTAATTGAGAATATTGTTGGCAGGGATTTCCTTCCTCGAGGAAGCGGCATTGTCACCCGACGACCCCTCATCCTGCAGTTGATAAACGTTCCGAGCGAGAGAGATGACCGGCCAGAGGGCGATGAAATTCATGTGCCTCACACTGCGGCCAGCGTCGATGGCCAAGGCGAGTGGGCAGAATTTCATCACCGTCCGGGCCAACAATTTCACGATTTTGGTGATGTGAAGCGGGAGATTGAAAATGAGACTGCTCGGATAGCTGGTAACAACAAGGGTATCAACCGGCAACCGATCAACCTTAAGATCTATTCCCCCCACGTTCTCAACCTCACCTTGGTCGATCTTCCTGGTCTGACAAAGGTAAGTGGAAGCTATAGTATTACGCCTTACGGGACAAATCTAACAATATACTTATCCAGGTGCCCATTGGCGATCAGCCATCCGACATCGAGAAGCAGACACGAACCCTTATTTCCGAATATATTGCAAAGCCCAATAGTATCATCCTTGCTGTCTCCCCTGCCAACGTTGACCTTGTCAACTCTGAGGCATTGAAGCTCGCCCGCCATGTTGATCCTATGGGCCGCCGAACCATTGGTGTCCTGACCAAGCTGGATCTTATGGATCACGGCACCAACGCGCTTGATATCCTCTCCGGACGTGTATATCCTCTGAAACTGGGATTCATCGGTGTGGTAAACAGATCACAGCAGGATATTCAGGGCAACAAGTCGCTCTCCGATGCGTTGCAGGCTGAGCGCGATTTCTTCAGGCACCACCCGGCGTATCGAAACATGGCGAACCGATGCGGCACTCAGTTTTTGGCCAAGAGCCTGAACTCGACTCTCATGGCTCACATTCGTGAGCGCCTACCCGACATCAAGGCTCGTCTCAATACGTTGATGGGCCAGACCCAACAAGAGCTGGCCAGCTACGGCGATATGCAATTCAGCGGCAAGGAGCACCGTGGTTCTCTGATTCTGCAACTCATGACCAGATTCGCAAACTCTTTCATCGCTTCAATCGATGGTACTTCGTCGGAGATTTCCACGCGTGAGCTCTGTGGTGGCGCCAGGATTTATTACATATTCAACTCCGTCTTTGGCAACTCGCTCGAAACCATTGACCCTACTACCAACCTCTCAGTATTGGACATTCGGACCGCGATTCGAAATTCCACCGGACCTCGGCCCAGTCTCTTCGTGCCCGAACTCGCCTTTGATCTCCTCGTCAAGCCGCAAATTAAGATGCTTGACATCCCCAGCCAGCGTTGCGTTGAGCTCGTTTATGAGGAGCTGATTAAGATTTGCCATACGTGCGGCTCAGCTGTAAGTCTTATCACCTCGCCTCATGACTTATCCCTCACCCCCTTTTTGCCTTTACTCATCTAATCAGAACCAGGAACTATCTCGTTTCCCTCGCCTGCAAGCTAAATTAATTGAAGTCGTTTCCGACCTCTTGCGTGAACGGTTAGGGCCATGCTCTGGCTATGTCGAATCGCTCATTGCTATTCAGCGGGCATATATCAATACGAATCACCCCAACTTCCTCGGTGCTGCGGCTGCCATGTCGTCGGTTATCAACGACAAGAACGAGAAGGAGAAGAAGGCTCAGGCCGCCCTCGCGGAGGAGAAGCGCAAGCAAGAGCGGAGACGATTAAAGGAGGCAGACACCGTCAATGGTGCCGGAGGACCGGATGATGACGAGGATGGTCCGGAGGAGAAGCCTCAGTCGTTGCCTGTCCGCCATCGCGCGTCAAAGGCTACCAGGAGCATGTCTCCTGCAGTTGGCCGTGGCTTCGAGAATGGCCATAGCTCGATCGCTGCTTCCCTGAACGGAAACCAGGGCACTGGCAGTGCCAAGGACAGCTTCCTGAACTATTTCTTTGGAAAAGATGGCAGTGGAATCGCTACGCCCACTGGAAACGCTGCTTCAACGATGCTCGGTCAGAGACATGTCAGCAACCACCTTGAGCCTTCTATTGCGCAGAGCATTCGCCGTGGCGAGACGAAGATTGAGCGTCCAGCTCCTGTGCAAGCCGTTCAAGACGACTTCGACTTCCCAGCCCCGATGGCTGATGATAACCCCTTCGTAAGTAACTTTTCGTGTAAAATTTTAAGAGGCGTTATTGAGCTAACCTCATTTCCCCCTTAGCCCGGCGAAGAGACTCCAGCGTTGACTGAGCGTGAGGCCCTCGAGACTGAGCTTATTCGTCGCCTTATCTCATCGTACTTCAACATTGTTCGCGAAACTATCGCCGACCAAGTCCCCAAGGCTGTCATGCACCTTCTTGTCAACCACTCCAAGGATGTGGTTCAGAATCGGCTTGTTAGCGAGCTCTACAAGGAAGACCTTTTCCAGGACCTGCTCTATGAAGACGACGCCATCAAGGCCGAGCGCGAGAAATGCGAGAAGCTCCTTTCGACCTATCGCGAGGCCGCCAAGATTGTTGGCGAGGTCTTGTAAGCTGGCTAGCTCTCTTTTCAGTCCGTTAGACCAGGTTTGAATTGGCAATAGGTTCTGCCACACATGACTCCGGTAGACATTAGAGGGATGACGTTTTGTGTTGTCGCTTTTCTGGTGACTGAAAGTTTTTCTTTTTTCGTGTGTCTGGTTAGGATATGGAAATAATCATCCTGTCCTTGGCCCGTCTCCGCTCATGGAAAGCCTCATTCCGTAGGCTTCTCCCCCCTCTTATACCGATCTCACTCATCTCATTTTCCGCATGTCCGGTACGCTGAAGTCTCTACTCTTCATTTCGCTCTATGCCACATCCACTTTTCCTTTGAACGGAATTTGGCATTACGCCGCGTCCCATATCTGCCGTACGACAGGCCTGCACAGGACATGTTCTCCGAAACTATGTTTTATTTATTGTATAACATATCTGGCTCTTCCTTGGAGTCTGTATCTTTTTTTTTTTTTTTCCTTTTTCACCGCCTCTCTGCTCTCCTGAGCTTGAACTCTACTTTCATATTCGAGTTGTTCGGAGCACATGATTTTCCAGAGGACGACCTCTCAGCGCCATGGGGATGCGATGTAGCTTTGTACTTTGTACGATGGTTGGATGTGTAGATAAATACAATCTGGGCGAACTTTTTATGACTTTTTTTTTGGCGCATATAAAATCTCAAACGTGTTTGAACTGGGTCGAGAATCATTGAGCGTAAAAATACAACCTTGCAATCGAATGGCCATGCCATGATTACCCTATGTTTACCAACAAATCATCAGTCGGACGTTGAATACTACAAGCTGCTTTTCTTGGACGAACACCGTCAGACCCCTGAAAATAGCGCAGCAGGAAAAAGTCCAATTCTAGTCTATATGATCTAGTATAAGATTGGATGCTAAAGTAATGGTCATCATGAACGCCGCGAAGAGTTCCCTCGAGAATTCTTCATTCGAAAATACCCAGTATGCAGAAGTACGCGACGATGAGAAATGTGCAGAGTTCATTGCTCTGACTCAAACCCAAGAAACCAGAAAATGCTGAGCAGCAGAAAATAGCTAACAGTACATGAAATAATATATACAGTATAGGTATCTTGTTCCACCATCGCCGTGAAGTCTCCAAGCAAAGACAAAAGTGCAGTGCGCGCTCTCCTTACTTCGCTTGCACAATTTCTGTGTGATTAAGCTCCCACAGTCCCAACGGCCCGATACTTTTCTCGATAAGTCTCGAATGCTTTGATTTGAGGTTCTGTAGCGACGCCGAGAATGCCGTGATAAACATCATCCAGGGTGAGAATGGACAAAATCGGTACGCCGGTCTCGAGCTTAAGCTGCTCAATGGCACTGAGGTTTGAGAGTCGAGGCTCATTTTTGTCCTCTTGAACATCGAGGGCCATCCTTTCTTTCCGATCCAGTGCAACTATAATTCCCGCCAAAGTGCCTCCCTGTTTCGCAATAATGTCGATACTTTCGCGCATTGCCGTGCCTGCGGCGACTACATCGTCGATAACTAGCACCCGCTGTCCTGCAATGGGAGCACCGACAATGATTCCCTTTTCGCCATGGCCTTTTGCCTCCTTGCGATTGAAGCTATATGAGATACGCCCATATTTTTCAGGCTTCATGACAGCTAGCTGCGCCACAACGGCAGTAGCAAGCGGAACGCCCTTGTATGCGGGGCCAAAGAGCACATCAAACTCGAAATTTGTACGCTCTGCAAAGTCTATGATGGTTTGTGCATACGCACGACTGATGCTGTGCAGGAGGTCGGCACGGTGAAAACATCCGGCGTTAAAGAAATATGGTGTCGGCCGTTGGCATTTTAAGGAATAATCTCCCAACTGAATGACTGACTCGCTGATTGCCTTAGCCAGGAAATCGGCTTTATATTTGGGCAAAGTTTGAGGCACCATCTTGACGGTTATAAATATGTGCGTGAGGAGATAAAAATGACGTGAGCGACACAAAAATAGAAAATATGTGTCAAGGACCAAAAGAAAAGGAGTCCTCAAATGACAAGAAACTTTTTGAAAACCCGTGCGAGAAAAGAAAGACCAAACAGCATCTGGGGCGGCATCCAGAAATATGTTTCCGAGGTGAAGCTAATTGACAGCCCCACGGCTCAAGGGGAATTTTTTTCTTCTCCGCATTTGTCAATTTTATTGATGGCACCATCGAAGCCATTTCTTGGCCGAAACCGAACAATCGATCATGGTAGATTACCGTGTGTCGAAGAAAGCTATGATTTTCTACTGTGGGGTTGGTGATTGTGGAGATAAGGGTGTTGATAGACGGCTTTGCAGCCTTCTTGGCTCAGATAAGGAGTTGACAGACGCCCCTTGGCTGCGATAGTCCCGCGGACATCGCCAAACTTTAGCACCCGCAGCGAATAAGACAAGGGGCATGCTAGCATGACAGATGACGATAAGGCTGTGATTTCGACCTGACAACTACTGTTGATATCTGATTCTCAAGATCTATACCACCACACCGTCACGGTAGTCGAGACCAAATCGCATCATTTTCCCTGTGCACTGTACCTTGCGGTGATGGAGAGATTTCTATGTTACTTTCGTTCGAGTGCCCACAGGCGGGGCGCCATGGGCATTTGATTCTCTTCAATAGGTTGACTGGCGCTCAGAGACTCAAACATATTTCCATTCTCTCTCAAAAATTTTTATGACTGCATTTTATAGAGGAATAATAACAGGAATTTTTATTCTAGAGCTTTTTTTGACAGAAATACTCCAATCAAGAGAATCAGCAGCAGGCTCTCAAGTTGAGTGGTGTTGTTCAAGATGGTTCGCAACTTGGTTGTCCTGGGCGGCAGCGCACATCCAAGTCTGACACGCAAAATTTGCGACTATCTGGATATTTCACCAGCAGAAGTGTTACTTGGAAAATTTGCCGTTGGCGAGACAAGAGTGGAAATCAAGGACTCGGTTCGTGGTAAAGAAGTTTATATAATACAAGCAGCTGGCGAGAACATCGATGACTCTCTTGTTGAACTTCTCATCACCATTTCCGCATGCAAAATCGCATCCGCAAAGCGAGTCACTGCAGTCTTACCGCTGTTCCCATACTCCAAGCAAGCAGACAATTGCTATGAGCGATCTGATAGTCCTCTTGGGAAAGCGCCAAAAGGCGTGGAAATGACAGATTCTATTACTTTAGAATGTGATCTCCAAAACACATCTATCTCGCCGGCATCTTCGCGAACCAGTCTTGACGCAGAAGGAGACGTGGACGAATCCGACAGCAGCGACAGCGCTTCAGCATCTCCTGTTCTTAGAGGCATGAGCACATCAACTCGCGGATCCGCTTCCCCACGACAATCAGCTGCAGCATTGCACCCTGGATACAAGCAATGGCAGGCCAAACCCGGTACTTTGGTCGCTAATCTCCTGACGTGCGCCGGCGCGGACCATATTATCACCATGGATTTGCATGACTCGCAGTATCAAGGTTTCTTCAATATTCCTGTGGATAATTTGACGGCCAAATCCTTGATCAAGAGGCACATTCGATACCAGCTTCCCGAATTTTCCAGCACGATCATCGTCAGTCCTGATGCTGGAGGGGCAAAAAGAGCTACCGCTATTGCTGATGAGCTCTCCTTGGACTTTGCTCTGATCCACAAGGTAGCTTCCTCAATTGTAAGTGTACTAGTATATCATTTGTGCTCTCTATTTCGGAAAGTCTTGGATCTAACATGAGCTCTCCAGTCACGCGAAGAAAACCCAACGATAGCAAAGGATGGCATGATTCTGGTTGGCGACGTGCGTGGGCGCACTGCAGTCTTGATTGACGACTTGGCCGACACTTGTGAAACCCTCACACGTGCTGCGCGTCTGCTTAAGAACAAAGGAGCTAAGAACGTATATGCGTTTGTCACCCATGGAGTTTTCGGTGGTGAGGCGGTAGAAAAGATTGATGCAAGCGCAGTGGACAAGGTTTTCGTGACGAACAGTGTCCCGCAAGAGCAGCATCTGCAAAGATGTAACAAGCTTGAGGTTCTGGATATCAGTACACTACTTGCCGAAGTAAGTTGTTCTGCAGCACATCTAAATATCAGACGTTTGTCTAATCCTCGTCTCGCAGACAATCCGCCGGATTTACTACGGTGAAAGCGTAAGCGCACTTTTCTCACGAAGTCTTTAACGGAAAGCTTTGACATTTACGTTATTCCCTGGTTATTTTTCCTCATAAAAGATGTTGTCTAGTATAAATTTCGAATGGCTCTTTCGAGCATTGGCAAGGCAAAAGCTGCTCAAAAATTCTTTTTTTTTTGACTTGATTTCATTGCACTTAAGGCTAAAGTGGTAGTTTTTACTATAGTAATTTGCATAATTATTCAATCCTAATTTCCTAACGTTGTTGAAATATAATATCTCGCTGAGCCAGTGACCGGCACCTAATGTCTCAATTTCCGCTTTGTTCTCTGCTTCTGCTGGAAGAGTGCTAGTCCGAAGATCGGAAGCAAGATTTTCCATTAAGTAACCCCAAACCCTTTCTCTAATAGAAAAGAATTTTGAAAGCACATCGAAATTATGGACAGCGTATTACCCAGGGTTGGGTTGGAGATCAGGAGGAAAACAGATATCCAAGAACGGTATAGCGTGAGATATCATTCCTCGTGGACTTATCATTGCTTATCTCTCACCCGCGTGTCAAGCTTTCTGGTCGTGATAGAAGGATTTTGGAATCCCTCGAAAGGCAGGATAAGCGAGATATACCTTATCAACCCCAGGGATCTGCCAAGACCCCTAGAAACAATAGTTTGGAATCTATTTCTTCTGGCACAGACGAGTTGATGAACAGGGAATATTTTACAATCGTTAGCTTCGAAATTGAAGACGAAACGTACCTGATCATTCGGTCACAATGTACGATATGCTAGCAGCCAGCCAGGAAGGAAAATAATATCCGGATCTGATAGTTGGACCCTCTGGATAGGATAATACTGCCATGTGATTTTGATGAGTGCAGAGAATAATCTCCGCGCCTTGACAAGACTTGCATGGAGTGCGCTAGGAATACCTTGAGACTGGCACCCGGCGCCAATTGTTTCACCGTGCTGATTTAATCGGAGAGAGATTTGTTGATGTTTATGGCCCCTTGTGCTAAAATTCCTTTATTTTTTTTTTCGGCTCAGGCTCATGTTGGTAATCTAAATTATCTCTACAAGCTGTATACATTCACTTATTCCTTCTTTGCTGATTTGCTATTCTCTTTTCATTTCGTCTGTGGTATCTGAACGTTGCACATAATCTCAGCATTGCTTTCGTTTCATAAAGATACCCTTTACTGTTTTTCTCAATTTTTGCCGAAAATTTCACCAAGTCGAATTATTGAGACGATAGGCGGATTGCTCCTCACTCAGGCACTGAAGCACAGAAGGATAATATGGCGACAAATACCATTAAGCTTTTGACAGGTAATAGTCATCCGGTGTTGGCTCAGAGGGTCGCAGATCAGTGAGTTTCCCGTACTCGATACCGACGAATATTTCCCTCATAGGACTTCTGAGGAAGAATTTACTTTCACTCTTTCACGGATAATCATGCTGTTTAGACTGCACATACTGTTGCTAATATATATTCTATTTTCAAGGCTCGGTGTCCCTTTGACTCCGACGTTTATCACTCGTCATCCAAATCAGGAGGCAAGCATTACTATCGGCGAGTCAGTCCGAGACGAAGATGGTATTTTTATTCCTTATTACCCCCCTAACGAGTTGAGCACGACGGGAAAGAAACAAAACATAAAACTCTAATAGCTTTTCAGTATTTATTTTGCAATCACCAGCGCCCGGCAGAGTCAATGAGGGCCTAATGGAGCTTCTCATCATGATCAATGCTTGCAAATCCGCGTCCGCTCGTCGGATCACCGCCGTGATACCCAACTACCCCTACGCCCGCCAAGATAAAAAAGACAAAGCGAGAGCACCAATCTCGGCAAAGCTTATTGCAAGTATGCTTCAGATGGCTGGATGCAATCATGTAATCACGATGGATTTGCACGCCAGTCAAATTCAGGGATTCTTCAGCGTCCCAGTAGACAATCTATATGCTGAACCAAGCACGATTCGATACATCAAGGAGGAAATTGGGCTGGAAAACACAATCATTGTCTCACCGGATGCAGGTGGAGCAAAGAGGTGAGGCCACACGTTCAATTCCTTGCCTGGCCATATATTTCGAGGGCCAGAAGCTAATAGTAATTCGTACAGGGCAACGTCAATTGCCGATCGTCTCAAGCTTGGGTTTGCATTGATTCACAAAGAGCGAAGTCGTCCCAACCAGGTATCTCGAATGGTCCTGGTGGGCGATGTTACAGGAAAGACAGCAATTTTAATTGATGACATGGCCGATACGTGCGGCACGTTAATAAAAGCAGCAGATACTCTCATTGATGCAGGAGCGCGCGAGGTCATGGCCATGGTCACGCATGGAACATTAAGTGGCAATGCTATTGAGATGCTTAACAAGAGCCGGTTATCACGGCTTGTTGTGACGAATACGCTCCCGACAGAAGACAAAGTGGACAGATGTCGGATATTGTGGACTTTGGATATCAGCCCGACGGTATGTTAAAGCCGTTTTATGTTGCTCTTCTACCCCAGCGCAAAGAGATATTGGGAATATCTGACTAACTTAGTTACAGATCGCGGAGGCCTGCAGAAGAACGCATAATGGTGAAAGTGTGTCATATTTGTTCAGCCATGCTCCTGCCGGCAGCCTGTGATATAATGATAGTTTAGCGTCCTTGTTTTGTTTAAGAAGTATGTGCGTATTATTTCAGAGCCTTATTTGTAGAACTAAAAAGCCAGCTTGATGGTTATGTATATCAAAGCGTACTGCATTAAGGTTCGAGTATCTTAAATTCCTCAAGAGTATTTATTTTTTTTTTTAAAAAAAAAAATGAATGCCAATTGAAATGAGAAGATGCGTATTTGTTACTGCTAACAAAACATGACCATGCTGGCAGCTTTGCGGTCAGGCCTCATTTACGTATTCAAATGACAGCAGCGGAATGGCCTGATGGTTAAAAGAGTGTCTGTAGATAAGGCTGCTCCTTCGGTCCGATAGCGGGAATGACTAAGCCTTATATAACTGGAACAACGTCAATATCGCATTACTATTGCGGTAAACGGAGCGGCCATCCCCCGATCTCCTCCGCCCAATTTGTCTTTATTTTGTTCCTTGACGTCGTGAAGAAGAAAAGAAAAAAAGACGTACATAGTTTGAACGTGACGTTACGCGTTTTGCATGTCCCATTGCCCTATACTCCAAGCTCCTATCGTTCGGAGCTGTTCACCTTCTACAAACTTCACCGAAAGGTCGTAATAGCTCAGACCAGGCACGCATTGTTGCATTCATGCAGCGAGATCTATGATAGACCTAACGCCTGCTATTCTTGAATAATCTCGCCATGGAGAGCCCAAACGGCGCTGCTTCAGCAGCTTCGCCTCCCAAAGGATCGCCGCCGCCTACACCGAAAGAAGCTCCTAAACGGCCAGAACCTGAGCCAGAATCCAATTCATCTCAACCCCGTAAACGTCAGAAGAGACGCCAGTCTTCTGCAAAGGTGGAATCCCCAAAGCCCGTAGTGGACGAGCCTAGTCCGAAACCTCCAAGCCAAAGCCCTGTTCCATCAAAAACAACGCCCGTGCCATCATCGACTCCCAAGCCGCCGCCAGGACCGACTGGCGTTATTCGGAATTTTATTGGCAACCAGTTCATCGCGTCAAAGACGCGCAGCTGGAGCCCTGCTTTTGACCCGGTATGTTGGTGCTTTACTTTGCATCCCAATGAGAAGACTTGTATTTCTAATATATCCGACAGTCAACTCAAAAGTTACTCACGCGAGTTCCTGAATCCACGCAAAACGAGGTGCACGAGGCTGTTGCAAGTGCAGAACGAGCTCAATTATCATGGCGCAGACTGCCTCTCACGAAGAGGCGAGAACATTTGTACCGTCTCACCGAAATATTTCGAGTCAATCGAGCTAAGCTGGTGCGGAATACCCTGGGGGGGTTAGATTTAAGCTTCCAGGCGGAAGGCTAAACGGGAATATTCTTGCAGGCCCAAACAATCTCACTTGATACGGGAAAGACCCTTGAAGATGCTTCTTCAGAAGTCTCGCGGTCTATCAATATGTGCGAAGCGGCGCATTCGGTCACGAGCGTCATCTTAGGTTACCATTTCTACAACGAGTCGACCGCAACCGATACGATCAACGAGCCTCTGGTCAGTACCTCCCCGCATTGAACGGTTTCAATTCAGTCATAGATGAAGTTGCTCACAATTTCCCTTGCAGGGCGTGTGTATGGCCGTCACACCCTTTACCTTTCCACTGATGATCCCCATGTGGTTCATCCCATTCGCACTAGCTACGGGCAACACGATGGTGCTCAAACCTTCTGAGCAAACGCCCATGGCAACCACTCTCTTGGCCGAGATGATTATTGAAGCAGGCTTTCCGCCCGGTGTCTTAAACATTGTGCACGGTGGGCCCACCGTTGTCGATCAATTACTGGCGGAGCCAGCGATCAAAGCCGTTTCTTTTGTGGGTTCCGACCAGGCCGGCCGACACGTTTACGACATTGCCGTGGCAAGTCGAAAACGTATTCAGGCAAACTGCGCCGCCAAAAACCATGGTGTTATTCTCCCTGACGCCAGCAAATGGCAGACATTATACGGTTTGGCCGGAAGTGCCTTTGGCGCAGCCGGCCAACGTTGCATGGGAATAAGTGTAGCTGTTTTTGTTGGATCTAGTATTGACTGGCTACCGGAGCTTGTGCAGATTGCGCAACGCCTGAAAGTAGGTCCCGGATACGAACCGGGCATTGACATAGGACCGCTGATTAGTCCAGCGGCCAAGGCAAAAGTTGAACAAGCAATACAGACCGCTATTGACGACGGAGCGACGTTGCTGCTTGATGGCAGAGGATTAGAACTTGAGGCTTTTCCGGATGGGAATTTCCTTGGGCCCACCATTCTAAGCAATGTTCAGACATATATGCCATGCTACCAAGAGGAGATCTTCGGCCCAGTGTTGGTCTGCCTCCATGTGGATACACTGGAAGAGGCCATTGAAATGGTCAATGATAATCGATGTATGCTTCTCTCTCTTCTGTCTCCAATATTACCCTTTCGCTTCGTTGGAATTGCAACTTTTCTAACTAGTCTTATTTAGACGGTAACGGCGCATCAATATTCACCAGCAGTGCGACAAAAGCACAGCAATTCCAGCGAGATGTCAATGTCGGACGAATAGGGATCAATGTTCCTCTGCTGGGTGAGTAACTTTGACAGAACCAGATAATAAGCTGTTGAATGACTAACGATCAGTTGCAGCTACGTCAGGTCAAGTTTCCAACAGCAGTAATAAAGATTCTTTTCTTGGAGGTGAGTAGACCATCTTGAAGTTTCCAGGTTTTCGTCGTTGGCGTTCCGCATCCCCAGGACAGAGCTAATTTTATGTCGCAGAAATCAATTTCCACGGCTTCAAAGGATACGACTTTTATACATCTATCAAAACAGTATCGTCTATCTGGCGAGAAGATCCGCCAAGTCTTTGACCGCGCAACTTCACCTTGATACTCTCTGGTGGACCGCAAATTATTTTTTTACTATTCAACCTATCATCTGAGGTTTTATGGTTCACTATCATGTGAGCATAGCCTCTGCACCCGTGCATGCTTTTGCGCACGGGATTCCAGTCGGGCAATTCTTTTTTTGGGAAGCAAAATCGGAGTTGGAGTTCATTGCAAAAAGGTTACCAAAGGGAGGCATTGTTATCATTTCCTCCCCTCTGCTCACTAAAAGCGAGGTATCTTTTCTTTTGACGGAGTTATCGTGGACTATATCGCCATGCTGTCGCATATCAATTTTTCTAGGCTACTTTCTTACTTCGCTCAATTCTGGACTCTGGCTTTTGGACATTTGATTCATTTCTATGCCTCTATCAAGGTCTACGTAAATGCATAAAAGGCGATAGTAAATAATATATACAAGAAGGGAAATAAAAGCAATAAATCTTGAAAGGGAATAGCACCAGTGATATAAAACCATGCCCGAAACACGCAATATGCATGAGGAGTTTCAACGTCCCAGAACCAGAAAAAACAACTTCCACAACCTCTAACGACAACTTTTTTTTAATTCTCAATCTTCTCACCCGTCCATGCTTAAATCTCCTTTCGCTAACCCTTAACCCCACAGCAAGAACAAAAGCGGATAATATTTAATGCATGGATGTAAATCATGTCGCATTTGATTGAAACTGGCATTTTAACCAGTCTTGGCAAGAGCAGTGCCGTACAGACGGTCGCCAATGTCGCCGATGCCGGGCTGAATGTAGCCCTTCTCGTCGACAGTCTCGTCGACGTGGCCGACGACAAGATCGACGCCCTCAGGCCAGACGTTCGCAACGGCAGCAAGACCCTGCGGACTAGCGAGGATCGAGAGGAAAGTGATGTGCTCGACGCCCCAGTTTCTGAGAAATATCCATTGTTAGCTCGAGAGTTCTCTCGTAGATAAGTTTATCAAGAAAAGGGGTGGGAAAGAGCGGAGGCGAAAATGGACAGGACGCATACCTCAAGATATCAACAGTCGCGCCGGCAGTACCACCCGTAGCAATGAGCGGGTCAACCACATAGGCGTGCTTGACGACCGGCGCCTGGGCAGGGAGCTTGTTGTAGTACTCGACAGGTTCGAGGGTGGTGCGCTCGCGGTACAGACCGAGATGGTAGACGGCCACGTCGGTCGACGGGGGCAGGTGGTCGAGGAACGGATCGCACATGGGCAGACCGGCGCGCAGAACGACAATCAGGGCGATCTTCTCAGACGGAGGGATCTCCCGGGTCGCTTCAATGGCAATGATGGTGGACAGCTCGTTGATCAGAGAGCGCACGGGCGTGCCGCTGAGAGACTGGTCGCGCAGCTGGTCGAGCTTGGACGCGATCGAAGGATGCGAGAGCACCTTGACGTTGGAAGGGAGAGAGGCTTTGGTGGTTCCGTTCATTTTTGCAGCTTGTTTGCAAATGGGGTATCTCAACTGATTATATATATAATGTGGAAGAGAGAATGAGTTGGAAAGTTGGAAAAACAATGTGGTTAGAAGTATAAACGCAAAAACGCAAAGTATGCGATGGATGGACAATGGACGTGAATAGGATACGGACTGAAGACTTTCTCAGGGTGAGGGTGGAAGATGTATAAATATTAAAAAAAAAAATTTTCTAGAGGGAATAGAGGGGATAGGAGGATAGGATCTGGACTTCTAGTGCTAGAGCTGTATGGTGGTGCAAGCGGAGGTTATTCGGAGACAAGGGGCCAGGGGAGGAATACGGTATGGGAAACAGGTGTGTGATTGTTGGATAGTATCATGATGGAGAGATTTCTACTAGAGAGCCTAGGATAATCCATGGCGATAGTCAAAAGATTGACTGATTGGAGAAGCATTGATTGTTGAAAGGGGAATAACATGTTGTAAACACTAAGGAGAGGTAGAGGTGGAACCGCGGAAAGGTGAAAGTTGTTGTTTCTAGCACAGTTATTAGCGTGTCGTAGCACAAGGAGACTAAGATAAGGCTCTGACTTGATCAATTCTCCGCGTTGTTCTACAGTAGTGAGAGAGAGAGAAAAGAGTGTGAGTTGGTTTATCAGTTGAATTGATAGAGGAGATCAACTATCTTGATAAGCCGAGCACCGACTCGGTTGGACCCGCCAGGAACAACAGGGGGGAAACGAGGGGCAGGCTGGTCAACCAAGACAAACGATCCACCGATGTCAAACCACGGCAACAGACCCTAGAAAGATCAAATCTGGCAATCTTTCTAGTCGCATTCTATCAATTATCTATACTCTAATCTGAGCCGTTGCGGAGAAGGGACTTGAAGAAAGAAAAAAAGAAGGGGAAAAAAAAAAAATTGGTCATTGATTGTTTTGATTTACTTTTGCTAGAAATATCTCATTGCGCGCACCCTGTCTTCTCCTCTTCTCCTATCCCCTCTTTTTGGCCAATTCTTGTTGTTGTGCTGCCTTTCTGCCTCGACCACAGCGCACCTGACCAGTTGAGACATAGTTGAACTTTTGTCTTCAGTTGATCAAATTTTCCTCATTCGTCATGTCCTCTCCTTTTGAATATCTCTCCTCCCTCAAAGCTGTGCGCGACCGCTCGACGGTTGTCTATGAGGCTGCCGAGCGGGGTGAGACGGCCAACTTTGACCTGCACAAAGAAAAGCTCGACGAAGCGGCCGACTATGTTGCCAATTTGATTTTGGTACGCTTATATCATCGTTTGAACACAAAAATGGAAATTGTATTCTCATGCAAACCGTTTGGTTTTTAGGATAGCTTCTCTCCTGCCCAATTCGACCAGATTCCCCCTCACGGGAGATGGCAGCACTTTGAAGTCGAAGGCCAACCGCGCCTTGGTCAATTGCTTGAGCAATGGCAAAAGCAGGGTGTCGACAGTACAGAATGCACGCGCAGACTGATTGATATTTTCACCGTCTCTGTTCTGCTTGATGCCGGCTCGGGCGATTTTTGGAAGTTCACTGAGCCCTCGACCGGGCTTGAGATTCGACGAAGTGAAGGTCTGGCAGTCGCCAGCTTCTACATGTTCAAGGATGGTGCATTCAGCAGTGGCTCGGGCGAGGATGCTTTCCGAGTCGATGGTATGTTGCATGAGATTTCTCTCCCCTTTTCACCCAAGATTTCTAACCCTGTTCAGGTGCCGGTCTCAAGAAAATCACTCCCGAGTCTCTCGCTATTGGCATGCAGTCGAGTCCAGAGAACCCTCTTACCGGTGTTCAAGGACGCGCCGACTTGCTCAAGTGCCTTGGTGACTCGCTGCTCTCGAACCCGGAGATTTTTGGCCCTCAAGGCCGCCCTGGAAACCTCGTTGGTATGCATCTCCAAAATTTTAAAGGTTGTTAAAGCAAGAAAAAAAATGCTAATTTCGTACTAAAAGACCATTTGCTGTCGAAGCAAAAAGACTCTTCGCTTGATGTAGCGGCGCTATGGTCTGCTCTTCAGATTCTTCTCCTTCCCATCTGGCCCAAGGATCGTACCTGCATTGAAGGCCAACCTATCGGCGACGCATGGCCTCTAAGCACGCTTGAAAAGATTGCTGCTTCCAAAGGCGAGCGCAAGCCTTACGACAATATCCAGCCCTTCCACAAACTTACTCAATGGCTCGCCTACTCCCTCATGGTCCCCTTTGTGCGTCTGTTGGGTCTGAAATGGGCTGGTAACGGCCTCCTTACTGGTCTTCCCGAGTATCGGAATGGCGGCCTCTTCGTCGACCTGGGGGTCATCTCGCTCAAGAAGGATGCGCTCGAGCGTGGCTGCCAAAAGTCTGGCCAAGACCTGCCCCTCTTCTCTCCTTCTGACGATGTCATTGTCGAATGGCGCGCTCTGACCGTTTCCCTCCTGGATCGTCTTCACCCCATGGTGAATGCCCGATTGGCCCAAAAAGGCGCGACCGTGGAGCTCTCCCTTGCACAAGTTCTCGAGGCTGGTTCATGGAAGGCTGGCCGTACCTTGGCAGCCAAGTATCGGCCGTCGAGCAAGTCAAGCCCCATCCTCATTGAGAGTGATGGAACATTGTTCTAAACGTGACGGTTCTGGTGTTGAGGTGAATAATGGTTTATTAGTTACATTTCTCTGTATATATTATTTGCATTAGAATTTACGATATCATGTTAGAACCGAAATAGTATTTAAATAAATTGTGGAGAATTGATTCTACATTAATCTTTTTATTTTATATTTTATTATTTTTATTATTATTGGACTTTTTATTTGTCCAATTTCTAATCCTTTGTGTTTGCTAATTCCTTGACATCTCAATTACGGGCCACCTACAGTAAAACATTCTCTTTACCATCTGTTTCCATGTGAGAACTGTAAAATTAAAAAATCCAAGGGTCTTTGCACATCAAGTCAATAAATTTCCTATCAAGCAGTAGCGTTTGGCTAAAAGGCACTAAGAATTACTGGACTCGTTCTAAAATTGTTTACCTGTTTTATATTGCAGAGTCAAGGAAATGAATTTACCAATTATTGGAGAAATAATACCGGTATATCTCATCTCGATACGCAAATTTTAGATGGAAGGGCTCTAGAAAGGCACCAGAATGTGATTGAGACAAGGGTGCTGGATGGTGGATAGGATGCTATCTCTGGTGGGACTGCTTATCTTGGGGCTATCTGGAACCCAAAGATAGCACCAGCGCCAAAGATAGCCGGTGCAAGAAGGTTCAAGTACCATCCATGTCACTACCATCACGGCAAGTTATAGGTACTGATACCTCCGTTGTGTAAAACACTGTACCCCGCCATATCAGCGATGGGATGACTTATGCAGTGCATACCGTAAGTAAACAGCTGGAGTGCTGTGAGACTGACATCACTGAATGGACACCCTGTACCTATCGCATGTGGCTGGTGGCAGGACAGCTATTTGACAAATTAATTGTTGCTATTCTGACTGGGGAGAAGACCGGGGAGAACTGTTGTCGGGCCGACATCTGTGCGCACCCCCGAAATCACATTGATCAATCAGGGGTAAAGGATGATAGGATGGCATACACAATTGATAGGACCCAGATATCTCTCACACACACACACACACACACACTGACTGTGGTAATCTGCCCTGCAATCGACAGGGACGGGTACACAATCTGCAAAACAACAATCTGGCGCATCGTGTCACGTTGCATCTAATCAGCTTTATCTCTCACTCTGCTGCTGAGCTCAGCCATTTCCTTACTCCCCCCAACCACAATCACAACCCGCCTGTGTTTCCGTTGCTTCCGCTGGGCGCAATCCCCCACCTCCTCTCCATTAGCTCCGTCCTTTGAAGCGCAGTTTACTCTGAGAGTTTTCCAGGGGTTCAACAGCAATCATGAGGCTATATAATGAGCTTGTTCGTCCCTCCTCGAGGACAGCATCATCACATCGTTCCATTATCATTTTCGTGACTTACCCGTCGTCTTTCGACTCTCAACCTCTCCTGTTGCCCACTCCTGCTTGAGAAAAGCGCAACATAACAAATCCACCGAAACGATGGCCCCCGCTGCTACTTCTCCCAATGCCACCCCTGCCCCTGTGCAGAAGGGCACTCCGGCTCCTTCCACTCTTTCGAAGCGTTTTGGTAGCCGTGTCATCTTGACTACCTATCCCAAGCAGAGCGGTGTTGAGCCCTACCCTCTGAACTGGGCGGCCGAGGACCCCGACGAGCGTGGCCCCGTCATTGTCTCTCGCTATGGCAAGACCATGAAGTACCGCAATGCCATCGGTGCTCACGGCGGTAGCTACATGATTTACAATGCCCTCGCTGTCGCTGGCGGCAACCTGGACATGGATTTCCGTCCCTCGTTCCACAACACCGAGCCCGTCTTTGACTTCCCTCGCCAGCCGGCCTGGTTCGACAAGACCAAGATTGTGGCCATGGACCCCTTTGGTCACGAAGTCCAGACTCTCTACAAGAAGCACCTTGACGATGGTCTCGACATTCGTCCCTCGATCGCCATCACTCGCGCAACCATGCGTGTTGCTGAAATTAGCGAGGCTATCAAGAATGACGTCCTGCCTGTCGATGGCAACATTGTCCTCAACCGCGACGGTGACGTCCGTGTCACCAAGGTCGCTGTCGAGCCCGTCTGGTATTTGCCCGGCGTCGCTGAGCGTTTCGGTCTCGACGAGGGCACTCTCCGTCGTGCTCTCTTTGAACACACTGGCGGTAGCTGGCCTGAGCTCATTACGCGCCCTGATCTCAAGGTCTTCCTGCCTCCCATTGGCGGTCTGACCGTCTACATCTTCGGTCCTCCGGAGAAGATCTCGGATCCCAATGTCCGTCTGGCCTGCCGTGTCCACGACGAGTGCAATGGTTCCGACGTCTTCCAGTCCGACATTTGCACGTGCCGCCCCTACCTTGCTTTTGGTATCCAAGAGGCCATTCGCGAAGCCCAGAACGGCGGTAGCGGTATCTGCATCTACTTCCGCAAGGAGGGTCGTGCTCTCGGTGAAGTGGTCAAGTACCTCGTCTACAACTCGCGCAAGCGCGGCGGTGACACTGCCGACAAGTACTTTCAGCGCACCGAGAACATTGCTGGCGTCCGCGATGTAAGTTTGACCGCTTTTGTTCCGCATCGAGCGCTCTCTTCTATTGAATCGAGATGCTAACAAATCTACAGATGCGCTTCCAAGAGCTCATGCCCGACATTCTCCAATGGCTCGGTGTCAAGAAGATTGACCGCATGCTTTCCATGTCCAACATGAAGCACGACGCCATTGTCAAGCAGGGCATTCCAATCTACGAGCGTGTGCCTATTCCCGACGACATGATCCCCGAGGACTCTCGTGTCGAGATTGACGCCAAGATCCACTCTGGCTACTTCACCACCGGCAAGCAGCTCAGCGAGGCTGAGCTTCAGCAGACTCGTGGCCGCGGCTGGGAGAAGTGGGAGGACGTTGCTGTATGTTTCCATGTCCACGATGAGTCAATGTTGATTTCAATGGCTAACTTGTTGTGAACAGCACTAAACGATTCATGATTCATGATACCCCACGTTTTATCTTTTCTCTTTAATCGAAGTCTCTTTTCATTGTACATATTTCTGCTTGCCGTTGAGTGTCTGGTTCGGCTAGAGCATTGGATCTGATATTTTCCTTTTGCATACAGCATAGAGCAGAAAAGGCATTTGAATGCATCTTGGTGTTGGAGAGGTTGAGAATATATACAATAGAAAACTGATCATCTTCAATTATTCATCGTTGAATGTGTTTATTTTGGTTATATGTGGCTATAGTGGTAGCGACCACAAACATGGCAAGTCCATGTACTCCGTGAGGGGACTTTTTGAACAATGATAAACACAATTGAACCTTATTCTCAGGCCCAATCTGTAAATATAAATTCTATATTTTTTCAAACTAAAATCCAATATTCGTGTTTACTTGATTGTGTTCATGACATGTCTAGAAGTCCCTTGATGACGTCGCTAAACATTGATAATACGAGCACATGCTTCCTTACCGCCTTCGTCGCCGCTTAGGATCATTTCGTACCAGTGACGTGACGTCCACCTTGTTGTTAATCAACCATGAGCTGATCATCCTGTCCAGCTCTCATCTTTCCCCCGCGCAAGTTTTCCCAATTCCCTTAATCAACTCGAGCAAGCCCTTGGACAGCTTGAGCTCCTAGAATAATATTACACGGCCGGCCCCCCCGGTTCGCTTTCCACGGTTGACCAGTTGCACTACCCCGCATAAACCCCCTTTTCCATTTGTTTGTTCCGCTTTGCCCTTTTCTGCCACCCTCATCGTAACACACAAAACGTGCATTTTTGCATATTTCCATTAACTTATTATTACCTTTCGTATTGCAATAGGAAACTTTAATATTAAACCCGTCCAACCATCCCTTTGTATCTCATTTTCCCCTCTCCTCTCCTTCTCCCCCTCCTCTTCCTTTTTCTATCTCCTTGTGCCTTCTACCCTCGGTCATTGTTCACACGTCATGCTGTGTCGATCGCCGTCTTGCGCATTGCGTTCATCCTCTGCAGTCAAGACCAAAACTTCGAAGCTCATTACTACTTGCGCGACGAACTCAAGACCAACACCAACACCAACATTCGCAGCAGCAGCAGCAGCAGTACCATTCACGTACAACACTACTACGGCAACGACAACCAAGTCGAGGAATATTTTAACAGTAACACCATTCTCACCTGCGTCTGCAGCAAACCACCGCAATTGTTCATTATCTTCTGTGAGAATAGATCGACTGCATCATCATCATCGTCGTCAGCGATTGCAGCCTCGGACCCAAATCATGTCTCTTGTAAAGCTCCCCTTGCTTGTTCTTGTATTTGTGCTCCTCCTCGAAAGCAGCCATGGTCTCGTGCATGCAAAGAAACAAGAAGATTCAGTTATTCAAGGCCAGGGCCATCAAGTTACTCCCATTCATCTACAAGACAGTGAGGCTGATCAGACCATTTTCTTTGGCGATCAGGGAACCATTGGACAGAGTGTGCGCGACGAGTACGTTCCGCTCCTCTCCTCTCCTTGATATATACTTGTTATCTTCCACCAAGCTCTCGCGCCCGTCCCTCGTAATCCTTCCTGTCGGCTTCTGGATAAAACTCTTTACTTTTTTACAAGCTACCTACCTTGAGAACCACCTCTACGTTGTTACTTCCAGTCTGAATCAATTGAGGTATATCCCTAACGCGAATGATGTGAAACGTGTAGGTTGAAAAAGAGCAGCATCATTGACGATGGTAAGCTTCACCCACCCTCTCTTTTCCTCCTCTCTTTTTCCGCATCACATAGCTTCTCCGCAGGGTTGTCACTTCTCTCAATTCAGCTTCCCTTGCGATTTTCCGTTTTCCTCATGCCGTCATATGCCTTCATCTGCCTTGACCATATCCCTGAATCACCCTGTAAACCAGCACAGCAGTACTAACTAACCAACTAACACATGACAGTAATCGACGACTTCCATCCCTCTCTGCTGCTCACAATCACGTATCCCAAATCCAACGTCTCCGCCAATCTCGGCAACACCATCAAGCCCTCTGACGCACAGCAACCCCCCGTCGTTGAACTGCACTCCTCCGACGGCTCCGCCAGCAGCCACGAGAGCACATACACCCTAGTCATGACCGACCCGGACGCCCCGTCGCGCGAGGACCCCAAGTGGTCTGAATTCTGCCACTGGATCATCACCAATGTGCCCCTGAGCAATACCAATGGCGGTGCTGGCGCCGGCGCCGCGAAAAGCGCAGAGGCCCAAGAATCCGCACACGGATTGAAAGAGATTATCGAATACAAGGGCCCCGCGCCCCCGCCCAAGACGGGAAAGCATCGATATGTGCTTTTGGCATTTGAACATAAACATCATCATCACAACAAGGGAAATACAGGTGGAGGTCCGTCGTCGTCAAGCCATTTGAGCGCGCCGAGTGAGAGGAAGCAGTGGGGAACAGGCAAAGTCCGACATGGTGCGCGACAATGGGCCGAGAAGAATGGATTGGTGCCTGTCGGTATGTTATTTCCTTTAACCCATACTTTTCTTTTCTTTTCCTTTTCTTTTTTTGCTTTTTTGTTTCCTTTCCCCCCTCCCACCCCCTTTCTCTCTCTCTCTCCTCTTTTATTTTCCTTTGTTTTCCTTTGTTTTCCTTTGTTTTTCTTTTTTTCTTTTTTTCTTTTTTTCCCTCGGTTTTTATTTCCGTGGCAACTCGTGAAATCACATTTGATCCGACTGCTGATAATGACTGGACTGATAGGCGCGAATTTCTTCTACGCGCAAAACAACGAGCAGTAAGCTCCACTGATCGACTGATCCACTGATGATATTAGTCCTTTACTTTCTTATTTTCCCCCCTTCACATTTCTCGTACTCGGAAGAAAGTGTCAAGTGGAGTGAAACTAGTCCTTGCAAAGGACAGTATGGGAAAGGAAAGGACAGCACGGGAAGGAAAGTATGCAACGGAGAGTCGAAAAAACAATGGACTTAAGTAGTGCGCATAGTAATGGACTACAAAGAACCGTTTTGTCACTTACGAGATCAAAAGATGATATTATACTGTGATTCAGCCTGGGGCCACAGATTCAGTGGAAATAGTAGCAATATATATATATATACCATTCAAGAAAAAAAAAAAAAAAAAAGGAAAAAAAAAAAAAACAAAACCCCACAGCACAGCACAATGCACAATTCACGCCACGATGCTTGACCAAGCAATGTTTCATTGGACCAAGTAACAAGTAATTTGAACATTTCAAAATGGGCATTCAACTTTACGACTTTACACTATGAGCAGCATATAAAGTAAAATACAGTCCAGCGATTCACAAATGTAAAAAAAGGAATAAAAAATAAATAGATAAAAATAAAACTAGACGGAGCAATTCTTTTCATTTTGGCATTGGAAGCGCAGGCCATCACGCTCGCAAGGAAAACAAAAAAGAAAAAGAAAAAGCGATCAGGCGGGATCACTGACGAGATGAGACCGAGAGCAAGTACAGAAGTAAAGCAAATATAGAAACAGTGTAGAAATTGATTCAATCATCCTACAAGGAAAAAGGGGGGAAAAAAAAGCAAATAACAGCGACGTGCCGCAGAGGACGGTTTTACTCCTCAATCTGGACATAATTGGCAGGGAAGAGACCAGATTTGCCATTGTACTCGCCAAACCACCAGTCGTCGTCGGGGAACTCCTACAAAGTGTTGTTAGAAAAGGGGGTGCAATTTGAAGAAGTGGGGCAAAAACTCAGATAAAAATACGAGTGGGAGGACTTACGACATTGGTAATCTTGGCGCCGTCAGGGAAAGAAAGCTCATTGTCCTCTGCTGCTTCATAGTCGTACATTGCTAGGGCGGTGGCGCCGTGCTGAGTAGAGCCCACGGCGCCTGGGGCAGGGCCGGCTGGAGGCGCGGCTTCGGCCGCAGGAAAAGGGTGAGGTGGTTCGGGCACAGAGGCATGAGAAGCACCGCCAGCAGCATGCTCGGCTTCATCGTCCTCGAGAACTTCGACGTAATTGCTGGGGAACAATCCCGTTTCGCCCTTTTCGTTTTGTCCCATCCACCAGTCTTCGTCAATCATTTCAATGTTTGTAACGTACTGGCTCTCGACGAGATCGATTTCATTGTCTTCGGCCTTTTCGTAGTCGTATTGAATCAGCGCACGCTTGCCGCCTACGTGAGCGCCGGGGCCGGGGCCAGCGGCTGCCTCGTGGCCAAAGGTAGCTTCTGCAGCAACAGCACCGGCTTCGCGAGCCGTGTCGTGGTGTTCGGGCTCTTCGGTGAGCTCTTCCTCATGCGGAACAACTTTGGCGAGAGACTCGGTTGGAACGGGAGGTGGGGAGAAGCGCTCGGCCGGGGGCTCAATTTCTGCGGCCTTACCGCGGCCAACGGGCATGGCAATCTGGATCGGAGAACCAGACCGCATGATTGGAGGCGTGGGAGGTGAAGGGCTGCGTGGCTGCGGTGGCGGGGTCGGCAACCGCGGTGCAGCCTGAGGAGCAGGTGGTGCCGGTTCCGGCTCAGGTTCAGGCTCCGGCTCAGGCTCATACTCAGGCTCGTGTTCGGGCTCAGGCGCCCGTGTGGGCAGGCCCGGAATTGGAATGCCTCGTGCAGCGCCTGCATTAGGCTTGGTTGACGCCTCAAGCGGTGGCGGACTCGGCGCGGCAGGCTCTTCTTCTCTCGGAGGCTGCTTGGGTAGCGCAGGGGCGCCCATGGGCGGCGCGCCTTGGAATCGATCTTTGAGAGAGCCGATACCCGCAGTAGGGGCCGTGGGTGCCTCTGGCTCCTCTTCTTCATTGTCCTGGCCGGTACGCTGCTGTCCAAGGCTACTCCCAGACTTGCCGGTGTGGGTTGTCTGGACGGGGGCCCATGACTTTCCGGTATAGCCACTCTTCCACTCTCCTCCAGAAGGCTGACTGGTCAATGGAGATGCTGGTACACCGTAAGAGGGCGAAGGTTGAGTGTCAGCGGCTCCACTAGCGGCACGCTGTCGTGCCTTTTTCTCGGCCCAGATCTGTGAAGGTGTTTTACCACCTTCATCGGCAAAGGCTCGACTCGCAGCTCCGACAGCGGGAGCACCAGCTGTTGCTGCCGCAGGCTTCGCTGCAACCGGTGCAGGTGCCTTTGTTCCTGTGAATGTGCCGGCAGCGCCGCCAAATCTATTAGACACTTTGGGTTTCGGCAAAGAAGTTAGACGCTCTGAAGTCGAGAACGCAGCTGACCGATCAGCAATAGATTTGGATTGCGGGGGTTCTGCGCTGGAAGCAGGAGGTGCGCTTGGGAGAGAAGGAGCATCCTCGGACGGTGGCTGAGCCTTTGCCCTAATCGCTGCAATGTCTACTTTACCGACAGGCTCATAGGAGCCCTTGACGGCAGTAGGGCGATCATCGGAGAGGTTTCCAGATTCTTGCGCCTGCCGACGGATGGCAGCAATGTCGACTTTACCAACAGGCTGGTAGCCGCCCCTGACGACATCGCTTGCGCCGGAGCCGCTCTCTTCCCGTTCTGCCGAAAACCGGGACGGCTCAGGCTTTTGCGAGGTGAGCTCTCTCATATTGACCTTTGTAGGTTTGTATGCCGACTCAACCTTTTCCAATTGAGTTCGAGTTACAGGTGGCGCATCCTCACCCCATCCATCCTCATCGGTGTTAGCAGGTTTGGACGGCCGAGACCCGGCAAGAGGATTGAACCCAGGTGCGGAACCGCCAACTCGGGTAGGTGTATACGCTTGACTGGGCTTGGGTGGGTGTGGTGGGGGGACGCTGGATGGTGCAGATGGCTGTGATTCTAGGTTTGAGGAGTATTTTGAGCCCGAGGAGTCTGCAACCTTCTGAATTATGCCCTCTGGGGATAGATGGTCCGCAGAACGAGCAGTGATCTGGACATGATATCCCTGATGAGCCGTGTCAGTAGAGTGAAAACAGAGTGGGGAAGATGCCATCTATACATGAAGAAGTTTGGATACAGCTGCCAAATGACTGGTAAAGTATCCTTTGGTCCGCTCGGGGACACCCTCTCCGCACTGAGAAACGGAACATCAGCTGCCACACCCGTCTTTCGCAATCCGAAGATACATACCCACGCAATCAGAACGTTCTTTGGAAGGCCGGTATTGGGATCCCGGACTTTGACGAACGCAAATTGGACTTTACCATCGGAGAATTCTTCAATCAAATCCGCCAGCTCGCCATCTAGTAGTATCCATGGTTTAGCCACTTTTATTCTATTGTCAAGCTTGCTTTCGAAGGACTCTTACCACCAGATGTTTGGACTTTCAAAACACTTTCCTTTCCACCAGCATTCGGCTGGAAGGCATTCACGAGCGGAGCAGAGACTGAAAATAGAGCCCAAACTCCGTAGGTTGGCGAGTTGGCAGACGTTCCCGACGGAGGCGGGGCATTGACCACCGATTGGTAGCTCCTTGAGATAGACGCGCCATTTGTAGAAAGGTTGAGAGAAGCCATTTTTATCGGATTGGTAGCTTTCAATGAGGTATGAAGCCTCAGGTGGGGTTCAAGCAGTGCAGGTCATAAGACAAAGTAGGCAGAATAGTAGCGGGGATCGAGGAGAGGATCGAGGCAAGCCGGCCTGTGAAGGGACAAAATTTTAACGGCAGGAGCTTGACCAGATCCGACTTCGAACTGTGAAAATGGTTTGAGAAGCGTATGAGGAGAAGAATGGAAGCGTTTCGTCCCCTGAATGTTTGGACAGATGGAACAAGATCCAAGGGGAAGCTGACGTTGGCTGTGGCTGTGGCTGAGGAGTGTGGCTTATTGTTTGTGGAGCTGCGTAAGTTGATGAGGCTGAAGCTCTTAGCTTGATTCGGCAGCTAACTCGATCCAGCTCTTGATAAATGATTGTTTAGTCATCAATAGCATCATCGCCGACTCAGCCACGTGATGCTCCCCCAGTTGAAAGTGAGGCGGTGTGTTTCCCGTATTGTAATTGGCCCACCTAACTCACCTACCGGTCGCGGGCCAACTTTGTTACGCAGGGAATCACCTCCAAACTATGCACAACAACCCACCACAAATAACCTCTCAACCCACCTTGTCCTTTGTGCCCATTCAACAGGGAAAGGCTAGCCCAAATACAATTTTGTTTTCTGACATATGTCTGTTCTGTTCCTGCACATTTATTGAGGCTTTTTAGCCCATATCTCATTTCTCCCGGTCACGTTTAGGCTGGACATGATTTCTCTGAGACTTCGCTGAGGGAGTCCTTGTGTTTCTTCTTCTTTTGCTGTCTCGTTCACCTAGCGAAGAGTCTGCTCTAGACCCTCCGCTATTCGCTTTGCACGGCTTCTTCTGAAGACGACTGTCTTTTTCTCGGACCGCCTTCAGGTCCTTCTGCTCTCTGATAGAAGAGAGGTTGCTTTCATGTCCGCGTTTTGCTCTCGTTCGGGTGACGTGGGCTCTCTGCTTCTCGTGTCTCTTTTCTGTTTCCGCGCATTCTGGTCGCGGATACCGTCATGACGGGGGAGTCAAGGGTCGATGACTCTCCTGCAAGCAATGCAAGCTCTTCTTCTTCTTCTTCTTCTTCTAACTTATACTCAGCCTCGGAGCCGGGTGCTGGGAAGCTAGACTCTCCAAGCCCACAGATTCCACGACCATTAGCAGATGATTTTCAATTACCATCAGAAGACGACAAGGACCCTTCAAGTGACCTTGGCCTTTCGCCCACAACCGGTCGTCTCAGTCAAGTACGCCCACAGAGCGTCCTGGATACTGGTGGCTCAGCGACCCAGACCAATAATAAGCGGAAATGGGCTGGAGATTCGACAGCGCACACCGGCGCACAGGGCACCAATTCCAATGCGCAGGGGTATCTCTTGAGTGATGGAGATGCTTCCAGAAAAGCCAATGCGTTATCTGCCAACGATCGTGACAATGCTGATCCTGAATGGAACGAACAGACCCAATTTAGACGTGTGAAACGCAGGGCCACGTCAAGGGGATCCGCTCCTGTCTTTAGCCGGAATGGAACACAGGATGGTCCGAGCTGTATTCCATATGATAGGTCCCAATTGCCCGGAGAGATATGGCAGCATATTTTTACCCTTTTGCCACCGGTCACGCTGGGCCGCATGCTACGTGTCAATAAAACTTTGCGCTCCTACCTCGTCCCAGAGCTGCACACTGAACCGAGCTCTGTGACTCCAGGTCTTCTGGAATGGCAAAGATCCGACGCCATTTGGGCCTCGTCGCGGAAACTATTCCACCCCGGTCTACCCAGACCTCTCCGACAGCTTTCAGAAGTAGAGATGTGGAGACTTTTGCTTGGGAGCCGTTGCCAGTTTTGTGCACAATCCAAAACACCGTGCTCCTATGACACCGCGCAGGATCCTTGGACGGTCGGACCTGGGTCAGACGGCGTACGCGTAATCTGGCCGTTCGGAGTTCGAAGCTGTAGTTCTTGCTTTCAGCTTAGGAGTGAGAAGGTCTGATTTAAAATTTCCTTTACTGCGGAGAAATTAAAGGACGGTTATTGATATTTGTTCCAGGAAATCACCGTGTTGTTTTCCTCCAATATCCCTTCCTTTGTTTTGCCGGCTCTCCCTTTCGTCCTTTTCGCTCAGACAGAAAATGTGATCCTCTCAGTCACGCTGCAAAACGGGACGCCACCCTCTTCGTTGCAGATGACTAAATACTTCTACAAACCGCACATTGAGGAGATACGACGTCGATTCGACGAGGTGAAATCCCTTGGTCAAGCCGCTGCTGAGGAATGGATGAAAGGACTTGAGGGAAATGGAAGAGAACATGTCAATGATGCTTCCCGTTGGGAACGTTGGGAGATGAAAAGCGGCTTTCGGGATCTCAATGCTCAGATTGATCGCTTTAACTATCCTCAAGAAGCCCGAGGCAACCTGGGTTTACCCTTGTTAGTTGCCACCCATTTCAGTCCGGCTAATAGCCCACTTGATAGCACCCCTTCAATGGCCGAACAAGTAATCCCAGAGGGCCTCGTTCAGGATCCATTGCGGACCGCAGGTACGGATACCGCCTCCAGTCGTCTTAATTCGCACGTATGCTCTCTTTCCGAGGAGCGTTTGTTGCGTGGGCGACTTGTATATAGACCATATCGTACGCTAACAATTTCTTGCAGCTTCGGCTTCAACTCTTCATTCTCCCACCATCCCACCGCTCCTTGCTTCTGGTCATTCTGAACCTGGTGTTTTCAACGCGTCACGAGTTGAACGTAGCATCCACGACATCAATGAAGCCAAAGGGGCTCGTAGAGCAGAGATCGAGAAACGCTGTATGGAAATTATACCTCCTTTGCTACCTAATGTGTTGAGTCACATGGAAACTTTTCAAGCTGCTGTACAAATACCCGCTCCGCTCACTGATAATGCGTGGCGCGTTCTCAAGCCTCGTCTTCTTGCGCAGAGAGAGCTGGCTGAACGACGAGAAGACGAGCGTACTGCACACACCCGCACTTCTCAGGCTAAAGTTGAAGAGAGGAAACAGCAGGAAGCTCAGCTCAAGGAAGCGAAAGAATTGATTGACCGCGAATGGGAGGAAATTCAAGGACCTATTCGCCAACGGCTTGCACAATTCGCTGACGAGATCATCAAAAATTCGTGGGCCGATGGTCGCGCCATCACAAAAGAAAAGAGTCCAAAGTTCGCAGCCGAAATTCTCCTACATGTTCGAAAAAGCTTTTACGACGAGATTGCCAAAGAGGACGAAGCGGCCCGTGAAAGGGGCCAAGAGCCAAAGCTTGACCCTCCTGAAGGACCACCAACCCGCAGGCTCATGTTAGAGAATATGAAATGGGTATTTGACGTAAAAATCAAACCACTGACGGAGCAATTTCGAAAGGAGCTCTTCCTTTGTAATGGCTGCGAGAACAACTCGAAATTCTATGGCTTCGAAGGTGTTGTTCAACATTTTGCTGCTAAGCATACTAACGCACTCAGTTTGGGAAGCATTGTTGTCCACTGGCGCGCCGAGTGGCCAGAACACCCTCCTTTTCATCCTGACCCGAGCGCAGCTAAAGCGGCATATTACGCCGCACCTCCACCAACTTCTCATGGCCCTCTCTCGAACGCAACCTTTAATTATACCCCATATTCTCAGCCACCTATACAAGGCCCGCATATCGCACTTCATGGACACAGTTCCCATGGCTATTCCCAGTATAGTCCAGGACCATACAGACAACCGCCTTTTATGGATCAATATCCGGCCCAGTCTCATGGGCCTTTTCCTCCGCCCCCTTTACCAGTCAGTGTGCAAGGGTACCAGGGCCAGGCTCATCCTTATTCGGGGTCCCAATTTCCATATCCACGTGGTCCACCAAATCTAGCCGGATTCCAAGGAGGACCACTTCCATTTCAACCTGGACAACAAGGGTATGAAGCTTTTCATTCACCTTATCAACCGCAGGCCCAGAGAATGTATGGCTCTCCGCATCCGCGCCAAGGATTTCCAGCTCCGGCCGTGCCAAAGGATACTATAAGCCCACAAGAATACGGAAAGCCACCAGGAACCTTTGGTCAGTCAAGCCCGGTAGAAACATCTTACTCGGGTCACCTACGAGCAGGAGCAGGAGCAGGCGAACTTGGACCGGGAGCCAAATCCGGACCCTTACTAGGAACCATGAACTCGCAGTCCTCAGGAGAGCCAAATGGAATCTATCAGGTCCAACTGGAAGAAATGGCCAGAATAGCTCGTGAAATTTGGTTCGGTACCTCCGGTATCAAGGATCTCCCTGGAAGCGTCAGGATGTATGCTTTAATTCAGCTCGTGAGTTCCAGATTCGAGGCCAGATTCACAAAGGAGCCAAACCTTGCTATGTTTATTGATGGTCTTAACAACAACGCCTCGATGAAGCCGATAAGGAATGTCCACGGCCTTTCCTGCAAAGCCTGTCTTTATCATGGGAATCCTTCCGGGATTGTCGTCCACGGACATCCACAAGGCCCAATTGGGGACAGAAAGTTCTTTTCTTTCCCTTCTCTTCTCAGTCATTTCCAATCTACTCATGTTGAACGCAACAGGCCAAAATTTGTACCTCAAACAGGAGTTGAGGTGCCAAATCTAGAGTGGAAAACAGACATGATTGAGCTGCCACGTGAACATACCATCTCGGGTCTGATTGCTGCTCAAGGAATGGATGACAAGAAACTGCGTTTACTTGCAGATGTTTTCCCAAATGCGTTCCCCTCACCGCTCCCTAAAATTGACTCGAAGAGCAAGACTGGGGCTGTTCCCGTCTTAAATGAAGGTCCCAGCATTGAGGTTGATGCGGCTAATGAGAATTTCATCCCTGGATTTGATGGTCGTCCCGAGTCCTGGTCGACATATGAGCCACATTCGACATCAAATCACTCAAGGCCTTTCACCGCTTCTGATGTATCCACACGGCAGCTAACACCAGCCACCATATCTATTCAAGGATCTCCTCGGCGCGAACCTTTCCCTGATGATGAATACGATCCACATCGGCCAGCGTTCCTTGAAACCGCACGCTATTCAAAAGCAAACTTTGGGCATCAAAGGTCGGCATACCATCATAGAACGCCTCGGGATATCGAGCGCGTAATTTTCGTCCCTGAGGGCCCGGAAATCCGCGAAATTCGCCCGGAAGACAGGCGAGAATCGACTTTTAGGATGCAACCCCGGTCTTTCTCAAGGGGCGTATACCATGACCGCTACGTCATTGCTCTGGACGGGCGGAGGCTACGCTCAGTCTCCCCCGAGGGCTCACTTGAAGATGTAGTCTATGAGAGACGGGGCATGGAGGCTCAACACCGGCCGTTTGGGTCGTATATTGATCGAAAAAGCGCTGTCAGTGAGGACCCTGTGCTTCACGGCGCATCTCCTCCCAGGACCGAAAAGCAGCCGGTCGTGGGAAATTTGGAGTCCTTAGCAAACGAGAGAATACGGGCTGGCTCGGAAGATGGCGAGATTGGAGAATCCAGGAATGGATCAGCTGTACCTAAACCCGCTCCAGAGAAACCTCCGTCACTTGAAGCGGCGAGCGCGGCCGAGCGCTTTCTTAATGAATTAGCTCCTGGGCACGATACATCGGTTTCACAACCGAGTGTTGACCGACCCGAGGCTGAAGGGTCTCATGAAAAAGGAGGGGTCCAGAATCCCGAAGCTGTGTCAGAGGACACCTCAGACATTCGTGTCGTAAGTGGTCGCGCCGGTGGGCCTTCTGTGGAAGCTTTCCCCACACAATCTAGCCGCCAGAGGCGCAACTCGGTTTCTATCAAAACCGAGAGTAGCCCTCGGGCAAATCAGTCAGACTTTCCCCCGGAAATATTTGAAGCCGCAGGCTATAAGAGGACCTACGAGGCGGAGATAGCCCCTAGCTATATAGATCGTGAGTACACGAGGCCAAACATCGTATATCGACGCCGCTATGCAGACGACCCTCGCTCGCGACGCTCTCGTAGTCGCTTTAGTCGCTACGAAGCGCAACGATACCGCACGCGCTCCCGCTCACCCGGCCGAGGGGACCATGATTATATAGAACGCAACCCACGTATGAGGAGCCCTCCACGTGATGCAGCATACGAGCCTGCATTTGTCGATCGGCCATCGCATGACTCCTCTGATACCGTCCTTGTATCCAAACCTGCCGCTTATGCGCGTGTCCCTCCGCGTGGTAGGTATCATTACGTTGAGGAGCCAATCTATCATGAACCCGTGGAATACATTCCAGTGAGGTTTACCGAACGTCCGTCCCATCAACAAAGCTTCGTCTATGTTGACCGATCAGCCGAACCAAATCGGATGAGCAGTTACGTCACATATGAGGAGCGCCCATTAGCGCCGCCAGTGTATGAGCGGCGGGATCATTACTACACAACTGATTCGCTGCCTTATGAAGACGACCATGTCATGGAAGAGGAAAAGCCAAGACACAGCAAGGTGGATTTGCCGCCTTGAGCAAAATGTCCGCCATTTCTGTTGTCCATAGCATTATTTTGCTGTTATTCTTGTCAACTTCGCCTTCATTTTCTTCGATTTTGCATATCATGTTACGATTTACGAGGAGACGTCAGCATTTACTGAGTAGCTTTTCAAAAGTGATAAGTGTACGGAGTCTGAAAATTAGCCCGGGTGGTCTTCGATTTCGTGTTTATTCCTCTTCATGATCTAATACCATGTACCATTATCTGGTTCTGCTTTCCCTGCTATCATTCTTGGGCATCAAACTGGCGTTGGTGTGCTTTCATGACATTATGAATATGCTACCTAGTTCGCTCCCCTTCGAAAAACTCATAAGAGACCTTTTCGTTACAGAATTTTCTTCCAGTTTTGAGAATTATGCGCCTGCTGTTGCTCTGTACGAGTGAACTGAGAAAGACACACGCTGATTTTCTCTTCACGTCGTTTTCCGATGAAACCTCAAGATTCTGGCTTAGGCAGTCTCACTGCAAGCTCCATTTCTAGCCTCTCTTTGCCATATGGCTCCGTGCGCATCGTAGCCATTTGGTCGGTACCAGGAGGGAAGTCCGTTTCAAACAGCGGCTCGCCTGCTTCCCGCATGTTAGCGAGGACGGACTGGCGGAAATGCCAGCGAAGGAGTTCGTCCGAAACGTGATTCGGGTCATCGGGGTTGCGACAAGAGTATTCAAGAATTCGTCCGTCAACCCGGAAGGGATTGGGGAAGAATGTGATGATCTTATATCCGTCCTTGCTTTCTATTAGTGTGGCTGGAAAAATAGTAATGGCGAAGCACTTACGTCCGGGTTTACGGATAGGAGATATTGGTCAAAGAGTGTGTGCAGATCCTGTCTTATGAGAAAACCGTTCTGGACGGAGTTGATCCTTGAGCTGGTATCCGTATCTGGGATATTGGTGATCCACCGCTGATAGTTAAACTGGACCCACAAACTTTCGGATGCCAGAGGAAAGATATGAGCAGCTTGAAATCCATAGAACCAACCATAATCATATACATAATTTTTATCTCCTGATATAACACAACTTCTGTCGCGTAAACGAATGCCGTCCCGGAAAGAATCTTCTCTTCCCGACGCACTGAAGCTATTGATTCTCGCATACCATGGCTCGTTGGTTAATTTAATATCGCCTAGATTAATAAGATTAGGTATTTCGACGTAATATCGTAAAGGAAAAGACAAACCTGAACAATATATGTCATAGTCGCCAGCAGTTAATGGGCTGCTTGTCGGCTCGATTGTGCTACCAGATTCTCGGTTCTTCATATGCCAATCATGCTCGACGATCAGAAGGACATTTTTTAAAATCCATATTATTGTAGCTTGAGTAAGAGACCCCTGTTGATAAACGCCTCCGAGGACCTCCCCGGTCGATGCGTTGTAAAAATGCACATTGCGGATTGGCGCTCTGTTGGATGGCATTTTCAGAGAAACAAACGGCAAGGTGGCTATTGCCGTAGAGCGAGTACTCAGATTGTTGCGGCGGAGGAGTCTTGCCCATGCCAGGAGAGTTGATATGCTGACTCGTGCGGAGGAGGATAATGATGATAATGATGATGGAACAGAAACTTCCTTTAAAATGAGTGCTGTTCGGGGAGGGGGACGGCGGATGGCTCCTTCCAAATTCGAAGCTAATTCTTGGATCTCGTCTTCCCTGCCAACCTTTTCCAGCAAGAGTAGGGCGACTTGACCCAGTAATCGAAGCCTCAATGAGGATAATTCCACCAGAGGGAAGGAGATGATGATGCTTTGCCAGATGGCCAAATGCTCACCAAAACGTCACAAGAGGATTGGTATGACGCCGCCCAGATGGTTTTGTGACTGCCCAACGATGACTACGGGGCGAAGTTCTTAAATCTTTGGCGTCGAATAGAGCCTGGTTTTTAGCTTCATAGAATTAAAAGCTCGTTTAAATCAGAGCAAGACGATGTGAAGATTTGATATGTCATAATGTTCTCCTCTGCTCATCGACGAAACCTAGTACTTTCTTAAAGTATTTCGTTACCAGACGAAGCGAGTTGATACCTTAGCTATTAGGTGCTCTTTATAAAGCAGATTGGACTACTTTTAACAATAGGATAGTTGGAAATATACACTCAAGCTGTCATTTACGCACATGAAACTCTCCCCTTACAAAGGTAAAAGATGTTGTTTTCTATCTACGTATGAGCTCGCTTATTTAGTGGTGGATCTTCGCCTTGATAGAGACGGAGTCCTTTGAACCAGACAACGGCTGTATCAACAATTGATAGGAGGAAGCGAATTCATTTCTTTTCCTCATTTGATCTGTAAATAATTTCCATATTTGTTCTCACTTGCTCTTACGAGAATAACTATAGGGTGCCAGAAAGTGGCTCTTCTCTATAAGCGCTCTCCAACGCCACTCTCGTGTTCTGAATCCGGCCCTTATGACATAGTTTAGCGCATCGTCTGTTCCACGTACAAGCTTAAACAAACCTCTGACGGTGTCTAATGAGAGTATTTCAGCTTCTCGAGCGGGCTGAGGTCGCAGCGGTATGGGGCCAACGCCCGCCAAAAGGCAAAAACAGCTAGTCGAACCGCCGGACGACGAAGTAAAGCCAACGAAAAGGCGGCAAACTGAGAAGCCCGTATCAAGCAGCGATAGCAGAAATGCGCCTAGCATCGACACTGAGAAACGCGGAACGCGAAAGCGTCAGCCGACAACGCGCTCCCACGGGAATTTAAGGCATTCAAAGACATCGACAACAAGCCGTACGTCCGAGCTGACGGCATCCCCACAGAAGGAGAAACAGAAGCCCAGCGCGAAGGGCCAGGGGTCGCAGTCGCTTTATACTTTCTTCACACCTTCAGCAGAAAGACAGAGGTCGCCATCGGCCAATCGCAGTTTGGAAAAGGAGGATGTCGAGGAGGACACAATTGAGGATGATTTCCCTGACGAGACATCGAATCTTCGGCTTCCAAGCAGACAAGCTTCGGCCCCCGAGGGTGCGACGAAAACTGAAAATGTGAAGACAAAGTCAGTGCTGCCAGCTAATAAAGCGCCTAGAGCTAGCCAAAGGTTCCTTAAAGCCTCAGCCGATGGCTCGACTTCTGCAGGCAGCTCCGCTAGGAGCTCGAACGTTTGGCAAGTCGATGACAATCGTCCTTGGGCAGAAAAGTACGCACCTATCTCTCTTGACGAGCTAGCTGTACACAAGAAGAAGGTTTCCGATGTCAGCAACTGGCTTTCAAGGGCTTTGAAAGGCCTGGACAGAAAGGTGTGTCATCTCTCATGCAACTTCTGAATAGCGATGCTAACGTAGCTCCAGAGACTGCTCGTTTTAAAAGGTCCGTCCGGAAGCGGGAAGACTACCACCTTATCGTTGCTTTCCAGAGCACTCGGGTTTGACATACTTGAATGGAGAAATCCATTGGGTGCTGAATATTCCTCCGATGGATATGTTTCCGCGTCTGCACAATTTGGAGACTTTATTGGGCGTGGCGGAAAGTTCGGAAGCCTTGAGTTTGCTGGAACAGGAACTCCTTCTGCCAGCAAACCGACTGCGGCAGTAACACCGACCCAAGCTTCAGGAAAACAAAAGGTAATTCTCATTGAAGAGTTCCCAAGCGCCTCATCACGACAATCTGCTTCACTGCAAAACTTTCGATCTACTATTCTTCAATATTTAGCTGCTACCACCTCATCCACTGGGAATTTTTTCGCCTCTTCCGAATCTCCGGCAGCACCGATAGTGATGGTCATTACCGAGACCCTCCTTACAACCAGCACTGCAGCCGCAGACAGTTTTACTGCCCATCGTCTCTTGGGTCCACAAATTATGAACCATACTGGCACCAGTGTTATGGAATTCAATCCAATTGCTCCTACATTCCTTTCAAAAGCACTCGACCTGATCATAAAAAAGGAAGCCCGCATTAGCGGTAGGCGAAAAGCCCCGAGCTCTATAGTTCTCCAAACATTAGGTGGCGTGGGCGATATTCGGAGCGCTGTTGCTTCACTAGAGTTTCTGTGTCTTCGAGGGGACGAAGCCGGGGATTGGGGCGGTCGGGTTGCCGTTGCCGTCAAAGGAAAAAGGGGTGCTACAGATGGGACGAAGCTCACAAAAATGGAACGGGATTCTCTCGAATTGGTCACGCAGCGAGAAGCCAGTCTGGGGATTTTCCATGCTGTCGGAAAGGTCATGTATAATAAACGGGAGGATCCTGCAATCAACCCCGCAGAAGAACGGCCTCCTCAGCCACCAAACCATTTACCTCAGCATCATCGACCAAAAGTTTCTCAAGTATCCGTCGATGACCTGATTGATGCAACTGGGACTGATACCCAGACGTTTGTCGCCGCCCTCCATGAGAACTACATACTTTCGTGTGATAATTCATCATCTGAGGATGCTATGGATGCCATTAACGGCTGTATTGACGCAATCTCAGATTCGGATTTACTAGCGCCTGAATGGACAGGTGGCTTTGGATCTGGACGAATGGGCGGCGGGTTCGGACGTGGCGCCTTTCAGGGTGCATCATCAGATAACCTTCGGCAGGACGAAATTAGCTTTCAACTTGCCGTTCTGGGCATCCTTTTTGCTTTACCGTATCCTGTCAAAAGACGAGCACCGCCTGCTTCTTTGAGTTCAGATGGCCGCGGTCGCTGGAATAGAGGCCAAAACTCCAGATCTGATGCTTACAAGATGTTCTTTCCAAGCTCTCTCAGGCTTTGGCGCCGCAGCGAAGAGATATCCGATATGGTCGACCTTTATATGAATCAGCTCATAAAAGATCAAATGACTGCGGACTCTTCACACACCGTCACCGAAGAAGTGGGCAGCGTTGAATCAAGAAAACACAACACAAGCTCCTTCAATTCTTCTATTGCTGAGCATTCATCATCTACTCCTACTCCATCTTCACAAACGAACACGTCACCAAAGCCAAGTTCCCTCATGATTCCGAGTGGCAACTCGGCACGACGAGAGATGCTTCTAGAACGTCTTCCATACACAGCTCTTATCCAGCGTCGAGGAAACAAGTCAGCATCATCCAATTTGCAAATGCTCGATCAGATCACCTCATTTCGTGGCATTGGTGGGGCGAGCGACGAGCTACTTGATGATGAGGGTGACGAGGATACAGTTCCGCCGGTCCGGGACTGGACTACTGATCGCGATCCTGACTCTGTCTTTCCAGGTTCAAGATCCGCATCTTCCTTCTTGCCCCTCAAGCGCGAGCCTCCAGCACGCCGACAGCCTGCCCATTCTTCCAGGCCTCCTGACACCTCCGGGATTCCAGGACTTTCCTTTGAATCCCAAGTGCAGAAGTTGGTACTGAGCGATGATGATATTGAAGATGATTAATTGCTGGGCTTATGTAGATTTAACGAGGCGATTTGGCGGTTTGGGAGGGGGAGGTTTCTCTCATATTTCCTATCCTCCCCTTTATTTATTCTTCGAACGGCCTTCTTCTGGACTATTATATACTTTTCGGAGCGCTATTTCAGGAGGCTCTATTTTCGGATATCAAGGTTTTTTCTGGGCTATTTACACCTTACGGCGTGAATGAATGAGAGGGTAATAGGTAAAGCGTGGGAATTTTGTTGGTAAAAAATGCTTTTTCATTTCCCCTTCTTCAGCGCTGGACTTTTAGTTCTTTCTTAGGAGTTGTAAATGGGAAACGCACGGCTTATCCTCCATCCGGTTTTCTGTAATCAGTGAAGCTTCCCTCATCAGTTTTTCCTATCATTGAACCGTTACGACTGTCGTGATTAGACTTAAGCCGCTAAATTGATCAGCCGTAACATGACGAGCTTGTTTTGCCAATGCTCTCGACCATGGATTCTATATGTTCCACCATTAGCTTCACACAAGCGGCTTGGAAAGGCTCGAAAAATTTTTCTTTTTGATACATTGATCATTATAAATTCTCCAAATATTAAAATACCAGTTTTTCCGAAAAACTCTCCAAAATTTCCCTCCATTGCAGGTTGAAGGGGAACCAGCCCCGAAGTCCCGACATACCGACCCGGTCTCTCCATTCAAGCCGGCCGTCTCTCACTCTGCAACGTCGTGGAAAGGGTATCACCGTGCTTGGATCCTGATCTTATCTTTTTCAAATACTCCTCGGCTTCTTGTTCCTCCATATCACTGAGGTGGTCAATAATCTCAAAGCAGCTTTCATCTACGAGCTCCTCTTCATGAATCTGAAAAGGCGTATTGGCATGCATGTCTGCCTTGCTCTTGCCCTTCACTTTTTCCTCAGTCTCAGTAATATTTTCACCTTGCTTCTTACTAAGTGACGATACAATCTTCCCTGAGAAGGGCCCAAAGAGAGATCGAACTGTCTCATCGGATCGAACACTACGACTGGACGAAGAAGAATGACGAGACAGGCAAGGACTATTCTCAGTCCGCTCGTTATTAGAATTGGCGCTAAAATACGGACGAGGACCAGTAAAATAAGTGCCGGAGGTCATTACGTCCAGATCTCGAGCAGACAGTCTTTCTATTGCAGTGGGTTCAGATTCAGCGTTAGACTCAGACACCGGTCCAAGTCCACGTTTGGCTCTAGGACCAGCTACCGGCTCACGCCTCGATGTTGACATTAGGCCGCACCGTTCTTCGAAATCATATGCGAGCGATGAATCCGAAGAGACTCTACTGAGGGGGCTCCGGCAAGATATATTATTGTAATATGGAAATGCTGGCCCCCAACGTTTGGGCACAGTTTCCGTGGTATGGGCTGCAACAATGGCCTCTTCTTGCAGTTGTAGCGTGGCCTGCGTACGTTCGTATTCGTGTCTTTGCCGTTCATAGTCGAGTCTTCGCTGCTCTTGCTCACGAACAATCGTATAGAGTCCCTCCAGCGCTGCACGAGATTTGGGCAAATTCCAATTCCGATAACGGGCAAGAAAATCAGTCATTATCTCCCTTGCAAAGTCATCTGCTGTTCTCGCATATGGATGTAGACACGGATTGACAGACTTGGGAGCTGGCCATACTCCTGGCCAAATCCGTTGAGCGGGTTCGGCGGGCCGGCTTTTGCCTTTCCTCGCGTGCACATCATCTGTTCCGGCTACTTTGGGCGCTCCATCTGAGTTGACCAAGACCGATTTCTCAGGGGTGCGCAGAACACGGGTAGGTCTCTGAAATTGAGACTTTGCGTTGAAGTAATCTGGAGGCGGTGCGTCAGGAGCCAAAGCACATTCCCGGGAAGAAGATGGGGATGTCACCGGAGATAGGCTCGATGGCGTGTATTGCGGCAAAGGCTCCGGTGAGGACAACAAGTTGTCATCTAACAGTGGCTGTGCACAGCGTAAAGGCCGGCGTGGGGCCCTACCACTGTCAACGGGCGAAACGGTGATTGAGGGAGCACAACCGCCAACCTGCCCGTGAGGATAGACTTGCTGATGATGTTGACCACCAGAACAGTGGCTCGGCGGTGGCTCGGAAGAATCCTTAATGGCCTCAGTTTTGGAAAGTTCTTTCAATCGAGCAGGCGCTGCTTCCATGACGGCATACTCAATGTGGGAGTATGCGACCCCAGTTAAGGGATCCTCTACATGGACATCTGCTGGGAAGGCACCAGGAGGAGCAGCGGGAGTCTCGAATGTGAAAGGCATCATTGCGCAGCGGTGGATCAGCAGGTATCTAAAAGGTAATAATCTCGAAAGCGATTTCCCTTTTGAGTTGGAGTGGCTGCTGAGAGAGGCAGGAACAACACAGTGGGTAGCGGCTTCGTTAGAAAGGAGGAGTCTTAGCAGAAAACTAATCAAAAAGGAAGGAAGATTTAATAAAGAGAGTACACCTACCCTGGGCTCGGGCGGAAAGATTGTGAGAAGAAGGCTGGTTTATATGTTCATTGTCAACTCTTCAAGCTAGAACATATGGAGATGATGTTGACGTGGTGCAAGCATCAATTGTTTATTGTCACGGATCACATGTGTCCGCAAAAAAAGATGATGCAGGCTGACTAGAGCGGAAACAGATATAAATGAAACGAAAACCACCACAGAGGAACGTGGTAATTCAAAAACTTGTGCACAACAGTCAGGTTTTGACTCACGCCATAAGGATGTGGCATCGTCGACAACCTGGATGGCGAAGCTAACGGTATCTAGGCGGTAAGATAATCTTTTACATTTTGCTGATTCTAGCTAAGCATCAGGACACTCTGTCGAAGCGGTCTAGTAATCCTACACACCAGTCCTGAAACCTCTGCGCCGAAACCGGCAAAAGCGAATTACTGCTTTCGAGCGCTTCGTGGACAGCTAGAAACGCATTCAGAGGGAGATATATCTCCTCGACAGACATGTTCTGCTCAGCTAGAACATTTTCTGGATTTTGAAGTGTTTTGAAAAATACTTTCATGGCGCGCTGCGGCCCTTCTGCCTTTGTGGAGGCCGAATAGCGGAGATCTGGGGTAAACACCCAACACTATTGATTTTTTTGTCTTAGCTTGGATCAAAAACTCAACGCTTCACCGAAGGCGGGACATACTAATAAAGCAGAGGCTGGTCCTGCAAGACCTTTACAATGCACTACGAATTTCCTTACTGCCTGGCTGTCAATAAGAGCCAACATTTGCGCGGCGATGAAGCCCTCGATGGCGTGAGATTCTTTTTGTTCTCCGGGACGTTTCCGTACAGCGAGAGCCCACTTGAAGAGTCTCCAGCCTTCAGCGCGTTCATCCACTACGCCGATGATGCCATTACAGCAAGAGCAAACAAGCTCTTGTGCTGTTCGGCCATCTGTAGCAGACGATTGGAACTGTATGCCAAATTAGTATAGTTCGTATTGGATGTATCTCGTGTAAATCCCGTCAACTCCGACTGATTGAGGAAATGTCACGGTGAAATGCCGAGATGAATTATCAACACAAGAGGTGGCCAGCTTCATGAGGAACCCATCTAGAAGCCGTAACTCCTGAGGGTAGCGCTTATTACTCCCCAGCTCGACCCATTGCTTTTTTCTGGGGCAATTGTATCGGAGACCAGGTCATGGCCAATAAGATTTATCGGGGCATGGCCTCCTTCTTGTTGCCCGGTGAAGGTGATTTGGGGTGGAATATATACACAAAAGCAAGCAAGACAATTGACAGTATCAACGTACCTCGACTCCTACACAGTCCTGAGATGTAAAGAGAAAATGGCAGGTATCCAGAAATCCAGTTTGTGACTGTGCGACTAGTTTATTTGAAGCACTATACCCTTTCGTGGCACTGGGGCCAGTGTTTTCGCTCTGCTGATGCCCGTGATCGTGAGGTTTGTGGCAATGCCAAAAATCCATCATTTCAGCCCAATTTTCACTGGGAAGATCTTTCCAAGTTTTGATCGTGCCTGCCTGGATAAAGGCCTGATCACATTGTCTGCAGCATACTTCTGTGTCCGCCGTCAGACTTCCCGCTGGCCAAGGTGCTCGTTCGTCAGACGAAGCAACCAGGAGGTCTCTTGTAAACAGGGGTTCATCCTTTTCGGCGATTTGTAGACGAAAGGAAAGATCTTTTGTCGCAGCTTGAGGTAGCTCTAACGCAGCTGTTCCTCCGACCTTGGTAGGGAGATGGATTGTCGCTGATCGTCCATCGTGGCTCAGCGTGATGGTTTCACGGTCCGAAGAGAGCTCGACTTTGGTCGCATCGTTGCGAATCGAGTCCAGTGACGCATATATGGTCAGCTGCCGGATATTTACGAGGAGCTCAGCGTAAATGTACGGCGTCGATGGTGATGTGACAGACATGGCATTCGTTTATATTATATACCGCGACGGGGGTTTCATCCGCCATCGGGTCCGCAACGATCGGCGCTATAGAACACCGTTCACCGTGGGGTTTTTTAAGGGAAGGATTTGAACAAGAATGATTGGCTCAGAATGGGCTGGATCTGTTGGGATGAGCTGATGTCAGTTCAGACACTCTTTGCACAATCAGAAATAAATCAAGTGGGATAGATCAAAGAAATATTTTCAAGCTGTTCGTACGTTCAAATTGCGGATGTCTCTATGAGCTTGTGTGGAACTGTAACCCCCGCAGAACGAGCAGCTACATCATCATTCCACGGAGCTCTGTATTGGCTTTAAGCTGCTCATCCACCAACAAACAACAGAAACCACAAACACATATATCTAATTTGAACTCATTTGAATATACTGGTCCCTTGTGGACAGTAATGCATTTCATGATTTGACATATTTAAAAGACGACAGACTCTCAAAATGTCAATCATCCCGAGCTTCCCGAACCCATTGAAGCTTCTGAAGCTCTTCACTTCGGCGCCGCCACCGGCCATAGATCTCCCGTCAGTTGAGATCTACGAAATTGAAACATCGCCAGAAAAAAGTCCACGAACACTTAAACACTTGCTCCGGCTTAATCACGCAAATCATGCAATTCTCTACCATAATCTCCAGTTTCACAACCACTTGCCACACGTAAGACGTGCCCCAATTGCCCGCTCTGTTAAAAATCAGCTTGAACTGACCACAATTCAGATTCTAGGATCAGCGTACATTCTCGGCGCAGGACCTCTCCAGCTCGGAAATATCTACGATGAAGAATCAAAGACGCTCGAAAAATGGGAAGATTCACCAAACGAAGTATCGCGACATGACTGGCGGGACTATCTGGGCGACAAACGGTCCGTAATAATATCAGCCTTCCATAGCAACTCCTACATTATCGCAGACACAAGCTCATTTTTTTACAATTTAATAGCTTTCAGCGCTCATACGTGGATTTTTTCGAAGACGAACTGGTCCGATTAGGCTACGACTGGCGAAACGTCGTTGCAGAATACTTGTTCAAGGGAAAGGAGCCTTTGATCAATGGAATGATTGGTGGATGTAAGCTTCTACCCCTTCTACCTTCTACTCTCCCCCATCAACCAAAATCCATATATCCTTGCCCAGTACAACTCTGACATCAGAATCTAGTGGGCCATCCTCTCATTCATCTTGGCTACGCATTCGAGCTCTCCAGCCGTGAACTCGGCATGGAAGCTCTCAGTCTGACCGCAACAAACTACAACTTTCTACACAAATACCTGGACAAAGCCTCCTCATATTCCACCAACCCTTCCCTCTCATCACCTGGGGCAACACACACAAGCACTTCCCCGCTGGAAATCCTGGAACGCGTCCGTGCCGACAAGCGCTTCGACGGACTCTTCGAAAGCAGAGGCTCCAACAATATTCAGACCCTCTTTGATGAGCGCGAAGCCGCTGTCCTCGAATACTGGACCTCCTGGAGCATTCAAGATCCCATTAAGCAGTTCAAGGACAGCCAACGGGCAGCGGCGGCCATTCTCGTTGCCACTGACCGTGCTGCCAATCATCATCATACCTTTGACTTTTTCCTCGTGCATCTACTGACAACGAGCCATGCCGTGCGCATCCTCCTCCCATTCATCCCCGCAAAATTCCACATTCCTTTAGTGCGACAATGGTGGCTCTTCACCCTGGCAGTATATATCGCCCAGCTCCGACCAGAAATCAAACTTGACAGGATCAACGATTATGATCTCGCGGGCCGAGATTGGAAATGGGCAGTCGACCAGGCCGTTGGCGGAAAACATGCCCTGGATGCGCATTATGTCAAGGGTACGTCTTCTGTCCTCTCCTAATTCTCCCTTTTGTCTCCCCTGTATCATTCCTACCCTTCCCCCCTTGTATCCCCCCTCCCCGTTCCGTTACCGCTTGATTTGACTCTTTGTCGCGCTCCACATCCATCATCCATGCAATCACGCACTTTATTGTCAATTATCGACTCAGCATATACTAACATACACCTCAAATAGCAATTCGCGCCATGAAAGAAGCCGCACACACATGGACAGACCACGACCAATTCTACCTCAAAGCAGCCGTGCAATTCGCCGACGAGTTTGAGTCGTGGGGCGGATTCGGTCCCGAAAGCGCCAGCGACGTTGAAATTTACGATAAGCAGCACTGATTCTTACTCTTTCCCACTTCTCTCTTCTCTGATCATTCGTTTCTCTCTTATATATGTATATGTTCTAGTAGTACGATGCATGTACAATTTTCTCTTTTACCAACTGAAATCTAGCTCGGCCCGGCGTCATTTTTTTATTTTCTCTTCTTCACCATTTGACGAGTCACGCATAATTTCAAATTCTCAAAATTGAAATACACAGAAGATTATGAAATCTCTTTATTATATGATATAGAGAGAGTAAAGTGGTGATGATCAATGCCCAAGAAGTAAATGAAAACTCTGAAAATTTGCAAAAACGCCATCCCGTCTATATGAAGGAAAATAAAAAATATATATCGTCGCCTAATATGATACAATTAAATGTAAAAAAAGGCATGGAACTCAACGCGTTGCCGCTCAGCCGCTCCTTTTCACTACGCTGACTGTATAAAAGCGACCGCCTGTGTTGACGATACTTATTGCTCGCATCGCCCTCAAGATGGCCCATGCAGGCGGAGCGTGGCGGAAAAAAGCCCCATAGCAACAAATTATGCACCTTGGCTCGCCACTACCTCAAGATATAATCCGTATGCACCCCGGGAGTGGGCGGCTCTTCCTCTTCCTCGACGACCGAGCTATCGAGAGCGGTGCCACTAAGTCCGAGTCCCGCACGAACACCCGCAGCGCCTTCGGCCTCGACGATACTATTTCGACGATCCTTGTCCTGGTGGTTATCCTTTTCCTTGCTTCTCTTGACGCCGGGCCAATCAGAGCCCGCTGCTGCTGCGTTGGAGACTTTGACGTCCGGGTCGGCTTCAATGTTGCTCCAGCGTCGACGATGGGCAGAAGTTGCTGCGGCTGCGGCTGCGGCGCCGCCAAAGCTACCTTTGCGTCGACTGACCACGCCAGGGAAAATGCGTGGTTCGCCGTCGAGCGGGGCGGGAGACGCACCGCGGATACTGGAGGCGGCGGAGAATGTGGCGCTCCTGGGTGGACCGGCAAAGAAGGGATCGTGAGAAGACCCGGATGGAAGAGGCGGGGAGCCATGCGGGCCGTGGTGGGTTTGAATGCTCAGACGGGCGGCGCGCGAGGCAGCGTGGGGATTAAGCTTGTTGTTCGAGGACTGACCCACCGCGCCGGAGCCATTGCTGCTCGCAACCGGCGAATGCGGGTGTGTCTGGATGGCGGGTGGGGGCAGGGTTTGCGAAGGACTTTGGTACAACCCTGATGCGTCCATGGAAGGAATGGTAGCGGATGGGTTAGTCAGGACCGACATGGACGGCGAAGGCGGGGCTTGAGGATTGTTTTTATTGAGAATGGCAGCGGGGTTGAGATATTCAGGGCCGGAATCAGCGGATCCGTTCTGCTGTTCAGTTGGGGCAGTCATAGGGTCCGAGAGATTCGTGGTCGTGATGGGCCGCGTCTCCGGGGTGGCAGTATACCGGTCGATCCTGTTTGCGCCATTAGGTGATCAGTTGATATTGCTTTCGCAGTTGGTGAAGTGAGTGGTCTGATTTGCATGAGATTGAACAATTTGAAATTTGGAATGACACCAAAAAAAAGACAATGCGTTGGAAACAGCAAAAATGGATGTCCTGTTGTCAGTTTTTGCAATCCGGGTGTTTGGGGGCTAGAAAAGACGAAGGCTGTTTGGGGTAAAGATAAGGTGTCAAGGGAAGTGCGCACATTGAAAGCTCCTGCATAAGTGTCTCATGTCTGAAAGCTTCTCTGATATTCGGTACGTTGCTCTTGGCCACATTATTTCCTCGCACGCCTGGCATCATATAGTCCCGTCCAAGCCAATGTTGTCTGACAGGATGCTCGAACCCACTCTGATGAACAGAGTTCTTGGCCAGCTCGCACATGTCCACAGCACTGAGCTTATAGATCTGTGCGGCAACCGAATACTCCTCGATGAGTGGCTCCTTTGTGAAGGCGAACTGTAAAGGATCGTCCGTGGACAAGGAAACGTTGAGACCACGTCGAAAATATTGCAGGAACGGATTGCGCTCGTAAGCCAGAAACAAGGCGTTGTTGCTAAGCGGCGACATGGCAATACCAATCTGCTCGAGGTAAAAAATATACTGCAAGAAAGGAACCTTGCGCAAAAGCAGGCCGTGACTGATGCTGTGACAGCACAAGGCTGCCGACGCAAGATGATCTGTATCTCCTGCCTCACCGCAGTGAGGTCGAAGAAGGAAAGTGTTGAAACCACGCTGCTTCCGCCACATGTTCAACGAAGCAATGTTAGCAAACAGGTAGTAGATCCAATAGCTGTAAGGCGGGTTTTGCATAGTGTTCCAGGCTCTTGGCAGAGGGAACTTCCGATAAAGTCTGCGCTCAACTTTGCTCTCATCGTCAACGCTGTCAAAGCCAATGACACGTTGCAGAAATACGTGGAGCTTAGGATGACTGGAAGGATCCTTGGTTACTTCAAAGAGTGGCTGGAAGAGATTGACGACAACCTGCTCAAAATTGTCCATGAGACCAGAAGATTTGTAGATATCAAACAATCTTGGCACTTGAATAAGCCATCGGACGTTGGGAGAGAACAATCTGTTGTCTACTACCCATGCAGCAAGCTTATCCCACTCATCAAGTGATCGCCCATAGATTGAGATTCGCCACTCCACCATTTGATACTTGCTTGACTCCACATCAGACATTACTTCTCTGGTAATTTCGGCCAGATAACGTCCTTTGATGAAGTTGTCCGTCTTGAGGAAGATCGTTCGCAGACGTGATTCGCCGACGGGATTGTACTTCAGGTTGAATTTGTCGAAACGGTGGAAAGAATCCGTATGGGCCTTTATATCGTCAGTACAGCACTATCGCAATGGCAAGGATCTATGATATTTGCAAACGTACATGCATATCCAGCGTATCAATACTCAAGTCATACGCCGTGAGATTGATACTTTCAAAGACCTCCTTTAAGGTGAGATGCTTGCCATCACGGAACAAAACCACTTCGTCGGGTGACTTCTTCATCTTGCTCTTGATGAAGCGGAGAAGGTGTTTCTGGTTCATACAAGCTGAATGATGAACGTGGGTATCTACTTTTCGTACATTGTAGAAGTCTCGATGAGGAACTTTCTTGCTGTCGGCCATTTCTTGATATTCGTTCAAGAGGACATAGAGATTGAATTTGCCTTCAAGGTATTGCAAACGTCGGAACGCAAAGCTCTTGCTTGGCCCATCTGACGAAACATTGAGAATTTCATCCAAATCCATGTAAAACTCGCGGATTGTAGGAATTTGTAAAATTGGGGTGCCCATCTCAGCCGACTTTGATGTCTCATAGACTTGAAATACACTGGTGTCATCCAGACGAAAGTCCATCTCGGCCTTCTCCGGCAAAGGCAGAAGATCATTCATGTCGAAATCCTCTCCAATATTGTGACCAGCCTTCCTTCTACGCAAAGGTGCAGCGTGCAGGCGAGATGTGCTTGTCTCCACATAGTCTCCTCTTCCGAGATGTTCGTCCTCCCCTTCCGGTGGCGGTAGAAGGCCATTGTCGCCCATTGGACGAGGCCTTGTCTTTTCGTCGTCCCAAACAGGCTCGGGGTGCGGAGGATATATCTTCCAGCTTGGTTCATCTTTTGGATTATCGCCTGGGCCTTGCAGTGACAAGCGAATGTATCGATTTCGAATATCCAATACCTTCTGGATGTTGGTATATATCGCGCTCAGCTCGGAAGTAATTTCAGTCTCGTGCGCAGCGAACCCCCCAGCACCAGTTCCCAGGCCCACACCAGCCCCTGCACCATGAATACCTTGGTCAGCCAGCATTGGCGGCTTGTACTCATGTGGCAGCCCTGGATGGTGTGAATGCTCACGCGCAGACATATCTGCTTCGACAAATGGGTCCGGGGTCGACGTTCCCGAGACACCTCGCGAGCGCGCATCCCCGCCATCCTTGTGCTGATCGAGGCTCACAGGCAATGCCGATTTATAGCGGCTTCCTTGTGTTTGTCTTGACTTGATACTCTCAGCTCGGCTCGGTGCTGGACTGTGACCAAGGCTAGCAGAGAAATTTCGAGCCATGATGCTTGGGCTTTGTAGCTCTTGCGCATCCATCTGATGCCGCTGATAGAAAAGCTTTGCCTCAGCTTGGCTCATTTGTTTCTCCGAAGCATAATCGTAGAATGCAGTTCGCCGTTGCTTGTCCCGAGGCAACACCACCTGGTTCTCGTCAAGTGAAGGATCGACGCTGGGATCAAGCTCGACACGTCCGATGTCTGCGCTGAGGCGATCGACCGTATGATCACGGCTGGATGATCCATTCACCGCGCCTCCATCTTCAGGTTCTGGGGACTCATCGTGAAGGTCCTCATCGTCTGAGAAATCTCCGGCTGGCTGCAGATGTGCTGGGCCGAGCTGCGGCGTATCGGCCGCCGAAGGAAGGTCGGCCATAGTAGAGAATTGACGTCTTCAAGACACAAAGAGTTCATTAGCAACACTTTAGCACGAGCGAAAAGAAACTCAGGTGGAGGAGAATATCTTACGGGAGATTTGATTTTTGATCAATGACGAAGTATCCGTGTTGACGTTCCTTCCTTTCCGTCATTCAACCTAGTGAGCTCGCCGACGCGTGTCGGCATTTGCCGCTGCCCAGTTGTCAGGCCGTTCCCGAAGTGGGGATTGTACAACCTCAACCGCTCCACTGATCATCAACATTGGATGCGGAGAAATATTGGACCAAGTGGGGTAAACTAAATCGCATCTCCGCAGTGCTATCCAATGCTCTCAATCCCTGTGACAACGTTGACAATATGAAGAAATGACAGACCTTTAGTTCTCCAAAGGTCCTGTCTTGACATGACAATTCCAGGTCTCTCCCCAACTTTAATTTGCCTGAAGAGCACAGCATTCCATTTTATATCATATATTCTCGTCGTCGGCACTTTAATTATCTTATGTAGGACTTCGGGCTATTGCATAAATCTGATATACATTGAGAAATCTAGTTTCATTATGAAAGAAACACCCAGGAGACAGAACCCCCCTGTGAAGCGGAGACGAAGAAAAAGAGAGTCGGGCAGGAGACCGATAAGGCAAATGTGTGCTATTGAACTGCTATGATCGCCGTGACTATGGTCCATGCAACCTTAACCCTTCTAAACTCCAATTACAAGTAATAACCAAACCTTCAACAATCAAAACTTGTAGATAAGTCAACGTTCTTGCTTTAAATCTCACTATCAACTCCTAGAAATTAAATTGCAACCGGTTCAGATATGTGCCTAGTATGTCTCGAAACAGTGAACAATCCGATGCAAGATATGTGCATATAAAAGCTAAGGCAGCAAGTGAGGACTAGAAAACAGGGCAAAGATACAGTTTCCATCCAATGATCAACTGTGTAAACAAAAGTTGTATATTGAGCCGTGACTTCGTAAAGGTATGTATCATGCAATATGATGCAAGACATGTCGATGCATTCTGTAAGTAGTTCGATATCATGCTTTGGTTATGCTTAACCAATGAATACCGGTTGCTGGCTACCGTAGAAGCGTGAAGGGATATGGATCGAACCTTCGACAATGTCGTGACACCGATGCCAACAAAAAGCACGGAAGACCATGGTGAGCCAAGCGTCCTCAATGACTTCCGCATCAGGAAATCCGCATTGTTGCATGTAATCGACGTATTTCGGAATATAATCAAAATAAAAATGCATGGCCTCTGGGATCCAAGGAACTGGAAGGTGGAATCCTTCGCGCCTAGCGGTTTGAGGCTGGCTTATCGCTGCCGCGTAAGCGTATATTGCATGAGTCATATGCGCTCTCATAAGATCGAAGTAGCGAAAAGATGCTGGAGTCTTTTCCGACTCGTGCATACTTTCTAGAAACTGAAAATAGGACGTTGTTGATTTGTAGCAATCCTGCACATCGTCCAGAAAATTCACGAGATCGGACATGGGTAGCTTCTCTCGTCTTTTAGATTCTTCATTCTCCCACATGTCTCCATAACGGTCTTTGAGTGTGTCATATTGATTAAGAAGCCATTGCCGTTGTGGACGCGGCGGTGTGTTTTGCTGCACAAGTTCTTTCAACCGGTAAAAATAGACAACGAATCCCTCCTTTTCCCTCAAAACACTGCTGATTGTATGAGTCGGGGCATGAAGGCGCGTGATTGGGGAACCGCGAAGGCGAAACATTGGAGCTGCGAGGGGAATGAGATCGGCAAAGCTGCCTGTCCATCCACCATTCGCTTTTGAGAGACCCTTGATATGCTCCATGGCGCGCTTGCTTTTATCTAGCCTGAGTAAAGTCGCAAGGACCTTGTCCTCCGTACCAATATGAAAGTCTTGGATATTAAAGTCTCGATTCCCTGCAAGAATGCCGAAGCCCAATTTATCAGCTTCCGTCGTAGGAACGTAAATATCCTCGAACCAGCGGCCGCCATCCTCACGATTACTGTAGGAAGAGCGGGGTGCCCATATGGCTTGCGTCTTCCCGGTAAAGGTGTATTGAACTATAAGTCCAATACTTGGCACCATCACCGATGTCAACACATGTCCGCAGCCCTCCGCGCGTAACGCACCCTCATGTGGACGGTAGTCGTACCATTTCATACCCAATCGCCAGGCGATGATAGTGATATCTGAAAGTGTGGCGGAAGCAAAGGGGCGCACAACATCTGGAGGCATGAAATCCCACGAGCGCTTTTTGAATCGCAATGAGGGAGACGTTACCTTGGTCAAGTCGGTGTTGCCATATTTTTGGAGGAGATCCAAAGTAGCTCGATTCCGGCGGTGCAGCGAATGAAGCAAGGCGATCCAGCATACCTTTTCATTGCGAGGATCAGGGGCTTCTTTGGCGGAAATCAGTGTTGCCTTATAAGACCATTCTTCGCCAGTGATGATCACACTTGGCATGTGTTTGTTGGTTTTGAAACCCGGCAAATTGCGAAACCAATAGAGTATACTCATTATCAGAGTAAAAATTTCAATCGGCTCGGTACTAGATGGCAGCACCTTGAAGTTCTCCTCTATAACTTGATCAACGTTTGCCGGAAGGCTATGGAGTGTGATTTCGGGAGTCACAAAGATTGTCTCAAAACGGAACTGCGACCAGCGCCATCGCATATGCGTATGTTTAGCCCAGAGGCCCATGACTGAATGTTGACATCGCCGATAACCGTCAGCCGTAGCAAAGATTTGACCCAGAAGCTGACAAAGAGTCACAAAGAGTGCGACAAAGGCGATGACCAGTGCAGTAATATTAGTGTCGTTAGAGAGATCGCCACTGCTATTGCTGCTCGCTGCAGTGTTTGTGTCGTTACTCATCTCCTTGGTGGCGCCGATATTTATTGTAAGGTTTCGTCTTTTTCACGTGTGTATATATCACAAGTGCAGGGCTGGATCTCAGCGTCGCAGGTACACCAAAGAAGTACCGCAACAATAACGATGACTCCGCTGAAGACCTGGATGAGGATGATGCGGCGATGCTCTGTGACAAGTTTCCAGAAAATAGAAAATTATAAGCAGATGATGCAGGCTGCCGGCGCAAGATCATATAAAAGCATCCACTATTCTATTCAGCAGTCTTATTGAATCCAAGCCGCAATGGTGGTGGCGCAAGCTGACACATTCTCTCAGCCTTCCTGCATGGTGATGGCATATATTCAGCGTTTCCACCCCCACGCTTGCAAAATTGTTGTATGTACTTTAGTTATTAAAAGGTCTATTATGATATAGTTATAGGTAAGTTGTTTATAACCCAACTCAATCCGGGAGTTTGTCAAGCAGTCGGGTTTTTGGGGCCTTACCTGACCCGATCTCAACTCATTCCGCAGCCTGATTGATACAACTAGGTCATAAATTTAGCCTTCAAAAGATCCGCAATTGCCGCAGCTAATTTGATCAAAGAGCCTGTTCCCATAATTTCCAACACACTGAGCTGCAATCCCATGGTCTGTTTCAGCCATCTCCGCAATTCAATCGCCATCAACGAATCCAGCCCCATCTGTCCGAGACTGAGACTGGTATTAACTTCTTCATCAGGCTTCAGCATGAAATCGTAGATTTTGTGCCCGATTTGATGAGCCAGAAAACCCACGTTGTCCGCGTCGGTGAGGAGAGACGGATCATCAGTGGCTCGGGTGAGGAAGGACTTGAGGACGTTGGAGTTTTCGCTTGTTTCGCCGCCAGTCTGTTTGTGGACATTATGATAAATGCCCATGCGACGGTCACGACGCCAGTTGGTGCGGTTATTGGGGTCATCGAGATCAAGCTCGGATCGGAGACCCATGAGAAGCTGTCCGGGGTTTTTCCAGGACAATGGAGGGGATATCGATGGACCTGACGATGCGGGCAGTTCTGCATGGGAATTGAGGATGCTGGCCTCGATATAGTCAAGGAATTCCCTTTCACCCAGGAAGTACAGCCCCTGTGCCCTCATGTTTCGTCTGGCGATGGGATTTTCGGCTACAAAACCGACACCGTCAATGGGACAGATGTTGAGCACGGATGCTGGAAGACCTTGGCTGTGCCGGTACTGGCAGAAGGCCTCAAGAAAGGTATTCGCGGCATTGTAATTGCCTTGACCGGGCTGATCGACGACCGTTACCAGTGAGCTGGCCAGCCAGAAGAAATCCAGCGATTGACCCTTGAAAGCCTCATGGAGATTCCAGGTACCGTCGATCTTCGGTCGACTGGCGGCTTGCCACGCAGACCATTCCATGTCGACGATGGGTGCATCCTATTCATTGAGTGAGATAAATTAAAAAGCTCTCATGGAAAAGTTGGACGCATACCTGAAGCACCATTGCTAGTTGAAGAACTCCTTTTATAGGACCATTTGAGACGCGAATGGATTTCATCACATCGTTCATGTTTTCAACAGCTCCTGCGACGGCTTTTACTGAACATCCCATAGCTTCGAGTTCCCTAAAAATCTCCTTGCTCTTTTCAGACACTCCAGCACTCCGGGAGAGGAAGGTCAGGTGTCTGGCCCCTGATTCCACCAGCCATGTAGCTAGAGATCTTCCCAGACCTCCCAAACCGCCGACGAGTAAGTATGTCGCCGTTGGATCTAACTTTATCCGATGAGGATTTTGAGATGATGGAATGGAAGACACGTCTTTCGGCATGCACAACACGACCTTTCCGATATGTGTTCCTTTCTGGAGATAACGGAAGGCTTGGCATGCTTCCTCTCCACTGAAGATAGTTATAGGCCGGATAGGCTGGAGACCTTGTTGCAAGAGGACACCGAGACTTTTTAACATTCTACATTATGTTAGTTGGCTGTTCGTATCATCCTGATCTGTATCATGATCATGCTTACCTTCCCATATGTCCAGGTCGCTCTCGGATAAATTGAGCAATATCAATGCAACTGTAACTTCTGTTGGCCAGGAAAGGTTGCATATCTAGTTGTCCGTATCGCACCAAATCACGCTTGCCCAGTTCAACCATCATACCGTACTCGGCCACACATTTCCATGATGCATGCAGCAGTTCACCAGACAGTGAGTTGAGTACCAAGTCAACACCACGGCCGCCTGTTTCCTGCATGAGCCCAGCGACAAATGACTGGTCACGGGAGTTAAAAATGTGGCTTCGTGGAATATCATAGTTCTCGACCAGGAAGGTGATCTTCTCCTCGGTGCTAACCGTCGCGAATACCTCGGCGCCGATCATCTTCGCAATTTGGATGGCAGCTATACCAACACCACCACACGCGGAATGGATCAAAACCGTCTGGCCTCTTTCCAATCTGCCTATATCGATCAAGCCTCGCATGGCGGTCGTGAAGCAAATGGGAAGCGTGGCCGCTTCTTCGAAGCTCAGGTGATCAGGGATCCTGACAACCAAAGAGGCGGGTAGAATGGCATTGGCCGTGATGCATCCATGAGGAGCCAATGCCATGACCCGATCCCCTGGAGCCAGCCCTTGGACCTTGGAACCAACTCTTTGGACAATACCCGCAGCCTCCAGACCCAGAGGAATAGAACCGTCCGCTACCGCGGGAATGATACCCATGGCAAATACGATGTCTCGGAAGTTGAGTCCAATTGCTTGAGTTTTGATATCAACCTGATCATGTTGAAGGTTCTCTGGGAGACCTTGGTCCAGCCAGTGCAATGTCTCGAGAAGGCCTGGCTTGCCGATTGTGAGAGTCTTCGTAATGGATACCCCTTGTTTGCTCTTCTCGCAGAGCTCGTTGGTCAACGAGAAAGGATGGTATCTTCCTACACAGATGGTTCCCTCGTGCACAGCGAATTCCTTGTCAGCAGCCAGTTCATTGTGATTCTCCTCTTTGCAAATTTTATTGAATACTCGAAACACCAGGTCCGTGAATTTGCTTTCTGTACCATCGATCTCAAGAGTGAAGAAGGGCATGGCCAGTTCTGATCGAATTGTTCGGGCCACACCGATTGTCTGTGCAGAACGGGGATTTCTGCACTGGATCTGGACCGGGCTTGTGAGCCAGAGGATTTTCTGGGAACCAATTGACTTGAGAAGCGATTGGAATGCAGCAAACCGGTTTGCGGGAATGTTTTCGAAAAAGTTTAACTCCAGATCAAGACAGGAGATTATATCTTGGTCTTCAGGCAGTGCATCTCCCAGTTGGCAGGTGGTCACTGTGACACCAGACCGCTCCAGACCGGCCACCAGGGACTGAGCTATACCAGTGTCTGGACGTGCGGCGAGGATGGTGGCCTTGGGTTCCTGAGATTGTACTGCCAGCTTAGGAGCAGGCTTCGACACGATAGCTGCACAGTATTGGTAGGGCTCTTCTTCGTCATATACGGCAGTGTCCACACCAGTGAAGCCGGCGGCCTTGAGTTCAACATCCCAACGGGACACAGGGATATACGGCTCATACGGCCGATTATCAGCCTCACCCAACCACCAGCCGGAGAAATTTCCAAAGATATAGTTGGGAGCTCGAACGACCGCGCAGAGTTCGGTCATTACCAGCAGTCCATCAGGGCGCAGCAGTGGCTGCAGGTTCTTCAAGGTATCCTGAAGAATGGGCGTAGCGTGGATGACATTGGCAGCAAAAATGAGATCATACGTTCCTGGCTCGAACCCTTGCTCCGCGTAACTCTGAGAGATATCAAACACTTTGTACTCCATGTTCGAAGCATAAGCAAATCGGTCCTTGGCCTGAGGGAAGAAGCCAGCCGAAACATCAGTGAAGGTGTACGTGGAATACAGAGGCAACCCCCCTTCGTCAACCAAATCGCGCAGAATCAGCTCTGTGGTGCCCCCTGTGCCTGCTCCGACCTCTAGGATCCGCAGTGTTGGCCTAGTATTGCTCAAAAACCGCACGAAATCACTGTGACCAAAGCTGACCACGTTGTAGATCTCTGTGAGCACATTGTCTTGCATCAAGATATCAAGAGTGTCTGCCTGTCCCGTGAAAATCTGCTTCATGTTATCGCAGATTCGCAGAAGGCCGATAGCAACGGCTTGCTTGTTCATTTGCATCAGTTGATTGAATCGGTTCGTGATCATTTCACGTCGCGTCTCTGCAGACAAAGTCACATAGCGCTTAGAGTCTTCAACGAGCGTGTACGTTCCGCTCTTTGCCCGCTCGATTTCACGGTTCAGCCAGTCTCTGAATTTAGCAAAATGCGGCTGGCATGGCTGGCATCCTGCAATCTTTTCTGCCGATTCCAGAATACAGAGGAGGGTCATTTCCTCCTGCAACCGGGTCTCGGCTCTGTCCGACACGGGGGGTTTGAACAAGGAGCCGGCATCTATAAAGTCGTAATCGGGAAACCACTCTAGTCGTGCAGCAGCATGTACATCATTGCTAGTTTCCTCAAGGAGTCTGTCGTCATCAAGCGGCGTGAGTTGAAGTCCCGCCATTCGAAACACTGTCGTCCCATCTACGACGCATTCCACCCCAGCGCTTTGAGGGTTGTCCTTTGGTTTCCATGCAATGGCCTGCATCTTATCTGCTCCACGAGCAATCTCAAGCTCTTCAATGATGGTTGGAACAGATAGCTGATCAAAGTTTCGACCGAGGCCCTTTGCCATCGCAACAAGTAGAAGCTGGAGACATGCGTCGATACAAGTTGGATGGATGAAAAACGGCGATTCTTGATGAGAAGGATTCTTCCTCACAATTTCAGCAGTGGCCAGCCCTTCTTTAGTTGAGGAGGTAATGTTGGTCAAGCCTTGAAACTCGGGGCCGTATACGATACCCACGTTGGCCATTGCATCGTAGAACCGGGCTGGTTCAACACGGCGAGGTAGTGTGTCTGGTCTGGGGCCACTGGCTGGAATAGATTTCTCAAGCTTTTTGATTTGTCCCTTACAGTGCTTGATCCAGGTATCATTGGTGTACGACATGATGGTAAAGTCATACCATTCGCTATCATCAGAATCCGTCAGTTTGCGCGGGCGCAGCCCAGTCAGCATCTCAACCGGCTTTGACTCTGTCAGGACAAGAGCTGTCTGTGCAACAACATGTCGAACACTGAACCCATGATCTGTGCCGTCAATCTGCCTTATTGCCTCACCGGCCATGGCGATATAGCCCGCAAAAGGAAACACCACATCCTGGCGAATCTTATGGTCCCCCAGCCAGGGCTCATGCTCCAAATGCAGCATATTTCTCCACAGCGGCTCCATCTCTGGTGTTTCCGGTACGCGACTTCCCAACAGGCAATGGTGAGCGAATTTGCGGAATCGCCATGCTTGCGACACGCGGCTTTCGTACCAGTACGAATTGCCATGGTCCCACGGATACGTAGGCAGTCCCGAAAGAGGTTTTCCGCCACTTGAAAACAAGGAGGAGGCAAAATTAATGCTTATTCCTTCTTGGAATAATCTCCCAAACGCCGAGAGAAGGCTATGCGCACAATTCTTACCCCGGATCATTGCAGCGGCATAGACACAGGGCCGGGACTCAGCGGAGGTGATCTGTCGTAACGGACCCGCGAGAGTCGAGTGAGGGCCAATTTCCAAGAAGACGCCATCTTGCTTGGAGGATTTGAGGAGACTGGTGACGGCTGGCGAAAAGAGAACAGGGGAGGTAAGGTTGGCGACCCAATACTCTGGGCCAAAGAAAGTTGGATCCTCTATAGGTTCCGCAGTCACGCTCGATATGAAATCAGCCCTTTGCTTGGGCGCAGCGAGGTTGGGGTGTCGTGCCATCTCTGCCTTGATGAGACTACAATACTCGCTGGCTAAAGACTGCATGTGGTGCGAATGATATGCCATATTCACCTCCAGCCGTCTGGCAAACGCATCCGGTGCGGCTTTCCGCACAGCGGAAAGAACCTCTTCGACCTTGGCCCCGTCGCCGGAGATTGTTGTGCTGGATGGACTGTTCTGGCAGGCCAAGGTAACTCCATCAACTAAGTATCGAGAGACCTCGGCCGCACTCAAGCCGACGGCTGCCATTCCTCCGTCCGAGGGGGCCATCTTGGTGGTCACATAGCCACGATAGTATGCAACAATCATAGCTATTTCCAGAGGAATGATACCAGCCGCATAGGCAGCTGCAATTTCACCACTGGAATGGCCGATTACGGCACTAGGCTTGACGTCCGCGGCGAGGAACCGATTGACCAGAGCAATTTGGACCGCGGTGCACAGCGGCTGAGACAGTTCTGCACGGTTGATCTGACTGCTTTCCTTGGGCTTTTCGAGTTCGCCTAAAAATCCGTCAAAATGGCCCATCTCTATGAGGCTGTAGAAAAGGGGACCGCCTACCTAATATCGTCCATTCGGGGGCATATTTGAAGCTCTGCAGAAATCCATCCATTTTACTGATATCAGAGCGGAAGTTTGCATCGGTTTCAATGAGTTCTTTGCCCATCTGAGCCCACTGAGCACCCTGGCCGCTAAATATCATCGTCACCTCGGGGGCACGGTTTGCTGCTTTGACTGATCCAGAAGTCTCAGCAAAGGTGCCATTGTCCAAGACTGCAAAGGCCCTGTGAGGGAGATTTTCTCGACGGATTGCCAGAGTATACGCGAGGTCTGCAGCGCAGTGCGGGTTTTCCTGTGCAAACTTCTGATATTGGTCGAGTTTTTTTGCCAGGGAAGGCTGTGTATTGGCCGAGAAGAGCAGCAGTTCCGGTTTGACCGTTTTCCTCTGGGTTTCCAATTGAACTGGGTCCCGAGAAAAAGAGTCAAGAATGACCTAGATTAGCTGGGTTAATTGGGAAAGGAAGGTTCTTTGGAAAAACAATTTTAGAAAGTGACCTACATGGGCATTCGCACCGCCAATTCCAAATGAGTTGATACTGATGCGATGCGCCCGATTTTCCGGGAAAGGCGTGGGAACCAGAGGAACCTTTAATTGCTTTTCAGCAAAAGGAACTATTAAAGCCAGTCAGTGAATCAGTTTCCTCTGCAATGTGGCAGGATAACTCTTACTTTTCGGATTTGGCAAAGAGAACTTGATGTTGGGGGGGATGGTGTTGTGTTCCAGTGCCAGCACTGCCTTGATCAGACTCGAAATGCCCGAAGAAGCTTCGGAATGGCCAACGTTTGGTTTGACTGAGCCAATATAGACACCCTTGTTGCCAAATACATTTCCGACTGCGGTGGTCTCAATGGGGTCACCAGTGGGAGTTCCGGTTCCGTGACACTGATATCTTCGTCGTTAACAATGGTGGCTTATTTAAGGGAGGGGGTCAGTAACATAAATACCTCGACGAATGCCGTCTCTGACGGATCCAGGCCCGCATCCTGATATACCTTTCGCATCAGAGATTCATGGGCCTTGCCATTGGGGCTCATCAAGCTTTGACTCTTGCCGTCACTGTTGGTGCCGGTGGCTCGAATCACAGCGCGGATGACGTTTCCGTCCCGTATGGCAGTCTCAAGCGGTTTGATATATATCGCCGAAATGGCCTCTGCACGGGCAAACCCATCAGCATGGGCATCAAACGTCTTGCACGACCCATCAGGGGAGAGAATGCCCTCAGCGGTCATGGCAGCCGTGGTTGTTGGGCCCATAATCAAGTTGGTGCCAGCAACGACGGCCCCGTTGGCATCACCACGTTGCAGCGCTCGACAGGCCTCGTGAAGGGCAACAAGGGAAGCAGAGCAACCAGTCTTGATAACCAGGCTAGGACCGCGGAGATCGTATTCATACGAGACTCGGTTGGCGATCATGAGGTCTCCATGGCCGGTCATGATGTATCCCCCGGAATGTTGCGACTCTTTGGCACTCATCTGCAGCCAATCCTCACCAAAGGTCCCTACGTAACAGCCAATGAGTTGGCCTCGATAATTGACCTCACCGGCGTCCTCCAGACATTCGCGAGTCACCTCGAGCAACTTGCGTTGTTGTGGATCGCACTTTTCGAGCTCATTCTTTGTCAATGAGAAAAAGGATGTGTCCAGGGTGGTCAGGTCGTCCTCGATAAAGTAACCATATCTGGTTTTGATTGCTTCCTTACCCCCGAGGGAGTCGTTGAATCCTTCCGTATTATATCTGGTAGAAGGAACTGGCCCACGTGCATCTCTACCGTTCACCAGCAGATCCCAAAATGCATCTGGTGATTTAATGCCTCCTGGAAGGCGCATTCCAATACCACAGATGGCAATCTGGTCTGTCATGCCACGGTGACTTTGGCCGTTGACCAGACCATTCGAGTGTCCATTGATCCCATTCCCGTTGGTCTCCTGGGGTTTGACTAGAAGCGGTACAGGCATGATCAGATGAAGAAGGATCCGGTGAGATCAAAAAGAAAAAATGATAAAAGAAGCAAGACAGTTCGTATAGAAGAAGTTGGTATAGAACTTTGGTAGTCTTCAATATCGAGGTATATATAGACACTAAATCTAGTTCAGCCATGTCTTTTGAGTAGCTTTGCTTGTCATTGAGCATCACGTACTAAAGCTCTCATGAAATCATCCATACGAATCCACCGAGTCCCTTGTGTGCATGACGCTTGCAATGCCATTGTCTCATCAGCTGAGTTGTATCAGCCATTCCACCTATTCAATAGAGAGAGCATCTATGTGGAGATGCTACATGAAACAGGTTTGTCAATGATGGCTGCATATTCTCACCATCCGGAGATCTATCTTCTACAGTTGATTGATTGATGGATGGATCTATGGATCCTTCAACACAAGACCGTTGGCAGGGAAGAGCATCGGGATCGCCGAAAGACGCCACGAAGCATCTGTGTTTTCTACTCATAAGATTAAATTTGTGGAAACATATGCACTACGACCAAAAACTACCACTCCATGTACTTCAAGGACCCGCACATGCATTATCCCATGTGTATTTGTGGCTGGCTGAGCTGATCTGATCGGAAACAATCTCTTATTATTATTATCAATTTGAGAGGGGCCAAGGAGATCCACTGAGTGAAGCAGGTGGTCTTATGGGCCAATCATAACATTCAATCTGCGATTTTGCAGAGATACATGGTGATGAATGCTTGCATTTACACCGTTTCTATATGCAGCAAGCAATCTCTTCATGTTAACACTTTTTCCATCACAACCTGGGAACTCAGCAGAGCGAAGTGGGACTGGCATTCCGGTCAACCGTCATATTACAATCAACTCCAATTAGGTCTGACGCGTCCGCCTTTCAGCCCGTACTTTTGCGTCTTCCAGGATTTTGATGATGCACAGTTTAGGAGGTTGGAAGGAGGGGAAAGAGGCACGTCATCCACGATCTCTTTTTTCCAAATCAACATCGCGAGACCGGACAAAGGCCATCCGTCCAATTCCGATATTATGTTCATCTGAATTGTGTGGTATTTTACTTGTATGTCTTATTGCCTGTAACCCTTTCCGATTGATGGCATACATAAGAGCCGTTACGGCTCTGGATCTATCTCGAATATCCCGAAAATCAATCATACCATCTCCTCTTCAATTGTTTACTTTGTATTATCCGACTATCTGAGTCAAGAGAATTTCTTGCAAAATATCACATCCACAATGTCTTCCAACAAACTCGTGGAACACAATGTTGCCGGCATCGACATGAGCGGCCTCTACCCCGCTCCTTTTCCAGACGATGTGCCCATTATCGAGTTGAAAACCATCTCGCTGGCTAAGCTTCTGGAAAAAGACCAGACAGAGACCCAGCGGATGTTTGAAATCTGTCAGGATCCAGGATTCTTCTATCTAGACTTGACGGACCATCCCGAAGGTCTGCAGATGCTACGAGATGTAGTAAGCTGTTGTCGACTCGGCCAGAGTATTTTCCCCAATAAGTCCATGGAGGAAAAGAAATCGTTCAAGACGAGAGAGCGGATTGGAGTTTTTGACATGGGGTGAGTCAGAAATGCTTCAACCAGAGACCAAAAAAACTTTGCCCCCTTTTTTTCATACGTAAGAGTCTGATCTTTTTAGCTACTTTACCAAAGATGTTTTACCGGATGGGGAACCTCGATACAGTGAGACTATTAATGTACAGTTTCTGGCTTACAACCAAAAAGATAAGGAATCAAGCTGATAGAATGTATAGATTCCGATGACGGAAATGTTTTCTCCACCAAGCGAGCACGAGAAGAATTTTCGACTTCCTCCCTGGCTGGCCCCGCACGTGGATCTGTTTCGTACGACAATGTCCCAAGGCAACAGACTAGCCAATGTAATATTCAGCGTACTGGAAGACGCTCTGCAGCTGAAGACAGGGACCATTACTTCTGCCCACCAGTTGGCAGACCCGTCGAGCGATTTCCTGCGGCTGTTACGCTACACGGGCGTCAAGCCAGGCAAGACGGTTGACCAACTCACCTTTCCCGCCCACAAGGATGCCATTAGTCTCGCCATTCTCTTCACCTGGCTGGGAGGCCTGCAGATCCCTGCGCCCGACGCCACCTGGATCGGCCCGGAAAAGGTGACCGAAGACAGCTGGAGATGGGTTAAGCCGATCCCGGGAACGGCAATTGTCAATCTGGGAGACGCAATCGAGATTCTAACGAACAAGGTGCTCAAGTCAGGTCTGCATCGGGTGGTTCGGGCGCCTGGCAAGCAGGCGCCGTTTGACAAATACAGTGTGCTGATTGGAACTCGGCCCAACAATCAGCTGCCAATGGTTCCATTCACAGACAGTCCGTTGATCCCTGAGCAGACTGAAGAGCAGAGGAATGCACCGGTGCTGACGAGTGAAGAGTGGGGAACAAGCAAGATCTTGGGGCTGGAGAGACTGCTCAAGAAGCGTGATGAGGACAAGGAGGTGTTGACTTTCAAGCATTGACCAATCCTGCCTACCTAGGCCCTAGTGATATTGATGGTTAGACTCTTGCACGGCCCGAGCAGCGGCCCGGTCCATAATCGGTAGACGGATTTTAGTGTTACTCTTAGTATACAATGGTAATATTCTTTGTTTAATATTGTGCTACACACTATAGACGTACCTAGTTGCAACGGCAATAGACATAAACAGTCTATACCAGGTCTAATGCCCAGGGACTCTAATTTAACATTTACAGGTACATACTCCGAAGAATGAGACTCCGTAAAAAGCACTTTATTTTGGGCAAACAAATTTTACACGTGGTCAGAGATAAGGAATTCTAGAGTGAATTATTCTATACTATGTGTCACACTACAAGACTTTTTTTTTTTCTTTTTTTTTTTTTCTTTTTTCCAAGCACAAGCCATACGGAGAAGGCCGACATCATATCATGCCTCGTCCGCTTCGTTCATTTGTCTCGGCTTCTGTATCCTTTTGATAGAAAAGATAACCAATTGACCGACTATAGATTATATTAATAACTTAATGAACAATAATCTTATGTCTGTCTAGCTCTATTACTCGCTCGGAGAAATTAATATTAGAGTGGTTGGAAACAGCTTATTTCTGCCGCCCCACTAGTCATACACTTTTTATTCCCTGCACTGCTAGTGGCTAGTAGTTACGGGAAGGGAGCGAGTATAACGCTGCCACGGCACACCTTCTCTTTTAAGCCTCATGCGATCCCAGCAAATTCGGAAATTAAATAATCAGCTAACTAGTTGGCGCTCTGTTCCAGGAATATCCCCGAATGAAAAACTGAGCCCTGGTCAACTCCTGGAAGCTTGGATGGGTCTTCGAAAGTATAGAGCGGAAAAAATTACATCCGAGCTGAGATCATCTACTCCCCATCTCGCGAGTTACATACAGAAACCGTCCATCTTCCAATAAAATTTGCCATAGCTACCCAAGATATCTATATGCCCAACAGACTAGGTATGCACAAGGCACTAAACCAAAGGGTGATTAAATCGAAAAACATTTTCGGGATCCCAAAGCTGCTTGAGGCTGCGCAATTTCGGAAGTTTGTGCGCGCCGTAAAGAACGTCTGGCGATTCGTCTCCATGGCCGTAGTTGACGTAAATCTGCTGGGGAGAGAAGCCGCTGCTAGCCTGGAGAGAAGCGCGAGCACTCACGGCAAATTCATTGACGGTATCTTCCAGCGATCCGGCGGGGTAGCCGAAATTCCACAGCCTGGTTGATTTGTTAGTCAAGGATCCTCTGTCAATTCATGGTGGAGGTAGTTGGGAAGGCGGGAAATACAGGTGGGCCGTGATATCCCGGTAAGGATAAGCAGTGGAGCCGGCAGAGAAGGACATTGTCTTGTTTCGGGAAAACTGCTCAATGAAAAACACGCTGCTCTGAGCATCTGGGTACTTTGAGTAGAATCCCTGCATGTCATGGAAAAAGGAATCAAAGCTGGAAATATTGTAGGATTGAACACTTCCGCCGTACACGTTCCGATACAATCCCTTGACGCAGGCAGCCATGCTCGGCTCGGCGGCAAAGAAACCCGCGTATGTCAGGTCCTTCCAGGGAACAACGGAGATGTTTTGGCGGAGTGGGGCGATTTTGTCAAGCAGTGGATTCAGCAGCTGGACCAGCTCCTCTTTTGGCCCCGGATAGGCCGCGTTCAGTGTAAAAGTCAGTCCGCCATACTCGGCCACATAGCTGACGAGAGCAATGAGAGACAACTTCTCGGGCATTTCCGTCTCCAAGGATTTCAGATACGACATGATGGCGGTACTTGCGTTGAGTGGAAAGTTGAAGTCGGCGTTAGCAACCAACTGGGACGTTAGATCCGTGACTCGGTAGGTGGCTTCGATGACGATCCCGTAGTTGAAGCCAGCCCCACGAACAGCCCAGAAGAGGTCGGAGTTTTCCATTGTCGATGCTGTTACAACCTCACCTGCTGCCGTTATCAGCCGGACGCTGATCAGTGCATCTAAGATCATCCCATGAATTCCGTTATATCGACCGACACCACCGCCCAGGGTGGCTCCCAACATGCCCACGCATGAGGAGGTACCGGTAGCTAATTGGCAGAAATGAAGTAGTCAGCATGACAAGGGAAACAAATAAAGGGAGCAAAGAACGTACTAATTTCCTTTCCAGCATTGTAGAGAGGCTCATACACGTCCCCAAACCGGACTCCTGCACCAATGGTCATGGTATTGGCATCTGCATCCACAGATACAGTCCGGAACTGACTGAGGTCAAGCAGGATTCCATTGTGAAGGGCACCATAAGAGGTTGTAAAGCCATGAGCTCCACCAGTCGCAAGAAACGGAATCCTATGCAGAGCAGCGAACACGACCTATGGAATTGGAACGTCTCAGAATAAGGGTCCCCACAATCACTTATTGGCTCCGATCAACCTACCAGATTCTGAACGTCCACCTCCGTGGCAGGCCTCACCCCTACAACATATGTAGGAGCATCATGGGTTGTCCACCGTTGGGTCTCATTAGGGTCAAAGATCTCAGTCGCAGGCGAGAGATTGAGGTGTAGAGATGACAAGACAGAGGAAAGATTGGCGGAAGGGACCAAGGCTGAAACGATATGCAGATGCAACGCACAACCAAGGACCAGCAACCAGGACGTGAAAGAATGCATTTCTGGTGATGAGTGATATAGACGACCCTTTCAACTGGGTGTTAACAGCAGTGAACCATGTCTTTATATCATGGATTCATGGGTTAATAGAGCTGCAAACTCCTGCATCTTGATCCCTTTTACTCGTACGCATATATTTTGCTATCCGCAAAGTCATGAGTAGCGGGCCATGTTCAGCTGAATCCGCTTCACTTGGAGAAGCATCAATTCGATATCCACAGAGTCAAGCGTAATGGACCATGTCCAGCTGAATCCTAATTCCTTTAGTTGTACAAGCATCCTTTGCTATCCACAAAGTCAAGTATCACAAGGTGACAAGGTCAAGGGTGGTGGACCATGTCCAGCTGAAGATTGTTTCTTTTACGTATACATACATACTTTATTATCTCCAGCGTCAAGAGTGGCTTACCATAGCCAACTGAATATTGACATATCCATGTCTTTTGAATATGGTAAATTGATAATAGATCGTTTGGCATACAGGGATGATATTGGCTTAGTAATCCACGAACTTGCTATGGATTTGATTCCATTTTCTTTGCTTCCTCTGCACGGCACATTTGCTTGTCTCCACCTTTCTCTGCCTGTTGCTTCCTGGCTTAACTCCACCAAACAGTAAACTCCGTCATGTCTCTTTCATCCTCTCCTCTCCTCTCCGTAGCTGATTTTTAAGAGAGACAATCCTCAATGCAATGACACATCCGATGCCCCTTCCGTACCTTTTTTTTTTCTTTTCCTCTTTCTCTCTCTCTAACTGTCCAAGCTATTTGAACACTTGCCAAATATTCTTGTTCAATCATGTCTGAAAAAGTAATCCTCTGTACTGGTGCCAACCAGGGCTTGGGTTTTGCCATCCTCCAGGTTGCTGGGCTGCGCCACCCAACAAACACCTATATCCTTTGCAGCCGTGATCTGAATGCTGGTCAACAGGCGGTCCAGAAACTCAAAGACCTGGGCGTGACTGCCAAGATTGATTTGGTCCAGCTGGACGTCACCAATAACCAGCAGATTACCGCCGCGGTCAACCATGTTACCAAGACCTATGGAAGACTAGATGGTATGCCTGCTTCTCATTACATACTTTATTCCAACGCTATTGCCACCCACTACCATTAATCACTACCTCATGCTTCACGATAATAAAAACAACAATATTATAAACGATAACAATAAATTACTAACACTTGCTAAACAGTCTTGATCAACAACGCCGGTATCATCCGTCTTCCATCCAAAGACGACCTCTCAGCGGCTCGAAACGCCTACAATGAAATTCTGAATGTCAACATCACTTCTGTTGCCCTCGTCACCACTGCCTTCACTCCTCTTCTCTACCAGTCTTCCGCCCCCAAGGTCATCAACATCTCCTCCGGCCTGGGCAGCATCCAGAACTCTCTGACCAAGAAAATGGGCCGCTCCCCGCCGTACGGTGCCAGCAAGATCGGCATGAACGGCCTCACGGTGCACATGCAGGTTGCCGAGAACGACCGCGTGGAAGCTGACGCCGATAAATCGGGTGGCAAGCCGCGTATTCAATTCTACGTCTGCGCGCCTGGCCCGCTCAAGACGGCATTCACAAACTACTGGCCAAATGGCAGGTCTCCCGAGGAGGGAGCAGAGGTGGCCGTGCACCTGCTTGCCGACGATACCGACAAGTATGAAGGGGGGTCGTACTGGGAGTTTGCAGATGGCGAGATGAAAATTGTTCCCTGGTAGATATATCTTCACAGAAACTACTTTTGCAGGGTCAGGAACGAAGAGGCAGGGCACACCAAATATTCAGATATTTTTACTGTCATATACACCGTAGGCAGCAGGCTCGAATTCGCAATTTCACCCAAAAAGCCAATTAAATTAGCAAGCAAAAATAAAAAAAGCAATTTACCAAAATTTGGTCGGACCGGATTTGGTGAAGTAATATATTCTTTGACTTTTAACTTGGCCCTTGAGTATTACCCCCCAAATTCTATTTCTTGTAAAAAATTGTACCCGATTTTCAAATTACACGCTATTTACTGTAGTGGTATACCCTCTATTTCTAAAAGATTTATTACTACTAACTACTATATACCATCTTGATTTTTGACCCTAACAACTTTTTTCTAATTACTGAGATATATCTATGGACCATGGTCCTTGGAAATACATGTAATTACAGTGAGTCTGCGACACACCCCTGTAAATAAAGTAAATAATGTTCTTGAAAGTCGACCCATTATCCTAGAGTGTGTCCTGACTCCTAGGAGATCGTAGTAACGTACTGTCAAAGAGAGTGCCCTGGCCTCTGGTGCTTAGGCTTGCTACTTTAGCAGAGGCATTGTAGGTGTTGTGGCCCTGCGGGAGCATGTAGCAGTAGTAATAGTACAATTGAAGGACTATCATACAGTATGTAATTTGGTGAACCATGAACCATGAACCGTGAACCATGAACCATGAACCATGATAGAGTTATAGACTGTCACTCTATATATATCCCGGATTCCTGCATCCTCTTTCTCGAAATTAAGTAGACCATAGTCCCAATGATATAACTGTAGCCTGTAGCGGACCGTACACCACAGTAACTGCCGCCTGTAGGAGAGCGTAATTCTATGGGTATATCTGATATTCTGAGAATAATTACACAAAAGATTTCAGGGTATATAGTATTATGGGGCAACACAAATAAATAGTACTGTAGTAATTTATTGTATAGCAGGTAAGTTGTAAGTTGTAACATATACCACAATAAATAGCACATGTATATATATATATATATATATTGGGTACATTGTACATTTTTGTAAAGTTTTTGGATTTGGGGGGTATACTCGTGTAAAAAGTCATATTATTCTTTTTTGTATCCTTCGCCTGCTCCCCTCCTTGTCAACTACCTTAGGTACGTACAGCTGAATGTGAAACAGTATAATTGTATAGCACATTCGATACCTTACACGATCGATTAAACACATGATACATCCCACACCCCATCAACACATTCCCGGACCAAATGCTGTTCTGAAACTTTTTTGAATTGAATGCATCTATTATGCCGCCCAATCTAAATATGCGCTACTCGATAAAGGAGCAGGGAATTTCTAACGCTAGATTATATGCGGAATGCGGTTTCGAAAAAGAAAGGGACATTGCCTCCTGCGTGAAACCAAGAACAGGGGTGTAAAAAAAGTAAAAAAAATAAAAGAGAAGAAAAAGAAAAATCCGAAGACGCGCCTATCATATTACATGCTGCACGAATACAGCAAGAGGAAAAATTATGCAGAAAAAAAAAGAAAAATGAAAGAAGATAATAAGAAAAAAAAAAAAAAAAAAAAAAAAAAAAAACTCCAATCCACCACTTCATTCCTCCTTCTTCTTGCCCCGGGACTTCTTGGGCACACGGGCAAGCCAGTAGAGGAAGAGGGCGGCGGCAATGTTGAAGATAACATAGACCCACATGAGGCCAAAGTTCCTCCAACGATCGCTAAAGTCGGAGCTGACCTGCTTCAAGAAAATGTTTGTTTCGGAAACCTGGCAGAAATTGCAGCCGCTCGTCGCGTCTGGGTTCGTCAGATATCCGCCAAAACCGCGAATGTAATCTTTCATGTACTGGCCACAACTTTGACCCGAAAGGGGTTCAAAGTGAACCAGTTCAATGTCTGAGCACACGACTTTCGTGTTGCCCACACCAGTTGATAAAATGCCGCTCACCATATAGGTAAACGGGGAGACGCGATACATGAAGATCCAGAAACCAGGAAGAACTGTTGGACCAGCAAGAACACTGTTTGCACAAAACGTTAGCTTGATATATCTAATGACAGAAAAAAATTCCACATTCGGGGAAACGTACCCGCAAAAGATCAAAGTCAATGAGAATAGAAGCTGAGCGACATTTCCTGCGGTTTCGGCAAGCTCAATACCAGCGACAATCATGTGTGTAAAAGTCGAGGTAAACAAGAGGAACACCCAGATGTAGAGGAACATCAGAGCCCCGCGTTCGTGGACGGCATGCGTAGGGATTGCGTTGCGATACATGCCAATCGGATAATACCAACAGAAGAACATGATAACAGCCATGAGAGTTTGCCAGGGCAACTCAACAAGAATATTGGAGAGCATAAAGGCTTTCCATGAATAGCACTTGGCTGGCCGTTCACGAGCTTCATAAAGCGCGCGCTGAGTGACAAAATGTGGCATGATCTGCTGAACCAGATTACCGAAAATGGTCATCAACATGAAAATGGCGAACATTTGGTTTTGCAATCCTTGCATGCTGTTTGGGGCATTGAAGAATGAGAAACCAATAAAAAGAGCCTATATCGAACAGAAAAGTCAGAAAGACGCCCATTCACAGTCAAACACCTTGCATCTGGCCAAGAGACTTACGGTGAAAATACATAGAGCGAGCTTCGAGTAAATGTAGTTGGGAGTCCTCCAGTACTGAGAAAACACACGTTTACTGCATTCCATGAATTGCTCCGAGAAAGGAGCAGCAAACTCCCGATAGCTGAGCTTGTCAGACGTCGAAAAAACAGGCGAAGCAGTCTTTGGGAGCTCTTCCTTCATCTCAGCAAGTTGGCGCTTAACATCAGCATGCTCTGGGCTCTCGTTCCAGACCACGGGCCAATCAACATCGCTGTGTGAACCCGGTGCTGCGCCGATAACTTCCAACATCCATTCAGCAGGGTTTGCCGTAGGCGGGCAGGGCGAGGCGCCATTTTTCTCGAAATAGTTTGTCAGGGTAGACGAGTTCTTGCCAATTTCACCAAAGTAGACAGTCCTTCCTCCTTTGGCGAGGAACAAGAGACGATCAAATCGCTGAAACAGCATGGCCGAAGGTTGGTGGATGGTACACAAAATAGCTTGACCGTGTTTGGTAAGCTTCTCCATGAGATCACAAATAGACCATGATGTTTGACTGTCCAGACCCGAAGTAGGTTCATCCAGAAAGAGGAGGAGCTGAGGCTTGGCAACCAGTTCGACGGCAATCGTAAGACGCTTGCGTTGTTCGACATTGAGACCTAGAAGTAAGGGAAGTAATGAGTATGGGCACCGGTGCAATCAGGAGTTTCGCAGAAATCGGGTTTACATACCTTCACCTGGCACACCAACGACGGCATCGGCATATTCTTCCATCTCCAGAAGTTTAATGACCTCAGTGACATATGCCAGTTTTTCAGCTCGTGGCGTACTAGCGGGCTGGCGGAGAAGTGCGCTGAAATTAAGAGCCTCTCTAACGGTGCTTGTGGCAAGGTGTAGATCTTGCTGTTGAACATAACCAGTTTTACGTTGGAAGGATGCATCGCGATGTTGACCATCTACTAGCATCTCACCCGAAACAACTCCCATGGTTACACGCGTAGCGAGTACGTCTAGAAGCGTTGTTTTGCCGGCGCCCGAAACACCCTGATTGTATTACATTTTAGCGATAGATTGTTAAAAATGACCATTCGAGGAGCTCTCACCATCAAAGCGGTCAGTGTTCCAGGTTTGACCCATCCATCCACATTATCCAAGATTCTTCGAGGTTGGCCCTTGATCTTGATGTCGTAGCACACATCTGACCAGTGGAAAACGGCAGTTTGTTTCTGGATCGTGGCAACGGCGTCTTCTGAGCCATGTCCGCCTTTTTCAACTGCTGCGCCAGGAGAGGTTGCCACATGCTCCGCCGATTCTTCATCATCGACAGACCGTTTCTTCGTGACTGCCGATTTGTGGCCCCGTCGGAACAGAAGAACTTCACCCTTTGATTTCTGAGCAGCGACGTACTCGGTTGCGAAAAGATAGACGCCACAGAAGAACACCATGAAGGCAAAGAGAATGCCAAGATTCCTATAGAGAATTTTGAGCGACAGGTTCAAGTCTTGTAATGCCCGGGGAAAAAAAAAAAAAAAAAAAAAAAAAACTTACCTCCAGAGATTCTTCCTGTAATACTTAAAGCTGGTATTGATATAGGCGTCGCCTTCCACGAACCCTTGACCAGGAACAGATCCAGTCGTAGAGCAAACATGATTCAAAGCCCCGACATGGTCATAAGGACCCATTGACGGGATAAATTGGGCACAGGGGAAGCGCCGATGGTGGAATTCATTGACCATTAAGCTTTCAAAGGCGTATGCGATAGGATCGAGATAATTGATCCATCGCGACCATCCAAGCATGTCGCGAGTTGGAATCGTAAAGCCAGTGAAGATGATCAGTGCGAGAATTAGAAGTGCCGCCGGCGCCATGGCTTGCGCAAGCGTTTTCGATAGAGAGCCAATAGTCCGGAAAAGCATGGACATTGTAAGCGTAACAACAAAGTTGAAGAGGAAGAAGATGAAGAAAGCGCTCGGTGTTCGACGTAGGTTTGTCAGGAAATAGAGCGTCAGGTTGAACACAATGGCCGTGATGATTTTATTTGGCAAATCACAAAGCATTGACGAAATAGCCTCGGCAAATGGGTGGTAAAGCGCATATCGTGCATGTTTTTCGACAATTGGACGTTGTGCATATAATGTCAAGATCTGCAAGAACAGGAAATCAGCATTGATGCGTATTATTTGTCAAGGATGGCATGGGCACTGTTACCTCCAAAAAGCTTGCAAATGCATTCATGAGAATGGCGAAGAAGAGCAAGGCTCCTCTGTAATAGAAGCTGCCTGTGTCATCGTGGAGGTTGTAGAACACACTACCAATGACCAAGGCCATGATACAATTACCGATGGCAGAGGTCAAGGTTAGACTCATATCACCCCGAAGACGTTGGAAGCCACGGTCCATGCAAAGGGCTACCTGCTGGGGTACCGAAAGAGTGTATGGAGATTTGATTGACCTAAATCCATCCATGAGCAAATCGCCCACCGAGATGATGCACATGTGAGAGTGACGGATACTTACTGGTGCTTGGCTTGTTGCGCTCGTCTCGACGCAACAAATTGTTCATAGTGCTCGCCGCCAATCGGAAATCTGCGTTCGTACTCTTCAATATCTCGCAGGAGTTGCGCCCGCTCCGGACTGTTTTGCCAGGCAGCGGCAAATTCGTCAGGAGTTCTAGGCACCCTATTCTCGTATCCCGGCCTAACAATGCGCTCAGCCGGGCTGGTCAACGATGTCAAGAAATCGGCCGTTGTTTGTCGGTCTGGGCATTCGAATCCCATATTTGTGAAGAACTCCTTGGCTTCAGTCGTATGGCCAAAATAGATCTGACGGCCTTCATAGAGCACAATAACCTTGTCGAAAATCTATTTCAACTGTTCAGCATATCTGGAGCAATCCAACAAGTTGAGAGGCAATGACTTACATCGTAGGCGGATTGAGGAGCCTGGTAGATTGCCACACATGCCGTGGTACCAGCGAGCTCCGTGGATAGACGGAGAGTTTTACAAAACTCAATCGCGTTGGCACTATCCAAGCCACGGGTGCTGTTATCCCAGCACTGCATTGGACTGCCGCTCAGCGCAGCTTCCGAGATACTCACACGTTTTCGCTCTCCACCACTGACACCGCGAATGAAGTCATTTCCAACACGCGTGTTGACAGTGTGTGTGAGACCAAACATGGCCATCATGACGTCTTTCATGTGCTCGGAGTATTCGCGCTGGGAAAGACCCTCAACACTATGACGAGGGGCGCGGGCGCGAGCGGCAAAGGATAGGGTTTGACCAACGGTCAATTGAGGAAAATGCACATCGGTTTCAGCGGTATAGATGGCCTCGCCTCGAAACTGCCCATGCATCTGTTTTGCGGAGATACCTGATTTTTGTCAGCGGGGTCCCTTCTTTTTCTTTTAACCAACAAGACTTGCCCTGATAATTTATATAAGATTCTGAGTCGATCTGGAAACCGTACGTCTCTCCAGAAATGGTCTTCAATAAAGTTGAGCATCCACTGCACGCAAGAAAGATTGTTAGTAAAAAAAAGTTCGGATGCTCAAAGAGGTGTAAGATGGGGCCTCTAGCATACCTTCCCGGTCGACCCAGGACAACGAGCATCTCGCCACTGTCCAACAGCCCCTCAAAGTTTCTCAAAATCTGAATCTTCCGCTTTCCGATTCCGAGCAAATTCTTTGCAATTCCAACGGCTCCGAGAATGACATTGCCCACATCTTTTTGGTAGTCGGTGGGCGTGCCAAAGCCGTAGACGCCCAAGTTTCGAAAAGCAATACCGGCCGTCCGCTGGGGGAACTTTTCAGGGTCGCGAGAAAAGATCTGGAAGAGGGCACGATACCAAGCTTTGGGATTGAAATCCTCGGAACTTGGGTCTAGTTGCGGATCTCGGTTTCCGTGAAACAGATCGACTGGTCCTGCGGTCGAGCCGGTCGTCAGTTGCCGGGCCAGGCTCTGGATTCGGCTGGCACGCTCCTCTTCTTGGGCCTTCTCATCTATTTCGTCGGGACTCGACTCGCTGGAGTATGACGGCTCTCGTCCAATCTCGCCGCCATGTTGTAGGCGAGAAGCGGCTTGGGCGGTTGCCCTGGAGGGGTCATCCCCCTCCATGTTCACATTCCCTACTAAAGACATGTGGTTTGTGCCATGCAACTAATGGCGAGCTGAAGGAATCAATGAAAGGATTAAAAACGGTTAAATGCGGTAGTTGAAGCTGATTAAGGTTTTCGAATGTAGCGGGCGTGCACTGGTCTATTCGGACTGAGATGAGGTAGATGAATCGATCGCGAGGGTCGAGATATGCCTGGCAGAGTAATGTAGCGAGGCAAAGGAAGATCTTTTGAAGGAAAGGATCAAGACGGTTGTCAAATGAATCTAGAATGAAAGACAGGAAAGAAGATGGGTTGAAGAAAAAAGAAAGATGCACAAGGGCAACAAGGTCTCTACAAGGAAACAGTGGCTAAAGGGTATTTGGGCGGGTATATGTATCATCAAAAGATGAATTTCAGATGCCTTATGGGAAAATACGTAGACATTATTATTACGAGTATTGTTGACGGAACGGAAGACTGGAAAGGTCCAAGCCGAAAAAGGGTCCCCGGGAAGGATGTGAGATTCTGTTCCACCGATCGCGTAAGGCCGGGGCGGAATCTTTTTCTGATAACTTAGCGAATGGGGGGGGGGGAAGTCAAACCTTGGGTCCATCTTTCGCCCGCGATTCGTCCGTCCGGAGGGATTGGTCCTTGGCGGACGGTCTCTGTGTCAAAGCATTGTCATCCAAATTAGTTACAAACCCTTACTACGGTAAGGTTACTCTTCGTAGTGCCCGCTTAGGAGTCACTCCTCTCAGCACCAGGGCGTTTTCTAGCAATAAGCACCTTCGCACCTTAGGCAGCTCTGAAGAAGCGGACTGCTGCCAAGTCACAGCACGAATTGATTGGGGAATCCCGGATGAGGGGGCATCCGTGCTCTCTACTACTCCGTAATGACCTTGGGGATTTGCGATCCATGTCCCTTTTGGGAAACAAAATTCCCCAGAGCTGATCAGGAGCAACGTGTGAAAGAGTCAGCATGGCGGATGAGTGGCTTAGCGAACGTTAGTTTACGGAACCTCTTTCCTCCGGATCGCTTCTGAAGAAAAAGCCTTCAGATGAAACGGCCAGAGTACGGAAAAGCTCTGTACGACCTCGTACGGTACCAACATTGCTTGACTGTGCCTCGCTTTCCTCAACTTCCCCTATCAAAGTAATGAATCAAACAGGGGTTCCCATTTCGCTTCCTGACTCACTCTTCACTTGTCGGAATCCCCTTTTGAAGGAATCCCGGATAGCCGGATACTCGACTTCCCGAGAGCCTAACCTCAATTAGGAAGGTTATCTTAGGCCCCCCATAACGTACTGTGGGGGGGGCATGCATGACTAAGGATGGAATTGCTTTTGTTTAACGCTTGCTCTTGCTTCTATCGCTACCACAGTTGCTATTGCAAAAGGATAATGGATAATGGCTTAACCATAATCCATGATTAGCTTATATCTATGCTCCATAAAAAGCTGGGATATTCCCACTTTTTGGGAGACCTGAGAGATTTTTATGAAAAAAACTAGCATCTCCCCATTCTACCATTTACATATCATTGAAGATTCTCCTGTGTTCAGATATATGATAGTGTGACCCATTCTACCAATAGCCCAACTACCCACTGATCAGTTATCCTGCATCTTGAAGCTGAAGGCAGGGTGGTAGCTTAGTGTGTAGAACAGCCTCTCTATTGGGCATTTGATACAGGGATTTTCAACCTTTGTCATTGTTTGATTTGTTTACTCATTTTTTTCCCCTAATTACATTATGATCTTTCACAGCTCTGTTTAGAGCCCATCAACATATGTCTGCTGCAATACTTAGATGGAGGGTGTGTTGCCTGAATCTCCTTTACCAGAATTGCCTTGATTGCCATCACCTTGACAACTATACAAACTCCAAATACTGATTACCACCTTACAATCTACCCCTCAGCTAAGTCCTACAAGGACTAGCAATAGACCACTATCAATGGGCCTTGAATTTTTGCAATTCAGGGACTCTTGTTCTGAATCAACCAATACTACATTGTTAATTGACAATACAACTTTACTGTCCACCAAGATGGAATTGCAAATGTGCATTTCAAAGTTCATAGGAGCTCAAAATGAGTTGGAAGATACAGTGGAGTACTTGGAAGAAATACAGTTGGCTGTCCAATTGTCAGGCATCCCTGAGAACCACCAAGATGAATATTCAAGAATCCTCTTTCAACAGAACCTACATGGGGATGCATTAAAGTGGTTCTGAACCTTGGAGGAGGATATGAAGAAGGATTAGAAGACTTTGGTTGAGTACTTCCATGAGGACTTTAAACCAAAGACAAACTAATTTCAACTTCATACCCAAATCATGAACCTGCAGCAGGGAACTATGGTTATTCAGGAATACCTGGAACTGGCAGCCTTGTTAGCCAGATACACAGATGCAGAGACCATGCATATGCTCACTCACCAGATGGTGGCAGGGCTTTGTGATGAAGCTAAACAGACCTTGGTCTCCTTATGACTACTAGATAATGGTGTTTTCACCTATCAGCAAGCCAAGGAAGCAATTATCCAAGTCTATACTCCTATCAGAAAGCCTGATCCATTTGGCTTCACCCCTTCAGATAGGGGAGGACATGTTAATCAACTCAATGTAAACAAAGGAATGCTAGATCTTATACAGAGCATAGCAAAGATGGTTATCAACCCAAAGCCATCATCTACTCCTGCCAGCCCTACCATTATAACCATGGCCCCAGTCTTGACTAGCCAACCACCCATGGCCATTGTCCAACAACCACAGACACAGCCCTGGCATACCTGCTACAATTGTATGGGCAAGGGGCATACTAGTCAAATTTGCACCAAACTACTTGTTTCTGAAGAACAGTGCAAAGTAAATCAGGATGAGGTTAATCAACAATGAGAAGTAAGTCAACACAGACAAGAGGCAGCAGCAGTAGCAGCTGCAGCAGCCACTATTGTTACTACACCTCCTAATCAACATGACCAATCAAATATTGATGAAGTATATCCAGCTCAATGTAGAATTTTAGAAGTACAACTGGCTATGCCTGTTACATGTACCACAGGAAGAAACCAAGCATGCCAAGCACCATATCCACCACCAGCTGTAACCAGGCAAGAGTCAGCTCCCATGCAGACTGAACCAACTAACCAGGGGGACACATCAAATCAGCCACCTCAAACCCAAGTGAGAAACACTTGACAGAATGGTCAGAACACAGCCAGCCCCAGAGTTGAGCAATGGCTCAATTATAATAACATGCCCATGCCTATCCAGCTGTTTGCCAGGGGGGAGAATTGATTAACTATGGCAAATCTTTTCCACCAGATACAGGTAACTATTTCACTAGCTCAACTTCTAGATCTGGCTCTACCTGCCAGAAGGGAAACCACTTATCTACTACAATCTAGTCTTATCAGAAAACACCAGTAGCAACCCTGGGTTGTTCATGCAAATGTAGTTACCAGGGGGCCTCCAGCAGTCATTACCAAGGTCTTAGACCAGTATGACATTGCTGAAGTCCTATACATAGATAGCTGGGTGGGTGATAAGCCAGTACCAAAAATGCTTGTCAATGGAGGTGCTGTCATCAAACTTATCAGTGACAAGTTAGTCAAAGAGCACAACTTCAAGGTTTATACAGAAGATACCTGGCTGGCAATCAGGACCACTATGGATGATGTTCATCCACTGAAGAAATATGTATGGCTGCCAATCAATGTAGGGGGGGTCAAAGCAATGGTCCAAGCTTATGTAGTACCAGGAGGGACAGGATATGACCTACTGTTAAGCAGAATGTAGATACAATGTGTTCAAGGATTGGACAACCTGACACAAGATGCCATCTCTATCCAAGGGGATGATGGGATCAGGCATGAAATACCCACTTCCCAGGCTGCTACCATTACACTAGAAGTTATAGTAACAGAACCACTGATTAACCCAGATATTATTCAGTGGACCAACAACAACAAACTCACCAACAAAGAAGTCAGGCAACTCTTGGACAAACTTGATGACTATGATTATCAACATGACAACCAGGGAAAAGAGCAACACTAGTCAGTCAACAGGCACCTGACTGGCATTATACCATGCCTGAATCCTTACCCAAAGACAATCCAGCACCAAGTCTGGACTTCAACAATTTAGCAATAATCAAGCCACTCTACCAAATGGCAGCCTTTTCCTCTACCCCTGTTCATTCTAAGATATACAAAGTTTTCACTGCTCAAGAAATCTCTCATTCCTTAAACAATTTCACCTCACATACACAACAGTTAAAACAACAACCAACACCTATCACCATGCACAAGGCTGGACAAACATTTCTAGTTGACCAACAACCAGAGAAACAAGTATTATCCTACACTCCCATGGACAAAATACTAGTATGGTTCAACAATAGTGGCATTACATTAGGAAAGGGTGCAGACACACTTGAACAACAAGACAAAGTAAAACACCTACTATACACCTATCAAGATGTGTTTGCAACCTCTCTCAAAGACATGAGAGCCACCAATCTTATTGAACATTCAATTGATCTGAAACCAGATGCAAAACCAATATACACCAAACAGGGACAATACAATGACAAAGAACAGGCCTTCATGGCCACAGTCTTCCCCAAAATGGAGGAAGCTGGGATCATTGTTCAAGGTGCAAGCAAATGGGGGGCATGGACCCTTTTCCCACCTAAAAAGAAAGGGTCAGACCAACTATGAATAGTCCATAACTATAAGCCAATCAACACATCCACCATCAAACCATGTTACCCAATGCACAATTTGGAAGAGGTAGTAGTGACCATAATCAAACCACAATACACCCTCTTCTTTTGTGCAGATGCAGCCAACAGCTATTGGGCTGTACCTCTCCAAGAAGGGGACAAGCACAAAAGCACAGTGGTCACCCCCAACAGACAGTGGTTATACCATCAGATGGGACAAGGACTAGTGGGGGCCCCACATACCTACTCCCAGTTCTCAGACCTAGTATTTGGACTGCTACCATTAACAGAAAGTACTCCTACAATGGAGTCTATCATTGGGGAGCATAGACAATGGGCTTTCACTCCATTCATGGACAACCATTTAGCTGGGGCTACTGATTTTAACTCACTTTATGATCTTCTTAGTAACCACTACCTCCCTCAAGTAGCCTTTGGGCCAGTGTACCTTTCACCACAGAAGGTTTACCTCTTCATCAATACATTGGACATGATAGGGTTCACTGGAGTGCCTGACTCAATTTGCCCATCCATAAAGCATCAGAATCAAATACTTTACTGGCCAACACCCTCTACATGGGCACAGTTGGATGCTTTTATCTGGATAACCCCTTTTCTCAGATGGTTTATCCCTGGGAGAGCAGGGCATGTAATGACTCTAAAAGAAGCATATTAGCAACAAGAACCCATTCAAACCACTAAGGGTTGAAAATCAGTTCAAACTAAAATGAAAGATACTAGGGAATTCAACTGGACAGATCAGCAGCAGAAATTGTTCAATCATATCAAACAAAGCATAGCTACAAATGCTATGAAACCTATCAACATGCAGAAACAATTCCATATCTCAGTTGATGCTTCCCAATGGGCAATAGGCAGATGTTTATTCCAGTTGGAGGAATATCTACCTGGAACAGTAGTTGACAATACACATAAATGAAATATGAGATTCACCATGTTTATGTCATTTCAACTCTCAGATACCAAAACACAATACCATACTACTGAGCAGGAAGCATTAGCTATCATACAATGCCTGGCCAAGGTTAGATGGATTATTATGGGAAGTCAGTATCCTACAATCATCTATACAGACCATGATGCCTTGAAAGCAGTATTATCCAAGGGGTCAGGAGATGACCATGGGCATATATCCAGATGGCAGGATCAGTTATCAGAATACAACATTTTGTCAATACATCAGCTAGGAAAATCCCATGTAATGGGCATAGCCAATGGATTGAGCCATTTACCTACAAGTGACACTACTATCCACCATGCTGAGGACACCAAACAGTTAGCTATAATGGTCCAGCAAATCAGAATGATTGTGCCTGTTATTCCTGATCATATTGCCTCAACAATAGACAAGTAGTTATTGCCTATTATCCAATTGCCTGAATATGGTGATGTGATAATGTATCTACTCAAGGGTATCATGGGACTACAGCAACTCAACAAAACCATAGCCAAAATTTAAGGCATCAAACATCAATTGTGATGATTCTAGTTAAATCATACTACACTCCTCTACAAAGAAGCAGATGGAAAGTTGGCAAAATGTATATTGACCAATGAACAACCAGGAATTCTCCAACATTTACATGACAATCATGGCCACTTCTTGGACACTATCACTATGGAAAGGGCCCAAGGCCAGTTTTACTGGCCTACAAGGGTACAGGATATACAAGCTTATTGTCAAACATGTCATGCATGCCAGTTGGCCAATCCTCAACAGCAACCAAGTACAACACTACAACCAATAGTACATTACCAGCCAATGGAGATGATAGAAATTGATTACTTAGGGCCCATAACACCTCCATGCAGTCTAACCAGGGCACAATATATCATAATCACTGTCAACTATTTCACAAGATTTGTCTGGGTAGCTTCATGCCAGACCACTACCATGGATACCACCATGCAATTCATCATGATGATTGCATAGGTGTTTGGATGGCCTATTGTCATATATTCAGACAATGGAACCCATTTCTGTGGCTTGGAAATCCAAGACTTCTGGAGGTTAAAGAACATAATACACATCACAGCCCCTGTTAGCCATCCATCATCAGTTGGGCTTATCAAGAGGATGGTACAGCTGGTGGTTAGCCAATTGAGGATAAGGACAATTCAAACTAGGAATGCTGCCTGGTCAACCTTCATTCCAGATATTGCTTTGAGCATCAATACTCATCATGTCAAGATACATGGTTTTACCCCTGCTCAAATGATGTTCAGATATCAACCATGTCTCAACAACCAACATGTGGATGTGGACCCAACTGTTTATAATGAACAGAATGCAATAGCTATCCCATCCCACAAATGAAGAATACATGATGACACTAGACAGGAATTCAGGGAGCTGGCCAATATGGCTTATCTAAACCATATCACTAGACTACAAAACCTTCAGAACCCATTGTGGACAAAACCCTAGCAGGGGGACCTAGTCCTTGTTCAGGATTTCAGTTTAGACAAGGACTATGGACAGAAACTGGATCCTCAATGGTCAGAACCACAACAACTAGTCAAGATTAACACCAACAAGGTATCAGGAATGGTCAAGCCATTATACAGATCTGGTCTAACTGGTTAACAGCCTCATAAGATTCACCTTGACAATCTTAAAGTGTATTTCCCTAGTGATCCTCAATTGTAACCAACCACTACCATAGAGTATGGAAGGTTAGCAATGGCATATTGTGGAATCCCAGGTCAGAGAGCATTGATTCTCTAAATCATGACAAACTAAAGATTTCCTCTCACTTTGATTCTCATTTTTCTTTCACTTTTCCTTTTGCAAAGTTTCATCTCTTTTTTCACATGCAGCTTACCTTTAGCTTACCAACTTCTCTGTACACCAAAAAACCTGTTTTGAAGCTGTACTATCAAGGCATTTCCCACTTGTGATCACTTAAAAAGAAGCTCAACTGCCTTTTCACTTTTTCATTCCTACACATTACATCCTTAACTGTTTAACATCATTACTCCTCCACTTTGCAATATTGCATGGTCAACACTCTGCATTGCTTTGCAGGAGACCACTTCTATCTCCATGCTCAACTATTTGGCTAGCAATAAGTTATTTCAACAAGTATCTTGCAATGGCACTCACTCACAAGCTCAAGAACACCAAACAGCAGGTCAAACATGCTGTTGAAGTGGGCAACATTCCCAGTGTGGACAACCTACATGACATCATCCACTACTGTTGGGAAAACAACAAGCATGAAGATAATGATTACATTCACATTATGTAAGACTTCCATTACAACCATTGAATGTCTATTAAAGACAATAGACCAAAGCATTTTCCTTCACCCCACCACATCAAACCAAAGAAAAAGCAGAACTGTTAGAAAGTCAAGGTGGAGGAGACACCTACTCCTTCCACCAACATTGACATGCCTATCTATATTGATGAAAGTAATGATGACACTGCTAGAGAGGCACTCCATGGCTTAATTGTTAAGCATTTCAACAAGACCAACACAGACAAAGGTGGAGAACATGATAATGACAAGCCACCAATGGTTGGTGGCTTCAAAGCTCAGCTATTTAAACAAGGAGGACAAGCAGTGCATGGTGTACCCACTGTTGAAATTAAAGATCCTATTGCTGGTTTCTATACTAGGGATCTGGTAGAGAAATGAACCATTCTTGTGGTTGTAAACCCACAAGATGGCTCAATCTCCTTGCAAGCAATCCCAGTCAATCATTATGGGAAGTACATCCCTCAGAGCACAACTGTTGAAAACATGGACCCCAAAGACATCATATGAGGAAGCAAATGGGAAGGGTAGGAAGACCCTCTCACCTTCAGGCAATTGGTATACCAATACAAAGAGGGGGCAAGTGATTGGGAGTGGTTAGATGAGGACAATTTTGCAGTTCACCCTGACAAACACTCAGTCATACAAAAATGGAAGGCAATGGTGGTTGAGCATGTACTAGACAATCTATTCAACACAAAGGGGGATGAGCATCTAGGTGCTAAGAGAGCCATCCACTTGCTGCAGGAGATGAAAAGGATTGTGGGAGAGGGGACACAGATTTTCCAACACATGGCTATCAATCAGGATACTAGCATCACCCTTCAAACCATGATCACTAAGCTGCCAATCTAACTTAGCCTTGCTAAACACTCTGCTCAACAAGGCAAATACAACCAGGAAGCTACAGATACTCAATACAGTCCAAACTCAACTCCATCCACCAATCAGAGGGTTATACACACTACCATCAATGACCCTGAGTTACCACCAATCCCACTAACTTTTGACAAAGAGCTGGCTGCTTTTCTCCCTCAGTTTCCTTCCTCCTTCTTTGATTCCAACAGAAACTTGAGGTCAAAATGACAGGTTAAGCATCAACACAGACCAACTAGCATCCAAGGTCAGATGGTGGTTTTGCTGGGGTGCTCCTTGTGGGGGGGGCATGCATGACTAAGGATGGAATTGCTTTTGTTTAACACTCACTCTTGCTTCTATCACTACCACAGTTGCTATTGCAAAAGGATAATGGATAATGGCTTAACCATAATCCATGATTAGCTTATATCTACACTCCATAAAAAGCTGGGATATTCCCACTTTTTGGGAGACCTGAGAGATTTTTATGAAAAAAACTAGCATCTCCCCATTCTACCATTTACATATCATTGAAGATTCTCCTGTGTTCAGATATACGATAGCGTGACCCATTCTACCAATAGCCCAACTACCCACCGATCGGTTATCCCGCAGTACGTAGTAGGTTGCCTAACGACGGAGGCCCCGGTAAGACTTCGGAGGAGCTCTGGCCCGCCATTCAGCCATGTGGTCCGTCTCATAACCGGAGACTTCGTACCACTCTTCTGGCCTTGTCGCTTCCACCTGAACTACGGAGTATAAAGCATCAACTATATAGGGCTGTCCAACGGTTCGACAGCTGTTGCGTTAATTAGTAGTGACACTAACATTCTGCAGCGACAACATCAAGTCATATTTTTCGTTTGTCTTTTTGGCAAAGGAGGCGCATACTGCTCAGAATTTGAGTCAATTATTACGAAGCCAAGGGAACTCAAAATGCATGATTGTAATGGCAGGGATTCGCCCAGCTATGTTGATGATTCCTACAGCACGACGAATGACCATGGTCCCCGTAAGCGTAGACGAAACTTTGTTGTCCCATTACTTTTTGAGGCAACTTTGCCAAGACATTCCTCTCTTTTCCTTCCCCTTCCCTTCCCTACACGATGGAATAAGCACTACTACGCCCGCTGTGAGAGCAACCATATTTTTCAGGATCAAGATTGAAGACACCTTGGATTGAAGCCAATAAAAGTAGCTAGAAACTAATTCTTCTCCCAAGCAGAGTACTCATAGTTCGGTCACACACACACACACACACACACAAGAATAATCAATAAACAGACACAAAGTGGCTGCAAAGAGATGAGGAGTTTGGATTTCTTGAACTATCGTAACCATTACGTGCCCGTCAAGTAACAAAGTCCATGTATATATCCCTTCGCGTCCATGACAATTTCGTTCTGTAAGATTTTCCTCCAGAAATGTCCAAATTTTGGAAATAAATTATCGGCTGCAATCATTGCATAGCCATTAGATATCAAATGAAAAAAAAAAAAAAAAAGATAAAGGGGAAAACACGCTGAAATCGAGGCTAAATGATGATGATGAAAGGGGATCTTCAGTGCAGCGCTAAAAAGGAAAAAGAGGCCAAAATCTTTCATTACTCGTCAAGCTGCATAGTATCAACTCCCCACTGAGTAGGGTCAGTTGTCATAGTCTGCGCTTGTTGATTGCCCAGCAAAGACCAATCCTGGAACATTGGGGTGTTCCTCGCCATGGTCTGGCTTGATTCGCCAGCGTCGCCATAGAGTGAGAAATCGGCGATGGGCTTCCCATACTCTCCGGTGAACTCATCAAAGCCTTCGTCCGCCGACAGGTCATTGGCCGAGCAGGGCGAGTACAACATGAGATCGGGCTGTACCCCGGATGAAAGCATCGAAGCTTGTCCCATTTGGTTGGCATGGACAGGTAGCATCACGCCAGAAGGGAAGGAATGAAGCAGCTGATGCTCAGCAGAATATGATGGAGTCAGGAGCTGCGCGTTGTAATTGATCAAGTCTGCGTCGCCACTAGACAAGTTGAAATTGTCATTGAAGTTCTCCGGTATTTCCGGAGTAAAGGTTGGATCAAATGCATTGGCCATATCAAGCTCGGTATTCATGTTGTTTGAGTCGAGCGGCATATCGTCAAAACCACCCATGCCGAACAAGTCATTGCTGGCATTACTCCACGGCGCGCCCAACTCAGCCCCTAGGTCATTCGATCCATACTGACCCTCAAGGCTGTTTAAAGCGTCGTCGAATGAAAGGCTGGTTGCAGGAGAGATACCGAGTTCCAAAGCCGGGTGCTGAGTAGAATGTTCGGTGGAGGTTTCATCCATCAAGGGAGAATGGGTGTTTTGCGTGACGGGCGTAACAGGATCAGGCAAGAATGAACTGGGCGTAGCAATGCCTGCTGTTGAGGGAGTTTGCAGCGGAGTCCCTGTCTGAGCTCGTTTCCCATTATTCTTCGTTCGTACGTAGGTCCAGCCATGACTCTTTTCCATGTGCTGTTTGCAATTACTCTCCCGTTTTGACTGGTATGTACAAGGAGAAAATTGACACTGGAAAAGCTTTGGCTCTTTACAATGCTTGTCATTCACGTGACGATCACGCTCCTTCTCTGTCGGCCAACCCTCAACAGCATATTTACAACCTGGCTCTGAACATTTCCAGGGGCGAGAGTGAGTCTTGACGTGTTTTCTGGGAGTGAACATTAGCATAGTGACCATCAATAGAATTCGGGGAAGACTTACGTGAGATCACATGCACGCTTGAACACTTTCCCGCACTCACCGCAGGCTGGGGGCGCTTCAGGTTCAACACCCAGCATTGACTTGCGTCGCCGAGCCATTGAACGCTGAACGCCATCATCCTCTAATGACACCTCGCTCAGGCTTCTCTTCATTGCATGAGAAGATTCCCCAAAGTCCGATTCACTCGAGAAAGGCCTTCCATCCTTCGAGGATGAAGGAATTGGAATTACCTTTCCGTTTTTGACTCTGACGAGTTGAGCAGGACGTCCAGTCTCGCTCAAACCGCCTCGTAATTCAAGCTTTTCATTCCTACGAAACACGTTAACGAAACTAATACAACAACGATGGAGTGTGGAAGTACTTACGGGTCATAGTCGGATTCTCGCGGACTCTGGCCTGACTGGGCCCTTGAGCGAGCCGAAGTAATCATGCTGGCGTACTGACGAATCTGTTCCACGAGGTCAAGGAAATAGCCGTTAGTATAAGGTCTGTCGGTCGGACGGCGCTGATCTTTCTCGTTGAGATATTTGACCGTTGTATGAATGCACTGAATTGAGGTCTCGCAGAAGTCGAGATAAGACGATCGAGAGACGGCCCAACCCTTAATTCGAAATTAAAACAGATAAGCAAAACGACTTCTCCCCTCCTCAGGGGTTTTGTACTCACTGGTGCCAAGTAAAGCAGCGTTTTTTCCAAGTCCCGGAGACAGGTAATCTCTTTATTTTCCATCCGTCGAGGCATGTCACGGACAAGAGGATGGAAGGGTTTCAGACCCAACTCCTCCAAGAGGGGGTCGATGATGTGCGCCTTGATGTGCTTGGCGGCGCACTCGGAAAGACATTGGCCGTGATGGTCAGCAGAAGGGTCCAAAGACCGTGTAATTGCAGAGCGAGTATTTGTCCGGGACGGTGCGCCAGCATGGCGAGCACGCTCGTGCTCATATCCTACTATGGACTTGTCAGCTTGAATCATCATGATGAACATCCCGTAGAGCTGCATACGTTGATTCATCTCGTGTACAGGGTTCGACTTTGAACGGACAGAATCACCGATGCTGGAGCCGAGTCCGCTGTCAGAGGTGTGTCGCACTCGGGCGCGGCGTTGTTGCTTTTCAGAATGCTGAGTAGTCGTTCCAGTGGGTTGAGAGTTTACACTCTCAGACATGGCGGGGTCGATGAGGCCGCGAGGAAGGGGCAGAGCATCTCTGTGAAGAGTGTTGAGGGGGCTCGAGGCGGGGGAGCCGTTGCCCGCGATGGTTCGGTCCAAGGATCCAATCAGTGCGGCCATACGACGTTCGCCGGCGGCGATAGCTGCTTCCAAAGATTGGGTCGAGGTATGAGACCGTCTCGGTAGTAGAGAAACGTTGATGACTGGGTCGTCGTCCTTGGATGCTGGCGACGATGGACTATGAAAGGTCGAACCCTTCCGTAGAGACACGGATGGTGATAAATTCCGCCAGCCTTCATGGGTGTTTGTCGAGATGGATTGACCAACGGCAATTGGGGGGATGGCATTTGGCTTTAAAACACGGCCGCGGCGGGGATGAGTAGAGTTGGAGGCCATGGTGTCGGGTAAGGCGTCCAAAATGGAGTCCTGGAGGCGAAACCTGGAAGAGGCAAATGGCAGGGAACCTAAGGGAACGCGGGATTAGTGTGGTGCCGAGCGTGGGAGGAAGGCGACTCATTCAGGATGACTCACGCCTGATTGCTAGGTGATGACACAAAAGGTAGACACCCCAGATCGAATATATAAACTGCACAGCTCAACTGCATCAGATGGTCAATGGGAAGTAATGCGAGACGAGATATGAGGGGAGCGTACTTGCAGTAAGGAATGTTGCCAAGTTGATTGCGCTGCTAATGCGGTTGAGAGGTGTAAAAGGCCTCAAGGAACCCACGAAATGAGCAGCAGGATGAGGATAAAGCGGTGGCCCGGAGGAAAAGAGGATATGGCACTCCGGTTGAAGTTATTGCTTCAACAGAAGTGGTCTCCGGAGCCGTGCAGCACGATTGAAGGCCTGAAATCACAGGTTCATGGAAATGAGGCAATGAAAACACTCTAAGAGCTTGAGATTGGACAAAGAGTGCGGATCGGTTGGTATAAAGAACAAGGAGTGCAAGAAGCAATAGTTGCGGGCCAAACACTATTATCACTCGAATGATAACACAAGCAGACCAATGGCCTTTTCCTTTCTGGGACAATACTGACAGCGCTAGAAGACGACAGAGGGCCAAGGAAATCGGTCACGAATGCATATGGGGTGGCAGAAAGGAAAAGCAAAGCGTACAAGATGGAGAGAAATGGGAGAGGGGGTTTTGGATGGTTATTTCTTACGACGGGATCGAGGTTGAGCCGAACACAGCCATCCGCTGTTTGGTGGAGCATCATTTAGGCAGCAGCCTTAAGAAACGTGAGCACGCGGGTGACGCGAGCGAAGGGGAGTCAGTCAATCCGACACTCCGACCACCGACACCACCGACGGGCTTACTAAACCATTCTCTTTGCCCGCCCTGCCCCGGTTTGCATTTTCAACCAATCCGAGCGAAGAACAAGCGAAGAAAAGCTCCCTCAACTCTCACGTCCTGTCCTGTGTACGATTGAGCCGTCACTTACATTCTTCGGAGGTGTCACACGTAGTTCCCCACGTAATTGTAAAGCATCGAGTTGCGTAGTCTGCTGGCCAAGAGACGTGGGGTTGCCGCGGGTGAATAAAAAGGGAGACGCGTTGCCCCGATGACGAGGTGGGAAAAAAAAGGAGAGGCGATAGAGTTCGAAGCAACAAAGGGAAGTCGAAGGGGGGCAATGGTCGCCGCCTTTTCAGCGTCCTTTTTGCCCTTGACCAAGCTGTTTCTTGGGGCAAAGAGTCGGAGAGGCTGCCTGCAAAAGTCCAGATAGACCAACGAGGTGTCCCTCTGAGCGTTCTCCGCTTCGCCGCACAAGCCGCTCACTTGTGAATGTTCTTTGGACCTCCTTTCTGTGAATGAACCTGGCATAAGCCCGGTATTGAGTACGGCAACAAAATGATATGGCATGATTGATGGCCCACGCCAACTTTTTCGACTTTGAAAATAGCCGGGGGGTTCACAAGCCTTACTTCAAAGGGCCTTTTAGCGCCGTAAGCAAGGCTTACCTAGATCCGCCACGCATCCAATGTGTACTTTTGATATCAGAGAATGGGCCACTGTACTTTACAGCGTTCACCAACGAAAGCTCACCCCCAAATCATTGTGCATTGGTCAATAATATTGTGTTTTTTGCACGGAACAAGGAGAAGGAGCCACGGGATTATCGAAGGAGGCTTTTCGTCATTCCCCAAATTGCCCAACCCAATGAAACCCTTTGACTCATCCAGTTTCGCTAGCCTCCATTTAGTACTTATTGGACTCTCGGTCTAGTTTTACCTAGATTGCTTTTGCCAAAGAAAATACGAGCACTGCTCGCTACAATTCAGCAAGACATAACTACAGCATGAAGCGATGTATGGGTTATTAGGAGTAGTATCGGCGAGCAATATTGGGGGCCGCACGGCTTCAACGCTTCCACTTTGCCACCCCCCATGCTTTGTTCACTCATGCCATTCGAAGCTTGCATTTCATTGTTACCTCTGAATTCAGTGACTCCAGAAAGGTGCATCTCTCGATCCAAGGGCATATTTTGCCTTCTGTTTGAGCGAGGTTAGTTATGTCGTGGCCAAGATGTTGACTGCCCGAGCTCGATGTCGCCCCCGTTGAAAGACTTTGGGGAAATCTCTGCCTTAAATCATCCAAAAGTAAACATAATTTCGTCCATCGTTGGCAAAGTCAGCCAAGTCATTCCCTCACCGCATTCGTCATGGCGTATAAGCTTAATTTGCCCCCGAGCCCGAACTTTGTCTCTTCGCTTTCGTTTCGCTTCACGAGGCGCCTAAACGAGCAGCTGTTGTCATGATCTGCATGTCCTGTAACTGGTTGATTGGATGAGAAGCTGCTTTGACACTGGTGGCCAACTTGTGGACATCTTCCTTCTGATCATGTCGTTGATATACTGAGGCGCGTGGAAGTTTCACCTCTCATTGTGTAAACAATGTTGTCGCTGTCCGATTGAAGCTCGAGGCGCTTTGGTTTTGGTCATCTCATTTGATGCCCGTTGTTGGAATTGCAAAAGAGCCATGTCGCCAACATGAGGAAATATCATAAATCATTCATCTTTCTTTCTTTAACAGCGAAGTCAAACAATTCCTTTGTATATTTACTTTCTCTACGGTCTTTATCTCAGTCTTTGTTCTGTGCATTCATTGTCATCAAGCATTGTTTGCTTCACCTGTACACAATATCCCTGACAACCATGAACAAGAGCCCCTCGATCAACATTCACGCTCCTATTGCCTATTAGAATATCCGTTTTCCCTGCTTATATTAAGGAGAGCAGGGATGAAGCCGCCCCATTCCAGCAAATATATCATCATTTTCATTCGAGAAAGGCCCTATCCCGGAGATATCTCTACTGTCAAACCTACGCATTTTTAACGAAGACCATAAACCAGCTTACCAAGATGGGATTTAAATCTCCATCGTTCTATTTCCTTTCTGCCACTCTCATGTTCATTCTGACGGCATCGGCTGGCCCGATTCCATCCAGTATCCCTTCCAATCCCTCATACTACAGCATATCTTCTACAGCCGCAGAATGTGCAGCTCCCACGCAAACTGCCCAAACACAATCACAGCCATCTTTGGCTCCGAATTCCCACGCCATCTCCGAGTCTCAGCTCCTCCAGATTGCTCCCAGCTCCGGTTCCTGCTCGGGAGCCACCTTCGCAGACGAATGCCGAACAGCCGCTCAAGCCGTGCCATTCATCAATCAGGCATTTGAAACGTACCGTATCACATCAGCAGGCGAGAGAGCTGCCGTTCTCAGCATCATGGCTCACGAGAGCGGCGAATTTAAATATAATCGGAATCATTATCCCGTGCCTGGAAGGCCCGGTCAGGGAAGTAAGTAGCCTATGGTACCCTTTTGGTTATTGGTTGCGGATAATGTATCTTTGCAATTGAAGCTGACATGTTATATTTTTCTTAATTAGCTCGCAATATGCAGATGCCGAATTACAACCTTCTGTACGCTCGCTCGATCCCGGCGCTTGCATCTCAAGTCCAACAGAGCTCTTCTGGGAACGACGTTGCCAGCTTCACGCCAGATCGATTGAATGCTGTTCTTGAATTGGTCATGCCTGATCAGTATTCTTTTGCCTCCGGATCCTGGTTTCTGACTAGTCAGTGTACAGATGCGGTGCGTCAAGGACTTCAGAAGGGCGATCAGAATGGATTCGGTGATTTCATTAACGAATGCGTGGGCACGACACCTTCGGCTGACTTGTATACGTATTGGGAGCGTGCTATGGAGATTTTAGAGACAGGTGATTAGCACAATCATTGATCAGCATTTAATACCAAAATACCGTTAATATACACTAAAGTGTAATGGCAGAAAGGGGAGAAAATATCCCGTAAAATTTGCTAGGTAGACGCAAAATGGAATCGTGTTAAAAGAGTCGTAGACATTAGAGGCACTTTGGTCTCTTTCAACTTCTTTTTGTTCTAAAATCTAAGTGAGCATCAGGAAAGGAATAGGAGACGCGGTGAGCCTTGATAAGTGGCCCAACTCAGGCCATAGGGCCACTGATCTTCTCTTTAGATCTCGAAATTGTGGTGTGTGTCTGATTTCCTTTCACATCCTTATTCCAATACTGTGTCGCCTTTGGAGATCTTGGATCTTCATTGTTTACCCATGGATACATTTACAGTGATCAGTGGCACATAATCGGGCATGTGTTTTAGGTTCCAAAATTCATATATCCCACCATTCATAAGCATCACGAATTGACGACGTTCAATCTCTATGACACCTCAACGATCATTGACTATTCCACAGTTGCTATGTAACAGGTTCTAATTGAACATTTCTCTTCAGCAAAGACAACTGGAGATGAGGAATCTACTGGGTCTTAGAGGCGACAATTCCTACAAAGAATTTAGTAAATTCCATAAAGGCCATTCGTCCATTCGGTTAGGGAAACGTACTCTCAACGTCAGCGACGCTCTGGTTGAGGATCTGCTGAAGGTTCTTGGGGTTCTCGAGCTCCTTGTTGATCTTGGCGATGATCGACTCGGCAAGCTCACGCTGCTGGCGCTGCTTAACCTGGCCCTCATAGCGAACCCAGGATTCGAGGACGGTCTTGGCCTCGGCGGCCAAAGCAGTCTTCTGCTCGAGCTCGAAGGCCTGAGCCTCAAGGTGGGCGGTCTCCTATGGAGAAGTGAGAAACAAAATGCTTAGTGGACTTCGCAGAGCTCTACTCGGATCATACCTTCGAGACATCGAAAAGAGCCTTGGTCACGTCAACGACGCCGCCAAGCTGCTGGACGCTCTCGATGCGGGACTTAACCGCACTGGTGTGATCCTCACGGGCAGAGTTCAGGATGCCCTTGAGCTTGGCAACCTGACCATCGGCCCACTCCTTGTACATAGGACCACCGTACTTGCCGACAGCCCAGAAGACGCTGAGGAGACAGAACATGACGACGGATTCCTCGTTCACGACGTAGAGCTCATTGCTGATGGCGGCAATGGAGAGACCGGCACCGGCGGAAAGGATCGCGGTCTTGGAAGCCAAGGAGCTTCCGGGAAGGGAGTCCAAGATGGACTGAGCCTTCTGCTTGGGGTCCTCACTCGGGACATTGGACGCGAATCGGGTCGTCGTCAGGGAAGAGAGTGCGGGAAAAGAGCGAGCCGGGAGAGCTGGTCGGAGCCGGGTAGCGCCTTGAAAGCGTCAGTAAAAGCTCCAATTGCACATTGTCTCATTATACGAGCTCGAATTGACTGACCGACGGCGCTTCTAGCCAAGCGGGAGGCCATTGCGATGAGAGTGGAGATGGAATTCGTGGTTTGTGAAGGATGTTCGACGATGGAGGTTATGGCTCTTGCTCGGCTAGGATAAGCGTTTGTTGGGGAACGTCTCTGCGTACAAAGAATCACTAACCATTCAATTTTCATGACGATATCCGAGCAAAGCGAGTTTATTCAATTAAATTTCATTCAAAACACGATAAAATGCCCGGCCTCGTCGATAACAAACTCGCGGCGAAAAAGAGGAAGAGAGATACGGAAGTCCTTCCCGAGAAGAGTTCTGCGAAGAGAAAAGTAGGAAAGGGTTCCAAGAATGAATCTTCCACCGAAGATTCTCAGTCGCAAATCCCTCTCCTCGAGAGCCAAATTCTAGAGTCTAGGCGCCATTACAACAATATAGCCAAATTAATTGGCCTTTTACGGCAGCGGACCTCGAAATCTGATGATCATTTGACCGCCGCTGTTTCATTATGTCGAGTCTTTTGTCGCCTACGGGCTGCGGGCTGCATGACGAAGTCGAAAGGATCGGCAGAGAACGAAGTTGTCATTGTACAATGGCTTAGAGAGCGCTACGGGGAATACATCACAGGCTTGTTGGACCTTTTAGACGACGGAACACCTGGGGATCAGGTATGCCATGGATTTCTTCTTTCCCAAAGCGAAATTCTAACAAGAAGTAGACTACTGCGTTGTCTCTTCTCATGCGCTTGGTCAAAGACGAAGCAAGCAATATGAAAGGTGGTGCAGAGGATTATCCATGGCGCTCGTCGACATTTTCGAGCTTGGTGCGCAAGCTTCTTACGCTCGAGCACGGCACGGATATTATTACAGAATTTGTGGAGACTTTTGTGACGGCGTGCGATGATATCAGATTCTACACGTGTGCGATTGTTGCGTAAGTACAAGAACTCTCTTTTTTTTTTTTTTTTTTTTTTTTTTTTGATAGAACAGTTTCTAATCCTTGTACTCAGCGATTTAACCTCCGACGCACTCGAACCTACGCCTGCTCTATCACGAAATGTCTTATCAATACTTTCCGCCATAGAAGATCCGCCAGAAAAGAAAGACGACTTGGAAGAATTCTACACGGAGCGCCCCAAGAAGCCAACGCATGCGCTACTTTCGCCTACATCACAGAAAAAGCAGGTGCAAGAGGCATGGTTGGCTTTGTTACGTTTGGGTCTGAATAAGGAGCAGCGAAAGACCGTACTTGGGCTTATCTCCCATCGGATTGCGCCATGGTTCGTGAAAGTGGAGATGCTCATGGACTTTTTAACGGACTCCTACAATTACGGCGGAGCAACTTCTCTTCTGTCTCTTTCGGGACTCTTCTATCTTATCCAGGAGAAGAATCTCGATTACCCAGCGTTTTATCCGAAGCTCTATTCCCTGTTAGATGAGAACATTCTCCATTCGAAACATAGATCTCGGTTCTTCCGGCTTCTCGACACTTTCCTCGCATCTTCGCATCTTCCAGCTGCTCTGGTTGCCAGTTTCATCAAGCGGCTCTCACGGCTGGCACTTAATGCACCACCCGCTGGCATTGTCGTTATCATTCCTTGGATCTATAATCTCTTCAAGAAGCACCCAATTTGTACTTTTATGATGCATCGCGAAGTGAGGGGGGATGATGCGAAAGATCGTCTTACACGGGAAGGCATGAACGATCCATTTGACATGGCAGAGGAAGACCCGACGAAGACCAACGCTATTGACAGTAGCATTTGGGAGATTGTGACTCTGCAGTCGCATTATCACCCGAATGTAGCAACCCTCGCAAAAATAATATCAGAGCAGTTTACAAAGCTGTCTTACAATTTGGAAGATTTCCTGGATCTTTCATATCAAAGCGTGAGTGATTTCCCGGCTCGTTAGGCAGTAATCCTTACTAACAAATGATTTAGATGCAAGAAATGGAGCTTTCGAAGGAAATGAAGAAGACACCAGTGGTGGAATATGAGATACCCAAGACGATATTTACAAAAAGTACGGATCCGGCATATCAGGATAGTCTACTAGTGAAATTGTGGGATTTTAGCTAGTTATCGGGCACAGTATAATCCAATCATCCTTGTTGTCGCCATGAGCGACACTTTCACCGTCACATCGTAATAACATATCAACTACTCATTGTGATGATTTTGGAGCTCCTATCTGAGCATAAATATAATGTGATTGATGAGACGTCCCCAATCATCGCGTCTCGAAGATGAATATTATGGATCGGTGCTTCCCTTCTCTCGGTCTATATCTGAGGTTGTGCCGCGTGTATTGTTTGCACAGCCTCATTCGCAGTATAAAACCCCTGTGCTTGCTCTCGACTGAGTGTCAGAAGTAAGACTGAGAATAGTACGGTTTAAGGGTAGCCTGGCGGGTGCTTTGTCATGGCGATCATATGCGTTGACGAGTATAGCTCCATACCCGACCCTGCCACCTCTTATTTTCTCGACGCAGCCACCTTCGGTGCTTGGCAACAATTTGCTCGATATAAATAAAACTCCTCATGAAACAACTACCGTTTTGGAAGCAGCCAGAGCTTTCATTTATATGTGACTGAGCGAAGTTTTTTCTTCTGGCGAGCTACATTTGGTGTCAGATAGCACAATTCAATCCACTTTGTAATACCCCGCAATTTTGAGGCGTCTAAGCTCGGATCAGCCCGGCAGGCGTCAATTACGACAATGCCTATGTTAGACATTTTAAAGAAGAAGAATAAGATCAGTGAGGATGCGGCAGCAAATGACAACGACAAGGTATCTGCGCCACCTGAATTTACGTTCATGCGGACCACGACGACAACGCAAGAGATCATCAAGCCGCCAACGTTTTCCGGGGACACCAATGAACCAGTCTCGTCAGAGAAGAAGCAGCCAGAAAATCAGCCGCTGCGGCATAGATTGTCACGGAGGTTCCGTCGCAGCTCCCCTGCTCCGGCGCCGCAAAAGCAGTTAGAGTCAAGCTCTCCGAAACCTCCGGAACCGGGGAAGCTCCAGAGAAGCTTTTCACAGAAGCTCCATATCAAATCCAGCTCTCGTGCAGCAAAGACAAAGTCGGTCTACGTCCCTTCAAACTTACCAGTGATCAATGATGAGGCGTTCAACACAAAAGATGAGCGAGAGATGAAATGGGAGCAACGAGCGACAATGCTCGCGAGAGAAACGCCCCACTCCAGACCTAAAACCGCGCCTGGCTCATCGTCGAGTGCAGCGCAATCCAACGGAGCTACTCTAGATATCCGTGGAGAAAAAGGCTCAAGGTCAAGAAGATCCAGCATCAGCGACAAAGCGGGAGACGTATGTTCAATTGAGATATTGGATATCTATTGAAGAGGATTATAGATACTGAAGTTGTGTGGTTTTACCAGGAGAACATTCAAGAAGCTATCAGGTTGCATGAAAATGGAGGTGGGTGGAAAAGCTGATGGAAACCGACAAATCCTTCTATTGGAGCCAAGCTAATTTTTTACAGACCTTGAGAGGTCTACGGCAATGTTTGGCCGTCTTGCCGATCCAGAAGGCGAAAACAATGCCTTGAGTCAGGTCTTATACGGTCTCGCCCTGAGGTATGCAACTCCCAACCTCGTCACGTTGTATATTCTCAGACTGGACTTTCATAGTCCTATCAACACCACATGTCATTTGCTGACAATCATGCCCTGGTCCAGACACGGGTGGGGCTGTCCACCAGACTTGCCCCGAGCAGTCACCTATCTTTCGTACGCGGCATCGAATAGTGCAGAGATAGAGGCGCAAGCACTAGCATCGGGCATGAAGAAGGGTGGCGCAGCAAAGGGCGAACTAGTACTGGCAATCTATGAGCTGGCAAACTGTTTCCGTCATGGTTGGGGTGTTGACAAGGACCCTGTCGCAGCCAAACAGTATTACGAGACAGCAGCGAACCTCGGAGACACGGATGCCATGAACGAAGTGGCGCGGTGCTATCTAGATGGGTTTGGTACGCGCAAGGATAAGGTGAGTGCTGATGTTGATCCATTCAATCCTGTCTCATGATTCGACATGGAGAGCTTCTTTTTTTCCAACCTTTGCCACATTTCCGTCTCTTTTCAAATCCCAAATCGGTGGAATCAAGCAGGCCGTGCATGCCTCAAATGCATCGATAATGCCGCTATTTGGGATCGTCACCTTAGTCTTTCGGTCAGTTATCCTACTGGCTTCCAGACTCGGTGGGCTCGCAAGATGAGACGGAAGGCGCTCTGTACGCAGCGTATTGCAGAGTAGGGGAGAGAAACATTGTTACGAAGTCGCAACTAATGGTTGGTTGACGGTTGCTGATTGATATTAGTACACTGCGGCCAAATACTACCGATTAGCGGAACAAAACGGCAACAAAACATTAGGAAACTCATGGTGAGTTAGCGTCCATCTTTGGTCCAGTTAAATCCTTGCCCTTTTCTCTGTCTTCCCCATTTCCATACTCCCCCGTCTCGCCCTTTGTCTGCTCGTGCTGCCGTTCGTCCCGTGTTGGTTTTTGTGTATAGTCAGTAATGGCGTGGCGGGATTGCATTGTTGTCGTTTCAGTCATGATCCCTGCAAGCGGGTCTCCAAGGATCGCCAGCGTTTCGCGTGGTATCCGGCGCCCTGGCGCCAAATCCGACGTTCACCGCCTGGAGAAAGTCGCTGCATTGCATTATTACTCATTCGTTTACTATCACTTTTGCCGCACTTTTTCTTCCTGTCGCCTTCCGGATTTTTGTCTTTGGCCGTTTGGTCTTTTGTTGCTAATTTTCATTTTGCCGGCTTTCCGCACCCTTGTCTTTGTTTGTTTCCTCAAATCGATCATACCCACACACCGCCACGTGACGCCTTCCCAGCGCGGAAGTTGCACATTGACGGATGATCGAGCAGCTTTATCCTGATGACCTTTTTTTTGTTGGCCTTTATGTTTTGACATTTTTTGTTCCGACATTTTCTGTTCCTTGGCCTACTTTTCCCGTGGCTTGAAGGTCTTGTAGAAGCTGACATGCGCCCAATGACACAGGATATGGAAAGACAAATATAATCCAAAATAGTCTTGAATTTTACACGCATACGCATACGCATTCACGCCGTTACGCATCTTTCTTTCTTTCTTTCGTTCTTTTCTTTCCCAAGTTCATCTCATATTTCTGGATACGGCATACTGTATTATACCTCTGACCTTTTTTTCTGCATTGCATTTCGCGGGCCCTTGGGTATATCTCTTCTCTCTGTCTAGTCACGCCAAAAACCCTCATCGAGCGATATCTTTTTTTTTATATATAGGGTCCCCTCTCTACGGAATTTAAGATCTATACCACCACGTTCCTATCAGTATCAGTCATTTCAAAACCATTTCAAATTTAAAAAATTGCATAAAATAAACATGGACTCGGTTCTTGGATCTTTGCTGCTTATTCCATATAATGAAGAAATATACCGTATATATATATTATATATATAGAGATAGATGATCCCCAAGATTAAATACCGGATTGTAGAAAGATAAATAAACCAAGTATCCAAGGACCCAAGTATAACCGGACAGTAAAATCCCATAGTCAATTCCCCCCCAAAAAAGACTATTCCCAGGTAGCAAATATGTGACCGACCAAGTAAAAGAAGAAATGGGTAACCTAACCCGCCCCAAGACAAGCCCCGATTCCCCGAATCCCCGAATCCCCGAAGACCCCACAATGCCCAAAACGTCCAGAAGAAAAGGTCAAACATCCGAAAAGAAAAAAAAGAGACAAACGCGATTGATCTGAAAATTCATCCCCGATAAAAGCACCGGCGGGGCCAGGCCACACAAAAAAATGTTATCAGACGTTCCTTCGTACCGGTCATTCAAGTATCATATCCGTCATATGCGTCATAGCATAAATGGTTCATAAGAAAAAATGGTCATGCATGTCATAAATACATCAAAAAATAATCGCTCATTTCGTTTCGTTTCGTTTTCGTTCCTTCGTTTGTTCGTTTGCAGGGGATAAAAAGAAGAGGGAGAGATAGAGAGATGAGAACAATACACGTGAGTGACGTTAGTGGCGTGAGGGACGGGAGAAGGAAAATTAAAAAAGAGGCAAAACACAAGTGAAAAATAAGGACATGATCCAACTATTTGCAAACAAAGACAAAGAGGATTCCAAAAAAAAGAAGCCAAATAGGCAGAGAAAGAAAGGGAACTGTCCAAGATCCCGAGGAGAAAGGGAAGGAAAATCCAAGAAGAAAACGAATGCAAGCCCGAAAAGAAGAATAGAAAGTTTAAAAAAGATGAGAAGAGATGAAAGAGAAAAGAAAAAAAGAAACTAATATACTATAAAGTCATGAACCTCCCGTATGTATCATAAGTATGCCATCGCTTGCTAATTGCATATAGAAAAGCTAACAAGAAAATAAACCAAAGATAATACCCAGTAATGGTACCGCTAAATAGGACAAATCAACCGCAAACTGCATAATAACAAGTTACAAGAGATACCGAAAGTGAAAAAAGGATTGTAGATGGACAGCACGATTGGTGATTAATCGTCCAATGTGTCCGTGAATATACAAAGTTGGGAGGCAAAAGTTCAAAAGCACAGGACCTAGTAGTACGTTGGGCCTGAGCATCGTAGACAACGGAAGAAAAGGAAATATATCAACAGTGGTGAGGAGGGGAGAAGACAGGGGGCTCGGTATGGCTAGTGGTGGGCACATCTTTCACAGTTCGGCTGCGACATGGCTCGGGTATTATATAACGTAGCGTACCGCAACCAACACCGAACTGCTCATACATGGCCACTAATAGCGATGGATCGCCAAATGAGTGTATGAGTTTGCGAATCTGATTGCTGATTCGTTCGGGTTCACAATTCTGGCGTATCATCAAATACCGTCTTTGGCGCTCACTGTTCCGCGATGGTCGTCATTGATTTCGGCCACCATCTTGGCAAAGTCACGCACGACCTCGGTGGGAATCTTATCCCACATGAGCGATCGCGTGTAGACTTCGGCAGCGGAGCCTTTGTCGTTGCCGCGCATGGCAGCCAGTGTCTCGCCGAGATTCCGTCGAGGGGGAGTAGGCGCATCACGGCTGTGGAGGAAATCTTGTGATGTAACGCCATTGTACTGTTCTGCAGAGAGAGAAAACAGTTGCTCTCCCTCTTGCTCCCTCGTCGGTCCTGCGAGTTGGCCGTGTAAAACGTCAAGCGTTGATGGCCCTGCAGACATACTGGCCAGCTCGGAACCACTCATCGTCGTCTTGCCCGTTGGCGCCGAGGACCATGACATGCCTGAAGGGGCAGGCTCCAGAGCCTCAACACGGCTTACGCCGGCAATTCGAGAGTCTGAAGTCTGCAGGCCAGCATCTTTGAAGATGTTGTCGAGTACCGTTGCGGACGCAGCGCGAATGTCATCAGGGACACGAGGAATGGATGGGGGAGTCGGAGATGAACTCTTGGATGCGACAAAGGCGCCAAAAAGCAGAAGCTAAAAAGCAGAATATTAGCATGCAATAACGACAGCAGGAAAACCAACATGTCTCTGCTTACCATAAGCAACAAACCAGAGGCGGCAGGCTTGTCTTCGTCTTTGAAGGAAGGTTTCTCGGGTTTCTTCGCCACGACGAGGCTTGTTTCCGTTGGCTGTTCCGTATTGTCGATGCCAAAGTCGTTGACAAAAAGGCTATCCCAAGGAGATTCATCCATTGTTAAGCCATCCATTTCAGAAGAGAACTCGGCAGAGAAGCCTGAAGAGCTTGGAGCAGCCGACATTGCAGTGTTTTCCATTTTCTGGATATGCTCCGTAAGATAGGCATTCTTCTTGCGAAGATCACCCGTCTCAAGAGTGTGAGCGCGGACCATCTCCTCCTTCTCGAGGACAAGCGTCTCAATGTATTGCTTGCACTGCTGTTGCTGCGAATGCCATTCGTCTTTCTCATGCAGGTACTCGGATTCGCGAATCCTCATGTCTGCGAGCTGCTCCTCTAGCTCATTTATCATGGCGGTAAACTGCTTCTTCTCATCCTCAAGCCTCTCAGTGTGTTGTTTTTTCCGCTGACGAGAGTCGAGGCTAGAACCAAAAATGTTAGTATTTCAACAAAGGTGACGGTACACCTGACGCGGGGTGTTAAAAAAAAAAAAGAAAAAAGGACAACAATGATGGAGAGGGTTCGTACGCGGCCTGCCTATTTCTCAACAGACGTTTTTGCTGCTTGAGTTCCTTGATTTCCTGATCGTCGTTTGATTCGGATATTAATCGGTCAATGTTGTTGAGATTTCGTTCTGGGGGAATTTCAAAGCGAGCATTCTTTTTCCGAATCCCGTCTCGTCGCATGTGCAACGTTGACGACGGTCGGGGCGGGCTTTCCTGGCGCATGCGCTTTGGGATTGAGCGAGCTGCCAAGCTTTCCGATGATTGCTGAGCCATCGATGACATCCAATCCTTGGTGGGATGAGGCGACGGCGGAACGGATACATTCGTTGCAGTCGATGCTGCCGATGGAACGTATACAGAACCAGGTCTGAGAGGATTCGTAGATGGCACAGCAGCTTGGAATGTGGCGGTTGCAACAGGAGCCGTAGGAAGAAATGAAGAGGGTGTCCGGTTGTCATACTCTGATGGAAAACCATCATAGACGGCAGTTGGAGTCACCGCACCGGGATCCTCGACCATGGGCCACGCAGACGTCTGCTGGCCGTAGGTGGCAGCTTGAGCGGCCTCGAGACGCATAAAAGGGTTGTTGCTCTGCTCAATAAAGGGATTGGTGGAGAATGAAGTAGAATTTCGGTCAGGAACACCCATGAACTTGTCGTCAAAATCCGCCCAGCCTACACTCTGCTCCTTGGGCGAGAAGAAAGCTGTCGTGTCGGCAAAGGAATCCCTTCGCTGGCTGAATTGGGGGGACATGGCAACGGCGCTGTCGAGAATGTTATCGTCGAGGATACTTGACTCCTCGTCCTCAAAGAATTGATGCTGAAGATCAAGCGAAGACGACGGCCGGAAAAAATCATAACCGGTACTCTGAGTAGCAAAGGAAGTCATGGTTTATTTTTTTTCGGGGGTGTGGATGTCCCAAGTGACGGGACTTGTGATGCTTTGCAAAATGCGGTGTAGACTCGCTTTGTCTGTTTTAGGTGTGTGGAGAGTGGTGGTCGGTGAACGTCCAAGCTCTCGCGACGATGTGATACGCGGGGCGGGCAGAAGCAAGACCGAGACGACTCAGATAAGTTTCCGATAGAACTGCGGTGGCAGGGAACAAGGTAGAAACGACGAGACCGACAATGGACTGTTTATGCTGTCGCCTTTGAAGAATGAAATATCCGTAGGGCGAGTTTGTACAGACAAAAGTCTTTGTGTAAGATGTAGATGGAGGTCAAGGTAGGAGTGGGTGAATTATAGACAAAGACGATCAAGAGATTGGGGAGGGTTTGTGGGTAGATAAATCTGAAGGTCTGTAGGAGAACTGGGAAGGGTGCGTCAACACTTCCCGGGAGAGGCTTCTTTAATTTGAATCTGGGCTTTGCTTTGGCTTCCCTCCGTTGAAAGTATCCAGGATATCTTTAGTGGGAGAGTCCGGGCATGGGGGAGGGATGGGTAAAAGGGCGACGGGAGATAACAGGCGACGACGAATCTCAAGGCATAAGGGTTGCGCGAGATCCCAAGAGCTAAACGAGTGGCAGAGCGGCCAAAAGCAAGTCACGGATGGGGGGAGAGGGGAATGGGCTCAGAGGGACAATCGAACATCTGCCCAGAGAGAGACACACAGAGCAAGAGAGAGCACGCCCAGGACGAAGAGCACAGAGAGAGCGAGTGCGAGAGAGAGAGAGAGAGAGGGCACGGCGATAACCCGAACGAGAGCCACAGGTGCAATCGGGGTATCAGATATGGATGACAAGGGGGGG